CAACGGGCACGGGTATCCAAATGTAAACCCTGATGGCTGTAAGGGGGCCAAAGCCTACGAGATAAAGATACTACGGTCAATAGAAAACATTTGAGGCCGGACCGGTACCAAACCAGCTGCCGGCCCACTATAAATCAAGGCACGTGGGGAAGAGAGGCACATCCACTCTTCCATGGTCTACGAGTCTCCTAACCCCTCTTCCAGACGACATACCTAGTTCCCAAGGGAAGGGGGGTTCTCGAGAAGTGGTTTCACTCCTTGCATGATGACTGGGACGCGTATGGTTTTGACATGCCAACTTTTTTGATTTGACTCGTGTCGTTCTCTCTGTCAGGCAATGTGAGATCTTGTGATTCGTGACAGGTCGCCTATCCGCTAAGCGTTGACACATATGGAACAAGATGGGGGCCAGCTAGACAGCAGGCAGCTGCTGGGTTTGTTCTACGCTCTTCGGTGTCATTCTCTTCTTCCTTCCTTAGCCTCCTCATAGTTCCTCAGAGACGTACCTATCAGACTTCGATCGAGAATGGAATATGCAGTATCTTGGAGTCTTAGTTGGCCAGATCGACCACACCGGGGGTTTTCCATTGATTGGGTTATAACCTAAGAGCGGCCTTTCGATACGCACATGTGGCGACGAGCCGTGTATGGCAAGGAATACTAGGCTGTAAGCTACTAGCTTGGCGATTTTCCTCGATCCATGCCGTGGTGCAGAGGTTTGTATCGAGGTACACTCGACACTCTCAGCTAGATTGAGAATTGAGCGTTATTACTTGGTGGCCTTTCTTTTCGTTTTGTTTTCTCTCAAAGCTGCCCAAAGCTTTAATTACGCATAGTGTACTTGGAGGCCGTCCAGTGACTTTTGTTGACATCGTTAATGGTTTGAAAGTACCAGAGTAGCGATGAACAAACGCACACCTGTATATGTGGCAGCATCAGATTCTAGCGCTCCTCAAGTTCGCCTGATAATTTCTCAATGCTCTTGATGAAAGGCACTGTTCCTATTTCCTTCCCGCTCTTCTCTTTGTCCCAGTCGCGCCGCCGTCGGCTTCTCTGTATACGTTTCCTTCTCTGGAGGAAAAGGTCTAACGCACCCCTAATCACGGCCTGCTACACCCCGTTCATCTTGTTGATGAGGTATCCTCCGAGATGGAGAAGCGGGTCAAGAGCACTAGAGTCTGGGATCATGGATTTAGAAGCCAAGACAGTCAGGTAACCCCTTTGCATCTGGGGCCTCTATCTCCAACGTCGGCAGCTATCCATACCGCAGAAGAAGTTCCCGATAAATTCTCGTATCTATAGAACGCAAGAGACGCCTATATTCGGGTAAGGTAGGACATACATGGAGTTGCCACGATCTTCAGTACTCTTGACATGCCTCGTTGCCTCGTAGAAGGGGCAGAGAGACGCAGCTTAGACTAATTTCAAATCATGACGCTGTTGTGATAAGGGGGGATGGAGGCCCTGAACAGAGGCTTGGGGGATGAAGCAGAGCAGGAGAGTCGTGGCCTTTCTTACCTGACCTAGGAGGATCTGCATTGTGCGCGATCTACACGCCGCCAGATCCCAGCAAACAGACTCTTCATGTTTATCGTTACACAGGGGGCGCGGTATCCGAGGTGAGTGTCGCCCATCAAGTCTACCTTGCGAAGCTGACGGAGATCCGAAGTACCGGTCTGAGGTGCAGTTGGAAAGTGCGCATTCTATTCTCGAGTGAAGGAAAGAAGTCTCAGAGTAGCTTGCGGGTTGCCACCTCGAGAAGAGATTGTTATTGTTGGATACAAGCCATCCAGGCCTCGCAATCTACGACGCAGCTACCCGCGAATGCCCACCCTGTCGAGATGACTCTGAGGCCTGCTCCAAGGGTGGCACTGCAGATATCCTCCTCTCCGCCCACCTCCTAGTCGACCCCGTCATAGCATGTCCCGGCACACACCTTGGCTCGCAATAGCTGACCTGTCTACAGGAAATTCGTCTGTCCAGTCACGCATTTAGTCACGCGAACGCGGTTGATGACTTGTCCTCAAACCTCCAAAGTACTTTTGAAACGGACTCTTCGGCGAAAACGAAGTTTTCCATATCCGTTGAAATCTTGCCCGAGAAGTTGGTTGGATGGAATCAGCTTCTTCACTCGCTTAGCCTTTCCTGATCGGGCTACGAGGCGACAACAGCACGTTGATAACGAACGAGCAAACTTGCTTCCTGAGTTGAAGCGTGCACTATTTTGAATCGGCAAAGGATGCTCACCTCCTCCCGCCTTACTTCGAGAGGGTAGGTCAGCTCCTTGGCCAAAAAAAAAAAAAAGAGGAGGCGGGTTAACGGTGGGGTCTCCATCCGGGGTGTGCTTCTATAAGACCATTGGCGCCAGCGGAGAGAAGGCTCGTGATCCCTTGATGCCGGCGATGACGAGAAATTTACTAATTTGACACTACCCTCCTGAAGAGAATATCGGATCTCGGGCATCCTTTGGGGGTTACTCATTCCCGAGGCAAAGGATTGCCAGCTCACCGTAGAGTGGACTCAGCCTTCACCGTTCCTAGACCGCCAGCCCCGACCCATTTGTCGACGAGTGCCGGGGCGTACCTTACCACGCCGGGTATTGGAAGAGGGGATCATGCCACCGCTGTAACGTTGGACAAGAAGTTGAGGTCGATGAGAGCCCTATCACACTCTGCGGCCGGGGCAGGCTTGAAACTCCTCTCTCAAACATGAGAAGGTGGCTTGACCCGGTTGCATCGGGCCTTGGAGAACTGAGGACGTTGTGTTCCTGGGGCAAACCTCGTGCCACCTTCCGCCCTTATTGCCACTCCAGAAGTTCCAACTTGCCGACGGACCTGCCACGGGATTTGACAGGTGAGTATGAGGGCACTGAGAAGCCATTGGAGACTTTAGGGCCTCTTCTAGTAGGGCTATCACGGGGTGAAGCGCGCCCCTTGGGGTGAATGGTGTAGAGCCCCTCGAGAGGCGAAGGTGGCATGTGCGGTCAGAGGCTTGGGATATTGATGACGTTGGAGGGTAGGACGAATCAAGGATCTGCTTCCTATTCTGGGGAGGGGGTTTGTCTGGGAAAGAAACCGAAAAGATTAGAAGTTTCGATTTCAACCGATCAATTTCGCGGCTGCCTTCAGCCCCGATTCTTCATTCTTTGCTTGAACTTCTTCTTTCAACAGAATGGCTACCTAGGTTAGGTGGTATCCGGGTACTCCCTTTCGAGCAGGTCTATGCCCACGTCCATGGCCTGCAGGGACATCCTAGCAACCTCTGCAGCGGAGGTGATGACCATGGGGGCCAGTGTGAACTCTAGACACTCGCTTGAGCCGGCACACCGGCTTCGTTTTGAACATGTATTTTTGAGCCGTTCGGTTATTCCTAGAGAATGTCGAGAGGGGCGGATCCGGGAGTGAAGCGCAACAAACCTTACGCGGAGGCTTGCGCGGCGGAAGAGAAGGGTTCTTAAACAGGGTCTTCCTCGTTGCGTCTCTGCTTTTGAGAAGACTAAAAAGAAGAGTGGTCTCGTACTTCTGAGGGTAGGGACATACAAGAATCCATAGGTCCTTCAGCGGTTTGGATCTGAGCTGCACCAGGCGTAGGATCAGAAAGTTGGGTGGGGGTGTGGATGAGTTTTCTTGTGGCAGGTGTGGGATTTCAGGAAGTAGGAGGGGGAGGGTTGGTTCGTGGAGATGGATATTATGGTCAGCGAGAAAGATCAATTGGGACAGAGGCGCCGCAAGACGATTCATAGATATTGTTTTGCTTGGCCACTCGGGAGTTCGGAGGGCCTGGTCTAGATCGGGAATGAGCGGAGAGGCGTAGGTTCTAAGGAGTCGGAAACTCCTCGGCCGTGTTTGGCTTCGTTACACAAGCGGCTTATCCCAGCTTCGAAGCCCAGATTCCATTGTGTTATTGTAATATGTGGCCCGGCGAGCTCAGTTGTGGCTTAGAAGGTCTTCGCTCCTTCTTCCATAAGGTGAGAGATAGGCCCTAGGACCGGCGAACATGACTTAGGCCGAACGATGTGATGTTGGAAAGAGCATTGCTCTACAATATGTGATATCCTGACCTAATAACTCCTCATAGAGAGAAACGATATAGGGACTTTTTTATTAGGTAAAAAAAAAAAAAAAAAAACAATTAACAAAAATACAATGAAGAGAGAGAAGACAAAATTATAGACCACAAGCTCTATTCTATGATAATGGAAGAAAAGTCAAGATATCTACTCACCTTTCAAGCTTCATATCAGTCGTTATGTTGGGGTAAGCCGTCAGGCTGTGCACAATTCATCGTGTGGCAAGTGGTTCCAGCCACAATAGTATCCAGCTGGCACCCACCAGGCTGGCAACTGACAGCCATTTGCGGACGCACAGACTTGAGGATGTCTGCCAGTCTCTGGAGAAGTGGTCAGATGAGAGATGGGGAAAGAACTAGTTATCGAGTTATCTCCTTTCAGTGAGAACTTAAGCAGCATCGAGCTCAGAACTCATTCCCAGGCCTTAACACATATGTTTTTCACAATAAAACTCATAAATACGAGACTCTAGAAACTTGAAGTTTATACGAAACTCATTTATTCTCAGACTAAATTCTGATGCGCGCGACAAAGTAAAGCAGGTTCTCAACCCTCCGAGCTAAACTCAAGTCGCTTCGCTTATTTCTTTCTCGCTTTTCCCCCGCAGGCCCTGGTATAGCTTGGGGAGAGGAGATTCCACATGTTAGTCCATTTATCATCTTCTTTGATTTCGGGAATATTTTTAACCCTTGAAAGGAGAAGAATAGTTGTACAGAAAACATAAGAGACAGGGGCAAGCCTTTAAAACAGGCCAGGTTTTGTCCAAGGGTGACGACTCGGACGGAGGGTCTGCAAGAGCTCATCCGCGGTTGAACCTGGGCCGAAATTCTACGCGATACTTCACCCATGGATGAGTCGAACTACTTGTCTGGAATATCCATCATAAGCTAGACGATTCTTGGGGAAAACAGGGAGGGATACAGGAGGCGCCATGACGAGCCGGGCGAACGGCCAAAACGCGGCCCCGGCCGGCCATGACAGCCCCAAAACGGACAAACTCTCATTTTCATGGCTGTATGTTCCCCTATACGCCTGCCATCCATGGCCCAGCCGTGCCCCTAATACGTTGCCAGACAACCTCACCCTATTTTCGTCGTCATCCTCGTGGGGCCGGAGGAGATTCCCTTTGGGCTTCAAAAGACCTGCTGTGTGCAGTCTCGGCATACTTCAGGCGGCATTTTAAAGGCGTAGAAGAGGACACGGTCGAGCATGTTGTTAGGATACCAGACACCACAGGAAGAGTGTTTGGGCTCGCCCAGAATTTCATGTATACACGGGAAGTATGGCCGGATGATGGAACCGCCCCAAGTTACGAGGATCTCTTTGCTCTGTGGCAGCTAAGCCAGGCGTACGAGCTGGGCGGCCTCTGTGACAAGACGCTCGAGTGTATGGAAGAACTAAAGCAGCGCACAAGGCATATCCCCGGCCCAACTCTCATATCGAGGGTGTGGAAGGAGACGGAAGAGGGAACCCCCATTCGACGCTTATTTTTGCAATGGGCCGACGAGTACTTTCAGTCTTCAGACGCTCCCACCGAGTTTGCCAAGAGCTTGCCTCGAGAGTTCTTGTGTGAGCTAGTAATTGAGATGAGTGCCGTTGCGCAACCCAACGCCGGAGATGCGGGGGTGATGGCAGGAACGTGGCCGGCGGCGCTGGCACTTCAACGCCACTAGGAAACGTGCGCTCTGCGCTCTCAGCTATTGTGGGCAGCGCAAAGCGGCATGCGAATCAGGGAGAGGAGGAGGGTGGGAGTGATGACGATGGCTCCAGGTCCAAGAAGAGCCGCAGGGTATCTGGCCCTTCGACGATACCCCTCCCACCGCCCACGCGCAATGGAGCTGTCTTGGGAGCTAGTAGCATACCGCGCAGGTCTCTGCCCGGTCCCACGAAGAACGCGATTGTGAATCGCCGTATAAACAGTATCATGGTGGCGGACGGCTCGTTTAGCGATGCGCAAAAAGTCGATTTCTGCGCCGATTTGCTGAGCCGGATGCTCTCTGGGCCAGGTAAGTGGCATGGCTTGAACGCCTCTTCCCTTCACAGACCCTGACGTGCCCCTATCCCTCTCGGAATCCCAAGATGGGCTACTCACCAGGAATGATTGTTTCTCGCGCAGGTTATTGGACCCGCTTGGTCAAGCCGTTTCGGCAGCCTGTTGACCCCGCTGTTGATGGTGTGCCCGACTACTTTGAAAAGATTGAGAAGCCAATGGACTTGATGACCATCAAGTCGAAGATGGAGAAGCAAATGTATTCTACGGCAGGTGAGTTTGCGGGGGACGTTCGACTCATCGTGGAGAACTGTAAGGCCTATTGGAAAGAGGGCCACCCTCTCTACGGCGAGGCAGAAAAATTCGGCAAGAGCTTTGAGGAAAAGTTTGCCGAGATGTCCAAGTGGCTATCGAAAATGCACTCGGCAGAGCAGGGGTCGGCCGGTTGAAAAAGAGGAAAGGGATTTTTGGCAACCGCGGTAGTGTGCTACATGGAAGACCTTTTGGGGACTTCTAGAGTTAGTTCTCATGGGTCACCATATGAGGAAACTGTGGTGGCGTTTCCCATTCTTTAGACCATCAACTGAGCCCTGTATATTGTTTCACCAAGGCCGAGTGAGCCCTCGATGCTTCGCCCACCCTCACTGTGTCTACCATCACCCTACGGAAAGACTTGCTCACTGCATTGTGCTTTACTTTTACTTTTCTTTTTTTTCTTTTTTTTTTCTTTTTACACTCTTTCACCCTTTTATCTCTTTCTCGTAAGGCAGCCAGACACCTTCCACGTCCTAGTACTAGTACGGGGTCGGATGAGAGAGAATCCGCAGTTCCTCTTCAAACCTTGAGCTGCATGGGATTACATTAATCTACGTTGCACATAGCCGAGGAAGCAGTTGAATGGACAGCAAGCCACGCGCGGGGCCCATTACGAGCCACTTGTTTCCGACAAGATACCCAAGCCTTCATCGCTTTCGAGATCCTTGTCGATGGTACACCCTGACCGACTATCTGGGACCGAAAACTATGGTGGAACGGAATTGGAAGGGCCAGCCATTCGAGTCGGGTGGACCAATGATCTGGGTTGAAATGGTGAGACGGGTGGAAGTTGGGGGAGTTGGCGAAAGGAGGAAGGGGAATGCTTATGGCCTCGGGGTGGGCGAGAGACGCCCCAACGATGCGGTGAAGAAAGCCAAGGCCAAAATGAAGAAACCAAGAAAGTGAGAAAAGCTTCCGAAAAAAGAAAAAAAGACTGGACAGACAACATCAGGGATGTGCTGGCCGTCATCGACCTGATTACTCTAGGCGACATATATGTTTAGGAGCGAACAGGATCCCCAGGATATTACGAGCCTTGATTGTTTAGACCGTTTAGATCTATTATAGTAACAGACCCCCATGAATGGACCGATTGCGAAAAGTAGGAGGTTTCACCCCCTTAGAGCTTAAATCGTTGAATCGCGATGGGAGGTCTACATATATCATATCCATACATCCTGGATGGATGTAACTTGAAAAGGATGTGTCATGATAATCAAGGTGCTGCCTATATGCCTATGTTCTCTCAGCTGAAAACACGGGAACAAAAAAAAAAAAAAAACAGAAAGTCAAGGAAACAGAGGGAAAAGGGAAGGAAAAAGGAAAAAGAGAAAAAACTCCCAAGCCCCGTCAAGTCGGACCAAGCTATTGTCGCCCAATCGGCAAACTCGAGCTGTTCGTTGGGTAGGGGAGTGAAAAGCGAGGCGAACGGTATCGAGTCCAGGGTTCTTCCCGCACCGCGACACGAGGACAATCGAAATAGTGGGGGTTTGTGGGAGAAATCGGATGCAAACCTATACCCTGAACACCGTTCTCGCGAACTCATCTGGATCTACTGTACATAGGTTTGCGGGTTGGGAAATCAATGTAACCTGCGCAGTGTCACCTTGCCAATCGTTCGTCGATGGGCGTAATATTCCAAGGACGAGTTCGAGGGGCAAGAGAGGGGTGGGGGTGACGGCTGGCTGGTTCAGCTACTTTCGATGACATTGGCAACTGGATTTCTGATATTTTGAGACTTCGGGTGGGTGGGAGCGTAGAGACGCCATACCCCTGCTCTCAAAGGGAGCTCAAAACAATGTGTACATGTATTCCGAGGTAGGAAGGAGTCAAATAAATAACATTAAATCAATCAATTCTACAAATATTCAACAAGCTATTCTGGCGCGGCGGGTACAATTGCTGGGTTGGTGGCAAGGCGGAGACACAGACGAAGATGAAGAGGATGGCTTCATGAGGCACGGCAACATAGGATGTCTCGAAAGAAAAAAATGATAATCGTGAAGAGTAAGGGCATGGGAGGGAACGAAATGGGAAGCGAGGTGCAAGCGGCCGGCCATGAACAGACGGGGCAAATTCATTTTCCTCGCTTGGCGCAAAGACCATGGGCACTCCCATGGGATGCTTGCTCGAGATCAAGAACACGCACAGGGACTTCGGTGCCATCCAAGTCCTCTCGCGGCAGCTGCTCGAGCTCAAACTCGACGCTTGCTTGATTGAAGAGGGCAATTAGCTCGAGCGCTAGCACGTCTACCGATACCCCGGCGGCAGTGGCCATGTGGGCGTGTGCGATGACACGCGTCTGGGGATCCCCGAGAACCCCACTATCCTGGGAGAGGTCGTGTAGCAGAAACTCAACTTCAGCCCCGGCCCACGCCTCGTCCGACCCGGCGGAATAGCTTTCGGGATGAAGAGTATACGGGGAATTCTGTGCATCGTTAAAGGTCGTTGCATCCGGTGCCATAAACTGGGTATATTGTTGTCCTTCGGAAGCATGGGGAGCCGCCGTGCTCCCGGGGCCGACATCTTTTTCCGCCTGAGCGGGAGATGGAGCTCTAGCACAGATATCTAAGTGTAAGTTTCTGATGCTGGGTGCGGAGAATTAACGTCGCGCAGCTAGTCGGGCTTTGAAGACAAACCTTGTTGAAGTGGCTGGCTCCGCGATGGTGGAGCCATAGTCACAGGACAACACCGCCTCCTGCTCTGGCCGAAGACGAAGATCGTCTGATGACATCATAACTGGAAGGAGTAGATGAAGCGAGTATAGAATATACGAACATATATTTTTGAAGATATATATATATATTCACATATTTATCTCCTATTCTCTCGCCTTCTCTAGAAACGTGGTGATTTGATGGGGAAAGAGCAGCGAGCGAGGAGTGTACACGGAGCATCGTCAATCTTATATATCATTTTCTTAATCTTCTTTTAAGAGTTAGTTGATCATTGATTCGCAGCTACATGTACCCATTGAATCCTACAAGCTACGAAAGGCAGCCGTCGGTCGTCTCACCGCTATTAAGTGCCATCAAGTTTTGATACATGCAGAAGAGTGAACTTGGGGTGATGGTGTTGTCATAGGCTCTCTGGGCTGAGCTCCGAGCAATACCTTTTGGCCCCAGTATCTGGCTTTCCTCCCCTCCGTACCTTCCCGCCAAAACTCGCCGTGGAGGTACAACGGAGGGCGGCCCCCGAGGACCCTTCGATGCTAGTTGAAGCACACTTTTCCATATTATCGCCTCGCGGGTGAGGCGAGGGCTGGTGGGGGTTTCAAGACTTCAGAGGCATTCTAAGTTGCAGGGCTTGGGGGCGGAATGGAGAAGAGCACGAAGTTAGGCTGAAAGTCCAAGTCCCAACTCCTGGTGCATGCCCCCATGCCGTGATGCATCGTCAAGGGTTCGAATTCCACCCTTGGTCTCCATGAGTTATCGGATTTACGAGGTCCCCAACTCAGCTTGGGACAGTGACGCGTTCTGACAATTCTGACAAGCTGCCTTGCTCTAAAGTCGCGTTGTACGCACCCCTGGTACCCCCTGCCCTGAGTGAGGACGGACATGCACCACTGCATTTGAGTGTGGACCTGATTATTAGTCACGTGATTACACAGATTACACACAGACAATGATCCACGGTCGAATACCGCCCGCGCGGTCCACAGGCGCGCGAGATGTGGACTTGGAGTCGGTTTAGCGTCCATGACGAGTCCACGCAGCCTGGAGTTTATAGTTGATCATTGATCCCTCGGACCAAGCTCAGTCTCCAGGAGACAAGATAGCAACAGCTCAAAGGCTGGGCGTGCGTGGCTGTACACTAGACCGGAAACTCTCTGAGGTCGTGAATTTTCATGCTCTCCGCACCTTTCCGGCATTGACCCTAGGCAAGATTGAGGACTTAGAACCACTTTGGGTCTTCACCAACATCAACCACTCTCTCTTCCTCCCCCTCCCCCACCATGGAAGCCCCCATACCGAATCGCCCGTTCCGGGTATGAAGCGTAAGGCCGAAGACCCTCCCCAGGGCCAACCGCCTCCACGTCGAATCAAGGTGCGTGCAACCAGATCTTTCACAACCTCGTTTTTCTGTTCCTTGCGACTTTCGCGCCTCGCGTCTTACATAGTCTCCCCCTTTTCCCCCACCCTTTTCGCCTTGCTACAGTAACCCTCCCTCATCGCCTCCCTTTCCTGCAGTCACCCTCCCCCACCTACAGAGGCAATATATATAATAAAACGAGGGTGAACGTGGGGTTTACTTGCAGACGCATGCTAATCCGGGTGGTAAAAAGGCTCTCGCCGAGTCGGTCGTGAATAAAATCGCAGCCGGAGAGATCATCATTGCCCTGTCAATGCCTTGAAAGAGTTGATGGAAAACTCTGTTGATGCGGGCGCCACGAGTCTCGAGATCCTTGTCAAAGATGGGGGTCTCAAGCTCCTTCAGATCACAGACAATGGATGCGGCATCGAGGTGCGTTTGGTCCACCCCTCTCGACGTGTATTTGCTGCCAGCGTTGCCGATACCTAGCCTAACCACACTGATCTTGCGGGTGTGTACCGCATCTAACCGTTTTCATCTTTTTAGAAAGATGACCTAGCAATCCTGTGCGAAAGGCACACCACGAGTAAGCTCTCGGCTTTCGAGGACCTGAGGGAGATCACTACATATGGATTTCGAGGCGAGGCGTTGGCCAGTATCAGCCAGATTGCTCACTTGTCGGTAACGACCAAGACAAAAGATTCCCCAGTCGCCTGGCAGGCCAAGTATCTGGAGGGCGCCATGGTGCCTCAGAAACCCGGGATGCCAGCTGAGCCGAAGTCAACCGCGGGCCGACAGGGCACCCAGATCAAAGTGGAAGACTTGTTCTTCAACATTCCCATTCGTCGAAAGGCGTTTCGCTCTCCCGGTGAGGAGTTTACCAAGATTATGGACATGACGGGTCGGTACGCCGTCCACTGCCAACACGTTGCCTTCTCCTGCAAAAAGGCTGGAGATGCATCGATCGGTTTGTCGGTCTCGGCCAACGCCAGCACGGTCGATCGCATCCGGCAGATTTATGGATCTGATGCAGCCAACGAGCTCATTGAATTCACGTGCGCGGATAAGCGCTGGGGTTCAAGGCGACGGGGTACGCTACAAATGCCAATTACAGTCACAAAAGGACAACATTGCTCCTCTTCATAAACCACCGCTGTGTCGAGTCTGGGGATATAAAGAAATCGTTGGAAGAGATGTATAGAAACTTTCTCCCAAAGAATGGCCACCCCTTTGTTTATCTCAGCCTTGAAATCAACCCCCAGAGCGTCGATGTCAATGTTCACCCGACCAAGCGGCACGTCAAGTTTGAGCACGAAGAGGAGATTGTCCAGGCCATCTGTGAAACAATTAGCTCCAAGCTCGCCGTCGTGGACAAGAGTCGAACCTTTATGACGCAGACTTTGCTCCCCGGAATCAAAGTGACGACTATATCCCCCAGCCCGACGGCGCGACACCTGGTCCGTCGCGTCAAACGCCAGGGCCAAGTGGGGGCAAACGGCGTAGAAATTCGAACGAGCTGGTAAGGACGGATACGAGCCTGAGAAAAATTACAACCATGTTCACGGCGGCCTCTGGCTCGCCCGCGGAGGGCGAGGGAGGCGGTCAGCACGGGCAAGACGCTAAGGACGGTCTTGTAACGTCGCTCCCGGAGAACGTGAACTACGAGATTGTCGAAGGGAGCCGGCGCCGTGCCGGCTCACGAGTGTCAAGGAACTCAAGGCAGAGGTGAGAGAGGAGATGCATAACGAGCTGACAGATATCTTTTCGGACCACAGCTTCGTTGGGATTGTAGACGAGCAACGAAGACTAGCGGCCATGCAAGGTGGCATCAAACTTTATCTCGTCGACTACGGCCACGTTTGCTACGAGTACTTTTACCAAGTCGGACTGACTGATTTTGGTAACTTTGGAACCATTCGGTTCACGCCTCCACTCGACCTTCGTGAGACACTGCGAATCGCGGCAGAGATGGAGAGCAGGAACTTGGGGGATGGGGAGGATGACTTTGATGTGGAGGCGCTGGTTGAAAAAGTGGCTGAGCAGCTTCTTGAGAGGCGAGAGATGCTCGCCGAGTACTTTGCCCTAGAGATTTCCCCGCAGGGGAGCTCGTTACGATACCCCTCCTTCTCAAGGGATACACGCCCCCGCTCGTCAAACTGCCAAGGTTCCTCCTTGGGCTCGGTCCCTCGGTGAACTGGATGGACGAGAAGGCATGCTTCGAGACGTTTTTGCGCGAGCTAGCTACCTTCTACGTCCCTGAACAGCTGCCCCAGCTCCCTGGAGACGAAGAGTCAGCCAGGGAGGAGGATATCGACGAGGAGGTAAAGGAGAGGAGAAGAAACGTTCGATGGGCAGTGGAGCATGTCCTGTTCCCGGCCTTCAAGGCTCGACTGGTGGCTACAAAGTCTTTGATGGCGTCAGGGATGATGGAGGTAGCGGACCTCAAGGGGCTATATCGTGTGTTTGAGCGATGCTAAAAGACTAAAGGGAGTTTCTCTGAATGAGTGAATACGAATTTCTAATCGATTTCGATTTATTTCGTTGGTGTAAAATGGCATTAATACCTTTTAATGGGGATTGCATATGCAGAAAACAGGTGTAGTGCTGTCAAGAACCAGCCTCGGCCATCGCTCGCTGGGATTGCGTTGAATGGATTGCGCCATCATGCCTTGATATCATCATCACTAGACAGATGGTGGTCGAATTTGACGCGAGACGCCAACTAGGGATACTCGCACTGTAAATACCCTTGAACCCCAAGGGTCCTCCCCGCGTCTAAAAATCACCATTGACCCGCGATCGGTTACATCAGAGCACTGTTTGCTGCAACGAAATACGCACTATCTTGATCCCGTGCGTGCTGGTGGGCGACAGACCAACACTGCATTCAAATGTTACTAGTGCAAACAGGTTTGCCCCACATCAATTGACGGATACATCGACGCAAACAACCTTTTGGAGAACCGCGAAAGGCGAAGAGGGAAAAAAGACTTCACAATTAAGCGAAGCGAGGGCTCTCCCTTTGTTGCAACGATTTCGAATCTTGGAGATTCCCCTTTCTTCCTCACTCCTCATTACTTACCACTGCCGTACTTCCCTTTCAATTCCGAGGAGATTCTAGACCCCACCGTATTCTTGTTCCCTTTTCGCTGTGTCTAGCCGCAGCAAACCGTTCCGTGCGTGCTCTGCTATCCGCTTGTTTTCGCTCCTTCGCAAGCTCCCTCGAAAACCAAACCAACCCAAGGGCTAGAAGACGAGGAACTCGATGGCCTCTACGACGACGTCTTCAACGGCAGTGGAACACATCTATGATGCCGAGGATGCGACGGGCTGTATTCCGATCCGCTGGGAAGATGTGCGGAGACCAAACCCGGTCGAAGTGCCCGTCTTGAGGTGAGACCCCCGCCGCCCGCCGTTTCTTCTCGTCTTCTTCCCCTCCCCTCCCACCCCATCTCCACCTACCACGCCGGACATCTAGTGTGCCACTTTTTCCTACCAACTCTCGTTCTCCCTTGCCTGAGCGAGGGAAAGGAGGAGGGGGTTTCAAAATTATGGCACCTGTCTTTTTCCTGCTCATCCCGACTATCACAATGGACTGCAAAGGTGGCGAATCGTGATGAAGCGGTTAACTCATGTGCGTGTGTGGATAGGCAACGTGGGTATGCTGGAACGGCAACGTTCTGGGCGTCACCATTCCTCGGCCCTCTTCTCTTCCACAATGAAAGCAGCGATGCACGGGATCATTGCGCCAACGAGCGAAGTGAGTTTCTGTTTTTTTTTTTTTTTTTTTTTTTGAGATATCTCAATCCTTGAAGGGGGTGGTTGTGACTGGGAGGAGCCACGACCCATTTGCACACCTCCTCCGGGAAGCGTTGTGGAAGAAAATGTATCGGTCGTATGAGTAGCATGGGGTCTAACCGGGCGCAGCTTTCTTATCATACCTACGTCTCTCCGTATACATGGCCATCGTATCGAACGCTATCGTGCTCTCCTTCCACCTCAAGAGCCAACCGAGTAATATTGAGCTTCGCATGGCAAAGCCTCTAGGCATCATCTTCTGGATTCTCTCGCTCTGCTGTCTGAGTCTCGGCTTGGGCAACTATATAAGTAAGTCTGGTGACTTCTTGTCTTTCGTGCCACCTTCGAAGGAAGCTAATAGATGTAGCCACCGTGAACAAGTATAGTCGGAGGGCTGCTATCGTCCAAACAGGCTGGAAAACGCAAATCGTAAGCCACTCTCTCCCGTTTCATTTCTTCTTATATCTCTGGGACGCAGTCAATGTCCTCCCCAGCCAATATCAACGCGCTAATGCGTGTAATGCTTGTTTTAGGTCCTCGGCTTCGTATCCGTCTCCATCGTTGGGACTTGCGTGATCTTGCTTGTCATTACCAAGGTTTCAGGAGGCCATTCCTCCTCGGTCCTATCGAGCTTCCCCTACTGGCCCGGGGCCAATCCTTAGTGACCTCTAAAATATGTTCCGTCGTGCGTACGACTGATTGCGCAGGGCTCTCATCTCGATCTAATCATTCCTTGGTGTTGGAATAAGCCCCAATTTCACGTTGACCCGGTTTTTATTTTTATTCTTCTTTTTATCTTCCCTTTATCTTATTTCCCTGGTAATGGAAGTTATATGAGCATGTTACGGGGATCTTTAGGGGCCTATAGCCTCCATCAGAGTTGTTGTATGTGTGAGAGGAAACATATGGCCTGGGACCCACGGAGTCACGCGACAACGAATGATTTTGACAGCAGTTACATGGCAATGCAATGTATTTGTAGTATTCTTGTATTTTCTAGCCGGCGAAGAGCAGAAAGAACGGCGAGGGGGTTGACTACGCTATCGTGCAACTCGGAAATCGTACAGATCAGGGTTAGGTCTTCGAACCAAAACTTATTACATGTTCAAAAATGCCTATGAGAATGGGATGGGGGCAAGGTAAACTATAGCTTTTGGCATGGAACTACTTCGTCCAGCAAAATAGGTCCTTTGTCGAACTATCCGGCTTACCATTTGCAAGGTCCGTGCCTGAACACTTGCCCGCCGTTCGCTTGAACTCGTACGCGTACTCGCTCGCGTCCTCGTCCAATTCGGCGAGGGGCCTCGCGTTGCCCTCCCAGTCTAAGAAGGGCAGGGAGCGGAATGGGAGGAGAAGGCTACCCTGGGGCAGCGTGTGCATGGCATTTAGTGAGGAATGGGAGATGAGGGGGTCCTCTTTGCGCCGCGACGACCCATTCTTTAATCTTGCGCGCAGGGCCTCGGAATCCTTGTCCGCCGAGTATTCCTCCGGGAGATGGAAAAGATCTTCGTGGACCACGGCGAGGGTAGATGCCGTCTCGGCGCTTGGGTACAGAGTGAAGTAGCCCCTCAGGCGCGAGAGCTGCAGCAAGGCCTCCAGCCAGGCGGGGAAGGCTTTGCTCACGCTCTTTTCCGTCAAGAGCAGCGGCGGATTCTGCGCGGCGTCCCGCGTCTCGTGGCCGAGAGACACGAAATTGTGGAGTTCTCTCCACTTGTCTCCCAGGATGAGCATGGCGCCGCTGCTGGGCGCCTGCCAGAGGAATGGGGTTCCGTCGCTTGATGAGAGTTCGGACTCGGTCAGGGGCTTAGGGGCTCGAAAGGGTCTGAGACGTTTAGGTAAGTTGAGGGGAAGTCTAGGCTGAGACCGACGAGTCTTTGGCCCCAGTGCTGCCGAATGGCCGCCGCTGAGTAGCGGTACTCGAGGAGGGCGTATTTGAGATCTACACGATCAAGGTCAGAATGAGGGTCCGCGGACGTTTGCGAAAGATCCAGATGCAGGAGAAACAGGCGGGGAGGAGTAAGATGAAGATCATACAGTGAACAAAGCTAGAAGATAGCTGGACTTGCGGTGAGAGAATGAGGACATGGGAGTACTCTGGTGAACGGGGCCACGCTGATTCTAGAAAGCGCTCGACGCTCTGGCGTTCGTCAATCGGCTGGCGGGACACCCTCCGCCGCAGTGAGAGCATTTGAGCATCTGGGCGGGCCTCTCCTCGTTTCGGAGGCCACGAGAACCCGCCGAGGAATTCCAAGGTTGGTTTCTCAATATCGTGGGGTAACTCTATAGTTAGATGGGAGGTCGGAAAGGGGCTGAAATCGGCATCGGAGAGTGATCGAAGGAGTCGGATCAAGCTTCCAGAACCCTTCCTCGGAGCTGTGATGACTATTTCCAAGTCTACTTTGCTCCACGCTGTGAGGTAGCTGTTGTTAGTCATAGATGCGCAAGTCGATGATGTTCACTTTGATTTCCCCTTCATCTTTCCGCCCCTTTCCAACTCAGTGGGTCCCTTACCGGAGAGAGATGAGCCGTCCAGCTTCGCCAGCCAGGGAATCGCTGGGCGCCGTTGCGTGGGAGCTCGGCGATCGAGAGCTGACTGCCTTTCCGATAATGCCGCAAAGCCTCTGTGAACGTAGGCTCCTCGTCATCGGCAGTATCGATTATGACCGCCTGGGGATGTAGGTATGATTCGAGATAATCTAGAGTCATGTAGTGTGAGTGAGCCTGGCGCGGGCAAGCTGAATAGACACTGGGGTCTTGCTTACAGAATGCACGTTCCGCAGAGGTTTCGGCGCGCATGTCGGCCGACTCGGCGGCGCGGTCAGGTCGGGCATCTGGTCATGGGTAGAGAGAAGCAGTGTATTAGAGCCCAGAATAGTCACCTGGAGATTTTCCATCTCAACCTTGGAAACAAGAACACGAGAAGACGCGGGCGGCAAAGCTAGTTGGGGCTTACCATGGAAAATGATTCCGCACGAGTCATCTACACCGTTGAGGCGCATCATCGCTTTGATCGGCTGCTCATTTCTGCTCAAAATAGCATAATGCACGTAGTTGCGCCTCTCTTTGGCCATCTCGCACGCCAGCGGGAGCAGGGCGGCGGCGCTCTTGGCACTGGAAGAAGCGAAAAGGACGTTTCTGCTCGCCTCACCATGCCCGGTGGAGCTGGATACCCGGCGCAGTGTCCTCGCGAGGAGGAGGAAGCTGAAGTCACCATTGAATGTACGTGCGGGGACCCCAGTCTTTTTCGAAGAGCCCTTCTCCTGCTTTTGCGGGCGGCTCGGCGTTCGAGGGGAGGATATACGTTGGAGAGAGGGCGCTTAGATGGGGGTCTCGGGCGCCGTAGCTGGGGAATATGGGGTTGTACTCTCCGGGGATTGAGAGATTGTCAGAGCGAAGCCAGCTGAAGCACAGGTAGAGCAGACCAATGGCGAACACGATGGGAAGGAATCGGCGGGCAGCTGTAGGTCGAGGTGTGATTCTGGAAGGCGCCCACGTAGCTCGTGATCCCGGTTTGCGGTCGTCATCCTTCTTCCCCATCTCCTCGTCTGCGGAGGAGGAGAGAAACGGGACTCGGCCCCATTTGCGCGACATCGCTGCGATGCGGCGGTTCTTAGTACGGGTCCTACGGGGGACTGGTCGGCGGGAAGCGGGAAGCGGGAAGCGGGACACGGGACAGGAGCTTAGTCGTCAAAAGCGCAACATGACATAGCTTGGGGCATCCTACTCGGCAGAGTGGCGCGCACGGATTACTTAATCAGCGGTGGAAAAGGAAGAAAGGCCATTTCATTCAAGACCCAATTCGAGAAGAACCCGAAGCACAGATCCAGTGACCGCTGATGGACAATGGCAGAAAATAAGGCAGAGCCATGGGTTATTGGTCGCATCGCCCTTGATATGTGATGAGGTGTACCTAGCGGGAGGCATGCAGGGACCATGAATGAATTGGAGTGTCGAAAGCTTGGGCTAGGGAACGCCTCACCTTGTATCGAAGAGACGGTGCTTCATCCCTAGCGCACGGCTGAATGGGCAATGCAAAGGGTATCTGAATTTAAGCCTATGGAATGTGCCCAACGCCAAACTTTCAAAATGATGGGCCTTTAAAAGCCCAAAGCGATTCTTCGAGAGCATTGAAGACAGCCATGCGAGTTTGAGGCCTACACGAGAGGGGGCTAGGTTAGAACGAAACCGGTCCTTTGGTGGGGAAGAATCCGTTTATAGCTAATGGTCTTCACTACCCTAGTCCCTGACTAGTCTTGACGCAGTTCTGTCCAGCCGTTGCTGGAGCTACTATCAATGGCTATCGGTGCCACTTCCCGCGCGGGGCATTTTCAAGGGTAAAAAAAAAAAAAGACCCCGCCATCAAGTCAAAGGGCATTGGCGGGCGGAGCCATATATGGTAGACATTTTCTTAAGTCGAGGATTTTTGCGTTTCCCTCACCAATGCTTATCCCCTTCTCTCGCAAATCTAAAATTTGGCCCTTTTACTCTCGGACTTAGGTTTGGCCTTCAAGCCAAAGACTCTCAGTGCCCGTCACCACCTTCTCAAAAGCTTAGGGAACTTGCGCCTATCCCCCACCATCCCACCATCGCCGCCGCCACCATGGGCAAAGCGAGGAGGAATAGGGTTCGCGCCCGAGACAATGCCGACCCTCTTTCCGCACCTTCGAAGCCGCCTGCCGACCCCGAGCTCGCTGCCCTCCGAGAGCAGAAGATCCTCCCCGTGCTCAAGGAACTGCGCAACCCCGACGCCCAAGCTCGCCTCACAGCCGCTAATGCCATTTATGGCCTCCTCGCTGATGATAAATGCAGGAGGCTTTTGCTGCGCGAGCAGCTCCTGCGCCTTCTCATCAAGGATAGCTTGGCTGACTCGAACCCTGAAGTGAGGGCTACTGCGTGGGATATCATTAAGAACGTTGCGGAGAAGGAGGATTCCGGTTTCTGCATTCACCTATACAGGCAAGACATCTTGCCCGCCATTGAGTTTGCGGCTGACACGGTAAGAAAACACCCACTGGAGAAGAAAGGGAATGGAGAAAGAGGGGACGGAAGAGGAGAGCGGCAAGAAACACATACAAGAGATCAACATCGTGCCGTGGTGAGCTTATAATGGTCAACTAACATTTCCGATTTCGTTGGTCTCTAGCTATCCGAAACCCTCCAATCCACACAAATCCCCTTCGAAACCACAACAAAGGCCCAGCAGTCCATAGTATGGAAGATTGCGACGGCGATCTGCTCCCTGCTGGGAGCTCTTGGTGAAGCGCAAGAAGATATCCTCCAGGCCATCACCAACAGCGACAAAATTTCAAAGCTCCTCCTAGGTCTTCTGGCGAGAGAAATTATCGACCCCGACACCCTCGATGAGTGCCTTTCTTGCACGATGACCCTAACCGAGGACAATCCGCCTCTCGCCGAAGCCTTGGCCTCGTCGCCGGCGTTCGATCTGCTTATGAAGCTCAAGAACCTCGACGGCTCTACATCCATACTTGTCTGTGGCGTCCTTCACAATGTCTTTGCCGCTCTCGAATGGAACGATGCAAGCCCAGGCAAGGATGGTGCGACGGACGAGATACTCGTGCGACGGCTGGCTCGCACAATACAAGATTATAGGTCTGCAGGACAAACCTCCGAGTGGGTGGCGCCGGATGAGATCGCTACCCTAGCACTCGAGATTCTCGCCTCCATCGCCAGTACCATCCAAGAGACCTTAGCCGGGGGTAAGAAGGGAGCCAAGGATAAAAGGGACAGGGGAGATCTGGACGCAGGCGAGGCCCGCGGCATGGCCCGGGGGATGAGGAGATGGGCGATGACATCATGGAAGAGGATGAGGATGAGGACGAGGGCGACAATGACGATGATGAGTTGCCGTCCGACATGGAGGGCTCGGATGATGACGACATGGATGATGATGAAATGATTGAAGACATGGAGCTGGTCACAGGTGCAGATGATGACGACGGTATCAGCAACCTTCCGACGCTCGAGGCCTTTTTGAGCAAGGCCTTGCCCCAGGTCCTCAAGCTGGCGAGTCCTTCCTTGCAGGGCCAGGCTTCGCCCGAGATCCAGGTGCATGCCGTATCCGTACTCAACAACCTCTCATGGTCTCTCGCTTGTGTCGAGTTTACGGATGACCAGAGTGAGGGTCTCTTCAAGGCCTGGGTGGCCCCCGGCAGAGACATTTGGACCCTAGTGGTGAATGAGATCCTCGACTCAGACACCAACGATCTCGCCCTCGCCACCGAGGTCACAAGCTTGGCTTGGGCGGTCGCCAAGGCTTTGGGCGCCAAGCTGCCTCTAGGAGAGGGTCACCACCAAAAGTTTATCGCCCTCTATCAAGCCACCAAGAACATGATGGCGAGCGACGACCAAAACGGCGGGGACGCCCCCGGCGCCGAAGATCCTTTCCAGAGTCTTGGCGTCAAGTGTATCGGTGCCCTTGCTCAACTTGCTCGTGATCCAGCCCCTCTAGCGTTGAACCGTGATATTGGTGTCTTCCTTGTCACGGTTATCGGCGCTCTCCCCGAGACAGCCCCCGCCGAAGCTGTGGAGGCGCTCAACCAGCTCTTCGACATCTACAGCGATGAGGATTCCGAGGGCGACAAGGTGTTTTGGCAGGACAACTTCTTGAAGCACCTTGAGGCAGCCCTACCCAAGACGAGGAAGATGCTCAAGGGTATCCACAAAAACGAGCCTAGGCTCAAAGAACTCAGGGACCGGACTGAGGAGGTTGTAATGAACCTCGAGCGCTTCATCCAGTACAAGAAGAAGAACGCGCCGTCTTAAGCCTTGAAAAAGAAGAGAAAATAAGGAGAGAAAAAAAGGATGTCCCTAACTTTGAACTTTCCATCTTTCCCCTTATGATATTACTTCGATGAACATTGGGTAAGAAGTGGAGTTTAAAGGTTGCAAACATGTATGCAGGATGATTGTTCCTTTGAAGAGTCGTAGGATTCGTTAGAGACGAAGTAAAAGGGGTTGGAGGAGGAACACAAGAAGAAAGGAAAAAGGTGAATCGCACTCGCGCTTATTTCAGTCAATAATGTAGCGGGTGAATCTGGAGACCTTTGAATCTTGTTAGAACATGAAGTCGTATATTCCCATAACCTAGTGTCAATACATGCTGATACCGTCGTGTCCATGAAGACTCCCCTCCATTTAAACTTACATCAATAACCGCGCCATGAACCTGCCATCCTTGAGCAAGGCCCTGTCCTGTGCCTTATATTCCCCCTCCATAACTTTCACTTTCTTCCCTTCAATATCATGTTCCACCTCCCTTTTCTTGTCTTTCTTTTTTTTTTTTTTTCTTTTTTTCCTTTTTAAATAATTTTCTTGATTTCCCTCTCATTTGATCTAGCCGATTGGCTTCAGCTTCTTCTTCTTCTTTTCGCTACCCTTTCCTTTCTGGAATTGCCTCCAGCTATCAATCCTCTGGTCACGGGTAGCCTCCCAGTCCTGTTCGTGCTGCCTCTTCCTCTTCCTCTCCTCCAACTCGTCATCCTGTTTCTTTTGCTCTCGACCCTCCTCCTGCATCATGGCTTTGGCGAGTTTGCGCCGTCGGTGCTCGTCCTGCACAAGTACTTCGCGGGCCTTGGCGCGCCACATCTTGGCGAATTCGGGAGTCTTGAGCTCCTCGCTGTCTACGGTCCATTTATTCTCGCGGATCAGGAGCATGCGCGCATCGGCAATGGACTCGTCGAGGCGCTCGCGGTGCTTCTCGTCCATGAGCTCCGTCTGCGCCTTGCGGAGGCGGTCAAATGCGTCGGGGGCGCGGGGGTTCTTGGTCTTGTCAGGGTGGATGAGGAGGGACTTTTGCGATAGCAGACCTTGATGTCGGATTCGGGGACGCCGGGATTGAGATCGAGGACCGCGTACCTGGGTGTGCCACATGTCAGTATGGGCTCGGGTGTTTGGTGATAAGTGTAGGAGAGCGGGGCAGGATCGACTAATAGGTATCAGGCATAACGCAAGGAGAGAGGGAACATACGCATCTAGTCTGAATGCATTGAGGATTCTCTCAATTTCAGCATCCTTCTCCCACTCCTTAGCCTCAGACTCGAGCGCATCGAGGGCTTCTTTGGCGTCCTTGTCGGCGTCACCCATGTTTCCGGTCGCGTTACCAGTATGAGGAAAAGAAACAAGCCAGAGATGTCGTCCAAGTTGTCAGATGCGTGTGTAGTATGAGATGGGCAGTCGAGGCCGGTGGGCGCCAAAATTCGTGGGTGTCGTGAGTGTCTTAAAAGAGGGATGTTTGGGGGAACTCTCGGGGGATAGAACAACTGTACTGCTCCAAGGTAGTAAGGTGGCTCGAGATGTGTGAACAGGGAGCTGGGGAAAGTGGGGCTGGGCGGTGAGACCTCTGGCTATGGGGCCTCGTGGGTGGGGCTTATCGATAAGGAAATTTTAAGAGCTTTTCTGGTGATTGATGGAGCGAGGAGCGTCAAGGGAAGGAAAAAAAAAAAACCACGGACCGACAGCGACTTCATTTTCTAACCCCCACTCTTGTTTCTGCCCCAGATTGACTCGAGGAGCATTCACAAGAAAAGTCTGCCTCGACGTCAACTCCACGCCAGACTTGCCCTCAACGCGAACCACTTTACCACGATGACGCGGCGAGCGGTTTCTCCAGCGCTCTCGGAGAACGAGGTAGATATCGCGGGGGCCCTGTTCGCAGACGACGACGACTCGGCCAAGCTTGGTGGTGCGACCAGCCAGGATGGTTTTAGCTTTGACGCGGATGGCATCTTCAACGCTGGCGGAGATGGGTCGGACGACGATGAGGCCTTCATCGCTCTACAGCAGGCGGCGTCCTTTCGGAAGGGCTCGAACATCAAGGGAAAATCGGTGAAGAAGGGTGGTGGCTTTCAGGCCATGGGTACGTTTTCATGCCCTTCACTCTTAGTTTCTTCCTTTTCTTCTTTTCCCACCTCGTCTTTCCTTCTTCCATTACCTTTTTCACGTCTTTGCTTTCCAGTCACTTGGCCAGTTCTAGGGTCGGAGGTCTATATTAACATGGAATTGGCCTCTAGGTCTTAACGGCAATATTCTACGTGCCATTGCGAGGAAAGGCTTCACCGTTCCAACCCCGATTCAGCGCAAGACGATACCTCTCATTCTATCCCGAAAAGATGTAGTGGGCATGGCAAGGACCGGATCCGGAAAGACGGCGGCATTCGTAATCCCCATGATTGAAAGGCTAAAGTCTCACAGCGTCCAGGTGGGCGCCCGTGCCATCATCATGTCGCCCTCGCGAGAGCTGGCGATTCAGACCCTGAAAGTCGTCAAGGAACTAGGCCGAGGAACCGATCTTAAGACAGTCCTCCTTGTTGGTGGCGATAGTTTGGAGGAGCAGTTTGGGCTCATGACCACGAACCCTGACATCGTAATCGCTACCCCTGGGCGATTTCTTCACCTAAAGGTCGAGATGGGATTGGATCTCTCCTCGGTCAAGTACGTTGTGTTCGATGAGGCCGATCGACTTTTCGAAATGGGTTTTGCTACCCAGCTCACTGAAATTCTTCACGCGCTGCCCCCATCACGCCAAACCCTCCTCTTCTCCGCAACCCTTCCCGCCTCCTTGGTCGAATTCGCAAACGCCGGACTTCAGGATCCCGAGCTCGTGCGTCTCGATGCCGAAACCAAAATTTCTCCCGATCTTCACAACGCCTTTTTCACTATCAAGGCTGCGGATAAGGAGGGCGCCCTCCTATACGTCCTGCACGACGTCATCAAGATGCCGCTGGGCCTTCCCGAAGGCGTCAAGGGCTTCGATATGGGACCTTCAAAGAAGCGGAAGCGGAGCGACCAGGGCGGCTCGGGTAAGCCCACCGAGCACTCTACTATCGTTTTCGCAGCCACAAAACATCGTGTCGAGTACCTCGCGAATCTTCTTGAGTACGCTGGGTTCGCTGTGTCCTTTGTCTTCGGATCCCTAGACCAAGAGGCCCGAAGGATCCAGGTCGAAGATTTCCGCCGTGGCCGGACCAACGTCCTCGTGGTGACGGATGTTGCCGCTCGTGGTATTGATATCCCAGTCCTCCAAAACGTTATCAACTACGACTTCCCTCCCCAGCCCAAGGTTTTCGTCCATCGCGTAGGCCGTACAGCTCGTGCCGGCCAACAGGGCTGGAGCTACAGCCTTGTTCGGGATGTAGACGCACCTTACCTTGTCGACCTACAACTTTTCCTAGGTCGAAAGCTTGTCGTGGGTCCGGATCCCAACGCGTCCTTTACTCAAGACATTGTGGTTGGTGGCCTTCCCCGAACCGAGATGGGAGACCACGTTGAGTGGCTCAACAAGACTTTGCATGAAAGTACCGACATGACGGCCATTCGCCGCGTCGCCGACAAAGCCGAGCGCCTTTACATGAAGACGAGGAACTCGGCCGCGAGCGAGAGCGCGAAGCGGGCCCGCGAGCTTGTGGCCTCCAAGGAATGGTCTCAGCTCAACATGAAATTCGGAATCCGGCCCGATGAGCAGGCATATACCAAGATGCTCGCCTCCATCGGCTCCTTCAAGCCGTCCGAAACCATTTTTGAGATTGGCAGAGGGGCCAAATCTGCTAATAACGAGGCTGCAGAGGTTATGCGTCTCATGAGGAAGAGGGCTGGCCCTCGAAGGACGAAGAAGCAAAATCAGGACGCCGACGCAGACGACGACGATGACGAAATGGATCTAGGGGATGCTGATGAGGCTGGTCTAGACGCATTAGCAGACGGCCTGAACGTAGATGGTGGTGACGAGGATGCTGGCGATGACGACGACGACGAGTTAGCCGCGGCCAGGGCGGGATACCACTCTTCCGACGACTCCGAGGACGACTTGGAAGTCGAGATTTCCACTTCAAGCAGGCCAAGAAGTCCCGCACCTCCTTCCAAGACCCAGAAATCTTCATGACCTACCAACCCCGCTCGACCAACGTGGACGCTGAGCGCCACTATGGCGTCCACGCCGGCAGCAACTTCGTCCTCGCTGCCCGCGACGCCGCGATGGACCTGACCAACGACGAGACGGCCAAGTCCTTTGGTGTGCCCTCCCGCCGCGGCATGATGCGCTGGGACAAAGAGCAAAAAGTACGTGTCCCGCGTCAACGACGCGGACGGTTCCAAGGGCTCCCGCATGATTGTCGGCGAGAGCGGCGTCAAGATCGCCGCCAGTTTCCAGAGCGGCCGCTTCGAGCGCTGGAAAAAGGCCCGCCGCCTCGGCGGCATGCCCCGCGTCGGCGAGGCCGAGAAGTCAATCTCGTACGCGGCGGACCCCAGGAGGCCACCGGCGGCGGCGGCCGGCGCTTCAAGCACACCCAGGAAAAGGCACCCAAGGAGGCCGACAAATACCGCGACGACTACAAGGTGCGCAAGAAGCGCGTCGACGAGGCGCGCGAGAAGAGGGTCGGCAGGTTCAAGGATGGCGAGGGCAGCAAGCGCGAGATCAAGGGCCTCGATGGCATCAGGAAAGCAAGGAAGGAGAAGGAGAAGAAGCAGCAGAAGAATGCCAGGCCTTCCAAGAGGAGATAGGTGCCCGCTGGAGTTTATTAGTACAACACTACCTCGGGATCATTTTGAATATATCTCTGGATGGATGAAAAACTACCCTTTACGTTTCTTGCCTTTGTAGAATCGCGCTACTTTTCTACAGCACTCTTTCCTCCCACCGATGTGCCGATTCTGGTGAGCAGCAAAATCCCCCACCTACAAGAGACGGACAGCGTAAACAGCACGGGTTCATGTGAGAATCAAGATTCAACAAGGCTTGTTTCTACGTGGAACTATATATATATGCATCTCTATGAATACCGTTATGGAACCCCACAAAGTGAAAGCTCAATGTCCGCCCATTCCCCGCCCTCTATCTCTCATACGCCAATTCATATCGCTCAGGGATCAAGAAAAATAACAAGACAGATGGCAGGGTAAGGTCAATGACTAGACAATAAAAGACGACAGAGAAACCAAGACAAGAAAAAAAGACAAGGCGGAAACCGTACCCAAAATGCACGCAGAAACAAGACGTGAGAGAACAAGTTGTATGAGCAAGGCTATTCTCATTCTGTCGCCTCTCGCTAATCAGGGAGGCGTGCATTACTTTGCAAAAGGTCCAAGACCTCTAAGAGACAGGACAGCCTTCGCGTTCGTGGGGTTGGCATACATGAGAGAAATGCAGACAGGGCTAGGTGGTATCGTCCATATCTTAGAAGGAAACAAAAGAAACAAAAAGGAGGGAAAAAAAAAAAGAGAGAGCTCTAAAACAGGGAGAAACGAGATGCATGGGTATCAATCAATCAATCGATGATCTTTCGTGGTGGTATAAACTCAAGAAAAAGGGTATGGTATTACATTGCGACTGGCGAAGGCGAAAATTCCGATTCCAGGGCGGCGGTACTGGGGTCGATAGGATCGGTGGTAACGTAGCAAGGCCCGAAAGATCCAAGAGATACCCGTTTCTGTAAACAAGGGCCACTCTTCAGTCTACTCGCTTGCCAAGTCCAAGCTGTCTAGCCAGTCTCTAATAGCGAGACGGATAGCGCTCTGCTCCCCGGAGGGGCTGGCGTTCGCATCCTCGCCTCGCCTCACCACGACATCTTGGATCAAGTCAGCGAGTGCGGACAAAATGACTGTCCGGCATTCGTTCCTCGGGACTTCAGGCATAGCAAGAGCTGTTTGAGGCGCATCGTCCCCGACAGCCTCTTCCGGCGGAGGCGACGAGGTGCTGAGACGACGCCGACCATCCCCACGCCGCGCCTTGCTATTGGAGCGCGACGAGTTAGAGGACAGGGCTTTTCCATTGTCACCAATGTGGGCAATGACGCGCTCAACGGCATCGGCAAGGCGTTCATCGACGTTAGAAATTTCATCCTGAATGAACTCCTCCTTCAGCGTTGCTTCGTAAGGCAGGATGGAAGGGGTCAAGAGCACGCCGCCATACACCCCTCCCCCAGTTCCTGAGCGAGAGCCGGCGGTCTTGTCAATCCATTGTCTAGGCTTCATCAACCGCCGATATCGAATCCTAAAGACTTTTCCGGTAGTCATGTCCGCGATGACCGCGCTGCTGATGTCGACCCAACGGTGGGAAGTATCATCCTTGGAGCTTGGCAAGACTGGCGGTGATGGTTCCGCTTGTAGGGACGCCTTGACCTCTTTGAGCAGGTCGCGCTGAGGGGGATTGCTTGGAGAACAAAATCAGGATGGTACGCCTGCAGCCAGCCTGCGCTGTTCAGGGGCATGTCGCCTTCCAGTGCGAGACGACACGCCTGCTCAAAAGTATCCGTCGCATTTCCCAGGACAGGTGTTGAAAGGTAACCGCTACTCGACGGCGAGCTAACAGCCGTATCGAATGAATGAGGGTTCATGAGAAAGTCAGGGAACGGGACGTCTACATCAACGATACCATCCTCACGATTAACGGTAGTCTTCACTCGGGACTCAAAGCTCGCCCCGGGCTCCGGCCATCTGCGGCCTTGCGCCAACGCTTCAGAGCCGTCGCTTCGATCCTGTTGGGGGACACGCGGTGTTTCAGGCTCGTTTCCTCTAGGCATCTGGCCATCGTCCAGACTCGGATCTGGGAGGGAAAGTTCCTGCGCCATCTCGGCCACAGATTTTGTTCTGCTAGATCGATCGATTCCTGCTTGTGTTGGCTTGGTGGGCGATGGGAGGTACCCGGGGCTCAAGGGAGGCTGGAACCCATCGCCAGGCGTATTAGTCGAGTCCCTTCTTCGGGTGCCACTCCAGAGCCCGCTAATGACGCTGCCCCATCTGGAACCTTGATTTCGGGATTCGTTGCTCATCGTGCTGGCTTGGCCGATACTATCCCCCTTTGTAGCGAGCGCCGAAGATCTTCGGCGGCAACGCTACTACTACTTCCAGGTCGAGCACTTCTTCGACTATCCGCTCGATGGACAGTCGAGAAATGAGGAACTGTGCTATCTGGGGATATAGTTGTGGTTGCCGCAGCCACACTCTTTCTACTCCCAGGTTCTCCGTAGTGCATCGACAGATTTGTCGTGCGGATTGACACCGCATCAGAGCCGCGTCGCTCGTGTCTGTTCGGCCCGTCCATGCTCAAGTGGGCGAGTTGGGTAGGTATAGATGCGCGTGTACTCTGACTTACGGTTCTCGAATGGGACGCTCGCCTCGGACCCGTCCGGCGAGTCATCTTCCGGCGAAGAGACTCTTCGCGCACGAGGGGACAATCACGGAAGGGGGTGACTGCGATAATGGCCCAAAGGAGGTGGACGTGCTGGGCCGATGAGGATGAATGGTGGGGACGGATTGATGCGCAGGTAAGAACGCAGAAAGGAGAAAGACAAACCGCCGTGCAGCCATCTTATCCTCTGAAACGATGATGGTGCGAGATGTGACTGCCAAATCCTCTTCGCCACCACTCCTTTGCTGCTGCAGGTATTTCTTCCGGCACCACGCTGGACTGAGTGCCTGGAGCCAGTCCGCGTGGTTCGCGAGGAATCCCGTCAAAGAAGTGAGGAGGAAGTGTTGGTCTGGAGAGTCGGAGCCACGGGAGGCTAACCTCGCCTCGTCTCTCCAGATTCCCCAGCGGCCTTGGCCTGTGACGACTCTGGCTGCTTTAAGCCCACTGACGATACGAATCCTAGAGACTTGGGTATGGTGTTGAATCACTTGATCTTGAGATAAAGCGTTGGGGGCAGTGCAATGATTTTTGCGTTTGTCTTAGGTGGCTTGGCCAGGTCCTCGGGTCTTTTCGAAGGGAGAGACGGTCGCCTGGTGACGGGGTGCGAGCCAGTTGGAAGCGTTGCCGAAGGTCCCCGATCGGCTTGCTTCAATAATGTCCCCAGGGTGGTGGCAGTGACCGACTGGAGATGGGTAAGGGTTCTCATGATTATGTCCCAATGTTGGGTGATGGAGTCCATGGGATCCTCTCCATCAAAGGGAAGAGATGAATCCATCGAATCATGCCCAGAGCCAACCATAGTCCATCCCGAACGTCTTGTGGAATTGTACGACGACGGAAAGGACTCTTGGTCGGTGAAGGAGCTGGCTCCCCGGAAGAGGGACTTGGCCGCCGAAGCAGTGGGCAACTGTACGACAAGGACGACAGCATACATAGGGGTCCTCTTGGGCCTTGGCTGAACCGGCTTTCTTCGCGGAGAAGTGCCACCTGCCGACTGCTCGCCTTCGTCTTTGGGCCCGGTATCCTCCTCATCCGATGGGAAGACTACCGGGAACAATCTCGTGATGAGGATTTTCTTTCGCTCGGGAGGACGGTAGGCTAGCTGCGAGGTAGCGAAGGAGGCGGATGTATGAGTAGGTGACATGATCTCCGAGGAATATGATTGCGCTAGTCTGCTTGATCTCATGCTTGCGCGGCCGATGGAGCCACGGCCGTCAATGACGGATGATGCCGAATAGTCCGCATAGCGCGACTCAGTAGGGACAACATGCACCTTTGTCGAAGTGCCTTTGTAGGCCATGAGCTCAGAGCTGCCAAATATGCAGCTAGTGAAGGTCGCGAGCTCTTCCCGGTACTCCCGGCTCGCGCGCTGTCCATCGGTTTCCGCGAACGAGTGAGTACGGCTAAGGTAGTCCCCCGACGGTCAAACGCACCCTGGCGCAGGTGGGGGTTGTCAGGCTGGATGATTAAAGGGCGCGAGGTCTGGCCGATGCTTGACTTCCTCGGCGAGGTGGGTGTCCTTCGAGGATCAGTCACAGCAGCTGAGGGAGGGACAGGTACGACGGGGCTAGGGTGGCTATCGAAGAGGAGGGAAGCGTTGGATGAGCCGAGGGCATCCTGCATTATTAGAACCCGTACATCGCGCGCTTCGAGGTCAAGTTCTCCTGTATAGTCAAAGGCATTCGTCATCGAAGCCACCGGAAGCGACGGGGTCGTCGACAGAGGGAAAACTTGGTCATTTCGATGGAGGTAAAGGGAGTGGGCGTCCGGAAAGAGAAGGCTGCGGGTATGGATATCCTCCTGGACAGAGTCCAAGCCGGCCACAGGTCTCGTTGGATACGCCATATGGGGTTCCTGGTCATTCGCAGAAGCGCCAGAACCGATACTAAAGAGTTTCCCCAGCATACTTACTTGAGCAGGGAAGGGCCCATTCTCGGGCCGCGAGAGAGTTTTGCTGATGAGATTTTGGGGGAGGGGACGAAGGGTGAGAGAGAGGGTCAGTCTCGCAAAGTGTTCCAGCACGTTGGCACCCTCAAGGATAGGCTCGGTCACGCGACGACATAGTTTCCGAGTTCGATGGCATGGGCAACGGTATCTGGTAGATCTGGAGCGTTGAGGAGCGGAACCAGAAGGAAGTGCCGGCAGCGAGCAAGCCAGGAAGATGGGCAACGCTGAGGGAAAGAAAATATGACACCGGGGCGGAGGGGTGAATGAGAACACACCAGAGAGTGAGAGGAGGAAAAGGGTTCCGGCCAGGCACCAGTCCAGAGATGAGGTCGACAATCCAGTCAAGAAAGGCAAACGGGAAAAGAGGCCCGGAGAAGGGAATGGGCAGAATGGGATGATAAACGAGCGTTTGGACCCGTGCGTGAGAGCAAAGGTGTGGTTCTGTCGCAAGTTAGCGAGCAGGGACCGCTCAAATCTGCCGGGGGCTGAGAGCAGGTCGAGGTCGGTCACTGGAGCAGAGTGCAAGGCTTCGCTCGCGGTTTCAAAGGTCGCGGGTGAACCGTCAATGGGGGTTTTGTGATCCGACTTGTGTGTGGCGAGGAGGCAAGGCGTGGAGCGCAAGGTTAACCGTGGTAAGAGGAGAAGTGGGAAGGACGGCTTAGGTTGCGATGATCAGGAATTACGGCTTTGGCCTCATCAGAGGCTGTTGCCCAATGAACTGCCCCTTCCGATCCAGCTTCTCGCCAAAGGGCCTGTCCGGCGCGACGAGTTACCGGCGGGATAAAAATAAAACCTTGATACGATCGCGAATCGAAACCGAAAGGAGTAGAAGGGCGGGGGGAGAAATGGGCTTGCAGCACGAGATAAGCACACTTGGTGCGACGCTGAGCAATGTCGGCGCGACGATATCGCGACCAGTCAAGAAGTACGGCGGGCGGTGGAGGCTTCTGAGGGCCACGACGGCTTGACTGGGGGGGCGGCGGATGAATATCAGATGTAAACCATTTAAAGCGAGTGCCTGGCTGTCGGCACTGGGGGTTGGCAGTCCTGATGTAATAAAAAGACTAAGCGGGCGTGAGTTACGAGTGGTCCAGATCGCTGGGTCGGGGCAGGTTCTCAACAGCAAATGGGTCCAGAGACAGCCGACAACCAGCCACAAAATGGAGCGAAGGACTCAGTCTGTGGTGGAAGGATCAATTTGATCCATCAATGTCAATTGACTGATTTGGGGAGGGTACCAGCGCTGGTACTAGTACTGTGGATGGAAGATTTGAGGTGTGCAAGATCAGTGCAGGTGCAGGTCACTGCAATGCAGTGCCAGACCAGGCCAGGGGAGGGGAAGGGGCGAAGGGGCGAAGGCGTGAAGGGGATGTGCCCAGCCAAGGGGGCGTGTACAAAGTTTGGCACAGGAGGGGCAAGTTTAGAGGGGGTTTCGGGGGTTTCTCCGGGGCTTCCATTTCCTTTGGACGCAGCCCGGAATTGACGTGAAGAATTAATAATTCGACGGCGATCAAGGCCACCAGATCCTCGTTCTGGGGAACGAGGGACGTCAGGACAAGGCAAATGACAACATTGGGCCCCGTTGAATGCGACGGCATCAATCGCCACTTGGATCGAGCTTCTGGAATACCTGTCCTGGACTTCCAACCAACCTTGAAGCTACCCTGGCCTCTGAAGGAAGCTTCGGCCCAGAATTTGTCACGCAAAGCGAGAAGCTACCAAACTGAACCCTTGCGCCTCAGAGGGCCTCGCTCCCTTGCCTCGCGTGGGTGGGTGACGACAACCCGAAGCCCTGAGTGAGGTGGTGAGAGGCACCAGCCTCCGCTAATGTATCTACCAACACTCATAGTGTAGGAATTCGGACGCAAGGAGGGACCAAGAGAAGGCCCAGGGTTCCGCCCTTCATCTCAAAGAAGAAGCCTACCCGGCAAGGTATCACCAGCTAGCATTATTCTGTCCTCATCCATGATGCTATTATCCCCCTGCTTGGACTTGGAGTTGCACTGAACTTCCACAGCCAGGAGGGATGGCCCTGGACCAAGCCGAGTACAGTGCTGCCACCAAGAACCACAGTTTTCAATTTTCTGCAAGCCCCGGTGATGTGAATTACGAACCCATGACACCCACGCAATCCCTTAACTTCCCCGCCAGTTGCTTTTCCAGAAGCCGCTCGACCTTTTGTTTGATCCACGCTTCTTTATGGCCACTCAACAAGATGAGGGTGAGCTGCGAGCTGCGAGCTGCGTCCAATTCTCGGATCAAAGAAGATGGCTGGAGGAGGTTGTTTTGGTCTTGCTAGCGCTTCTCGATGGGAGTACCGGCAGCTGAGAAAAAGCTAAGTGGATCTGGATGCGAATACGCACGCTAATCAAGACACCAAGGGAAAAGGACCCACCAATATAGCCAGCAACAGTACATGGGGACCACGCGCACAATGAAGCGAGCATACTTGGAGGTGGGGAAAGTGCTTCGCTTCGTGGTAATTCCCCTTTGAGGGAGGGGAAATGGCCACCCAGTTGTCGATTAGGTCCTTTCTCTTTGGAGAAGCAAAGCAGCACACTCCAAGCTCAGGGCGAAGCAAATGTCGAGGACACTAATAGTAAATGTAGGGAACTCGCCAGCCCATACGGGATGGGGTAAGAAGCCATCGCGATGTTACGGCAGGGGTGAGTGAATGTGAATGGTTAGTTTTATTACAATTTATCTTTGCTCTACCCTTCTCAACGAATTCTCTTATTACTCGAAGCCCAGCTCGGCCACGCTCGAACTGGGAGGGCCGATCTCGACCAAAACGGCTATAGGCAGGCATTTTGACGGTTTAAATCCAATGGTAACGAATGATAGAACGGCTGTGCTGGGCATTTGAGCCTCACATGGTTCCCATATCATCTCGATCATATCCCAGTGGGGCTCCAGTCGTCGTCAAGTTGATGAGACTAGCGTGCATGGATTCGAGGGAGCCGGGGCTCCTGTTCAGTCATAAAATAGGTCACGCTGCCGAGCTCAGTCAACCAGCATCAACACCAAGCCAGTCCTGTGCAAGAACCACCCACCACCTCAAATTCTTCGAAGGAGCGCACTCGTGGAACGGCGAGCGGTGAAGTTGCTGGCCATCGGGAAACCCCGAGATGCGTATACAGAGTTTGCCAAGGGCAAGTTCTGCCGTCGTCTTTGCTCTCACCGCGGCGGCTGGATCCAAAATGCCACGATGGGCTCGCTCGCGGCGAGGTCAAGATGGCCGGCGCAGCTCCCGCGCGTCATGGACTAGCGGTGACCAGCACGTTCCCTGTCCACAACCCAAGCCCACCCAATTTGTGGGTTGTGGTGGTTTGTGGTTTGTGGGCGTGGGACAGGAGTATGAAAATCCAGGAGCTCCCCACTTGCATCCAGGGAATCAGCCACTGCTCAAGGTCCGCTTCTGCTCATTAGCGCCTCCACTTACTCGCTCAAGCCCTATACCCCGTCCCAGACCAAATCAATTCTCAATTCAAGTTTGGCGTACGAAGTAGATTCAAGGACTTCATTCTTTACACGGTTTTCACACACCGACTCCGGAGGGTCCTAGAGAGGGGGCGTCGTTGTGCAGGGGAAATGTCCGTCAACCTTACAGAAAGCACACCTCTTCTTCACCCAGGGCCTGCTCATTTTGATCAGGAAAGACCGGAGAAGAGGGGAGGGATGCTGAGGCATCTATATCTACATCCATATATATATATATATATATATATATTCAAGAAAAGGGGAGATGAAGTGATGCAGGCGCTGCTCAGGAAATAGGTGAGAGCTGCTTGCTACACACTTCATCCCATTCCCATGGGGTCGGCGGATAATAGGCCAGCAACCAAAGAATGTAATTCTTTCTCGAAGACATGTAGCCGAATCGCTTGCGGCCTTATTACCCACGGGCCAGCTTTGGGCAGAGATAATCCTTCCAGCTCATGGCTCATAATCATAAGAGTGATCATTGGTGTCAGCTACACTTGGATACAAGAGGCCCTTGGAAACAGGAACATGGGTTCCCCCTGTCTGGAACCATGTCACCAGTGGTGCGGATCAAATTTATGGAGCTCAAGGATAATGCCATGGGGACGCGCTCACTCCTCGAAGGCCATCAAGCTTTGGCGAGAACATTCCAGGTTTCAATCAGGGTCCAAAATGAGATAGCTGACAATCGAGAAGCTCGAACTCGTACGCTATGCGTCGATCTTGCACCAAATTGATCACTTGCAGAGCAATTCGAAGGATGTTGACATAGCCAAACAGGGTAAGCATCAGGATGGAGAGTCGTCCCGAGTCTCCCTTCCTTCAGTCTGAAGCAACAACGATATACGTCCTAATCCCGCAACTGATATTGGCCAACCATCAGGAGTCAGCCCGTCGTTGCTCAGCCGTGTGCAACATTGGAGACGGAGTCGCGGGTACAGTGTAACAAGAACCATTGGAGTGACGAGGCGCTCATGTCTCTTCTACTATCCAAACCACGAGCTCGGCGAACCAAAAGATGAGGGAGTGCAAGAAGGTTACCCTTGTTGTAACAATTGAAAAGAACCGGCCACTCAACGTCCATGGCCAACCATAGATATCGGAATCACAGGCGTCGCCCATCCCGCCCTCGAGAGTCGTCATCTGCCATTTCTTGTGGCCAGAACGCAGCCGAGGCGCCGAGGCGGAATATTCTATCATTTTTCTGCCCTCCTCGCTCGCTTCACCCTTCGTTCCGCCTACCCCTCCCCTCTTCCTCATTCCCTCATTCCCTCTTTGCATGTATTATTCTTTGGCCGACCCTCGCCGGGTGCTCAGTTCACGGCTTGATGTCGATCAGTCGCAATGATTTGTGTTGACGCCGCCCCCAAAATTGCAGGACACGATCTTCTCGTGGGCACGTACATGGTGTCCTAGGCCCGTGTAACTCTTTCCTTGGCGCACAGATTCGGAGCGTCTTCTTCTTTTTTCCGTTCTACTTATTCGTGGCAGTAATAGCCCCATGATCTAACATTACCCTTTCACGTTTCGGATTCAAGCAATTCCTCCTCCACGTTGTCACTGGTGCAACGACTTACGACTCACAAGCCCAGCTTCGACAACGTTGCACTTTGTGAGACGGCGAAATGTACGATGACAAGAGTGAATTAAGATAAAAACAAAATAGAGAAAATTGGACTGAGGAAACGCTCAGCTAGTTCGAGCGGCAGACGGGCAGACCTCGGAGCTTTTTACTCTCTTTTTGTTTCCCTGGCCTCACATCACAAGGTCCCAGTGGCCCTACTATTGTTGCTGCTCGTCCGGTTCAAATGCCACTTCTCGACCCGGGTTTTGCATACATTGCGGGCCCGCCTCATCAGACGGACTTTGGTTTCTTGGGGGCCCATCATTCATGCGGAACTCCCTCCTTCCCGCCCCTCCTCTTTCTTTTGTCTTTTTACATGGTCGTCTTGGCAGGGACATAGTACAGCTGCCATTTCCCAAACGGAAACGTCCCCCTTCATACCGAATAATTCACCACTGCAGGAAGACCCGCTGAGAAATCGCACCACTAAGAGAAACAAAACTATGGGCTGGTCACCAAAGAACATCTAGAAGCTTTTCAAACGCTAGTATCTAGAAATTAGAGACGCGCGCCCCCGATCTGATGTTCATCCCATCTGATACGGCGCACGGCCCCTCCTTGCAAGGCCAAAGCCAAGGGTTCTTATGGGAAGACTAGATATTATGCGTCATCACGGCTATCATGTTGTGTGCCCTCTACTCCTAAGAGTCACTCCAAAGCAGCAAGGTTCGCCAAACTCAACTACAGATGAGAGCTCTAGCCTTCCCTTCCCGTCCTCCTTCGGACAATAGGCTCAGTTTGCGATGCAACGACAAGGATAACAAACACCGGCTTGGAGAGAGCTGCGGTGGCTCGAGACTTGTGGGAAAACGCCTTCATGCCATGATGCACGGACAGCATCTCCCAACTGGCTTGAATTCCGCAGGCTATTACGGACATTGAAGTTCGCTTGCTGTTAAGCCTGATCTCCTGGAGCCCAACAAGGCTAACACCAACCGCCCGGGACGCCGTTCCGAACCTGAGGAGCGGGGCATCGCGTAAAGATGGCCTGGGGCGGGTAGCGACGACGGCCGGATGTTCACATTCCTCTATTACGCCTTTCCTCTTTCTCTTTCTCTCCAGAATCTTTGTTTGTTTAGATTCTCGGAAAGGGGAGCTGCTAAGGGTCCGTATGCATATCTAGCTCAGCCGGAACAGATTCGTCATTCTTTCCAAAGACGGATATGTTGTTTATCGTGACTCCCATTCATTGCCTGTGGCCCATACATGGAACTAACAAGGCACATGCACTCCCCGAAAGCTTGTTCACTGTTAGTCGAACCTATAGTGCCGACTTAGCGAGGCTTTGCGTCTGCGCAAGAAAACAGCCGCAAGGCATCCGTAGGTCTATCAAATGGGTTTTCTTCGTAGGATACCTCTCCCTGCTAGTGTTCAAGAAAAGGGCGAAAAGGATCCAATCTTTGCAAGGCAATACATGAAATCTTGGAACCTGAGATATCCTTGATTCCGACCGTCCATGCTTGCCGGCCAACCATGTCCTGATGTTTGGACTCACGGTTCTGGGGGCTTAGCTGAGCTTTCTCTTTCCAAGGTCGAAATAGCTGCAAGCCTTATTGCCTACTTTCGGCGTTCAGTCAAATTTTATTCCAGCGATGTAAATCAGCTAATATTGAAACAATCTTTTTGGCATCCAGAAGCCTAGTTATCCATGGTTCTGCGAGCTAGAAACAGACGCCGACCCCCTGTGCACAGCGTCATTCGAATGCCACACCTACCACACCACCAATGGTTGGCAATTCCTCCTCCGTGACTGCCCGCGGAGCAGGCAAGCTAGCAGCCTCACGAAAACGCCTTCTTGTCAGCCCCTTCAGCCCCTTGAAGCTAGTTCGGCGATTTCAATGTGCCTACTGAGGGCATTTATTATTATCGCCTCTAAAGGCCCTCGAGCCTAGTAACGTCCCAAGAAAGTGCAAGGGGGATGCAACCCGTTGCGGGATGACGTTTTCGTTGTTCGGAGCCCAACCTGAAGGGTTCGATCGACGTACAAACATGTGCCCATCTGCAGGGTATTCCGTTTTCGGTGAATGGTAATAGTGCCACATTTAAAGTGAAATCGAGGAGTTGTTCTTTTCGTCATGTTGACCTGGCATTTGCTTACTTGGCCATCCGCTTTTCGGGCTCGGACAGCTCGCTAATGCATTTTGCACGCGCGCAGATGCAGGCCCTAAAAATGGGGGAGGGAGTGAGCGAGTGGGGGAGGGGAAGAAATAAATTTGAACAACGACGAAGAGTGCTCTGAGAGCCAGCTTTCTCCACGTATCAGGACTCGGAAAGACTTGGCGCGGACATATGTCTCGCTCAACCCCTCAAGATCAACTTTAGCGCGGTTCTAACCTCCTATAGCAAGATGGGAAAGACCTGCAAGTGGTTGATCAATAATACACTCCACGTATGCACGGATGGGTTAACCCCATGCGATCGTGAGCAACTTGCAACAACAGGGCTTGAGTCGCCACATCTTGGAGGGAAAACAAAAGCCTCTCCCCGATGCCCAGTATCAGGCGCTAGATGCGGCCTTGTGATATAGGAGAGAAGAGTACTTGCGGGGGTCCAGCGGTGGTTCTAACTTCTGGAATCCCGCAGACATTCAAGTCAGATGAACCGTTATCCAGCCGTACCCAGTTCAGCCTATCCTCTCTTTTTCTCATGGGCTGGCTGGGCTCTGATCCCATGTTCTCGGTATATTTCAAGGCTCCGCTCATTAAGAGAGTAACGTCCTCCTACCAAAGTTCAAGAGGCCTTCTTGGGGCCTTCGACACCATCATACAGGCGTGGAAGTAATATGGCCGGAATCAAGTTATGGAATCAACTTATACCGAAACCGTAGCGTCTTTGCTTTTTCCACGGCACTAGCAGGAAGCACGAGCAGGGGAGCGGATGGGGGAAAGAGAAGTCGTATGATACCGCCACGACGCCTCAGCTGCAACTAGAACAAGCCCAGCCGTTCTGATGCGTGGACATCCCCTCGTAGTGTAGTCTCGGATGCTTATGCGAGATATCCTTGGTTGGGCTGAATGATGCTCAATGAATATCCTTGCTATGGTTGGAAAGTGCCTCGATCCAGACTGCTTTTTCCACCTATTCTGTTGCTCCGTCCCTGTCTTCCATTGGCTCCATGCCGCATTTCTCCTCTTTGAGCGCCCGTACCGAGAATCTATGGACCGGGTGATCTTCACTACATCGAGTTGGTGCCGGGGAGCTTCGAGCTGGCCAGAGACAAGGGATGGTCGACCCTCATCGAACGCTGTCTATCTTTCTACGCGCGAAACGAGGTACCTAGTGCCGAAGCATGCCACCCATTGGGCCTTCGTATCGGGTCGCAGATTCAGGGTGGCAGTCCTTCAGACGCAGTGGCTCCCGAGCGGCTGTCACTTCTCCGAAGTTTCGGCCCTGGTCGGCTCCGCGGGTTCCCACGGCCGAAATATGGAGGCTTTCGGCCGCGCTAGCGGACGTTTCTAGATGCCGAGACGCCCTGGCGCTTGGGAGTTCGGGCTGGAGAGCTACTGAATGAACGCCATATGCGCAAAGGCACTCGTTGATGAGCTTAGCAGTCTTGGTAAAGGCGTGCACGCTTTCGTGTGAGACAGCCACGTGGGCTGATGCAACGGATTTGTGTTCGTTAAGGCACCAGACGTGAAGTTCATGAACAGCGTTGACGCCAGGAATCTGATAGTGAAAAGTAAGCACTGGGTCCAAGGACGCCTTGGGATATAGCTTGCCTTTTCGAGATCACGTTTGATATCCTCCATATCAATACCGAGAGGCGCGGCCTCTAGCAGGATACTTCCGGCCCCCTTCACGAGGGAAACGCCGAGGCAAAGATCATGACGGCAATGAATAGGCTAATTGCTGGGTCAGCGTAGAACCGAGCGTTACTCGTAGACTTCCAGAGAACTAGGGCGGCGATGATAACGCCAATGTTATTGATGGCGTCCCCGATGATGTGCAGCAAAACTCCCAACATCCCCAAATCGTAGCAGGGACGTCGGGGATGGTCGGGAGCGGCGGTGTGCCGATGATCGTGATGTTCTTGTATTGAGATTTTCTCCTGGTAAGGTGATGTCAGAAGATGAATTGCGTTATGAGGGCCCCCATCTCCATGACCGGGGTCGCTCACCGATTCTTCATAGGCAAGAGTCGGATCCGAGTATGGCACCGCGTCCTCGGCAACGGCCGGATCTCGCTCTTCATCTCTCGTGCGGATCCGAGCTTGACCATTTGCGTGGTTGCCCTCATGCTCATGTTGATGTCCGAAATCTGGCAAGCAACGAATATCAGACACTCAGCAACATGAGTTCGGATTCGAGACCTACCGTGAAGGAACAAAAGGGTGATGAAATTTAAGAATAGCCCCACGCTCCCAAGGATCAAGATTATGATGGGATTCTCGACCGCTACCCCCAAGTTATGTTAAGGACAAGCCCTTCAGGGGTGAGATGAGGCAGATAACACCTTACGCTTCAGGTCGATGAACCTCTCGATAGATTGTAGGAAAATGCTCACTCCAAGAGCGAGGAGGAATACGCCGTTGAAGAAGCCTCCCAATAGCTGTCCACGCTGCCAGCCAAAGGAAAGAGACTTGGGAGTGACGGTTCGCTCCGAGAGCTAGAGAGAGGGGTGCATCATGGGTGTTAGTGGAATTCGTTACTTGCTGCCTGAGACCTGAACGCCGAGTCCCGCCGTCCCCGCCGCTCCACTTGGCCCCACATCGCGAGTTGATGATATTAGAGGCTTCTTTCGATCTATCCACACACAAGCACATCCACTTGTATATATGGTTGATAGAATCGGATGGATGTATAATATGGATCCATATGCTTAAAGCTGGCTAGCGGGGCGTTTGTGTTTAGAGAAGATTAACCGATGCGCCATTAGAGGGCAACAGAGGAGCTGGAAAGCATAACAACTCCTCACTCATCAGCATTGTAGCTCAGGGGTAGAGCACTGGGCTCATAACCCAGGGGACCTAGGATCGAAACCTAGCAATGCTACATCGTGTTTCTTTTTTTTTCATCCTTTTTTGTCCTGAGAAAAGGAATTGCTCTCCCTTTCTTACTTTCTTCTTTTCCAGTTTCCTTTTTCTTTTCTCGCCCATGAACGCATTTCTTGGGGAGCGTCTTGCGACAGTCTCACGCCATTTCACTCTCCTGAGGGAGAGATGACACTTACGATACATGCGACAAGCGCAACAACAAATCCGATAAGGTCGTTTAACTGTGGTTGTGAGCTGTGGATGAAGACCTAGGGCTGACCTTGACTGGCCAAAATTCAATGTTCCGTACATAATGGAAAGCGTCAGCGATGAGCGCAAGAGAGCCGGTCCTAAAGCCAACTTGATAGCTGAAGATTAGCATTGGCACTGGCAAAGAAAAGATATAAGCGCAATGGATCTTTTCTCATGGAAGGTGGAATCCCTTACATATAATCTCCACGAGGAAAAATCCTAATGATATACAAATTGTGGCAGCTAGCTTCTGTTTCTTCGTCAGGTAGGCCATTCTGAGCGGTAGTGGTGGGTTGATGAAGCTGATGGATTTGAGCAAGGAGAAAATCAAGGGAAATAAAGGAAGAGTTATGAACATGAGAAGGTATAGCGGACTGAAAGAGCATCTATCACGTTCCTGCTCTTCCATGGTACTTGTATGCAGAGAGAGGGTCCGATGGATGATTTCCCTGCCACCCCTTTGGGCTCTGCTAACTACGTCAGGGACCGGCTTCTTGAGCCTAGGTTTCATCCGAATCCTCCTCTGTAGATGGGCCGATAGCCTTGATTACTCTGGCATCATACACGAGTGAGGTTGTTGGGCCCTCATCCGTCGCTGTGTGGACCTGCCTCCAACTCTTGTGGGTTCGGCCCTAGACGGCGACTTCACGGCTGCCACGCGCATCAGGGCGCGGGCGGGTTTATTGTGAAACTTTACTGCTCCGTTTAGGGACCAACTTCCAAACAAAGAAGGGCATGCGTACCAAAGAAACAAGGCTGTATTTCTGGTGATGAACCGCGTGGGTGGAACCTGTTCTGTGTGCTCCTTGCTTTCCTCTTGATTTGGCCTCCATCTCCGTCATTGACACGGAGCCTGCGTTGCACTGTTTGCTGTCAACGCCGCTAACCGCTCGGGCGGGAATGGCTGTGAGATTCTGCAGACGGTTATTCAGCTCTTGCGTCACGTAGTTTGAGTTGAGCCGGTTGACGATCGGGTCAGGGAGACACGACGGGTAGAGGTAATTCTCGCGGTGGTGCCGCGCTCTACAAGCGCAACCATGCGGATAGCCTGAGATCTAACCGGAAGGAATTCTTTCGCGGGTCTCCTGTTTCCATGACCTTAAAGAAAAACAAAACATGTGCCATCTATATCCGGGGTATGCTTGCCGACCCGGCCTGGGCTTACATCGCCTCGGATTCGCATCAGGAACAGCGACGCTGGTCAAAAAGTCCGCGAGAGGCCTTACGAGCACCCGTTTAGGCAAAGTGGCAAGAAGTGGACGGCTACAGTGACGAAGGATGCCTAGAAATGGAAGGGAAACATGGGAGACCATATTGATCTTTCTTTTTCTCCTCTTCGTGTTGCCTGCCTTGTCGAAGAGAAGCAGCGGAAGGAACGAGGTGTTAGTGATAGACTTGCTTGTGACAAAGGAAACGAGTTTCTGATTAGTCATCGAACAAGAAGGAGGGTGATTGGTATTAAGGGAGGTCCTCAATGAAGGTGGCCAAGGCGGTGAAAGCTGTGGGGGCATTCTGCCGCCCATGGTCATGCTGTGCGTCTTGAGCTCTGGCAGGACAAGGACAAGAAGCCATCGCGACTTCGCATTTCGGCTGCATTTCACTTGCACGGTCACGAATTTTCGAAGCAGGCGGTTTCACTTTGACGAATTCTACAGGAGAGTCTGGCGACAACCCCGAAGCGACTCTCGTCCCGCTTCTACACTTTGTGGTTGGAGTCGGGATGTTGCCGTCAGCTGTTCGAAACCCTTCGTAGCAGCAGCACGAAACTTGCCTCTCCAAGCCGACCATCGCTATGCCGACCAATGCGCCCCTACCCCGTCAATTCGCAGGGCCGGAAATTGGACACCGCACCTTCGACAATTCAGTAGGGCGAGCGCAGACCGCGGCTCGACCGACTCGCTTCACTCCCCGATACATCCTCTACCCACTCTACCGCCCGCCCCGATTCAACCAACGGTCGCAAGCGGAAGCTGGAGCGAAAATGCACGGTCACGGTGAATGACAACTATTCCCGGGACGAAGTCCTGCTGAACCTAGATCTGCTCGGTGGCGACATAAAACCCGGGACCCTTGTCTCGATATCGGTCGTCAAGACGGAGACCGATAAGAACTCCAGCTCCCACCTGGCCAAGGCCGGATCTTCGTCTGATCATGCGCGAAACGGCAAGGCAGGGCCGGCACCGGACGCGGAATGTGATCGGTCAAAGCATCGATATGTGTTCTATGCGAAGGATATGTCGAAAGGCCTCAAGTCACGGTATCCTCATGTCGAGGTCTACGTTGCCAAGCATATTGCTGGCAATTTTGGCATGAGGGTGGGACACCCGTTATTCTCGCTCCGGTACGTTCTCTCCTCGGCTTGGGTTCGCGCAGGATACCTGAGCAAGCCTTGCCTGCTTTGCTAACTAATTCGGACTCTAGGTCGACGAGAACAATCCCGCCATTGATGCCTCTCACGTAGAGCTGAGTTTTCGCGACCAATATTTGTCTCGCGCCGATATGTGGAGGATGGCCGTTGGAGAACTCACCGAGAGGACCGTATACAAAGGGAATCCATATTGTTTATGGGCAGTATTAAAGCCCAGGTCACTGCTGTTTTTGTCGACGGCCACAAGGTCCATTCGGCATTCTTCTCACGCAATACCCGGCCCATTTTCCGCAGCGAATCCGCTCGATATGTTCTCTTCATTCAAATGTCCCGCGAAATGTGGGACTTCGACTCCGATGGGTCTGGCGAGATCATGTTCAACAAAGTCGTGAACGGCTTCCTCCCGGCCGTTTTCAAGAAATGGTCACTCCTCAAGGTCAGACACCTTGTTACCATTGTTCTCTTTGCCCGCGTCGAGTACGATGCCGGTCTCAGTGACGACTTGGTTTTCTCCCTCACAGACAATCACTATTATACGGGCGTTCAGCCTTCTGGGATGAAACGGCCCTACAAGGACTTTTACCGCGTCGTCGTGAATGAGATGGCTAGCTACGAATGGGCCGCCATCTTAAAGCAGCTCAAGAAGGAATTCAACGTATTCCGTCGCGACATTAGCCTTCACCACCAGCGCCCAGATAGCAATTTTATGTCATTGGCCAGAGACTCGAGTGGGAACTCGATTGCCCCGAGCCGAGTCAAGGCGGAGCCTTGCTTGGCCATGTACGGGAACTTTCTCGAGGCCATCAGCCTGGCTTCTTCCCAGTTCGCCCACGATTACATTGACAGGGACCTTGTGAGAACGGGTATATCAATCGTGGTAATCAGCCCCGGCCCCGGAGTTTTCGAGGTTGATTACGAAGCCCTGAGGCGGACCACCGAATCACTTGTCGGGAACGGCATAGGAATTGACTTGGTTTGCGTGCCCAAGATCCCCCTGCACTCCGTGCCTCTCTTCAAGTATCGAAATCCAGACTTTGCAGAGCTGGAGAAGTCGAGATGGCCTCAAAGCCGAGGGAGCACCCCGAGGCATGACACTCCCGTAGCCGGAAGCTACCAATCCCTCATGGGCTCGTTGTCGCCGTCAAAGGGCCTGGACTTGCTTCATCGTGCAGAGTACTTCACCACCCACCGCGCAATTGACGAATGGTGCTATGCCCTACCACAGTGGCTCCATGTCTCCTACTGGACCGGAACCTCTGGCGATAACCTCTCGTATCAGGGAATCGCACTATCAGTGTTGGACGTTGGAGGCGAAGAAAAGAATGGCGACGAGTTTCTGGTTCGGTGTCGGATGTATGACTTGCAGATGCGTAGCGTTCTCGAGACCAACGAGATTGAAACTGTTCCTCTCATGTCTGACCCGCATTTCCCATCTCAAAGCCTCACGGAGAACGGAGGCGCACACCGGCCGCGCCCAACTGGTACTGACGAGATTGCGCACATCGCTCTCAGACGTGCTCCCGATGCACTGCATGACCGCATCTATGGCTTCATCAAGTTTGTACCGGACCGTATGCTGAAGCCCGGCGAAAAGTCCATCTGGAAACAACTTCAAGACTTTGATAATTCCCGGGCCAAGCTCCCCTCCTCTCGTCGCGTTTACCACCCGCAAAAGAACAGTCGCGAGTTGGACGATACCGCGCGGCACCAGCTCGCGGAGGATTCGGGTCTCTTCGGGACCTCTCTCCCGGAAAGGAAGCCCTCTGTGATCAAGGGCTCGAGCGCCGGTCGCAAGCTCTCAGTGAACCTGGGTGACAATACTAAAATCAGCGCCTCGCTACTGAGCCCTGTCAAGAGCACCGGCGGAGTTAGTACCATTCGCCCTGCTAGCGCGGTGCAGACGTCCTCCTCGCCGAATAAGGCGCAGAAGCTCATGCGGCACATCAGTTTGGGCCACCGCGGTTTTGGCATCGCGGCCCCCAAGGTAGCCGTCGCCGAGGTGCGCGCGGAAACTGTGAGCGCCGAGAGTTCGTTGCGTCCTGAAGCCCAGTCGCCAGCTCCTTCCTACACGGCCAGCAATCGACCATCGCTTAGTCGACGCCCGACCTCTCCGAGGTCCATTGGAAAAAGGCCCTCTCCCTTCCCCATGCAGGCCTTGAAGACGGATTCAATCGACTCTCTTGCCGGCGCAATGCCCTCCACGCCGAGTATACCCATCCCCTCAGGCCCCTTCCTGCAACCAAAAGCGGACTGGTCTACGACGTCCCCGTTGGCGCGAAAAGGCAAACGGAATGAGGATAGCGATGCCAAGTTCTCCAGCGTCCTGAGGGCAGATGACGCGAAGGTTTATACTAGCAAGCTACGGGCAGGGGCTCTTCCCGAGCTCCCTTCGGCGCCTTCCCCTGCTTCAGCCATTTTACCCTGGCTTACCGTTTTGAACCCTTCCAACCCGGATACTCACAAGGTCGATGATACCATGTTGTACAGTCGGTGGCAGCACGTATTTCCGCGAACCTCCAAGATGAAGATGATGAAGTGGAAGGCACTGTGTTGCCCAGCAGCCGTTCCGTTGACAACGGAGTATTTCCCAACAAGAACCCAATTCGAGACCGAGTATGAATGCAAGCCTTACAATATTGCCCAAAATGATGATGACGATCTTGTTGACGAACCGAAGAGTCGGGAGGAATTTCTGAGAGAGCTGATTAGCCTGAGGTTCGCCCAGGGATTTCAGGTCATTGTGGGCCCAGCTGTTGCTCGTGCCTTTGGCCAGAAGCTTCTCAAGGTTGCTGATATCTTCACCCGCAACCAAAAGTTGGAGGACGGTGCGAGCGTCTTCATGTCTGTTGGGAATACGATCCACCAACTGTCATGCGTCAATGGGACGGAGGTAGAGGTCAACATCTACTCAAGAAAGCCACCGTCGGGCCTGCCTTTGCTCTCGTCGTCCGGGAGCAGCTACAAACCGGCGATTCGGACCATTCTCGACGCAGATTACCGAACTCGCGAGCTGGACATTGCGACACCGCGCCCGGAGAGGATTGGAACTACATCGATTCATACCTGGCAGGCCACACCGATGAGATGACGGAAAATTTGAGGTTCTGGAGAGCCCGCTTCGTGCTCATCCCCGTAGAATTCCGTGCCTCGCTCTTGCCAAGAATTCATGAAGAAGATAGCCCAGAAGAGATTCGGCTGGAGGGCATCCGACGACTTGCGCAACTCTGGCAGAAGAACAAGTACATCGCTCCATCCGAGCGTCGATACCAGTCTATGGCGCCGCGTCGGCGAAGGGATATCAACCCGCTCGATATCGTATTCAAAACAGAGGATCCTTCTGTCGTTATCGCCGCCGAACTTGAGACGTTGCCCCTGATTGAGGGCTTGGAAGGCGTCCCGCGACGGGGTCAACTCCTCTCTCAGAGGGATCGCTTCCGCCGGTCGAGCCTCAATATCGCCGTCCTAGCCGAAGCGATCCAGCAATCGGTCGAGAGTGGTGGTGTGAGAATGCAGAACCGGAGATGGCACCTGCGCATGCACTACAATTGTTTCATCGGATCAGACATGACGACATGGCTTCTCGACAATTTTGAAGATCTCGAAAGTCGCGAAGAAGCAGAAGCTCTAGGAAAATGCTCATGGCCTCCGAGGAAGAAGGAGCTCGGAAAAAGGACCGGGAAAAGGAAAAGGAAGGCGGAGAGCCCTTCAAAGAGGGCAGGAAAGAACGCGGTTCTGGCTTGTTTGTCCACGTCGAGAAGCGCCACGACTTCCGCGACGGCCAGTACTTTTACCAGATCGCCGGTGAGTATGCCAAGGCACCACCAGTATCTTCTGGTTGGTTCAACACGAAGCGGCGAGGCGACACTGTCCCATCTACCCCGGCAATTGAATCTGCAATGAGAGATTCTCCTCGAGTGACGAGGGTGACGCCAATCCTAGATGATTCCCCTACGACATCCGCCAATTCCACCCCCATGATGGCGCCTGTGGGCGCCAGGAAACATCGGGACAAGCCGCGCGTGATGCTATCTAAAGTAATGAAGTATGATGTTGATCGCAAGAAGCGATCCTATCGACCGGAAAGGATCAACCTCCATTACGATAGGCTCCACAACCCCGATGCCTGCTACCACATACGAATCGAATGGATGAACGTGACGGCCAAACTGATTGAAGATGCAGTGGAGAGCTGGGCTCGGGAGGCGGCCGGGTTCGGACTGCGCCTCGTGGAGGTGCCTATCAAGGAAGCATGCACGATCATGAATATCAATCCCTTCAAGAGGCCCTACCTCATCAAACTCAGCTCCCCACCTCCCGTGCAATGTCCCGACGAGTATCTCGATCCGCCCGCCTTTTCGTCGCACGCGCTCTCTTCCAAGTTCTTCTATCAGAAGGCGATACTCCGAAAGTTCGACTTTGTCCTGGACTACGAGGCCGCATCGTGTTTCCCCACCGACGTGGATGTGAGGTACTCATGGGGCAACCCCAACTTCAAGTATACACAGTATATTCACCGCTCCGGCGTCGTCCTGGCGGAGATAACAGACGAAGGCCACTTTCTCTTGATGGGAAACAGCCTGTGCAACAACCGCGGCATCGCCAGTCGCGAGAAGGAGATGAAGGAGTCGCGTTACGGAGAATCCGCCAATAGCGGTGCCCCTGAACGGCCCGCCGGCAGGATGATGTCCATCGGCAGCTACATTCCGGAGCCTGCCGTTCCTCCGGGCAGCCCGCTCGGCAAATCCGCCTCCTCCCACGTCAACTCCCCACTGATCCGCGCGACTCCGATCGGCGCCGACATGGGCGCGGGCGCTACCGCCTCTACGACCAAACCCATGGATCCTGAAGCGATCAAGCACGATCTCGACACCTTTTGCTCTGAACCCTCCCGCCTCGTTGCCTTTTACAAGGAGCTCCTCGAAAAGGGGCCCCAGCCCTTCCACACGCCGGGCATCATCATGCCCAGCAGCGGCCTCGAGGTCGTTCCGGAGGCCTACATCCCCTCCCTCGGCCTGCCCCCGGCGTGCTCAGGGGCGACGCGAGAGAGGTGAGCCCGAATCGGACCCCGGTGTGGGGCCGCCCCTGTTCTCGCGCCTGCGGGGCTGGGCATGGCTGCGCTCAGAAGGAGGAGTGTGCAGGACGGCATCGGGCTGGGTAGTGGGCTTGGTGGGGGCCGGACGGGGTGAGAGTCCAATGTACGAATATATATATATATATACCAGTGTGACATGTATGAAGGATAGAGGTCTGGATTTGTTTTGTTTTTTCCTATTCCCATTGACTACAACCTTTGTCTGTTTTTCTTTTCCTCCTACTCTTCTTCCACAAGACTACAAAACGGCTAGTTCCCTCAAGGGGAGGATGAACGCGGGACGGGCGGAATGGAGGATTAAATCTATGTAATGTATAGCGAGCGATAGTGTTTATCTCATAGCGGGCAGTCTCTCTCAGGGGAATAAGGTGCACTAATTCCATTGATCTATCTGATAAGGAATGATTGAATCATTAGCTTAACAAGACGGCACCTCGTAGTTTCTTTTTATTATTTTATTTTATTTATTTATTTATTTTTAAAAAAACCTTTGTTCATTTCGTTTGTCTCGATCGCGTCTGATACGGGCAAAGCAATACTTGGGAATTTTCGTGGTATTCGTCTATATAAATACAATGATAATACTATATCAAGCCAGCCCAGATGAAAACCCCTTCTCCGAAAACCTGGGTCTGTTAGTTGAAAGTAGGGTTCTCTGACCCTCTCCATTTTCTGTTTTCTCTGCCTTTTCTTGTTCTTTTTCTTTTTCTAAACCGAGAGAGAGAACAGTGGCAAGTAGGAAGCTCCATGTAACCCCATCGCCCGAACAGACCCATGAGCAAACAAACCGACTCTGAAAAAAAAAGAAAAAAAGAGCTCCATCGACTCCCGCCAGAGGAACAATAGGTATAAAACAAACGCGAGATGCTAATCTAGAAGGCAAAAAAATAGCCCCATCCCACTCGTATCCCACCGCTGAATAAGACGGGGAAACATGAAAAAGAAAGAAAAAAATACCCAGGCAAACGGCAAGGCAGTTTCGCGATTCTAGAACCAGTCCGGTTCGGCATCTCCATCAGCATCGGCTTCCATGCTCTGTTTACGAGGCCGGCCCCTGGGTCGTGGCCTGGATGTCGATCGAGCGCGTTTCTTCCTGTTGCCAGGTGTGCCGGTGCCCTTACGTTTCCGGCCCCTGTCAGGCGCTGCTCCTTCATCCTCATCGCCGCTCGGGGTGGCCATGTCGCCCTCCATCTCATCATCCTCTTCCGCAATCTTGAATTCGTTGTCAACGTTGAGGAGGTCGACAAAAGCGCGGCACTTGCGCAACATTGTTTCCTGGGAGTCAAAGCCCGTCATGTGGGAAGCAATCTCCTCCCACACCTTGTCGCCCGTGATACCTTGGACTTTGACGGGGGACTTGGACATGTCCTTGGCCGCGGCCTTCGCCTTGGGGTCGCGCCGCTGCGTGCCGAGGCCGTAAAGGCGTCGAAGATAGGTACGGGCTTCCCACAGGCAGAGAAGTATCATAGCGCCCGCACTGAGCTGCCGTAATCTCCTTGGGTCTATGTCGAGTTTCGGCAGCGCCGGCTGCGTAGGCGCGCTTTCGAGTTCACCGTCAGCGCCCGCGGGTAGTGACGAAGGGGCCGGGTCTAGATCCATGCGAACGTTGAAAATCTCCGTTTCAATGACGTGCGCAATCGCCGCGCCTGTCCCCGAGACGATCTTCTCCATTGTTGCGACAGTTGTCAAGACTTCACCCACGGTGACGTATTCAAAAAGGTGAGGTTCTCGATGATGAAACGGCTGAAAGTGGCATGATATGGCGGCGTTTGACGCACATCCATCTTTGTGAAGTCAAAATCAACCTGCTGGCACAGCTTTTCCAGAAATCTTTGACGATTCTTTGATTTGCTGATCTTGAGGATCTCCATCAACAAGTGAAGTTTGGCCTGGAATGGATTCGTCGTAGCGCCACGCACATCTTTGGCGATGTCACGCTGGTACGCGAAAGCAGATTGGACAGCCTTGGCGTATTCCCTTTCGAGCACGGTCTCATGCTTTTCATGGAGAGCCTTGTACTCCTGGTACGCAATCTCAGCAATCTTCGGGTTGGATGATGTCTGTAGGGTGATGAGAGCAACACCGGTTTCCTTGGGATGAACAAGACCTTGCCTGTTGATGCTACCTAGCACTTCAATTGCTAGGAACGCATGGTCATCTTGGGACGCAAGGGAGATACGCGTCAGTTCCTTTAGGAACCGCTGCGTAGTCGCGCTAGCAACATCATCATAGTTGGTGCCACCCATCACAGTGAGCTCACGCTTCTTCTCCGCTTCACTGTTGCCGGCTGCGGCCGCGGCCGAAGCGGCCTCGGACCTTTTTCCTCGTTGAGTAGGAATTCTCTGAACGAAGATAAAATCATGTCTTCCAACGCAGGGACTTTCTCCTCAAAGACTTGCTGGAACGTTGTATACACGTTTGGCGATACATAAGTTCGTGGCCAGGCCTGACAAACAAGACCAATGGCATCGAGGGCCGCTTTCCTGGCATCTTCAGGGCGGTCGGGGTTGCAAAGGGAAGAAGGCAGTCGACCATGAGACTGGGCACCGTCTTGCCTTTCCATTTGGGGAATTTCTCTCTAAACAGGTTCGCCTGGCTGTCCAAGTCGCAGTGCTTTCCAATCATGCCAACGATGACCGAATAGCGCTGGAAGACTTTGATACTCTGTGCGTTGAGCGGTACCTGTCGAAGCTTTTGGATACCCACTAGACTGGAGAGGGCCAGACGTGCGAGGGGGTGATGGCCTCGAGCACGCCGCAGATGATCCAAACACACGCCACCACGTCATCGAGGAGGACCTTGCTGATCTTGGCGATACTAGCCAAGAGCTGGGTCCGAACCTCCATAAAAACTGGGTATAGACGGCCGAAAGCTGCGGGAGAACGCGTCGATAGATGACGACTGTAGCACGGAATACGTGGAGATCCTCCACAGTCGTAAAACTCGAGAGGTGAGGCTTGAGAAGCTTGATCTGCTCAAAAGTGAACAGTTTTGGTTCGGCCTTTGCAAAAGTCATCAACACCTGCAGCGCGTCTCGGCCAGAGGGTATTGTCGGATCGTCCGAATCAAGAGTGTTGATCAGCTCGAACATAGTAGCCACGAGTTTGGTGCAAACTGAGAATGGTCCTTCAGCGGGCTTGGTCTGAGGACCGAGGATGGACTGCAGGACTTTATCTAGGACGGCAGAGGCATGCCCCGCCTTGCTCACTTGAATCATGAGGCTAACGTGATCCGTCAACGATGCTTGGAAGGCGGGTGTGTCTTCCGAGTTGCTATAGAACGGCGCAAACCAAATTTCTTCAATCATTTGGCGGGCGAGGTCTCTTACGCCCTCGTCGGGATCTTGCACTCGCAGCAACAGTCCGCTTGCGATCGTCACCCGGATTGATCTGCTCTTGTTGCGCAGGTAGATGTCTCGTGCAAGCTTCATCGCCCTCTTACGGGGGCCGATTCCGGCATCCATGAATCGATCAACAACTCGAGGTGTAAGTTGCTCTTCCAAGTGCGGTCGCATTGACATGCATTTGCCGATTAGGCCCAGGGCCGAATCTCGCACCTGGGGGAGGAGTCGCTGGAACACTGAAGGATGAGTTGGATGACGATAGAGTCACCATCGAGAATGGCAGGGTCCGTCTCCAAGACCTGGTTCACGCTTTTCAGACTCTTACTGCGAACTGTTGCTTGGTCACTTGCCATGGCGCCCAGGACGATATTCAGAATGATGTTGAAGGACTCGCACAACTGGGATCGGAGTAGCACAACGGCGTAGGCAAGCTTGGAGTGGGTGGGGATACGGTTTTAAAGGTGTACTCATCCGACATCCACCGCTTGTCCCCCAACATCATTCGAAGTCGGTAAGCAAGGCGGCCAAACTCCATATCCCTCTCTTGCTCTCGGCCTTCTAGAGACTCGAACCCGGTGCAGATTTTGCTCGCCCAATCCGACATCACCAGCGATATAGATCCCCTCAGATGGGGATCGTTGGAACACCTCTCTTCCAGATGCTCAAGGGTAACGCGGTAGGGTCCAGACCACGAAACAGCATACTCAACCCGTGACCGCTGTTCCAAGGCAGATGTCGCCAGCTCAGCCAAGAAGCGCCCAAGATCGTCCGAATCACCCGCATCCAGTGTGCTGGCGGCTTTGCGAACGGTTGAGCGTAGCCTAGAAATCGCAGCACCCATAGTGCCAAGAACATCGAGAGCCATATTCTTTGCTGGAGCTGCCGTCTTCTCGCCCTCTGAAAGCTGTACCATCCGAATCATCATGAATCGCAACAAGATTTCGGCCGCAGGCCAGTCTGGGGAGTCGAGACAAGTCGTAAAGTCCTCAACAAAGAGGTCAAGCAGGTTCCGATAGGGAGTGTCGCCCGATTTGGTAGACTTGAGTGCCCGGTTGATGATGAAGCCCACCACGTAGCTCGCATTACGTTTCGTAGTCTCGATCAGAGGAGTGACCGTATCACTAAGCTCCTTGATAGCGGTATCGAATTGTTCACATCCGCCATCTTCGCTCTTGATCGTATACATAAGACGAGCCCCGGTGCTGGCCTCCTGAGGGCTTTCGGCCTCGCCCGGTTCTTCGTCGTCGGACTCTTGCGCGACGTTGCGCCTACGTCCCTTTTCCTCCTCCAGCTTACCGGCACTGACCTGGACCAATCTCATGATCAGAGCAGATACGGGTTGGATGCTACCCCCATCGGCAAGCTTGAAATGTCGCGCACTTTGTTTGCCCACGGGTAGCTTTTCGAGAGATGTCAAGATCTCGTCAAAGATGCCCTGTCGTTGGCCGGGATTCATCAGGAATATCTGGCAAAGCATATCCATCGCAACGAGCCGAAGACCATCGAACCTTTGCACGCCAATAACCGAATCCTTTTCATAGTGGGCATTTTCGACGAAGAGGAGCTGGGTCGCCGTGAATTCGAGCGTGTTGATGACGGACTCCGAAAGCTCGATGCTAGTGACCAACGTTGACAGTAACGCGAATAGACGTTGGCTGTTTGTAAAGATTGGTGCGAGTGCCTTCTTGTGTGGGAGAAGAAGCTTGAACATGACCCCAGGCGGGCCCGAGTTGCGAATTTCCACAATGGGGACGACGATTCCGTCCATAACACGCTTGAATAAGTCAAGGCATTGCTGTATCATTCCTTCAGAATAGAGTCGCTTGTCCTCTCTACCACCCGACATGATGCGCAGGGCTGTCCGTGCTGCCTTGAGAGCAGTTTCAATCTCGGGAATGCGGTAAACCCAAGCGGCAATTTCTGGCTCGCCCCACGTGTCGTCGATCTTGAGATCGAGGTGTCCGGTATCTTTAATGCTTCCTTCGCAAAGTTTCTGGTATCTAGCAAGGTCCTCAATCGGAACTTGGTCGTAGATACCGAGACCGATGGCTTTTGGATCGCGGACTGAAGCTTTTGATGCATGGAAGAAGTTAGGGTCGGCTCATTGGATTCGTTAAGCACGACGACGTGGTTGAGGCCCATCTCGCCCGAAAGTGCCTGCCCGACAGAGGTGAAAACCTCGTGCGTAATCTTCATGAGGTCTTGCAGGGCAGCATCCGCACGCTCTCTCTGGTCAATATTGATTCCAAGAAGGTCATCTCCATCCAACATGTCATCCCTCTTTCGCTTCTTGGTCGAAAGATGGGCCGGGGCATCGGGCGAATCAGGAATGTCCATCTCTATGTATTCATCCTTGTTGAACAAGTTGGAACCAAGATCGACGGTGAGGCCAGGCTTCTCGAGGAGTTTCGGAGACTGTTCGGGCAAGGGCGTCGGCGTATGAGCAGGGGCTGGCGCTGGCGCTGATGCTGATGCTGGCGTTGGCGTTGGCGCCGGGGCAAGCTCAAGCGCAGAGGCAGATGGAGGGTTGGCGTCGGTAGGGGCGGAGGCTTAATAGGTGTAATGGTGGGAGGAGGTAGGAGTTGTAGATCTGAAGGGTTGATTGTGGCAGTATCGGGAATAAGCGCAATGGGCTGCTCCTGTTCTACAGGCGGCGGCGGTGGCGGTGGCGGTAATGGCGGCTGCGGAATCGCCTGGAGTTTGGCGGGGTCGATAGACGTGGATTGCTCCTGGGGCGAAGGGCCCATGTCGTCGAACTCGATATACTCTGTCATGTTGATCGGCTTCTTAAGCGGAATAGCAACTTCGATTTTAGCCTTATTTTGATTGGCTGACTGGGTATTCAAGGTCCGACTCGGGGTTACGGTAGGTGTTTCCACCTTGATGGCGGATGAGGTTTTCGGCTGGAAGACTGCGGTCGACCGTTCATCGTGGAGGAGCCCGTAGCGTCCTGCCCTGCATAGGTGAACGTTTTTGACACCCGATCGAAGATGGCCTTTGCTAGCGGTGATAGCCCATCAGCAGGATTGCGCTCCACGCCGACAGCCCCAGGAACTCGTGGTATCATCCTGAATTTGCTATTTTTAGAGGGTTAGCAGCGCGATCTCGTGATTCGGGATCTCCCTATGTCCAACTCACTAATCCGTTCGCTCCTTCGGCTTTATCTCGTGAATTAAAAGGTCGGCAACCTGCTTGACATGTTTTCGGTTTGATGTTTGCGCATCGGCGCTTCGGTTGAGATTGTCAAACTCGTCGCGCAGAACCACATCGGCAAGTCCAGCTCCGAGCATTCCAGAGCCAATAATCGGGTCAGGGATAAGGTCTAGATATTTTCAGAAAAATAGATGGATCAGCGATGGCTCGTTCTTACGGTCATTGATAGAAAACAACGGACCTGGTGTGAACGGTAATATGGAGGTTTGCGGAGAATAGGGGAGAGCCTCCTGGAGAGTGAATGCTCGCGTCACATTGTTCTTCGAGTCGTGGCCTCCCACATCACCGGAGAGGCCGTTCTGGTGCCCAGAGTAGGTGTTCGCCATCTTGAGCAGAGTGGCTCACACCCTTTGAGGTGTTCCCAAGAGGATTCGAGAATGGGGTAGGTCGAGAGATGCTCAGCACATCGGAGGGTAGCTTCGGTCGCGCCTCAGGACCATGGCAGGGTAGGCGAGGGACTTGGACTAAATGGTAATCTCGTCGCGTGACAAGATGGCGATCGAGGACAAAATAGAAGATAACGGTCTGTTCTAGCGGATACCTCGTCGTGAATTTGATGAGATGCAATTCATTCGGGAGCCTTGTCGCCGGTCAAGAGGTCGAGGCAGGTGGGACGGTGCGTTTGCCAGCCAGACGCCTCGCCGTGCACGGTTCAGGTGTCACAGAGTTGCTGTCGCGAACTCTTATCGGCTTTGCCGGTAATTAGCCGTTATCGGCCGAGGGACCCTATGGTTATTTTTTTTTCCGCCAGGTCCAGTTCCTCGAATACCTTTGAGACTTGGTGCACGAAGGTCACTAGAAAACCCCAGCAGCGCTTTAAACGGAGACAAAGAAGGAAAAAGGACTCGGGTGAATTACAGTTGTATTTCTTCCCTTGAATTGGATATTACCCCCATTAAAATACCCATCTTCTCCTTCACAATGTCGGCAATTGGAGGGATCGTGTTTTGTGAGGGTTGCGGGAATCTTCTTCCCGAATCGAGGGGTAGCAAGAAAAACATGTTGAAGTGCGAATGCTGCGGGCTTGAATCCAGGGGTAAGGCCTAACTGTCTCCCAGTGTGTAGAAGCCCGCGCCGGTCAACGGAGCATCTAACACGGAAGGAACGGTTTCTAGATATTGCGCAAACGAATACCATCTCCACAACCACCCCTGGCGATTTCCCTTCGGCTTTGCGACAAAAGCTTCACACAAGCATCCAGACGGTCGAGAAGCATAAGATTGACATGATGCCCAAGACGCAAGAGAAATGTCCCAAATGCGGCGCCTACGAAGTTCGGTACACTACTCTTCAGCTTCGAAGTGCCGACGAGGGAAGCACGGTGCTATACTTTTGCGACTGCGGACACAGGTATGCGACGCTCGACCGGAGCAAATCAGAATACTTTTTCCCCATCATCCTATGGCTAACATGCGATCCTCTAGGTGGAATCAAAACAACTAAGCCTATCGTTGTTCTCCCTTTGCGTTTTGCCGTTCCTCATACAAATAAAAAGCCACCCATATATTCCACTCAGCTCCCTCATGCAGAAGCCTGTGCCGACTCGGGTATCAATGCGTATTCGACAGTATTGCTCCTCTCATACTCGGCCATATCCAGTGCCACGATGACACTCTCCCGCACAACCTTCTCCGCATCGTCCAGGAACTTCCTCAGCGTATCCTCAACACCCTCCTCGTCGCCAAGGCTTCCGAGAGCCTCTGCTGCCTCGTGGCGCACCATACTAGCCTCATTCGTATCGCTAAGCGCGGCGGTAAGCGCGGGGATCGAGGCGGGATGAGACAATTGGCCGAATACAAAGGCAACCTCGTGTCTAAAGAGCTCAGAAGTATCCTTGAAACCCTCGGCGAGGGCCAGGACGGCGGGCTCGGCGGTGGGCAAGTCGGGGTGAAGCCAGGTCGCGGAGGGCAAACATGGCACGGTATCGGAGGAAGAGAGGCTTGGAGGTGTCCATGAGGGTCTTGCCAAGTTGCTCAACCGACTCGTCTGCCTCGGGCATAGGTGGTGCGGGGTCGACGGAGGCGAAGTCACTACGTGTCAAGTTCCATACGTTAGTTGGCGTTTATCTTGGTGTAATCGAGGAAAGCTGGCAAGTATTCTTGACCACGAGTGGGGCTGAGGTGTAGAAAGACAAGGCACCAGTCGGCCTTTAATGGGAAAAATAGAAACCATGAGCAATCCGTAGACGAACCTCTGCTTCAATTTCTCCGCCTTGCGTTGCTCCGAGCTTTCCCACTCGAGCCTGTCGATGGCGATCTCGCAGGTTTCCTTGACGGCGACAGATTCGCCCTCGCGATCCCTGTACCGCCTGAGAAGCTCCAGACTATCTACATCGCCCAACGCACCGAGAGCCTCGGCAGCCTCATGACGGACCATGGGATCCTCTTCGAGGTTCTCGAGGGTCTCGCGGAGGCTCTTCGCCGCGGCAAGGTTGCCAGTCTGGCCGAGACAGTACGCTAGCTCATGCTTAAGGAGAGCAGAGGGGATTTGAGGGCCGCAGCAATGGCATCGATGGCCTCGAGGTTCTTGGGCTCTTCGGAATGCTTCGCGACGTGCTTGAGAGAAAAGAGGGCGCGGAATCGGACCGGGAGATGAGTGTCCTCGGAGCAGAGGGACTCGCGCAGGTTTGCGACGGTAACGTCGGCGGATGGCGACATGGCTGGCAACACTTTTGCCTTTTGGTCTTTTTCGTAGGAGTGGATTCGGGCTTTGAAAAAAACGCAAGAAACGGAAATGTTTGAACTAATCAACCCGGTATGAGTGTAGTGCGTGAGACAAGACCTTGCGAAGCACACCAAAGGACGAGGGGATGTGGCTGCGTGAGACGATGGTGGGGAGGAAATTTTATGGTGGGGTAACTCTTATCAATCTTATCAGGCGGTTTGGCGCGGCGACTGGCGGCAGGACTTGATGAATAGCGTAGGGCAGGCAAGCAAAGTTGAGGGCTGGTTCACGTCGCGGGACACCGGTCAACAAGCAAAAAGAGATAAATTATAAAACAAACCATGTGGCCTCCAAGGAATCCATTCGCGCTAATTTCCAAATTTATTTTTATTCTTTCTCTTGTCCGATCAGTAGGCTCATACAAAACGGTGTCTCCCCAAGTCGACCGATGTCGGCAGGGCGTGGCGGGGTCTTTTTTTCCTTCCCGCAGGCCGTGTGTGTGGTGCACTTCCAGCTCTGGGTACGACGGAATCATACTCCCAAAGACGCAGACGGGTATCGCAAGTGGAAGAGTGATGCACGCACGCACATACATCAAAATGCGGGAGACAAGGCACGGAATGCAGGATGCTCGGTGATCGCGCCCCTCAGTCTTGAGGCGCCTAGAGGCTAACGGTGATGAGAAATCCACCCAAGCCATCTTCCATTTGGCGTCATTGGCCATTATTAATCAACAGGACCAGACGACCTCAAAATCTCATGCCCCTCCAGGGCCCTCAGCGCCGACACTTTGCCACTTCACCTCCGTCGACCCTTCATCACTGAGAGTTCAAACGTGAAAGAGATTGAGGCTCAAAATTTTAGAACAAAGGACAGGCGCCAAGATTCACACGCGCACGTCACCAAACAAATGGCCCCCGCATTGGACATCTCCCCAGTGGAGGAGGTGCAAGATGTGCTCTCTAATCCCCTCAAGCAAAAGCCCCAGTTAGTCGCACCCGAACCCGAACACTGCCCCGGGCCCGAGTCCGAAAAGCAGGAACGGCCGACTCGTGCGCGGGCTGCCCAAACCAAAGATATGCGCATCGGCGCCCAAGGGGCCCGATCCGGAGATACCCCTCATCTCGGCGCGGCTTGAGGGCGTCAAGCACAAGATCCTCGTGCTGAGCGGCAAGGGCGGGGTGGGCAAGAGCACCTTTACCAGCCTGCTAGGCCACGCGTTTGCCACCAATCCGGACACGACGGTGGGCATCATGGACACGGACATTTGCGGGCCCAGCATCCCCAAAATGATGGGGGTCGAGAATGAGACGATCCACATCAGCGCCGCCGGGTGGTCGCCTGTCTGGGTGATGGACAACCTAGGCGTGATGAGCATCCAGTTCATGCTGCCGAACAAGGACGATGCCATCATCTGGCGAGGTCCCAAAAAGAACGGGCTAATCAAGCAATTCCTAAAGGATGTCGAGTGGGGGAGATGGATTTCCTGCTGGTCGACACGCCGCCAGGCACAAGCGACGAACACCTAAGCGTCAACACTTTTCTCAAAGAGAGCGGGATCGACGGCGCCGTCCTTGTGACCACGCCGCAAGAGACGTCGCTTCTCGACGTGCGCAAGGAGATTGACTTCTGCCGCAAGGCTGGTATCCGGATCCTCGGCTTGGCGGAGAACATGAGTGGCTACGTCTGCCATTCGTGCAAGCACGTTAATCGCATCTTTCGCGCTACAACGGGCGGGGCCAAGAAACTCGCTGAGGAGCAAGGAATTCCGTATCTCGGGGCCGTCCCTCTCGATCCCAGAATCGGGATTGCCTGCGACTACGGGGAGAGCTACTTTGATTCCTTCCCGGACAGCCCAGCATGCACTGCCTTTATGGGTGTCGTGAAGGGTGTTGCGGAACAGCTTGGGCTAGACATCGACAAGGTTCTACCACCGGGAGAGTAGGATTGGCTTCCTCTATACCACGAGGCTTTATACCCAAAGCATGCTCTTTTTCTTCTTCTTTTGTATCTCAACTTGGTAGACGGTTGCATTAGGTAGCGCGGCGCAAGGATATCTTTTTTCTTTTCTTTTCACAAACAGTGCATATCTCTCTTCAACTCCATCTCAAAAAGAAAGAAGACGTAGCGAACCTATCATGCCCCATGCGTCTCGGAAGTGATCACGCTCTTGCTCTCACGATTAGTCCCTACCAAACACTTTCCTGGACCATTCACTCAGAACCCAGCTTCTTCGGTATCTCCTCTAGATCTTCAACATTCTCAATATCGATAACACGGCCAACCTCGCTCGTGTTACGCATAAGTTCCTTGGCTCCGGCGTAAAGCATCCTCAGCTCACTATTGCAGGTAATGGGCAGGTAGTACAAGAGTACGTATGGGACAGAAAGACGTCCGGATGGCTAGAATATTGGAGAGAGATAAGGCAATCCGCGTTAGCATTTAGCACGGCAGACCCCTGCCATCCCGTTGGATGCGCGGCACGCTGCAGGTTCATCATCCCTGCAAAGTAGCTGGAGGGCAGGAAGAAGCGAGGAGGTGTAACTGTTATGGGACAGTGTAGGGGGCGAGTGTAGGACAGAGATGATTGAAAGAGTGTTGGATTTAGGTATATCGCGTCAAGGTGTACGCTTCGCCTTCGCTCCCCGGCTCATGCTTAGACGAAAGAGGAGGGGTGGACGGTGTGGGCACATGGCCATGTATGAAAACAACTACGTAGCAGTTTTACGCACCAGTGTCAAAGGATAGCTGAGGAGTACGAATCGTGGCGCATGATCGGGAAGATCGTCGCCTACTTCCTCAAGGGATTTGTAGACAACCTTGTCCTCATCCTGCTTGATCTCGTGTGTCGACTTGTCGATATAGTCTGGGTTTAGCACAGGTGGGTTAGTTGGCGCCGTTCGGCAAATGAAGACAGTGGAGGCAGCGCTCAAAGAATGGAAGAGCTAGACGTCGAGCCCGTGTTGGTGACAAGGTGACGAGCAAGCTTTTCATGTGGCTACATGTAGGCACAGGTCTAGGCGTGATGCCGATCTAGGGGACATACATATCACGGCTTGGGGATCGTTAGCGCGCGAGGTGCCCAGCCGGAACTTGCGCAGATGGTCTTTGGTCTCCTGCGAGAATGTATACAACCTAGCTTCGGCGCTCTTGTTCAAACAGCATCAAGGCAGGTTAGCAGGGAAGGGGTCGTCAACGCGAATGGGTGGCTTAAAACCGGCCGACCTAGAGAGACTGCTTACCATGTTTATTGATGGAAATTGTCTTAGGTCCGTCCTATGTGGCGAGTTTACTGAAGCCTACGGAGAGGATGGCGAGAGTGTGGATGAGCGGGGTCACGGAAAGGAAAGCTTCCACCTTGGGACAAGCTGGCGGCTGACCAAGGAATGAGGAGCTATGCGCAGCTCATCTCATTGATTCCAGCTCGAAGAACGATTACCAGCTCGACACTTGGAGCAGCTCGACTTTGCCCCCTTTGTGCCCCGCCTTGATTCCAAGCCCAATCAGAGAACTGTCTTGCGCTAGATGTGTCCGCCGTACAATTGGGAGCATCTGGCCCATCAAAGCTCAATCCAGTCATCCATGGATGGAGGTAATGGGTTCATGTCCTTGATGGATCCATCCAGGATGAATCAAACTTGGCCCTTTGACATCGAAGGATAATTAAAAGAAAACATAAGAATCAAACATCTATCTCTCCTTAACAAAGAAAATTAAAACCGTAATATTTTTTTACATAATCCAACAACTACTTTCTTCAGACGCTATCTCAGGACAAGCCGGTTAGGTCTGTTTGGTCTCTTTGTCTACAATTGATGTTAGCCATTGTCGGGCACTTGCCGAGTGTCGCAGTCCTCCACACAAAGGGATCCATACACCAACTAAGACGCATTCAGTAACAGGAAAGTGCCCACGCCTGCCGCTCGCGCCTTTTTCCGGCTCTCACCTCACATCCCATCACGATTAGCACATTCGTTGATGCACAAAACTGCCGATTAACCCCGGACACTTCGAACCACCCCCTTCTCGCATCCTACATAGATCGCTTTAATTTTCACCTTCAAAATTGCAGCCTATGTTCTCCCGACTGTCGCAGATTGCAAGGCACCTCCCCACCACATCTCCTGCACTTGCTAGATCTAGTCTAAACGCCTCTGCCCAAGCTCGGAGAATGGCGACAGCCGACGAGCGGAATGCCCGCGCGATTCACACCGCGGCCTGCCTCATTATCGGGGACGAGGTCCTGGGAGGGAAGACGGTCGATACCAACTCGGCATACATGGCCAAATGGTGCTTCTCACTTGGTATTGTAAGTTGATCCGTCTGAGCCCTTATGGACGGGCCGGCCCCGTGGAACGTGAGCTCCACGTGCGCCGACATCGTGACATCGCTTCGGTGACTCTAAATCAGACATGTTTGTCTAACCGCCGGCAGAACCTCAAACGCGTTGAAGTCATTGCCGATGACGAAAGCGAGATCATCGAGGCTGTTCGCCGGATGAGCGATAACTACGACTTTGTGGTCACGAGGTAAGCTTGACTCACTAGGTCACCACTCTTCCCCGCCGCCTATCTAGGTCGGCTCCCTCCGGGACCCGGCGACACGCCGGAAGAGAGAAACACGCGTGCTAACCCGTCGGCAAGTGGAGGAATTGGACCAACGTATGCATAACCCCCATGAGTCCCAATCCTTGCTTCTGCCCTTGCCTATTAACGCTGGGCTTCACCTTTCCCGGTAGGCATGATGATATAACGTACCAATCTATCGGCAAAGCGTTCGACCTCCCCTGGTCCTTCATCAAGCGGCGTACGACAGGATGCGCAAGATATCGGTGCCCCACCCCTCTCAACCCAACTTCAACTGGGATGAAGACTCACCAGTCAAGACAGCGAGGCTGAGAATGGTTCAGCTTCCGCTTGATGAGAAGCGAGACCTCGAGAAGCAGGTCCTCTTCCCTCACGAGGATCTCTGGGTCCCCGTCGCCGTCGTGAACGGCAATATCCACATCCTTCCCGGCGTGCCCAAGCTCTGTGAGTTCCCCCTCCTCTAGCCCATGCTGCAAAGACCCCGGGGTGGCAGGGTGCTGATCGATAATACGAAAACAAAACCAGTCCAGAAACTCCTTGACGGGCTTAATCCTTTCGTCCTCCCTCGGCTCGCGGAGGAGGGCAAGGAAATCTTCCGGGTCATTGTCGCTACACCCTCGCCGAGAGTCTCGTGGCTGGATATCTCACCACCCTCGCCGCGCAGGTGGAGCCGAAAGGTGTCAAGGTCGGAAGCTATCCGAGGTGGGGTGAAAGCCATAACACGGTCACCTTGGTCGGAAGAGACAGGGACTTCTTGGAGAGCCTGGTCCCGGAGGTGGAAAAGAACGTGCAAGGCAAGCGAATCGAGTCCGAGGATGTTCTCGACGGCTCAAAGGCCGAAAACACGGCAGACGTGTCTTGAAGCAAAATGTAGTCCAGCCTCTAGCAAGTAGATGTCACCTCGGCGGCAATGTTGGTGCTGTATCTGATGTGTACACACAACATCTAGAAACCCCCACGTCCCCCTTCCTAGAATCCTCATATACATGGCGTCGCAAGAAAAGAGTTCAGCGCGTCTATCGTCTATCGCACAATTTCTCCATGGGTAGGTCTTCGGACAGTCCATACCAAGGTATCTCGACTAGTAGACACGTGCAATCAATCTCGCCGGTCAATTTTTGGCCGACACATAAGGTGGGGCTGTCTGCCACTCCCACACGTCTCGGTGAGCCCATTCGAGCACCCCCGCGTGGGGTGCTGTTGCGTGCAAGAGAAGATCAATGGATCCGTTCAAGTCTAGTATTCATCGAGCGTTCTTTTGTGTTCGTCATCTTGTCCAAGATAAATTATGCTCTTCAAACACGCCCCCTCCCTTGTCGACTCCTCAGGGAGAGTGGTCCACGTGTGTGCAGTCTCTGGTTGAGAAAATCCAAGATCCCATGAGAAATATTCCAATTGTCTCGAGTTCCTAGCACACCCCTTGAGGAGGCGGGATGAAGTGTTTAGAAATTGAGTGGGAGTATGATGCCCCAGTCCTCTGGCTTGGGTTAACCAAGCCGATGAATCAGCCTTGATGGGTGTTGCCGTTGATGGGGCTTTCCGTTCATGGAAGTTTCCATGAATTCCACAGAGTCGGCCCCCTTTAACGTTGGATCCAATCCAATGAATTTTAAACGGCTCAAGCAACAATTGATTGCTCAACCGCCTTGGTGCCTATCCTCGCAAGGCCAAGCTACAAGCTAGTAGGGAAGCTATTGATCCTTCACCAAATGACCTCGACACCCATTATCGATCTAATAGTGTATTGATCATTCTGGCTCGTCTCTTTTTCCTCGAAGAAGAAAACAGAAAAAAAGCCCAGGCCGTCTCATTTCCCTTGCCTTCTTTTTCCAGTTCTCTCCTTGATGGCCATCCCCCACACATCCATTGTTTTCGACGGGGCACGGACAGGGATTAAGAGACCCCGTCAATGGATGGCTAGAGTCTCCTGGAAGGTGATCGATGCAGTGTTTCTCAGATGCAGCTAAAGGCTTAGGGCTGGTGCTGCCGGTTTCAACAAGAACGTTGGGCCCAAAGTACCGGGCATTTATTTACTGGGCTGTAACGTGGACTGCCGTGCATGGAGCTGTCCATTCGCCGGTTGCACGACGCAGCTGGTGCCTTTCATCCTTGGATCTCGACCAAACGAATGCAGTAGCCATTGACAGAGTCTGGTACGGTTCCGAACTGGGCTCCACAGGGCACATCAATTGACCCATAGAGATCCATTGTGTTCTCGTCTTGATAAGGCGTGGGACGGGTCGAATCGGGGACGCGCCACCCCACAAGTGATCTGACGGATTTGTCGAAGAATCGTTCGGCGTCGCCTAGCGATAAGTTAGCACATCCGCCTCATATTACAAGGTGGACTAGCTCCATCTCCTAGAGGAGAGCCCACCTGGCCCGGGTGCCTGGAGCTGAGGAATATTAGTTTGGAGGTCTCATCGAACATGGAGAGGAAGGAGATTGTGACGGGTGATGGCTCCGACCCCGACCTCTCTGTCGATCAAAACCATGCAACCCTTCTCCCCAGCCACAGAATGCCCAGAGAGCAAGCTCGGGCAAGGCCAAGTACATACAGAAACAGTTGGCGCAATTCATCGGTTCCTGCGAATGTAAAGCGTCCGGGTGCTTCAATGCTAGATCAACAATAGCAGCAACAAGCCCCCTTTTCTTCGTCTTCCACCCCTCGAGCGTAGATCCCATCCGGTGAGGATTGAGAAGGGTCGAGCCTGCTCGGCACTGTCCCCGAGTCAGGAAATAAGAGGGCCGATCCACACCTCAGTCGTGAAGTCAATGCCGGCTGCCGATGCTGAGGCGGGCCTAGAACTAATTATGGAGACAAAAAACAAGAGAGAAAAGAAAGAAAAGGACAAGAAGACGCAGTGGTTGTGGGAGACCGCAAGCCGCTGATCGGAGCAATGGCTCGCTGCATGTACTTGATGTAGAGCCTATCTCCAAGATCCATAGCTTCGTCCCTGATGCCCCCGTCCCGGTGTTCGGTGACTCGACTAGGCCTACTAGGTCCTCTCTTTGGCTCCCCTCTTCCGTCCTGTTCTTCGCTTCTTCTCTTTTCCACTTTTTCTTTCTGTCTTTCCTGCTAGCGTTCTCGCCATAGTCCCAAGTGTTCGTTAGCCGCACCGCCGTCTCTCCAGTGGGCGCGGGGCGGCTGACGGCGCGCACGGCTCCACCGTTCGGGTTTCGTAGAACGTGAAGATGGACGTCGACTCGCCGCCCTACCGAACCTCACCTTGGCCCAACTAGCCCCTCCAGCTGAATTTTTATTTATTTTTTGTCCTTTTTTCTACCCCTCATCTAGGTTTTGGGTGGTGGATGGTGTGGGTATGTGCGTCCTCCCCAAGGACAGCAGCATCATGCGCCCTTTTTCCCTTTTCCCCTTCAGCTCCTATCGGCAGACGCCACCCATTTCACAAAATGCCTAGTCAACAGCGAGCGGTGTCACCTGTGTCACGGAAAAATTTACAGAACATGACCTGGCTGGGGCCTAGTTTTCGAACACGCCGCGAAAGGGGAGGCTCACGAGCTGGAGTGGCGTCTTGTAATGGCGCACAAAGTTCTAATTCGCCGGAGCACGATCACGTCGACAGCGAGTGTCGAGCGAGGTTGAGAGCGATTCGAACTTGACACCTCCGGTGAGTTCAATGCTTGAAGAGATGCCCGAGCGGCATATCCTCGGGACCCCAAGCAGGCAACGTTTCCTCCTCAGACATAGTTATGGTGAGATCAGGCTTGCTCGAAATCGAGCTGGTTTCATGAGCGTCTATCCTTCCACAAACGTAGAGAGGGGATGAATCTACCAAATAGTACTTGTATATAGAGCCCTAGACTCGCCAGGTCGTAGTGTTGACGAGTATCAAAACGCACGAGTCTACTGAAGCATGGAAATAATAGCTACTAGATCAAACATCAACGTTGTATACTCTGTCTGCCTAACGGAGAATTATTATAAAAAATAAAAATAAAATGAAGAAAAAGAAATCTGTCGCGAAGCAAGATTTGGAGAGAACGAATCATGGCTGCAGGAACAGCACCTTTTTTCCTCAACGCCAACGGCTAACCGCCTTTTCGAGAATCTGCGACGCAATGCTTGTTTGGCGGAATCCCCCGATTGTCCTGTCATCACTAGTTTAGGAGTGCTGCATCTCTGATGTGATGCAGCGAGCGAATGGGATCATGAACTTGGGCCCCTCCCGAAGCTTGCAGCTCTCTCCTGCAGGAGGCGCGGCTGTGAGGAGGCACGGGACACTGATCGATGACGAAGAAAATGGGGGCAAGAGCGCAGATTGGGTGGCAAGCGATCTGGGGGCTGCCTGGTGCTTCCTGGTGCTTCCTGGTGCTTCCTGGTGCTTGCCGCCTAGACGACAGGTTTCGAGCTGTTCCGGACAGCGAGCGAGCCCTTGACCACCTTGACCACCACCTCTCGCTATCCGGTGGCCTATTTTGAGAACCTACATAGACGGTACGCGTCACGGCAGTCGTCGGGGACTGCCTGCCCCATGCATGCGGTTGAATGTTCTTTGGCGATATGATCGATCTCCTGCAATGTACATGTAGCCTCATGGTTCTCCTGGGCCCCGAAGCCTATTACATCGATTGGATTAGATGTAAATAACCCAAAATATCTATGCCTAGGTGCGATCAGCACACGGCCTGCATGTGTGGGAAGTCAGCCATGCAAGACAACACGACATGACAGTGGATCTATAAGAGCGTCGGTTGCCGAACGCCTCATCACCTAGGCAAAGCCGCTGTGGATATCACGTAGCATTTGGCTGGTATTGCTGAGCTGAAAAGAGGAGGCATGAGGAAGAAGAAAATAAGTTGACGATGTGCGTGGCTATGTACTTGTAAAAGGCCAAGGGCTCGTTCCCTATCTTCAAAATTTGTCAAAAAGGTGATGAGTCTGGGAAACGTACAAGTAGGTCTGGAGGTCTCGAATGCTCCTTTCCCCCAGCGACAAGATTCGAGTCGAGGGGTGGTCTGGGCTTGATAGATTGGTGGGCCTTCGAAAAGGGCGCCCCCAATCCCATGGGATGGTTGTAACTCTCCCCCTTTGACTGACTGGAGCCTCTCTTGCTGCCACCCACTTTCCCCCAAAGCGTTTCCGTGAGGTCGGCTCGCTAAGCTGGCCAATCCGCACCTGCGGGTTCCACACAGTCTGTCATTTCGAGGCTGTCTACTGGTACTATCTACGGCGGCTGGGGACGAGGTCCTGTGTGATGAGCTTGGGGGCGCGTGATTCGGTGCGTGCATCTTTCATTGATCAAGATGTCAAGTAATATTTGGGAACCCGAGATAATTACCATGGAAATGGGCCATATATCACTGGCATTCTTCAAATGCTTGTTGCATCCATGGCTTCGAACCAGACTTGGAGCACCAAATGTAGATCCGCTGCAGGATCACATCGTTAATACTGATGGATCAATTCAATGGACCCAATTGATCCATTCCATTGTACACTATCGTGTGGGGAGTGTTTGTGTGCCCTGGGAGTAGCGGCAAGGCCTCTTCCATCCGTTCAATTGATCTGCATCGACAGTGAGTTGAGGAGATGAGGCAGCACTGCTTGACGGCTTGAAGCGATTCATAACTTCAATCTTAGATCCAATATCATCGAGATTCGCAAATCCGTTGATAAACCTCAACTGTATATATGCATGCACACATTCATCTATGGATCCATCATTGATCCATCGATGCACTCTACTGCACCGAACATTTCAACACCAATCATAAAATGCACTTTCGGTTCCCTGCTGCTACCTCCCTTCTAGGTATGATGTGGAGAGTGGTAGCGCTAAAAACTCGGAGGATCCCAAATGTGGCAGGGAACTCAATTGATCGCTGCCAGCTGCTTCGGTTCATCGGCTCCATCTATGGATGTACACTACACTTCAAATCACCTTGATTAACCAAGAGCTGGCCGAAGCCAGAAAACAAAACAACTTATATTATGGGGCAAACCAAGGAAGGGAGCATCAATTGGCAACCAAAACCTCCAGTCAGTACAATAGAATGCACCAGCCGGAACCTCAGCCCCATCGAATAAACCGCTGCCGAGTACGGGAGGCAATCAAGGGGGCCGTAATATGGGAACAATGAAGCCCACGATGCTCGCCGAAATAGGCGATCTCTCCATCACCTTGCTTCCCATCCTTTTTTTTTCTCGAGATGGTTCCTGTGCTTGGTTACGACCATGAACCGAGGTACTCCTTACGGATTTCAATCAAACGGTTCCGTCCAATTGCCCGTTGAGCTTGCGATGTATTAATGTATCCTGCTCTTTAGTTTAAATAGGACAAGCAACTGTCGTTGTTTCCTGCTCCTCCTGCTGCGTTGATGCTGCTAGGCGCTGCTGGCGGTCGTGGTCGTGTCATGCCGAATTAATATGAAGCTAATTCGTTCGGAATTTCGGTGGATATTAACAAATAAAATCCCATACCCCCTCCCCCTTCACTTCCGCATCCTGTTCTTCCCCGACAATAGGTTCAAGTTAGCGGCTCCGCCAGTCAGCAGCTTCGAGTTGTCTCGCACAGGGTCAGACTATTACAGGACGACTCGGGTTTCTATTCCGTGCATGTGCAAGACTGAAGACTACGTGCTAATGCGATAACGTGGGCCGACATCCATGGGCGATGCTCCATGCTGAGGGATACAACATTATCACATGTGGGTGATCTACACCTAGCACGATAGGTTGAGGACCAAGGATTGAATTCCTCACTCCGCGGTGGCCAGACCTCCATCCATGTCGTATTTGAGTTAGTTGACGGGTTAAAAATGATCGACGTTGGGCCAAACGAGCACTACTGCGTCTTTCGCGCCACCCACTGTCAGAGGCGCCCGATGCTGGATCTAAGGCAGGAGCAATGCTTCTCTCAGCTTCTCGGATGGACCCTTGTCCCCTCCCCAAGCGTGGCCATGACTAGTATTCCGGGGCGGTTACGAGCAGGAAATGGCAACAGCCTTCCAATGTCGTCGATGCCGCTCAGGTTGGCGATAAACGATACTAGTTAAGCACCTCCTTGATTGTTCAAGGCGAACGTGGTCTGGTCCAGAACGGACTTGATTGCTTGCAAGGGCGTGCTGCGAGGCCCCACTCCCGCCTTGCCTGTGCTGCTTGGATGTGCTGCTCCAAGCTGCCGCTAGGGGTGTGATTTTTGTCGCCCGCCGCGGCCCGCCGCCCTTGGGGAATGAGGGATGGAGGCTGGCCGACCGGCCGACGAGAATGAACGGACAAGACTGGATCCTGAAGGGAGGTAGGGTGGATCAAGCGTTCGGCTCCCTCCAAAATTTGAAGGCAAAGGGAAAAGGGGAGATGTAGAAGGAGGCCGCGAAGCGATCGTCGGTCTTTTGATCGTGTGAATGGAATTTGATCAATCTGATGAACTCAGCTTGAGCATCGAGTGGATGAAACAGTGGTGTCAGTGAACGATAGGGGTATCTTTTGGTGGCTATCATTGATTGATGGCTGGCCCCAACAGAAGAGCCCAATCGATAGAAGAGGGCTCCACTGATTGTTTGATGAATGGGCAAAGTTGGGTGGTCCGTGATCTCTGTCCTCCCGCCTAACTAGGTTAGCATTAAGTTGCTGTGGTGTCGAGGAAGAGTTCGAGGATCATCCTGGGGTTCTTTTTGTCGTACTCTTTTTCTTTCTTTTTCTTCTTTCGTCCCCCTCTTCCCCTTGGATCAATCCACAGATGGTGTAACCTTGACAGTGTCTGTCTACTGCTTCATTCGTGTTCCAACCACATAATAGCCACCTGCTTTTGAAGTCTCAGGTTTCCATCGTATCTTCGCTCAAGGGATAGCTGCACAAACTTTGCCATCATTGATTCCTACAAACAGGTGCGAAAGGCCAGCATTGAGCTCCCTTTCTCGTCCGCGTGGGCGAATCAGCGAACGGTGGAGGGACAAGGGGGCTCCAGGCCGCACGCCCAAAGACCAACAACGGTCGGCGAAATTGAACGTCCTTCTTATCCCCGGCCTTTCTTTCCCTCCCTCCCTTGCCACGTTTTCTGTCTCGAGCTCAAGCGTGCTCTTGTGCTTCTTATCATTCTAGCGTCACGGTAACACCCAGTTCTTTGGCCCCCTTTCACCAACTCAAACCCTTGCCCCGACCCTTATTCCACATACACTACTTGTAGGGGTATGCTATTGTCGCCCGCCGCCACTGAACGACCACTTGTCTTGCCTCTTCTTCTTCTTCTTTCCTCGTCTTCGTTTCCTTTTTCTTCGACTTTTCCCCTTGACCACTTATCGGAGGGAATAGATAATCTAGCTTTGAAAATTCTGGCCGAAAACCAATAATGGCAACAGAGCAATGACCAGACGCGGGGCCGCTTGGCTTTCCAGAGCGATCAATGAACGTGCTCTTCGGGAGCCGCTGATCTCGCGTGGATGGCAACCCCCAAAGATTGGAGGATATTCAAACGGGGTGCTCTGTGGAGGAACCCCAATGACGGCTAGTTAGGAGCCAGCTTGCCGGCATGCTCACCTGTTCGCAGAACTTGATCCGTCGTTTCAATCGTTGGTTGGATCAACGGATGCGTGGAACTGCAACCTTTTTTCTTGCATCACCAGATGTACACCTCCTTGACTACACTACATCAATGTGCCCTCATACCCCAGGTACTGTACATCAATCCCATTCCCCTCCCCCAATAAATGCTATCTGAAAGCACCCACCGGCCTATCCTCCGGAAGGCGGGTAGCATTTAGTGGTGGACTCACCGTCCTCGCAGCGATCAATGTCACAGCACGAGTGTACAAGCTCGGTTTCCTTGTGGGCGCGGTGCTGGAAGTACTCTTGAGGAACGGCAGTCGAGGTACCCTGGATTTCTCCCAATCCACGCCCCCCTTTCCCCCTAACCTTCTTCCACCCCTCCACAACCTCACACTTCCTTCCCAACTTCCCCTTCCGCCGCACACCTTGCAACTTCCCATCCGTTTTCCACCCCACCTTTAGAATTTCACCTATCAAAGTCACCGCTAGGCGCACAAACCATTTATGGGTACCTCGCTCCGTCCCTCAGACCCCAGGATCAAGCCCGAGCTGCATGTACTCCGTGCACACACTGTCACCAATCCCCTATTATCCTACCGCTTTTGTTTTGGCATCCCAAAACCCTCCCTTCCCAATTATTTCATTCACCTCCGCCTCTGCTCTGGTCCGTTCCTACTCCCCATACCCTATTATTCCTCTTCTTCCCCATCCCCAGTCTGCCGCCCCCTACGCAGAACCTTCCAAGCCAAAAGAGCATCGGACAATCAACCCACGATCCGCAGGTCCTTCCATCAGCTCCCACCTCGAACTCGCTTTCCCGAACTCAGCCGATCGTTGTATTGCTGTTCGCCACCTCGCTCCAGCTCCAGCTTTATCGCCCGTTTCCCCGAGTCTGGTGGACTGTTTCCGGCGGCTACATCGCGAGCCCGCTCCCGACCATCGCCTTGCTACTCGTCACCTTGGTTTCTGGGACCTGTCGCCCGCAACCAAAGCCTCGCTTGTAAGGCAATATCGTCTTGTCGACTTCCAGGAGCATCGGAGGAAATTCTGTTCTCGGTCCAACGCTTTCCGAGCCCTAGTCTGCCGTCACAATGGCATCCAAGGTGAGTTGACGAAGACTTGTGCATACCGTTTCCACCACTGCCACCACCACCACCACCACCACAATTATCGGCTTGCACAAACTACTCGCCGTGGCGACATTTCCACGAGGAGTCCAAGCCTCTATGCCCTTTGTTCTTTTTGTCGAACCTTGATTTAACCACATTCGGCGTTGTCGCTTTTCCAAATTCTTCTAACTAACGTTTAGTCTGCCTCTATGCAGTTCCTTCGAGAATACAAGCTCGTTGTGGTAGGAGGGGTGGTGTTGGCAAGTCTTGTTTGACTATCCAGCTTATCCAGAGCCACTTCGTCGACGAATATGATCCCACAATCGAAGGTTAGCCCCCCCAAAGAGATCTGTCTGCCCCCAGCGCGCATCGAACCTCGGTCTCGCAGAAGAGCGGAAGAAGAAGTCAAGCTAACTAGAGAGTATTTTGACGTAAAATGTAGACTCGTACCGCAAGCGATGCGTCATTGACGATGAACTAGCGCTTCTCGATGTGTTGGACACGGCGGGACAAGAAGAATACTCAGCGATGAGGGAACAATACATGCGAACGGGAGAGGGCTTCCTACTAGTCTACTCCATCACATCGAAGCAGAGTTTCGAGGAAATCAGCCTATTCCAGCAACAAATCCTAAGAGTGAAGGACAAGGATTACTTCCCAATGGTGGTTGTTGGCAATAAGTGCGATTTGGAGAGTGAGCGAGAAGTCAGCAGGCAAGGTACGTCCCGTGGCCGAGAGGAGACCTGTTTCTAAACCCCTTCCTCCCCTCCCCTCCCTCTCCACCAGCCGAGCGTCGAGCTCGATAAATGCTTGATTATGTACTTACTTGTATCGCATTCTAGACGGAGAATCGCTCGCAAGGTCTTTCAACTGCAAGTTTATCGAGACGTCAGCAAAGTCCAGAATCAATGTCGACAAGGCCTTCTACGATCTCGTCCGCGAAATTCGAAGGTATAACCGCGAAATGCAAGGCTACTCGACCGGCAGCGGAGGTATTTCCGGCATCAATGGGCCTCCTAAGCCGATGGACATCGAAGGTGGCGAGAAGGAGCCTGGCTGCTGTGCCAAGTGTGTGCTGATGTAGAGAGTTGTGTAACAAAACAAAAAGAATCTACTTCGGGCGCTGTTGCCAACAGGGAGGGTCGCCGGAGGTTTGGAGAAGGTGGAGGGGCTTGTCCACTTGGATTAAAAGGGCCAGAGGGAACCGAAGATACGGTTGAGGAAGACCAAGACGTGGGGGTAATCATTGGGGAGAGGTGGGCCTCCAGCTACGGGGCGTATATCGCATGTTGGCGCGTCATATAAAAGGGCTCCAGTCACCACACCACTATATTGATGTTGGCTGGGCTTGCTGAAGTGAGGATGGGTGACATCTAGGATCTGTGGATGCTTGGGTTAGTGCCCTTGAGGAGGATTTTTAGAGCGGCCCAGTTGCTCCGGGCATAGCCAACACTCTGGACATGGCATCACTGCCGGCCTTCCCCTTACCTTTTTTTTGTTACCTTTTCTCCCGCCTCGCCATTTTCTTGCTCCGTCTTTTATTTTGTCTCTTCTTTTTTGTCTCATTTTTCTCCTTGGCAGCGGGCTATAGGCATACTTCAAAATCTCGGACCGGAGATACCAAAACCATCGATATTTCTATTGCGACTGCCCTAATGTCTTGATCTCGCTGTCCCGGAAAAGACTTGAATTTCCCACCTCATTTGTCTCTCTAGATTCCCCACGCAGCATGGTCATCGCTTACCCTGCCTCGTTCCTCGGTGTGATCTTCTTTGTGTTCTGGCGGCCTTCCTGCGACCTCGCTACCCTTGGGCCCGTTCCTCTAGGGTGCGAGGGATAAATCAGATCTGCATAAGTCTCCCCGAACCCCCATCATCGGGCTTGTTGACATGCAAACCAAACCGCCGCTACAGATTACATGGCTGATACTGACGCAGCGCGGGTGTCCAGTCCGCGCGAGAGCCTGGACATTGCCGGTATTAGGTGGTTTCAAGCCACTACCATGCTTGGTCCAGCAAGTAGTTGAATCGCTGCCAACCTGCGCTGTCATGCCCGCCAAACCAGTTTCCAATTTTAGTCCGATCGGTGACCACGAGACGCCGTGTCCCTGTCCACACCTCAGGGTCTATCACGGCACCGTTACATACAAGGCATATCCAAACGGCGTGGAACTCTGGCAGGGCCGTCCCCTGAACTCCGCCATCGAGCCCTGGGCGTTCTTGGCACATGGGGCAGATGGAGCAGCCAAAGGTACGACCCCGCCACCACTGCATGACGCACCCCTGCCAGACCATCCTTTCTGAGAGATAGACGCGGTGGTAAGCGCAAAGCCGGCGGGACATGATCTTGTCCATGCAATCGCATCCGGTGATATCCATGGCCAGCGCCCCTCTCCAGCTACCACGAGTTGTGGTGGAGTCATCCACATCCGCTGTTGGGTCATTGAAGTGCACCGCTGGGGTAAGGTCGTCTTGGTCGGCTGGGTTAGTAAATCCAAAGACTTCATAGCCCGTTCCATCCCAAAGATCACTTCTGTCTCGGTTACTATACGCAATAGAGCATTCCATACAGAAGTAGGCTCTCATTTGGACTATGTTCTGTCCGTCAAGTATGCCGTTAGGGTTATCAGATTGTTGTGGCGCCCAGATACCGGCTTTGCTCGCCTGGTCGCACCGATCACAGACGGCGTGCGAGACTCCGTGACGGGTACTCTCACAGGCTTGATGGGGCATAGCGACTAGTAGACAGCCGTCGTTACTAACGGGGAAGGGTGATTCGCAGTTGGCATAGTTTCTAGGCGCGCCTGGGCTGGGAGGCAGTATGCACGCATACATGGGTATTTCTTCAAGTACGTATCGCCAGGGCTGGATGCAAGCCAAGGCGCCTAAAGACTCTATGTCGCCTGAGTGATAAAAGTCGTTTTGCATCCCCTGTCTGCTCGTGTCCCGGATCTGGCCCTGTAAATTCCACGGGTTTACAGGCGTCGGGTTCATCGGCGGGGTGATGGAGATTGGTTGAGGCTCCACACACTGACTCACTGCCATATGGCTCAGGGGCTCAACACCGGGCCATAGTCGATTTGAAGAATGGGCGCCGGGACGGGATGGATGGTTGAGATGCCAACCGCGACAGGCAGGCCGGTGGCGTACATGTAGATTAGATATGGCCGTGGCCTCGCGTGGGTTCGACCAGACAGTTCCATGGTATGATCTATCCCCACGTCCCTGTTTATCAGCACACGCATCATGTCGTTGACCCGTTTTACGCTAGCATTGGGCTCGAGGCTTCTCGTTGCGTCAAGAATGTTAATTCCATTGAGAAGATTCAGTCGGTTGGTCATGATAGTTCCCATGTGGGGCTCAGGCGGAGGTTCGGGTGGATCTTCGTCCATTTCCCCTGATGTGTCTGCGTCATGGGCTGAAGGTGAGGAATGGATCTGGAAGGGGAACTACTCGCGGCCGCCGCGGGCAATGGTACCGCCAACGGGTTGAGCGCAGTGACCCAGGCCGGGTGTGAGAGGCGGGCTAGTGGCTGCGCCATGCGGAAACTATCCTCGACTTGTTCACGATGCATGGTAATGCCGTTGCCGCCCATGCCTGGCGCGCCTTGCTCCACATCCTGCAAGTTTTGCGGCTCGTATATGGGAGGGAGCCAGCCATAGCCCGGAGGCCGGTATTCGTTGGGATACATGGCTTGGAGCATGACCTCCCGTTCCAAACAGCGCTGCATCATGACGAGATTGTCTTGCGGGGTCTCCTGGTTGGCGTGCCACGTGTGTTTTACCGTGTCCATGCCGCCGATGATCACGCGGGTCGGATCCGCCAAGCGGCGATTCGTATCTCCTATACCCATCGGACCGTGCTTCATAGCCATGTAGTGGTTGGGCCGTCTATCGCCCCAATGCCTGTCCGCGAAGAAGGTACCCAGCCCGAACTGCACCATGGCGGCTCCGTCGTAGCCCGGCGGCATGAGGGCGAGGTTCGGGTTTCGGTCCGAGATATTGTCCGCGTCCGCGACGGTGAGCGCGGGATTATGAGTGTTGATCATGGTCAGACACCCTGCGGATTTGCGTGGCAGGCCTCGCAGGGTCGCTTATGCTCGCACGGCAAGCGCGCCGTCTGGCACGGTCGGCATTTCAAGAACCACCGCCACGGCGAGCCCCGGGGCGTGGCGGTAGATTCGAAGAGCTGCTTCCAATAGGGTCTCGGAGCGCGGACAACGGGGGCCGGGTTGTCGGGCCGCAGCCGGTCGAAGCAGTAGAGTCCGAGCTTCGCGCAGGTTTTGCAGGCGCACCACCAGCTCCCTACGTACCCGAAGCAGGGGTGTTGTTGTAATAGCAGAACTCGCACTGCGTTCTGTTTTCGTACGGGTCTACCACGTCCGGGTTGGGGGTTTCCGTCGGGAAGACGACCTTGGACCCGTTTCCGGCCCTTTCTCGCCCAGGAAGCTCGAAGGGTGGCGGGGGCAGCGGGGATCCCCGGGATGATTTGGCCGTTGGCGTCAAGACGGGGTAGCAGATCGGGGTACGGGAGAGTGAGGTTGAAGTAGTCTTTGAATTCGAGCTGGATGGTCGCGTTGGTGAGGAGGCTTCCCAGTTGGGGTGCGAGTCCGGTTGGTCGGGGGTCCTCGACCATGAGCAGCACAAGCCCTCGCCTTCCGTCTCGGTTAGCACGCAGTGGCTGCAGGGATAACCGGAGCCGTAGTTGGCGTTGGACGTGACCCAGGAGCATATCCTCCCGCCCCTCACGCACGCCCTGCACATGATGCGATAGCCGCGGTGTCCGGCGTCGGAGAACAATCGGGGCCCGAGACTCGGCGAGCCCTGGACCGTGCAGTCCCTGCCGAGCGTGGTGCAGGTGGCGCACTTGACGGAAAGCTGGCGGTCGGCGTCGCAGACGCGGCCCTCGCCCGCGCAGTGGACGCACTGCCAGAGCTCCTGGGTGGAGAAGTCGACCAGGAGGTTCGGTACCCGCCTTCGCACCATGGCGCCGAAGCCCGCCACTTCGCAGCTGTGGTCCACGTTCATGGGGTGGTTCATGGCCCGGAACTCCATGCATTGGTCGCACTCGGCCTGGTTGGCGACGTCGACGTTGCAGCCGGGGAGTTGTGCTGGATGCAAAACGTGCATCTCGCGGTCCCTGGGGGCGGAGGGGCGGGGCCGCCTGCTGCGGCTGCGCGAGTTGCGGTAGTTGGGGCGAGGCTAGTGGAGGGTTGTACGTCGCCGGGGGCGGCTGCGGGGCCGGTTGCGGTGCTGGCTGTGGGGCCGGTTGCGGGGCCGGTTGAGGCGGTGGTTGCGGATTCGGTTGCGGCGGTGTTTGGGGCAAAACTAGCGGCTGAAAAGGCTGAGAGGGTGTGGGCCGGGTTCTCTTAGGGGCCGGACGCCCTCCACTGTTGTCGCTACTGCTTCCATCCTCGTCTCCGCCTGCAGCGGCTCTCTTGCGCCTCCGAAGCCACTCGAGCGGATCTGGGGCCTCCATCCAGCTAATCAAGTGTGTCCGCCAGTATACGGTAAGTCTGCTGAGATGGTATCGCCAGTTACGTCTTCTCGTACCTCTTCTTCTTCTTCTTCTTCTTCTTTTTGTTGAACACCAAGCAGAGATCTCTTGAGTAGAGTTGAATGCAATTCAATTGATGATAACGCGGTCTCCTACTTCTTGCCCCAGGGACTGCAGTCCTCCTGTATATATAAAAGGGCCCTTTCTATTATCCCAGGATTTATATTTCTTTTGCCTAACCTTCATTCTACCCACCTAACTAATGGTATCCCCTTTGAATCTCATGGAAGAGCTATGTCAAAAGACTTTGTTGAACAAAAGTTGTCCATTCTTGTCTGGAATTCTGTAGCTGTTAAAGGCATTATCCCATCTTTGGTCCAGTATGATGGATTCTTGAATCCCCTCCTTTCTTGTCCTCATTTCTAGGCTTGGTTGGCCTGGTAGGAGAAGATTAGAAACGGATGGCTACGAGTTCAAAGAACAGACTGGAATGGAACATTGGGGGACGTTCCTCGACCTCGACCTCGACAAAGAGGCACGGGCAGACACAATGGAGCGAAAAGAAAGTTGGTTTCAATCATATTCTTAGTACTACTAGAACATCAATCTAATTTTGTCCGTGGAATTCCAGATTGGGAAATGCAAAGACTAAACCTCTCGAGTGCGTTGTCGCGAGAAGCTTTGATGAAGTTCTCTTTATGAATTCCGCCCACAGCCACATTTATCTAGACCCTGGACGCTAGCTTAGGAATTCAAGGCAACATAGAGTGCCCGAGTATGGGACACATGACGAAATAATAACTCGGGCTTTGAAAAGAAATCGGCAAAAGAAGCCTTGCGTAGTGATTCCGTTGGTTAAGCAGGTGGCGAGCGAACTGTAATACAAGCCCATTTACCCCTTCAAGACCTTTATGGCTTTCTCAAGATCCACACTTTTGTCTGAAGCCTCATCCTTTGCGCCTTTGTCCGAGCCGAATCGCCAACCAACATGGCAAGGTGCTCGGCATTGAGACCAACCACCCATTCCTGGCTAAACACCTTCAAGGGGCTCTTGTCGCCGTTGAGGAGACAGTAGTCGACGGCTTGCAAGTATAAATTGTCCAGAAAGCGCTTCTTGGCTACCTTGTAATAGGCTCTGAGGGTGTCGTGGATCTCGTTCTTCACATGGTCAACATTGCTCTCGCCCTGTTTCGTCTGTCCGAGAGATGCAAGATCAATCGTGACAACGTTGCTTGAGCTATGTTAGTGCTAGATTCCCTGCAGACTTCACGAAGCCTTTTGCTCAGACGGTCTAATCGAGCCTTTTGAACCTCGCCGCTGTAATAATGGTTCAGCGTGTACGGATTCAGGGTAGTCTCCACGCGTGTGAGATGCATGGCCATCCGCATGCTAGCCCTGTAACGAGCTATGGTCTCGTCCGCAATAAACAACCAGATCTCGTCGTCTACACCATCGGGGCATACCTGGCTGAGGACAGCGCGAATGAACCTGTGAACAATGCGAATGCACTGGCCGGTGTAGGCCCTAGCGATGAGAGTCCAGCGTTTCGACTGCCCCTTGAAAGCGCCACAGAGGACGGCGTTGCTGAAAGCGGAAAGCTCTGGGCCTCTGTATTGCTGATATATAGTCCCAATCCAGGATCTGATCCCAGATTTCGGATGACCAAGCCTTAGAGCATGAGGAGGAAGCTCACAGAGACCAGCGATACCATCTTGATCGAAGTCGTCCACCGAGGCATCGCCCTCGGGGCCTCCGAGTTCTTCAAGGGCCTGTGTATGGTCAGTGTGGGGATCCTCCGGGTTTGCCTCATTTTCGGGCCTTTTAAACTTCCACTCATGACCCTTTTTAGAGAAGAAGGCGACTAGTTGGTCGGCATGCTTGACCATCGTTGTGCATAATCTTAGATTCGGATTCTTGTCAAACGCGCTATCCTGCGAATATTGGCACGTGAGGGCTGACGCGACAAGGTTTTGAAACCTAGCCGCGATCGAGCTAAGATAAACCCTTTGCTGCTGCTCGGTCTCTCTTGGAGAGCCCATGGTGTCGAGGGCGATCTGGTTCTTCATCTGGAGGTTAATAACCTCTTGTCGCAGTGGGCCGAACTCTCTCCTGGTGATCTCGCTTAGCAACTGGGTTAGCTGCGACTTGAGAGCGGCCACGCCGACTCGATCTCTGGGTAGCGAGTCCCAGGGGCTGCGTTGAACATGAGCTCCCTCTCGGCTGCCGTGGTGGCTGGACCCTCGTCAGAGCCACGGTTGCGCACCACGTAGTAGCCTAGGGTTAGAGGCTTCTTTCTCCCAAGGACAAGGTCGCAAATAACATTTTTACCGCTACGCTCCGTGACCGTATCGGGCTTCGTGAAGACGCCGAGAGTGCGTTCCCCATCTGGGTCGTGGTCCTCAGCGAGGGAAAGAATCTCCTGAGTGGCAATATCGACATTGCTAGGGAGTACGGCGATAATAATCGTGCGACGATCCCGCACATATCTCTCCACCATGCTCCGCACCATGGCCATGTCGTGGCGCGTGATGATGCCATGGGGATTACGGAAGATGCCTGGAACGTCGATGATGGTGAGGTAGTCCTCTTTGGGGCTGCAAATTTCAATCTTGAGAACATCCTCAGTGAATACTGTCCCGGTAGTATCATCGCCTTCTATGACGCTTGAACGGATTTCAAGGCACGCATTAACCTGTTCAGTCTTCGTGGTTAGGCGAGCAAAAAGTAAAAGCATAGTGTTACACAGCGGAACACACCTCTTTTAGGAGCTCGGGAAACTTGTCTCGAAACTCTTCGGGCGTGAGAGGGGCGTGTTTGAAGCCTGACAGTCTTTGCTGTCTTTCGCTGGTTGCGTTAGGCCCTGGGAGCAGGCTGATTTCCACCCGAGATTCGGTGTCCCTGCGGGACGTGATCTGAGTTGCATAGCGAGTGCAGAGCTCGACATTTGTTGGGAACGGAATTCCGGTAAGGGACTCTAGCAGCGAGGACTTCCCAGAGCTCTGGTCTCCCACGACGACCATCTACGCTGAGTGATGAGTAAAGGTCGCCAACACCTAGGTTTTAAAACAAGCAAGTTGGAGACTGGGAGGAGGGGCCCGTACCTGTGGAAGAGGGACTAGAGTGCCAATGTTCAGCTCGCGGAGCTGATCTATCTTCCTGAGAAGAGCCGCACTCGCAAGAGTTTCGTCCATGGTGTAGGGCACGGGGGATATTCTTTGTGCGGGGGCAGCGGAGATTAGAATAGATGCCAAAGTGAAAGGCGGAGAAAGGTAGGTAGTTTTGTTTTTCCTTCAAATCTCTGGTCTAGATAGTTTCTAGGGGATGGTGATTAGGATAAACGAAGTCTCTTACGTTGGCAGGACGAAATCCTTAGTTGATTATATACTTTATGTTGAGGAAGGAGAGACTGGCGCACTCATCATCCTCTGCTTCCACCTAGACAAACCAATCTTGCATTTACAAACCAGCATACGTCGGATGTAGGGTTAGTGCCGAATACTTTTCTAGACCTTCGTTTTTTACAAGAGTAGCAGCGTTTGGATGACTAGGACGCACATCTCCGCTGCTCGGAGCCGACAAACGTGCTTGGAAGCCGACTCGCAGTGCAATCATTTCCAGGCTGATAAAGCCGCCCTATTCAAACGATGCTTGGCCAGGAACCGTTGCAGCTTCCAGCATATCTTTGATTGAAAATGGAAATCCGCATTGGGTCTATATGGCATCTGTGTCCATATCCGGGATCCGTCCACCAATCCGGAGAGGTGGGGGCCAAATACGGATGCAAGACGCCGGATTCGTTTCGGCCCCACTCGGAGTTTCCGGCGACACGGAAATGCTTAAAAGGAAAAGAGTGTCTACAAAGTAGGTAAAAATGAGAGGTTATGGGCTAATTTGGAAAAAAAAGGTGTATCTCTGTATTCATCGCTATTTGTCTAAAAGGAGTGTCTGGGTATCTAGTTCATATGTTTTCATCAATAAAAAAAGGAAGGAGTGGTAGTTTCGTAAATAGCGTCGTAACGTCGATGGAAATAGTCAATCAGCGAATGCTCGAACGTAAAAAAGTCATGAAAAAAAGTCATGAGAAAAAAGAAATGTGGGAAAAAAAAAACACAGAGAATTGTCCGCCTGATAAGGTCAGGAACGGTTCAACCTCTTCGGATCAGCCCCTTCCATTCTTTGACGCTCCGTGAAAACAAGGACAACAACGCCGGGTACATGTATGGGATCTGAAATACAAAAGAAAATGAAGAAAAAAGGGCCACATAGGGAAATATCATAACGGAGGGATGGTGAGAGGTTACCTTTTTCCCACCCGAGACGCTTAAATGAGGAAGAAAAAGATGCCGACAAGTGCCGGCAAGAACACCGACGTGATGCTGGGCAGGATGGAACTACCCGAGGCCTGGGGGAAGCCGCTTGGGCCCGCGGCACCCCCGATCCCGTTCCATCCCCAGTCGACGTCGGAGCGATGGGGTCCGCAGTGGACACGCCTGACGCGCTGGGAGTGTCCGAGGGAGAGTCCGAAGCGGAGGGAGCGTTGGGGTTGTCAACCTGCCCACCGCCCGTTGCCGAAGCCGAAGTCGTCGCTGGCGCGGGAACAATGGGGTTAGGCGCAGTGTTGGTGTTGACGGCGGCCTGAGACCTCGTGTCCACGCCGGGCGGCGTGCCCGTCACTATGGGCTCCGGGTTATTGGCGGGAGGGCGGCTTGTCTGGATGGGGGTTCCGGCGCTGCCGTCGCAGTAGTTGACGAACTGGAGGAACTTGTCGGTGAGGTAGACGCGCGAGGGGTCCTTGACGCCGCCCGAGTAGTCCTCGACGCAGAGGTTGCATGTCGCCAGCTCGAGGCGGAACTGCGAGCCCGTGGCGCAGAGGGCGGCCGTTTTACCCGTCTTGGTGGTTTCGAGGTAGGCGTTGTTGCAGTCGTCGAAGCAGACGGAGGGGTAAATGGTCGAGTCCCGCTTGAGGAGGGCCCGCGGGTGCGCGTGCTTGCCGGTGGTGGGGTAGGCGGTGGGGACGTCCGAGGGAGGGGGTAGTGGGTGATGGACGTCTGGGAGGCGTAGTTGCCCGTGGTCAGGGTCTTCTTCTTGCCGTGGATCTTGGTGACGATCTCGCGGGGCGGCTCAAAAATGTCAAACGACAGGCCAAAGGCGCGCGGGTCGAGGTTAAAGTAGCCGTCGGTGGGCGGGTACCACGAGGTCTCGTTGGCGGGCCACTTGGTCTTGACGACGGGCGGCGCGGGCACGCAGTACTGGGGCTCGCAGACAAAGTCGTCGCTCGGGGAGTCGGCCCAGAGGTTGCACCCTTGAGGCTTGGGCGGGCTGCAGATGTAGCCGGGCTTGCAGCCCCAGGTGAGGTTTGATTTCTTCTTCGAGTCGGCCGGGGTTGCGGGTGGTTTGGCTGCCGAGGTGGGCGCCGGGCAGGCGAGCACTTCGGTGATGGTGAGGGTAGTGGGTCCGGCACCGGGAAGGGTGACGGTGGCGGTGGGGCCCGGGGCCCGGGAATAGTGACGGTGACGCCAATGGAAGAGATGATGGTGGTGACGACGGTCGAGATGTCGGTGGAGATCACGGTGATGACCGCGGTCTCTCCTACGGTGATGGTCACGGGGTAGGACGTGGGGATGGTGAGGGTCGTGACGACAGTGGTGGGCACAAAGTATGTGGTGGGTACGTTGACTGTCACGGATCTGTCCACGGTGACGGGGTTGTCGATAGTTACCGGCCTGTCTACAGTAACCGGGTTGTCCACGGTGACGGGCCTGTCCACAGTTACCGGGTTGTCGATCGTGATTGGTCTATCCACCGTCACTGGGTTATCTATCGTCACAGGCCGATCCACGGTCACGGGCCTGTCCACGGTGAAGGGATAAGACGATACTTCGGTGACGATGCGCTCAGTGGTAATGGTGGAATAGAGGGTCACGGATTCGACGACTGTGTACGGAATGGTCTCGGTGACGGTTTCGGTAGAGTACAGCGTGGTGGACCGGTAGTCGGTTTCTACAATGGTGGTAGGCTCCTTTATGGTGGTGGGTTCCTTTATGGTGGTGGGCTCCTTCACAGTGGTGGGCTGCACGACGGTGACGGGGTAGGAAGAGAACTCAGTCACCACCTCAGTGGCCGTGGTGGTGGAGTAAAGCGTGGTGGAGTCGACGACGGTGTACGGTACGGTAATGACAGAGGTCTGGATGCTGTAGATTGTGGTGGTGGACCACAGCGTGGTGGACCAATAGTCCGTCGTGGGCACAAGCAGGGTCTCGACCTGTGTATGCGTCTGGTATTGCGTCTCAATCTCGCTGTGAATCTGGGTTTGCACCTCGGTATGCACCTGAGTCTGCACCTCGGTTTGGACTTGCGTTTGCACCTGGGTCACCGTGTCGTAGATGGTCTTCGTTACCGTGCCGCAATAGCTGTGGCCCTGAGGGGTGAAATTCGCAAGCTCCTCCGCACGCCCGTAGATCTCGCTGGACGGAACGCAACTGTGGTACGTAGTGACGGTAACGGGAACAGACTAAGGGGGCGAATCCAAGGTTAGAGGAGAGATAGCATCAGACGGAGAGGAAACCGGGTCCTTACCTCGACCTGTGTGACGGTCGTGTAGTAGTCCGTCCCGGGCACAGTCACGGTATCATACACCGTGGTATGGGCAACCTCTGTCGCGTACTGCGTCTCGGTATGCGTGACAGTAGCGTAGACCGTCTCACTACGACGCGTTCCGGCAAATGTTAGCTTATCGCCGGACGCTTTTTCCTCGACCCCTATGGAAAGAAAATATGGGAGGGGAACTACTCACGTAACAGGCTTCGGGGGTTATGGCCACCGCCGCCGCCGCCGCAGAGCTTGTCGCAGGACTTGCAGATGTAGGGCAGTCCGAACTTGAGGTCGATGCCGGCAATGGTCTCGCCGCCGTACGTGTCTACGCCGACGCCCACGTCTATGCTACCACCACCACCCCTTTCCGTCGCTCCGGTGCTGACCTCGCCCGTGACGTTAACGCTTTCGCGTCGGTTCAGCATGGGCCTCTCGAATTCAGCGTCCGGTCCCGGCTCAGCAGCGGCGGAAGCCATCGCAAATAGCGACCCGGCAAGGGCGCCAAAGGCGACCCAGCCCCGGGCATGCCGCATTCCGAAAAATAACGTGGAAAAAGACGGCTCTTGGCAGGGTTTCCAAACGGGCCGGTCGGCCTTGGTGGCAGGCAACGAGGAGGAACGGGTAGAGGGTGAAAGCTTAATAGCCTAGTCGGGGACGTGCAGATAGGGTCATTCGTTTTTGAGGACCCGGGGAAGCAAACTTATTCGAGTATGGGCGCTTATACGAACAGCGAGCGTATACGAAGGGAGAGCGCAGAGGGGAGCGCCTTGGTGATTTGGACTAACACCAGAGGTCAAGAAGAACGGTCTCAGGCGAGGTATGGTGAGCCGAGGGAGGGTTGTTATGTTTCCGGGATCGAATGAAAGACATCCAAAGGGAAAGAAAAGAAAGAGACGGGGAGGCTGAGAGGGAAGGTAGCTGCAGCAAGGGGCGTTGGGCAGCGGGTACGTTTATGTATATCTAAACCCTTGTGATGCCGACAAAGGCAGCAGGAAACCTGCCTGAAGACCTTTTTCTTTTTAACATGTCTCCCCCGGTTACCGCTACCCCGATCTCTCCCTCTCTTTCTATCCATCCCCAGCTCCAGTAGCTCCACAGCTTCTCCGTCAGGAAACGACGGAGCAGAAGCGGAGCTGGACAAGCATCTTCAAGCTCATCATTGGTCCAAAGGGTTGGGTGTGGTCGTAATCTCGACAGCTTCGTACGGCTCGAGTTTTCTTCTCCTTTTCTTTTTTGGGACGAGGCAGCAGCCCCTACCTCCGAAGAAAGCACTTAAGCTTAGCACAAGGGAGGGGAAAGATGAAAAAAAGAAAAAGAAAACAAAGGGGAGGAGGGGAGGGGAGGGGAGCTGGCTTCGCAACATCGGGTCGTATGCAGCATGCAGCAGCCACATTGACATGGTCGATGGCTCATTGGGCCATGTTTGCCTGCAGCCCGAGGGCCTGCAGAGACGACACCGCCGACCTGGCCCACGTATGCATGGGGCGTGGCGGCCAGCAGTGGTGGTCAGCCCTGGGGGAATGAACATCAATGGGATATGGGGACCTACCCTGGATCCGATCATGGCGCGGTGCCGATGGGTGTTTTTTTCTTTCTTTTTTTCCCTTTCTTTTCATTCTTTCGTCAAGTGGGTGCCTCGTCCACGGGCGATGGCCAACACTCTCTGCGCTAAATGGAGCAATCGTGGAGGATTGATCGCCACCCGTGGCTCCAGTATATTTGAAATCTACCTGTTTTATTGGGATGAAGGAGGCTTCATTCAACGCCATCATGCCGTTACTAGGCACCATCATGACCAACCCAGCCCCCTCGAGTGGCATGCCAGTGACCGCCTCCAGCCCAAGGCAAGTTTAGGGTCGGCCGGAGTGACCAAGAAATTTTGCGACTTTAGGCTTAGACTTACACACACAACATGACGTTTGGTCGGGTTCAAGGATAGCAACAGACGGGCCGGGAAGGTCCAGGGTCCATGTAGCTGTGTTGTGCTCCGTTGTGTTGTATCGGAGGTTGAAGTGGTGAGAGGAAGGATGCCTCGCATCTAGGCCAATCAATTTTCCCTTTCCCCCAAAAATCTCGCTCATCCTTCCTTCTCTGCTGAGAGGAATGGTTCACTGGGCCCATTCCGCTATCCCGCAGGGTTACATTTCAGAAGGCTCCATCCAAGCTAGCGGGGAAAAGGGAAGAGGAGTGAGGAAGAAGAGGTAAAAGGGATAGACAAAGGAAGGAGATGCATTTTGAAAAGAACGAAAGCGAGCAGAAGAACGAGTGAAAAAGTCCCCAGAAAATAAGCACTTGAGCAAGTTGGGTCCCAAAAGGAAAATGACCGTCCCAGTGAGCCTTTCGGCAGTGTCATGATGCGTGCAGACGAGAGGCAGGCAAGCAGGCTCCTGCGTGCTTCATGTTCCTCCCCGCCCTTAGTCCCGCTGTGCCGTCGTTGCGAGGTGCGAGGTGCGTAAGACTGGACTTTCTTCTGCATGGACATGATCAGTGAGTTGATCCATCAATTGAGCATCCTTTGAGAATCGCCTTTTGAAAATCGCGCCACTATCACCGCTGGGAAGGCTCGAAGCGCCATCCAAAGCGCACCCCACCACGGTGGACAGGGTTTTGATAATAGCCTCACTCGCCCGGTCGGATCCCACCTTTGGTGAGGTGAAGAATAAGACGAACACACCAAATTCGACCGGCCTGGCCTTTCTCGTCCCTCTTTCTTTCTCCTTTCCTCTCTATCCTTTTTCTTTCTTTCTTTTTCTTTTCTTTCTTCTTTTCTCTTGGTCTATGTTTTGCCCTTTTTTTCTCGGGCAGGTTGTTGCGCAGGAACTCGGAATAAGGGCTCCTTTCGTGCAACCTTGTGAGCAAAATTGAAGGAGCACAGCAACACGCTTTCCGCAGAGTTTACCTCCGATCCGGTGATACAAGCCCTCCGCCACCTAGGCCCAGGCTTCCCCTCCCCGACAACCCCCTCTCCGCTCGTTCGTTCGTGGGTATCCGTGATACCTTGCGTGGATTGCTGGCGGCGTTGGAGCCCAAGGGCCAAGAAAGCGGTCAGATATGCTTACCTGGTGGCCGCGGAAATCATAACCGTCATAAGAGTGATCAATTTCCTGCCCGATAAACAGGTATTGCGCAGCGTACGTGCGTTTGAAGGAAGAATATCTCCCTGCCCTTCTGCGCTCTTCTGCAATAGTAGCGCCTCTCAGATTCGAAAAAGGACATAAGATGAAGAGCGACAAGGCAAGGCGTCCACTTATGAGAAGGCGCCCCAGGGATTTGCCATACATCGCACATCAAAAAACAATACATATATGATCCATCCATACATACCGAGGTAGATATCTGTAAGCCGAAAAAAGGCGCCTTTTAACGCGAACAAGCACAATGTGCATTTCTCAACCCAGCCCCAGGCTGGCCAAGATTCGACTTGGGAGGGACGGGGAGGCTGGTTGGCGTGCAAAGGGTATTTCTCGATTCTCCTCCCTTGTGTGACCAACCTGCCAGCCATCGCCACTAATGTGATTGGCTTCCTCGAGCAGGGTCGCCCATGTCGCTGCCGCTGACGATATGCGATGCTCGAATCGTCATCCCCCTCTCCTCCAACAGCATTTGAATGGCTCTGCCTCCATGTATTCCTCAGGTCGTGTTCAATGTTTTTCTGCTGGCGGTGGACAGCGCCGGACAACGCATCGATCTCGGTGGAGCCATTGATAGAGAGCAAGCCTATTCGCCAAGAAACCAGTTGAAAGGAGCAAAAGCTCTCAACCCGCCCAAACGCCTCCACAGGCGCTTCCTCAGCCTGGTCTCCAAATTCTCATTGCACCTTCCGTTTCAATTTTGGTCACCAAGAAGCGGGGAAGGCTCGCTCGATCCATTCCTTTTGTTGCTTTTTTGTTATTTTTATCTTAATCTCTCGTACATTCCAGCTCGCTCGCCTCGTTGTTCTGCTCACGATACTGATAATTCCATACCTCGACTCCGGCCCGAGTCCGGACTTGGTCTTCTTCTTCCTGCTCTCCTGCTCACAGCCCACAGCTGGCTGCTGGCTGGGCTGGGCCGGGCTGGGCCTGTCATTCCCCACCAAGACAGATCCCCCATTCGTATCCAGTCCCGTCCACACCACCACTTCTCGCCCCTCTCCTCCCTCCCACGCATCGGCTGTGTCCCGGAACGATATTCCACATCCGGTCCTTTGGTTCCAGAAACTCAGCGCTGCACCTTTTTTGCGCCCCACCCTGCGCTGCAGACACCACGACGCTCGTGTCCATGTTGCCGTCCTCGCCCGATTGACCCGCGCTGCCTGCTGCTGAAAAATAAGTGACATCGTTCACCGCCCACCAGACCCGGCGAGCCAGAGGCGAGGTTGTCCAGCTTCTGCTTTCAAGCTTCCTTCGACTCCTTCGCCCCTCGTCTTTCGTCCTTCCCCTTCCCATCCCCTCCCCCACCCACCCACATGGACTGGGGGAGGGTTGCATCTTTTCCAAAGTGAATGTCAGTGATGCAAACACCGCCCCAAGCATCATCACTGACTCGGGCACCAGCCCATTCTGGCTCCGTGTCTTCGCGTTGCTTGCCCTTAAGAGCTCGAATGTCTCCGGCTGGTCAGCCTTATGCTGATCAGTCCTGCATCACCCCCGCCGCCGCGCGCGCTTCGTTCCTCAATCCACTCTTAGAATCCCACCTTTCGTAGGCAGGCCGTCTTGATTCGGGCCGGTCGACTTGCCCTTGTGCCTGCTCCTTTGCCCATCTTGGTCCCTCCTCTCCCATGTGGTGAGTGTGAGTGCTCAGACCTGCCATCCCACCTCCCCGCCGATCCTAAACGTGAGTGAACCACACTTGGGCATCATTTTGATATCCTCCATTTCTTGCCACGCCTAGCATGATTACCCTGGGTTGGATTCTAGCTCAGACTTCCCGCCTTACCTGCAGGCCCAGAGACTCTGAAGCATCCATTGATCGATTAGTCCCCATTGTTGCTCTCGAAGCTAACCATTTTCGTAATCCTCCACCCAGTCTTCTTCCTTTTTTGTTTTCGTTTCCTTTTTCGTTCGTTTTGTGTTCGAATTCCCAGTGTCTACCACTCATACCCATCATCGCTTTCTCTTTGGTGGTCGGGCGATAGTTCAACTGGTGTTGAGAACTCCTGCCCCAAAAAGGGGAAGAAAGAAAAGATGACGCCGTGGAGCCGGTGGATACCTGTGTTTGGCCTCCTCATGGGGTCCGCCCGGGGCCAGTATTCCGGGTGGGTTGAAGGCCAGGTCAATAGTACCATGTGCTTATGGAAATCACCTCGCGGTATGCCACTTCTAGCCGTTTACTGACTTTCGCCCGCGTGCCGCCCTCACCACTGACACCCGACCCATTGTAGTCATAACCCTTCGAGATACCGTGTATCTCGACGGAGAAAGCATTCTGTGGCTCAATGGCATGGACACGGGGAATACGCTCGATCATCAGATGGTAAGCTCACCTACCCCAGTTCCCCCTCCGAATCACCTCCTTGGGCACTCTGACCGAGACCACGGCCCTCGCCCGACAGACAACCCCACCGGCCTCATCCTCACCCTCAACCTCACCACCCCATTCCGTCTCGACCAGAACCTCACCCAGCTCTTCGGCACCCTCCCCAAGTCCACCTCCTCCTCCACCATATTCAACTACATAGACGGCGACCTCCTCGGCAACGACGCCCAGTTCTTCACCTACGGCGGCCTTACCCGCAGGTCCGACTCGTTCCCGGACCCGGACCCGGACGACGTGCTCGAGTACCAGGCCTACCCCTACGAGAGCAACGCCGCCTCGTTCAAGCCCGGTTTTGTGCCCGAGAAGCTCCCGCCGATGTCACGCGCTACATCGCTTATGGCGCCGGCGTGAGCGCCCCGTCCGAGAACAAGGCTTGGTACTTTTCCGGCCTGCGGTCCCCACGGCCGGCGTGGTGTACGAGTCGTTCTCCATCGAGAGCGCCATCCCGAGCAATGTCTCCGACACCTTGATCACGCTGGAGTTTGACCCCGAAGCCCAAAACATTGAAAAATGGTCCAACGTGACCCTGCCTGAATCCGTGCTCGGCCGCGCGGGTGCGTCCGGCGTGTTTGTGCCGGCGGGCAAGGCCGGCGCCTTGGTATTTGTCGGCGGTGTGACGCATCCCGAATTCGCCTCGAAGAGCCACAGATCAGACAACCCTGCGGCATTGGTACGTCTCTCCCCAATCCCTCGCGCTTTCCCACCCTATCCACCATCACTAGTGGGGGTATCTTTGGCGTAGTCATCCATCTAACCTGCGAGAAAAAACACTACAGAAATCTGACAGCGAGGCTTTCCTCAAATCAATCGACGTCTACGACATCGAAAGCGGCAACTGGTATAGGCAGGAGACGTCCGCCCCCACGCTACCCCCAATCACCGCTCTGGGTTGCGCCGTCGTCCAGCACGCCATCGACTTCTCCAGCTTCAACATCTACTACTACGGAGGCTACGCGGCAGAAGACCTGCAAAGCAACTTCCACGACGATGTCTGGATCCTCACGATGCCGAGCTTCCAGTGGATCAAGGCCAAGTCCGGCTCCGACGCCCACGCGAGGGGCCACAAGTGCGTCTCGCCGTACCCGGACCAGATGATGGCGTTTGGGGGCTTTACCCCAAAGTTAGGCACCGGGATCGACTGTGTCAAGGGCGGCGTCATCCAGCTATTGAACCTGACGAGCGTCGAGTGGATGGACGCGTACAGCCCCGCCGACTTCGCCGAGTACGGCGTCCCCGAGGTGGTCAGAAGCAGATTGGCGGCAATTTTCGGGGCGGCGCCACGGCAAACAGCCCGGCTGCCTCGGGCGGGTGGAGCAGCCCGGGCCTCCAAAGCGTGTTTGAAACCCCGTACCCGACCGAGCGCATCAAGACGTGGTACCCATACGAGGTGGTCGAGCCTTCTTCGAGGCCTGGTGTCGACGTTAATACGGGCGGCGGGAAGAAGAGTGGGAGCAAGCTCCCGGGCTGGGTGGCCCCGACTCTCGGTGCCGTCTTCGGCCTGATCGCCGTCATCCTGGTCGGGATCGGCATTTTCCTCTGGAGGAGGAGAAGGGTACTGCGGGCAGGATCGCGGCAACGGGCTTCCGTCTCCTCGGGCCCAAAGTGGTATGATTTTGACAAATCACGGCGATCTCCATGATTATATGAATAATGATTAATGACTTTTCTTTTTCTTTTTTTTTTTTTTCCTTTTCTCTTTTTATTCGGGGTGGGTGGACGTGTGCTTGCCATATAATTTGATCCCTTATGATGAAACGTAACGAAAGCCGAGGCAAAGGCCGGGAGAATGATTATCGAGAGATAACAAGAATGAAGAACAATGGGAATGGGGGAAGTGAAGAAAAAGGTAAACGAGGGAAGGGCGACAAGCCCAACATATTTGGGAGAAGATTTCTCATGGAAGATGGAGAATGAAAAAAAGTACTCATTACGGGCAGCGACATGTAGCGAAGTTTCAAGACAATATCAATGAATCTTTTCGTGAATTTTAACCGTGTTTACTTTATATGGGTATGCTCAAGTTTCTGCCATCCGCTCTACAGTCGTGTTTTCTTTGCGCTGCCATCTGGTCACGCAGCCGCCTTCTGGCTCAAGACCTCCTTTACAACGTCAATGACCTGGCTGTGCACCGACGCCGGAGCGGCGACAACGCCCTTGTTCGCCGCCAGCGTCCTGCCGATGCTAAAGTCCAGAGCCTTTCCGTGAACATCAGTCACCTCGCCACCAGCCTCCTTCACGATGAGGTAGCCGGCCGCGTGATCCCAAATCTTCTCCTGGTACGTAGCCTTGACAGGCAGCCTCAAGTAGATGTCGCCTGCGCCGCGAGCAATGCTAGCGTACTTGGCCTGGCTGTCCATGCGCACGCTGGACGCGGTAATACCGAGCTTCTGAGAGATGATGGCTTGGTCGTCGTGGGCGGAGTGGGCGGCCTCGACGGACTCGCAGAAGCTCGCCTTGGACATGTCGGTCAGGGGCCGCATGGAGATGGGCTTGCTGTCCGCAAGGGCGGCGGTGCCGAGGGCCTGGACGTCGCGCCCTGGCCCTTGACGGCGGAGAAGATGACGCCGTGACCCGAGTCGGTTTGGTTGTAGCCAATGTCCGCCGTCAGAGGGGCGCTGTCGTCGACGGGGAGGTTGGGGCAGCCGAGGACACCGACCTTGACGTCTCCGTCGACCATGAGGCCGAGGCAGACGGCATACTGGCCGCCGCGGAGGAAGCCCTTGGTGCCGTCGATAGGGTCGATGCACCATATCCTGCCCTTGGCGCCGCCCTTGCTGGCGCCCAGGTCGATGAACTTGAGCATGTCCTCGGCCGACTTGATGGGGCCGCCAATCACCTCCTCCGACTTTTCATCGTCGAGCTTGGTTCCCTTGACAAAGTCCCAGATCTGGGCCTGGAGGCCCGCATTCTCGCGCAAGAGGTTCGATTCCTCCTCGGCGACGATCTCGTCGTCAGGGAAGTTGGCATTGAGAGCGGAGATGATGAGCGCCTGCGCGCCAAAGTCGCCAATGGTCACGGGCGACTTGTCCGACTTGTCGACGGAACCCTTGGCCTTCTCGTGGAAAACCTGCTTGGTCAGGATGGTGGCGCGCTGGACGGCCAGCTGGGCAACGAGGAGCTCCTTGGCGTAGTCGGCCATGACGAAAAGGCAATTGGAAATAATGGGGGATGCGGTAGAATGATGACGAACTGGCAGGGTGAAAGGGCAAGTGCTGGGACGGGATCCCGTGTCGTGTGCGCGAGGCCTGCAAGCTTTATTGCCTCCGGACCATTGTGGGGAAGGTGCAAAGGCTTGCAAAAGGCTTGAGGAAATGTGCCCCGCCGCGGGGTAGGTTTCGCCCTGGCGCGGACACGACTGGACAATGGGCAAGACCGGCGACTTGGGCAATGCCACTGGGACGCGGGACGGCGGGCGAAACTACGGGAGACTGCTACACATCCGCACATGTGGGGAAGCAAGGAAAAAAAAAGACTAAACAAAAATTGGAGCTGGGATGATTTTGTGACTGCTGACCGTGGCCAGTGCTACTCGCATCACCCTACTACGCAAGGAATGGTCAATGTATTGATCCAGATCAATCTGGATAATCCTGTCAAAGTTCCCCTACCCCACGTCACCTTAACCGCACAGGCACTGGGCGAGCTATTTCATTAACCCCCGGCGCCGGACGCGTAGTTCACTTACGAGGAATTAATAATCGAGCCTACCGTAGGCGTGTTTCTTGTTTCGCCTACGCCTTTCAGCCGAGCTGCAGAATGCATTGCCTTGCTATTTCCCCGCGCCTCCGGTTGCCGTACGACGTCCGGTTTGGTCCGATGCGGGATCCGGCCATGACACCGTGGCTTGCTTTGCCTGCTGCTGAATGGGCGGAAGATGACACCTATGTATACATGTGGTCTGGGGTATGTCAAGGTTACAATATCGACCGCAAACTGATTGGGGGCCCTATGTCGGATACGCTGCTACCACAGAGTAGGGTAGGGCGGAGTCCCGCGTGGTCTCCCGGCGGGCGGCGGTACTTGTTTGGTCGAGAAGGAACACATTTCCGCACCTTTCACACATTGAAGCTGACGGGGCCGGTACACGCCATCGGCAAGCAGTGGTAGTGCTTTCAGCCGCCAGAAACAGCACCCTTTACCAGGTGAATCATTGGATCCCTCCCACGGCCTTCGCAGCCGGACGTCCCTTGCTCTCTTGCAAACATCGAGACCTGAGCTGCTCTCTTCACACTTCGGCCAAAGTTACGCGAGGTCCGAAGTGAACCAAGCTGCCTGTCTTCAGTTGTGGTACAACAAATACGCCTCTTGGAAGCCTATCTACCTCCTCCCACCGAAAGCTCACCAGGCTAGTCGGCATTGAAGGTCCTTGAATCTGAGTTCTGATATTCATGTGAACGATGAAAGGTATTTATCCATTTTGATTTTATTTTATTTTTAATGAGATATAGCAGTTCAAGCGCAAACTCATGATGGAGTGTTGAAGAAAAAAAGAAGAAGAAACGCGCCGCCTCTAGATGGTTAGGTATAGCAAATCAGAAAAAAAAAAAAAGATAGGTGTGATATACAGTGATAGCCGATGATTGCCCGCCCCCGCCTGGGCCCCCTTACTTCCCATTAGGCCCGTTCTATCACGACGCCGCCATAGTCTCCTCCATTTCCTTCCGCATAAAATCATTAAACTCTTCGGGGTTATCGAGGTAGAGGTGGTGACCCGCCTTGGTGATCACGACCACGCTCGCGCGTCCGTTCTCCTTTTTCTTCTCCTCTTCCGTGTTATGGATGAGAGCCTTTCGCTTGGCTTCGATCAGCTTTTGTTCTGCAGCCAGGCCGCCAGCCACGTCCATCCAGTCGTTCTCGCCGTAGAGCATGATGACGGGGATACCCGTCTCGCGTAGGGTTTCCGTCTCGGTTTGCGAGATTGTTTGGCGGCCAACCCTGTGAATTTTGTTCACTACCGGGTCACGGGCGTAAGCACCGGGCGCTAGGAGGTAGGGGTACGTATTCTCCACTGCCCCTTTGCCGGAAGATGGAAAATGTGTATTCATGGAGGGCCCGCGCCTCTTCGGGGGAGGTGGTTGAATCGGCGCGACGACCAACCCGATACGAACCGCGGGCCAAGAGGGCCCGTCATGCGTACGAGGCTGAAGGGAGAGAAATTTGCGTCCCAGAGCCATACAAGCCATGGGGGAGTTTCCGGATGGGAACGTTGGGCTGTGATGACTGCGAGGCTGTGGAGAGCCTCTTGGCTGCCTTGTCGGCACCGTGACCCTGGGTAGTGGTTTCTTGGTCTTCGATGAACTCTGAAGGCATGGTCGACTCGTCAGGCTCGGGTAGTTTGTCGTTGACCGCATATGGGTTCTCCGGAAACCCGGCCGGCGACGCCAAGATCAATTTCTTTAAGTGTCCAGGGTATTTCAGCGCGTATGAGACTGCAAGGTAGCCGCCCAGGGAATGTCCCAAGAGGGTGAACTTTTCAATCTTTCGCTCTATCCTCCACTCTTCAAGAGCGTCGATGAACCAAGCCTCCGCCTCCACGATCTTCTCCTTCGGATCGGTGGCACGAATCTTGAAGGGGGCGCGCCTATTATCACGTTAGCGGGCCGATGAGATGGTACACACTTAAGCGCGTGGGTGCGGAAGAATATGAGGGATATCGGGGAGAGTGACGACAACGTACCGAGTTACCCATGCCTAGCATATCGAGCGAATACAGTTTCCATCCGGGTATCCTTGTTAGAGGCTCATAATTCTTATACCAGAAACCCAGGCCGGCGCCGTAGCCGTGAAGCATCACAAGATTCTCCTTGACATCTTCTCCGACGCGCTCGACCGAGTACTCGTTTAGTGCTCTGTTCTTCCCTGACAGCTTGACCATTTCTGTCTTCCATACTCGAGTGCCAAAGGGTCATATGTGTCTCCGGTTTCGGAATTGCCAGTGGCAAAGTATTCCGACGCTTCTCGTAGGTAGGGGATGAACGAAAGAACATTGCGCTCAGCCGTAGGCGGGGTAGCGCTATGCCACTGTTGCGAGGTGAATTCGAGTCAGCATTTCGTTATTTCGGCTCGGGATAAAGCAAGGAAAGAGAAAATAAACTCAAAAACAAAAAGAGCGTTAATTGACTCTCGAGACAATCAACTAGAGGCGAAACCTACCCATTGATATGCGGCATCTTTGTATCCCATAGGGAAGAGGGTCCACCGGGAAATCGGCCCTGGCGGCTCTGCTCAGCAGCGCCGGGTTGCTCGGCGGCGGCGGCCTGCGATTCGGATCCTGTCGCCATTGTTGTCTTGGGACGAGTTTGCCGTCTGAAAGGAGACTTGAAACTTGGGTCGTCAAAGGAAAGTCGGCTAGGTGAGGGGTTTGGTGCGCCCGCCACAAAATATGCTCTTGAGCGAAGAAGAAGAGCGGATGCTGTCTGCTGTTTGAGCATACCGCACACAAGGGAGGGTGCACCGGGCTCTTATTAGATGCGCGACTCGATTGATAAAACCCGGCATTACCGGGCAGAAGTTCTTTGGGCTAGGCACCCAAAACCACACGCGGTGAAACGAGAAAGCTTGTCAGGGATGACGTGGAGGGCGACGGACTTTACTGACTCGTTGCCAGGAGAAAGGGTCCGAGAGGCCGGACTTAAGGGTTTAAAGGAAGGATTTGCGGAAGCGCCGCTGCGATTGCTTGTGTTCATCCGACTCCGATAGGTTTAGCCGAGACTTAACCCCAATTTCCGAAAACGCCACACCTTTGGGCCGATGGCGGAAGGTGGGGCTCTCAGGTCGATAAGAGAAACCTGGGGGTCTATTGGCAAGCGGAGGCGCAGTGCCCTTGTCAGATTAATTCTGCAGATATCAAGGGGTAAGGTCTGCGGCGAAAGTTTACGTGTGTGCGTGCGTGCGTGGATGTTGCCTTGTGTTGTGCGTCGGAGTGAGGAGTGAGATCAGTGAGTGTGGCTGGAGGAGGGTGAAAAATTAGGCCGTCGTGAGTGATCGATATCCCGAACCCCGCGCGGAACCAGATTTTTTATTCCTGTGCAAGTTATTATGTTGGGATTTCCTTGTTAAAATCTTCGATTCTGTTGGATTGAGTTTGAAAACAGGAGCTGATTGGGTCTTTAGGCTGTCCCACATTAAAAAGAAAGAAGACGAAAAGGTCGCCAGGCACAAAATATCTGGCCGCGGTTGTTCAGCCACTTGTGTGGTTGTTGTCGGCCCACCTCAGCCACAGTCCACATGGCATGTGCCGGCCTTGGCTTCTGATGTGTGACCTCAGTCGTTGATCGCATCAGCAGTCACAAGCAAAGCACGCCCACAACGATATTCTATAGCTGCCCCGGCCCGAACTCAGTCCAGCCACGCGACAGGACCTGTCCCTACATTCTGGCCGCGTCAGTTCAATAATGATTATGCTTATCTCGATGTGATAGCAATCGTCCAACGAAACTTGCCCAAACAAGGACCGTGAGAATCCTGCTGGAGCTTCCGCCGAGCTCGACTGGCGGACGAAGCTGAGACCTCCCGGGCACCACTCACGACTTTCTGAACCCCAGGTCTCACCCCCTAGGCACCATCGATCCTTATACCTACGATATACTCCCGAAGGACTTCTCCATTCTCTATTTTTATCCTGCATCCGCCCAACTTTCGCCGGAGAAAGCGCTTCCCAGCCCTTCCCAGCCGACATGGAGGAGTCGATTGACTCCTTGTCAAGGGTGCCCCCAGCCCGGTACCCCGGCGGCCGAATCGGTCAGCGGCACGACACCTATCGGGTCTTCGCTCAAAGATGGAGACCCGCTAAATCACACACCGAGCTCCCCATCCATGATCTATCTCAACCTTCTCGTTCTCGAAGCCTCCTTGCGCGCCCAGTACCTCGAGCTCCGAGCGCGGCGCCGACACCATACTTTCTTTCTTACCCTCCTCACGTTATGGATAGCCGCCTTTGGCTACGGCCTGTTTTTGCGCCTAGGGAGGATGGCGGCCATGGCGGATCTGTCTACTGGGGTGTCGAAGTGGCCCAGAAGGTTTGCTTCATGGGAGGTGTCATCACGGCCATTCTCGTCTGGGGAACTGGAATATGGGACCGCGGTATCAGGTGGCCGAGGCGCTGGCTTGCCGTCTCCAACCGTGGCCTGAGGGGTTCAACTGCAAGCTAGTGCTCATACGAAGATCGTGGTGGGCCGAGCTAGCTTCCACCGTAGCCTTCTTTCTGACATACGGACTTTTCTCGCATACGGCAAGCTCTTCATACCGATACGTTGACCCGGCAATCCTCCGAGAGGTGGAAAAGGACCTCAACATCCGTAGCGATACGCATACTACCCTCCCCATCTTGCTAGAGGATGAGGAGCGGGGCGGGCACGAGGAAGACCTTTCGCCGGGAGGCGATTACGTCAAGCTCCTTCTCTTGCCCAAATATTTTACCGCCAACTTTCGTGAGAATTGGGAGCTCTACCGCACCGAGTATTGGGAGAGGGAAAACGAGCGCCGGGCCCTGCTGCGGTCGAAGCTCAAGAGCAAGAGCCGGGAGTATGCTCGGCAACGTTGGGGCATCTTTTGGTGGATGCCGTGGCACCAAGGCGACATCAACCAGTACCTGTCACGAGAGAGGACGAAGCCTGCCAGGCGACACTCGGACGTCCACCGACACCGTCGTAATAGCGTGCGACGGGGTCCACAAGCTCGTCGAGAAGCGCTACCCCCACCATCGAGATGGAGGATCCCACGGGGCTCATGAGGAAAGTGAGTTCCGGCTCGGCCACATCTGAGAAGGCAAGGAAGAGGCTATCGGCGACAGCCGTCCCGCGCAGGAGACCTGAATCGAGATCTGTGACACCTGATATCCCGTCTCCGTTGGCACAGGAGAGCCACCTCGGCGATGACGTAGGGGCGATGGGATATGTGCGTAGGAAGTCATCCGGGGCCAGCCTAGGGTCAGCCAAGGAATTCAAGTGATAGCTGGGGGAATAACCTTATTTTTGTTTCCTTCCTTGCCCCCTTTATCCCGTTTATCGAGTTTCTTGTAGGATACCATGTTTTAGAAAAGAATTATGCGGACGATAGTTGAGCTTCAAGCGTTCAATACCACATCAACTCTCGCCCAAACAGTGTGTGATCGAACTTCTGGGTCTTTGCCGACTGATATTTGGTACAAGCTTGTATTCCCCCTTCCTTCTCTTTGATGGGATGAGATCAAGGCCTATACGACAGACCGACTTCCACTAGATATAAAAAATATCAAGCGCGGCCTTGCTTAAACATGAGTCGAGGGCATTCTCCTCAAGCCCGTGTACTAGGGCGAGCAGGTAAGACAGTAGTAGCTCTCTCACAGCCAGCATGAAGGCCTCGCCTCTAGTCATCGTGCTACTTCGTAGGATCTCTAAGCGGTGTTGACTGTTGTAAGCGAGCTATAATACCATCAACTGGCAAGGCCTCATTACCCAATGTCCCATTTTCCTTCTTCCCTCTTAAGGCTTCTGATATACCCTGGGCCGGGCCGCCCCTATCAGCACCGTGCTGCCGTCTTAAGATTGAGTAGACAAAAGATGGGACCACAAGGTGAGATTTCTAGTCGCCAAGTACCGAGGTAGCAAGAATGAACCCACGGTCGACTCAAGCCTGGTCAAGTATGCGCCCTGGTGCACTTACAAGAGATGACCACAACATCGGGCGTATAAACAATGTTAAATAACACTCACTTTTCAATGCACCCACCCACCTTTGATTGTATTTTTAGCGGCCAGAGCCTGGTCCTTCATTTGGTGGCGGACCACCCACTCAACCACGCCCAAACCGCGATCCTCTCCAGCTCCGGAATCCGCAGCTCCGTTGCTGACTGAATTAGCAACGCAGCTTCCGCCCATGGCTGGCGCTGCCATTGGGGAAACTATTCAGCGCTCGCTTCGCAAAAGGAGGTTGCATTTGCCCAGTGGGTAAACACCGGGTTTGTCAACGGCAGCACGCCTTCCGCTCCACCGCGGCGAAGATGACGATCCGCGGCACAGCGCAGGACAGCGCAGGACAGCGCAGGACAGCGCAGGACAGCGCAGCACCGCCAAACTAGATTATATCTGTTGAGCCAGACACCTCACGAGGCCATCCTGGTACGCGACAACCCCGCCGGATGTGGGGAGAGATCAAGAGAGATCGACATCGCTATTCGATACGGATTGCCTAAAGTTGAGGGCTCATCTTGGGAGTTGGCTCCTGCGATATATATATGACATGGATGACTTTACCTCAAAACACCAAGTCCTTACCCTCCTTCCATTTGGAGTTATCTTCACCCAGCCGTAAAATTAAATGCATCGAAATACAAGTATCCTTCCTATAAACCATTCGTCTTTTTGTGCGGCCCTGAAGACGTCAAAACCCTTCCCCGCTCTTCAATCAGGGGCGGACCAGGATTGTTGGAGTTCGCCTGTGTCCAAGTCGTCTGGCATAGCAGTCATTTCCAGGACCCGTGGTTGAAGCTCGGCAGGTTTTAAATAGTAGTGTAGTGTATCGGTCGGGTTGACGAAAATAGCAAGGATGATATGTGTACCTGTTCCTGCAAGGTCGTCCGTCTCACATTGACGAAGTGAGCTCCTGGTTAATATCGTGTTCGCTTTCTTGTCTCCTCCCCTCTGTTCCTTTTTTTCTTTTTTTCTTCTTTTTTTCTCGTTCCCTTCCCTCCCCCTCCCTTTCTGACAGACGGCCATAGGTGCTGGCTGCCAAAGGATGTTTTGTGTGCTGTTGCAGAGCTCTTGCAGAGTGATCAGACCCTCGTTCTCGGTTCTTGTTCTTTTCTTCAGTCTTGGATCAGTCTTCACCCCTGTCCTGAATTCCTCCTCCATGCATACCAACATGCATCGATGCCGACCCATGATCCCGGTTCGCCCGTTCTTCTTTCCCCTCCTCTGGAAACACACTCTGGTCCGCACACACAAGCACACACGCACAACGCATACTATTTCGTCTGCTTGCAGAAGCCCTCATTTCCAACCTCCTTGCACTAAACCCTGGTGCAGCCCGTTGAACAATCATGCATCCTCTCATTGGTACAGCGCACAAGTATGAAGGGGATCCGGCCGATACACCTGATTCCTCCTGACAAGCAAAATTTTTATTGCATGTCCACATCTTGTGCATCTTGACAGCAAGGAACACCGAGGACCTTCTGTTTGCGGCATAGCACTGTTCAGTGATGTTTGAGGTGGGTTTTCTTTGCTAGCCTGAAGAGAAGGAAACCCCGGCCTCACGGGAACCCACCAGCCCGGCGTACGCATTCCATCTCTCTTCCTTCAGTCTTTTTTCTTCTTCTTTTTCCCCTTTTCAGCTGGCTTAGAGCACGATGCCGGCCAAAATCCTTCACAAACTAGGACAGCTTTATCTTGAGCTTAGGGACGGGCCCGCCGACGCCGACGCTGACTCCGACTATCCGCTGAGTCCTTTGGAGCCGTGGGTTTGACGCCACATGATTGCGGAAGAGGGAGAGGAACGCGGCCGGATCGCTGGAGTTGACTGGGTGGAGCGAACTGAGTAGGGTGCCCGATAGCAAGTGCGCACTTGTGAGTCGAGTCATGCCCTGGCGAGCTGACATTAATGGAGCTTGAGTGATAGACTAGGCTAGTTGGTATCCTCTTCCCAGGCAGCATGGGTGTAAAAGATTTTGCGGAGTCGAGGCGGGTCCGAGGGATGCGTGGAGGGTGTGTCACAACAAGTAACTTTCATCCTGCCAGGGAAAACGAGCCATTTCCACGATATTCTAGTCAACGCCTCCCTGCGCAGATTGCGGGCGACTTGCATTCCTCGAGAGGAAGAAGGGATGGCCGCGGGAGTTAACTTGAGCTTGGCTCATTCAAGATGGTGGTGGGGGCGGCACCACGGAGGGTTACTGCACCTATGATGTCTTAGCACAAACCTGCAAACTTCGCACCCGCACCGCCCGCACGCTCTGGAGCACTTGTTCCACCAGTCTGCTTGATGACTGGTTGATTCGCACACAGCACCACCCCTCTTGCTTTCCTTTCTCCCCTTTTCTTTCTTTGCTTCTACCCCATTTCCGTGCTCTTGAACGACTTAAGAGGTGTTCCCCTCGCCACCACACCTCCGTGACACAGCTACACGTGGGACGGGGGCATGCCAGCACTTTCACGGTGCATCGTCGTATACCTTTGCATTAGCGACTGCACTAGCTCGCACTGATCGAAGCTTGGGGATGTTTCTCTCCAGACCGAAGCCAGTCCCCAAGCCTACGCCGGCTGTCTCCTCATTGAATATCTGAGCGGTAGTAGAAGATTATAGTACAGTCTCTTATTCTCCGTGGGCCTTTGAGTAAATCCAGGAAACAATCACTTGGGTTCAGGAGATAAACGAAGTCCCACTTATTTTTCCATTCGAGCTGAGCTATCGTCAATGGTGAGTGATCTTCCCGTTGGCTCCAGCTTGGCGGGCACAGACACCCTGATACGGAATGGAGGGTTGGTGGGTCGCCAAATGGGTCTGTTCGGTGCTGGGGTTTGCCCGTCCGGGCCTGGGCGTTCCCCATCAGAGCGTAGATCGTTGCACAAGCAGAATTGTCTTCGGGTTTTGGGGGTGCCTTGTACGCTTCCGCCAATCCGCTTGCGGACAACTTGCGAGAGGACCCGCTCAGACCAGACACCCGCCCTTGCCCCTCTACGAGGCCGTCCTTGCTTTCAAGCGGCGAGATGAGGGAAGAGCGCGGGCAAGCGAAACAAGCACTCTATGAAACGACGGAGAGAAATTTGATGAGAGGAAAGCATCGATGAACTTCATTGCGAGGGTTGACGCCAAGAGTTGCAGGGCAGCAGACAGGTTTGGTAACCCCATCGGGGATAGCCTCTTCACGCTTCTCCTCGATCAGTGGATGGGGTCAGCTCCCTTGGCTCCCGAGAGGACTGTGCACGGTTTACGAACAAGAGCCCAAGTACACTACTACTACTATTGCAAGCTGTGGCGCACTGCTCCCTATCATCAACCTTCGGGCGGCGCTATGAACTCACTTTCCCTGGTTCCAAACCTAATTCGTAGCCGGTGCGCTGGGTTTTCCCTTCCTCATGTAGCGTACTGTACCGGCCCCCGATCCCCTTGCTCTTTCCGCGCCCCGCTTGGCTGCCCATCCGAAAGGAAGGACAGAATAGGAGGGATCAATGAGAAGGAGCACTCAATGGCAACGCTGGACCAAGGTACCTGGGTACCCCTCATGATGCTTGACCAATTCTTTGCCAACAAGCCTCGTCCTCATCGCATCGTCCATGAGTCGTCGATCCCCGTCACTCAAGGGTCAAATTCCTGACGTAGTATTCGTACCCGCTTGTCATGCAGCACCCCAGGACATGAACGCTGGCGCAAAACATCAAAGCATTCCATGGGACGCTTTTCTATCCTTGGCTCTCCAGGGCAAAAGCACAATATTCGCCGTGCCATCGAAGGAGCTTAACCCTCACCCCGGGGCGCCAATGTTCATATGCTGGGACAGAGAAAAATCAATATTATTGATCCGTGATGAATGCAGAAAGGAGCAGGCCAATAACCGTGGTTTGAATCCTCCCACAACAACAAGAGCATTGGATGCCATGTCTCCCCTGATTCGGGTACGGCGGCCACAGTGCCGCCCTTCAAGATTTAGCACTCGAGCTCGTCCCAATTTATGAGGCAAGGGAGAAGTCGTGGAATTCTGAGGACCGTATCGACCGAGACCTTGCTTCATGTTCAGAGTAAGGAGGGTGAACGTGCGTCCCCACACCCTCCTTCGCTCCCGCAGCTTCCTTTTGGAAATATTCGCGAGTATTGCAAGTTTCCCGCCGTCGACTTCATCCCACCGCTCGCGCTACCCTTTCCGGTTAGCACAGGCGAGTCAACAAGGGGGAAGGGGTGAGACCACGAGGACTTGGGGAAAAAGAGCCCCACCATGGATTTTCCATCACGATCTGGCGTCTTTCTAGATTCCGCTCCCCCAGGACGACTAGGGGGAGCTTCTCACCTGTGGTGGCTTACACTCGGCCGCGCCGTGCTTTTCATCGGGAGACGGGCTTTGTCTCTTGCCTGTCAGTGACCATATACTCAACCCGTAGGTCACTTGGCCTATTTTCTCGTAGCGTCGCCACTTGTCCCTCTCTTTTCAAACTTTGTTCCGCTCCCAAGCTTGTGGAAAGGCCCCTCGCCCTTGGCACCATCCCCTCGCAGGTTTTTGCATTGCCGTGGATTGTGCTCTAGGCATTGGTTGATGCTTGACGTCTTGATCAAGACTAGGAACTCGCTTTGACACACCTGCCTACCCGCGTCCTTGCCCAAACCGTGACCCCTCTCTAGTTCCTCGATTTCTCCAAGTCAAGGGGCAACTAGCCTTGTGTTATTAACATCATTGTTCCCTACACCTTTTCTTCACTTGAGCTACCCCCTCGCTCTGTTCTTCTTTCATTTTCTTTACCTTCCTTTATCTCATCTTCGCGCAACGAACACGGCTTTCGGAAGCGGGACTTTTCTCCGTGTTAGTTGCCACGAGAGGATCTCTCAATGAGAAGCAGTTCATCAGGTCCCAGAACACAGCTTCCGTCGATCGTGCTGGAGAGCCGGAGAATTCAACCATGCCCGCCATAGCCGCCCCCATCACCCCTCCGTACGATGATTACGGCCGCCGTAGAAGTTCCGCCGCACTTCCCTTGGATCAGCTTGAGGCTGTCGCTGCGTCAAAGCACGCGAGATCGGGAGGTCCGCCCGTTATCCTCTCTCCCCGCCCACTCCCAAGGCCTCCCGCCGAAACAACAACGCCGCTCGGTTATCCCAGCGCCTGCGCAGCAACTCCGGGCTCTCCCTTCATGCGAACGAGGATGCCCTCCGGCGGTATACCGACTACAATCCCGATGGGTCTTCAAGGTCTCCCATGTTCGCGCCGGTAAACTGGCAAGGTGGAGACGGCGGCGAGGGCGCCTCGAGAAAATCAAATAGACGGAGTCTGCTGGTGGACTATGGCGCGCCCGAGACCACGCTCCCCATCCCCGACTATTTCAGCCACGAGGTGTTCCGTATGGTTATGAATAGCCCCTCCGCTGCCCATGCCCTCCTGAGGTATGCGCAATCCAAAGGAGCCGGTGAAAACATGGCCTACCTATTAAAAGTAAGTTACACCAAAGCGAGCGAAGAAGGGGATATCGCCTTGTCCTCTTGCCTTCATAGTCAACCTGAGATGGGCGGGGCGGGGCGGACCCTTGTTTAGCTCGCTCTCAAGCCAAGCCCCCGTTCTCTGCGACAAGAGTAAAGGCAAAATAAATAAGAAAACAAAGGATTTGCCTCATGCTCACACATCTTCTCTGAGTTAGGTCCAAGAATATACGGCGTCAGTTGATCAACTGACAACACTCCTCGCCACTATCTCCACCAACTACACCATGCTCTCGGCCACTTCGCCCATCCATCTACCAGGCCCCCTCACCAAATCTCTGAATACGGACATCAAGCACGTTACCAGCTCCATTCTCCCCGGACTTGAGAACCTTTTCCTCGAGTCCAAGACATGCATTGAGCAGCGGCTCGTCCGCGATGTCTACCCGTCCTTTGTGAAGCGCCAGCTCGCCCTCGTCACCAGCAGGTCCCTCGCATCGGACCGTTGTTTTAGGGAGGCCGAGTATCCGGGACTCGGAGGGGCGTTTTGTATCGCTGATCTTTTCAACGAAGGGTCTCCTCTAGAGTTTGTCTCGGACGCGTTTCTCAAGTTGACGGGTCGGAGGAGGGAACAAATGGTTTACCGGAACGGTGTGTACATGCAAGGCCCGCTTACCGACTTGACGAGCGTGTTCAGGGTCAGAGAGGCCCTATCAAAGAACGAAGAGTGTACGGAGCTTCTCATCAACCACCTAGATGACGGAACCCCATTTTGGAACTTCATTTACATGTGCCCAATCCCGAATCCGAGCGGCAAAGTGAAGCAGTATCTGCACTGTTACATCAACGTCTCCAACTGCTTGCGCAACTCGGACGATATCGTCCGAATTATCAGCTGCGGCTCGCTGCCGTCCGACTCCTCGTCCGAGCGTTCGCCCGAGCGCAGGGATCAGTTTGGCCGCCGCGGGAGCCTCTCGCCGGAATCCACCGACTACTACGAGACTCCACAAACGAGAGACGACAACATCTCGCGCAGCAAGTCCTCCCGCAAGACCTTTTTCCGTTCCTTCCGCAGGTCGGCGGAATCGTCGTCGTCCCATACGCAGTCTATGCAGCGGCCCAACACGGCCATCTCCACCATGTCTCTCGGAGGTGGTGTCGGCGGAGGAAACAGCGCCAGCCCGCTGGATGGCCCCCTCCCTCCCCTGACGGAAAATCACGTGTCCGAGGTCCCCGGGAGCTCCCGCCTACTCCGTACCGCCGCTTCATCCTATTGAAGAACACACCAGGCTTCACGGCACCCAAATTGACTATCACGTTTGCGACTCAAGCGGCACTTGAGCTCCTTGGCCTGGGCCTCGCGGCCGACGCCATCAACAACAAGGACGTCTTCACGGTCCTAGCGGAGCAGGCAAACTGCTCTTCCATCAACAAGGCGTTCAGACAATCAGTGCGGGAAACTGTCATCAACGAGGGCCAACAGGCGGTGGCAGAGATCCTCGTCTCGGCATCGTCGGGGACGCGCAAGACCAGCATGATGAGTCCGATTAGCGATGATCAAGGACGGGCCAGAACTGTCGGAAATAAGATGATGTTACTCAACAGCTTCTGGACGCCGCTCAAGGACCGTGAGGGGAAGCCGGCTTGGGTCATGCTGGTGTTGATCCCGATGGCCATGTAAGATGACGAAGCTAGGTGGTAGGGATGTGTGTTGCTGGGTGGCCAGCGATCCGCCATCGGGCCTCACATACGCCTTGCCTCCCAGTTCTGCTTCCGTCTCTTCTTTTCTTATTTCCGTACGGTCTTTGTTGGGAGGGGTTTTGGTCAACCATTCGTGTTTCTTTTGGGGGCAGCAAGGTTGCGGCGGGTCGGGGTGTCTAGGAATCCATGTATCATCCATGTCGAGCATCTTCATTTTCTTTGTCAACCGTTATAATTTGATACCACAGTACTTTTTCCGTTTCCACAACTTTCGTTAGTTATACCCCAAACATGGCGCGCAAGATAGCATAGACAGTCACACTCTTTATCAATTATAGTATATATTGTTGAGGCCCGCCTCTACAACCCCACCCTGCATTTTTCTTCTCCCCTGAGACGACGACGATTCAACAAGTGGCACCGCCGTGGGGTTGTAGAAGCCGGACGAAACCGTTTCAAACTTGTCTTCATCCCTCGTTGTTGCTTTTTTTCCATTCTTTTTTTTCTTTTTACCTCTTCCTTTGCCTTGTTTTTCTTGCTTCTTTTCCTTCGTCATTATACTGCCGCCTCACTTTTCGCCTCGTTCTAGTGATGTGATGGTTCGAAATATGGAATTTTAGGGAAAAGCAAGGCAGGGAACATGCTTGGAACGTGGATGGCGATGCTCATAAAGAGTCATGGGTGAATCAAGAAGCTGCCCAACCGAGAAGTCAACTAGCTATGTCGTGTCATGTATAACGCGATGCAGATAGCCCGCTCGGAAGTGCAGATTCAAGGCCCGACAGAGGTAGCTAGATGGGGCTCAGGGAAACATCCATTCCTTAACGAATTTGCCCGCATACGAGGGGAGGGCCTCAAATCAGACACTTTGGGATTACCGAAGTAGACCGGTGACTTCGAGGGGGTGGCATCAACGAAAATTACATTTGGCTGCCTGCGCTTATTGGACGTGAAGAATTACAAACGTTTTCTCGGTGGGGAATTGGTTCTGCGGTAACCACCCAACCCATCGAATAGTACATCTATCCATGGATGCACATGGATATTGTTTAGAGCCTTGGGGTGATGTTAGAAAAAAACTACTTAAAAACTTGCAAAGCTTTGATGAAGAAGGATCCAGAGATTGATGCATCCGTCCTATCGTGCGTGGTGGGATTAGCGCTAGTAGGTCCGTTTTATATCTTCGGCGCAGGTTAAACTGTAGGGCCAGAAACACCGCACGCGGGGAAACGATTGCGAGTGGCTTGCGACCCATAGTTGATGCAACGATAGCACATGGTTACGAGTCAATGCTATTCACGATGCCACGGTTAGGCTGGGGATCGTGATGTCCTCGCCGGTTCGTCGACTCAGGCAGGCCCATGACACGGGAGGTGTCCAGATCCATTGATCTTCAACTGCTTATTAGCACGCCACATCGCATGCGCCTGAATGAACGATCGGAGTTTCCCCTCCCCCTTTCCCCTCTCCTATTCAGAAGTGGGAGACATAGATCCAATTGATCCATGGATCCATTGCATTTTGCTCATCACCACGGGACTGTTTGGATATATGGATGTAAGCATCACCTGTCGATTGCGCAACCTCAGGCTTATGTCAGATGTTCTTCTTTAAAGTGGCGTGCCGCAACGTTTACCAAATTGTTCTCCAGTATCAACAGCATCAACAGCCAGGTAGGAACGTGGCACGATGAACGCGTCCATGATTTAGCGAGCGGAATTCTCAACGTAAGCCGTTGCTTGGTTCGAGAAGTGCGGTGGTAAGCTGCGCTCTATGCTGTGGGGTTACCCAGGCTGTGCTGCTCATGTGTGGACTTTTTGTTTTTGTAGTGGTGTCAGAGCTGCACCGTTTGTAGCGGTCTGAGGCTGGGGCTTCGTCGTCCTGTGGTGCCTCGTATTATCGTTTACATCCTCTCTGAGATTACCGAGGTATGTTGGCATTAATAGTGGAAAGTCAGAAACTTGAGCTGGTGCCAGGGCCTCTTGGCCATTGCTGTTCAGTCAACTCCGTTCGCGCCCCCGAAAGATAAAAGGTGGAGAGATCCATTTCATTGCTTACATGATGGATTGATCCATTAAATGTAGTCGTTATACGGATGCCTGCCGGTATTTATTGGTGGCTGAAGAGTTGCCGACAAACTGCCAGAATCCATCTGCTGGCTAATCTTCTGCAACGCTCAGATAAACGGGTAAAAAAGGAAGCAACCTGCGTTTCCTTGGAAAGATCCATATTCGATGAGCGATTGTCGTGGTGAATGAAGCCTCCCTCTTACAGAGAAGATTCTAGTCTCGGAGAGATATTATGAGATCGAGCCTTGCCTTGAGAAAACGAAGGAAAAAGAAGAAAAACGAACAAGACAATTGTCGTGACTCGCGAAGATGTTGAGATGGTGGACGATACAAGGCTGTTGGCTTCTGCCTTGGTATCCATTGATTCATCCATTTTTATTCATGTATTTCAACAGGCACACGCTCACCTGGTCACTGGGTGACACCCTTCGAGGCGGACGTCAATGCTCCATACATCGGCCCTTTCACTGGAACCCACTGACCATAGACCGTTACGCGTTATGGATGGTCGCCGGTCAGTCCATTGCTATGCCCAAGTCGCAGATTCAACAAGAGATGGCGAGGTGAGGCTGCCAGGGTGGCTGCCCAAGCCTATGTGGATGTATTTCCGAGGCGTACCGAGGTAGCTTCATGGTGAATAGATCTGTGGAAACCCAGGTACAGTATCCATTGGATCCGGTACATCGACTTCAAGCTGGCCGGAAGAGATGCATCTTGTGGCCGCTTGAATTGAATTGAAGCTGTGTTCGAGATTCACTGAGATAGTAGATCCATCCCATCCATGGGTGTCTTGATGTCTTGATTTTGTTTCAAGACCTGTAGTACACGCACGTCAAATGGTACGCACACAGAAATCGATCAATGCACAGATGTGCAAACGATCCCCAGGAAACGGAAGCCACACTAACGATAGATTCACGTAGAGTACCTCGGTATGCCATTTCACAGATTCCGGAGTGCCGCCTACCTGAGAGCTCTCTATTTGTTTCAATTTTTTTTCCCCAACACAACATATACTTACTTCCAGAGCGAAACGATGGAGATCATCGAGCCCGATATCGAGAGTAACAAGGTGCCTGCTTTTCTTGTGCATGTGCATTTAGCACTTTTTATATATATAGAGATTGGGCATCACTCCTCATTGCCTTTCCTTGTGTAGGACTGGAGATCTTGAGGGCGACGAGAAATCCGAAATCGGCGCCTGTAGGCAAAGGGGCTCTTGACCGCGCAGAATTGCACACTAGAGCCTGCTCCGGTTGGGCGTTGGTTGATGCTCTCTTAGCGTTCGTTCTCGATCGATACTCGATTCGTTCCGGAATCTTCTTGGGCCATCCGTCGCTCTGCGAAAGAGGCGAAGCAAATAGAGATGCACAGATGCCAGCGGGTTGGTCCGAATGTGGGCAATCCCTTGACCATTCAATCATCATTGATTGCTTTGTCGAAAACCGGTGTGAGTGAGCCTGCGGCACGTCTGACCCCGGTCCAGTCAGCCTCTTCGAAACTCTTCACCGCTCAACCAAGAAGGGTGAGAAGGATATGGAAACAAACAGAAGAAGAAAAAAAAAGGAAAGAGTGGAAGGCGAAAGAGAGAGGCAGGGCTACTCATAATACCCAACTAGTCGGGAGGTGAGGTGATCTGACCGGATCTGGGAAACGGCCGCGTCTTGGGACAAAAGTGGCGAGCACAGCACCCACCCGAACGAGTATTGATGGAGTAGCAGCAGGATTTGAGAGACCACGGTCCATACGAGCTAGGTTTACCTGGCGGGAAGCAACCGATGCTCAGAGATGAGCCATTGAGAGGATTTCGGTGTGCAGAGCGAGCGGCTGGCTGCGACGCGAGACTCTGAAACGTGAATTTGACCAATTGAACTCTCTCCATCCCCAAACCAAACATGAACTCTCTCCTCTTTGCTTCTTTACGGGTCCCCTCGTCTTTGTTTTTTTTTTCTTTTTCTTTTTCCTTTCCCGTTTTAAGCCTCTCGTTCCCCTGTCGTCATCCTCTTCTCCGCGGTATTAGAGGAGTGCTTTGTTTTGCTCTTAGTGGATGAAAGATCATCAATTGATACATGTACCTGGAACTGGTGTAGAGGGATCGGTCAAACTTAGGCAATCACCGCTCCGTGGAGGGTGCGTCTCTGGCCGATTTCCGAGGACCACGATGCGTGAAGTCGACGATGGAATACAAGCAGATGTGTGGAAATATCCGCCGCTTGTTGAGCCATCTGCACGGCCATGCTCATCGCGTTGCTTCACCGTCACCGACAACCCCGGCTTGCAGTGGATGGATGCGACTTGTGCTTGGCCGAACGAGGCTGGAATGATCATCAGATCAATCGAGGCGCAACGGGGTCAAAGCTTCGCTGGCCAGGCCAGGGCCTCCGACCACGGCGAGGGAGACTGCCAAAAAAATCTCCAGAGGGTTGTCGGCTCGACATATTGAAGCCATGGTTGATGGCTTGCGAAGCTGTCTTCTTGGTAGAGATGGGAAAGAACCCAAGTGCTAGGTTGGCAGTGTCAGGAGAGAAAACGAAAGAGAAGGAAAATTGAAGAGATTGAATGGAAGAAAAGGATGGGGGAAAAGGGAAGGAAGAAAAGCAGGAAAGAACGGAGCCTCCCGCCTTGTCGATAAAACGCTGGGTGGCCAGACCATGATGTAGGGCAGGATCGAAGGTGTCAGCCTAGCAGCACTCTTTCATCACGAGTACAATATGCTGTAGAATGGATGGGGTCAATCCATTTGATCTATCTATAGATCTGTTGCATGATGTCTTGCGCAGCATGTCTTGACAAGTATATCATTTTATCAATTCAACATCTTTCCCTATCTGACATCATTTTACAATACATCAATCAAGTCTTCTATCTGGGTAGAATTGGATGGATTGAAATGGATTGGATGGATGCATCCATCCATGTGGATTGATCCATCTCTATTAGGTGCATGTATCCATTACATTTGTTGGCCTGGCCACATACGTGTACGGCGCCCGTTGGGCTCGGGTGTGCCAGCCATCCAGCATCGATACGTACACAGCCAGCCTTGTCTCTCACACCATCCCCACCCATTGTAATAAAAGAAAAGGGAACGGCACCAACAACCCCCAACCGCAAACATTGATCTCATCAAGTTTAGGGAGCCATCATCAAAGACGCCTCCCTTTGTGGATTTCTGTTTTCTTTAAAAGCCGCTTGGTTAAGCTAACCCCCACGTCCCCCCTCCCAGTCGGGATAGCTGGGGCTGAGACTGCCTAAACCCCCAGGTCGAGGTCGAGCTTGAGCCAAGTCTTGCACCCAGAGGACAATATTTCTCCCTCACGACCTCCCCGCTGGTCTTCATCCGTACCATCTCTGAGCTCGGAAAACTAGGAAACAGAGCGACCAGGGGTTCGCCTAGCTCATTCGCGCGTGTCGTACTATGAAGAAACTCCAGCAGCTTCTCGAATTGGTGCGAAACACAGCCCGCAAGGCATCCGCCGCCCTCACCCTCCACCACGAGGGCCTCATTCATCACCCGGGTACTGCGGATCTGAGGGATAATTTGCGAGAGCTCAATGCAAAAGTCCGGAAAGTCAACGGAATGTGCCACGTTGCCCTGGTCGCCTTTGAGGATCTTAGCGCGGTCCCTGATTCCCGCGATTGCACGTCTGACTACTTCTATCTGGAGACGTGCTTGTCCATCCTTGAGAGCTTGATCATCGCTGTCGGGGAGGCCAGGACCCGCCCGGAGATCGGAAACTACAACTAGGCCAGGTGAATGATTTTCCCCGGGATCCTGGCCAAGGAGATGGCGTCGAGGTCCAGCAGCCGCTCATCATCGCCGGCCAACCGGTCCTCGAGCTTTCCAAGATGCGGTACACTCGCCAACAACTGGCCTCCGTCATCCGCCGCTTCGAGGACTTCTACACGTGTCTCACCATCCATGCCATGCACGTCGTAGTGTCGAACCGTCGCTCTGTCCAGCCCCTTTTCTCGGATACTGCGGCCTCTCCTGGATCGGAAGATGATGAGGATCCTCAGATGAGATTGGCGCGCTTCTTTCTGCAGCTGAGCCTGCCCGTTCATGATAATCCTCCGTCCCCGTCATACCATGCCGAATGTGTAGCTGCCGATGCCAGGAACAGCATCAACCCAGAGTACCCAGAGGCCGCTGTTGGTTGGGTATCACCTTTACTAAGTGCGCACTGGGAAGACTTGAAAGACCTGGTTTTCTCCCTCATGGGAATGCCCCTCACCAACCAGGTCGCTCCAATTTCATCCAATGGCTGCTACAATTCGCCCGCCAGTCGTGGCCCGATCACTTTGGCGACACCTCCTTCGGCAGCCGCTCCTACGCGGCTCTGGTCCGTTGCTGGAAGGCGGACAGGGGCATGCCTCACTACGTTGCTGCTTCGCTAGGCCTCCGAGAGCTATGTGCAGAAACCCTCGCCCCCAGCGAAATTTCGCGCCTTGGCCTCAATCCATCCAAGCTCCTCTACTGCTCTCTTATCGGGCCCTCGTCTTTGCTCTACCAGACCCATATGACACTCTGGGACAGGATCAACCAACCCCCTACAGCTTGAACCAGGCCGACGTCATCCGACTCTGCTTGCCACCCAAGATCGAGTGCTCTCCGTTGCCTGCATGGCTCTGGAGCCCCGATACCCACCCCCGAGACCACCAGACTACATTGCCTTTCTAGTATGCCTGAGGCTGAGGGATGCGGATCTGTTTTTGGAGATATTCTCACGCTGCCAATCCATGAGTCCAGATTTTATTGAACTGCTTCATCCCGGCTCTTTCTGGGAGCCCTTGGCGACGAGACATGAGCCTTGCAGTTCCGAAGAGGATCGTGATTATCTAAATGACCTGTTGCGGAGGCTACTTGATGTCATCCTCGTCAGGCTACTTGATATTGACACATGGGAACCCGAAACTCCAGAGGCTTTGGCATTTGATGGCGCCTATAAATTGGGAGAGAGCAAAGGCTTGAGCCTTTGCGCACCCGGCCACCAGTGGCTCGCCGAGTGTATCTCGGACGACGCCGACTTTGAGGATATAGTCCGGAATGCTGTTCGGGAAGCACCAGCTTCCCTTGTCCGTCGCTTCACGCAGGATCCGAGATGGCGGCCTGACATTCCCTACGACCCACCATCTACCGACCCGGCCAAGGCAAGTGGCGGCACGCTCCTACACTTGGCTGTCGAAAGCCAGAATCCTCGCGCCTTGGAAACGCTAGAAACCCTGATTAGCGCAGGACTAGATGTAGAAGCAACAGACAATAGGGTCGCACAGCGCTCATGAATTGTGAAACATCTGGCGCCTTTCGCGTCTTATTGCGCCATGGAGCAAATACCTCGGCCCAAGATGCCGGCGGCCGTAACTGTTGGCACTCTGCTGCCGCAAACCATGACGTTCCTACCCTACACATCCTTGCCCAGGAGGACACTAAGATGGCACAGAATATGAGGGTTACCAATCTCGCCGGGAACACGCCCCTTGCCGAGGCGGTTCTGGTTACCGACGGGCTCTCGGATACGAAGGTGAAGCTCTCTTCAAAGGGGTTAAAAGCGATCCAGCTGCTATGTGATACTGCTGATGGGGATGAGGCCTGCTTGAAGTCCCGGGTGCCGGTCCTGCATTCGGCCGTAAAATGGGGAGACGCGAGCGTTGTACGGTCCTTGCTCGACTTGGGCGCGGATGCTAATCAACTCTGCGCGAACGGAACGAGCCCGCTGCACCACCTCAACTTTTCCACAGACTATTCCTTGGTGATGCTCTTATGTGACGTCTGTACTAACGCTCCAATCCAAAGGCCTAGAGACAAGCTCACCGCCCTCGAGGCGCTCTTTCTAAACTTTCAGCCTAACCGCGATGGGGCCGGTGTGGCCCCCAGCCCAGCGACGGGTCATCTCATCCGTCATTTGCCGTCTTGGTACGCGAGGTTCTCGTCGCCCTGCTCGACATACCCGGGGTGAGGGAGTCCAAGAACGACAACGGCATGGGCTTGTGGGAACGATTTTGCCGCATCATTGTTCGCCAGTGGGCCCCCTTGCAGGAACCGCACTACGCCATTACCATTGTGAGCTTGGCTGCCGAGTGGCTGGCTCAAGAAGGTGTGATGCGCCGATACGAGGAGGAAACGAACCAGTCGGGAATTCCGCTCTTTCGAGACATGTCGACCCATATCCCCGGCGCGTGGCCGACGGCTAGGCTGACGGAATTGTATCAGAGCCTGCTCAGTAAAACCAGCCGCTTAGAGTTATTCACCAAATCCACCACTGCTCTGAGTCTTCTCAACACCGCCGTCGTGGCCAACGCAACCCCTTTACTTGATCTTCTTCTCGAACGCGGCGTTTCCGTGCACTCGCGAGGGTGAGGGCCGTGATCGCAAAACCGCTCTCGAGATAGCTTGCGCTCCCACGACAAGAACGACCAAGTGCACGTTTGAAAAGCTCCTGAGCTCTGTGAAACCGGAGCATCTCAACCGTCTCGATAGCTCTTCTCAGGGCGTCATTCACCTTTGGCGAATCCAAATGTGCCCAACCGGGATCAGAAGCTGACGGCCTTGCTGGAGAAGGGGGCAGACCCAAACTTGATGCGGTGGGGAAAACGCCGACCCTGGTGTCTTTTATCCTCGAGAGGCAAATCGATGCCGCGCTGATCCTTCTAGGCAAAGGCGCCGATCCGAGCCTCCCAACCAAGGAGGGCATGGACGCCGCGTTAGCATCGGCGTCGCGAGGGTGCATGCGCGTCTTGGAGAAGATCCGGGCTATGGCGCCAACGGACTTTAATTGGGCGCGCACCTGCAGATCGCACTTCACCATTATCCACCCCGGCGGCGCGCAAGTGACGACAACGGCATCGAACTGCAGCGCACTCCACCTCGCGGCCTTTAACGGATACGACCTAGTCCTCCAGTACTATCTCAACAACTTCAAGCTCGACGTCAACTCGCAGATCCAGGACGACCAGCGGCGGCCGATCCACTTTGCCGCAATCAGCGGGTCCAGCTCCTGCATCCGGGTGTTGCACGAGCACGGGGCCGACCTTCGGGCTCGCGCGAGAGACGGCAGCACCCGCTTCATACAGCCGTCCGAGGCAGCCAGGCGCAGGCTGTCAAGATGCTCCTGGGACTGGACCCGCACAGCCTGGCGGACAACGAGATGATGACGCCCTTTATGCACGCGCTGCGAATCGGGTTCGTGGAGATTATCAAGCTATTCGTGGAGGTTGACAAGTCGCCCGAACCCACCCCCGTTCCCGCCCCCGCCTCCGCCCCCGACAGGCAGCCGCAAGACCCACCGTTGAGGACCCGGATGATTGGTGAGACCATTGACTCGGTCGTTAGATCGGGCGACGTCCGGCACTGCCGGAGCCTGTTGTCCGTTCTGTCAATTGAAGACTTTGCGATGATGCCGCTCAAGTGCGAGGGCTGCACGCCGCTGATTCTCGCCATCCGCGAGAACAAGGCGGACGTGCTAGAATGGATGCTGACCAACGAGTGCAAGGGTTTCACGGGCTCGTGCCCGGCGCACTTTCGGCGGTCCCGCCAGCTAGGCTTCGACGCTCTCAACCTCTTGTGCGAGAGGCCAAGGCTCATCAAACTACTACCGAAAATGTTAGAGGCGTACCTTAGGGAGGGAATTGACTGGACGAGCGCCTGCCTGTCACCCATACATATGGCTGCCAGGGCGAATAACATTGATGCTATTGACGATATTGTCCGGCATGTAAAGCATGATGCTCTAAAATACAGGTACATATCATCGGTTCTTTGGATCCTTGCCCTCTATGTCTCTTTCCCCCGGGAGAACGACAACAACAATGACCACAAATACTAATTCATTCTTCTCTTTTCGTTGAAATTTTGTAGTAGCAAATTTCTCTTCGGGGCTTCGGACTCACTACGACAAATTCCAAAGGGCGCGGAGAGTGTAGATAACCTGAAATCCAGGTTGACCAAGTACATTCTAGACCAAAGGGTAACTGGCGATGAGATACCAGAAGTCGCAGCGCCTGGGTGGACACCGCTTCATATTGCCGCGAGTCACGGAAACGAAGAAGCTCTAAAACAGCTACTTATTCTGGGAGCAAACCCCGACGTGGAGGACGAGGAGCTGAACCGGCCGATCCACCTCGCGGTCCGAAATAACTTTGAATCATGCGTACAGATATTGATTAGTGGCGGGGCGGATCCGAATAGATATCATGGTCAGGGCTCAACGCCATTGATGGCGGCGGTGGAGGCAGGAAATATTAGCATTGCACGTATGCTCGTAGACGCCAAGGCTGATATACACGTGGCTGACCCGGACGGCATGGGGCTGCTAAACATTGGGGGAGCGGTCGAAGAATCCGGCCATGATGCACTACTTACTCGGGCTTGGACTGAGCCCGTATAGAAGGACAAGGCGGGATACATGCCCGTCGATGACATGGTTCTCAACTTCGACATGCTTGGCTATGTCATGAACGGCCCGTTTGATTTTGGGCAAGTTGTGGAGCTGAACAAGGGCCTCATCTCACTTGTCATTGAGCTGAACCGGGGCAGCGCTTTGCCTATTCTTCAGCGACTTTTTCGGCGGCTAAGTCCTAAACAGATCGAGAAGTTGATCAACACGTCGCCACGCCGGTTCGTCAGTGCACTTTATAATGCGGTATATCGCGATATGTTTGCGGCAATCGATATCCTTGTGAAGAACGGGGCGGACGTGAATAAGGAAGGCTCCGTGGAGGGCACGCCGCTGATAGCAGCCTGCGCGAGGGGCAGATTACGCTCGGTGAAGAAACTCGTGTTTTACGGGGCGCGCATCGCTTACACGATTGAGAAGGACGGGGTGACGATTGTGCGGGATGCTCTCGGGATAGCAAGCCAGTCCGGGTTTACTGAAATACAAGACTGGCTCCTCGTGGGGCAGTATACGGAAAAGAGATTTGTTTGCGGGCGAGCGCCGGGAGAAGAGCTCGATGAGCCGATACGGCTGTGGTCAGGTCCGTGGTCGGCGGCCTACCGTCTACAGGGTATGTTTTACGAGCACCCGCGCGAGCCGAGAGAGTCGCGCATCGCGTACATGAGCCGCATGAGCGCCCTTCGACGCTCCCTGCGCGGGCAAGTCGTCCGCGTCGAGGAGCTGGTGAGAAGCGCAAGCGAAGGGGTGGCGGTCATGCCGGCGGCGTCGAGATGGGATCCGGAGAGGATGCCGGCGCGGGCGCATGAATCACGGTCTGAAAAGGGGGTGTGGCTGGGCCAAGTTAAGGCCTCGGGGGCAGCGCAAATCCAAACCGCATACTATATAATGGACTTTGCGCTTGCCCCCAAACTCACCCCTAGACAGCTTGGACGGAAAGGCACGGCACAAAGGGTTCGGGACTCGGGGACAGTTGACCACACCACGAGATCCCAGAAAGGACATTAACCCTAGACCAGCCATATGGCCAGAGAGCCGGTGAGGTGCTCGACGGAGTTGGTTGTGACTAACTCTTTGGAGCTGTTGGAACGACGGCAATCAGCGCATTCAGCGCATTCAGGCTCTATCATAGATCAATAGCCTTGATTACTTACTGACGCTAACTCAGCTCCCCTCAACGGTTGCACGAGTCAGCCCTCTTTTTCTGGCGTGGGGAGCGTTGGTTCATCTGCTCTTCATTCGGGATATAGGTCAGTATCTACCTCTACCTTGCGGGAGTTGAGACGACTTGATAGATTTAGACGTGTCGACGGCTGGCAGCTTTTGTTTCGATGAATTTTCATGATTCCATATATAGCACCGGCTTTTTTAGTCATTTTGGTCTTTTTTCTTCTTCTCTATTGTCCTTATTTTCTATCTATATGTACCTTTCTCCCCCTTTTGGCACCCTCCTTTGTTTTTATTCATCTTTTATTTCCATTCTTGCTTGTCATTTCCTTATATCCTAAGTGTACGAGGGGACGGTGCTTTTTTCTTCTCTCTTTTCTTTGTCTTTACATTCATGGATCCATTGGCTTGGTGGCCAGCTTTTGGTGCATTTTATTTATAGACTTTGCAATCAGATTCCCTTCTCTATGCTTATGTTGACTTGGAAGTGAGGTAGTGGCCTCTCTTTCTGTTCTTTTGTTCCTTGTTTCTTGAAATGGCATTAAGTTGCAACAAGAGAATGTGGAGCTAAGGCATGAGCCGCAGCACAGCAACCAGTCAGGTGGGAAAAAGGGGCCTCTGTTTATAGCAGATGAGATGGTGTGCTAACCGGTTCATCTTTATGAGCAAAACAATATGATTTGGGGACCTAGAGTCGGATATGAGAGGGGAAGACTAGGGCGACACACTGCAGAAAGCTTCGAGGCCATGTGTGTGCGTTGTCCTCAGACCATGCAACTTAAGCTTGAAGTACGATGGATGAGGGCGAGAGGAGCTGCAAGAGTCTACAGACGGAAAGAAGAAGCCCTGGGCCCATGCTACCTCTCTCTCCACCAAATTCGCCTAATTCTGGCGAGAGAGGTGGAGGGGACATATATCTAGAGAGGGCAGACTCAACTCGGGAAGGGCGGGGACGGGGCGCTTATTGTCCAACACAAGAAGAGCGCGCGAGGACGGCGGATGGCAAAATGAAAGAACAGGTGATGGAGGTATTGATCTCTGCGACCACATGACAAAGATGATGGGCGTCCATCGTGCTTGTTCACTTGATTACAGTCACAATCTAGTCTACAATGTAATGCTAAAGCGGAGGTGGGAGAGGCTTAAGCACTGACCAACGGCCATGTGCTTTAGTCTTTTTCTTTTCTTTTTTTACTCGAATTCGTTTTTATTCGGTTCTTTCTTTTTCTTGGTTGATTCCCAAGCTACGACGCAAGTTCATTTGTGGACGGGAAAATCTCCGAAAAGCGAGTGGGGGCGAAGGAACCGGGATTCCGACGTGGAATGTGGAGACGGCGCCGGGGATCTCGCAAATCCTCGGTAGCGAACCCGAAAGGACAGGCATTCTCGGGGAGAAAAAAAGAGAGAGTCGATGGTTGCAGCCTTGAGGGTGCAGCGCTGTTGTGTGGGGCAAAGGGAGACTGGTAACCTGGTGGAAGACCTGGTTTTCTTTTCTTGTCTTTTTTTCTCTTTTCCTCCTTGCTTTCTTTTCCTGTGTCTGTCTTGATTGTGATGATAGGTTTATCTCGGTACATGCATACTGAAGTCTTGTCTTCCTTACGGTCCGTCCCATATATGACGACACTAGAAGCTATGGAAATCTTGTGATGGTCCGCTTTCCTTTTTCAAAGTTCATCTTTTATTCTAACTACTACAGTATCCCCAACCCCGCAACCTTCAAGTCTTCACTGAGGAGCTCCCATACCACCTCGGCGACCCAAAAGATCCCTCGGCAGCGTCTCCATCCGGCTATAAGCATCATCACGTCCAACAGCGCAGGACCAAGATAATACCCCAGACTCTTCTTTCCATTTCATCGCAGAACAAGGTTGCAACAGCGTAACAAAGGCTGCCCGATTCTGCGGTTGTCTGCTTTCTTCCCCCTGTTTAGCCTAAAGAGAATGCTTGTATGGTCTAGTCGGCCACATGTGCGTCCATCAAGCACGAAGTATGCGTGGGGCCCTGGTTGCGGGCGGGCCAAGATACGACGCTGGCGCACCGCGACCATCCCGGGCTCAAGGTCTACTTTGCCTCATTTTAAGCCCCAGCCGGACAAATCCGGGGCGTACTTGTCCTTGTAGCATGGAGGCATACAAGAGACGAGGAAACCCAAAAATGGAACCCAAAAAGGAAGACGAAAGAAACAAAATAGCCCCATGACATGGCGCGGGATGGTATTCCTTGGCTTTGCGTCCTTCTTTGTTTGCCCACGCCCGAACCTTTGTTTTTCTCTTGGTAGGCGCTTGCTGCCCGCCCCGACATAGCGTCCATTCTCGTCTCGTCTGTTCACTGCGACGGCGGAAACGGACCCCAAGCGTAGATCTTGGTGGGAAAACTATTCACGGAGCTCCGAGCCTCCCCTCCCCTCACCCCTCTCTCCCTTCTCCCTTCCACCCAATGCTTGAGAGGACGAGTGTTACCATTGTCCTAGCCGGACGGCCGGAGAAGTTGAGGGGAGCATAGACCTTTTTGCAACTCTCCACGCGAGGGTTCCTTGGAAGATGTGGAGGGGAGAGGGCACGAGGGCGCGACAGCGAGACGAGAAAAATGGGGGACGAGTGCAAAGCCAGGAAAGTATAAAGACGAGGGGAGAGCGCTGGCTCTTAACGACGCGCTCTCTCTCTCCCCTTCTCTTGTACGGGTCAAGGATATCCTCTTCAAAGACATCGCGGCATCACTCGCGCGTTCCTTCTTACTCCCTTCAACCCCCATAAACGCTCATACTCTTTGTCCTGCGCCCATCCGTAGTCTTCGAGCCTTCATACGCCCCCTTTCACTCTACCATTCGGGAACTCGCCATCCCCCTCCCCTCAACCTCCGGATACAAGACCAAAAAGTGACTTATCCTCTCGCCACACACAAAAGATGAAGAAGTCTGCCGTCCTCCTGGCCGCCGCCTCCGCCGCCTCGGCGCAGCAAACGGGCTGGGGCCAATGTGGCGGCATCGGCTGGTCGGGCGCCAAGACGTGCATCTCCGGCTGGACCTGCACGTACCAAAACGACTGGTACTCGCAGTGCATCCCCGGCGCCCCTAACCCCGTCACCACCACCTCGACGACCGCCGCCCCGCCCACCACCCTCGTCACGCAGACCTCGGCGGCCCCGACCACCACCACCACCCCCGGCGGCGGCGGCGGCGACGGCGGCAGCACCACCTGCCCCACCACGCCCTCGGGACTAGGCACCTCCAACGCCAACCTCAACGACCCCTTCACCTTCCACTCCGGCGCCAAAGTCACGACAAAAGCCGAGTGGGGTGCCGCCAAAAGAAGTCTCCCAGCTCATGCAGCAGTACGAGCTCGGCACCCTCCCCGCCAAACCCACCGTGTCCGCCACCTACTCGGGCTCCACCCTCACCATCACCTCCACCGCCAACGGCAAATCCGCCTCCTTCTCCGTTACCGTCAACAAGCCCTCGGGCAACGGACCCTTCCCCGCCATCATCTCCTACGGCTCGTACGGTGCCTCCATCCCCGTGCCCGCCGGCGTGGCCACCATCCTCTTCAACAACGACGACGTCGCCCAGCAGCAGGACTCGTCCAGCTCCCGCGGCAAGGGCAAGTTCTACGACATCTACGGCGCCGACCACTCCGCGGGCGCCCTCGTCGCCTGGGCCTGGGGCGTCGGCCGCATCCTCGACGCCCTCGAGCTGACCAAGGCCCAGACCGGCATCGACCCGGCCCGCGTCGGCGTCACGGGTTGTTCCCGCAACGGCAAGGGCGCCATGGTGGCCGGCGCCCTGGAGCCCCGCATCGCCCTCACCCTGCCGCAGGAGTCGGGTTCCGGCGGCGCCGCGTGCTGGCGCATCTCCAACTGGCAAAAGAGCAACGGCCAAAACGTCCAGACGGCGTCCCAAATCATCACCGAAAACGTGTGGTTCAGCCGCAACTTCAACTCGTACGTCAACAACGTCAACTCTCTTCCCTTTGACCACCACATGCTCGCCGGCCTTATCGCGCCCCGCCCCATGTACGCCATGGAGAACCCCGACTTCGAGTGGCTCGGCACCATGGCCACCTACGGCTGTATGGCCGCCGCCAAGAAGCAGTGGGATGCCCTCGGCGCCACCGAGGCCTTTGGCTACAGCCAGGTCGGCGGCCACAACCACTGCTCGTTCCCTAGCGCCCAGAGCAGCGAGCTCAACTCCTTTATCAACAAGTACCTGCTCAACCAGAGCGTCAACACGGGCGTCCTCCGCACCGATCAGACCTACAACAACTTTAACCTCAACACGTGGGCGTCTTGGTCCGTTCCGACCCTTCGCTAAGAGCCGGGGTGATGGTTCCCCTCTTCAGCTTGGGGGTTTTGCCAGGCAGCGGTCAGTGCCAGGCTGAGACGGCAGGCAAAGGGATATGTATATCTGGTTGAAGGAGAGGGAATGAGTTCTGGCGAGAAAGGAGGAAAAGGCGATGACTGATTGTATATAGGGGACATGGGCCCCAGTTTTCACATGTAAATACTGCTTCGTTTCTCTCTCTTATCAAGTGGCATGTAGCTGCAACTGAATTGAGTCAACTTTTTTTTCTTTCTTAACCCCCTTGACTCGCCATCAGCAAGTATGAGTATCACTAGGCGGAGGCATGTAAAGTGCAAGTGGCAAGTGTCGGTGCAACAAACGCTCAATTCATTCTGCTCCTTTCTCTTGGTAGAGTCAAATTCTTTATATCAATCATACACGGACATGAAACCCAGCAGCAGCAGCCAACAAGCCAAGTATATACAGCAAAAAGAAAATCATTTATTTCAAGAAGTCCGGAGGAAGATCGGGTCCTATACCACGTTAGCACGAGTACGCCATTTTCTTTTTCTTTTCCCTGTTCTTTGGGGGTAAAAAACAACAACACCAGAGTGCAACTTACCCCAGACGTGCAGGCTATCGGGAGACGCCAAGGTCCTGTGAGTAGGCTCGCTATCGTCGAGCAAGTCGCCGTCGACGTAATGCTCCATGACGAAGCGCGAAGGGTCGAACCAATAGTCAAAGATCTGGCTGCCCATGATGTGGCGGCCGACGCCCCAGCAGTTCTCGTAGCCCTTGTGCCTGAGCCAGTCGTGGCCGAGGACCTGGGCGTCAAAGTCGTGGGTCTCGAAGGAGGAGTGGTGGACGTGGTACTTGGGGCCCTCGAAGAAGAAGAAGACGTGGTGGTCGACGAGTTCCTTGCCGCGGTTGATGCGGTAAAAGACGGTGACGTCCTTGCCGGTGGGGTCGTGGACGAGCTATTGCGTAGAAAGAAAGACTTTGTGAGCTCGGGGAACGCGCAAATTGTGCAAGGGGGTGGAAGGAGGTAGGCTGAGTGATAGGCGGCATGCGCCTCGGCTGCGGAGCTCTTGTTCTGTTTGCTTACCTCGCTAGGGAAAAGTTAAAGTGCTTGGTGTAGAACTCGTAGCACTTGGCAAAGTCGGTCACGCACACGCCAAAGTGGCCGAGCTTGTGAACGGGAGCAGGCCGCTTCGTGAATCGCTGCTTCTCATTGACACCACGGTTCTTCAAGGTAGGCTATACCAAGGGACAGGCACGACGCCAGAGGTTAGCGAGCTAGCGATACCAAAACGGTTCAAAATGGAAGATGGCAATGATAGAAGAACAAAAGGGAGCGGTGGCAACCCGCGTGTGCGCGTGGGATTCAACTTACATAGTTGACCTTGAGGTCGGGGAAGCTAGGGGCTGGGCCTCGATAGGCGTCTGGCCGTGGACGAGGTGAAACTGCCAGTTGTCGACGGGGTCGCGGAAGGTGACGCACTTGCCGCCGCCGGGGACATCCTTGAGCTCGTAGACCTCGGTGGCCTGGGGCAGGGTCTTGGAGGCGTACTCGAGGTCGTCCAGCGACTCGACTACGAAGGCGGGGCCGAGGAACTCGTCCTCGTCGCCCTCCTCGGCGGCGATGACAAAGGGATCGGTGCCGTAGCCGCGGAAGTAGGTGCGGTTGCCCACGCGCGTGGTCTCGGCGAAGCCAAAGTCGGCGTAAAAGGTGCGGGCGGTCTCGATGTCCTTGTGCTTGTACACCACGTGGGCGATGCGCACGAGCTGGATCTTCCTGTCGGCCGTCATGGTGAGGTTGGGGTGTTTGTGGTCGACGAGGGGAAAGGTTTGAGTTTGGTGGGATGGGTTGAAGAGAGTGGGAAAAAGGAAGAACGCGCCACTATAGGGTGGTATGGGTATATATATGATCAATGGATATATGGACGGATATATATCCAAGCTAGAGTTGGGGGCAACCGTAAGACCAATACGCGTGTGGTGGGCGGTCTAGTCTACGGATGACACAATGGAGCAGCTCTGGGTGTAAGGGAGGAGGGGCGGCAAGGAGACAAGGCCAGAGCTGGGGGTATTATGCTAACTTTAAAGGACTGGGGCCGACTTATAATGGGGGAAAAAGCAAGAGAGGAGGGGCGGGGAGGTAGGAAAGCTCAGTGCTCACGCACGCACTCTCGGCGCCGATCAGATAATGCTAGTGCCAGCCGCGGAAATGGCCGAGCTCTATTGTAGCCTTTGCATCCGTTTCCCACTTCATCGGGCGTGTTGAACCGGTGGGTGGGGTGCCGAACCCTTGGAAGGAGTGAAAGGGGGAGGGGGGCGTGTGTATGTGGACGGGTTCTTAGGTTCTTAGTGTGTCGTAGAGGGCAGGGAGTTGAAGGTGAGAGTGGCAGGTGGGAAAGGTGGGAATTGTGGGAACGGAGCAAGGCAAGAGAGAGCACACACGACTTGGGGACAACAAGCATGGATCCGCCAGCAAAGGGCGAGAAGGGGGCAAAGGGGGAGAGAGCAGCGAGGAAAGTCGGGAGTGGAGCGGAGTGGAGAAAGATCAGGGCCAAAAAACAAAAGAGGTCACCGAAAAGTTACACTCTTGTGCTGATTCTACAGCCGTTAACGCGGGTGACAACATCGGGAGTACTCGTGCCATTGCCTCTCGACAGGATCCATCCATCGTCCACCAAATTGGCCAGGACGTCGGTTGAACAGCGCCCGCGCTGGTGGTGTGCTGTGCAGCAAGGGACATGGCACGAGCATCGCCAACCCTCAGCGAGCAAAGGAATTGCAGAAAGACGGGAATGGACTTGAATCATTGCTATTGGGCCGTGCGACGGACCCGGCGTCGCGCTGTGCTCTGGGAGAAATGCCACCCGTTCAGCCATCAAAGGGATGCATACTTCGCAGATGCGTAGATGCGTATCCGGGCCTGTCTCCCAGAACCAGAACATTAGCGAAACGGGGATTCAGATTCCCCGCATGGAACGTGGGAAACAACGAAAAAGAGGCAGGGTCGATCCATTAGATTTACCCCACACAGAGCCCCGCTGAGGTCGGACAATGGGGAGCTCGGTACTTGTTGCAAGCTCTCCAGAGGCGGCAAATCGGTGGTTGGCCCTCGTCCTTACTTCAATCTTCCCAAATGACTTTTGAACCCGTGCGCCTGACGTGACGACCCTCAACAAGTATTATTCCTTCAAGTTGGCTCGTACCAACAAGACCAAGGAGGACAAGGGGAGGGATTCAATGCGACTTCATCCCGTCCATCGGGATCGTCGCACACCTCCCTCTTTTTCTTGTGGGAACCTCTATCCGCTTCCAATGTCGCTTCTTCTTTTCCGGCCGGGGAGCAAAAGGAAGAGAGAGAGGGAGGGGGTAGGGGAAGGAAAAAAGATATTTCCGAGATATTGACATCACAGGGGTCTACGCTGTTCAACGGGGAGGCTAGCCTTGTCCAGTCTTTAGGGTTGTCCGACAACGGCCAGGTGCGAAATCGCGAGATGCTAGAAGTGATTCCCGAGCCAGCGACACTAGTACTCTTCCTCCTTCCTCGAGCGGACTCGGTACTCCGGCCTCTCTTGGGAGCCAGGCGGGAGGATCCTCACAAAAAAGCAAGCGTGAACCCTCAACATGCCAAGAAAGGGCGCAGGCGCGGGCGTGGGCGTGATGACCGACCACGAGCACCCAAGACGCTGTAGTGCATTCATTGGAAAAAAAAAAAAAGGGTTTGCGATTCTCGCAGCGGATATTCGGCTACAGCTCAAGAAAGGCCCACGAAGGGGTGGAGAAGGGGAAGGGGAAACGGAGGGGAGTAAAGGGGAAAAAGAGAGCAACATCTATGAGATCGATAAAATAATGCTAATTATCTCAACCCAGCCGCCGGGAACAACGTCTCGAGTTGCATCTCTAACGAGGGAGGGCGCTTTGATATCCGTACAGCCTTGATTCCGATTGTCCCGTGGGCAAAAAAGGAAGAAAAAAAGACAACGCTTATTTCCGTGTTGGCGGCGGCGCGGACTTTGTCACAAGCCACTCTTTTGGTACAGCGCGACGCGCAAATCGCAAGTGCCGAAAGTCTGGAAGGAGGCAGGGCGGCTCCCAATTGCTGCATGGCAAATGATGCAGCTAATCAGTCCGGCCCGAGAAAGACTGTAAGGACGAGAAGGAGGGTTAAAAAAGGAAAAAGAAAAAAAGAAAAAAAAAGAAAGAGGTGGCCAATCTAGCATCAGTGCGGCTCGTCGCTGTACCCGGCCGGCGGCGGCAACGAGGACGGCCTAGTATCGTAGCGGTAGCGATACCAAACTAATAGATTGGCCTTGTGGAGAGAACAGGAGGGGAGTTGGAGGCAAACACGGATCAAATGTCTCGATATTTCCGTATTTCCGGCTCTTCCGCTCCTGGGGCCGGAAGAAATGGGAGCTCCACCTGCGACTTGGGGAGTATGGAGCCGACCGCGCTGGAACCTCGAAGGATTCTCCAGTGCCCACCCCTCGCAGCCCTCGCAGAGCCATCTCCGAGAAGACGATTGGAAAAGCCTTCTTTTGGAACACCCATTCACTGAATCTGATAACAAGGGCAACGCCCTTTTGGTTCGAAACGCGCCATCGCGGCAAGATCCTTGCCTGAAAAGGTGTCATGGCATGCACCAAACTACATAATTGAGCTCTTCCCGAGAGTTCGTTGTTGAAGAATGACCCCTGTAGTTGCTGATTAAGCGGAATTTTCCATCGACGGAAGGCGGAGCCGATGCAACCAACGTGGGTGCGTCATGGGCAGGGAGCTTGATGCAGCGTGTGGGGTGGAGGGGAAGGCGGGCGAAGAGGGCAGCTCGTCTTTCCTCTCGCCCAACGCAAACGAAGCTCCCTCTCGATGAAGACTACCCTCAAGGGAAAATATAAATAAAATTCCGCTTACCAGTAGAACAAGAGACGAGAACAAAAGGAAAGCGGCACAAAAAAGGTGCGCAAGGATTGAATACAAAACAGTGGAAAGGAAACGGCAGAAAGAAAACTTGAGCCTCGGGGGCGCCATCCGCCATGATAAAAAGTTCACCAAGTCGTCCTCCGGGACCCCGGCCGCCCTGCCCTCCTACATCCCCCGTCCCTCAACCCCACCGTGACGCCGGCGCCCCTGCCGCGCCTGGTCGTGTTCGACCTCGACTACACGCTATGGCCCTTTGGGTCGACACCCACCCCATGCCCCCTTCCGCGCCTCCGCCGACCACACCTCCGCCGCCGACAAGACGGGCGAGTCCTACGAGTTCTACCAGGACTCGGGCCCCATCCTGCACGCCCTCGTCTCCCACCTCGCCGTCAAGGTCGCCGCCGCTAGCCGCACCAATGCGCCTGAGCTGGCCAAGGACTTGCTCAAGATGCTCTGGGTGTACCCCCAGCGCTTCCGCTTCCGCCCCCATCCCAAACACCGGCGACGACGGTGGTTCCGGTTCCGGCTCGGGCTCTAGCTCCGGCCAGCAGCAGCAGCAGCAGACGTACACGCTTTCCAAGAAAGAAAAGCCCCGCAAGGCCCTGGACTTCTTCGACGGCGGCCTGGAGATCTACCCGGGGAGCAAGATTCGCCACTTCGAGACCCTCCACCGCAAGACGGGCATTCCCTACGAGGACATGCTCTTCTTCGACGACGAGAGCCGAAACAGGGACGTCGAGGCCCTGGGCGTGACCATGTGGCTTGTCAGAGATGGCATGACTTGGTCCGAGCTGGAAGAGGGTGTCAAGGAGTGGAGGAAGAGGCGGGGCTATTGAGCACGAGGAAGGATAGGGACCCCTCCCCCGTTGGAAGGACCCTGGTGGCAAAGGTCTCGCCGTTTTAGTGTTGTGGGTGACTTAGTTAGAATCGCACCAGGTGCAGGATGATCTCACTTCCGTGTAAATATACCCAAGGCGACGTTTTTATCCTCCGATGAGATCAGCAAGGCGTTATTACTTGAACATGCTCACATTTGATGCCCTGGTCCCGTTTTGACTACGAGTTTCCCTCCCCCAATCTCTGACGATGAGTGGGTTACCACGGCCACGGCCACGGCCACGGCATTTATTCCTTCACCACTCACCTAGTCGTCCTGGTCCTAGTGGCTGACACAACCTTCACAGACCATGCACGCAACCTTGATATACAACCTTGGCCACGCAGTATACGCACGTTGTGAACCCCGCTTCCGTATTTTGGGGTTATACAACTCTAAGCCTTGACTTTCCGAATACAAAGATCAATGGATATGTCAAGATGACCTAGGCCGATTGGACGGAGCACGGGGGTTTTTGAGGAATGCCGTATATATAAACTTCCCACATATCTATCTAGGATACCAATGCTAAATCTCGACCTGATGCTAGGGAGGGGAGAGGAAACAGAGAGGGAAAGGGAGAGGGGAGCCGAAGATAGAATTCGGACCAAGAAGAAGAAAAAGAAAGAAAAAAGACCCAAAATATGCAGCGCCGTATGGTATTGTCATGGCCAAAAGATGTCGCCCGTCATCCTTCACCCCACTCTTCTTTCCGGATGGGGATGGGAGAGTAAAAAACGAAAAAAAAAGATGAGATGATAAAATAAAGCGGCGCTTGATGCGAGATAGAGGAGAAAGCACTCGAGGGAAATCTAGAAGCAAGCATCCCGAATAGGCCCTTGGCTACCATGAGCTGTTTCCCCGAGAGTTTCCCACCGACAAGAGGCTAGGTACCCTTACGCAACGGTAGTGGGCAGAGCAGCCGAAGCCGTCTTATCGGTTGCGCCGTTCACCTCGATCGCCTTCTCTTTCTCGTCGGGCTCCGAAAGCGCCAGCTTGTCGATTTCACCGCTCAGGGCCGCGGCCTCTGTGCCGGCCGCGTCTTGCGAGCCCACGACGGGGCTCTTGGTCTGGCAGAAAGCCTGGCCGCCCCACACGTTGTCCTTGTGTACCACGCATATCCTCTCCTCGCGCTGCTTCCCCGCCACCGATCCAACGCCGATGCACTCTAGCTTCTTTCCTCCGTCTAGCTCGCGCCAGACGTGAGGACCCGACGGGAAGCCACGGTGTTCGCCTGCCCACTCCACGATGCCATCCCACGCCGGGTCGAGTGTGGGGAGCTGGCCCCAGCCGAATTCGAGCTCGCCGCCGTACTGCTTGGGGATGTTCTTGGGGTAGATGAACTGTCGGAGGGTCGACTCGACTTCGTGCGATCCGAGAATAAAGATTTTGGATACGGTGATGGGGTCGAACCAGCGCTTGATCCAGCCCCAAACGGTCGAGAAAAGACGGGCGCGCCAATGATCTAGAAACATGCACGGAATTTGTTAGATAAACAACGGAACAACGCGAAACAACCCAACTCGAAACGTGGTCATCGTCTACGTACAAAGATTCCTATGCACAACCTCGAGGTTAGTCTCAATCAACTTTCTTTTCGCCCCAAGAGCGAGCTCTGGGGATATGATGCATGTACTCACTGTCGAGAGTCTCGGGGTAATGGGCCGTCGCAAGCTGACTCGCAGCTTGCATGTGCGACTTGAGATTCCAGAACTGCTTCAAGCCAACTCCCGAGATGTCGACAATGTTGGTCGTCATCGTGATGGGCGTGCCAGGAACTCGCGATCCTGAAGCTGGGAGCAGAAAGGCATGACGAAGTGGGTGAGGTTCTCGTACAGCGCAAATAGGCGCAGGAGGCCCGGCGCCGTCTTGCCATCCGGCTTGGCGTTGCTAAAAGTGCTTGCCGCGCCGCGCCGCTCGTATTCCGCGACTGCCTTGGAGTCGAGCTGCCTGATCTCGAACAGGTACAGGGGGATACCCCTAGAGAAGCGAGGCGAAAGGTCGCATGAGTGAGCTGATCTCGGGACAAGCGGGCTACCGCGGGGATCCAGGTATTCGGGCTCCTGCTTACCTTCTATCTCTTCTGCCAGTCCATTGAGGGTACTGCGAATCACCAGCTGTGTTAGTCCCGGAAGATGGCCAATTTTCGGGAGTCCCATCACCAAAGCAGGACAAGGGTGCAGAACGCTTCGGACTAGAGTTTCCAACATACCATGCGGCGACTCTGCTCATACGAGTCTAGCTCGATTGTGTGGTAGAGGACATCGAGATCGTTGGCTGTGCGCCAAATATGGCTGTCGCTGAACTGCTTCAACGCCTCCTCGGGAATCCACCGTCGGGCTCTCAAGTACCTCCTGTGAGTGGGTGGTCAGTCTTACGGCCCTTTCTCAGAGACTCGGGGCTGATTGAAACACTGTAGCTGAAAAATCACTGGTAGGGTTCGCGGGTGACAAAATAAGGACTGGGGAAAAAAACGAAAGGCAGAGAGAGAGAAGCGGGCGGGGAGCGGTGCGCCAAGGAAGCGGGTGGAGCATACAGAAGGACAGTATCATCGTGGGAAGCGGGGACCCGGGTTTGTACAAGCCCTCCTCCTCAGCGAGCTTTTGAAAGCATCGAGAGCCTCAGTCTCCTGTTCGTTGAGGTGCCCGAGGTGGCCGTTTGGGTAGCCGTGATCGCCGTCGGGTGCGCTGCTCTGCACCTTTTGAAGGGCGGGTTCGGAAGCGCCGGAGGTGGTTGCCATGGTCGCCAGGTAGGTGCTGCGGCGCAAGCGACTTTGCTAAGGGAATAGGATGAAGAGAAGCGATGGAGGAGGAGAAGCAGGGCGTGAAGATTCAAGAGCTTTCAAGGGGAAACAGTCGTCGCAAGGCTTCAAAAGGAAGGGGGAGGGAAGGAAGAAGAAGTTGAACACCAAGGACTTGGTGGAGGTAGTCTTCGGACTTTTTGGGGGTCTTCTTTTTTGGCCGGCCCGCTTTTATTTTCTTTTCCCAGTATTCGGGGTCTTGCAGACGAATAAGGCTAGATAGTGAGGACTAGCAGCCACAGAAAGGCGGCAGAAGGATGATTACGTCCCAAAACTTGGCTGCAGGCGCCGCCGCTGGGTCATGCGCTGAAGAGTGATTACGCTCCGGCTGCGCTAGGTTAGAAGGGAAATGGCGGGGCTCGACGGGACAAGGGACTTCAATGTTGCATCAGCGGCGATCGATCAATTGTGAGCGAGCACTTGTCCATCTCGACTCGTGTACCAGCGGCGGGTCCAACCTGATAGGATCGATCCAAGATTACACGCCGCCGCGGCCGCCTAACAATTCGAAGCCTAGGCCGCCTTTTTCCCAGAGCAAAGGGGAAGCTGATATCGCCATCCTTGCGTGCTTATGTGGAGGCCGGGCAACCCGGGCGTGCCTTAATGGTTGATATCTGGGGATTACCAGACATGTTCGGGCCCTGAAGGAGCCTTTGGGCGAGGGTAATGGATCCATTGATTCCATCCATTGCAACGCCAGGGGTCTGTCCCAGCGGATTGGTGTCCTCCACCACCTTGTGGCGCTCACCAACACTGCGCGTTCGGCTCCAATAAGATCAACCGCCTCCAAGATGCACTGTTTTCGATCCTGAGAATCCCCCAGTGGTTGTCCTGTTGGGACTTCATCGGCTCGTCCAATCTTAAACGACGCTGTGAAGCCCAACGTTGGCTATTCTCTATTCCCACTCATTCTCTTTGTCGAGAGTGCGGATAACTGAGCTGTGATGACCGCTTTAGTTAGTAAATGTATCCATCCAGATCAACCATTGCCTCGAATCTGGAACAATGTGATGGGCTTGTCAAAGGCCAAGACTGTTGCCCCTAAAATATCCCTAGCGCGAAAGAGCGGAAGAGGCGGGGTTCACAATGGCAGCAAACGCAACACTGAACCTGACGAGCGGCGTGGGCACGGACAATTCACTCCAACAGCTGTCACAGTGCGCGCACATCAGCTGGCGTTCCCACATGGCGGGGTGGATCTGGCAGAAAAAAAGTTTCCACACCGACTTGGGAAAGCAGAGGAAAAGCGAACGGGAAAAATAAGTGCTAGCCCCAGCAAACCAGCAGCATCGTCGTCTCACAACAAAGGTCGACACTTTTGCGATCAAGCGTCGATCCCTCCCCTCCCCAACGGACCTCGTCCCAATTCGCTAAAGATGCCGGCCGCAAACTCCAAAGCGTCGGGAAAGGCTCGCCTCAAGAGCAATACGAGGACGAAAGAAAAAAGGCAGGAAAAGCGAGAGAGGGGCCTCGCCGACCTCGGGTCGCTCGAAAAGGCCATCGCGGAATTTGTAAGGAAAAATCGCCCACCTCTTCTTACACAAGAAGACCAAGGCCCCTCTAGCCACCGCTCACACGGAAACCGTTTGCATCGCTAACTCTTTCTCTCGCAGGATACCAAGGCCTCCGAACCCGCCAAGTTCTCCGACCTCCCCTCTCCCAGCCCACCGCCACCGGCCTCGATGCCTCCCACTTCCAGACCCTCACCGAGATCCAAGCCCGCGCCGTGCCCCTCGCGCTCAAGGGCCTCGACATCCTCGGCGCCGCGAAAACCGGCAGCGGAAAGACGCTCGCCTTCCTCATCCCCGTCCTGGAAAAGCTCCACCGCGCCCAGTGGACCGAGTACGACGGACTCGGTGCCCTCATCCTGGCGCCGACCCGCGAGCTCGCCGTGCAAATCTTCGAGGTGCTGCGGAAAATCGGCCGAAATCACCCCTTTTCCGCCGGCCTCGTGATCGGGGGCAAGAACTTGAAGGAAGAAGCCACGAGGCTGAGCAGGATGAACATTCTCGTGTGCACGCCGGGCCGCATGCTCCAGCACCTCGACCAGACCGCGGGCTTTGATGCCAGCAACCTCCAGATCCTCGTGCTGGACGAGGCTGACCGCATCATGGACATGGGATTCCAGCAAGCCGTCGATGCCCTCGTCGAGCACCTCCCCGTATCGCGGCAAATGCTCATGTTTAGCGCGACCCAAAGCAAAAAGGTGTCGGATCTTGCCCGGCTAAGCCTCAAGGACCCCGAATACGTTTCCGTACACGAAAAGGCATCGACCGCCACCCCGAGCTCCCTCACACAACATTATATCATCACCCCTTGCCCGAAAAGATCGATACCCTTTTCGGCTTCCTCAAATCCAATCTCAAATCCAAGATGATTGTCTTCTTCTCCTCTGGAAAACAGGTTCGATTCGTCTACGAAAGTTTTAGGGCTCTTCGGCCGGGTGTTCCCCTGCTGCACCTTCACGGCAGGCAAAAGCAAACGGCGCGGCTAGAAATCACATCGAGGTTTACGAGTGCCCAACATTCATGCCTGTTCGCCACCGACGTCGTTGCGCGAGGAGTCGATTTCCCGGCCGTCGACTGGGTCGTTCAGTTCGACTGCCCCGAGGACTCGGATACCTACATCCACCGGGTGGGGCGGACCGCGCGCTTTCAGAGCAACGGCCGTGCCGTGCTGTTCCTAGACCCGAGCGAGGAGGAGGGCATGCTGAAGCGATTGGAGCATAAAAAGGTTCCCATACACAAAGTCAACGTCAAAGAAGCCAAGAGGAAGAGCATCAAGAACGAACTGCAGCAGTTGTGCTTCCAGAACCCAGACGTCAAGTACCTTGCCCAAAAGTCGTTTATCAGCTACACGAGGTCTGTTCACTTGCAAAAAGACAAGCAGGTGTTCAAGTTTGACAAGTTGGACCTCGACGGGTTCGCGGCCAGCATGGGCCTTCCCGGAGCGCCTCAGATCAAGTTTCACAAGGGAGAGGACATTAAGAAGATCAAGAACGCGAGCCGCATGAACATGTCGAGCGACTCAGAATCCGAATTCGACGACGAGGGAACCGCAAGCGGAAGAGGAAGAAGGGAGAAGTTCGTACCAAGTACGACAAGATGTTTGAGCGTACCAACCAGGACGTGTTTTCGAGCCATTACACGAAGCTCGTGGGTGGCGTTGAAGATGGAAATGGTGACGAGCAAGGTGCCGACGGGGCCGACGACGAGGACAACTTCCTTTCTGTAAAGAGGGTGCTGAATGCAGACGACCTAGACGAAGTCTCCAAGGATTTGGGGTCGATGCCCAAGACGCTAGACTTTGGTGGCAAGGAACAGCTGATCATCGACTCGAAGAGAAGGAGAAGCTTCTCAAGTCCAAGAAGAAGCTGCTCAAGTACCGTCCAACGGGAGAGAGGCTCGTGTTCGACGATGACGGCAACGCCCACGCAATCTACGAGCTGAAGAATGAGGAAGACTTTAGACAAGAGGGTACCGTGGAAGAGCAGAGGAAGAAGTTCCTCGAAGGCGAGGGCGAGCGGGTCAAGGAAGCGGACACGGAGGACAAACTCCTCGCGAAGCAGAGGATACGCGAGAAGCGGGAGAAGAGGAAGGCAAGGGAGCGCGAGGAGCGGGAACTGGAGCTTGCCGAGCAGGCTGGCGGTGCGGCGGTGGAGCTGGCCGGCGACGGGGAGGACGAGCACGACCCTCGCGCTGCTGCGCAGCCTGCCCATTGCCTCTCGCGGTGGCGCGGTCGGCGGCTCGGACGGCGACAGCGACAGCGACGAGGACGACAGGCGGCCCAAGAAGAAGGCCAAGAAGTGGTTCCAGAACGACTCGGACGTGGAGGAGGAGGAGGAGCAAGGCCAGAGGGGTTCCAAGGCCAAGAAGAAGAGGAAGGGCGGCAAGGTTATCGAGATCCACCAAGATCCCGAGACTTTGGAAGATCTCGAGGCTTTGGCCACGGGTTTGTTGGATTAGTAGTAGGAATCCTAAAGCGGTGGAACTGGAACTGGTCCAAAATCTTCTTAAAAACTCTCCTTCTTGTTTTTGATGTAAATTACATTATGTCCGCGTCAGCAAGCGCGCCAGACTTTTTTGCGGTGTTTCGATACCCTAAAAACACGTCACTGAAAAGACGATTGGAAGAATAGTGGTGTGGTTTCCCTCCCCTCCGCCCCTTCTCCCAGGATCACCCAAGTTCATGCAGGGCCGGAACATACATCGAATGTCCGCATCCCTGGATCCATGGGTCTGTTGATGTTGACTTTGAGCCCACCTCGCAACGTCCACGATATTTGATAATACCGCCCGGAGACTCTGCGGTGGTTGCGAAGCACTTGAGGAATTTATCAACGTACAGCTATTCAATCAATTGAGCCCCACGATGGATCTATAGATCTCATATTAATACCATCCGTAGCTCATGATAGGTGGAGAAAAAGCGTCGGGCGTCGCGCATCAACACAGCTTTGCAGCCAAGCACCGGCCGCACCCATCATTGTATTATAGTGCAGCGGAGGCAGCTAAAGGTTAGCGGGTGCGGCAAGAAATCAGTGAACGGACTCTCCCCATCTCCATGTAGTGTATGAGCAGTCGCCAACGTAATAACCCATTCGTCGTTCAATAAGCGTGATGTATCAGCCCATGCGGAGATTTTGATTACCAGGGTGGGAATTGCCAGGCGGGCCTCGTGCTTCTGACAGGCGTGCCGAGCAAAACCATAACATGTGATGGGCTGGGTTCAATGTTGTGAATACAACATAGGTGTGGATTGATTTCTGATGGGCTGTGGCCCCCAAACCTCCTCCTGAGGAATGAATAATACATGTAGGATTGATGAGTGGCCCATCATCCCCCCCCGGCAAATGCTAATTTCAGCCGCGATCGATCAGCCCTCTCTGCCTGGACTGTGGTGCCGGTATTATAGCCAGACGGCGGGAAGTGGGAAACTGCAGATTGGCATTGACCTGAGACTCGGCTCATCCAGCGCGGTGGGGTTTTCCCAGCAGGAGTTGCCAGCGAATATTACAAGCCATACTATGGTTGTTTGTTTATTGTAGCTGGAGTCATTCAAGACCCGCGTCGGGGCCAAGAAAGGCCCGGGTTTTATTACATGGGTAGCCGGGGGCGCGGGATGGGGGACGGGAATTTATTGATGGAAGCTGGGGCGCGGAACGTTCGAAAGCAGGCCGTCGAGTAGCGTACATATCTAGTGTGGGGGAGGGGGAAAGAGGAACATTTGAAGACCAGAGGGAGGAGCAGAGTCGGCGAGGGAGTACAATGGAATCGAGAGACGGTTCTAGGATTCAACCTCGAACGTTAGCCATACATACAATGGATCCATCCATGGATCTCTTCCAGTGCCAAACGCGGCGCCGCTACAACTGGAAGCCCACAGGGTGATATTGATGGATCAATGATGAGAAGTAGAGGTCGCTTCACTGGACACTGAAGAGCAGACAGCGCCAGGCAGGCAACTTGAAGTACTCGTGGCACTGGAGCTGCCGGCCACCGCGCACAAGCGCTGTGCGCCATGTACATGAAATGGCAATACACCCGTGTCATACTTCAAAGTCGTCTTTATCACCCGGGATCCGACCCATCCACATAGCCACTCGATAATAAAGGGGAGAAGACGCGCTAGGCATCCGCGGGGCCCCTTGATCGGGTCAAATCAAGCCTCTCTCATCCCGCCGAGGCAAACGCGACAAAGCCGAGACGGAGAGGGCCCCCGCCCCCGTTCGAGTTAGCCTCCTCTGGGGACTCGATTCGCCCAGGGTGGAGTCGTGTTGACTCGCTCACGCTTTCTCAATTACTTGCTTGCTTGCACATCAATTGCTAGTAGTTGAGTAGATGTACGAAGTATTCGACTCCCAAAGTTCCTATTCTTCGCCTCGGTGGCTTGTTTGCCCTGTTTGCCTGTATCCACTGGTGGCTAACATGGAAGAGCCTGTCGCCCCCTCCCTTTAGCGCTATCTTCTCCCATCAGCCAGTGCTAGTAGTACAACATTGATGTTCCTGCAGCTTCGATACCCGGCGGTTTGCCACCAAGGTCCAATTGACGAAGAAGGAAAAGTGACCGTGGTGAAATCTAGAGACTGCACGGAGAAGAAGCCAAAACTGGGCTTTGAACGGTCCGGACCCCATCGATGATCAGTGGTGGATCTAGTCACTAATTTGATAGATACCGCAGGGGGACTCCAGTGGCACCCTCAAGTGCTCCCTCTTCTTGTGTCTCTACATGGAGTCACTGCTGTCTGTCCCGCCGTCTCTGTCCGTCTGTCTCTGTCTCGCTGCCGCTGACCCAGTCAGACGGACATTCTTCTGTTTCCACCCCCTTCCACCCCTTCCACCCTTCAAGTTCCACCGTCCCTTTCCATCCGCTCCATCCCTTTGCCGAGCTTTCCATCCCGCACCTGTCTCGCCAAACCCCAGTTTCCCATTTCCCCAAGAAAACCACTTATTAGTTCTGGGACGGGAGACGGCTTCCTTGCCGTTAGTCCACCTTGATTCGGCTTCTTCTTTTTTTCCCCTTCTTCCTTCCACCGCGAATGTGATGTGAGATCGAGATCCCTCCAATGACAGTAGTATAAGGTGGATTGAATCAATTTCTTCTCTACCCTTTCCCACAGCATAACTGCTTGTGACCTCCCGAGCTCTAGACCTGTTTGCATCTGGTTCCCTTCTTACGCTAAGAACCCTCTCTCCTGCCTTTGTAGATTTCTCTCTTTTTTTATTTATCTTTTTTTTTTTTTAATCCCTCTTATCCTCTTCTTCCCCGGATAACACTTCGCCCGTTTATCACAGTCTCTCTGTCTTTAGTGCCGGCATTTTCTTTTTCCTCTGGTTTCTTCTTTTCTTTTCTTTTTTTTGGCGCTGCGCTGCTTCGGACTGGACATTACCCCTCCAACCCACGCACCCACGCACCCACGCATTTACGCACCCACGCACGCTGCCACGCTGCCATACCAATTCGTCCCACTCCGAACCAGCCCACCAGACCCGTGCTCTCTCGCCTCTAAAATCTGCGCGCTCCGACCAAGCACAACCTCGACGAAACAAATTGTAGCGGATACGCTCCCAGGCAGAAAGCACCACCACCACCACCACCCCTGCTGCTGCTGCTTTCCCAGCCTCTGAGCACAACACCCGCGGCCGTCCCATTGCCGCCGCCGCCGCCGCCTCCTCCTCCTCCTCCCCGAGCCCATGGCTTTCACGGCGACTCTCCAATCCATCCGGTCACTCTTACGCTCCCCAGCCTCCCGACGCTCCAAGTCCCTCTCCGTGAACCAAGTCTCCGTTTCCGCCGACGACACCGTCACCGCTTCCATGCCTGTGGCCACTACGATAGACGGCCCACTGCAGTCGGGGAAGGAGGTCGTGGTGACCACCACCACCACCTCCATCGCCGTGTCCGAGTCCAGCAGCACCCCGCTACCGAGGTCGTCGAGGATGTCTCCGTGGCCAGGGGCGTCATGGTGAACGGCGTCGACGAGGGAGAGGCCCTCCACGACCTGCCCAGAGTCTGCGCCGCGCTCGACGAAAAGGTGACGAGGTTGCTGGAAGAGGAACGCGCCGACGAGACCTTCAAGGGCATGCAGGAAAGGGTCCGTCAATCCATGGATATCATTGCAGAGTCCCTACGCCGATACAAGTAAGTCTCCACCACCCACCACCCGCCACCTTCACCTTCACCACCGCGCTCTCGAGAGCCCAAGGTTGCGCCTTCTTCTTCAAACCTGCCCCTACTGTACCCTCGTACCCTTTTGCCACGAGCAGCTAGACTAACCTGCTCGATTTTTCCTTTCGCAACCCCTTCTCAGCCCCGAAGAGCTCGCCATGTCGTATAACGGCGGCAAAGACTGCCTCGTCCTGCTCATCCTCCTCCTCGCCGGAATCCATCGCCACTCCCAATCGACCAACAGCTCCGCCCCGCCTCCCAAGACCCTCCAGTCCGTGTATATCATCCCCCTCACCCCTTCCCCGAGGTGGACGCCTTCGTTGCTCGGTCCTCCAAGACCTACTCCCTCAACCTCACCCGCTCCACCCTCCCCATGCGCCAGGCCCTTTCCGCCTACCTCGCCGCCAACCCTGCCCTCCGTGCCGTCTTCGTCGGCACCCGCCGGACCGATCCCCACGGCGCCACCCTCACCTCCTTTGACGAGACGGACGGCGACTGGCCGCGCTTCATGCGCATCCACCCCGTCCTCGACTGGCACTACACCGAAATCTGGGCCCTCCTGCGCGCTCTCGATGTTGAGTACTGCAAGCTTTACGACATGGGCTACACGAGTTTGGGCGGCACCACAGACACCTTGCCCAATCCCGCGCTCAAGAGCTCCGGCGGTAGCTTCCGCCCCGCCTATGAACTCGTAGACGACGACGAAGAGAGGCTAGGAAGGGACTAATACGATCACTCGGTAGGCGGCATAAACCGCCTGCACATCCTTTTGGGCTAGCCGGGCGGGATAGAATTCATGGTGCAGGGGGATTGTCACGAAATCAAAGGGGTCCGTTATAGTTCTTCAAATGGCGATGGACTCGGCTCCATGGGGGAAACTGGCGCATCTGCTTTTTTAATGCTTTGTTTCTTTCTCTTTTCCTCTCCAAGGGAGACTGTTTTTTTTCTTTTTCTCTTTTCTAGCACTCGGATTTGAGGGAGGTCATCACGCTCATTCTCCTCATCACGCTCATTCTCCTCATCAATCTTGTCGTTTTTCTTCCCCTTTCCTTTTCACCATTTACATCGCAGGGGAAAACAGCTCCCATCGCGCCAGCCCACCCATAGACATTTTGAGGAACGCTAGTCCAGCCCGCTGTTCCGCGACGGACGACGGAAGGAAAAAGTCTTGTTAAGCATCATGACGAGGATCCATTGAGGGACGCTTGCCCCGCGGGTTGGCTTGAGAAAGAAAAAGAACCAAAAAAAAAAGGGGAAAAGAGAAAAGAGTGAGCGAGGATGGCATGGAATGCACGCAGCAAGATTCTAGAGGATTTTCTCTCCCCCACATACGATGAAGCATACCAGTGGGGGAGAGCAAAGGGGCTTGTAACAGATGGATAGTAGAAGGATTTTGCATATAGATCAGAGCTCGAAATTCGAGACGGTTGTTTTTCTTCTCTTCAGATTGTCATGACCACGCCAGTCCCTGTTCCCATTTGAACGTCTCCTCGACATCTTGCTCTCCTCGACTTTCGAGTGCCGACTCGGCGTTTTCCTCTAGTAACCCCATTTCTTTTTCCTGTTGTTCCTGTGCGCCTTAGACAACTTGCATCGCGACTCTCCCGAGTCCCGTTGTGCATTTCTTTTTACTTTTTTACTTTTTTCCTTATTCAACCCCTCCGGATAAATCTGATTCCAGGAGTAGTGGCACTGCAAAAGGGAAAAACCAAGTTTGGCTAGGCACGGCATATCGCTGTTCCATGCATGCCGAGCTCCTTAGGGGCTGGTTCTGGTTCTTCTCTCGTATTTGAAATCCGGCAGGACGCACGAAGCGGGAGAAGAGGGAATATACAAATAAGGCGCCCAGATAAGCAGCCAACTGTGTGGGTCGGGGGAGGAGGGAGAGGGCGAAGGACGAGGGGACAAGGGTGGGAAGCGGCTTAAATAAACATCTATAAAACTCAAACACAAAGAGGTATCGTTTTTCTTCTTCTCTCGCTCACTCGGCGCCGTCATGGACCCAGGGAAACCAAAGAAAAGAACCAGAGAAGAGCAAAAAAAAAAAAAAGAAAAAAAGAAAAAAAAAGATGGAAAATAGAGAAGATGCAAGAACATTGAAGAATAAGAAACAAAGGCAAGAAAGCTGACATCACAAACACCTTTGCCATCCTCGAAACGCCAGGGCTACCTGCTACCTTTGACTAAGAGAAGAAGGAGAGAAAAAGAAGAGTAGAAGAAAGAAGGAGAAAGGCAGAAAGGTCTAGCCTGATACACAAACGGCAAGAAACGGTGATGGCCCCAGCACCTAGGTAAAATGTGACACAACAGGGGTCAAGGGGTAGGCTCGCTGAGTCTGCCTTGCTCCGCAAAACGCATCGTGTACAGCGCATGAGGCAACGACGAGAAAAGATTAATAACCTCCATCCCTCTTCTGATTATCGTAAAAACATCGCGATGCGTAACCTGCTTAGTCGAGCTCAACCCCTTGCCCTCCGCCGTGCGAGACATTGCCGTAAAGCCTCACTCGATACAGGCATGTCTTGAGAGCGTCCCCGTGGTTCGTCCTCGCCACGAGTTGCACGTGGTCCGTTGTAACGCCCATGTTGGCCAACTCTTCCGAGAGCCTATGGACGTAAATGCCACCTTGGCGCTCGCTAGAATCGTACTCAAAGCCGCCAATCTGGAGAAAACACCCGCCTTCGCCGCATGAGCTAGGCTGGAACCCGAGGGAGTCACTCTGTCGTTTTGGAAACTGGGCGGCGGCGAAATCAAGAAGACGCTTCTGCTGCCGCACGCCATCGACATATGCCCAGATTTCTATTTCTTTGGGCCGGGCATCAGGGCTTAAAGTCGCTCCGGGAAGGATGTGCTCCACAACGACGTATTCAGGAGTAATGACTTTTCCGAGCTGGATCGACAACTTTGCCGGCATGGGGCGGCCCGAATGGTCTACTCCGAGGGCGCCGCACCAAGCATCCCCGCTATTCTCCCAAGGCTGAAATACGGATCCGTGGCCCAGGGGGAGCTGACCTAAACGACTTGAACCAGTTAACCGTGCCGAGCCTTTGGGGTTTCGTAGGGTAATATGTCGGCGAAGACTCTTGAACGTTGATTGTCGCCCCAGTTCCAACGCTGAAGAAGTTGACCCGGTTGCGGAGGTCCTTGTCCCATGTAGACATAATTTGGCCATTCGCGAAAGCTTTCAGGCTAGCCTCTCGAATGGCCTTGAGTACGGCTTCGTCCACGAGTGCCTTTATCTGGTCGCTGGATAACCCAGCACGAACCTTGGTGTCGATCGTATGTTGTATTATCGTTTCCACGCGCTTTTCGTGGTTGGCCAAGGCGCTCTTCATTTCGGCTTGAATCTGCCGCCTATGGGCAGTAAACTCTGGTTGGAGGAGTCGTAAGAACTCTTCACGCGTTAGGAGCTCTTTTGTAAGTTCTGGGCTCTTTAGCCTCTCCCGAATCAAAAGGTCCAGGTTTTCGTCGACAGGCGTTGCAGGTGTTGCAGGCGCGGATTGGCGGGGGCGGCATCCACCCCGAGGATTCGAGCTACCTTGACTCGGTTAGTTTGAAGCCAACGCTCCCACGACTTTGGCATCTTGCCCGTTCCTAGCTCAGCGTCCATGTGGTTCCGTACGGCTTCCCAGTGCTTTCCCGAAGTAAACTTTTGGCCATCACGAGATAATTCAAGTTGCACGACAGTATCATCAAGACGAACTTTGTCTCGCAGTGCGTGCCAAAAGTCCTCCGAGATGACTGGCTTGCCACCCCTTCCAGGAGTGATGTGGATCACCTTTGGTAGCATCGTGCCAAGCTGTTTAAGAGAGTCTTGATGGCTCTTGGAGGAGGACTGCAATTTCGCAATCTCGCGATGTGCATCTCGGACCAAGTCAAGGTATTCGCTCGTGTTTCCGTCAAGGCCTCCGAGGCCGTGGCGGATGGAAAACGGCATAAGCTGCCGGAGATTGTAACCTACACTATCCCAGCCATACCAATCAAAGGCTGGAGGCGTAAACGTGACAATGTTTATCGCTAGCCACCAAGCTAAAAGCGTGGTGAGGACAACAAGGCCAGAGCCAGCGTAGTGTAATAAACGGTCTGATAGCCCCTCTAGTTTGTTGGTCGTGGAGAACCTTTCTCGTGGAGTCCGGGGTTTGGTGTTTTGAGAAGAGCGTGGCGGGCTTCTTGCTCGTGGAGACCGAGGTCTCGTGTTTTGAGAAGGACGCGGCAGGTTTTGGCGAGCATCTTCCGGTGACCCCGACCGACCCGAGCTTTCATTCGAGCTAACGTCCGAGTGATCCGGATCACCTCGGTCCGCCGTCAACCTCTCTTCCATTTGCGCCTGCAGGCGTGGTGGAAGCCCTCCGAAGACGGATTGGCGTGGTTGTGGGTCGCTCGTGGTCTGGTCTCGGGAAATTCTAGCGCTTCGTCTCGGAGTAGGTGCGCTATCAGAGCTGCTCAAAGAAGGCTGGGCGGCAGTGCCATTTGGACCGCGTTGGCCTAATGTTCCGGGAAAAAGCTTATTCGCCTGTCCCACGAGGAAGTCGACAGTTCGGGGTATGCTTAAGCTGCTTCCGGGTAGAGAAGAGCCGGGACCACGCGGAGCGGGGTGGGGGTTATAGCCAGATCAGAGGCGAATGCGTCGGGGCTATCTTGTCTAGCCCTTCGGTTGATGCTACTCTCCGCGTTATATGTGCGGTTAGAGGATTGTGACCAGAGGAAGTTGCGCGGGATCCAGAGCGCGCCACGAGCACGCGGGTCTCGGCCTGGCGTCGCGTTTGACTGGGGTGCTCGACTAACGGTACCCGTGCCGCCAGCTTGAGATGTGAGCCGGGCATTTGGCGCCGGTCCTTGCGCAATTCCAGCCATAGCTGTTATGATAGGAGGCAAATCCGGCTCCGGCTCAGGGGGTATATCTGGGTCTGTAGGACGCCGTACCATGTCAGGTAGAGGGTCTACAAGTGGCTCTGGGGTGGCGCAGATCCAGCGGGCGCGGGAGAGGTGTCCAGCGCGGACTCATCTTCATCATCAGAAGGTTCCGCCATCGCCTCTTGCAACGCCTCGCCAATAGCTTCATTGAGCTCCCTCCGCTTTCCACGGCGAGGATTTATGAGTTGGTGGGTTGTTTCCGAGCCATAACTAGTAAGGACCCGGGACGGCAGTGGAGGCATTTCATCGCGTACGGCGACGCCATATCTTGCAGCTTCCACCTCCCGAGGTTGCGAGGATCTCGCACGAGTGGCAGCTCTCTTTGGAGGCATAATGCCGAGTTGAACGTTAGAGATGGAAGAGGTCAGTAGGTGCGATTTGCGGCCGTAGCCGCGTGGAGAGCGATCCGAGGCCCCACGCGTCGTCGCAACGAGCGGCGATTTAGACTAGCGTAGCAGTATGGCTGCAGGTGATACTTCACTTCTTTCTGAGAATAATGGGGAAATTTTAAAAGGATTTGGTGCGCCGGTAAATGGAGATGAAGTGAATGCGCAAGGGGGATGAGTTTAAGATGAGTGAAACTGAAGAGTTGGTGAAAGAAGTAGGGCGGTGGGTTCGACTTTGAAGATGAATTGTTTGGCGGTTTTGTTAGGCCCCGAAGAAAGAAAAGAAAAGAAAAGATGCAGGTTGGGTCTTTCCTCAAAAGACCTAGTCGAGGTAAAGAAGAAGCGCGGTGCCTCGAGAAGATGCGATGTCTGCCCTTGCGCTTAATGAAAATGGTGACCGGGAAGGCGCACTGCACTTTTGCAAGTGAACTGAGAATTCAAGCCTATTGCCGATATCCTCGTGGTCTGGTAGGTTGCCGATGGGATCTCACAGCCGACCCCAAGAGATCTCTGATCTTTACACGTCCTAGTCCTAGAGCGAGAGAGAGATGAAGATCCCATGGCAGTCGTGACAAGACTCTTGAGATGAGGTTTGTTGACTGGGGGACGTGGATGATAAAAGACTTGGTTGGATTTTTCTGCTGGGTGGAATTCAAAAGATGCAGAATGAGTTGGGAGGAATGTTGAAAGGGATCGATCCTATACTTAGATTTTTCCCAGGGCGAGGTTCATAGTGTCGCTTGCAGCCTTTCGAGATGGAGGGTAAGGCGTTGGGCCATGAGATGAGAGTTGGAATGTTTTTGGCCGCTTTTTTCCCTTCTTTTTTTCCCGCCAGTGCTTGGGCCTGACTCTTCTGGGAAGGAGGTGACTTGGCCGAGATGGCTTTTTTTCCTCCCAGAGAAAACGATGCCTTTACTCAGGACAGCTCCTGAGAAGACGTATTAATTGGCTCTCGACATTGTTGGAGGCTGGGTACTGATGCTTGTCAATGTCTGTCTGGTCAGTCTAGTCAGTCTGGTCGGTCTCGTCGCGTCCGCTCTTCAACGGCCACATCATATTGCCACTGGCGTTGGCACCTTGGGCAGGTGGTTGGGATGTGGCAACGGTGCGCGTTCGCCGAAAACGGCAAGGTCACCCCAGCTCGCTTCTGCCCAAGCAACTTGTTGAAGTGCTCATTGCAACATGTTCTTCCGATATTCAAGCGGGGTCTGTCAAAAGTTGTGACCAAATTACTGCTTAGTCATCGGGAAAGAGCTGGATGTGGGAAAGTTCTCTTGTCCCAAATATCCATTGTATTATCAGTGAAGGGTAAGCTCGAGAACTTGCTTATTATGTTACGCCCGGCACGAGTGATGCTGCGCGTAGTTGGCAAGATCAGAAGCAGATGCATCCCAGCCTGCATTCATGCATCTCATCTCACTCTCGCCAAGTAATAATACCTCAGATTGGCCATGAACGGGTTTGTTGGAGAGAAACAATGTTTCACAATGTTCCCCACCACCAGGTACTGGCCTTCGCCCCAGCTTCTCCTCATCATCGAGGAATTGACCACTCACCGTGGACAACACTGAACATCTGAACCCCCACCTTCACGCCCCCTCTTTGTTCCTTGTGTGGAGAAGTCCATTTTCGAAGCTTGCCCCTCCAAAAATTTCCGCAAAGAGCTCAAGCCGGCCCAAATCCCACAATGCTCATTGCAGCGCGTATAAACTTTCACAGAGCTCCCACTCGGACGCATCGCAAATGGACTCGCTACGTCACGCTGTCCTGATATAATATGGTGTGGATAGCCCATCCCACCATTCAACCCACCTCAAGGCCTCAATCCTCCCCGCCGGGTCGATAGAAGCCCCGCAGCTCGCCAGTGTGAAAGCAAGGGAGAAGGACCGCTGTCTGAGAATGACAAGCCGGTGCATGGTTGACATGAGAGAACGAGGCGCAGCTCTCACTCGCTCCCATCCTGTCCCACTCCCGTCACCGATAATCGTAAATCAGCCTGCATGGTTCCAGAACAAAATACCGAACACGAGGCGAGGTCGAGCGCTTGAGCTCTGTCCCCGAGGACCGTGGTCTATGATTGATTCGCTTCCAGACATAGAGATTGTAGGCGCATCGCACCCATTGAAACATTGAAGTGTAGTAATATTGGTGATATTGGTGGTGAGGGATGTTGGTTCCAACCCCCGGCATCGACGATGCGGCAGGCTGCTACTGCGCCTTTCGGTCGTAAGGCCTTTTTCTCTAGCCAGCTGGATGTAAGGAAACGAAAAGTAAAAGGGATCTGAGACACTACCAACCGTGAAGCGGGATCGATTCTTTGTAACCATGCTGTCTCAACCGATGGACACCCGATACTTTTGCGTCCGGCTAGTACACCTATGATACCTAACCCCTCCCGCGCATTAGTTCCCTCGCAAGATTGATGGATCCTGCCGCCACCCCGTGTCCGCCTGTCGCAACATGGCGCCGCTTTCGTATTCATCAATTGATATTCAGAGGAGGGAAGGGAAGAGATCTTAATTCTCTTCAGCTCCTCCTCCCTTCACGTTCCCCAGTTCCCAACAGCCCGCGTCGCATTATCCGATCTCTCCAACTAACAAAGCTTCCAAAATGGTCGTCGGAACTGTCCTTGTCACCGGGTAAGTACCTCCTCCAAGAGAGCGGAGCTTTAAAAGTGCACAAAAGTAGCGATGGAGAAAACAGCCCGTGACGATATTGTCGCGGCGCAACTACCAGGCAAACTAAACCCACGTCGCGCAATGATTATTATGCGCTCAAGCCCAGCTCAACCCCAGCTAACAGTCACATCTTTTTCGTAGAGGGACCGGCTACATTGGGTCCTTTACGGCCCTTACTCTCCTCGAGAACGACTATGACGTCGTCATCGTCGACAACCTTTACAACTCCTCCGAGGTCGCCGCAGACCGCATCGAGCTTCTCTGTGGGCGACGTCCGGCGTTTTACAAGGTCGACGTGACCGACGAGGCGGGGCTCGACTCCGTCTTCGAGAAGCACCCCGCCATCGATAGCGTGATTCATTTCGCTGCTCTCAAGGTAGGCACCAGTTAGCCCTTTAGTCGATTCGCGTTGTATTTTTGCGCGTGAATCGATTAAAGAGAAAGAGACAAAAAAAAAAGAAAAACCTCCAGGACACTCGTCGAGAGCCGGTTTTCCTGGTGGCCAGCATGCGCCGACTTGTCGCATCGAGCACCGGTTCATCCGCAAGTGTTAACAAATCGAGTTTGTAGGCCGTTGGCGAGTCCGGAGAGATCCCCCTCGAGTACTATCGCGTCAATGTCGGCGGCACCATCTCCCTTCTCAGCTCCATGACGAAGCACAACGTCTCCAACATCGTCTTCTCCTCCTCGGCCACGGTATATGGCGACGCCACCCGCTTCCCCAACATGATTCCTATCCCCGAGACGTGTCCCATCGGCCCGACGAATACCTATGGCCGTACCAAGTCTGTCGTTGAGATGGTCATCACCGACCACGTCGAGGCGCAGAGAAACAACCTGAAGAAGGCCGGCAAGCCTTTCGACCACTGGAATGCGGGCTTGCTGCGCTACTTCAACCCGTGCGGCGCCCACCCCAGCGGGATCATGGGAGAAGACCCCAGGGCGTGCCCTACAACCTACTACCCTTGCTCGGAAAGGTCGCCACGGGCGAGAGGGACCAGCTGCTAGTCTTTGGTGATGGTGCGTATCCCCCACCCCCATCCAACCCTTTCGCCTTACCTCTCAAGCTCCCTTTACACGTCAAAGCATTGTAGACCAGGCCCTCCTACTAGCGCGCAATACCTTACTCACACCTATCATCCTCAGACTACTCATCCCGGGACGGCACCGCCATCCGCGACTATATCCACGTGCTCGACCTCGCCAAGGGCCACCTCGTTGCCCTCAACTACCTCCGCGAGCAGCAGCCCGGCGTCAAGGCCGTTAACCTCGGCTCCGGCCGCGGCAGCACCGTCTTCGAGATCATCAACGCCTTTAGCGCCGTCGTCGGCCGCGATCTCCCTACAAGATTGTCGAGCGCCGCCAGGGCGATGTCCTCGATCTTACCGCCAACCCCGCCCTCGCAAACGAAATCCTGCACTGGAAGACGGAGCTCAGCATGGAGCAGGCTTGCGCAGACTTGTGGAAGTGGGTGAGTAACAACCCAAAGGGCTACAGGCAGGATCCACCATCCGAGCTATTGGAAGCTCTCAAGAAGTGAACCGCTGCGTCTATAGTCGGGCGCAATGGGGATCCAAGTACATACATATCAATGTCACAACTTGAAAATACTTAGAATAGAGTAGAATTGGGGTTTAATGGTTCGGTCTTGATTCTTTTTATTTTTATTTTTTACACTCGCACCGTGAATATATCTCGTATCGTTCTACTACTGCCTTTCGCTCAGCCAACTCAAGTTGAGTCAGAAAGCACCCAGAGGCCAGCCAGCTCAATCGCACTTGATCAACAACTTCCCAGTAGTCTTCCTCCCTTCTAGATCCTGGTGTGCCTTGGTGGCCTCTTCGAGCGAATAGACATCGTGTACCTTGACAACCACCCTTCCAGCAACGACAAGGTCAAAAAGCACGCCCGCATACTTTTCAAATTCCGCGCGGGTGGCGACATAATTGTTCACAACGGGCCGGGCAACCTTGACATTCTTGGCACCAAGCCGAAGAATGTCAAAGGGAGGAACGGGTCCGGACTATAGCACATTTCTGTTAGCAACCCTTGCTCAACGAAAATGCGCAAACGCGCGCGCTAGGTTGGAATGAAGGCACGGAGCGTCCACTTACAGCATTTCCGAAAACAATCAGCGTTCCCTTGCGTGCAATCATTTCAAGATCGCCGTCAAAGGTGGCCTTGCCGACACCATCGAAAATGACATCAACGCCATGCCCATCCGTGATGTCCTTAACCCTTTTCACCAGGTCTTCGTCCTTTGACTGGATGACCCACCCGGCCCCGTAGCTCTTGGCAAGTTCGCATTTCTCCTCTGTGCTCGCCGTCGCGATCACCTTTGCCCCAACGGCCTTGAGCATCTGCGTCAAAAGGCCACCCACGCCACCGGCCGCCGCGTGGACGAGCACCCAGTCGCCAGGTTGGACCCCACCAGCCTCGCGGACAAACGTCCATGCGGTAAGACCTTGAAGTAAGGTGGCTGCGGCTGTCTTCTCATCAACGCCCTCACGTAGTTTGACAACTTTATCAATGTTGGCAATGGTAAAATGGGCATAAGACCCATTATTGGAAAAATAAACGACCTTGTCCCCAACATTGATCCCGAAACGGTGGGGTGAACGGCGACGACAGTGCCAGAGCCCTCCCTGCCTGGCGTCAAAGGAAGCGGCGCCTTGTACAAGCCGGTACGGAAATATGTGTCAATAAAATTGACTCCAGCGTACGCATTCCGGACAAGCACTTCTCCCTCGCCCGGCTTGGGTACTGGAATGCTCTTTGTCTTCATCACGGTTGCGTCGCCGTGCTCATCGACCACGACGGCCTTCATCGTTGAAGGAGTTGGCGCCATTTGTCTTACTGAGACTGTGAAGTCTCGAGAGAACCGATTTAAGAGCTGCGGTTTGTAACAAACGTGTGAGGTGGGTTCAAATCTCCGGAAAAGTATAGGGGAGAAGGTAATGTTGGTGGCTCTTAAAACGCTACCAGGAGTGCGATGGGCAGTTCGGATAATCATGAAGTCGTCCAACAATTTATTTGTTTGGCCGAGGGTGATGCCTTTTAGTTGGTGGGCAGGCAAGGAGGGTGGGACAGCAAGGAGGGGTAGCTCTGGGGAGCTTGGAAGCTTCACACATCGGAAGCTCACGCCGGGTTGTTGCGGGCGGGCGGGTGATCCATTATCCTATTATTCATCCGCTTCCTCCGATTCAGCTATGAGTGCAATGTTCCCTCAAATTGATTTATCACCGATTACCCGATCAAGAAATTGATGAGAAAGGGTACAGTCTACATGCTAGTCATCGCCACTAGTAACAGACCATCTCCTTCTTCGTCCCTTCCTTCTAACACTGATCAACGACACGAACAAACACCCGCCGATGACGTAAGGATACTCGCGAATGGTGTCTTGACGGGAATACGGAGATTGGAAGATCAAAATACACCTAAACTCTACTTTGCCCAGGGTTTCCCGTACATTTGTGCTCAGATCTTCAAGACTACCATTAAACTTACCTTTGACAGTAGGTCGATGTTGAGGGTTTGACAATGACTAGCTCCTCGACTTGCTCCGGGTGAAGAGATATAAGCTGGAGGGGTCCACGGATTGATCTGTTGAGAGGTTGTCCTGCGGAACTGCCTCGACGTCGTTGGCGGCTTTGATCCACGTCTTCATTGGCGTCAACCTCTAGAGCAGACTTGAGGAACTGGATAGAGCTGGATAGGGCTTGGAAACGTCACACAAAGGGCACGCATCTTGTTATACTAAACACCCTACAAAGAAGAATTTTGTTATACATGCAAGTTATTATCTTACACTATTCCACAGCTCTAGAAACATGTGCTGAGAGGGATAAAATGGATGTCTACAAGTCCCCCATTCCAACTCCGCTTTTCCCTGAAGTACAAGGGGCGATAGATAGCCTTGGCTGTTTGTCAACCAAGCCAAGCTCCTCTTCATCGTCAATGTTGTGAGACTCGCCAATCTCATTCCATCTTGTCCATCTCGAAATGTACACGGCCTTCACCACGAGGCCAAGCGGCTTACACCAGGGAGATGATCCCCAAAACACGGTGTCCTGGCATCCGTGAGGGATTGCGAACCTCGAAAGCGCCACACCTCCCCATCTTTAAGTCACGCCCGCAGACGCATCATATTGCTTTCTTACAGCATTACCTCGCCAATATCAACGTACGGGGCTTGCCAAGCTTTCGCTCCCTCGACCAGCATGTCGCTCGGTACGCGGGGTTCTGCGCTCGGACTATACAGGTACCAGGCCTTCAGGGCGTTCATTGAGGCCTTCCACCTGGCAAAGTTGAGGCTGGGGCCTACACCTTCTCCGAGCTTGTCCTTGCCGCTGTAGATGCCAACGACGTAAACCGGGGTCCTCGATAAACGTCCAGTTTCGCTTTCTAGGCGCGCGACGGGCCGATCAAAACCTTCTCTAGCACAGAGCTTGGAGAGTTCGATGAGAGGGGCGTGGAAAGTGAACATCTTGTCTACTTCAAGGTTGCGCGAGAGGATGTGGGCCTTGACAAATGCCTTGGCCATCTCTCGGCCACAGTGGAGGTAGATGGAGCCAACAAGGGCTCGGACGAAGCCTGAGTAGGCGTTATTCCGGAGGAACTCGTATTGTGTCTTCTTTTCGGCAATAATTGCGCTGGGTAGCTGGGGAGTAGAAGAGTTCTCCTTGTGCTGGTTAACGTGAACGGTGTCGCCGAAGGGGTCGTCATAGATGACTCGGCTGCTCCAGCCTCGCCGCCATTTGAACTTGTCAAGTTTGTTTGCCTCCGTACGCACATATCCCCACATTTGATGAGTGACGCTCTTCGAGATGTCGTCGGACCATTGGAGAAGACCGGGATCTACCTCCCCGCCAGGGGCCGCAGCGCTTTCCACGCCCCACCCCTTGCCGACGTGATAAAGGGATTCGCTGCCAGCGTATCCGCGCATAGCCTCGAAGAGGACAGACATTGGGAGCCTAGGGTATTTCGCGATGAGCCATTCCGAGGCATGGTAGTTGATGACTGTGCCGCCGAGGTAGGCAAGGCGGAGATTGTTGAAGCTAGGATTCTCATCGGCGGTAGGATCAACTAATGCGCGAGCAAGAGTCTGAAGTGGGAGTTTTGAGGAGAGGCAAAGACGTGCGTGGAGCGCGGCGAGCTTTGCAGACTCGAGGGCCGCTTCAGGAAGGGGTGACGGATATGGGCTTTGGCTACCCTCAACGGTAGGGGTCAAGTGTTCCGCCGCAGCCGAGCCGGGGAGAGATCTCAGGAGGTTCTACAACGGGAGAATCGCCGGGTATCGCCGTGGTAGACTGGAGGCGGATTGGGATCAGAGACTGCTGTGGTCTCACCTGCCTCGCGGTGAGGCAGGGTCGACATCGGATTTGCGACTGGGCCTGGGTCAGTTGACCAGACCAGCGTTCCAGCCTTAACCGTTTCATTGAAAACGGTTTATTGTGACCGGAAGGATCACGGCCACCAACTTAGATGCGTATGGGAGGGCGAAAGGGAAGGTGTGGTGATGAGAACCTCTGGTTGCATGACAAGGCCCAAAGGGGATAGCGAAAAAAGTTTCCTTCAAAGTCGTGTGCACCAGGAGCTGAGGCGCGACAGACACGGGTGAAAAGAATATTGATGGGGTTTAGGCGGTATTTTGCCGAATGTGTGGCCTGGCCTCGCCGTTGCCACCATCAGACCAATCAGAGATAGGCCAATTTTGGTTCGAGGAGATCCCAGAATTGAACCAGCGACATCACCAAATTCCTCATCTCCCTCATCTTCCGTGGTCAGCAACACGAATACTTGACTTGAGGATACCGTAAATATGGTAAGTGCTTGTTATTATCAATTGACTCAATTGTTGTTCCGGAGCTAACGCCTCTTTCGCAGGGTGGTCACGTCAACAAGATTCCGTGAGTCGATGCATTGAGAGAGAACCCGAGCAACCCTGAAACCCTCACCTAACAAGTCTGCAAAGATACCCCAAGCATGTCTGGTCACCTGCGGGTGGTTGGTACAGCCAGCCTGCGAACTGGAAGAGGAACACCTTTGTCCTCGGCGCTGCGGTGTTTGGCATCACCTGCGTAATATGGAAGATCAGCGCGGAGAAGGAGCAGTTCGCCCACAGGCCGGAGCCCGAACGTTTCTATCCTAGCCGAGGGTTCGTTTTTCCCGAAATTTCCACACTTCTCTTTGTAACCTGGAAGCTAATGGTTCGCGAAACCGATAGTTGGAATAGACAGTTGATCAACTGGCAGAAGGAGGACAAGTTGAAGGCCGAGCAGAAGAGCGAATAATCGACCGGAAAATAGGGCGACAATTGTACATTTATAGAAGAAAAACATACTGATTGGATTCCATTCCATTTCATTCTTGAGCCTTTTACAGAACACCATGTCCCGCCGTGAATCTGGGATACCGGTGCGCGTGTTGTACCCCTGACCTTTCTACAACCGAAGAACGAGATAGCGTGAGTATACATCAACTGATGTAATGACGAAAGGCTAGCTCATGCGCCGGCCATATCTACCACTAAAGTGCATACTACCTCTCAAGATACGAAAACAAGCTGGTGTTCTGCGATACTTGTGGGCAAAACCTCCCACTCTCCGGTATACTGTATCCCCAAGCCATTGGCCCATTTTACGACGAAGAGACGGTACGTAAGACGAAAGATATAGAACGGTATGTTTTCTGAACACTGATTATGATTATGAAGAAGGAAACAAAGGTGCTGGTTTAAAGAAGAGTGTGAGGTTATGTTTTAAGCAGGACCATACAGGCGTGTAACTGAGTGACGCAGTGCTGAAGCCAATTTTCAGCCGAAGGGACCTCTTCACAGCATCACCGTTGAGACAATTCTTTGAACAAACAAAAAAGAATTCTTCGTAGCATACATGAACCAATTGATCTATAGTATTATCTACTGACCGTTTACTCCCAAAGCGCCTCGCCCAGTCCTTCGCGAAGCCATCGAGTTTAGTAGGTGTTCCCACCCATAAGAGGGTGAGCCGATATTCTGCCGAGGGGCAGTTTTTTGATGATCCGAAACAAGCCCACTCTCATGAACGAAATAACCCTTCAAAGCCACAGCCAGCGGGAATTGGCTCGCGCTGGGTCACTTGAACTCGCTTGCAAATCTGCATAGGCCACACACTGATTTCTGCCATGTCGTTCGCTGCCCTTCGTTCTCGAGGCGCCCTCGGGGTTTCCGTGCAAGCCTCTCCCCCAAGGCGCCGGCTGCCCCACGTCGATATGCCTCAACCCAGTCTTCCAGCGCGGGAGGCGGCTTCAAAGTCCTGCTCTATGGAGCCGCTACGGTTGTCGTCGCAGGTGCGGGATATATATACTTTACCGACACGCGCTCCGCCTTCCACCGCTTCGTCGTGCCTCCCATGCTCGAACAATTTTCCCCGACGCCGAAGATGCCCACCACGCGGGAGTGAGCTGGATGAAGCTGTCCTACAAGCTCGGCTTGCATACTCGCGAGAGGGCGGGCCCTCGCCAGCTCCGACGAACCTAGTCTCGCCGTTCGCGTGCACAATACCACGCTCGACAACCCCATCGGTATCAGCGCCGGCCTCGACAAGGACGCCGCAATCCCCGACGCCCTCTTCGCCCTCGGCGCGGGCATCGTCGAGGTTGGCGGCTGCACGCCCAAGCCCCAGCCCGGCAACGCGAGACCCAGATGTTGGAGGACCCCGACCATCGACGGAATGGTGAACTGTTACGGCCTAAACTCGCTCGGCGCAGACGCCATGGCCAGAACGCTCCGCGAGCGGGTACGAATCTATGCACGATCCCACGGCATCACGGAGGAGGACGTCCTGAGCGGCAGAGCCGGCGTCCCGGTGGGAAGCTTACTGCCCGGCCGTCTCCTCTGCGTCCAAGTCGCCAAGAACAAGGACACGAGCGAGCAGGACGCTGCTTCCGATTACGCATTTTGCGCCAGCAGACTCGCGCGCTACGCCGACGTCATCGTGGTCAACGTCAGCAGCCCCAACACCGCTGGCCTCCGGGACCTGCAATCCGGCGACAAGCTTGTCGGCCTCTTGGGCGCTGTCGTCCAGGCGGTTGAGACGTCCACCAAGGGCGTGCGCGCCACCCCGCCCAAGGTCATGGTCAAGGTCTCCCCGACGAGGATGACGAGTCTCAAGTAAAGGACATTGTTCGCGCTGTGTGGGAAAGCGGGGTTGATGGGGTTATTGTCGGAAACACCACGAAGCGCAAGCTAGAGGCTGTGCCCGCAGGCGTTGCCATCACTAACAAGGAAAAGTCTATCTTGATGATGCCGGATGGCGGCTTCTCTGGCCCCTCGATGTACAACCGCACTCTCGAGCTCGTCAAGAAGTATAGGAAATGGATTGACGTCCCTGCCTTCAAGGATAAGGAAAGGAAGGTCATCTTTGCCAGTGGTGGACTCACTAACGGAAAAGAAGCCCTGGAGCTCCAGAACGCCGGAGCGGATGTGGCCATGCTCTACACAAACTTGGTCTACGGCGGTGCAGGAACTGTCACACGGATAAAGGATGAGATGAAAAATGAGATCAAGGGCGTCAAGAAGGAGTAAAGAAAAAAATCATAAAAAGTTTTTTGTTAGATCATGTACACACATAGGCTTTAGATGGATCGGTTATTTGCACAAGGTTATATACGCGAGTTACAAACAAAACATGCCCTTGAGAATTGTGAGAGAAGCAACATGTGTGAGTTTGATGTTATTACAATTTATCGCTTCAACACTAATCTACTAGATCTATCCATCTTTGAAGAACGCCAGGCTACTGCTAACTCAAAATTTTTGGAAACACACATTATACAGAGCGCAGTTGATCAGCTAAAAAGGTCGCCTTCGCCGAGTTTATGGGCTTGTCCTTTCCTTACCAACCGCCGGTAATATTTGTCCTTCTGCTTAGCCTCCTTCAATTCGCGCTCCCTCTTCTTTCGTTCGTAGATGGCCCTGACACATTTCCTAATTTGATCTTTCCCTTCGTCGTAGTTCGCTTTCGCAAGGGAGGAGACGGCGTCTACCTGCTCCGGGCCATAGATGAAGTTCCAGGTGGACAGGTACTCGGTAGTGCCTGGATTAACGCCCGGCACTTGTGGGTTTGGAAGCAGCGGGAGATAGATGACAGCCAGACCGGCGGTTGGAGATGATAACAAAGACCAAGATTCATCCGATGCATCCAAGGCTTTGCTTGGCGGGGAGGGAGCTCGACCGCTCTTGCGTGCTTCCCACCCAGACCGTACAGTATCCAAGGTCTTTTGATGCCTTTTCGACCTTCTCGGCCTCAGGTGATTGCCTTCCGGAGTGCGGCGTATTTCCAACTTCCTCCGAGGTTGCTTGGTCGGCCTGAGCCTTTGCAAGCTTCATATCAGCCTCGGCCGGGGTTGCTGCCACTGACTTGTCCAAGTCCCGTTCCGTCTTTTCCAAAGAGTCTTGTTCCTTTGGCCATCCGACGCCAACCGGCCATCCTTTTATCCCCCTTTGCCTGGCGTACCCATCGGTAACAGCGAGCCAGTTATCCTGCTTGATGTCGGCTGAGTTATCAAATGCGATGATAACATCGACATCTCGGCCGGGCCGAAGAAGCGGGTAGATGGGGAGGTTGTTAGACATCCCGGCATCCATGAGCTGCAGTGTTTGATTCCGTAGCAAGCTATCCGGCGTCGTCTTCGCCAACTTCCCGTACATGCCGTAGGCGAAGTTGGGAAGAGAAGCTGGTTCAATAGGATGGACCTTGCTCAGGTCGTCGCTCTTCCCCGAAATTAGATCATCAATGGCACCGAACCCAGCGAGCCCCTTCATGATAGGGCGCACTTCTTGGTAGTAGTGGCTGAGCGTGGCGCAAAAGGCGCTTCCAAAGATGCCCATTAACAACGGCATCCGGAGTTCCGGCTGATGCACGCCGTTGTCGGGCAGCACGTCGCTGCCGTTATTGAACTTCCTGCCCATCGCCCACGTCGGGATGCCCGCGCACAGCTCCTCGCAAAAGAATTCATACGGCGTAATCTCGAACCATTGAAACCACGATTCCCTCTTTGCCTGTTCCTTGGCGTCTTCGGGGGCGGAAGGTGCCAATGGGGACGAGTTAGAGGGGCCTCGGGAATTTCGTGCCGGACAGCGGTGTAAATGGGTAGAGGGTTTTGTCCGAATTTTACGTAGTCTCTCTGATTCGAGATTTTCAGGTCTGCATCGTTGGCCTCGAGGTCGCCAACCGGCACAAATAGTCGGGCGGCTAATAGAAGCCCATAGATATCAACCAGACCGACGGTCGCACCACTCGAGCCCCATAACTTTTCTACTAAGCCACGTAGTAGGTACTTGTCAGTCGGTGCAGAAATAAGGGTCTGGAGGGCACTAGGCGGATATGCGATGTGGATTCCGGTGCGGCCTTTGAGGTGGTTGAGGACCCGCTGGATGCTGCATTGGCCAAGGGACGAAAAGTTGATGGCTTGCAACCAGCATGAGCCACTGACGCCCGCCGTGTACGTGACGCAGTCGAGCAGACCGTCCTGTTCAGCGGCAAGGAGTGATCCGGTGCCGGCAACAAGCGCCCTCAAGCCCCCTCCCGATCCGCACACCGCTATCGTGGGGATGTCGTCTGGGTGCACGTCTTTTTCGTCGAGCCCGAGGTAATTGGCAAGCGCAAACCGCACAACCTGCCTTCTCCTCTCAAGGAAGTTTTCTCTTCCTCACATAGGGAGTTGGAGACCCTGACGTGTGCCGAGTAGCAAATTTCCGGGTTGCGCTCGGGGTCTTGGGCCTCGTGCCACATCTCGTCCGCGAGCGAGCCCGGTTTGTCGGATAGGTCATCTTGAAGTTTCAGAAAATAACCGGAGACGATTTTTGTCCATTCGGGAAGGATGTAGTCCACAATCTTTTCGGCGAGCGGGCTCCATTCGATTTCCGGTAGGTCAGGAAGGTCGGGGAGGTCCGGTAAGCTGCCGGTGATCCCGGACAGGGCGGATTCCTGGTTTGGGGTAGGTTCCTGGACCGCGGCCTCAGGCTTAGAAGACTCCTGGATAACCTGAGGGTGGGCGCTTGATTTCTCTTCTTGAACGCGAGGGGAAACCAAGAGCCATGTGAGAGCGCCTGTCGTGATTACAACTGCTGGCCCCTTGGCTATCCAGCCTTGAGGCTTCCTGCTGCTGGTGAAGAGCCGGCGACGGAGTCCGTAAGGTTGGCGGGGCCGGTGGCCAACCTTGTACGGCGCATGAGCGCTGCAATGCGAGTCTGAAGCATCGCAGTGGTACTATGCTATCCAGATACTGCAGTGAAGCGCTTAAAGGTGACGAGGAAGAAAAGAATCCATTCGGGAGAAGATTGACCTGCCTCGTGGGATGACGTACATTGATGACCTGACTAGAGCTTCAAATAGCCAAGCTAACAGAATTGGCCCTGTCCCCGGTACCTCCCGCAATGTCGAATCAGGGAAGCCAATTGAAGATGATGTAAGTGATAGGGGTACTTGCGCCCCTCCCTCGATTTAGGGCGAACAAACTGGTCACCTCCTATCTCGATACACGTCGCGACGCTTCTTTCATCTCATCATATTTCCACGACATGTGCATGTGGGAAAAAAAGAAAAGAAAAAAATAGATCGCTGACTACCCCAGAACTGGACTTCTCCTGACTCAGCCCGCCTTTCAAAAGATCGAAGAAATGGATCCGTGGGCTATGAGATTGATGTGCGAGACCCTCCCTGTCTTGTAGGTGGCTCTCAATTCACTTGACGTGGAAACGTTTAAACCAAATGCTCCATCCGAGCATGTTACCGCAGGGTAACTTGGCTTGAGAAATGGCGGTCATTGTCGATTATTGGGAGCGGCCAATGACGCCGAACCTCACTTCATTTTTCTCCCTTGAGCAGTCTCCTCCAATCGCCTCGCCACCGGTGTTTTCTGCGTGTGCATGTGTGCATGTGCACACATGTTGTGTCTAACGGGATCCGACACGGAAGAGGTCCTTTGAGTCAATGGATCCTCCAAGTGCTGACCTTTGCTAAACGTGGCGCCGCATTCCGTATCTTGTTCGGGCTTCTGTTCGCACCAAGATATTCAGGCCTCGCGTTATAGCCTCTGCTATTATACTAGATCCGTTGGAACTAGAGAAAAAGTTTCGGGGACCTTCGCATCCGAAACAAGGCTAACTAACCTACAAAGCGCCGTGGCCGTAGATCGTACACGGGTGGATGGGACTGTCGATTTTGCCTATTTTTTTTTCCCTTCTTGTTTCCCCATCTTCTTGTTCTGCGTCGTTCTCAGCTCAACATTCAGCATTGGCTTGACGGTACCTTGGTGTATGCTTCACTCTTCACGGGATGGGAGCGCAAAAGACAAAAAACCCCTCCTCTCCCTAGGGTAAAAAAGCAGTGGGTTTCTCCCATCGGGTCCGAGTGGCGCACGGCAATCTTGAATGGCTGGACCGTCAGGTGCAGGTAATGGTGCATGCGCAGAAAAGTCAGATCGGCTCTTTTTGGGGGCTCTGACCTCTTCTTCTTAACGGCGCTGGTATTATCATCAGGCCAACCTGCTCGTTTGCTGGAGTAGAGTGGCTGGGCGGGATTGGCGGGATTAACAGGATTGGAGAGTTGGGCCTTTGGGCGGTTGACATTGACATTCTTCTTGATTATTGCTCTCTGGGTGGCGATATTATCATCAACCGTCCTCATACCGCTTGAATTGAGGCGTGTGGCCGGATTGAGTCCTGGAGATCCGTTGCAGCACTTGAGAAGTGCGAAAGACGGGGCCGCCAACATTGACCTGGTCAGGACTTCTTTCGGCTCAGAAACAACCTTCTGGGTCAGACCCTCTTGAGATTGGGGACGGAGAAACGAGCTTCGAGGGGAACAAAACAAGGGGGCACTATTGTCCAATCATGGGCGTCTTTGCGGAATGCCAGATGCAGCCCCTGCCGTTGATTGTGATCCCAGCCATGCCAAATGTGGCCTAGACCAGCCACCACCCCTATTGTTCGATGGAGGGAGGTGGAGAGTTGGACATGACCATCCACTTGACCAGAGAGAAAATTAAATTTACTGTGGTGATACACAGGACGGGGCTCCATTGAACTTCAGCGTATCATCCACTATGATTAGGTGTACAATCGAGGTGTACAAGTCGTGGCTTGCCAACCGTACTGTGCTTCGTGTGCCTCTGTTGCTGAACGCTCCCTTCCCAAAGTACATGAGCTAAAATTGGGATGAACTATGAGGCATTCGCGCCTACTTCTGTGCGGCGGGAGTCCTGGATCGTCTCAACTCCCGCCTGTCTCGTTCGCCCGCTACTGTGCGCGGCCGCCAGAAAGTCATTGCAGCCACGTGTACCTCGGAAGGAATAAAAACCAGCTAGGTTTTGGGTGAGAGAGAGAAAGGGTGGAAGTCTTGATCTGATGGAGGCCAGGTCTGAGAAGTGAAAAAAGGATCTGGATGGGGATGAACTGGACTGGACTGACTCTCGAGCAAGTGAACACGCACGCGCTCTGGGCACAGTGTTCGCTCGCCGTCGATAGTTTCGAAGCTCAGGGGTAGCTTGCGCGAAGAAAACACTGTGTACTGCGTGTCTTCTTGGCCCCTTGCCGAGGCAGAGGCGTTAAGGGTTCGGCCACATGTACCAGCACAGTGCCGAAGGTCCAAGCTCTTCCCCCAGGCAAAGAGGAAATGGGGAGAGGCAGGAACGAACCACATCCATTGATCCCTCCCCGCCCCTGGTCGCTCCCCAAATTAGGGGAAGAGTGAACAGCGACGAAAAAAAGTCCAATTTCAGTCCTCCATCGCACCCAACCTCTCCTTCGCCTTCCGATCCAACTTCTTCTTCGTGCCTGATCCCAACTATCCTTTTCGTGTCATTCATTGACTTTTACATCTGTTTATTGTCTTGATCTGCAGCATTTTGCTTTCTCACCAGCTCGTTTTCACGTCCAATTCCATTCTAACCTTCTCGCACTCTCTATCTCTCGACGCCCCGAGGTATCTCACGACAGCAGGTAGGCCTTTGTTCCTTCTGCAAGTGGCTGTTCGGTAAGTGCAACTCGCGAGAATCATCCCTTCCATCACTTTTTACATGTCATCGTCCATATTTCATCTCCAACCCGGCAGCGCCTCGGTCGTGCTTTACCCACCTGCCTCTGCCTTGCCCCTGAATCCTCGCACGGGGAGAAGAAGCCTCACCAAGTTGAGGAGACTGGACCGATCCTCCGAGTTGGCGCCGGCAGATGTACTACATGATGCCCTCTACGAACCTGCTGCCTCGAAACCGCCCATTATCGATCTTTCTACTACTCTTTCCTTGTCGGATTCGCTTGGTTACGCCTGCTCGTCTTGAGCGCCTGCTTTTGGACCGATTTGGCTAACCACAAGTGTTAATTTTCATAGATACCCCTTTACTCTTTCCACACCTACTCTACCGCGAGGTAGATTTTCCGTTTTAAGCACAACATATAATCGTTATGGGTAAGATCTTAGTGTGCAGACATGCTATGTGATGCTCAATTGCACTCTGCTTGGCGTGGTGGCACCTGCGACTTGTGCCTGGACGCCAATGGTCCCACGGCTTGCCTCACTCGCTGAACGCGCATGATGATGGCCGTCCCTTCTATTCCACACCATGGCTTACCGGGCATGTCTGTTGGTTGCGCTCATCTCTGGACTGCATCGGGCACCTTTCGCAAACATTCTCAGAAACTCAACTTTTCGGCCTCACGATTTATCGTGTCTCAAAATTTGCCCCTTTTCAGGGGTTATCGCGATGTCGAATCGCCCTGATATTCATTCGAATCCCCGCTCTTGTATGAGTACGCGCCACGCCAGATGCCTCTCATACCAAAGCCAGGCCTCGCTTCCGGCAACTTGGCAGTCACCCACACGTCGTTTCGAGGATCAGCCGCACCGTCTTCTCAAGAAGCCCGCTGTCTGCGCAGCGACCGACTTGATGGGATCTCCGGAAGTTCGCATCATGGAAGAGCCAGATTTGAGACTGTCGCCAACATCCGACACGATCGATGCGAGCCCGTCCTCCATCTCCGAGGTGTCCTCGGAGAGCATCCCTGACATGGAGGAGCAACTGGTTGATAAAGACCGCCAACCCTCAGGGGCAACAACAGCCGTGGATCAAAACCTAGCCACCACCCAAGCACGCAAATCGTGAAAATGACGCTTGATTATCCGCTCATTGGCTAACACGTTTTGTTTACAGACCCCAACGGTTCCCCTACCGGCGCCGAGTCGCCGCAACTTGGCAAGCAGCTTGATGAAGTTTCCGTCGGAGAAGAAGTATCTTCTAACACTGCACCGGCAGCCCCCAAGCTGTCAATGACCCCAGGAATGTTGTCCGCCGAAAGTTGACGGGCTATGTTGGTTTTGCCAACCTCCCAAACCAATGGCATCGCAAGAGTGTCCGCAAGGGCTTCAACTTCAACGTCATGGTTGTCGGTATGTCTCCATCTGCCAATTTTCGGGCAAAACTTGCTAGGGGTTATGAAGTTGAAGTGGACCGCAATTTACCTAACATTTGATGGATAGGTGAATCTGGCCTCGGAAAGTCTACTCTTGTCAACACCCTCTTCAACACTTCTCTCTACCCCCAGGGAGCCCAAGGGACCTAGCCACGACATCATTCCTAAGACTGTAACCATCCAGTCGATCAGCGCCGATATCGAGGAGGCCGGTGTCCGTCTCCGACTTACCGTGGTTGATACCCCCGGCTTCGGCGACTTTGTTAACAACGACGAGTCGTGGCGACCCATTGTCGAGAACATTGAGCAACGCTTCGATGCTTACCTCGATGCCGAGAACAAGGTTAACCGCATGAACATTGTTGACAACCGCATTCATGCCTGCGTCTTCTTCATCCAGCCTACTGGCCACTCATTGAAGCCCCTTGACATTGAGGTTATGCGCCGTCTCCATACCAAGGTCAACCTCATTCCTGTCATTGCCAAGTCTGATACTCTCACCGACGATGAGATCATCAGCTTCAAGGCTAGGGTACGTTTCATCTCCTCTCTGACCTGGCGTTTGGGTTGATGGCCGTGATCATGGTGCATGCCGCTAACCATGTCTGTTTTCCATATCTTTTAGATTTTGGCCGACATCAAGTACCACGGTATCCAGATCTTCGAGGGTCCTCGATATGAGCTTGACGATGAGGAGACCATCGCCGAGAACAACGAGATCATGTCCAAGGTTCCCTTCGCTGTGGTTGGTGCCACCAATGAGATCACCAGCCCCGACGGTCGCAAGGTCCGTGGCCGACGCTACCCTTGGGGTGTTATCGAGGTTGATAACGAGGAGCACTGCGATTTTGTCAAGCTTCGACAGATGCTCATCCGAACTCACATGGAGGAGCTCAAGGAGCATACCAACAACAACTTGTACGAGAACTACAGAACCGACAAGTTGATCGGTATGGGCGTCTCCCAGGATCCCAGCGTCTTCAAGGAGGTCAACCCTGCCGTCAAGCAAGAGGAGGAGCGCGCTCTCCACGAGCAGAAGCTCGCCAAGATGGAGGCCGAAATGAAGATGGTCTTCCAGCAGAAGGTGGCGGAGAAGGAAAGCAAACTGAAGCAGAGCGAAGAAGAACTCTACGCGCGTCATCGCGAGATGAAGGAGCAGCTCGACCGCCAACGACACGAACTCGAAGAGAAGAAGGCCCGCGTGGAGAGTGGCCGTCCGCTAGAAGGCAAGAAGAAGGGTTTCTCTCTTCGTTAAGCCTTTCTGATGACTTGCCTAGGCTGCGGCCCCTCTTTCGCCGCTTCGTTTTCTTCAGTTTCTGTGTCTCGAGTACCTATGATGTCTCTTACAATACCATCCATGCTGTGCTTTCCTTTGTCGTACTACGTTTCTTCCTCACACCTTTTATCTTCTTTGTTTTATTTGCCCACCCACTTTAATCACTGCAATTCCCCTTGGCCTAATTCGACACCCGTCCTTGATGGCGTTTTCTTGATGAGACCACAAAAAGAACTCGTTTGCTTTTGACGGATTTCGGGAATCCCTCTTTATCTCTATTTTGTTGTTTCTTATTTTTTTTTCTTTCTTCTATTTCCTTATCTTTGCTTCTGGCGATCAGGACTTGCGGAGAGCGGCCAGGTGTAGGCGGAGGCGATGGTATCGAGCACTCGGCCTGGGTAGCTAACGGCCAGGGTTATTGAAACTTGTTAGAGGGATTGTGGAGACGCGATGCCTCGATCTCTGTGGTGGACCACGGCTGTCTCGTTGTGGTCGGGCGGCGACGTCAACGCAACGGGGCCAGAGTGGATGCCGGCAGGGCGTGGTTCGACTTTGCATGTATCAACCCTGTACCATATAACTTGCTCGTAGCTCCCTTAGGGATGGGTGACACAATGAAAGAGTTTCTTTTTTCCCCAAATGCCTAGACATGTGCACGCGTCGGGATTTTCGACGACATTTTAGTTGTGCTCGTATTGTCGTTCGTTTAGACCTGTTTAGCAATTCCCATTGCGTCGACGTTAAATGCCATCGGATCTGCGGCTGTAGGCTCTTTTTGGGTTTTAGGTCCAGTCAAGCCTGTAAAGGATGTAAACAACAACAGTGAGGTACAGAATACAAGGGCTATTCGCATCGAGTCGGCACGAGCATGCGGGGCAAGAATGCACGGAAGAGACGGGGTTGTATGGAGGTATTCATGGGAAAAAGAAAATAATATACATTGTGCGAGCTTGTACCTTGATGTAGGTACATGGCGCTTTTGTTTTCGCTGTCCTGTCTAGATGCCCCTCCTCTTCTTTCCTAAACTATGATACAGCATACAAGTTGTACATGATATAAACATCCACGTGGCGATCATGGCCTAGCTCGCCCAAAATTTCTGACAGATTACTTGCATTACCTCCTCCTGAGGTACCACGTGTAGGCCAGCTGGTTCACGTCGTAGGGGAACGGGGTCGGGACCTCGGCGAGACCGCGACGGGCGACGGGGTGGCGGAGATAGACGGCGGCGCAGATGTTTTGGTTCACCTCGAGGTAGCGGGGATAAAGGCAAAGGGTTCGAGGAACTTCCTGGGCTGCCAGGGGGTAGCGTAGGGCTTGGAAGGATCGACGGGGTTCTCGTCGTCCTCTTCGTTGGCGCGGAGGATCTTGAGCAGCTTGCCCTGGTCGGTCTCGGAGAGGACGCTGTCGGCAGATGCGGCCTCGGGGGCGGCGTTCTTGCTGTCGCCCTTGCCTGCCACCGCGGTGACGGCGGAGTCATCGAGCTTGAAGCGGGAAAGGTGGGAGGCGAGCTTCTCCATGAGGTCGTCGCTGGACAAGTCCTCCTTCTGGCCGAGGGCCTTTTTGCTCGCCTTGACGAAAGAGCGGAGCTCCTGCTTGCGCTTGGCGTTGAGATCGGTGTCTTCCTTCAGGATCGTCTTGGCCGACTTGATGATGGCCTTGACCCTGCGGCGCTGCTCGGCTTCTCGTTCCGCATGGGGAACTCGGAGAGATCGAGCTCCTCTGCCTCCTGGGCAGCGGCGGTCTCTTTTTCCGCCTGGGCTTCGGCCTTCTCCACGGCCTCGCCTTCTGCAGCAGCCGCATCAACGCCTTCTTTGAGTTCTACGACAGCCTCTTCCTCGGCAACGGCCTTGGCCGCCTCCTTGGCCTGCACCCGCTTGACAGCAGCTTCGAGAGAGGCCTGGTTCTTGTCCTTGCCCGCCGCAAACATGACCTTGTCGGGATCGACTTCGAACATATCGCCGGGGTTCAGTTGGTACGACCCGTAACGCATCTAAGAGAGAGAAAGGGAGGGAAAGAGCCCACAAAGGTTAGTTGCGGGATCCTGCAAGACGGCGTAGACGGACAGCGTGTGTAGTGGGGGTTACGAACCTTTTTGCCGTTGACTTTGACGGCGCCGTGGACGCAGAACTGCCTAGCTTGACGCGGGCTGCTTGCGAACATGGCTCTGAACATGGCGACCTCGAGCCTGCGCTCAAGGGGAGCGAATGCCATTTGCATGTAAGGGGTCATGTCTTGGGTAGGCCTCTTGAAAAGATTCCTCATGGACCTGGGACCAGGCCTTTGGAAGCGCGTCTTTGCGGCATCCCTCACATCCTCAGCCGCGAGCTGGGCTTGTCTCCGTTGCTCGAGAATAGAAAAGGAATGTGCGGTTACGGGGCGGGGCGCGTTTGGGTCATTCGGGTCGCTCTGCTTTCCGGAGCCACGGCCCTCAGCCTGCTCGGAACCGTCGTACGAGGCGAGATACTCAGGAGGCATCTCGACGGCAGCCGTCAGACGGCGGCTGAAGAGGCGACTCCATCGCTTCTCGTTGACATGCTCACCGTGGTAGGCACGTGTCATGGACTTGGCGGCCCATTTTTGCTGGAAAAAGGTTTGGGTAGTCGTACGGATGCTGACTTCGTTTTTGTGGATGTTGTAGAGATTGTATTTGTTCCAGGATTGTCGTAGTTTCTAGAGGGAGCATAGTGTCAGTCGCTAGCTAAGGAGAAATCGACATCGCGATCTCGTTTTTGAGGAAAAAAAGGAGAGAGACGGGGCGACTCGTGCGAGAGCCGCGTGTGAGGCGCACGAGGGCAAAACTTACCGACCGTCCTAGGACGTGGCGCTTCACAGCCTCTCTCATTGTGAAGAATTGGCTAGTGATGGATGAGAAGCGAGTGTTGGCAATGCCGCGAGGAGAGGGAAGAGTGTCGCCAGCACAAGCAGTTCTCGTTCGATGCCGATTCTCACAGCTCCAGCAACTGCAGACCAAAAATTTTGGCGTCACGGCAACTTCCGGACTAAGATTGCTGCTGGACCGGGAACAGCTGGCAGAGCTGCAGCGAATCAGGAGCTAGTTTTGTCCAGTGACATTTTTTTCTTTTTCCTTCGTTTGGCGGGACCCACTTTCGAGGCTGCCTCGCACCTGCAGCGGTTGTTTTGCGCTTGAGCACATGAGGTAAAAAGTAGAAAGGGAAAAGGAAAAAATGACTCCAACACACCGCAGAGCTCCCTACTCAATTCGGAGAGAAGAGTCAGAGTTGATGGGTGCCTATCTTCCTAGATTTTATAGGTGAAATAAGCTCGAAAATTCAATTGTATATAGTAGCACGGTTAAAATAAAATAAAGAAACCATTTCACTTTATTTCTCAAAAGTTATTCCTCAGTGAAGGTTTCATCAATTTATTCTGCTATCCTGTCACCAGACGTTGGAGCTGTGCCTACGATTCCCCGCAAGTCTCTGCACCACCTGCCCCAAAACAGTCGCAGGAAGGACGGCAGAAAAAAAAAAAGAGCAGGTACCCCACCCCACTACCTTCCCGCCACTTCACTTCGCGACTTGCAACCTTTGGTTTTGATCTCTTGCGAAATTCTCCTCTCTTCAAACCTTCCCTTTTACCATTGGTCCCTCCGCACTTCTTGAACCAGAATCTTTGATACACATATCCCTTGCCTTTGATCCTGTTTCAATTTTGTTCAATTGAATTTCAACTTGTGTCCTCGTACAATGGCCGAGGAAGATACTAAGGTCGCCTCCCCGAGGCTGCGGCTCCCGTAGCCGCCGCGCCCGAGTCTGAACCTGTTGCGCAGGAGAGCTCTACCGAAACCAAGCAAGCCGCCGCTGAGGAAGTTACTTCTTCCGCGAATGCGGAAGAGCAGCCTAGCTCTAAGCCCACCGAGGCGGATCCCAAAGACCACGCGAAGAACGTCAAATCGGACCCCAAGCTTCTTCCCGTTACCGATGACCCCGTCGCCATCCGCGGCCAGGTGAGTTGATGGAATCACTGATTTATGACTCTTAGCGACAATTACAGTACTAACCATGGGCGACACATCTAGGTCGAGTACTATTTTGGAGACTCCAACCTGCCCCGAGACAAGTTTCTCTGGGACTCCACCGGAGGAGAGGAGAACAAACCCGTTGCTTTAAAGACCCTCTGCACTTTCCAGCGAATGCGCCGCTTCCAGCCTTACACAGCCGTTGTCGCTGCCCTTCGCGAGAGCTCCCGCCTCGTCGTCGAGGGCGAGGAGGAGAAGAAACCATTAAGCGCAAGTATCCCTACAAGCCTAGCAGCGAGCGCAAGAAGCAGGCCGAGGCTTCTACTATCTACGCCAAGGGCTTCGGAGACGAGGTGGCGACCACTCAATTCGACATCGAGGCCTTCTTTGCCCAGTACGGACCCGTCAACTATATCAAGCTCCGACGCACTCCCGAAAAGGTTTTCAAGGGCTCCGTCTTTGTCGAATTCCAGGATGAGGAACTTGCAAAGAAGTTCATTGAGCTGGCTCCCAAGTGGAAGGATGAAGACCTGAAGATCCTCAGCAAGAAAGATTACTGCGAGGAGAAGAACCAGCTTATCCGGGAGGGCAAGATGGAGCCTAACTCGACGGCTAAGCCTTTCTATGAGGGCCGCGACGGGTCCGCCCGTGGCCGTGGCCGTGGCGGACGCCAGAACGGACGCGGTGGCCATGAGGCTACAGACCCCAATGACTGGAAGAAGCGCCGGGATGACGACCAGAAGAACGGCTTCAGAGATCGCCGAGGTGGACGAGGTGGACGTGGCGGCCGTGGTGGCCGTGGCCGTGGCCGTGGATTCCGCGGACGGGGAGGAAGGGGCGGACGTGATCGCAATGATGGCGAAGGCCGAGAGGAAAGGAAGGCTCCTCAGGAGCCCTCCGCCCATGATGTCAACGGGTACGTGAAGCCGTCTTTTCACCCCTTTATTTCAGCCTGCTCGGATAGCACTAACCTTTTATTTTTATTTCCTTTTACAGAGTCAAGCCTAGGATTAACGTCGGAGACGCCCCCAAGGCCGCCTCGGAGGCTAATGGAAAGCGAGCCCGTGATGACGACGGTGCCACCGGACAGCCGCCCGCGAAGAAGGTGGATGCTAAGGTCGAAGCTGCTCCTGCGGCGTAATATTGACGGAGACAACAGAGCGAGATACGAGGCTATCTATCTAGTGGCTGAGGTCGAAAATAGGTCTGATGGACAGAAGCTGGTTTTGAGTAGACGGTCTGCTCCTGCTGCAGAAAGCCGAGCGGAACAGTCCATGTGCCATATTCTCTCATTATCATTTGGAACGGCGTTCTTGGGGGTTCTGGGAATCAACTCGTGTACTACAACTTTTTAACCAAAAAATACCACATCTGTGCCGGCGTCTTTACACAAACAAAGGAAAGATGTTTCTGGGCGATATTGTACACAAACCCCACCTGCTTGCTTCCTTAACCGTCAGCCTTTTTCTACTTGCGCTAACAATGGTCAACGATGGCTCTGAGAGCCCTGAGATGGCTACGCCGGAGTACGAAGGCGCTGTCACATCTCAGCCGAGGTACGCTTGGGTGGGTCGAAGATGATAGACCTTCCAAGGACGTGGACTGGAAGGTTGGCTTTCAGCCGGAGGGTTGAACGCTCCATATAAATCCTATCTCACAAGATGACCACCCATTAACAGCGCCACCGTGATCCTAGCTGGCTTAGTCGGCAAGTCCGTTTCTCTGCCGCCCGAGAAGGTCAAACTGGGAAAGGAAATGAATGGGTCACGAGAGGCCCCCACGGCTATTCGGCCTATCTTGGTAGAGCCTGGCCATGTACTTGTCGCTCTTCAGTCACCCACCTGGGCTGTGGTGTCTTGGTGTATTGCCTGATCCCGGGAGTGGAGCGAGGGCGAACCCCACGCGGTGGAAGAAGGGGGTGAAGGGGGAGAGAGCGAGACTTGACACTGGCTTTGGGGGCGAAAGGGAAGTGGCTTGGGTCCCCCATCACGGTTACGTTATAGAAAGGGATCATGTCTCTCCTGCTATACGTAACAAAGTCGCCGCCAGGCAAGGGGGCAGAACATGGGAAGACGAAGGGGCGAGTAAGAATGGGGAGGGATTATTTGATAAGGACATGGCGTGGAAGGAACGGTGAGAGAGGGGGAGGATCTGCAGGGAACTAGTTGGTGAGATCACTCACGGGATCCTCGAAAGGGAGAGAGGGAGAGGGGGCGGGAAGGGGAGAAGGCCTTTGGCTTGAGATCCCTTGTTGGCCACTTACCTAGCTCTACGGCGTGTTACCGGGGTCTTTGAGGAAGTCGAGTGGAGCAAGAAGGGTTGTGACCGAGGAGACCGAGTACCGAGAAGCTGACGGGAGGTACCATGGAAGGACTCGCGATTATGAATGGTTACAAGGGCGGTGCCTGGAAGTGATGGCAGGACACCCTGGGATACCTGGGATACAGAAGGCTGTCACAGACAATCCCGCACGGCACTCTCGTTGTCACTCTCCCGCTGAAGTAGCGGTCCTTCGGGGTTTGAATCTCGCTCTAGTGACTAGGGTGGCCAGTATCGCGATAGCGATTTCAGACCAGTGATCTCAAATGACAAGGTCACTCACTCAGCGTAAGACTGAGCGAGTGTCGTGTGACAGAGAAAGGAATCCCGGACGATAATTTGGTACTGTGGGAGGGAATATGATTGATGCAAGTCTAACACCGTTGAATAGGTGTCACTGGTTGAGCGGACTGGCCTTTGATGAAACGAGTACTAGGCTTAACTCGAGGGTGTAAGCATCCGCAAGCATTATCTAGACGGTTTGATACCGTCCACCCTCGCCCTTTTACTCTACACGTACGAGTATAATGGATGGAGGTTTTGATGCCTGGAGTGATCAAGTAAAACTAGTAGACGCGGAGTGGGAGTGCAGTCAGATCAGAGAAATTGCACCACCCTTGTTGATACTGATATGAAGCGAGGTGATATAGTACTACCAAGGATACAAGGGACCCCGAATACAGGTCTTGAATGAGTGAAAGAGGGTCGAGATGGAGGCAGCAAGGATTGGAATGTAATGAGAGAAGCAGCATTAAGTCTCTACATGGAGCAATTCAAGTACGAAACAGTTGCCATTGTAAGAAGAGCCTTGTCACTTCAACACAACGTACCAGTCTCGCCGCTTCAGTGTTTAAGCAACACATCTGAGCAAGGGACGGATACCGAGGTACGGCTTGTAGAAATATCGATATCTCTTGAGCGCAACGATAAGCGCCCGGCGGAGAACGACTATAATTTCTTGTTCGTGCCTCTCTTTTGCAGAGCAACTATCTGATTGGCGCCTCTTGCCGGGAAATGGGCGATTCACAGGGTGCTGCAACTACCACATATCGGGTCTTCTTCCTCAGCGCATAAAGAGGAGAAAATGAGAAAGGGCGAAAATCTCGACGAGGGTTCCCTCAAATTTGAACTTGATCCCAACTGATGGGAAACCTCGATCCATGATCATTCCTATTGAAATTTGACCTGGGGTGCGCCTACCAAGCTCGGTCGAGTCGAGTTGGTTGTTGGCTGGGCGGCACCTGCCTCATCGTCCGCGGCTTGGTGGAGCGGAAAGAGCATCTTGAGACTTCAGCCATCTGTAACCATCCTGGGGGTCCGGTTCGATCTTTCCCAAGGTGTCCGTGGCCTCTTTGTCCCGGAACCTGGGCCAAGATGCAAATTTTGCACAGGATCCCTTCACTATTGGACAGAAGTTGCAGGTGCATCGTTGTTCTGAGGACCTTGATGGTCAACCCGGATGGCCCTGATGCCCCCTTCTTTTGCTTCTTCTCTTCTCGTCTCCCCCTTTTCACGATGCTGCGGCGGGATCAACCACGAATGTATCTTGCTCATGGGCCGAAATCGTAGGCAAATGTGTCTGGGGCGGGAGAGCGATCCGTCCGCCTTTATTCGTGTCTTGGGCACTGATCAGTAGGGAGGCAATGTAATCGCGCTTCAGTGAGCCGCGTTCAAACAGGTATAAGGTCCAAGATCCTCCTCCGAGGCGCCGGGCAATGGTTTTCACCTACCTTTTGCCCCTTTCAAGTTCCCGTCTTGAGTTCTCCACGCATCCTCGCTGGGTCTTGTCGACTGTATACCGGCCGTCAGTCGACATGCTCGACAGCTCACACCAAAACTGCTTTTCCCTCATAACCATCCGGCCCTGGCACATTCCTGTGTCCCACGCTTGAGACGTGAAGGAAAAGGAATCCCACTTCTGGGTTGAGAAGCCCTCTCTCTCTTGGTGAGAAAACCCTGTCCTCCTTGTTCAGGATGACAGAAGCTTTCCTCGTAGTTGGCTGAGGCATCGCGGGCCTGGCCGTCGCCTCCCACGCTTCCCCCGCGCTCTTCTGCCTAGGGTCTCGAATTTGCCTCTCGACTTCGACCAGGCATCTCGTTCTGCCGAGCCTTGACTGGCGAGGCCCAAGATCGGCTTCACGCATTACCCCCCTTTCTCTTCACCACACCCCTCTTGTCCTCTTTCCCTCCCCCGCAGCTCCAGTGGCACCCTCCCCCACCACCACCACCTGCATCTGCCCCCTCTCCCACCTCGTCCTAGAGACAAAGACCCACGCTGGTTACGGCCTGATTTTCATGACACAATGCCTCGACGGGCAGTCCACTGTGGCTTTTCAATAAGTCACTAGGCCGACTCGATGCAGGTTTTCCCACTGGCCATCATCCCGGTCTTTCCCATCCCACACCGACCTGCTGTGCACCCCCACTTCGCATTATCGGAGGGCCGACCAAACACCGTCGAGGAGACTGGTCGTCGATACTCTTATGCGCGTCGACGTGGACTTATGGCTGTGTCATAATACTTGGCCGTGAGAAGAGTACATTTCCTGTACCTCGCTGTGCCACCCATGTTTTGGCTTCGCGACCAAGATCCCTGGTCGCCTCGCGCGCCAAGGGTAACCACCCCAGTCCGGTTCGGTCGACACTTTTCCGATACAGTCCTCGAGATGTTCCGGCAGGACGTCCTGATTGGATTAGAAATCTGCCCACAGCCGTGGGGTTTGCCCAGGGCACGCAGCTCATGGGCACTCTCCGGCGTGGGGACCGAGCTGGGACCCGTTCCGTCCCTGTAAGCCGAGCCCACTTCATCTGAGCGAATGATTGTGAGGCACATCCTTTTTCCTCTCCCTCTTTTCCCCTTTCCTTCCTTTCTCTTTCGCTTCGGGGAGAGTCTTGTCGTGTCATGGGGAGTCTCATGCTGACCAAGTTGGAGGGGATGAAAAGCCATGTGTGTTCATGTTCATTTTACTCAGCCAACTTGGGTCCGACCCCGGACTGGCTGGCATACACACATACACACCCATAGTTGCCTCAGTCGTTGGAGGTTGTTTGGTGCAAGTCACTCGAGGTGGAAGCATCATGTGCGAGACATTTGCAGAGGACGCAATGTCTCACGGAGCTAATGTAGGCTCATCATCGGTCACTTTTCTCGGGACTGCAGAGTGCACGCTTTAGCCCCTTTGGACCACTAGGCTACAGCAGCTTTGGGTCCTTTGCCGTATCAATCAGTCAGGGTCCAATAGCAACACATCACAAATTCCACCTTGGAAGAGGGTGTAGGCTCTGGACAGATGACTAGGTCCATCCACCATCCGTGATATCCTGGTTCACTCATCCATCGCCACTGTACATGCCCGACACCTTCACGTCGACCCTTGTCTCTGGGGCCGCCCACGCTAATGGTCTATAAGCCCGCCCGATCATTCGTCGCTGCTCCCATTCGCAAAATGCACTCCCACCCTTCTATCCGCGTCGACCCTCTCCTCCTGGCGAGGGGACTGAGGTGTTCCCACACCATCACCCGTTTCGTGTGGGGAGGGTGTCGAGCTGAGAGCTTCGCCGCGTGGGGTGGGCGAAGAAAGTTGGCAGCAGTCGAGTCTTGTCTGCCTTTGTGTAAAGCTGAGCACCGCGAGAATTTGTATAAATAGCCGTCGTCTCTCACCTCGGGACCATCTATATTCTCTTCTTGTCTCCAACCCAATTCAGTAAACACATCTCAATCGCCTAATAAACCCAATCTTCAAACCCACTTACTTCGTTTTTTTCGAAACCCCACCATCAAAATGAACCCTTGGTATGTCATATGTCTGCATCGCGGGCTTCTTTGACCCTTTGGCGGGCGGGAACCGTCGATAGGAAAGCCAATGAGAATGCTAACATGCGATTTCCCACTTATCAGCGCCTGCTCCAGCTGCGGATCTTGCTCCGACTGCACTTCTTGCTCTTGCTGCTCTGTAAGGCCAACCAATAATAGGAGTCCTCCTAACTACCCAGCCCGGAACCACCGAACACTAACATTTCTCTCTCCCGGACGTAGCACTAAGTCAGCTCTCTTCGCTTGAAGCCCTTTACCCCCGGTCTCCGCTATGGATCCAGCACCGCTTTTTCTAAAGTGAGGCGGGAGACCCTCCTCCAACATGTCAAGGGCAACGAACCCTCTCCGGCATCTCGATAACCACGACGGTTTCCCTGGCTCGTTCTTTTTTTTTCGGGAGGTTTGGTGAGGGAGGTGGAGGAGGAATGGGGGACGGAAAGGTTCAGTGACTTGGTTGATGTTGAGCTTCATCCATAACAAAAAAGAAAAGCTAGGAGGGTTGAGATGGCGTCTGTTAGCCGGGCTTTGATAGACTTATCTGGGTCTGGCCGTCTGTTGTTCGAACCTTGCTGCTCGAAAGCTCCCTCCAGGAATGGTTCGAACCATGAGTCCGCTAATTTACACTGATTTTTCTCTCCGCGCAAAAGGAAATGCTCAGATCCATCGGGCAAATCTAAATTCGTCTGCAGCACTGTGAACCAAGAGTCGTTGATTTGTCTTGATTTCTATCTCTTCCCACGTCCGTCGAATCCCTGTCGGAGGCACGTGGGGTAGATACCAGGGGTTTACTCTATTATTATACTGATCACAAAAACCTTCGATGCAGGCCCAGGGTCTGAGGTTGGCTGAGATTGCCAGTTCCGTGTATTCAAGACGTATGCACCTCAAAAGAAAAAAGCCTCGGCATGAAAAGAAAAAAAGGCTTCTTAACTATGATGTATATGCGGATATTTCGTTTGGTAAATAGCAGATAAACAATACATGTATGGATGGTATCATGAAAGGAAATGGACAGGAATTGGTTGGAAGGATGATACAAGAAAAGGAAACTCCTCTCTCTCCAAAAAGAACAAAAGAAAAGAAAACCAAGAAACTCCCGAAACTTGTGAGGTTTTACAAGCGAGAACACAGAAAAGAATGACACCTTAGGCTACTCTTCTTGAACCCTGCCGAGCAAGATCCTGGCTTTCAGCTACTCTAATAGCGTGCAAAGCTCTCGCATTCTCGACGCGCTGGATTCCCATCTTCTCTTCCCAGTCGAATAGCACTGCTGCCTTCTTGCCTTCTTCTTCGAGCTCTAGGTTCGAAACGGCACGCACGCGCGAGAGCATCTCCTCAGTAAGGCTCTTTTGATGCGCCAACTCAACGGAGCGCTCCTCGGCCCGGTTGCGCGCGCCGACAGCCGCAAGGTCGCGCTCAAGTTCGTCACGCTCTCGTGTGGCGGACAGCTCCTCATGTAAACGACCCTTGCGCGTGAGAGCTTCCAAATCGGCTTGAGCACGGTAGATCTGCGCCTGCAGTTCACCAAGAGCGCGGGCCCGACTCAAGGCGATGGCATGGTCTTCGTGCTCTGCTGCGAGGCGCGCCAGACGCGCGCGTCGCCCCCGTTCCTCGCGAAGAATATCATCTGGCAAGCCGACAGCGCCTTCTGGCTGAGGGCCCTCGTGGGCGTAAAAGACATCCTCGCATCGGTTCGCCCGTAGGAGCCAGTACAATTGTTCCGAGTGGTGCGAGAGTATCATCCGTCGAACATAAATGGTTGGGGAATAGGTGTGCGTGGAATTCGAGTACATGTTGAACGCCTGATTGACATGCTTCCACATGCCGGACTTGAGAAGTGCACGAGTCGTCAATACAGGTTCGCTCGACTCAAAGGAGAGGAAGAGTGCAGATTTGCCGTCCGATTTAATGGCAAGGTCACTGCCATTTTCTATTAGGTAGGAAAGCATTCTCTCGAGGGCGCGCTCGCGATGCGAGTCGAGTGGCTGCGATGAATCACTCGCCGCATGGCGGCACACCTCGGCGAGGGCAGTACGGCCGCCGTGAAGGGGACTCGGAAAGTCTGGGTCGTGGCCATATTTAATCAGGGTTTTGCTGCTGGCAGATTGAGCTCCCTTGCTGCGTTGTGAAGGGACCCATCATTTTTGGAGACAGCGACGGCCAGAATACTTGTCATAATCTGAATGGAAACATCGCCACCTAGGCTAACAGCCATAGCTAGCGGAGAGAAGCCCGTTGCATCGGTGATACCATCGACCTCGGCCCCATGATGGAGGAGTTTCTCAACAACGTCCGGGCGCCGTGCGCGGATGGCGAGCATCACTGGGGAAATGCGTGTCAGTTTGCTTTCAAAGTTGACCTTGGCTCCACGGGAAATGAGAATGTCGATTATCGCGGTGCTGACACGTTTTTGCGGTTGGAGTAGCGCCCAGGTGAGGAGCGTAACTGGCTCTTCCTCGACATCTGGCAGGACCGAGCAGAGGACCATTTGGTCATGATAGTAGCCTTCATCAAGTAGAAGTTCGAGGATCCGGACAGAGCGCGGGTATCTCTCCAGGGCGAGGGCAAGGATGGGGCTGTGGATGGAATGTGGGTACATGACATCAATGCGCGCGCTATCTCGCTCGTGCTCGAGGATGGCCGTAATTAGGGCGACTGCTTCCTCTTCATCTCGTTCCATGTCAAAGACGTGGAAAAGGGCAATGGCTAGAGAATCTGGTGTGGCGGTCGAGTTTCGTTCTCCCTCAAGCAACGCTTGCAGCCAAGTAAGTCGGCCGGCCGCCGCTGTTAGACGAAGGGGCTTTGCCTGCTGGTAATTGACATCCACTCCGTGCTCTGCAAGACTAGTGACGAAAGCGTCGGCAAGGTCATTGGGTTGGCTGGGAGCTAGCTCTAATATGATCGAGAGTGTGCATCCGTCTATGCGCTTGCCCGGGCAAGCCTTGAGGATCATCTGTAACACCGTGAGGCCCTGGCTGGTAAACCACCGAGCAGCTTCTTCCTTTTTGAAGGCTGACGAGAGTATGTGATCGAGGCAATCACTAGGACCGTGCCTTCCCAGAAGACGGCTGAGGACAGGGGCCGAGGTGTGAGAAGTAGCATCGATGATGGACTGGCAATCATTGTGAAGTGGGGATGCGCCACGATCAAGTAGAAGATCGATAAGGACGAGATCTTGTTCCTCTTCTTTGACCATCTCCTCCAGGGTTGAGTGCAACTCCGACGTTACTTGTAGGCCAGCCTCAAATAGCCACTGAATTACAACTAGGCGTCTCTCTCGGCTTAGTGTCCAGCTGGCTTTGAGAGCCTCAGAAAGCGTGCCTGCGTTTGGTCTCTCTTGACTCATACGGGTAAGCTCACGGCCTAGGAGGAGTTCTAGGTTGGGGAGAATTGCGCTTCGAATCGCGACGCAAACCGATTCGCCGTTGTCGTAATTAGGCGTTGCCCCAGCAGCTAGGAGTACGCGGAGCATATCGTGACCACTCTCTCCATAACGCGCGGCTGAAATGAGCTGCTCATCTACAACATCCCCAGAGACTCCTCTCTCAAGAAGCATCCTGAGTATGGTTGTTCGGATTTTAAGGTCACCAACTTCCGTTGCTGCTTGAAACGCTTCCTCGAGGAGCTCCTTTTGGGCTCGGGGAGGCCGCTGAGGAGCATTGCGAGCATTTCGGGCGACCCGGAACGGCTAGCATTCACAATTCCTCGGCTGTCGCAGTCAGCTAGACTAGCACCGGCTGAAATAAGGAGCTTTCCGAGGGAGAAATCGACATCGCTGACGGCCGTGAGCAGACCGGCAGATATGACCGAGTCAGATATCTCGCTCTTTAGTAGCAACTGGGCAATCTCGAGCCTCGTGGGCTGGTCGGCGATTTTCATAGCCTGTTCAAACGATTTGTCCAGGGCGCTAATAGGTCTATCGGCCTTTTCCAGAAGAAGGGCGACCACGGTGGGGCTCTCTTTACGAATGGCCTTCATTAGGGCGATGCCATCCGAGATGTCTCCATGTTCAGCCAGCAGAGTAAGAAGCGGAATATCGTCTGTGTGCACCTCGATACAGTACGCCAGTGCCCTTGTCGCCTCCAACTTGGGGGCTCCGGCCCGGATAAGTCGTTTGGCAAAGTCTAGACGGGATTTGGGGTCTTTGTTGTGGATAGTGTGGGGAAGGCTAGCTGTAACGACTTGGGTGTGGCTTTCATGTTGAGTAGGAGGTCGACCACGGCTTCATTCGTTGACGCTACTGCGCTACAGAGGGCTCGGGCGTTGAGAGAATCAACGTCAGCCTTGGTGGAAATAAGGGTTGCGAGACTCGAAAGCGTGAGATGGTCTGGATCAGTTTTCAGTGCGGCGGCGGTTTCGAGGACGAGAGCCTCATTGAGTTCGTCTTGAGAGAGGCTAGGTAAGAACGCTCGAAGTTTGGTAGTTTTCGAATCAGTTGATGGAAGATTCATGAGATTTGCGAGATGCGTTCGAATCAACTCCTTTGAGGGTTTAGATAGCTTGAGAAGTAGTTTGAGTATGGTGGGGTCGGGGTCATCAATCGCTTCGGGCGGACACAAAGTTAGCTTTCGGGCGAAGGTAAGAAGAAATCAACACGGGGAGGGGAGGGGAGCAATGTTCTAGAAATCTGCACTTACCCAGTTTTATCGCCGCGCCATTTTCAAAACCAACATCAGCATTCGCTTGATCAAGGAGGAGGCGCAACATCCTGACATCGACTGGTTTTGACGAGAGTGTGGCAACCACGGCCGAGGAGAGATTTTTCCGTCCCTCGTTGGCAGCTCCTGCGTCTAGGAGCAGCCCCATGGCCTCTCGTCGGGCATCTACGTCCTCGATTTTCATCGCACTAGTCACAACATTCGCCGCAGTGGACGGCGATGCTGAGCCTACTAGGGTACGGATGAGGCCAATATCACCTTGCTGAATAGCATTGGATAACCCAGCACCATTTCCAAAGTTGACGCTCGCGTTATGAGACAGAAGGATAGCGATGAGCCTTTCGTCACGCTCAACCGGGCTTTTAGAAATGGCTTCTTGCAAAGCAACATCTAGAGGGTTGCCTCTAAGGCCAACTAGAAGGAAGGCCTCGACCAGTGCGTATCGGGCATCTTCTGCAGGTTGCGCACAAGCGGTGGGAAACACCTGGGCCAATGTTTCGAGAGATGGTTTCGCAGAGAGTAGAAGCTTGGTCATCGGGATATCCCCTTGGGAGACCGCTATGCTCAATGCCAAACCACCCTTGTGATCCACTGAGGCTACTTCATGGCGATCGTGCATTAATCCCATAGAGTTCAAGGCAAAGGGTACGTCGTGGCTCGATGATGAGCTGGTTCTGTTCGTCGTAAACTGCGGGGTGAGAAGCAACCTGGCTGATTCGATGTCTCCAGCCTCCACGGAATCGACGAGGGCGTTGTGTAAGGAGGCACCGTTGGCACCCTCCTTAGAAGTTGGGCGAGAATGACATGGCGGCATTCGGGAGAAGCATTGGCGGGGAGGAGTTCAACGCACTCGGAGGCGAGGGCAGAAGGAAATTTAGAAGCTCCGGACAGCAATATCTTTACGAGATCAGGTTGCGCCTTTTCTACTGCGCTTCGCACGACGATAGCATCCTGGAAGGTTAGCGCGGCACCGTACTTGACAAGAAGGCCTACGAGCTCTCGGGACCCGGCGGATGCAGCGTGAATGAGGCCGATATCGACAGCCTCGCCAGCGGCGCCAGCGCAGAGAAGAAGCTCGAGGATGGCGAGTTTTTCATTTAAACTGAGATTTGTCAGCGTGAAAAGTACGGTTACCGCCTCGTCCAGGCCCGGTCGCTGCGGGGGTGGTTGCTCATGACGATGGAGAGGGCAATATCGCGTCTCCCTAGACCCACGGCGATCCTCAGTGCTTCGGCATCGTTGAAGTTGGCATCGGCCGACGATCGGCTCAATACGAGCACCGTATCGAGACAGGAGACTCTGGCAGCATCAACCATGGCCTGGGACAGGCAAAGCTGCGAGGGTTTGCCCTCTGATCGTAGGACGAGGGCGATAATCTCGCTGTGGCCGCCCGCCATGGACAGCTTCCGAAACTCATCTTGAGCAATAGTTGAATCACAAACCCTAGCGCCATAGCGCAAGAGGATGTCAATCACGTCGGCCTTGCGCAGCTGAAGCGCTAGTGCGACCGAGGCATTGAGGGAAGAGGGGTCGGCATGCGGGACCAGCACGTTTACCACATCGATCGAGCAGCTGCGGACCGCCTCCTTGAGGATCTCGGCACGATCGTCAAAACCACCTTCAAAGCTTTTCCTCCGGGATTGAAGCAGGCCCTTATTCTTTGAAGGGGGTGGAAGATCCAGGCTAACGCCAGTCAGGGTGAGGCGGGCGATCAAGGCCTCAACGACTCCGGGGAGGCTGATCCGCTCCGTAGGTAGTCGAGTAGAGCATCTAGCACGAGACGAGCGGATTTGGCAGACTGGGCCTTCTTCGACGTGAAGGACCGCTTAAGGAGCGGGTTGGAAAATGAGGATGAGAGAGAGGGCTGCCCTGGGGGAGTGGAGGTAGTTTGTTGGCGAAATCGCAGCAGGAGCTGCTCGGCAACGGCATCGTCGGACGGGGATCGGGTGGCGAGCGGTTGCGCTGGGCGAGTGAGAGGTGGAGACACGGAAGATGGCTGGAGACTCAAAAGCGACCACTCGTTTGCGAGCTGGATTATGCGACGTTGCCGGTCGGCAGAAGAAGGTGGAGAAGCAGGCCCCGGGGTAGGTGGCGCAACGGGGAAAGGAATCGCCCTTGGTGTCGGTGGTGGTGGGGACGTTGGGGCGGGTGGCGGTAGAGCCATACTGTCAACCACCAACATATTGGCAAACGAGCTTAGGCAGGCTATCACGATTCAAGATAGAGAAGCCACGCAGAAAGGTGGTGGAAGGGGAGCGCGGCGTCGAGGTTATGAGCAGTCTAAATTGGAGGGAAGAGTGGAAGCAAAACTCAAGGGCTTGATTGCCTCTTGGCGACAGAGAAGCGAGGCGGATTGAGAGCGCATCAACGCCGCCCGGCGAAGCGAATTGTGAGGCCCTCACGATGCAGTGGCAGTTGGGCCGCGGAGGTGGGCTTGCATGAAGGGATTAGTTCAAGGTCGTATCGCAGCCTCGAGCTCAGGAACGATTTTGAGGCCCCGTGCCCGTGCCCATCCCTGTGTAACCAACCGCCTTTGGTTTTGCCTATTCTCGATCTCGCGGAGAAAGATCAATTTGCAGAGTAATAAACGCCTGCCGCCAACCGGCTCTTCGTTGATCAAGTGAAACGAGGAGGCGCAAGGTGAAAGGTGGGGCAAAGAGAGAAAGAAGGTACGATCAGATCAGGGGCGCATGTCTAAACCTTTCAGGAACGGTCGATGCGGTGCTTGCGAATGACCAAGTTGTTCTTTCCTGTTCTCAGAGGGGCTCTCTTGTTGCCTTATCTTCTACTTTCCCGATCCCCTTCTTTTATTTTCTCTCTTTCCCCGCGGGACATGGACCTAGAAAAATGAGGAGGCAGAGAAAGTACGGCTTCGAATTTATTTCGAAAGTTTGGGGAGGCATTTGACAGGCAATAGCTTTCGGGATGTCTTGCTTTATATGGTGATGAGAGTGAGCTTGCGATTGCTTAGCATAGCCACAGTTGGTTGTTTAGCACCCGCGGAAATGGATCCATTGATGGTGGAACCGCCAACGATTGAGGTGCCGACGGGGTTGAGCCTTGGCAGAGCACTCTGCTTTGCCACACTGCATCCGTAACAAGCCTGTTCCTGATCGGCATCAGCCTCCATCTCCACTAAAATCGAACACACTCAATTGACCGATCAATTTGTGATCGCTTCCGTCGGTTTGGTTGACCCGTCAGCTCTGACGCGGCCTTTGACACTGCACTTTTGAACAGCCAGAATAATCTCAATGTCTACATATAGACACAGCATCCATACGTGTATATTTAGAAGCCGTCCGCCCAACCGCCCGTGCTGATCTCCATGCGTCCCTAACCCATCGTTCAATATTCAGCCAGTTGTCGGATTGAACACTGATCGAGCGTCCCCGTTCTGATTTACCCATTACTTTATTACTTCATTCGCCAGCACTTAGCAAAGGTAACGATTGGGGAACATACGGGCAACCACGCCTAGCGACAATCCAAGGGACAGCCCGGCTAAGGCGCGAATTTCTGCTTCGTTGAAAGTGCGCCTCTGATCCGAAGTAACCATCCAAAGCTGTCGCCATTACCAATTCTTGGGCACGCTCCTGGTAGAAAGGGCACTTTCTTCACACTGAGGTTCAGGTTGCGATCCGCCACGCGATGCGGGTGTGGCAGGACAAACGCTGAGTCTCGCGTTCTGCCAGCTTTGCCAGCCGCCACCACGACTGCCTTGAAAATTGTGAAGCCCAATCAATTTTTGCCACAATGGGCGTAGTCCCTCCGCCGCTTCCGCACGAGGCGCAAGATTGAACTTACCTTGACATAATATCAAGGGACGAGAGTTTTGCATGGGGATGGGTTCGTGTCTGGCAGAAACAGGACGGACGCGATATCAATGCATGGATATAATGGCGTATGGGGATGGTGAGACCAAATGAGACTCACAGGTACCAAACTCTTTCTGGGCTACTTGGAGGGTTTATCTTGTAACCATGCCCAAGAATGAGTGGAAGATCACTACAGAGACTTGTCTTCTCTTTTGACTTGACCATTTCAATTTGCATGCCCAAGCACGCTCACCCGCGTGCGCATGTGTTTGTATCTGTATATGTGTGTATCTGAGGGAGTGGGAGTCAAAGGATGTAGGAAAAGACAGAGGGGGAACAGCGAACAAGAAGGCGAGGTTATGGGAGAGTCAGCGCCCGCGAGCCGTCGTTCCGAGCACAGGATTCAAAACGGGCAGAGCCAAGAAGCCAGGAACGGAAACCAAGGAAGACGCTGATCCCAACAAGGAAACATGCCATAATTGAATATTCACCAAGCCGTTCTCCGATCCATTGGCCCATACCCCCTCCGTGGCCCCGTGGCTGCCAAGATCCCCTCCCCGAGCTGCCGACCGAGACCCGGTGCCCCGGACTCTCGGGGCGCACAGACCACCTACCGAGTGCCTCCGACGTCAAACCAGCTCCCCGTTCGGAGCCGTTGCCGGCCCCCTATAGGCTCTATCAGTAAAGGGGGTTATTCGTATAGGCAGAGGATACAATGGTACGAGAGGACGATGTTTTTTTCCCACCCCACCCCCTCCTCTCCCTTACTTCCACTTATCCCTTCTCCTGCCTTGCTCACCACGAGGAATGAGACTTTGGCCGTTGGCGGTGGAGAGCAACGGCCTAGGCTGCCGATCTGGCACCCTTGGGCTCCACTCACCCAAGTTTCCGGGGCCATTCACACGGAAGACCCCAGATGGGTTTGCGGGAACCTGTCATATCGATTTTATACTTGGTCGATATGGAACGGCACAGCAATGGATCACTCAACCCCGACTGAACAGCCAATCACGGTATGCTAAAGTCCGAAAAGCATCGGAGTTCGGATGACCTACACTTCCATGTCGCCCAACTCCGACTTACAATCGCGCAATCGCGGCACCTGCGTCCATTTTGAATGCTAGGCTTTTCGGCCCTATAGGGACTCATCTGGTGACTGCGGTGTACATGGAGGGCACGGGCTATCTGGCCCGCCAGAGAGTCCGAAGAGGCACAAACGGGAACCTGTCGATCTCGGAGCTTCTCACCATCTGATATCAGTGCGGTCCACAGCCCATATGGGCCAAAATATCGACCTCATCGAGTATTTACCATGCTGGTCGTTTATTCCCCGACCTGCTACATCGCGCCGGTCAAACGAGCAGGACCGTCGCTTCGAGATGCCTCGCATGCCCCATCTGTTGCACCGGCGTTGAGAACTATATATGTAGCGACAACGTAGCGAATCCCCTTCTCTCATGAACGCACCTGCACCACCGTCGTTGCATCCAACCCCCTTAACTCAACGGTGAACGTCATCCACGCATTTACTGGCCGTTGTATATCAAGTTCCGTGGACGTATCAGCATCCGAGCCCGTGTAGAACGACACCCAGGCCCCCGGCCATTCACACACGCACGCGGCCCAGCCCATTTCGACATACCCGACCGCCGACCACACCGCTTCGCCCCGCTTACCCCTTCTATACTAATCTCGTACCCACCCCCTCTACGCCATGGTTTCCGCCATATCTCCTCTTATCCCACAATCCTCCCCTACCGCTTAGCAAACCTCGCCAACCTCGCCCTCGGCCACGCTATATCACCAAGCTGGGCGCACCCGCCGGCAAAGCCCGTCATGGCCGATTCACCTAGTCTCCTCTCCCGCGCACTCCAAACGCCCGCCGGGGTCTACACGGCTCGCCAGCTCGTGACTAGCACCACCACCCTCCTCGATGTCGTCCTCGCCCACCTCGACCGCGACCCCGCGGGCTCCCCTCAGACGCCCAGTCTGTATTAATCGACGGACTAGCCGCCTCCCTCTCCACGACTGGCCGGGAATCGGTGCTACCGCTTTCCCCATCCCCACGGGATACCGCCCGCGGCGAGATCGCCGATCAGGCCCGCCGCATTGCCAATCTCATTGTCAAGTATGTGCGCGAGAGCGTCAATCCCGCGCGACTCTCGGCCGCGCTGAGCCGCGAGCCGCTCCGGATTCGTAGCCCCTGCGAGGGCCACCTCTGGACGCCCGCCGCCGCCGCTCTTCTTCTCGGCCCCCGCAGCGACGCGAAGCTGATGGAACTCTACAACGAGTGGCTCCACCGCATGATACTCCTGAGAGACAGCCTCCTTCCCTTTGAAAATTTTGAAGAGGTCCCGCTCGTCGTGCTAGAAGGTTCCACGCGGGGCCTCCGGGAGGTCGAGGAGCCCCGCAAACTCTTTCTCGTGCACTGCCTCACCGGCGCCATCCAGCACGCCGCCATCGTCGACCTAGCCAAGGTTTTCACCGCATCAACTCTTCCGCGCGGGGGTACGGCTTTCAATTCCGCCAGGGCCTCGTCCTGCCCGCGTTTCTCTCCGGTTCCAAATCGCTCCATTTGCTCCGCTACCACCCCGCTCGTTTCTACCAGGGCGAAGAGGAGGTCCTCTTCGACTACGAGCACAACGAGTACGTGGATGCTCCGCGCACGGAGCTCACACCTGCCGAGAGCAGCCCCTCCCCTCCTCTCGGTCGGTGGGACTTTGCCTCGCTTTTGGCGGCTGCCGACCCCCGCGTGTCCGAGTCCGAGCTCGCCATCGACGAGGTGGGCGATAGTCTCCGTCGAGTCGTTCGGCTACGGCTAACCCTCGAATCCGGGATATGCGTTTCCGTCGATTTGGGCCAGATCGCTCGCGGTCGACGGTATGCTTACGAGATTCGGCCCAACCTATCGCTGGACGATTCGCTTTCTACGGTTGTCGCATCTACCCCCTCCCCAGCCTCGCCTTCCGCATTTATACACAGCACCGTAGATATTCTTGCTCGGCCAGGCTTGGTGATCTCCCCCGGGCCAAAGATGGCCAAGAAAACGCCATCCACATAATTCCAACGATGGATCCTGTCCTGAGGCTTGCCCTCTTGGGAAGCTATATCCCGAAAACGTAATTCTCCTGAGGGAGAATGACAATGTCCAGGCGCTGCAAAAGGTCGGCAAGGGGTTCGCGGACCGGTTTGTGATACTAGATACAACCCTCGACAGGTCTCTGTGTGAGAGAGGGGCAGCGTGGATGTCAACAATGGGCAAACTACACAATACATCCATAGATGTACGTGTACCGTGGTAGTCGCTAGTCGTGGCCGTGGCGGTTTCGCCCGAAAACAGTGTGTTCGTCCGCAAAAAATGGATGTCTTAAGTAACGGTAGTCGCAAGATGTCCCCAATTCTTGCTTAGCTGTTTCATTACTCATTTCAGCGTTACGGAAAATCATACTCTAGGCATATCCCAGCTTTAGCAACCTGGTCACCGAATCTCATCCATCCAATGCATCCATCCAAACCAAACTATAGGCAGTGAATCGCAGAAAACGCTCCACGCTCACCCTAAACCGACGGAATCATTCGAAGCTCTGCGTCCTTGTGCAGTTGATGCATCCTTCAGTCTGAGAGATTGTCGCGACGAATAAAGGCAAAGAAGAAGAAAAAGACAAAGGAAAAAAAAACGACAAGTGCAGTTGACGACAGTGGCTGGTGGTTACGACCTTCCTCTACTCTTCCGCAAGAGGGGAACGGATCGTGGATATTATGAGCTTCGTAAACTCGTCAAATTCGTCAAATGAAATTCCCCAGACGCCGCCTGATGACCCCGCGCCGCCTTGGCCATCACTTGATATTCGAGTCAGAACTTGCTGCACGGTAGGCCTGCTTCGGGGCCCATTATTCGTATTGAGCTGGGCCTTGGCTAAAAGCCACTCATCCCGGCTGGAAGCATTCCACAAGGAATCCGGAGCGGGCAGCGTCATGTTTCTGATGAGGTTATCGTCGAGGGGCTCAAAGTAATACGCATCTTGTCGCTGCGTCTTGCAAGATAGTGTATTTATGGTATTCGCCAGGAATAGAGTCCGCCGAATTGTCTCGTTGACGATCCACTTCCTCCAGTTTACTTCTTCGCTGTCGCCCGTAATGTTGGAGCGCACGTACTCTTGGATGAGGCGTCGGGTCATCTACACAAACCCCTCAAGGTTAGTGCTCCCAATTTTGAGTTACAAAGGTGCAGAACAATGGTCGATATATCCATTACCTTGAGGAAGAACCCATTTTGTAACTCCGTAAGGCGGACCTGCTCCGGACTATTGCTGGCAAAGAAGCCAAGTATCTGGTATACGCACATCGCATGTACCACGGCTACCATGTCTCCATCTGAGCCGGACCATTTGTGCTGAGGGATAAGTAGAGAAGAAGTGAGCCGAATACTCTCACTTTCACAACCAAGAGAGGCGGAATTCGCCGGGGGTGAGGGCCACTTACAAACTCCTTCACGAGGGCGCCGCTCTCCTCATTCAGTAACGTGTAGACGTAATTTTTGCTTGTAGGAACAGATGAGTAGAACGCGCCAATGCAGCAAAAGGCTTTGGCCAACGGCTCCGGTACATCCCCGGTAGAGCAGCGATATAGTTCGTGATGGACAAAGGGCGGGTAGTTTCCCGGCTGCACCATGATTCTCGGATAGCTCGAGATGATGCGGACAAGATCATCGTCGGAATAGAGTTTAGGAAAGCGATGTGTGACGGAGCGAGGCACCTCGTCATGCCTGCCCCGGAGCGTCAGAGTCGCCCGGTTGACGGCATCGTGGAGTGTGGAACCATCCGGTTCGTTACTTCGCACTCCCGTACCTCCAAGGCTAGGATCAATGTTGGCCATGTCTAAACCTAGAGTCATGTTATCTTGGGACATCCCCGCATGCAGAAGGCTTTCCATGGAGCCTTGCTCAGGCTGCAAAGCCGGCGTGATGCGATTTCTCGACAAAACGCCCAGAGAACCAAGAAGATCAAAGTTCAATTCGTCACTTGGGAGACCGGACATTGAAGGATTGGGATTGTTATTGATCGCTCCGGCCGGCCTACAGCCGTCCGGTGTCATTACCGCGCCGCCTCTTGACGCCCACGGGCCGCTCGCCTGCCATAACTGGGGGCCGTGTCGCTATTTTCGCTCTCAGGCGCGTCAAAGGGATAAAGGTCCGCCTCAGCCAACCCGGGCTCATGTCCGCGTCTCTAAACATGCCACCGGCGAGGTCGTCTGGGCGTTCCTGGGCCGAAGCAGCTTGGTTGATGGGCCAATTCCCTAGATCAAGACCTAGAGATGGATGCAACATATCGGTAGGCTGATGGGGCGGGAGCCCAATCATCGCGGAGGGCTGCTGCCGCGGTGATCGTGAAATCCTCTAATGGCATCGTCAAGGTCCAGGGGAGAGTCTCCAGATGTAGTAGTTCCTTCGCCACCGCTCATGCGGCTGTCGTGTGCAGAGTTTCGGAACGGGCTCCGCTCTTGGGGATGGCTACTCGGGCCCGCCTGCGGTGCTTGAGGGTCATTCCTATCACCGGTGGCGGCGGACGCAGTAGTCGAGACATACTGACATCTTTTGTTCCTATTTATGCACCGAGAGCAAGAAGGTGTGCCCAGATCACAACCGAGCTTCGAGGTGGCACAGGGAACACAAGACTTTGCTTAGAAGTCTTTTGCCGGCTGGCAGCTTGTATGCACCGACGCTGGTGTTTGTCCCTATATTCTTCTGTTGACGCAGGACAGGGCCACAAAAAACACCGGCCATCAAGGTTAGCTCTCGCAAGCAACATTGCCTATGCACATAACAGGAAGCACACACCCCCTTCCACACCCCTTCCATGGTGTCCCGCCCCGTCCACCCTCCCCTCCTTCTGGCATGGCATTCCAGAAGAGGTGCCCCCGGCTAAGCTGCGGACGGGATCGCTCCGGGCCCACCCAATTGCCGGAGTGGCAGCAGCAGGAGAAGGAAGGGCAAGCAGGAAAGAAAGGGGAAGAGGGAGGAAGGGAAGGCCGAGGCTGGTCGAGGCGGTACTTCCGCTTGCATGTTACACCCGGCAGAACGGCATCGGCCCGCCAAGAGGGAAAGGATTTTCATAAGACCCAGACCAGACCAGACTTACTTTGTGCGAATTCCTTGGGACAGTTTCCACAGCGCCACGGACCCTGTCGCGCGCTATCTCGCTTCTTACGAGACCCCGAAGGTCCTCCAGTCGAGCTGTCGGAGCCGAAGCAGCCACCTGCATGGCTATGCGGTGGAGCTTTGACGAGTACCGATAATCGAAAAGCAACTGATAAGACGCGGATACACCAAAGGCTTGGGGATGTCTGGGTGTCGACTCAAGTACAATGTACATTCAGAGGTAGACTGAAGAGGAAGAAGGGGAGGGGGGAGTGATCGAGGTGAGATAGAGAGTCACGGGCAACAGACAATCTCGAGCTCAACAGACATCCATGGATGTGGGAGTCGGAGGGAAGGCAACGGCAATGCAAGGTATAATAGTGAGTTGTGACTGGGACACCGTCCCATCCAGGAGATAAGACCACGGGCTCCAGCTGCTGGACCTCCTCGCTTTGTCTAAGACGCCACAGAGCCTAGAATGATGCACTGATGGCAAAAGGTGACCAGGGGACGGGGTAGAGCCAGCAGGAGGATGGGAGGGAGTGGGAGTAACGGCCGGGGTGGTATAAGAGGAGGGCAGACCCGACCCAGACGTCAAGGTAAAAGGTAGAGGGGGAGACGGGTCCAGGGCGATGGGAAAAGTGGAAACAATAGAAAATTAGAACAGTCGGGAGTTTCCAAAGGTCCAGGATCACGCGGCGGCACACGGGCAAGCACGGCGACCGGCGATACCCCTTATTGTGGATTGTATGGGTTAAGGCCATGGCCATGGCAGCCCTCCCACCATGTCTCTGCGCCCCCGCCTCCACCTCCGCCCGAGACTTGCGTGTACGTACATTGAAGGCGCCGACAATCAGGGGCAAAGTATGGGGGAAAAGGTTGGGGTGGGCTAAGCAAACAAAGAGAAAGCTCGATGCGTCTTGCGTTTTACGTACATGCAAGAGCTGGACCTGGAATGGAGCCTTGTCACTGGCTTTTGACGGATGGCGCAATTGGCTTCGTTGGACAGCCGTGACCCACGGCCCCGGATCGGGTACCCTTTCAATTACCAAGAACGGCGTGGACGTGATCTCGCAATTCTGGATGTGGATATCATCATCAGTGACCAGTCCGAGCGGAGTAATCCGGATGCGAATTCTGCTTGCATAAACGCGATAGTTGCATATCGTCCCGCTTTGTGCCTCTTTCTATCGGGGCTACCGCTAAACGCCGTCGTCTGTCCTCGTGCCTGCCATCCAACTCCGATCTGGAGCCAGGCCCTAGAAGCCCAGTCTCTTGGACACGGAAAAAAACACAAAGCAGAGGGCTTTCATGAAGACCGTGGGGCAGTTGACGTGGCGAGACTTTGGCTTCGAGATCCACGACTTTGGCTCGGGCTCCAGCTACGAACGACGAGGCCTATTGCCAAACAGAAGAAACCTTGGACTAACACCGCACACCAACTCCAGTTCTTCCCTGCCCAGCCCTAACAAACAGCACCAACGCCAGCCATCCATCGCTCTGGCGGCGTAAACGTCTTAGAAGAGTCCCGAAGAAGCGTCTTTTCTCTCTCCTTCTGCCATCTCTCTGTTGGAGCTTTTGATCTATGCGACGGGATACAGAGCGAATAACATTTTCGAAGACGAGCGCGTTTGGTTCCCTATTCTCTACTCTTCTCGACTATTTCTAGTGCACAATGGGGTCCTCTCCCGTTGCTCTCGATTGATAATAGCCACATATCTTGGACAACTGGTTTCTATGACGTTATTCGCCGCTTTAGCCAACTTTGTAGCGAGAAAGCGAGGCAAGAGCGGGCGGTTAGCAGATGGCCTAGAGAGAATGTCTTCGCTTGCGCTACAGGCCTGCCTTGGGAGCCGATGCACAAGCCCGGCCATGGCAGTAGCTCAGGGAAGATGCCGTCTTGGAAGATTACAATATCGTGTGAGGTTGGCGAATCAAGCGGCTAAACGAAAACCTAAACGCACGTAGATTGATTCCTGGCCCCCTTTGGATCTAGAGTGGCTTTCCCAAGAATCACCAGGATTCTAGGCCGAAGCACGTCAGCGCGGCTAGTGACGTCGGAGAGGCAGCTTTTCCCAGCTCTAATGATAAGGAATGCCGAGCTCAAAGTGATGTCGTAGATATCAAGCGTCAGTAGCATTACTTGCTTTTCGTTTTTTGAAAGGTGACTGGCTCTCTGAAACTATTCCCGAATCCTTCGCTGAGATAGGGATTTACTCATATGGCATAATAATTTCGTTACAGTCGCAAAGGCAAGACCCCGCAAAGCCTACTTCTTAGCCGTGACTCAAGGCCGTCGGATGGACGGACTCCATGAACATCGAGCTAGCTTTAGACACAGGCTTAGCCCGTTCAGGCCGTGATGCCCGACTGTCGTCGAGTCGAGCATAACCTACCGCCGCACGCAATCCCCGCTTGGATGGGGTCGCAAGCAAAAGCATCCGTGGATAGACTAGGCCCTACCACCGCGAAAGCGAGTAATAGTATTCCGAATTATCGCCTTGGCTGTATTGGCCTTGCTCATTACCAAGCAGCGCTTGTTAGGCACGGATAGCTAAAATTCCGCTGCTTGACAAACCTCGGCGTCGAGATGCTGGTTCGAGGACAAGTGATGCCCTTCAGCTTTGGCTGCCCCTGGATTCACTATCTCAAAGTCAACTCAAAGTAATGGACGTCTTTCGAGTCTGTCGCTTGATGAGATTGTGAGCCACCTTTCTGTGCTTGGCGCTGGGTTCGTCTTCGCCTTCATCCCGGAGGAGAATGCAGCCAAGAGACTGCAGAAGTCAGACAGAGCTAGACTAAACAGATGCCTCGAATCCGCGGCTGCCCGTGAAGCGGTAGATATTGTGATTCTACAGTGATGTTTCTTATTTTATTATCCGTAAATCAACGCCCATAGCCCAGTGCAAATGGGTAGCCCTTCCCGCCCTGCTCTCCAAGCGGTCGTGCGTCTAGCTCTGCCTTGTCAGCTCCGCGGCACTCACCTTGCCCATCTGAAACTCCAAAGGCGATAAAGAGGGGGTTCTGTAGAAGAGTTGACCCAAGGATCGTGTAATATTAAGGGAAGTAGGTTTGCCTCTACGAGCGCCCTGCCCTATTTCATTATTGGGTTGGCACAACAGCGTCTCGGTGGGCATTCTCGTCACCGCTTGCCGGCGGGAAATCTCTTCCAACGCTACCAACCCTCGGACATCGCTCCTCACTTTCTACTTACCATCAACCTTGAACGGTCGCCTCCTGTACTCCGCCATCTACGAGCCTAGGACGCTGGCCTGTAAAGTGTTTTGCGAGATGATACGAGTCCTTACGTCTGATCCGCGCCCCTCTAGAAGTTCGATGGCCCACGCAATGCCGAAACTCGCCCACGTCTCGCCCAGAGGAATGGAGGCACCATCTACGAAACGAAAGTCCCTCGTTCCTAGCATCCCCCGAGCACGTACACACATGATCTCAAGTTCTTGACCTCCCGAAGCGAACCCACGAGCTACGAGATTACCCGAAAACGATTTCCCAACAGCCAAGCAAAGACTTCTTCCAGAAAAGGAAACCATCGAAACCTACCGACACTTCCATGAAACCATCAGGCCGCGCTCCCTTTACGAGGCAGTGCGTAGGTACACTTCCTTGTAGGGGGCCGCAGGTCCTCGACGAAGGCCATCCTGCCCCGTGGACAACGCCTCTTCTCCTTGATGACCCAACCCAGACGCCCGAGAGCCTGCGAGGTCCTTACGACTTGGCTCGTCACTCCCCGAGATCCTCTAGCCCCCACACCATCCCCGCTCACGGCAAGCATCCCGACCTTGGGCTGCGCTCTGAGTAGGAATGAGGGACTTGACATCCTGCCAGATAGCTTTGATGGGTGACACTGGATCCAAGCCCCCAATCGCCCGAGTACTTTGGGTAATCACATCAACGTTGACGATAATGGTTGAGGATAAGCAAGGTCCAGATGAGCAGCACCATCACCCTCTGCAGCCGGTTCGAAATACGATTCTTCCTAGTTCTCTTTTGACACAACCAGCGAATCGAATCTCTCCCTCGGGCTCATCCGTGTCGGCCGGTAATCGAGATAACGTACCATGCGGAAACCTATGAGGGTAGGCTTGGTACTTTATCACGGCCATCTAAGAATAAACGACAGCGGGCGAGTTGGAAAAGAGGATCCTCTGTATCAATTTCTCAACTCATTACAAGTCAGCAGAAGGAGATCCCGCTCGATACGTGAAAGAGGGGAAACAAGCCCAGGTTGTTGGTGCTAGAGGAGAAGAGGAGGACAATCAGAGAGATCTCATAATGCGACCAAGGTAGGCGTCCCAAGTCTACTCCATCACAGGTGAGTGTCTTTGTACGAACTATACGTGAATGATAAGAAGTCTTCTAGAAGGGAATTGAACTTGGAGGCTTTACTAAGAATATGAAGGCTTCTAGAAGTTTACGCACTCTAGTATCTCTCTGAATTACTTGGGTCGAGCCCACCTCGATAAAAGACTAACTACGGAGAAAGCGAGTTTCATCCCCTAGATATCTGAGAAGGAGGATGTCGTCGAATCATGGACTAGGCAACGTCAAAATCGACCTCTTAGATGCTCAACATGACCCTCCGCCTGCCACATTCTGTGTAACTCGACTCCCGCGCCATGTGCCAGTACTCTAGTCCGTTTGAAGCAACCCCGTTTCCACATGCTTCTCCTCTTCATCCTTTGCCCGATGAACGAATCTTGTTCAATTCGTTAGGTTGGAGCTTTCCTTCCACCTATATAGTGTCCTCTAAGTGTCTTCTCAGGTCGAAGAGGGGCGCCAAGGGTGTTGGGCTGAAAACAACCGGTGCATCAGTTGCTGGCGGATGGACCTGAACTGATTTCCCTCGGTGCGCAAACTAAATAACGAATGAGATTTTCTTTCAATCTACCGACGCCGATTCTTGCGGGAAGAAACTGAAGGATCATCACAAGTACCGGTTCTTTATTTGACTGGCCTTCAAAAAGGCCTAACCCCCAAGCAGTTACCTCGCAGTACTTTTGGGCATCGGAGAACATCAACTCCGACGACGGCCCGGTGCCTGCACTCGGGAGAAACTCAAGCCACATCCTTGGTGGTGTAAAGCCGGTCGCGAGGGCTCCGGCATCATGCAAGCAAGGAGGGAGGGACCGGTGGCCTGGCAACTCCGATCCGGGGCATCTCGGACTTTGTGGGCCATTCGGAGTTGGTACGGCGGCCTTAGCTACTGGGCAGCATTTCTCTTGCCTTTGATCTGTGGTATGCAGATTCGCGCAATACAGGAATCTAAAACCTTGTTGACAACCTTTGAGCATCAGGGATGCCAAGATGGTCCAGGCCCGGCATCATCAAGTCCGCAAAGGTGGGCCCCACGAACCCCGAGTTACCAGGGTCGGGGCGGATGGAAATGTACGAGAAGAAAGCCCTCCGACTGGTCTATCGACGGGGTGTCTTCAGAATCATACAGGCACATACTCTTTGGGCAATAGCTTACTTCATACGAACCCTAGTAGCCATCCACATACCCTCTCTGCTCAGGATAGAAACCAGGCAACTCTCGGTCCTTGGTCTACACCTGATATCGCTATCGGATGGCGTGCTGTCAAGGGCTCAGATGAGGGCAGGTCCGACTTCGCGCAGCAGCCGCGAACTCCCTTACGTTCGTTGAGACGGGTTAGGGTTAGGGCGGAGAATGGCCTGTTCTATGATAGCTTTTGAAAGAGGATAAATACAACAAAGATCGCCGGTATGCTTGGCTACCCAGAAAGGTTTCTGGAGATGGACCATCGGCTTATTTGATATTCCGCTCGTCTTAAGCTGAATTTGATCCAAGCTCTTAGAAGGAAAGGAAGAAGAAGACATCAAAGATTCTCGTGCCCGTCCATACTAACAACAGCAACCCTATCCACCATGGGAACAGCCAACAAGATCGGCTCTTCGACGCCATGGTATCAGGACCGTGGCCTGAGAACCCTCTACCTCCTGCTCCCCATCGTCATTCTTAGTAGCTCATACCAGGGATTTGATGGCATGATTATGAATGGACTGCAATTGCTTCCTTCATGGCAACAAGGTACGCTCCATGATACCTCACCCGCATCGCATGACAAGCTTCCTATCAAACATGTTGCTCACAACGTCTTCTCGCGAATGCAGAGTTTGATTACCCGCGAGGCCCCATCCTCGGGCTCCTCAACTCGATCCAGACAGTAGGAGCCATGGCCGCCCTCCCCTCATCGGCTGGCTCGTCGACAAGTTTGGCCGCCGCAAGGCCATCGCGTTTGGAGCCGCCTGGACTTTGTCGGGGGCATCCTCCAGGGTACTTCGAAGCACATTGCCCAGTTCATCATTGCCAGATTCCTCATTGGCTGGGGCCTGGCCTTTACCGTTGTCGCGGCGCCTTCGCTCCTCGCTGAGCTGGCGCTTCCGAAGCACCGCGGCACGATCCTGTCCTACTTCCCCACCGCGTGGTATACCGGTGCCATCATCGCGGCGTGGACCACGTACGGCACCCAATTCATCAAGAATTCGTGGTCCTGGCGGATTCCCAGTCTTCTCCAGGCCGTTCCGGCCATTATCCAGATATCGCTCATCTGGCTCGTACCGGAGAGCCCGCGATGGTTGGTTTCCAAGGGTCAAGGAGCCAAGGCCAAAGAAATCCTGATCAAATACCACGCCAATGGCATCGCGGATAGCCCCATCATCGAGCTTGAATATCAGCAAATCAAAGATGCTATTCTCCAGGATGCGCAGTATCGTCGGCAGGAAGCTACGCGGACCTACTCAGGTCCAAGCCAAACAAGAGACGTTTGATAATTGTAACCTTTTGTGGGCTATTCCTTGAAGTAAGTCGTGAGCCATGACAGTTGCGCATTGTGCAAAGTTTTCCAAATCTACCGAGCCTGTGTTGTTGCTGATTCTTCCTCCGCCTGGTTCGATAGATCTCGGGAAACGGCCTCGTGCAATATTATCTCCACTCCGTTCTCAACAGCATTGGTATTACGAAAACTATTGAGCAGACCACCATTAACGGCTGCCTCTCAATTTACAATTTTGTACTAGCAGTTGGCGCGTCCTTCTTTGTCGAAAAGGTCGGTCGGCGAAAATTATTCCTAGTTTCCACCTCGGGAATGTTTTTGGCATTTGTCCTGTGGACAACTTTTGCCGCATGTAAGTCCTTTGCCACGCGCGATACTCGTATTGATCATACTGGTCTTTTTCCACTTTCCTTGCTTTCAATTTTACTCTCCCTCCTTAACCCCATTACCATCTTAATCTTGTGACTCTCTAACTGACCGTGGCATCGCTTAGTATACACGACCCACGGCACGCAAAACTTTGCCATTGGCGTCCTTGTCTCCATTTTCCTTTCCAACGGCGCTTATGATGTTGGGTGGACTCCTCTCTGGGCGTATCCGGCCGAACTTCTCCTTACGAGATCCGGGCCCGCGGCGTGGCCTATCAGACTGGCATCATGCACGCGGCTGGCTTCTTTTCTACCTTTGTGAACCCCATCGGCTTGCAAAATGCGGGATGGAAGTACTACATCGCCTTCATTGTGTACACTTTCCTTGAGGTAAAGACAGCTCCGCCCCTTGACAACTAGTCTCCTCTGTTAGTGATACGAGGTGGACATGTAACTAATTTGGTTCCGGTTGATTAGCTCATTGCCGTTTGGTACTTCTTCGTTGAAACTCGCGGGTTCACGCTCGAAGAAATCAGCACAATCTTCGAGACGGAGGGCATCACCTGGAAACAAAGGCGGAACCTAAAGCCTCCCACCTCTCTACAGGATGCAAGCTCAGTAGAGGAACGGGGTAATTTGCCAAAGGAGTCACATACGGTCGTCACCAAGGAGGATCTGTAGCGCCCTTGCCTAGCCCTGGCAGTCTTTCCATCTTAAGCCCCAAGAAAGGATGGTGAAAGCAGGAGTGCGTCTACATGGACAAAGACGAAGCATGTACTCAAAGGAGCCCCCAGTAGAGAAATATCGTCAAGGGAGTTAATATTCTATCTCTCCTCGCCAAGATGAACCAACGTATATAGCGGGAAAAAACCTATCTAATACCTTGTCGACCCCGCCATGGCAACCGTGTCACAATCTTTTATACAGGGTTGTGCCTAGGCCATGGATCTGAAAATGCGTAATTCGAGTTCGGGAATGTTGGGCTGCCACGGATCCGTCCATAAATGCATCCCCCTCCGAAATTCCGGCAAGTGAGGGCGGGACTAGACGCCCACGCTCGCACGGTACCGTGATGCTGGCGGTCAAATAAAGATACCTTGACGAGAAGAGCCCCGCAAGTTCGGCAGCGAACATCGAGAAATAGTTCTTCGGCCATGTTGTAAGTAAGTGTAGGATTCGCGGTGTGGACTGGGGGCAGTGGCACCTTGCAATCGTCTAGAAGGAGGTCGAGCATGTGGCAGTCTAAATATAGTGATCGAGGGAATCGAAGTGAAAGCCTTGGTTTAAAGGAGCAAGAAATGCAACGTGCAACAAAGGACAATGTGGTATGAAACTAGTGACATGACCGGATATCATAGGATAGCTAAAGGGAGACGGAGAACCAACAATAAAACCAATGATGAACAATGAACCCCTATCCGTCCAGCAGAAGTATTAGCCCCCTTCGACCGAGGGACCCGCCTTGTCCCCTATTATGCCTACGCCCAAACTCCTCCACCAAGATGAAGGCTCCAAATTCCAACCAAAAGAGCAAGTATTACAAGAGCTAAATGATGCTAGATAAAGCAAGATCCCCGGTGCAAGAACGGCACGAACATTCACCATGGCACGCTTTAGGTGGCTAGCTGTGTCGGCGTTGTGCTCTCCTGGTTACCTTGATCCGTCCCCAGCATCTCCAAAATCCAGGCACCGCAGCAGAGAAGGGGTATCGCCGCGACGAGAAGCCACCAGAGCTCCGCAGTGAGGATGGTCCGTAGCCGCCGGGCCCAACGCTGCGCCACAGAACGGCGGTGGACGCAGACCTTGGTGCCGTAGATGAGGCAGCCGAGGTCCGGCCTAGATTCGCACTCGATGTGCTCCCGCCGGCGTTTCATCAAGAGCCTGCATAATCTGTTATTAGCTTTACTTTTGCTTCGCTCGCCAATGGCGGCCACGCCCGAGGGGATGAGGGGAAACAGGAAGATGAGGGGGATAGAAAGGGAGACGAACGCCACGCTGCCCCTGCAGAATCTAACGTCGCTGCCGAGATCACAACGCCCGGTGTTGGGGCATTCGAGGTGGAGGCTCCTCCGTTGCATCAGCCACTCGACTTTCAAAGTGATGCCGGTGTGGACGAGGGCGAAGAAGTAGCGGTTCACGTGCTTGAGGGAGAGAGCGTCGGGGTAAATTAGGTATTTGGAAATGTGAAGGTGGAGCTCCGGGGGCAGGTCCATAAAGGTGGGTCCTTGAGGATGCCGGGAGCTTCTCTGGTTCGGGGCGGGAGGGGCCGGAATGGCAGTATTGCTTGGAGTTGGCTTTTCCTTGTGGGACACACTTTGGGTGGTTCCTGGCCGAGCGGGGCGACGGAGTCGGAGGAGTGGTGCCGACATGGCTAGTGGGAAAAATTGCCCGCGAGACGAGATGACGGCGGCAAGGCCAAGCAGAAAATAAAAATAAATAAATAAAAGGGGTGACCAGTCGGTGGGGGAATACGACTTGCTGTTCAGGCTGTGCAAGGGATTAATTATGTCTGAACTTTGCTTGCTACACCTTGGGCGTCGTTCCAAAGGGCACAAAAATGAAGACTGGATAAGGGTTGGTTGTCCGTCGGAAGCTGGTTCTTTCCCTCCAGGGCCGGGGAAACTCGCTTGCTATGTAGAAGACTGCTGCCTTGATCGTGAACCTGGTAATTTGGTTGCCTGTCTCGCGGGCCCTATCAACCCCCGACGAGACGAGACACGGTGGGGTCGAGCGAGCCTCAGCCTCGCTCCTAGTGCCAAGGATCTAATCCCCATGCCATAAAATGCAAGGTGTGCGGGGAAACAATACTAGGGAGGGCGACACAAAAAGAGCTAAACAGCTGCAAAGAGGCGGTGTCTATGTGAGGATGAACTGAGCGAACACGTTGAACGGAACATTGACGGTCAAGATTGAGGAGAGAGCAAAGGAATGAGTCCAGCTGAAATCCCTCCAAGCATGCGAATACGGGGTTTCAAGGAGAAGCATACATGGATCATAATAGCCACCACAATTCACAATGCCATCCGTTTATTCCAATTATTCTTCTTTCTTCTCAGCTGTGCTGCATCCGTGCCCCGGCAAAGAGGTGAGTCGCGCATCAATCAATGGTGGCGTCTGCTTGTTAATTGATCGCCACAGGCACCTGCTCAAGCCACGAATTTCCCATGAACAGGCAGACGCCAGGGAAACAAGACAGCACTTGGGGCACGTTTGCCATTCAAGCTTGACCAGCTCCTTTCAATGTTTCATCGGAACCATTCATGGAAACTCTGATTCGGTTCGAACAGAAGCTAGGCTGATGGAACCCCGAAACAATACAATTGGCAGGACTGGCCATAGTTCTCTTAATTATTAGTGGCTCACTGCGTGGCGTGGGAATGCAACCTCAGGCTACCTGGACAATCATTGAACATTGTTAATTTGTCTTCTGAAAACTAGGGTCAAGAGGTCAAGGGATCAAGGGATCAAGGGGCGACACGAAGGGACCGAATAATGCAGCGACTAAACTTTGAAGGCTCGTACTCTGTACAAGCAGGAATGACCGCGGTTCAGGCAACATAGTCAGGCTTGTCAGGATAGATAGTCTAGAGCTGGTCAGGTGACTTCGCGCTGAACCTTAGAAGGTTCAACCCCTCCAGCGCATCAATTATTAGGCCGCCACCTGGAAACCATGAACCCCGCGACGCGAGCGGACCAGGGATAAGGGTATCTAACCATTCAGCCATTCACCCTTCTCCCGTCGAGGTTTCTCGCCACTCCAAGATGTTCCCAGACATCTCGGTCTATTCTCTACGACAATGACCACGCTTACTGCCCCTTCTTTTGACGATTACTATGACTTGACCTCGGATGAAGAGGCCCTCCTCGTCGACCTCGCTTCCAAGATTGCACCCGCCCCACCTGTGAAAGCGGTTTTATCGACCACGACCTCCGTCTCGGTGCAGAGTTCCTCTGCGAGTGCGACGATCGCCCAGGGCCATGTGGCACGGAAGTATGAGTCCGCCTGTGTATCGTCTGTCTCCGTATCTACGACGGCCACAGCTTCCAATCTTGAGCAATTTCCCGGCGCATTCCCTGCCTCACAAGAACAGACCCAACCCCAAAAGGATGGTGTCGTCTACCCAGATCGTGAGTTTCCTCGGCCCTCAGAGAAAGTGGGTAGGCCATATATATGGAGGAAGAAGAAGTAGAAGAGGAGTGGGGGAAAAAGAAACCGCTAGACACAGAAGCATACCTGACTGACACCTCCATATTGGAAGCACACAGTCACCCGCATCCTAGCTACTCTTCCTGTGCAAAAGGACCCCGAGCCGCAAAAAGAGCGAACCGCCCCCAAGCAGGAAAAGAGCGATGATTCGGACATTGAAGAACTAGGAGCAAGAGACTTGTTCAGAGATGAGCGGTCACCGCTGCTACGATTCCGCACATTCCCCAAGAAGCCGTTTTCGGTCACGGACATGACGTCGGGCGGAGCGTGGTGCGAGCTACAGTACTACTACACCCTGACCAGACTGCCGTGGGGAGAAAAACCAAGACGGCCATCATGAGACAGGGATCGAGGGTTCACAAAAGCTGGAGGACCAGGTGCACACTACAGTCCGCATTGACGTCGACACCAAAGAGGACCTGTTTGGGCTCAAACTATGGAACTTCATCCAGGGGCTCAGGACGCTACGGGATACGGGATTGACCCGGGAGCTCGAGGTGTGGGGCATGATTGACGGGCATTTGTGTACCGGGATCATCGACAGCCTCAGCTACAGTTGCCCCAACTCGGATTTTGAAGAAGAAGTCATCTCCAGCAGTCAGGAGTCATGCCAGGACAATGGAGCCGCCAAGGTGCGCCAGACCTCGTCTCGGATCGTCTACCTCTGCGACGTAAAGACTAGAGGCAAGCCGTATCCGCCCAAGGGATCAGCCATGCTACGGCCAGTCAAGATCCAACTTTTTCTCTATTACAGATTCCTCGCCGAGATGATCAAGGGAAACCTTGATTTTTTCAGGGTGTTTCGGCGTCTCAACGTGGACCCGGACGAAGACTTCTCGGACGAATTTATCGCGCAGGTGGGCGGCCTCCACGACGAGGTTTTTTACGACGCAGATCCCGACAGCTCGCAAGAGAGCAACGATGGCGGTGATGGCCCGTCTTCGGACCTGATCAAGTATCGCACTCTCCGCGAGCTTCTGCCCCTCCTTTGGGAAGAGGTTCGTCTCACCTTTTCCGACGGTGTCGACTCGCTCGGCCTACTCTTGTCCGTTGACTACCGGTTCAGAGACGACGGGAGCATCATTGGGAGCTACACCTTCCCCATGGATGACAAGGCGCTGGATCTCCACATCGCAGCAGATATGCAGTGGTGGAAGGGCGAGCGGCAGCCTGTTGGCGTTGACATCGAGGACGCTTTCAAGTGTCGGTTTTGCGAGTTTCGGGACAATTGTTCATGGACGGCCAGGATCAATGAGGAAAGGCTCGTGAAAGCTAGGGAGAAGATTCGAAATGGTGGCGGCGGTGGCCACTCTTATTATTGAAAGGCAGCTGACGGAAACTCACCAGCGGTGGCCAAAGCTGAGGCTGAAGTGACTAGGAAACGGCGCTTGCGTTTGGATTTCCTTATCTTTGTTGGGTTTTTTTCTCCTTTTTTCTTTTTCTTTTTCTTTTTCTTTTTTTCTTTGTCGTGGATAACACGGGTTTGGGTATTACTACGATGTCGACGCCAATATCTTGGACGCTTACTTTTGGGGTAGTTTTCCTGGTCTTAGTATGGTCCCTTCAATGCTATTCCCAACATATTCAGGCAATGGATTCACCAAGTTTGGACTGTTCCTTTGGAGACATAATCACTAGAGCGCTCACTCGCTTCGTTCGCGTCTGCCTGCGCTTCCCAATCTATACAAAACTCAGCAGGAAATGTCGCGTGGATTATTATCACGGCTTGTCTCGGTTCCAACTTGAGCTACGACGTAGCATCAACAAGCAGTCTGGATACGAAATACAACGAAGAAATGAATCCATCGGAAAACACAAGAGTCTCTCACAACCAGCCTGGCCCGGAGATCGGCTTTAACATCCCTCGTGAGTATTTCATACAGTCTTACCGAGGGACAGATAGGCTAGCCTTTCTGCACACAACCTAGCAATATCTTTGAGGTGTGGCTGGTGCATCAAAATGGAAAAAGGCGAGGATATGAGAAAGGGTGATAAGAGTGGGGTAGAAGAGTGAGATGAGGAGAAAAATAAAAGAAAGAAAAAACGCCTGTTATTATCTTGTCTGGATACGAAATGCAGCGTCCAGCAAGCGACATTCATAGATCCATCCTCGACGTGGTTTGATCCAGAGCCAGAGAGCGACAGCACGGAGTTTACTGTTCCCCGTTCTGAGGCCTCGAGACGGGAAACAGAGGGTCCCAACCAGTGGGAAAGGATCAATTGGGTCTTTGGAAGCGAATCGGTCAATAATGTTCAACCTTGTGTGTTTGTTTCCCATTCAGGCAAGCATTGCGCTGAACTCGGCTCGTGTGCGTGGGGCCGCGCTTGGGTTCCGGACGTAATTCCATGGTCCGTTTCAGCCACTCGTAGCTTGTTTTTTTCTTCTTTCTTTTTCGACTCACTATTAACCATAGCGCGGAAGGGGAAAAGAAAAAAGAAAGAAAGAAAAAAAGGACAACACCATTTCGAGTAAACAGATATATTGGGGGTTAACGGAAGCATTAAAGAGACCAAAAGAGGCTGGAACACGGTGCGCGCCACCCTCAACTACTTCGTATCACTCCATCTTCCCGTTCTCACTTGCTAGCTCCATCGCAAACAAGCAGGACAGGCAATAATATTATCAATTATTATCGGGCTGGGCCCTGAAGTTCAAGGAGAAACACGACGAGGAGAAAATAGAATGACTGTCCATCATGCCGGGTATCCGTTGGCTCGCCCTCGTATGCCGTTTTGGGAATAGACCAATGAAGGAAGGCCTGTCTGCCTCCACATCGTCGTTGCCCATCTGGGCTGCTGTCGTGGCGGTGCAGGTGTGGTGCAGGCTTGACGCTTGACGGGGGATGGGATGGATGGTGAATTGTGCATTTTACTTGTACATTGAATGGATCAGTCTTGCCCCAAAGATGAGTGGAGCTATTACTCAAGTACAAAGTGCAAGTACCAATCTTGTCCAGCAGAAGGTCCACATGGTCGAGGAAAGCGCAAGGGGAGAAATATTCAGAGAGAGCCTAATAGTGGAAAGGCAGTGACAGCAAGCGCCGTTTTCCTCCGGCGAAAGCGCGTTGCCAAGGCCCGATCGCTCTTGGTTTCCGTTCCTGAGCCTTCTTCTTCCTGTTCCAAAAGGCGTGTGTTAGCGCCTGACGATGGGTTTCACCTTTCGTCCCCTCATCTCAAAGCAAGAGACAGTTTGCCCTGTGAAAGGGTCTGATAAGCTGAGGCCGCTGAGACCCGTCCCCGTCATCAGGCTGCCCATTTCTCCACTTTCCAGCGTCTCTAGTTTCTCCCAAGTGCTACTTCCCTCCCTATATTGGGGGCGAAGTTTGACGATTAGTGAGGAATTGGAATCACGGGAGCACGCGGGATGTTTTCTCCGCAACCTCCCCTTCGCTCGTCCTCTGAGCGGTCTGTGACCGGGAGAATCTTTTCCAAGTATTATGAGGAGACGACACGGGCTGGGGCCGGACTGGTCAGCGGAAACCATGGACGAGGCAAAAAAGGGGGGCATGGTGCGAAATATTGCTTGGGGCTGAAAGAGCAAGCAATCTCTTAATGGCACCTGCCCCACCACACCATCAACACAACCGCGCCTGGACAGCCGATGGATGGAACACTGGGCCCGGGTAGTTGCTTGTCTCTACGGTTGCGACCTCGAGGGTGTGGCTGGTGGTCAACCTCTGGCAACTCCCATCGCTGCCGCGCTGCATCCCTTTCTTGATCTCGACTTCATCTGCTCGTGCAGACACGACGAGCCATTCCCGCCACTTTTAGCTGTGTGGTAATATAGTATCGCTTTCTAAAGGGAAGACCCCATTGCGGTTAATATTCGGAAGGCAATGAAAATGGAAAACCATTGAGTCAAAGGGCCGAACAGACGAGAGTTGCGAGGAAAAAGAAGGAGAAAAAGAAAGAAGAAGAAAAATGCGCAGTGTACTGCCCACGCTCTATGCTGTATAGCGCCCCAGGCCAAAGTACCGAGCGTGTCTCTCCTCTCGATGCAGAGATCATCTTCGATATTCTCCGCAACCGTGTGCAAAGGATGAATGATGAATGACTTGGGGAAGACCAAGGAACAGGTTCAAATCTCCCCATGCCTCCACTTGGCACTTGGGGCAAAGGCATGGGCGAACGCTTGGCCATCTTGAGGCTAGATCTACGAGGCACTAGAGCACTAAAATCCTGCACCTGGACCGCTTCACACGTTCAGTCCCTCTCAAGTCCCCGCCACCCCCTTGCAGCCTTGCGAGATCTTGCAGGCCATCCACGTCCGACAACCGTGCAACGCCCAATCGAAGGACGGCGAAGAGCCGGGGGCTGTGCGAAGAACGGAATGAAGAGCACAAGGAGATGTGAGTCTGTCCAATCAGCCCCGAGAAACACCGGAATGAGAGGAGGAAAAAGAAAAGAAACTAAGAAAAAGAAGAAAAAGAAAAAGAAAAAGAAACGATGAGTGACCCAAGTCTCTTTTAATCAACCTGCAGATAAGGCATGGTGCTGCAGCCAGGCAAGCCCCGGCCCCGGCGTCTGCGAGGGCCAAAAAAGCACCCCGTCTCGTCCCAGACAAAAGGGGAGTGGTCTGCTGCCATCGTCGCGAGCTGAACAGCCTGGATTCCTTGTCTCTTTCTCTCTTTCTCCCCCTCGACCTTTGAAGCCTGTGTGACCGAGTGTTGTCTGCCTTCCCCTCTTGCGCGCGCTGATCAACGGTAAGTCTTGTGTCGATCGCGACTCTTTTCACTTGTAGAAGAAAGAAAGAAGAGCGAAAAGAAGATCAGAAGACAAGAAGAAAAGAGGTGCCACCAAACTGAGTGAAGAACAACACCGTCAACATGTCGCAGCAATACCAACAGGTTCCCCTCCAGCCCGAGGGCATTCCTCTTCAACAGCAGTATCAGCAACCGCAACAGCCCGTTGCCCACGTCCCCGTGGCCCACGCCCCCGTGGCCGCGCCTGCTGCCGCCCACTCCAATGTCCTCGTCACTCCTACTTGGAAGCTCGCCGTTCGAGGTGTTCAGATTTTCATCACATTGGCCGTCCTGGGATTGAGCGGTCACATCATCCATGGCGCTTACATGGATCCCTTTGGCCTCGCCATCGCGGTTGTAAGTTCACCTTTTGCCCTCGTTCCATGTGAAGTCCCCGTGCGGCGCAATCGAGAAAACGCGGAGTGCCACATGGCGTCTCTCTACGTCTACGCTCATGGTTATAAGTGGAATCCACAAGTGGACAATGAGCAAACGGAGAAAAGGGAATAAGGAGCGAACGCAAATGTCTAACTTGTTCTTCAGGTTGTGCTCAGCTGGGTCGGTCTCGCCTACATTCTCTTGACTGAAAAGGTCGCCAGTCTGCGATCCGCCTACATCGTCTATGCCGTCCTTGCCGTGGACCTCTTCCTTACTATCATGTGGCTCGCCACCATGGGCGCCACCGCCCACATGAGGGCCGCCTTCAAGTACACCGCCAACATCAGCGGATGCTACGACGACGGCAGCCTTATCGGCAGCATGACGTGCTTCAAGCTCAGGAAGCGCGGCTTCGTCGCTGGCCCGGTTGGCCTTGCCGAGATGACCGTTGTCGCCTGCATCAGCGCCTTGAACTTGTAAGTTGTTGTTTCTTTTCCCCCACTTGGCTGTTGCCTGTTGAGAGAAGGAAGAAAGCAAACATGAAGAGAAAACACGACTAACCCCTTTCTCCCCTCTATAGCATTCTGTTCGCCGTGTGCTTCGTGACCTCCCTTCTCGCCTTCTTCCGACAGCGCAAGACTGCCACCCCCGGCGGTGTCCCCGTCGCTGATGGCGGCGAGAAGCAGCAGCCCGTCGTCTACACCCAGCCCGCCCCGGCCGCGTACCCCACTCAGGCCCCTGCCGCCTACCCTCAGGCCGCCGTGCCCGCCGCCGTGCCCGTCCAGCAGGCTTACCAGCAGCAGCCCATCCAGCCCATCCAACCCCAGTACACCGGTGGCTACCCTCAACAGCAGCAGCCTATCCAGCCCCAGTACACTGGTAGCACCTTTAGCCAGCCCATTGCTCCTCAGTACACCGGCGGCAACATCTCGACTCCCACTCCTCCCCGCAAAACGTCTACGAGGCTCCCGGAACCCAGCCTGCCCAGCCCCAGCAGTACGCTCCCAGCCCTTACCAGCCCTCGGTGTCGCCCGCTCCCCAGCAGACCTACCAAGAGCTTCCCGTAGGCCAACAAGGCTACACGAAACAGTAGATCTCGTAAGGTGGACTGGAAGGGTAATGGACGTGAGCGTCTACAGATCAGCGCGTCCCTTTTAGATAACTGCTTGAACGGATCTTGAGGGTTTTCTTTTTCTTCACCGGAACGGATCGGCTTACAGCCACTTGGCGCATTGAAACGGATACGGGGCTTAGATGTAGCGTCTCGCGGGTGATTTAGTCTCACTCTCTCTCTCTCTCTGTCTTTCGACTATTTTCTTTCCTTGTCATTTCCTTATTTTTCTTCCTGTTAATCATCTAATACCAGAAACAAAGCATCACATACCTTGATTTACTCATTACTTATTCACCTTGGCCCCTTTTTCGCATGTGACACAGAACCCATCTGCCCTTTGCCAGCTATGATGTCCAACCAAAGAAAGACGAGAAGATGGGAGTCTTATACCAGTTGTCCTTTGTGGAGCTAACGTCAAGGTGCTATAGGAATATTTAGTAAAGGTTGGACTTTCACAAATAGATCCTTCACGTCGCTATTACTTCAGCCGGCTATATACTAAATATTCATGCGTGTGTACAACGAAATGTTGGATTTAAACATGGCATCACGAGCGCACCGGCTCTTTCGTTGCGCCTTTGTCCTTGCTGACGTCCCCTCCATCCTTGGCGTCAACGTCTTCTCCCATGTCCTCCCCGCTGGGCCACTGCACTTGACCCCTCCCTCTCACCATCCTCCACCTCCACCTCCACCTCCTCCGCGACGCCCTCTCCCTCCGCACCCACCCTCTCCAGCTCGACGTCCGACCGACCCTTCCAATCCGCCGCCCTCACCTCAGGCACCTCTTCCACCACCTCGGGCTGCCTCACCTCCTCCTCCGCGCCCACCGCCCGCCAGACGACGGCCACGCGATCAAACGACCGGGGCATCCGCACCATGCCCTTGAGCCCGTCCATGTCGTCCCACCCAATCTCAAACACGCCGCTGCTCTCGGGCCGCCCGCGGAGCTCCGGGCCCTGGCCCTCGAAAAAGACATTGAACCACGCGTGCGCCACCGACGTGACAAACGTGGGGCCCATGGACGTGGGCGCCTTGGCGCTGCGCCGCGCGCTAATCTTGACGTCGCTCGTCGACACCACCACGGGTTTTCCGGGCTTCAGGATCACTGCCGCGCCGCCCTTGGCTTCGGCGGGCGGGTTGGCTCGGTGCGCGGCCTCTGTCGTGGAGATGCGTCCCGGCGGGGATAGGTTTGACGCGCGCGAGGTCGGGGCCGCGGCGGCGGCGGGGTCTAGCTCGGCGAGATCGATGCCATCGGCGCCGGTTCCTGCTTTGTCACCGCGCGGGCCCTCGCGGGCCCCGTTCCCGGTAGCCCTTTGCGATAGGGTGCGAATGATGGCCTTGGCCTTTTTCGTCTTGGCCTTGACGCTGCTGACCGATTCCGCGGCGCTCGTGTCGCCACCGCCGCTGCCGCCCTCCTCGGACCCGGCCGACGCCCTCTCGACGCTGCTGTCCCTGGACCGCGACGCCGCCGCCGGCCTGTCGACGTCAATCTTTCGTCGCCGCCAAAGACGTGAAAGGTCTTCATCTTCTTGCCCTCGTCCGCGAAGCCCTCGACGTCGATGCGCACGCCGTCCCGCATGCCCCAGACGTGGATCTCCACCACCTCGACTTCCCGGTCCACGTATTTTTGCCGTAGCGCGCCCACCGGTCGACGTAGCCCACCCACCGCCTCTGGCTCGGGATCGACACCCCTTCCCCGAACCCGGGCCTCATTCTCCGCTCGGTGAACCGCGCTAGCGCGTCGGCGGGCTTCCATCCGCACTCGGCGATCAGGTAGCTGCAGGACACCGTCCCGCTGCGTCCCTTGCCGGCCTTGCAGTGCACAACCACCACTCTCTTGCTCGCGGCCTCGCTCTGTTTCGCCGCCTCTTCCTCCCCGTCTCCCTCGCCCCCTTTTCCTCCGCTACCCTCGCGTCCGCCATCCTCCTGGGTGGCTGTGCCGGTGCTGTTTGCGGCGCTCACCCCGCTGACCCCTCCGACAACCACACCCCCTACCCCACCTTTCTTCAACTGGCCACCGTGGAGCCAGTTTCTCATGCTCGCCATGATGACGGGCACCAGCCGGAACGGCGGGGGTGATGGTCCGGCCACGGGTAGTGCAGGATGCGCCCATACACGGCTTCGTCGGGGTACCCGGTCCCCTCGGCGCGAAACTCCCATATCGCCCAGTCCTCGCCGTGCTTCTCGTCTAAAAAGGCCACCACTTGGTCGAGTGGGTTTCGGTACGCGCGCTTAGGGTACGACTGCGAAGGCCCAGAGCTACATGCATAGAAGCGGGTGAGAAAGTGGTACCTCGGAGATATTCCCGTTTGAAAGGGCACTGCTTGGTTAAAGGGAAGAGGCACGCACGGGTTGAAATAGGAAACGTATAGGAATGGAAAAGAAACACAAATATAGCGAGGAAAACAGTAAATGATACATAAAACAAAGGGACAATAGCACGTACGTGACGATGATGTTCTCGGTTACATAGCAGAGATCTAGACCTGTATCTGCATGCCGCACCCGAGGGCCCGCAACGATCTGTCTGAGGAGGGATGCCATCTATTATGACAACCAATCTCCTAGCTCTCCGCCCGGATTGATTTAGTTTTGTTTTATTTTCCTTCTTCTCGGGGAAACAAGGGGTTGTCCTAATCAGGCTCCAGATGTGTTGATTTTTGTGTTTTTGAATTCGCAAGGGGTGAGGGTTCGCTGGAGACGCAAGAGACGGATAGATGGATCAATTGCCTGGGCGATCGTGGTCAAGAGAGTGCGATGTGAACACAAGTACTACACGTATTATAAGGGTGCAAATGGCTCGGTTTTGTTCCGCAGAGAACCAAATGGTGCGTGTCCATACAATTTGAAATTCTAGATATAAGCAGGCAACGTGATCCTGAAGTGGCTCGCAGGTCGTGTGCTCTCCGTGGACAGATAAAAAGGTCGCCGCCCTAAAAAGAACCCGAGTCTTTGGAATTGAAACCCCCAAAACGCAATGCCAATCAAGGTCCGGATGGACTGATTTGATGCGGTCGATCTCGCAGCCACGCTCAACCTGGGTAATGCGACTGCGACTGCGCCCACCACGAGCACTACATGTCACATACATGTACGCTACGTCATCCCCGAGACAGAGTGAGCTAAACAATTGGCGAGCCAAGTGGAAAATCGAGCACTAGCGCTCTCTCTATTTGGCCCGTCATCATTCAGCCCACGATGGAGCCTCGCTACACAGCCTGCCTCCCTCCCTCGATGAGGCCCCTCAGGAGCTCCTTGGGAGAAGACGGAGAGAACCAAAAGCCGCACTCCTTCTTGTTATGCGTATGATCAATGTAGGTTCGGGTGCAGGGGAAAAAGAAGAAGGAGAAACAAAAGAGAAACGTCTTAGCATTCCGGATTAAGGATGAAGCTATCAATAACGAAAAATGAGTGGAAAATACATTTCGGGCTTCGTGCCGACTATCGCACAGTCTCTACGCCTCCATCCCTCAAGTTCGCGTCCAGCTCCAAGAAGCCAAGCCAAAAGGATGGGGGCATACAACCTCAAAATTTGCATTCCCTTCAGCCACGCCTACGCAAAGATACTCGGACTCCCGGGGGTACATGTCTGGCCCTTGACAAATCAGACGCCAACACTGGCTGCTCGACTTAAAGTCGAGTGCTTGGGTGCCCGTAAAAAAGAAATATGAGAGAAAGCGACGAAAGAGGAACAGGTAAAAGGAATCAAGGAAACGAAGCAGAAAAAAATCAAAAGAGAGAAATGCCTGAGGAAAGCTGTGAAATCATGATTTGACGAATTTTGGACCGCCACCCTTTGGCTAGGAGCCGCCTGTTTTCTCACTTTTTCCGTTGCAGTATGAGTGCGTCCTGTCCGGACCGGTTTCGATTTCACGTCTATCCATTTCTAAGGCAAATCCGAGGTCCGGTCTAATAGCTCTCCTCCCTTCCCGCTACACATTAATTTCCCAGAAGGTCATGTCGTCGTTGCTGGTGATTCTTTTGGAGTGATTTATAGGGAAGCCACGTGCCCTCGTCACGTCACCAAACCGAACTGAAACTGGCCGATGGGGGACGAGGACGAGCGGCGGAAGTCAAAAGTCTGGGGCCACGGGGATTCACAAGGTGTGGCCGGGACTTTTGGTCATTTCCAAAATGACAAGCGGATGCGCCTGCCATTTACGAGGCCTTCTTAGGGGCAGTCGCGCCGCCGTTGACATACTTGTTAATGTCGGTGGCCTGGTAGAACTGGCGGACACCACCCTTGACACCGTCCCATACCTGGCGGGCCGCAGGGGGTTCCCTGGGATCCGACGAGGCCGTCAATCTTGGTCTCGAACTGCTGGAACGAGTTTTGCACGTGGGTGCTCTGGGCGAAACGGGCGCGGAGGAAGACGGTGTAGATGGCGATGAGGATCCACGAACCCTTCTGGAAGGTGATGGCGGAGAGGAGGATGCGCACCCAGAGGAGAATTTCGAGAGACGAGACGACAGCCATTGAATCATCGTAGTAGGTCCTCACAAAGGCACCAATCTTATCCGAAAGGGGGTTCGGGGCGTATTGAGGCTTTCCGTTGGGAGACGAGGTGGGGGCCGAAACTACCTTGGGGGCTGAATCGTAGGAATTAGGTTCGCGCGGGTGTAGGTAGCCACATGGAAGATCGAGTAGACGCAATAGGGAAGCATGGCCAACGGGTACTGGGGGCTGAAGAGCCAGACGAGTGCCATGCCTAAGGGGGCCGTTTGATTAGCCACAACACACAACAGAAATCAAAGCAAGCCCGAGGGACTTGGGCCGCGGATGAGCAAAGCTTACCGAGATATTGAACATTCTCGTCGCCGATAAGACCAATCGCGGTGGGGGACGGGCACCGGACTTGGTCCTCGCCTTGAAGGTCTTGTAAACGACGATGCCGTACGTTAAGGCGGCGGCGATGAACGAAGTACGGTATGAGAACTTAGCCATTCCGCCATAGTAGTTGAATCGCAGCCATGAGAAGGCGTATCGTACGGTGCACAGGATCAAGGTGAGATGGCTATCAAACGTCGCACTCGTTAGCAAAAGAACAGATTGCACCCGTTATGTACGCAGGTTCTCAAGCTTTCGCGTGCAGGCGAAACCTTGTAGCAGGCTCTGGCTCTACATCACCATGTACGTATGTAGGTTGGGAGAAGAGGCTCGTGACACAAAACACATACCCGAGAAACCAGGCAACTATTCAGAGCGAGTATGTTAGTATGCATGTGATGGCTGCTTTTCTTGTCTTTTTTTTTTTTTATGCTAAAGACGCATGATCGATCGGCTGGTGAGAAAAAGACAGGGGGAAAGAGCTTCAACGACAGACGAGCGTAGGAGAGAAATATAGCCTCGGCTGTCTTTTGCTATCGAGCTAGGGAGGAGCATGAAACGTACACTGGAGAGTTTTTGCGAGAGTTAGGAGCCTCTCGGTCAAGGGTAGACTCGCAGACGGAGGAGGAGCCATTTCTGGTGTTTTTGAGTCTGGCAAGGACAGATCGCCGTGCGACTGGGAAAAGGGGTATGTGGATCGGAGGGACCGATTCGCGGCAGTCGGGTGTCTTCACGAGGGAATCGCGACAGATGCAAACGTTGGATGCAGAAGTCGGTCAAAAGCGATAGGGCAGGGTCTGAGTGGATCGGATCGAAGCGCGAGTTTTAGCACGTACGGTGGCTACTGAGTATATTGGGTTGAGTCGAGGAGGTGTTGATTTTGTACGTGTGCAAGATCAAGTTAGAGGAAAGAGGAAGATTTGAGGGAGGGAAGAAGAAAGTATGAAGTGTGGTGGTGGGTTGGAGATGATGAGGGAGGGAGGGAATCTTTGTGGAGGAAATTTGGCAGGAAATGGACTAAAAGGTAGGATGATGTCGACAGGCCAAGTCCCACTTCACTTGGCTGGCCTGGTCTGTCTGTCGCCCTTTCCAGCCCATGCTGCAAGTACCATGGATGTCTTAGGGGGCCAGATGGTCAAGGTTTAACGTGGGTGGCTGGGCTAGTGGGTACATTGTCTCCGGCATGAGAGAGCGTAGCGGCTACGTTGGGGCCAGCCACAGCCCCGGCGGGTCGGCCACCGCTGGAACATTGAACACTGGCATCCAGTCCATTGAACAATTCTTCTTCAATCTGCGTCAATATTTGAAGCGCCAGTGACTTCCGCCAACTCCTCAACTCAAGTGCATGTGCCCACGAGCTGATCCAGCGCAGCATGTGCCCCAGAGCACGCCCATATTAACCCTCAGGCTCTTGGTTTCCACAAAGTTTACAAAATGCTCCCAGTTGATCAGCGCCGGTGCACGACAAGCACATGGCGGTCCAACTTAGTATCGTGTATGGTCTATCCTGATCCGAGGAATGATCCACCAGGCTACCTGTGCAAGATGGAGCCTGTGTGGTGTCCATGTGGAGGCAGCAGATTAAACTGGATTTGATCCGCGTTGGTCGGGTTGGTTTTAGGGCGGGATGGGGTGAATGACATTCGCTCACCAGATAAGTCTATCTAAAGTGATTCAGAGATCGATGAATGATACACGATCTAGTGCGAGTTACGTAGGGCCCTCGAGCTAGACCCATCGCTAAGCTCGAGAAAACGTCACACCACCCAGAAGCGACAGTTGCTTGAGCTAGGCAGGAAAGAAAGCGGAACAAGGGTGAGGATGATAAAAAATAAGAATGGCCTATTCACGTTTGGTTTTTCATCATTCCAATGGCTCGCCAAAGCTCGTGCAATTACCGTTGTTGTAGGCTGCGATATTCCAAAGGAGATGGGGTGTGTCCTGACGACGCCGGCCTCGTAATTCTCGGCTCTCAGGCAGCTACCAAACAAACATACCCAAAACAGACCAGCGATGCCGAGCGAAGCCAAAAGAACCAATTGCCCGCTCTATCGATACAACCCTATTCAATTATTGACCCGATCCGCCCTGGTTAGGGGAAAGCAGAAAAAAAAATAGAGGCCACCTAAGCAATAACGCAGCCCTTCCCTCGAAAAAAATTATATGCTGAACATTATTATCGACAAGGAGATCACTCAGAAAGGGATCGAAGCTTCCTCCACTAATTAATTCGTGTACTTAGCAGATTTAGTCCAATCGTAACCGGATACCTTCACCTTCTTGATGGCAAAAAGTTTGAGACCATGTTTATGTTGCCGATGATGTGCAAGCTTCCCGTCCGATTGGGACCTTGAACCATTTTTCTGACAAGAGCTTCATCTCACTGTGTCGTCATTGCCGGTTGCGACGTCACCAGCTAACCTTTTTGCTCCCCTCGCACAATCCCCCCAAAAGCCCTCCACACCAAAACCAAGCTCGAACCTCGCCAGCTCCCGTCCTCGCCCATAATAATCCCGAACCCTGTTTAGAGTGCGCAATCGCGGCTAGGCCACCCTTTTGCACGTGCCGATTTTCGAGCATGGAAATGCGCCAACTCCAACATGCTGATTGATTTCTCCCGGTGCAACATCTCAACTCAGTTTAATAAACTCGCTTGCAGCCACCTGCTTGGGTATATCTGGTATAATATACTTAGAAGGAAAAAAAGAAAAAAAGAAATCAAACTATCGCCGGCTTGAAGAACTATGCTCAAATCTGAAAACGTCAGAATCTTCATTCTTGAGAACGCGGGTTTGGGTGACGAGAAAGGAAGAAGGGCCCCTATTCTGTAAGAAACGTTACTCTGTCTTTTCTTTTAGGTTTTAAAAAAGAAAAGATAAAAGAAAGGAAGGGAGCTCTGGAGGGGTCCAGGTTGATGCCTATTCGGCGTAGGCCGGCTTGCTCTGAACCGCTCATGTTGCATGACAAGCACATGTTGCATAGACATCTCACACCTGTTGTCCATTCGCAGGCTCGACAAATACTGCCCTCCACGTGTCGACAGAGTATACGGCAGTCCAAACCCGAGTCCAAAGATCCCGGGGGAACGCGGGTCACAGCTCAATTGAGTTCTGATGCTTCTCCATCCTCACCATGTCTCGTCTTGTTAGCAACTGATGAAGGTGGGTATCATTGACTCGGAAATCCAGCGCCTTTCTAATGCGGTGTGATGCGCGATGGGCTATATGCAAAAATAAAATTACAACAAAAGCGCCTATCCTTCTCGTGAACAGCATAAGACTTTTTAGTGATAGCGTCGCCCCCGGCGCCCTCCGCTGTTTCCACCACCCCCGCCTCCGCCTCCCCCTCCGCCGCCGCCGCCGCCGCCGCCTCGCCTATCATGAGCGTGGTTTTGGTTACGGGGATTCCTAGAGTAGGGTCCCCATCCTCCGCCGCCGCCACCTCCCCGTCCACCGTTACCACCGCCTCCACCACCACGGCCCCGCCCTCGTCCGCCCTGCCCGCGATCGCGTTGACGCGGGTTGGGTTGGTTCTCGGGGAAACGATCGGGCTCCGGGATCAACTCCTCAACTTCGACCTCAATCTCTTCATACTCTTCCTTGAAGTAGCTTGACACGGTCTCTGCTTCCCGCCTCGCCTGCTCACGGTCGAACACGAGCCGTAGCGTGCTCTCCGAACTCTTGTTCCCGGTCCTAAGGGGGTTGTACGTCGCCGTCATGGTAAGAGCGGTGATGAGACCGGGACCCGCGCCTGGGGCAGCCGCCGCCTGGCTCTCGGCCAACGCCCTTTCAGCGCAGGGTTGGCACGAGAATTCGTGCCGAGACAGCTCTGGCTTCGCGTCCAGTTCTGCGTTGACCTTGATCTTAACGTCGATGAACCTGGCAAGATCGTAACGCTGCCCGAGCTTGGTCGACTTGTGAAACTGAGTGTATAGATCTAGCAGATCAAGGATGGTCTCCATGACGCTCTGCCGTGTGACATTCCAGCGAGATGGGTTGATTTCCCCCATGACGTCCACGTATTGACATGTGACCCGGGACGTGAGCTCGACGATGGCTAAAACCATGGTAAGGCAGGTCTGCTTGATGGGTACAAAGGTCTTGTACATGTCCATGCACATCTCGTACGCGATCTGCAGGAACGATTTGCCCTGCTCGGGGCCGAGAAGGGTGCGGACAACCTTGATTAGGTATTTTTGGGGATGTCGCGTCCGGAAGTCGAAGCCAATGATCTCAAGCATCATTCGCTCAAGCCCGACCATCACGCGAGACGACTGCTCAAAAAGCTGCAAAAGCCGCGTTAGCTAGTGCATTCATAAGTTCACCGGAGACGGGGTGAGGTAGAGACGCATACCTTATCATCTGGCGTAGTTTGATGTTCGGGGTTTTTGAGGTTATACGCCGCGCATAGGATATCCTTGGCCTTCTTGATTGTGTCCTCCACTTTGCATGCCAAGAACAGCGCAGCCAAGGCAGAATCCTGAAAGTTGTACTCGACTTCTCGATGTCGAAGGCGGAATCTGTGATAGTAGACAACAGCAGTATTAAAAGTTCGCACCGGCCTAAAGCGTTTGGTCGCGTTAGTCCTCAACATCATCCGGCGTTTCCAAGCTGATGGGAAGGGCTGGCCTACAGTTGAAGCGCTTTGCGCACATTATCAATCATTTGCACGCCTTGCAGCCGATAGCTATCTTCCCGAGTCGGGTCTGATCCTGCAGCCCGCTGCATCTGTCTGATGTTCTGCTCAAATATGTACTGTTCGGGAACGGTCACCGTGCCTGGGTGTGGACCTATGGGCACCTCGATCGCGATGGATCCGTCATTGCTGTTCTGTGTCGCTCCCGCTTTCGTGCTCGCTTCGATGCTCGGATCATCCTGGGAGGCGCCATTCCGCGATTCAACCATTGAAGAAGCCATGGCCTATGGCCGTGACGCGTCGAAAGAAACTGCCTTTTGTACCGTTGATGCGAGTCCGCGGTTGAAAGGTGAAAGGGAACTAACGGTTTGAAGAAAAGAAAAAGAGTATCGGAAACGAGTATTTATGTCAGAGTCCAATTAGCAGAAGGAATGGGCGTAGCTAAACACTGGCGTTGTGACAAGTTGCAAGATTTAGGCACTGGTTGGTGTGGTCGCGAATTGCGCTTGCGTTGGAATATTCGGAAGCTTTTTTTCTTCCCAAGGCGACCAAGGAATATTAATTCCTCCCCAAGTTCAATTCAGTCTGGTCTGCCCCGCGATTCGATTCCACCCGCGGAAGACCGTGCCGTTATCCACCACATAGGCCACTCACACGGACCGCACATCAAATCGGCCACCCGGTTCTTCTCGACTGACAACCTTAAAAATACAGAATTATACCGCATCCTGTGTTGAGCTGACCTACAAGAAGTGCCCACGACTACAAGACTTGCCTAGTAATGTGATGGAAGAGTGTATGGGCTGACAGCGTTATTCCAAATGCCCCAAAAGCCACCGGCCTTTCCCGAGATACCACAGATCAAGGAGCATGATACACGCAAATAGAAGCCCGAGACATTGGAGTGAGCTGATGTGGCAGGCCTACTATGAAAAGGAAATCCGTCTAGAAACCTCTTAGCAAGATGCAACGGATCAAGCAAGGCGACGAATATTTCAACTCGCCAGGAAACTTCAAGATGGCATTGCACCCATGCTTCCTAGAGATTTTCTTTGCATGCAGTAGGCTCCGAGCTTGCTAGACTCTATACCACCAGTTTAGAGGAGCGGAGCTGACTTGCTTCCGGAGTCCAACGTTGAAACATCGAGCTGAGTCAAAAAGCTGGGATAAAGCTCCAGCTTCGATTCCGTTGTTCAATAGCTGGAAACAAAGATGACTAAGCCAAGGAGGGAAGCGACTGCGTCCCTGATTGATTGGCTGACACGGGTTGCCCCCTCTACTCCACTGGGGCCGGACCAGACCCAGCTCCGCTCGGCTCCCAGCTTGGTCAGCCCGTCAAGGCAGCCATTTAAGGATCGCCACCCACCTCTTGTTTCACCTCAACAGTGACCTTTCTTTGCCTTTGAACAGCAATCCATTCTCCTTTACCGACACATCCCTAGCACTCTAAATAAAATTGTTCAAGATGCGGCGCATCTCACTTCCCGAATTGCTCCTCGCAGCAACCACCCTTTCGGCCTTTGCCTCCGCGAGCCCCAGGCCCCGCGCCTCGGATGACGAGGACGACGACACGCCCCTCCCGCTCGTCATCTGGCATGGCCTCGGAGACTCTTTCGCCGGAGACGGCATGAAGTCCGTCGCAGAGCTGGCCGAAACCGTCAATCCCGGCACCTTTGTCTACCAAGTTCAGCTAGGCGCCGACCCCAACGCCGACCGCACGGCCTCCTTCTACGGCAACGTCACGACCCAGCTTGATGAGATTTGCGACGCCATCGCCGCCCACCCCATTCTTTCCACGGCGCCCGCCATTGATGCGCTCGGATTCTCCCAGGGCGGCGTGTTCCTCCGCGGCTACGTTGAGAGGTGCAACAACCCGCCCATCCGGAGCTTGGTGACGTACGGCAGCCCCCACTTGGGCATCTCCAAGTTCCGCGTCTGCGGCGACAGCGATCTCCTTTGCAAGGGCGCCATGGCTCTGCTCAAGTTCAACACTTGGTCGGACTTTGTCCAAGGAAAGGTGGTGCCCGCTCAGTACTACCGCGATCCGCTCGACTACGATCGCTATCTCGACAGCTCCAACTTCCTCGCTGACATCAACAACGAGCGACTCCTGAAGAACACTACGTACAAGAAAAACCTCGCGACCCTGTCCAATTTCGTCATGGTCATGTTCCAGGAAGATGCCACTCTGATCCCCAAGGAGTCTTCCTGGTTCCAGGATGTGAATGGCACCGACGTGACCCGCTCCGCGAGACTAAGCTTTATAAGGAGGATTGGCTTGGTCTCCGAGAGCTCGATGCCAAGGGTGCTCTCCAGTTCCGTCGGGTGCCCGGCGAACACATGCAGATTAGCGAAGAGTCGCTGAAGAAGTCTATGTCGTCCTACTATGGCCCCATTGGCAAGAAGTTCGACCATGGCCGCGGCGAGGAGGAGACTGAGCAGATCTCCCAGGAGCTCTAAACGGGCGGGGGTTTCACCTCATTTTCTGCCTACTTTTTTTTCTTGTCTTCTTTTCATATAAATTGTCAAAAACTTTTGACCATGGTGCACACGACGAATGCCATCTTGGTCTCAGGGATAGGAGTTTTCTTTTGCAAGGTTTACACGGGACATCAGTTTGTTAGTTTTTAAGCGGATATATTGTAACGATAAGGGCTAAAGGGCAAACACAACAACAACGATAACTGAAAGTATAAGAAACAGATTGTTCGTTTATATTTTTGCGGACCTTGCGTTTTCCCAAGAATCACGATGCAAATTTTGATTGTCACTGAGTTTTGAACATTTCCTGCTATACCCGACCAACGCCAGAACAAACTAGATGATATGTACGAATATTTTCAATCCAACGCCGCCTTGGCCTTATCCTTTTGTTTCCGAAGTCTCGTCTTTGTCTCGGCGATCTGCTTCTTCAGAGTATCGTCGTTGCTCTCAGGCACCTTTTGCTTCTTACTCAAGGGCCCCTTCTTGCCTTCCTTGACTCCCTCAATGGTCTTTCGCTTCTTTCCAACATTCGCCTTCTCGGGTCCCTCAAGGGCCTTGGCGTCGGCGTCGGCAATGACGTCTTTACCGTCGACCCAGAGTTCCTCAGTCTGCCAGATAGGGAGCGCCGTGGTCTCAGAGCCCTTGACGTAGATGCTTTTGACGTTGTTCCACTTCTTAGGAACGTGGTTCTCGACCAAGGCGGAGGCAACAGCCTGAATATTTTCGGCGAGCTGCTCGGGCTTCCAAGAGGCGTAGCCGACCTTGATGGAAGTGTTGGTGGATGGGGTGAGGGCGACGAGGGCAGAGCTGATGGCCTTTTCGATCTCAGATGCAATTTCCTTGGGGAAGCGGCATTGACATCCTCATCGTCCTTTTGCTTTGGCGTCTTCTTCGCCTTGGCCTTGGGTCGCGACTTTTGGAGGACGATGGGAATAGGTCGCTTTGCTGTCGTCTTATAGAACGTCTTACCCAGAGCCTGGGGAAGTCGGTTGATTATCCTGTCATCGCCAAGGAAGATGTCATGCTCGCCAAAGAGTTGGCGCTGGGCCTCGTACTGCCTATACTTGGCCCTCAGCTTGCTGTAGCCGATGACCCGTCCTATCCTCGCCCTTAGCTCGGCGGGGAATTCGTCAGACGCAACAATATTCTTGTACGCTCTCTGAGGGTCGGCCGTGATGATGCAGATCGATTCGTGGACATTGGTGTGGAGGGAGTGCGGGAGGGAGATCTTGGCGGGCTTCAAGCGGTTGGTATCGACAATGTGGCGCTTGGTAGTGAGAGTCAACCAGATTGGGGTTTCGGCGAGTGTGAGGCTTCCATCTTCTTCAATCTCATCAAGGATATTCTTCTTCCCGGTGGTCTTTGTCTGTTCCTCCGACGCCTTTTTGATGTGGGCCAGGAGAGCCTTTGATGCCTTCAGGGTCTAGGGTGGCAACGTTAGTTTTTCGCAAGAGCTTAGGATGTAGTTTAAAATAATTATCAGTCTGTCAACCATACCTGATCAGGATCAATTTGTGCCTCAACCTGAGAGGTCTTGGCAATTTGTTTCGAGGGCGCCATCTTAGTCGTATGTGATGTGTTGGAGCACCTTCGTTGTCCGTGGTCCGTATAAAATTGTTGAACCTTTCGACCTGTATTCAGAAAGGAAAAAAAAAAAAAAAGTTTGGGAGGTCGGTGTAGTGGGGTCACCCGGCAGAATTTTTCTGCCAAAGGCGGACAAGAGTCCGCTGGCACACCGAAAGCTAGTGACCAATCATTGAGGCTCCCTTCGGTGAACTCGGTCAGCTCGGTGACATAATGCTTGAGAGCCAGTTAATGGGAAACATTTCGCCAGCCAATATCCTAGATCCTGGATCTTTGCAATTCTCCCCTCCATTTTCAAAATATGGGGGTTTTTTCCCTCTCCTTTGCTGCTGAGTTACAATGCACAGTTTCCCCTCGAGTTGCCAGTAGGTGATTTGCTCAATTTTCACCTTCGCAAAGCCCAGTTGCCGGCTTGGCTCGGGCTTAAGCTTGACGCGCCTTGACACGCTTGCCCCTCGTTCTGCCCCTCGGCACACAAATTAGACTCCACTGGGTGCATCCAATGGTGCACCTCTGGTTGGCGCTTTTGCTCAGCATCGGAATTGCTCACCAATTCGACGCGATGAGGACAAGCCTCCCAGGTCGGGAAGGGCACGATGCCCAATCTCTGGCTTTGGGCTATCTCTTTGTGCAACTATTTCCCCTCATCTTTTCATGTACACAATGTGTCTGATTCAAAGTCAAAAGCAATTGACATCAATACCATTACCGCCAATCTCCAACCTGCATAGCAAGCAATGCTCACGTTGTTTTGCCATACATGGCTCGGGAAATCGAGCAGGGCTCTTCCAGTCTCTAACATATTCCAAAGGAGGGAGCACGAAAGAGAAAATAACATGAGGGGGAAAAGTACATGATCAGATAAAATACATTGCCTGAACGTGGTACATGAATGTCGTGTTGGCCAACGCATTTTCTGGAAGGGGTTGGTACAAGAATGGGGACAATGGCGCGTCTGGAGTGGGCTCTTGACGGAGTCGGCGTTTTGCCTTTTGTCACCAATTTGTCCCAATACAGGATAGAGAGGTTGCTGACATCCTTGTCAAGAAGCGAGGGCTCAGATTGACGGAACGCATCAATCATCAGAGCTTGCCGCTCAAGTATCTCATCTCCAAACCGGATCTCAGGTCTACCTGTCCTTGGAAGTTGTGGTACCTTGATCAGCGCGCAGCTCCTCTCCCTTCGAAGTGATTATTCTGCTGAAAGTGCGGTGTCCCCTCTGGGATCAAGCACCGGAAGCAAGTGCGAGGGGAATCACTCAGTCGTGACGGTCCCAGTTCCCGTGGAATGGACATGATTTGAATTAGATTGAGCCCTGAACAGAGAGATTATCGTGGCTGGATAACGAAAGTCGTGTCGTGGATTGTGAGACGTGGGGCAGCGCAGGCAGTGGATCAATCCAATGGACCCGTCCATCTACCCATTGGGAATGGTCCGGCTCCATGGACTAATTTTTGGAAGAGCTCTCCATTTGATCACTTGACTTTCTCGTTGAATGTCACGGTGCATATCTTGTGCATTGATCCTCGCTAGGTTCATGAGGAGGCATCTATCGAGGAGTATAATAGAGGTTTTTGTTTCTTGAGGAGGGCCTCCATAGGCCTTGGGTGGGCAGCAAGACGCATCATACGCGTCCAGACCTGGCCGCTTGAGGTAATAGACAGTTAATAGCTTCGAGTTCAATACATGTAGAATCCGTCAATGTTCAGCGAGGATCAATGTGTGGGTGTGTGACACGCGCTCCTTAGCGGGGCTATGAAAACACCTAAGTATATATTGATGTAGCTTGAAGCTGCTTATTGTATTTGAATCAACCACGATCCAAAGCATGCAGGCAATTTGTCTTCGCAACGCCAGTCTTTTGACCTCAAAAGCCTTCTCTCCATCCAATCGCCCCGAGCAGTGTTGGTCATCTCGCGAGTGATCTGTGCTGGCCGACCTTGACCCTCGATGGACCCGATGAATCCAATTGATCAATACATTACGATCAGGGTAGGATTCTATCTAGGAAGGAACATTGAACCCCAAAATTTGACATAACGTTGAACAGTGCACCAGAGGTAATTATCGTGCACAAGTTTATGAGCACTGGCAAGTGAGGATTGGCCTGTCAAGTTATTAGTGTATTGATGGATCCATCCAGATGCTTCAATGTACATTGTGGATCGTGGATCAACTCAAGGTTGGGTGCGCCTGCCACTGTTGAATGGACCAATTGCGATTTTACCCTTCTGTAATTTAGGCGTGCCTACCGCTGTAAGTCTCGGGTTCTGGCCGTCGCCAGGCGCAGACAGCCGTGGCACAGCGCTTGTACAGCACAGGACAATGGGTACAATGCAACGAAGACGGGGTCGGCCCCATTTAATAAGTCCCGTCCACTGGGGGAAAAAACGCCAACGCCAACGCCAACGCGTGCCCACGGACGAGGGAAAATCGCGTCTCAGACGGAACACGACTACGACTCCTCGTTTAAAGCCACTCGCCCTCCCCTCTCTACCCAAAATAAGCTCCTCCCAAATCCCACGCACACGTATCACGCACTTACCAGTCGGCCTCTCAAGACGGCCTCTCCAAATTCAGATCTGGTCAAGGCCTTGTTCTTCTATTTTATTTATCTCGCCTGTTTATTTCAGCAAGGCTTCCAGAAACAACGTGACCTCATTCTTGGACTCGGCGTCATCACCGTACTTGCATCGGCCCAGAGCATCTCAAACTCGACGCCCTCTCCACCTCGGCCTCCACTTCCCAACCTCTCGAACCGCAACGCCCCAACTAGACATTTGCATCATCCGCGGCTTCTAGCTCGTGGTGCATTCACAAGTTCGGACCTGGTGGGGTTGGAAGAAAATATCGCGTTGGCAAGTATTAGGAAGGTGCCGGCCTCAAAGTTAGGGCTAGCCAAGCACGCGCCTGACGCGGTCGGCTTCACCTCCCACTAAATTTATAAGTCAAGACATATCCATCTTGACATATCCACTAGACCTTGGTCTGGGTTGCCTTTCCAACTTGGCTCCCACAACCTCCAACATCTTCGACCGTCACGTACCACGTCCCCGTTTTGACATGATCGCTTAAGAAAACATGATGGACTCTTCCCCGCAATCCAAGAACACCGAGCCAACGCTGCCTCCCCAGTGGCCGGCACCAAGCGTTCAGCTCCGGCACTCTTGCCTGCTTTCGAACCTCTATCCTCGTCTCCAGGCCTTCCTCGTCCCGCCAAACGCCAGGCGGGTGCGGGATCGTTCGGAAACAACACATACCTTAAATATCCGACGCCCCTCCCAACTTCGAGCACTGGCATACTGTCATCCTCGCCGCCAGGCGCTGCCAGGAGCTCGCGTCCCACCGCACTGACTCGTTCCCTGTCCTCCGTCTCGGAACGGGCCCCGCTCTCCGCAGTACCTTCTATTGTGCTCAGTGGTAATGGCGAGACCCTTCTCATGGGCCGCTCAAGCAACTCGTCTAACTACCAGTTGTCGGCAAATCGCCTTATTTCCCGGGTTCATGTCAAAGCGAGGTATATCCCGGCATCCTCTCCGCTCGAACCTAACAAGATCGAGATTCTTTGCAACGGATGGAACGGCCTGAAGCTGCACTGCCAAGGCCGCACTTACGAGCTTTGGAAGGGTGACTCGTTCACTTCGGAAACGGAGGGTACGGAAATTATGCTAGACGTGCAGGATGCGCGTGTGATGATTCAATGGCCTAAGAGGGACACGCCTTCAAATCTTTCCGACTCTTCGTGGGACGACTCGCCGCGCTCGCGTGCTGTGCCTAACGGCCTTCTACAGTCAAGTCCATTGCGGCGCTTGACTCGTATAGAGTCACCGGTGTCTCCCACTCCAGCTACCAACCTCTCCAGCTCCAAGCGGCTGCAGATGCTACTCCCGAATGATAAGGAGAGCGACAGCAGTGTAGAGATCTACGTGGACCCAAGCGGCGATGAGAGCGAGGCCGCCGTCCAGCAGTCCATTGAAGATGTTCAGGATCCTAACGCGAGCCACTCGACAGACATGACGCAATCATTCTCGTCTGACCTGAGCGAGCCCGATGACGATGATGATGAGAATGACCCCGACGAGGAGAATGACCCGGTCGTGCATTCCTTTGGCCCGTTCGGTGCCAACCTTTCCAACCGACTGGCCTCCATCACAGCGTCCTCTCCCAAGGTCAACAAGTCCCCCAAGCGCCCGAGGCTTCCAACACTGGCAGAACAGCGTGACTCGCTGCCTAGGAGTCCCGGCGCCGTTTCTCAAGAGGAACGATCAGCGACGCTTTCGGCCGAAGTTGAGGAATACTCGAACCCCGTCGTTTCGAACCACGTCGTCAACCAGCTCGCTTACTCGTCTCTCGTCGACTCCTCTCTCTACAATCATGCACAATCTGCCCATCGAAGAGCAAAGGACCGTTACCAAGGCACAGTTGCAGAAGCTAATCGAGACCACTATCTGCATTGGTATTATTGAGCGACAAGGCAAGGATGCGGCAGGAAAGCCCCTAGAGAGCGAGTACTACTACATTCCTGAGCATGATACGGATGACCAAAGGCGTGCTGCCGTTGTGGATGGGCTCAGGAAGCCCAGTCTACGCGCCTGCAGAAAGCAACACAAGGTAAGCACACTCGGTCTTGGGCCTCATAGCCAGCAATGTTGTTTCCGATCGCTAACATGCTCGCATTAGCAATATTACTGGAAGCGCCCCAAGACACCTTGAACTGGTGGCTATTTCTCATTCCCTCCTTCCTGATCCCCCCACGTGTATATTTACCTCGCCTCACTGTATCTGCTGCATGGATGGGCCTTTTTTCCTTCTTTTGCTTTTTGCTTTTCTCGGTTGCGCTGTGCTTAAAATCATACCCCCGGTCTGGTCGGTTTTCCGTGTTTACGTTTTGTTTGTCATAGACGCCGGGTGGCATCCGTCTTATGCGCCGAGTCTTTCTTACCCTCAACTTGTGTTGCTTAATGTCGGCGTCATCATCATCATCATCATCATCATTATCATTCTCGTGCTTCTATGCCGGAACTCAACGCAGAATGGAGCTGAAGGATGGATGGAGAAAGAGATATGGCCGGCATCTGAGGAACAATCATGGCCCCTTTGATTTTTATTATCGTCTCTCCTTGGTCTGGGACAGTGTTTTCTCCTGGCTTTCATCAGTTGTTGGTCGGGACGGGCCTTGCCCTGATTTGGGAGCATAAGCATAGCGGTCGGCGTTTTCCTGTTAAGATCACTGTCGATGAGGTATAAACTCCATTTTCGCTTTGAACAATAATCTAAGTTTTATCTCGTTGCTCTCGCGAGTTTCGATTTCCTATTATGTAGGAGCTCCGGGAAGTCTATTGGCCGGATCTCGCCTCGTATGACCCTTGTCGCTCGGCTGATGATGAAGTCGGCCCACGGATGGTTCTAAGCAAACGCCCCAATATATCCGCCTGCCGTGTCAAGAGCTTAAGAGCGAGATGTGGGTATTGAGCTTGATGTATTACCTTTGCTGCGCAGACCCTTGCCCAAAGACCCCAGACCCCTTAGCCTTGCCTACAACCGCAAGGAAGACGTAGAGAAGCCATCCACCGGCCGGATCACCAGGTGGCTACGCTGTGGTCAGAACACGTCGGTTTGTATGTCTAATAGCTCTGATAGAGAGGGGAGATGGCATTTCACAATGAAAAGGGCGCATCTCAGATTCGCTTTGCCCTGAGCCCGTTATCGCACCCAGCTCCACTCACATACACACACTCTCTCTCCATCTCTCCCTTTCTCTCTTCTCTCCATCTCTCCCTTTCTCCCTTTCTCTCTTCTCTCCATCTCTCCCTTTCTCTCTTCTCTCCATCTCTATCTATCTACAGAATCCCAGTGGAACGGGCGCAGGCCCATCCACTATTTCTTCGGAACCCGGCGCGCATGGTCAAGAGAAAATGGTCCGATAGGCTTGAGGCAAGTCACACTACTAGCGACAGCAAACCGGCCATTTACCGAATCGTTACTACAAGACCTTATTCGTCGCTTCTGTCTTTGGTTGCAGTGGCCGGGAAATAACATTACGCTTGTAATTTATCTTTTGGTATTTAGTTTTTGATGGCTTTGGTCCTCGTTTGTCTAACCCTTTTGGTGCTAATGGCGCCGGTCAATTCCTACCCAGGGAGTTGGGGTGGCGAGATCTTCCGAATGCTTTTCTTGAAGCGATCAACGTCCCATTTTTTCTTTCACAACCACGCTGCAAGTGCAACGTAGGGATGTGCGCCGAACACTCTCTTTCTACTCAGAGGCGAAACGCTCTCCTACTTCACGAATATATCATCAGGACCACATTTGCGTGTGGAAAGGGTGTCGAGTGCTACAGAGTATCAACGACAACCAAATGTCATCCATGACGTCTCCCAACCACTACCGATGCTGTGTCCGCCACCTCCCACCACCCGCCGCAGTTCCCTCTCCACCTTTTTTTCCTCTGTCGCCCATCCAATTGTTTCGTAAATTACAGATGGGGAAACATCTTGCGACGGTGATGATGATTTCATTCACGGCCGATTGGGCTTCATCCTTTGTCATACTTTGCTATACACACGAGTCTAGTGTCTCTCTGTGTGGAACCTGTCGTGGAACGTGATGAGGATGCGGGCGTGGCGGTGGCGTGAGCTCTCCCGGCCTTAGTCCGAGCCTTTGGGGGAACAAGCATCCAAGCATCCACCACTGTCACCGTCACCCGTCTTGTTCCGGCTATTCCAGCTAGATAGTGTCTCGTGCTAGCGCGCCAGGGGCGCAGCCTTCAGTGCTATTTGCGCCCTCCTTTCAGTGCTCTACCGCCTACAGGTAGGCGAATCGAATCATTGATGGAGATTTTGTTTTTGTTTTAGTGGACCTGAACCTCCTTCGATGAACGGAGGGGCATCGGTGCATTCGGGGTGGTGTGGTCGGCGAAGATAGCGTGGAAAGCGGGGGGATAACGAGACGCATGATTGACGCGGGGCTACTTATCGGCCAAGAGGAGAGTACTCGTCGGCTCTTGTTGGTACGAGAATGGGGGTTTCTAAATCCTCCCTCCCCTTGTGTCTCTTCATTGTTTAATGCTATTTTTCCGCCGAGTATCTCATATATGTCTGATGTAGTGGTTTTTTGTTGAAGAGACAGGTGGTCTGGTCAATGGCGAGAGGGCGCCCGGAGGGGACGGCGGTACCGGAGATCCGGCGGGGCGCGGCAAGGTTCAAGTCATGTTGTCGTGTCGGGGAACAGACTCCAGCCTGGTATAGCCCAGACCGCCCGGTGCCAGTGTGGAGCAGGAAACTCGACGTCAATGGTGGTACTCGACTGGATTGACTTGACAATGGGACCGAGAGGGTGTATGGGTGTGACTGGCCATGGCGAGTGAGACCTCCACCCCTTCCCGTCTTTATTTCCTCATCTAGTGTAATCTCGCATTCCGGTACCGTGTTCGGCGAGGCAACATTTTCTTTTTATTTGAGACGACGTGAGGTGAGGACAAGCCATTCCGTTGAGAGCAGGTGCTACGAAAGATACTTAAGTCGCCGCTTCCCAACACATCACCCCAGCCTGGGGACAAGAACCTTTTCTCCCTCCCCTCTTCCTTACTCTTCAAGACACACGACTTTAAGTACAATCTATACAATTATCATAGCACCAAATAAAACATACAATCTCCCATTTGACAAGAACCTCACATTCAACCACCCAACACACTTTCACAATGGCCTCCACACAACGCGCCCCCGACCCAATCCACCACAATGCGAACCTGGCCGAGCGTCCATCTCGGCCTTCGCGGCCCTCTCCCGTCTCCAACACCACGGCGCCGTCCAGGACGGATGGCGCCGCACATGCGGAACAGACGACTCGAGAGTGGCAGCCTACTTTTACACGCCGCGAGAGCTGGTCCCCCGAGGACAGGAAACGCCTCATGCAGATGAAGGGAATTCGTGAAGAGGATATACAGCGCCGTGCCTCCTAAACCACGGCCCGACATCCTCTCTCTATTGGGGCTCAACTTCTGCTCCCGTGCCTGGATTTTGGCATCCTCTCCGAACTACTTGATCGGCATTATTACTTTCTACCTCATCTCTGACGAACCTAATTTTATTTCCCTTCACGGGCCACCGCATATCAGATTAGTTGACGTGGCGAAAAATGGCGGGGTTATCACATCACGACCTTTTCCATAGTCCACGCTTTCAACGTTGACAAGCAGGGTCGTCTAAAACGGGGTGGTTCCTAGAATCGGCAAACGAAATGAAAAACTGGAATAGGATGGCGAAACGGCTTTATGACAGAGGCTTTCTTCTTCTTCTTCTTCTTCTTCTTCTTCTTCTTCTTCTTCTTCTTCTATGTCTCCTAATGCCTCTCCTTCCATTTTCTCTCCTTTTATGTAATGTATTTTTAGATGATGTAGAAAACATATGTTAGCTTGAGTCTTTTGCTTTCTCATCGCCTTTCCTCTCTTTTGTCTTCTTTTCCCGAAGCAGCGATGTCATCTTGATCACCCGGCCTTCGATGATCCATTTCCGGGGAGTAGTCGGCATCTACTCGGCGGCCGATACAACATGATGTTACTCGCAAGAGGTTCCAAAGTGGAAAGAATCATACGGCAATAGTCCTTCATTATAAAGATGCCCAAGCTTGTTCGCTGGTACAACTCATAGAAAACAAGTACACGGCAAACCAAAGTCCCATTCCCAACGATGAATCCTAACGCCAGAGCAGGGATATTCCGAGTCCTCCTAATCCTCCAGATCTTAGAAAAAAAAACAAAGGAAAGGGGAAATACAGCTCCGTGGTAAGAAGTAGTACTTGAGAAAGGAAAAAAGGCCGGGAACAAAATACAAGGCCCACCAGCCTCTGGCCCATGCAGCCGATAGAGTTACCGCTTCTCTACAATGATACCAGTGATTGATCTCGTGCTGGGCTGTACAGATTCACTAGCTTCGTGAGGATGCCTTTAGAGAACGCCCTTGGTCCCTTTACCATTCTCACCCCCAGTATTAAAAATTCATTTACAACTGAACCGGCGTAGACCAGTCCGGCGATCCACCCGGCACCAAGCGTCATGCGCCACAGTACGGGGAGGATTTATCGCTAGCCTTGTCCTTTCGATCGTACTCTGTATCGGCGTCTGAAGCTGCGGCAATTGAGTTGTATTTTCGGAATGGTGGAGGCGGCTTCACAACGAAGCCTGATTCGCCTCCTCCGAAAGAGAGATCGTGGTCATAGCTCACGTATCCCGTGGGGCTCGTGAAGTTCCCAATGGCGGGAGTGACGGACTCGCTGCCCATCATATCGATCGGGTTGATGGCCGGCGCTTGGGACGCCGTCCCCGAACCCGCGAGATGAGCCGAGGCTGAGGCCGACCCGGCAGCAGTTCTCCGCAGAAACACCGTACCAGGTTCGGTAGGCTCTCGGACTTTTCTGAACACTAGCACATCCCCGCTCCCCGAAACCGCTTCGTACCCTTGCGATTGAAGCACGTCGAAATGAGGTAGGAACTTGGCGGGGTTGGCTAATCGTGGCATGATTTGACTAGGCGTGAGGACCTCATTATGGTCCGCGGCTACCGATGTGGCATCGGCGGTTGAGATGGTCCCAGTGGCTGGATCGTGGACCAAGATCCGGTATCGATTAGTTTCGCTTGGAGCAGGTGGATAGTCTACTGCGTCAGGTACGCTGAAGCTAGGGCGAGCTGCTTGCTTTTCTGACAAAGGAACCGTAGGCTCGGTGGAGGGTGCCTTCTGGGCCGATGGCGAAGCCGCCGACATTTCGTCTCGGGCGTTAGTTTCCTGTGTGCCTTGTTGGTGTAGTATGTGCGGTGGCTTGAAGGCTCCTCGGTATCAGCGCCCTGCCGAATCTACGTTTCGGCTAGCGGACGCGGTCATCTCAGGCCCGATTCTGTCAAGTGCGGGCTCCAGCCTCCTTGACGAGGTCGATGTCGGGTCCGGGTTTGCAGGCAATTCTTCACTTTTATATTTCTCCTTCCACGACCCTGTAAAATCTTCTGGGAAATCTCGCACATAGTATCCAGTCAGTGGCTTGCTATTGCTAGACTTTGGTAGGGAGTCCTCCCCGCCATTCTCGACCGTGTCTCCGGGGGTTGCTGCGCGGGACCTTCGGTTTCCCGAGGCTTTGCGGCGGCCTCTTTGCTAGAAGATGCTGGCGTCGCACCGGAAGTAGGAGCTGTGGCTGTAGCAGTGTGCACAAACCCTGCAGGGGCAGAGGCGCTTTGGTTTATAGTCGAGCTACTTTGGCTGGGCCTCGAAGTCCCAGAGTCTTCGGCCTCAGCGCCCGCTGCGCATTTTGAGGGCGGTTCAAGTTGTCGGGGCTTGGTGCACCGGACATGCTAGATCCCTGGGCCCCGTCCTGCACCGAAGACTGGCTCACAGTTGTGCTTCTAAACTCCATAGTATAGCTCGACTCAATATCCTGAGCCCATCTCTCGAAGCGAATAACCTGGCGCACGATTCTGGTCTGCGGGAAATATTCTCCTGGCCACATATGAGGATATGGGACTTGCGGGCGTACTTGGGCAAACTGCTTGAGTGCCGCGCGATGATGGCGCAGCCTCTCACGAATGTGGTCCGAGTCCCACGGCGAGGACCAGCCGAGGCGGAAGCAGCGGATCTGATGATTTAATACGATTTTCGAAGGAATAGAGGCCAAGGACGGCCCCCGTCGTGGCGCGGATAAACATGACGATTTTAAAACGTATGCTTGAGGCGCCCGGCAGGGCGCGGAGGCAGGCATCCTAACGATGGATAGAGTAGGCAACCATACTACCGATCCTGTTGTGCGTGGGCATCCGTCGTCGCTCACCAGCCCGACTGGATAGGTATACTAAAATTTCAAGGAACCCCAGCTGTCCAGTCTGCCGAACTGGAAGTGCTCATGAAGGTTCAAAGAGATCTATCCGTGACACGATTGGAGCAGTTTTGGGGACCTCAGCGGTTTGAGGCACGTGATGAGGCCTGGAGCGACGGGCCGCCTGAAGCCGAAAATACGGCTCTTGAGTGCGTTGAGTAAGGGGAGGGAGACTGTGCGTTTGCAAAAATTTGTTACTAGAAGGGGAAAAATGTCTCGATGATTTCGGGAGAAATCCCTTTTCTCTCTCTCGTTTGGGTGTGGATATCCTAGCGAGGCCAAGGTGGCGCGACGTCAAGGGCGCGCGAAGTAGCGATGGGGTGCAAGGGAAGCAGGTATGCGGTTGTGCAACGAGCTGTGGAGCTAATCAGGAATATCGCGGTTGAACAGCTTACGAACCTGCAAGCCTCTGCTTATTTGTCGGAGTGTATGTACGTTATGCAAGAAGCCAAAGTATGATCATGGAAGAAAGTGGATTGGATAACACCAAGACGAAGACGAGCGAGATATTGGAACGCCAGCGTTTACACTGACAATCGATGGGCTACACGAAAATCGTTCGTAGGCCCTTAGATTGAACCTGACCAACGTTGGTGTGAGCGCAACAAGATCAAGCGTTGATTGAAGGGACCCTATGCGGGGATGTCGAGATATAAATTGCGGGGTAAAGGCTGGAAGCAGAACTCCATTTACTCTGGATGCATGGATGACTTGATGGAAGAAACAATGTACCCGACCATTCATTGATCAGTCTGCTGGCGGGAATAACAGGAATGCACTTGAGAGAAAGGATTGGATGGTCGATACGCTGGTTCACTGGCACATCTACGAAACCTGACTCTGAAGACTGGCACAGGCACTCATCCTGATGTCAGGGATGGATCAAATGGGTCACTCAAAGGTATACAGTGTTCGCAGCGACAGCAAGGTTATTCACTAGTGGTACCAGCTAGTGGAGGGAGGGAGAGGTAAGGCACGAGATCCGATCAAAATGTCCTCCGTTCCCCGAGTTTTGTGAAAAGGGCAGAGATCCATAGATCCGTGGATGTATCTAGCTTGAGATCGCCAGTCCGGGGGCCGCCTCCGGTGGAATGGTCGCTTCTCTCCATCGCCGAAAAGCTCACGTATGTCAGGCTAGAGGTCGTTAGTTAGAGGGCGAGGGATGCTCAGAAGGCAGGCGGATCCACCGCTGCCCGACCCGATGACGATGTAAGCCGCTGACTAAGAAAATGATTGGAAAGAAGCAAAAGGAGACACAGTGATCTGCTTTCCTAAAGAAAGCGGACTAGGAGGAGGTAAAGGAAGTGAATTGGTGGGTGGACTGGGGAGTGGATTGGTGGGGTGGCTTCCCGCCTTCCCTACCTTCCCGATGACTCGCTTCGGTATGAGACTCTTCAACAAGGATTCGGACGGTTTAGGGCAATGCCTGGGGCTCGGAGCAACTGGCTGAGAAGGCACAAACCAATGCTTGGTGGTTTGGCGAGACATATGGGCGAGGCTGCCATGCTGTGTCGCACTCGTGCCTGCCTTTATTATGGGAATCATCCTGGATCCATTAGATTCCTGGTCAAGGCGTAGAAAGTGTAGAAAGTCCCCTGGTCCTTTTCGCGAGCCGTTGCAAATTGACGTACCCGCGAAGCGGGGCGAGGAATGCCAGAACACGGCCTTGGGGTTTTGAGGGCTTTCCTTTTAGCAACTGCCTTGATATCTCCCTTCGAGTCTAAAATATAGAGAATGCGCCAGAATATTTCTTCTCCCCGTTTGCACCATCAACTCCTTTCCTCTCCTTTGGTAGCTTGAATCAATGAGTACAATTCTACCAATCTCGCCAAGATACCTCTACCCTTCTTGAGCAGCCGTTACCCCCTGAAATTACGGACCGCGCCACACTTTCATCCAGCAGCAGGCCTCTCGGCTGCCCCGCCAAAAGCTGCTCTTGCGTGCTCTGGACGGTTTTACCCTGCACGATTGAGGCGACCACGTAGCCTCACGATACGGCGGCCGCGGAGGTTTGGATCTTTTTGCGCGTAGTCCATACAGTTGCTCGTGCGCCACGAGTCTCTGTCCCGCCGAGTGCAGGGAATTGGGCGTACTGCCCTTTGAACTGAACTGCACTTCATCATAACCTCAGGAACTCTCGTTATGAGTCGACAAGCATCTCGCTCCGGTCGCCAAACGCCGGTTGGTGGATTCGGCGCCAAGCCGAGAGCAGCCCGCGGCTTCGGCGCATTTGGACTCTCCTCATCTGGCAGCGAACTCTCATATCTGGCTGAGCCCCCGACTTTTCAGCCATTTCGGATGCGCAAGCCGTGGTTTCGTACAAGAACCTTCTCAAGAAGGATAGCGTAACGAAAGCCAGGGCTTTGGAAGAGCTTTTGTCCTACGTGAAGGCGCACCCTTTCGAGCGAGAAGGGGGCCCGAGGAGGCTATCATTGAGGCCTGGGTGAGCATGCCACGGAAACACCACCGGATCAGGGGTGTACATGTAGTCTGGGCCCGGCCCTTTTATGCTGACAAAATTTACAGGTCAAGGTATACCCAGCCGCTTCCATCGACAACTCGCGTCGTGTACGTGAATTGGCACAGTCGCTTCAGTATGAGTTTATGAAGGCTGGCCGGAAGCGCATGGAGCGCCAGATCCCGAAGATTGTGGGCCCATGGCTCGCTGGCCTTTACGATCGTGATCGCCTGGTCGCCAGGGTCGCAAACGACGGCCTTTCATCTTTCTTAAACTCGCCGGAGAAGGTGGCCATGTTCTGGAACAAGTGCCAGCAGCAGATCCTCCAGTTTGCCCTGGGCGCGATCCGGGAAACAAAGGACTCTTTGAGTGATGAGAGATCGACGACCCCAGAGGATGCGGAAGCCAAGTACTTTCGCGTCCTTGGTGCTGCCCTTTCTTTGGTACTGGGCCTCCTTCAGAAACTCGGCCCCGATGATACCCTGAAATTCCAAGATAGCTATGCCGAGTTTCTCAACGAGGACGTTGTTTGGAAGTGCATTAATGCCGGGGATTCGTCCGTACGCAAATCGGCATGCCAGCTTCTCCAGGTTTGCCTGCAGCAAAAGAAAGCTATTCTTGAAGACAAGATGGCGCGCCTCAAGAAGGTTCTCATTTCCGAGGGTCTCAAGGCTAACCATACAGGGTCAGCCGCCGCATTCACCAAGGCTCTGTCTTCCTTCACTGAAGCATTCCCTGCTGTATGGGAGTCCTCGACGGGCGACAAGAAGACACCGGTCTCCCGTTTGAACCATTTCGTGGAGAAGGGATCTCAGGGCAGCGAGGCCAAGTATTGGGAACATTTGCAAGCTCTTTTACAGAGGATCCCCGCCCAACTCATTTCCCTTGATGCAGCAATCTCATTGGCCAAGTCAATGAGGTCAGGGATCTCGAGTAGGGAGGAGCCCCGATCGAATGCGGCCCTAGCATGGGGTTGCTACCTTCAGACCTCTCGAACTTTTATGTCAAGATTCCCCATTGTTTCGGACCAAGTCACATTTGCAAAGGACGCACTCTTCCCTCTTGTCGAGCATTACTTGCATCCTGCAGCTACAGGCGCCTCGGTGTGGACGATCCCCGCCTCATCCGCTCCCATCATCGTCGAAGGGTGCTACGCCATCACAACCGAATCCGCCCCCGCTGCCGTCAGCTCGGCTGCGGAGGAAAGATGGATGCAGCTTGGCCAAGACTTTTGTTCACGAATTACCAACTCACTCCCCGAGGTCTCGCGTGAATTCCAAAAGTCCCAGGACTTGATCGCGGAGGAAGGTCGCCGGTGGTTCTCACTGATCGGTCAAATCCAGAAAACCAAAACCAAGTCGTCACCCTCAAGCACTGAAACAGCCCTCGATTCTGCAGCTGTTGAGATATTCTCCTGCTGTGTTGATGTGCTTTCTAAGCGAAATCTCAAGCCGTTTGGTGCCGCTAAAACGATTTACTACTTGGGCGACTTGACAGCCTACCTTGAATCAAACAAGTCTGTTTCTGACAAACTTTACACCTTTCTTCTTCATATTGGAAAGGAACAACTTGACTTGGTCCTCAGATCGCAGGCCAGGTTGGATCTATTAGCCTCCGTTCAGTTGTACACGAAGGCACCCAGCCTGCAGCAAAAGTACGAGTCACTATGGGATATTTGGTCCTCGCAATTACTCCAGATTTCACCTAGCAGCGTTGCCTCGCCCAGTCTAGCAGTCCTGATCGCGAATGAGAAGGCAGCCTCGTTTTCAAGACGGAAGGATGAGGTTCAAAAATACATCATCGGCACTACACTGCAGTCTCTTGGGAATACGGCGGACAACTTCCATTTACTGGAGTCCTCCCTTCGATATGGTGCTTTGACCCTGGGCTCTGTGAAAGCTATCGCAGTGGGTATCCTGGAGCACCTCCACACCGGGGATAGCGGATTAGAGAAGGCACTAAGTGGCCTCGATATCCTATCGAGGCAGGGCGCTTCACTTCTATCCGAGGATGATGACTTATATCTGAGCCTCGTCACGCAACTCTTATCCTTAGCAGAAACCCCAGAATCAACGGTGTCGTCAAAAGCACGAGAGTTGCATCAGCTTCTCGATCGCCAAAAGGATGGAAAGAAGCCCACGTCATCCATCGTACGAATCAATCTTGATGGAGCTGATCACCAGTCTCTTGAGTGAGTCCCTCCTTTATCTCCCCGCTCTGGCTTGTGCTCAATTCATTGTGACTAACTTCTCTTAGAATCGATACCGTTGTCCAACTTGCAGCCCGAGACCTTTCCTCTAACCCTCAGAACTTGCCGGAATTATTACCAAAACCGGAAATATGGCGGGACGACCTGATCAAGCTCACTCTTGGGGGCGTAAACCCTTCCCTATCCATAACTAGCTTGCTTGGTGGCGCTCAATTCCTTGTAAAGGCCTCATCCGCCGAACAGGCTAGCCCGGCCGCGCGAGATAGGAACGGGTACTCGGCCTCTGCTCGCATGGGGTTGTATTTGTTGAAGCTTTTAGAAGATGGAGTTGAGTTAGAGTCTTTACCGACAGCAACAGCTCTAGAACTCATACTCCTGCTACTCGTCACCGTAGAAATCGGCTCTGAGCAGCTCACCATGATGGAGCCCGATGGGCTGTTCGAGCTCATGTCTCCGGCAGTGCAGACAATAGTCGACAAGTTTGTGTCTTCGACTCGAAAATGGCTCAATACTCTAATATCTGAGTCTGCCGGATGGAAAGAGAGGGAGGCTGGGGGCGCATCTGTGCCTCTGATATTCGGCATCCTGCAGGCCTTGCTTGATAGGTCCAAGGGGAACAGTCCCGTAAGCTTTTATCACGCCAAGGCCGCCGCTGAAATATTTCAAGCTTTTACAGAGGAGCATGGCCCTCCCGACAACTTCGGGAATCTTCTCGAAGCCACTTACCCGTCAAAAGAAACTCCCTCCTCCATCTTCCCCGTTGTTGCGCTTCTCCGAGGCGTTGGCCAATCCATGAGTTCACCGGACGAGCTCAGCACGATATGCAACCGGCTCGTCAGTGACGTTGCTGGCGCCAAGCCTACCTCGGAGAAGGCTCTTGCGAGCCTTGTTCTTCTTACCTGCTGTCTTGCCTTTTACGAAGAGGGCGAGGTCCCTGTACAGATGAACAGGCTTGTATTTGCTGCTAAGAATGTCACAGGCTGGTTCGAGGCTGAAGGGCCAGTTGACCCGTTCTTCGCCGCGGAGAGTTGTCGTCTTCTCACGCGTCTCTTGCCCGAGCTTGCTTCCGTATATGGGTCTCACTGGGAGAACACGCTTGAATATTGTACTAGGATTTGGGCAACCGCTGGCGAATACCCACTTGACGTCTCGCTGTCGGCGATCCATGCTTCATTAAAACTTTACTCCACCCTTGAGGCTCTTCCCGAACCTAACGACGATCTCGAAGACTCCCTCAAGGAATCGGCAGAGATCAAGGCCAAGTCCTTACTGGACTTGCTAAAATTGCCAAGGGAGTACAGCTCCCAGCCCTTGTCCATTGTCGATTCTTTCCTTTGTCGACAGGTCGTCAAGATTCCCATGAGGTTTGTCAAGGACCTATCGGAGCTCTATGGGCTACTAGCCTGCGAGTCCCGGGACATTCAAACTGCCATCTTCACGCTGCTTCACCGCGCATTGCCCAAGTTACAGGAGCAACTATCGGTTGACGTGCTCCTAGACAAAGAGAGTAAGTTGGAACACTTTCCGAGGAACGCCGTAGTGCTGCGAAGAACCTCCCGAATCTAACCCGTTTACCAGGTGCGAATATCCCCGACGAAATGATATCGCTTTTGCTGGAACCTCCCACACTCGAGAAGTATCCAGACGATGTCTTGTCTCAGTTTCCACTTCCCGTGAGAGCTTACCTTCTCACTTGGCATCTCATATTCGATTCATACAGCACGGCATCACTCGCTGTGCGCAACGACTACACGGAAGATATCAAGGCAGGAAATTACATGTCACCTCTACTAGACTTCATCTTCGATGTGCTAGGCCACTCGGCGGCGCACCCAATTAGTCTCGACAAGCAAGGCCTCACAAGCGAGCACATTCGAGCTTATGACATCAAGACGGCCGATTCGGAATCCGACGAGCGAGATATGCAATGGCTCCTGGTCCATATCTATTATCTCTGTTTGAAGTACACGCCAGAGTTGTTCAGGGTGTGGTTCATCAACTGCCGGTCCAAGCAGACACGGATCGCCGTGGAGGGATGGATGACGAAATACTATTCTCCGCTCATTGTGCTCGACGCTCTTGATGATGTTGCCCGCTGGGCAGAGGCGCAAGAGGCACCCAGCGATGACGAAAAGGAGCTGTTGGTCAAGGTCAGCAGGACAGCACGAGAAGTGACGGCCGGATATGAAGTAGACGAGGATATGGCCGCGATTACGATCAAGGTACCACCCAATTATCCGATTGAGGGAATTACAGTCATAGGCACCAGCCGAGTTGTGGTCAACGAGAAGAAGTGGCAGAGTTGGGTCAGAACAACTCAAGGCGTCATCACATTTTCGGTAAGTCGGCCGGGACGCAATGCAAGGCAGAGTTCAATTGAGTAAGGCATATCTAACGAAGCGTGGTATAGAATGGAAGTATCATCGACGGCCTCATGACATTCCGCAGAAACATTGTGGGGGCTTTGAAGGGCCAAACGGAGTGCGCCATTTGTTATGCCATCATCTCGACGGATAAGAAGATGCCTGACAAGCGGTGCCAAACATGCAAGAACTTGTTCCACAGAACTTGCTTGTATAAGTGGTTCCAAACGAGCAGTCAAAATACCTGTCCGTTGTGTAGAAACCCGATTGACTATCTGGGATCAGATTCAAGGGCGCGAAGGCCGTGAGTCTGAGACGCGATACGGTGGGCGAGCGTTGGTAAAGAAAGGGATAGGAATATGGCGGATAGGAAGGGATGGATGGTATCGATGGATTCATTGGATCGTTGGATATCATACAAAAGAGCTCATATACTCGGCGCGGTTTTTAGAATGGTCTATTTTTGCCATATTCATTTTACCTCCCCCTTCCCTTCTCTTCTTGTGTTTTCATCAGACGGGCTGGGCTATACACGCATACATTCGTGCTGCAGGGCCTATCACATTGTTTTACATATTTTGTTAGCTCTATATCCTGCAACGTGGAACAGACGATGCCTACCATTTCGGCACTTGGCCTGTCTCCACTCTCGAATCTCAGGAGGCTTGCCACCAGGCCTCTAAAGCCCTCCTGAACACTGGCAAATGCTTCGTCGGGAGCCCTAGGCTCAAACACCCTCCACATCCCAAAGGGCGTCGTTTTGAATTTGGTGGCCTCGGGCCAGGTTTCCGGGGTCGGGGTGCCGAGAGTGCGGAAGATGCTAAGGATGAGACCGAGCTGGCTTCCGTCCTCATGTGTTGGCGGAGACTCAAAGATGGGGGTGGGCCCGTTTGGGTTGGTAGACGCAGATTCGGAGAGAAGGACGCCCAGGGACCACATATCAGCCGGAGTAGAGTAGGACTTGTTTCCAAATAAAGCGTCTGGAGGCCTGTAAGCACCGGTGCCGATGTCCAAGATCATTGCGCCTGCTGGCTCGGATGAGGGCGAAAGGTCGGGGTGCCATGCTGTGCCGAAGTCGGACAGGTAGGCCGGGCCATCCTCGCTGTCAAGCAGAATGGCCGAGGGCTTTATGTCACGGTGTATAATCCCCTTGAGTGGACGTAGGCTAGCGCGCCTAGGATGTCCCTGAATAGGCGGCGAATTCTGGACGGCGCGACAGGTCCGGCGTCTAAGACATTGGCAAGGGTAAGGGGCTTAAAGGGGAAGACGAGGACCAAACGTTGCTCTTGATCGCGGAACGAATCGAGCAAGGCAATCACAGCCGAGTGGTTCAGCGATTTCAAGATCTTGACCTCGCGCTGAGGATTGTGCGGTTCAAAGGTCTGGTAAGGATGAACGACCTTGAGCGCGTGGACAGCGGCGTCTTGGGACAAAGGCGCCTCAGCTCGGTAGACGGTTGAGGTTAACCCCTCGCCTACGGGGAGGCACCCATGGTAGGGACCTATTCGGAACCCTGCTGCCGCTTCTTCGGCTGCTGATTCTGGGAAGAGAAGGGAAGGTGGCTCCTGACTATAGGTTGAGACCTGGGATGGCTCGAAGGAAACCTCGCAGGCTTGGTCGTACTCTTCCTACGATACTGTTAAGAACGTGTCATGAAGTAACATACGAGATTTATAATTATAAAAATAAAAGTACCCTAGAAGGAGATGAGGTGAAAGCCTCGTCTTCTATTCTGAAAGCTTCTTGCTGCGCGACGTCCCGCTTTTCGGGAGAAGCTGCGGAGATCTGCCTCGCTCTAGGAGGGGAACGGGTCAGTTCATGTTGCCAGCAACGGGCAGCGGGGAACGTACAATCGTTCAATGACATCGTATCTAAAGGATGCCGTTACGGAAAGCCTCCAGTCTTCGGCTAACATTGTAAACTAGATAGCCAAGCGCCGACGCAGTTGCGCAGTTGCGATATCAGATATCGAATTCTCTCACGCCTCTGTCAAAGACTAGCATGCATTTGCGCCCTTGGAGGATGGCAAGGGCACCGACAGCCTCCTGCTGTCTTACGTCAGGTTTCGGTGAGACACCACAGACCGGCAAAAAGACCGGCCCAGTTCAATGGCTAGAGTTTTTTTTTTTTTTTTTTTCTTTTTATTGGCGATCTTTTTGCTAGAGAGATGCAAAATCTCATTCATCCCGAGCATGAGCCCGCCTAGCGAGGGATGGACGCGCGCATCAATTCATCCGTACGAGCGGATGCAGCAGCGCAGGAGAACAGTTCAGCAGTTCAGCAGTTCATAGGTGGTGCTCATCTTGTCGCCCCCGCCGGATTCGGTTGATAGATTGGATCCTCTTTGGATATTCCAATTGGCACTGTATGATACTCCAACGGTTACAGGGTCCGTGCATGAAATACTGGAGAAGGACTTTGATGACGCAGGATTCCTGACAAAATTAAGGAACATGGCTTGGTATTCCAAAGTACCTCCTACCCTCATCCCCAGATTCCCGGTTTCACCTCGGTGCGGTAAATTGAGACCAGCCACTGCTATCAACTGAAGGCTTTGTGATCTGCTCCCCCACTAAATATAGGTGTGTGCTTGAAGAAGTCTTAGAAATGTTTTATAGTGCCTTTACTGGAGAGTTGGAGGGAAGAGCTGGATCCATGGATCAGTCGATGCAGGGCCCGGCGCAGGGGTTGGGAATCAACGAGGAGGCTCCATTCATCGGCCGTGGCTGGAAATCGTCATCCACAGTACAATTGAATTGGGCCAATGTTGTAATAGCGTCTGGTTCGTGCCAAAGTCACATGGGGACCACTAAATCGCAGCACAGTCTGTCCCTGACACAATCTGCACGATCAGGAACAGGCCGTGAAGGAAGGAAGGAACAGACTGTTTGGGGGAGTCCAGAAGCAACCGGAAGGCCTGGAAAAAAGAAGATGAAAAAAACAACGAACCAAAAAAAAAAGATGAAAAAAGAAAAAAGAAAAAAAGACCTTCCCAACACCAGCTACTGAATTATTTCATCCAACCTCCATTTCCTCCCATCAATTATTATTATCCGTTGATGCTCCTCCCTCCACATCTGTCAACAGCGTCACATCCACCTCTCCCTCCTCCACCCCGATTGTCTCGATTGCCCGCAACTCCCGCGACACAACAAACCACCATTCTCGACCGGTGCTGGTGCTCGTCCTAGCTCTCTCTCGCACTATGTGTGAACTCGCCGACATCATCGTTTAGCTTACCTCTCCGAAAATAGTTAGCATCGCTCCCCCTCTCTGCTCACCGGCAACGAGCTGTGTCAGTGCCGCGCTACACCCTTCTCCCTCATTCCTTCGCCCAGCCATCCTCGAAGCCCTCAACCATGGCGGAAACTGCGAGAACCGAGTACCCGGCGATGCTGGTAAGAACAAATCCATGAACCTGCTCACCATTCTCTTTTTCCTTTTATTCTTTTTCGTCCTTTTTCTCTCTTGTCGCTTTCTTTTACGGGCTCTGGCCGCGGTCGCGAGCGTCCACCCTCGGAGATGTCTTGCTGAGCTGTCCTTGCTTGTGTCGCACGCATTGGCAACTCTCCTCTCGCCTGGAGGAATGGTCTCTCTTGCCTATCAATGATGCGAACTGTGTGGCCGGTGGTTAATAGTGCGACAACTCACTTCTTTCTCATCTAGGCGTATCTCCAACCCTCACAAGCTGTCAATGTCCTCAACGACCGAGTAAAACGAGTCAGCAAGCTCAATCTCGAAATCGCCGACTGGCTACAGGTACGCTACCTTCGCGACCCCATCGAGACTTTTTGCATTGGATTGCCTCTTCCTCCCATCCGAGCCGCATCGGGTCTTCCTCGCACCGATTGCAACTACCGCCTACCCCCTGCCCCTCAATTTATGGTCGCCCGCGCGGCAAGCTCGGCTAGCTGACTCTCAAATCATCTTTAGGAACGCCGAAAAGTTGAGGAGCAGTACATTCAAGGCTTGCGAAGACTAGTGCAGTTCAAGGTGCCCAATTCTGCCTCTGAGCTCGGGTATGTGATTTTGTCACAAGTTTCCTACGCCCATTACCAGCCAATACTACCGTGGCTGGGCGATGACGAAAAGAAATGAGAAAAAGCAACTGACGGGTGCCTTGGAACAGTATCTTTCAGGGTCCTTGGGATAAAGTCCTCCGAAGCGTGGAATCAACTGCCCACTCTCACTACTTATTCGCATCCAACCTCGAGAAGGATGTTGAGGCGCCCCTACGAGCCTTCGGCCACAAGAAGGAGGTGCACAGCATACAGACAATTGGCGCCAATTTGGCTTCCATGGCCAGGGAGCTCGAAGATGCCCAGGACAAATCTGATAAGTTGACTAGGAAGGGAACCAAGGCTAGCACCCAAAAGTCGATGCCGCGGCCACTCGATTGAGTGCTGCGTCGCAGGAGTGGGAGTCACAGGCGCCCTTCATCTTCGAAACACTTCAAGTCCTCGACGAGCAGCGAACGAACCAGCTCCGTGACCTGCTAACCCAGCTCCTGACCCATGAAAGCGACCAAGCGCAAAGGAACCAGACCGTTGCTGGCGAGGCCCTTCAGGCAGTGCTGGATCTACAGACGCCAAAGGAGATTGAAAACTTCTCGAAGAAGATGACCGACGGGAAAGCGAAGCAGGAAAGGAGGTCAGCCCCGGCCACGAGGCGCCCAAGTGCTGCCGGAAGCAACCTCACCCCCGCCACTGCGACCACGGCTGCATCACACGACGAAGAACTCCAAAGCGAGGCAGAGGCCCCCGAGCCCCATCGTAAGCCATCTCCTTCTCCCCTTTCGTCTTGTCCCACGCATTTTAAAGGCTGACACCCGAGACTTGATAGAAACCCCTCGGTTGCGCAGCCGCATTGGCACTATGCTTGGCCGAAGGCGGCAGAGCATTCACGGCGGATTCGGACCGCTCACCCAAAAGAGTTCGTCGTCTTTTGGAAGGAACCTTCGAAGCAGCCATGGTCGTGGCGTGTCTCCCCGCGCCTCAATGAATGACCTGACTGCATCGAATAAGCTGCCATCCCTCGCGGAGACCCCGATACCTCGAACGTAAACGACGTTGCCGATTCCGACGAGAAACCCAAGGACGAACCGCACGAGGGGACAAATGGAGTCAAGGCCCCCTCGAGCCTGGGCGACCTGGCTGTTCTGGAAGAGGCCCATGATACTGTCAACGGCACCGATGCTGGAGAGACGACAACTGCCTTTGCCCCACCCCCTGGCCCTCCACCAGCCCAGGCCAAGGATGACGAGGAGTCCCAAGGCAAGGACTCGGAAGGGTTCACCATCCCCCGCGATGAATGATCCCATCTCGCAGGCTCAAAGGGAAGCCGCCGCCGAAGAAGCTGAGCAGCTGTTTAAACTCAACATCCAGAGCACCCCGGTTGCTGAGGAAGATCCCGAGGCAACACAGGCCGCCCTGTCCAATGTCTCGAATGCCTTGACGCAGATGGGTATGCCCTCACGAAAGACGGGTACTATCCGAGGTCGCAGAGATGTGCGCAACACCATCTATGTGCCCGCGCCCAATGGCGCCCCTCCCCGTCTAGTTCCGGCCCGCCACCTACCCCTCCTGTTCCCAATGCCTTTTCCCGGTCGTCAACTCTGGCGGCCCTCGCATCTGAAGCCAGCATCGCCGGAACTTCGGATACTCAATCCGTTCGCTCTGGCAACTCGCTGGGCGCTCTAAACCACGCGAAGCATCCGGATAAATTGGGACCCGGCCTACACGCCTCCATCATTGAAACCATCACTGCTACCTTTGAAGAAGATGCCATGAAGACGGCCAAGATCAGCGGCGAGATTGCCTTCTGCTACAACGCTGACGAGGATCCCGATTACAAGTCGCGTAAGTTGACCCCGATACAAGAGCCAGCGTGTCACACAATATATGCCTAGAGCGAATTGGAACTAACGTGAATGAACTCTTGGAAACAACAGTCCATAACCCGACTATCCGTATCAACAATTTCCCCGCCTCGAGGTCATTGGCCCCAATCGAATCTTTGTCCAGAACTCCCTCCCTGAACGCAACGACCAATTTGCCCTCGATGTATCCCACCTTTCCAGAACCTCGACAGCCTTCAGCTACCGAATTCATAGCGAATCTAGCGGCCAGGATCTTGCCCCTCACGCCCCCTTCTTATCAAATCGCTTTGGAAGCCAAAGGGAGACAAGCTGGAGCTTCTGATGCACTACTCCTTGAACCCTACGTGTTCTTTTGCTTCGCCCGTTACTCTTCACAACGTTGTGGTGTTTGCAACTTACGAAGACGCCAGAGCAAGTGGCGCCCAGACTAAGCCCTCCGGAACTCATCTCAAGGAGAAGCACCTCGTCTACTGGAGGCTAGGCGATATCACTCTAACATCGGAGCCCCAGAAGATCGTCTGTCGCATCCTAGGCGCCGAAGGTGCCCATCCCAAGCCCGGCCACGTCGAAGCTCGATGGGAATACTCGCCGAATGAATCAGCGGTGACCTCTTTGGCGGGCATTTCGGTTTCGAGGCTCGAAGAGTCCAAGGGCAAGGAGAGGGAGGCAGTTCTCGATGAAGACCCATTCGCCGACAGCGATAACGTTCTGTCGCCGCCCCTCCCCCAGACCATCGATGGGTCGACGTGCCCATGGTGTACAAGCTCGTCAGCGGCAAGTATGAGACCCGGTAATGGAGTTGGACTCATATGCTGTCGACTATTTCTTTTTCCTTTCTCCTCTGAGATGATATCACGATTCCGAATTTGTCGTTGGGAGAGACCATATGTCTCGCCTCTGGGGGTTTGTCCTATTCCCTTGCCCCAAAATTCTGCCGCCTCCGACCTTGTTACCCTGCCCTTGCGCATTCTCTGCTTTGACCTTGATGATGTGTTGGATTGCCATTGAGCAAACACTAATAATGTGTGCCTGTCCATACCCTGTCTTCACAACCGTTCGTCTTTCCCGCCTTGACTTTCGTTTTTCCTTTCTCTTCTTTGTCGAGTTTCATTCTACTACTCTCCTTTGTCTATCCCGTATCACCCCTCTGGCACTCGCCAGACGCCTCGCTTGTTATGGATGCATATCGCGCTTCCCCATAAGCATATTCATCTCAAGCCTTAGTTTTGTTCTCATGCCACTCGGCTCGGGTGGCCCCTTTGTATATCACGAAGCTTTCAAGGGGTCGGAATCTTAGCATGATGATAGTGTAAGAGATGAAGGCATATTTTTGTTCCAAGTTGCTTCCCTTTTTTTTTCCTTCCCCACCACCACATCACACTGCACTAGATACATCAATCGACGTGAGCTCTTGCGATCCTTGCTTGCTTGCTTTTACCATGCCTCGTGAATGTGCAATGTCACCAGGAGCGAGAAAGACAACTCCCCATTATTGACAGGTCGGTCATATCGGCGAGGCCCTATGTTGGAACCCACATCTCGAACCTATCTGTTTTATCGTACATCACTTCTCCACTTCTCATCCTTGGTCATTACTGGAGTCAAGTGGATATATCTTCTTGCAGGCCCATAACCTAATTTCAGCCCTGGCACCCGAGTAAGCACTGGCTTCGGCCTGAGCTTCGTTGGGGCCGCTTCCGCCCTTAGTCTTTCCTCGAGACTGATTGTCCAATGATTCCACCCCCACATGGCCCTCTCTAGCTCTTCGGATAAGGCATGAGTAAACTCAAACTCGGTAGCGGATGCGGCTTCGAGGTATGATGCGGGCGCCAGGGGCCGAAACGGTTTGGTGCCCGCTGCTAGAATCTCTTTCCCCTCCTGCGGAATGGCTGGGCCCGAACATACAAAGGGCGCATCGAGGATGACGAGCACGTCCGATAGGAGGCTCGGGTCGCATAGCGTTCGCTCAAAAATCCCCATAAAGTCAATGGTAACCTTGGGGTAAGGATGAAGGAGCGTGGGCGGGGGTGGATGGCGAACGAGGTGGGAGTCGTGTGGGCCTGCCCGGCGTAGTAGACGAGGATGAGATCGTGTGGTCCCTTTCCGGTGATCAACTTGGCAATGGCACCGGCGAGGACTGGCTCCGCTTCACGGCGAGGCAAAACACAGTGGCTGACTTTGTAATTGTACCCGGACTCGAAGACCGCTTCGAGCCTCTCCATGGGTGCCGGGGCCGCGGCGTCCGGAACTTCTCCCCAGCGGACCATGAGCACCTCTGCGTTGTGGTAGCTGGGGTGGTAGCGGTGCTTGACGACGGTGTCCGCCTCGATGATCTTTTGCAGTTTGCACTTTTTGCGCTCTTCTTCTGCTTTCTTGGTCCTGCAGCGGGGGTGGCCGTGGCGCAGCTCGTAGACCTTTTGCCAACCCGTCTTGAAGGGGCTCCTCCAGAATCCGGAACCCTTGGCCGGGCCGTGGCAGTTCACGCAGCAGTACGGCTCATTACTCGGAGCGTTTGGTTCACTTGGCTCGTTGAGCGTTGAGTCGGTTTGCTGCGACTGACTGTTGCGTCTATCCGAGGGCGGGAGGGTAGTGGGCTTGCGAGGGGTTCGCTTGGCGCGAGAGTTTCTTCGCCATGGGGTGCTTCGGGGGTTTGCTGTCCTGGACTGGAATCAGACTCGCGCGGCTCTTGGTCTCGAGCCAACAAGGTCTCCGTATCCGTCGACCCGTCTATGGTAGAGGAGTCGGGCCCCCTTTTCGTCCTCGCCACGATCAACTTATTCCGCGTCAAAGGCTTGGAAAAAGAGCGAAACACGGCCTTGGCTTCGAAAGGCTGGACCACGGGCGTCTCCCGGCGCGCGGTTCCACGCTCTTGGGGGCACGGTCAAGAGGCCCTCGACGTCGGAGCCGAGCGAGTCAGGGGTCGGCGGCACGGCTCCGCTTGGGCCTTCGGGGAACGCTGCCTTGACCTTGCCCTTGACGACGTAGCAGTTGGATGGGATCTTGGTCAGCTGGATGCTCATGCTGTCGAGGGGCCTGGTGGGAGTTGGGGTGATATGGGGAGGGGGAAGCTCGGCCCCGATTAAGCGTTGCGTTTCCATGCTGTTTGTTTGCGGGGAGTTCTTTCTCGAGTAGGCAAGATTCGCCCCTTGAAAGCGCAGGGCGTGGGCGTGGATGGCCTCCCACTACTTTGTTACAATGGAGTATCCGTATAAGTGTATGGCAGCTGCTCGGCGATCTACTATAGTGGGAATATGAGACGTGGTGGGAGGGTTGGACCCCTGGTCTTGGGACGGAAGAGGTGGACTAGAGCATCTTTAGCTAGAGAGGAAGAAGGATTGATCGAACGCGACAGAAGGCTGGACGAGGAAAAGGGAAGGGGAGGAGGAGGGGAATCAACTGGGAAGAAGATGGGAGGGTACGCGAGCCGTCTGTTTATATGTGGGCGCCATCACAAGCGTAGAGTTTATCGCGGGATGAGGCCCTCAACTTTGATTTGCACAAGCATTTCTCTGGGCATCGTCAGATCGGGATCCCTTTGACAGGTCATGTCGTTTCCTCTATTCTGTCTGGGAAACAACATATGTTTGAGCGGCTTGCGGCCCAGTCAACGGCGGGCATCCTGATACCGAGATGCCAGAAGCTTGCCATGTTGATGCGAGACCAATAGACCCTCGCGAGACCTTTGAGAGGGGTGTATTACGGTTCATGAGAAATGGAAACGGAGGTGCTCTTCCTCCCCGTGTTGTTCGATTGAGGCCCCTCTACTTCGCGTACAAGGTTTGGTGTGCTTTAGTTTTTAGTTTCCTGTTTTTCACCAAGACGGCGAGGGAGCGCAGGTAGAGAGTGGGGAGATACACAGTTTCACGGTAGTATCTGTGGGCGAGAAAAAAAGCGAACGGGGAGTATTAGCGTTGATATCATAAAAGATGCATGTACACTATGGGCAGGGTGCCCGGTATAATATTCGTTATACATTAGCCAGAAGATGACAAGAAACCGCCCTTTTAGAAGCTTCACTTCCAGATAAAAAAAAAAGAAATGCAAGACGCAACAGATGAAGTCATTATTCAGACATGGCAGGGATGGAGGAGATCGGCCTGGAAGGGAAGACAGGGTAGATGGCGGCCTGTCTCCCTTTTAGTCCCTCGGCGCCTTTGAATGCTCATCGTAAAACTCCAAGGTGAGCGCCGCCAAGAAACCCGGTATGCAACCCTTTTCCCGAACCCAAAACTTGATCTGGTCATCGATCCTCTGCGCGAAAGCGCTGCGGGGCCCGCCGCCGACTTTCATGGTCCCCTTTTCGCCGTCAAAGACGATGCTGTTTTCGTGCTCGTCCGTCTGGCTGGGATAGTAGACGCTCTCGACGCGCATCTTGCCGTTGGGTATAAAGGTGACGGTCCAGCCCAGGGTGCTAAAGATGGCCTCCTTGAACTCGGCGCTCTTGGCCGTCCACACCTCCTTGAGGCGCTTGGCCGACTTTTGCGCCGACGCCGTCTCCGCCCTGGCCTCCCGGACCTGGCGCTGTGCGGCTTCCAGCATCGACGCGGGCATGGTGGGAAATGAGCTTGTGCTCTTGGGGTTTTGCATGTGGGCGAGTAGCTCGGCGTTTTCTTTCTTTAGCGCCTCGAGTGTTGACGTCTTGACGGCCTCAAAGCTAGACGTCGGGTTGTTGCGGAGGGCGAGGATGCGGACCCCGCTCCGCTTCTTGGCGGCGCGGAGCTGCTCCTTGAAACGGACAGTTCCTTTTCGCTAAGGGCGAGCTTGGTTTGCAGAGCGGTAAACTCATCCTGGAGCTTGCGGTTCTTCCGGACGAGTTGGCCCATTTGCTCGTGCGACGGGCCGCCGGCGGGCTCGACGGATCGCTGACGCTTGCTGCCGGCAACCGGGGTCACGGGTTCTGCAGGGGCGGAGAGCTCACCGTGAAGGGCCTGCACTTCGGCCTTGTACTGGTCGACGAGATCCTCGAGCTCCTGAATTCTTTGCGCGCGGACTTGGTCGTGCTGCTCGGGCTGGAAGGTGAGGTCCTCCGCGTCAAAGGTCTTGAGTTGTGCCCTGAGATATTCCACCTCCTTGGTAGCGAGAGCTCGCTGCCGTTCTAGCCTCGCGCGGAGCTTGTCGCCGCCAACAGCGACGCTAGAAACAGTGGCGTCTTTGGCCTTTTCCACCTCGGCCCTGAGCTCGGCCTTTTCTTCTTCCAAGGCCTGAATGGTGGATTCATGGGCAGCCACATCAGCCTGGAGAGTGCCCATTTGCTCCACATACGATGCCGAGGTAAGGCGCTCCCGGACGAGGGCTCGCGCGAGCTCTTCGGGAGATTCAAACTGCATATCTTCCCCACCCGATTCCGCTGCGGACTGGAGATACGCTGTCCAAGCGAGGCGCTCGTCCTCGAGCCGCTGCCGCTGTATCCTGGCCTCATCCAACTCGGCTTCTAGAGTTTCCGCGGCCTCGAGTTTCCTCTGAAGCATTCTCTTCTCCTCTTCCACCACCTCAACGGCTTTGTGTATTTGCCGGAGGTGCCTGAGTTCGGAGAGCTGTTCGCGGTTTGTGGCCTCAAGCCTTCGAATGTGCTGGACCTGCTCGGTGAGCTCCCGCTTAATCACAGCCATGGTCTCGGCATCACCCGTCTGGGCCTTAAGACGAAGCACGTCGGCCTCCAAGCTCCCGATCTGGTTGTCCTTTTCGGCGAGCTGCGTTTGTGTGGTCTGGAGCATAGCCTCCCTCGAAGCGGTTTCCTGCTCGAGCTCTTGCGCGTCTCGTTTCGCCGTGTCGAGCTCCATCTGGATGTCCATCACCTTCTTCTCATTGATCCGCGCTGCGTCATCCTTGGCGGTCACGAGCTCCTCCATTTGCTCCGTCAATAGACGGTTCTCTGCCTCGGCATCGCGAACCCTTTTATCAAACGTCGATTTGTCCTGCGTCGCGGCGTCGCGCAGCTCGCGCAGCTCGGCCTGCACGCTCTCGAGCTGGCGAGCAACCTTGGCACTCTCGGCCTCGGCAGCTTGCTTCTTCTCAAAGTCTTCTTGTGCTCGCCGCCTCTGGTCCTCGATTTCGGTCTTGTGCCGGGCTTCGGCCATTTCCTTTTCCTGCTCGATTGTGCTCAGGCTGTACCGCAGGGTGCCCAGTTCGGCCTTGAGCTCCTCGATGCAACGACGATGAGACTCGTACTCCTCGGCATCGGGGGCGCCATATTTTCTTTGGAGCTTTCCCTCGAAACGGGTCGCATGGACTCGGGGGCGAAGCTATGTCGGGAAGAGGGTCGTTGCGTGGTTGCTGGCTGGGTGGCGGACTCGCCCGTCAATAAATTATACGTTGGCTGTCCGGCACGATGAAAAGCAATCTTGGTTAAGAAATTGGAGTTAGCAAACGCAACCAAAAAGAGGGTTGGTGGTACGTTTTGCTTCGAGAGCGATGGTGATCTTGCGTCGCTAGGGTGGGCATTGTTTGTTTTCTCTGTTTACTTACTCGTGATTCCCTTAGCGAGGTGTTGGGGCGGGGAGCGCACTGCTGCTGGGGGTACGCATCCTCCCTGAGACGGAAGCCCGCCTCTGGGCATCGTCGGTAGCCCGGGGATGTCGCGAGCTCATGGCGGTAGCTTCAACGGCTTCTCTCGACGCGTAGTCTCGAAGATTTACTTGTCGCGCCGGACCATCTCAACTGTGCATTCCACTCTCTTGGTAGCATCGCCCTTTGATCGAATCGCCGTGGACAAGGCCCCGTCTTAGTCATTCGTGGTCACGTGACTATCTTTGCAGGTTCCGGTTGTGGGTGGTGCCAGCGGAGTGGGTCCAGCCAGGAACATGCCTCACCAAATCTACTTGTATTAATAGAATAATAGTTCCATTCTCAAGCATACAGCTCCGGCTGACACGGCCACCATTACTCCTCTTAACGCTTCTCTCAGACAAATCCATCCCGTGGCAAGCTAGCAAGGAAATCAAACTTTTTAATGAAATTCGAGTAGAGAAATGAGGCTAACCCAACTCTATGGCCTGGGTGCTGGGTGTGGCCATCGATGCCCGTTGCCCCCGTGGGTTAGCCATTCAGTTAATCAGTCAGACTTTGGGAGGTAGGCAATAGGCTCCCAGTCTCGCCTCGGGAAGAGCACTGGTGCCCTTTGTAATGCGGCAATAGCTAGCCGAGATATACCAATTACGACGAAAAGAAAGATCATTACGACATCTACACAAGGATATCGGAGGGAGTTGAAGCAAAACCCACCCAGGCCCCTTGCCCCTCGTCGGTGACGTAGATCTTTGTGGGTGGAGGATCCACTAGAACTCGAGCCAACTCCTCTAGAGAATGGGCCAGGCTCAGTGCTGAAGGTGTGACCGGACGCCGCGGACTCTAGCACCGGGTGTGCGTAAAAGAAACGGCGAGGCCACTAATGCCTTGCGAGGTACACGAGAAACTGGGTTGAAAAGGCAAAGGAGTGGATGCCGGGTCAGAGGCAGATGAGCCCGGTAATGGTAATGGCGGAGGGGAAGAATAATAATCAATGTCTCCAGAGTTGCGTCAGTCCGACCCGCCCAAGCCGTCCCACCGTCCTCTTGACAGTGAAGCGCGCCGAGGTACAAAGCAATACGTACCGTGGCGTGGATATTAGGGCGTGGACTTGGTGGACTAGCTCAGGTCAGCTCTGCTTGGTCAGGCCCTGAATCGCACGTTGACTAACAAACTGACCAATGGATCCCGGATCCGGGAGTGGGAAGGTACAGTGCAGTGTGCAGTGCATTGACAATTATCGCAGGAGCTCCTGTGTTTTCCGAGGAAGCTCCAGTGCTTTCCCTTTTTTTCTACGCTTCCTGGATCCAGCTCACAACAGGTCATCGATTGGCTTTGGGAAAATATCCACGTCTCCCCTCCACGCCACAACCATCCCTCCCCTGCTCACGCACGCATCGCGCACTTCGCTCCTTCTGCTGTTACCGCACCCGTTTTGCCAGCGCATGTTCGCCATCGTCAGCCTGTACATTCGTGGCCGATCAAGCCTGCCGCCTGATTAGGACCATTAGCCGTGGTCCTTGTGCCCTTGTCAGCCATTATTCGGCGTCGGCTTTTTCCCAGCTCCGTTCTTGTCCGCCCTCAACTCATCTCCGAGGCTCGCTCAATTTCCCTGCGTCGCCAGTCTTGTTTGTTCAACCTCTTTGGCCGCCCTTTCGAACTAGCGAGTTGACACCTGCCACACTCTCCTTTCCCTATTCGACCCTCTTTCCAGCTCCTTAAGCTCTCCAAGCTTCCAGCATCATCGCTACTTCGAATCTTAGTCGGTCGTGCATTTGCCGAGCCGAGCCGTTGCGATGGCCTCCCTTCGCGTGACGGTACGTCATTGAGTCGAATACCAGCTTCTGCATCACCAGGAGCTTCCCGTCTTGATATGCGCTCGGAGCTGTGCTAACGTCGTTTTCGCAGGCCGCATCCCGCTTTTCACCAAGCATCACAGTCCGTCCTCTTGTGTCCCAATCGCCGTATGCTAGAGCCGCACTCGGCTGCCAGTACCGGTACCGGTATCGGCACATCAACCAGCGCCGCTCATTCGCGAGTCAACAACCACCAGATCGCCAGCAGTCCCAAACTGATTCAGAATCCGATACGGCCTCGATATCCTCCTCAGATTCCGGCTCGTCAACGGAATCGCAATCCAGTGCTTCTTCGGTGTCCAGCCGCTCCTCTCAAATTTCAGATCAAGAAAATGCCAAACATTGGGAAGATTATAGGTACAGCGACGTCTCGACCTTCAAAGATTTACCGTCCAGAACATTTGGTGTGAACCAGCACATGCTGATCAACGCGGAGCTGAAAACTGCCTTTACCCACCTGCTCCGCGAGTTTCGGGCCCCCATCATTTTCTGCTTTGCGTACGGGTCGGGCGTCTTCCCCAGAGCGATAGCGAACGCAGCATCACCGATGCCGAATTCCGCGCCGTCCACCCGAAGCCAACGGAGGCCTTGATGCGCACGCAAAAGGGGAATCCCAAGATGATTGACTTTATCTTTGGCGTATCCCATGCTGAGCACTGGCATTGGTTGAACATGAAGCAGCACCCGGACCACTATTCCGGCCTCGCCTCACTCGGTTCGGGCGCCGTCGCTGCGGTGCAGGAGAATTTTGGCGCCGGCGTATACTTCAACCCGTACGTGACGGTGAACGGCATGTTGATCAAGTATGGCGTGACGAGCATCAACAATCTCTGTCAGGACTTGGCCTCCTGGGACACCCTCTATCTCGCCGGGCGGCTGCACAAACCCGTCAAGATCCTCCGCGACAACGCCGCCGTGCGTATAGCTAACCAGCAGAATCTCGTTGGCGCGCTCCGAACCGCGCTCCTCATGCTCCCCGAGACCTTTTCCGAGTTTGACTTCTTCTCCACCATTGCCGCCATCAGCTACCTCGGCGACCCGCGCATGGCGCTGCCCACTGAGAACCGAAACAAGGTCAATAACATCGTGACCAACAACCTCGTAAACTTCCGCCGACTCTATGCGCCGCTCATCGAGATGCTACCCAACGTCTCGTACGTAGGCGAGAGCGACGTCGGTAGCAGCGAGTGGCTCGAGAGTCCCGAGAACCACCTGCTGATGCAAGACATGGATCTTGTCAAGAGGGCCAATATGGTGCGGCGCCTCCCTTCGGCGTTCCGCCAGCGCCTCTACTTCCTCTACCAGTCCAAGTTTAGCATGACCCGCTCCGAATTCAACAAGCTGATGGAGGAAACGGCAGACGAGGATGCGCAGGGCTTCAAGAGGCGGCAAGGCGGCCCCTTTGAAATGCGCATCGCGCAGGACAGCGTGGAGGACCTACAGGAGGTGATGCGAAAGGCCATCAAGAAGACCATCTCGTGGCCCAGTACGACGCAGAGCGCCAAGGGCCTCATCACATCCGGATTTGGTCGGACGATGCGGTACATGAGCGAGAAGATGAATCGCTACAAGGAGGGTAACAGCAATAAAGCTGAGACCGAGAAGACCAAGGATGAGGCCCCGGCAAAGGAGTCAGAGCCCAAGTCTGAGGAAGTAGCCGCTGAGCAGGCGGACAAGAATTCCAGCAAGTCAGGCGAAGCCAAGGACGAAAAGAAGTCGGCTTGAGCTGCCCCTTGCCACAGTCTTGTACTTTTTCCTCTCCCTTTTCTTTTGTTAAATTTTTTTAAATCGTTCCTTATTACCCTTTGTTCGACCTCGTCTTTCTTTTGGGGAAGGGAGATCATCTGGGTGGTCAGTCATCACGAAATATTAAAACCAAGACGCGGGCGCGCGCATTGCATTTGCCAAGGAGTACCAGGATAGAAGGAGGTTACAGACGAAAATTAGAAGGCAACAGTTGGAGAATTGTATTTTACCAAGAGACAGTCATATATATGTACAGAAAAACCCCAATGAGAAAAAAAAAGCTTATATCCTACTTGAGCCACTTGTCCGTTGGTGTCCGCGTCCATCGAAGGGCGCGTGCGATTCAGTTCTGTTAATCCCCACACTCGTGCAGGGACGGCGTGAGGTTGACGAAACATGTGGCCAGATTCACGTCGGGCGTGGCTTCGGGATGATCTCTTCCCTCAGCTCAACGTAGACGGACTGTGAAATGATGGTGGGACTCTTGTCACGGTCACTCTCGGGCTTCGCATAAGCAAACCGAATCTTGACCTCTGCGCTGCGGGGCTCCGTGCTCTTGTACCAAGCAATCTTGGCCCGGGAGAGCAGGAAGCTAGCCTCGGGGATACGGTCAATGGTCACGCCTTTGCTGGAGCGCGGGACGACCTTGACGTTGACGGTGCCGCGGGTCTTGGGCTTGCCGTCCTCGGCGGCCTTGCTGGCGTAGTACTTGAGCACGTTGAAGCGCAGGTTGGACAGCATGGAGGGCACGGGGGTCGGCGTCGCGGGCGAGTAAAGGGATGGGCAGGTCGCTGCCGCGCGGGGGCATGTCACCCCAGGGAAGGGCGACCTCGATCCAGAGGAGGGGCCGATCGGGGACGAGGCTGGTGGGGCTGCGGACGATTTTGACGATGAGGTCGACGGGTAAGAGGCTGGTGCTGGGGACGAAGAGGCGGTTGCGTACGGTATACACGGCGAGTTCCCACTTGGGTAGGTCGGCGGCGGTGTTGGGGTCGTCGCTGCCGTCCGGGTGCAAGAGGTTGGGCTGGTGGGGGACGCGTGTGGGGTGGCCTTTGAGCATGCGGGCGCGCTCTGCGACGAGGAGGGCTTCGCGTCTCGGCGAGGGGGCGCGGGGCCGGATGACTGCGGTTCGGGCGGTGGTGAGGCCGTGGCGTGGGAGGGGATCGAGGGGCGGGGGCGGCGTGGTGTTGTTGGTGGTGGTGGGGAGGGTGAATTGGAACGTGGTGGCGGGCCCGCTGGTGGTTGGGAGAGACTTGGTCAGCCGCGAGGGGATGGCGATCCTGAGCTCGGGGATGGACTCGTTGAGCTGGAGGGCTAGGAGCGCCGAGGTCTTGGCCTCGTCGGAGAAATCGGCTCGGTCGAGCGTGGTCCAGAGGGCCTCGTGCACCTTGTCGAGGTAGGGCTCGACCTTGAGCGTGCGCGACTGCAGATCAAAGACTTCCTTGTCCCGCATGGGGAACGTCTTGGAGTAGATGGGCTTCTTGTTGGCCTTGTCGTGGCGCTTGTCGGGGTCCGGCTCTGTGTAGATTTTCTTGTACGAGACGGTGAGAGCGTCGTCGGAGATTTGGCTGCCAATGGTGAAGCGCTGCTGGTGCGGCGGCATCGTAAAGGTGATGACTTCGATGTCGGGGGAGGCAGTCGAAGAGGCAGTACATGGTGTCGTCGCTCAGCCTCTTTTGTACGAGGATCGGCGCCTTGGGCGGTTCCGGCTCGCCCGTCGCCGTGTTGGAGGTTGTCCGTGCGGCGGCAAACTCGACCGAGACGGTGATGTCCGGGAACTGCACAAGCAGCTGCGAGCGGACGAGGAGGCCGTACTTGGGCATCTGGATATGCCATCCGCCCAGGGTTGGGTCCGGCGTGGTGAGCCGCTTGTTGATGACGGCCTTGATGGCGGTGCGGCAAAAGTCCTCTTGGGGCGTGGCGCCCCAGTGATTCGCGAGGCTCAGCGCACCGTCGACGAGCGCCTCGGTCCAGTTCTCGTCCACGTAGAAGAACCTCAGCGTCTCCTGCGGGAGGTACGAAGGGTCCGGTAGTAGGTAGTGGGCGGGGACGTTGGCCAGGTGCAGCTTGTCGAGGACCCAGGCGTAGACGTGGGCGAAATCGGGGTTGTTGGCGACCTGGTGCTCGTTGTACAGGGAGCCGTCCGAGGCCTCTGCTAGGGAAAATGCGGCGTCATCGGCGTGCGCGGCGATGCGTGTGGAGATGTGCGGCGAGCGCATGGATATGCCGACGTGGTGGGAGGTGCTGTTGCTGTTGCCGGACGCCGAGGCCGCCGGGTGGGAATAATCCCAGCGGTTGGCGCCGACGGCCATGGACTGCCCAGCCTCGCCCGAAAGTGCCTGGTTCAGGGCGTTGAGACCTTTCACGAGGTCCCGCATCCCGGACACGGCATTGCCTCTGGACTGGTAGGTTCCCAGCGCGCTGTGCACGTCGACCTTGGATCGGCCCAGAGCGGCCGCATGGATGGCGCCTCGGAGCCGAGCGAGGGAAGCCGAGAAAGCCTGATCGCCCATGCCCAGCGTCTTGCCTAGCTGCCAGGCGCTCGAGTAGGTAATGTCCATCAGCGACAGGTTAGGGTCCAGAATCTGGAGATCGGTGCCAAAGTTGGACTGGATGGCAAAATCCTTTTCCTGACGCAGCGGGTGCGGGACGGATTTGGGCGAAAAGGGCCCGCGTATTATGGCAGCCGTAGTTTCGCCCGTGATGGTCCGGTGCCGCACCAGAGTATACCCGTCCTTCTGGCGCTGGCTAATAATATTGTCAAGCGGGTCCGGAGCCGGATCGTCGGCGGAGGTGGAGGGGTCTTTCTGCTCCTCTTCGTCGGGGGCATCTGCGGGTGCAAAACAGTCATGTTCGCGCCGAGGTGCTCCAGCCGCGCTCGGGGCTGGCGTCACCCTCCGCGGGAAGACAATTGTACGTCCAGCTGTGCAAACTGACCATGGCAACGCGGTCACTATCCGACGAGAGCGGGAGGCTCTTCTTGGTATTGAGAGAGACGAGATGCACAACCGTCGTCGTGGGTACTTTTAATCCGATAGGGCCGGTCCGGGGCGATATCACAATGCTGAAGAGTTCGGATTCCTTATCATCGCCATTTCCGGCGTCCGGCTTCCCAGCCACCGCCATGCCGTCAACGGCAACCTGCCGCACGTGGGCCAAATACTTGTACTGCGACACGTCGAGAGCGTCACTCTTGGCGACGGGGTCCGTAAAAGCGAGACGAACAAGTCCTTTTTCAGAAACACGACGTCGACGGGGCCCTCGGCATCGTGAGCGTCATTCGTCTCGTCAAACGGGATCGCGTTGACAACCCCGTTCAGAAATGGCGTCTCCCGGGCGCGCATGCGCACCGCCATGGTCTCGCTTTGCTTGCGTTCGACCTCAGGGAGCCGCGTCAGGACGTCGCCGAGATCGCTCGGCTCTAGCCGGAGCTCGTCGGGGGTGAAGACCAGCAGGAGCAGCCAGGGCGCGAGGTTCCGCGGGTCCTTGTCTTGCACCTCGTGCTCGACAAACGTCGGGTCGCGGTTCCACGGCATGTGCGCGTCCTTGAGGACGATGTGCGGCAGCACCGTCACGGGCGCGCTCTCGCCGGGCGGAGGGTACACGGAGTCCACGGCGCCGGCGGGCAGGTTGTACCGCGGGGCGATGACATTGAACTCTTGGGTGTCGGCATCGATCTTGCCCGGCTTTTCTTCATCGGGAACGGTGACGTCCTGCCATACCTCGACCGTGTGGATGCCGCCCTGCAGCGAGGGTTGGTAAAAGGAGAAGAAACGAACCTCGCCCGGGAGGAGATCGCGGGGCTTCTTGGACAGCAGTCGGCGCATGTGCCGGTGCACGAGATGGCGGTGCGAAGACATGTTGTTTCTTTTTTCTTTTTTTTTTTCCTTTTTTCCTTTGCTGTCACCAAATGTGTTCTGGTCGGCGCTCTCTTCTCTCCTTGACTACTCTATTCGCCCACTGGTACAAAGTATTATCGAGTCCCGAAACCTGATGGCAACCAGCACACAAAGATGGCAAGCCTTCTCCCAGACACTGGCTTACAAAGAGTTGGCCGGAGAGAGGGGAGAGAGGGATAGAGGGAAGACGGGGAGGTCGGGGTAAGGCCTAAGGGGGATTGTCAACACGCTTCTTGTTGATCAGAGCCGTTAACCCCATCATTTCAATATTAGTTCCTCCATTTTCTACTTCGTATTAGTGTATGCTGTGTATGTAGTGCAGCGTCGTGTGCATATAATGACTTCTAGAGCAGGCCATCAATAAATGACGAAAAGAATGGGGCCCGTTGATCGAATCCGGACGAACCCCTGCATCAAGGCAGCTGATATTCAAATAGCGCCGTGCAAGCATGTCCACGAATATCGCAGGGGACCGCAGTTAACCGTTCTCCCGTCCCCGCCACGCCGGCGCTAGTGAATGTGACCCGGCCCAGTCTAACCGCCCGCACACAGCCAGCCACTTGCTGCTGGACCTGGACTGATGGGGGATGGATCTAGTGTATGGATATCTCATAAGATTTTGGAAGGGTACACTACCTTTTTCACTAATGCTCGTCCTTGCAAGGTCCGCTATTCTTCTCGCCACCGCTATCTTGTCACTTCGTGTTAGTCAATCATCCACACACAGACCAATCCCTCAATCCACGTTGCCACGATCCATGGACGGGGTGAAAGCGGAGGTGCTTGCTTTCGCACTTGACAGCAGCCTCATCGCATTCTCTGAGAGAACGATCACCATAGTAGAAGATTAGAATACAAAATTCACGCGTGAAAAGTTAACTCCTGTCCTGCCTATCTCGTGACTCTATTGCTCCGGCCTACCAACCATCATGACGTACCCTTCCAGTGCCGTGTAAGGGCCACTCTCAAAGCGCGCCCTTTCATCGCTCACCTCCACCGGCAGGGGCATAAACTTCTCCACTACCGAGGTTTCGTCGCCGCCACCGCCGCCGCCGCCGGGAGAGTCAGCCTTGCTACCAGGATCTTTCTCCGCTTTGTCCTCTTCCATGTACGGCTGCAGCCACGCCCAATCCCCTCCGGCCACCGCGGGCAATTTTACAGGTTTTACAGCGTCGTCGATCTTGGGTACGACTACGGGTGTTCCCGGTTGTAGCTGGCGCCCAGAGATGATGGCCTTGGGTACGTCGGCGGCGACCACAAGGGGCCCGGCGTGGAAAAACGCCTTCATACGGGCCATGGCGTCCTGCCACGTCCATGCCGGCAAGGACAGTTCGCGCACCGGCTGCACCCGGAATAGCTGTGCAGCGGCGCAAAGGGGTCCACGAGCACTCCATATACGGCCAAGTGCCCGTTGCGGGCTTCAGCGTAAGCGTCAGCTGTGCGCGCAACACCTTCGGGGCTCTCCCAGAAGGCGGGCAGGGAAATGTGCGCTGGCCGAGTCACGGGTGCTGGCGTTTCAGACGCGGTGGCGGCTGGCGCATAGTGCGAAGACAGGGTAGAAAGGTCGAGGCCGAGGTCCTTCACCTTTGCTTCCTTGCCAAGGTCCCTGCGGCATGGGAAGTAACCCACTAGCCCGTCAAAGCCGCGCTCGTCGTCGCCTAGTCGCACGGGGAACGCATATCTATTAGGATCCGGAGTTGGCTCCGGCTCTGATTTGCCGCCGGTATTCCCACCACTTGGCTTGCGCGGTGCGAGAAGTACCCAATCCGGATCCAGGTCGCCGACAGACTGGCTAACCAGCGCATCAGCTGCCAGCTCGAGCGACCAGCCAGCATGCGCCAACGCTACAGGGCGGCCCACCAGGGCGTTGGCGAACCCCGCGTACGAATCTGGTGCAGGCAGCATGTGATCTGCCGCCGCTACAAGCACGTCCCAGAAGGCGCGGAGGAAAATGTCGTCCCCGAGCCGCTGGGCTAGCAGTTGCAGCTGGGCCAGTTCCCGCCCTCCTCGCTTAGATCCACCTCTGTCGGCGGCGGAAACGGCAGCCACTCTGGTCCCGTCTGTGCCCCTGTGGGGCCGGCCATGCGGATCTCACGGTAGAAGCTGCCGTCGGCCTGGAAGAGTTGGATTCCCAGATTGGCGTAGTTGATCAAAACCCACCCCCATATGGGGTTCTCCCAATCGTCCGCCGGCTTCCAAAGTGATGCGCCACCAGCCGTAGAGTTGTTGGGCTTGACAAAGACCGAGTTTAGGCGGGAGAGCTGGTTGATTTGGGGCGGGATCTGCACGAATTCGCACCGTTCTGGCTTCTCTTTCTTGGGCTTTTCCTCCTTTGGATCGGAGCCCCCGCCTGCGGTACTCGGCAGCTCGCGCTCGATTACATTGGGAGCGCGCTGGGCCGGGTCGCCGCCCCAGATCTGCGGCGCGTTCCACTCCCCAATGCATGGCCACACCTTTTGCGGGTGTTCAGCCGGTGTCGGGTCGATGGCGTGAATGGCCTGTCCAAACTTGTCAATGATGTTGAGCCGCGTGAAGCGGAATTGCCCGTGGGTTGCCGGCTTGAACAGAGGGTGGCCGGTTGTCGACGTCTTCTTCTCCGTCCCAAAAGGGGTACTGTCCGTCTCGGCCCCAATGCGCTTGAGCTGCGCACGGTCAAACCCGGCTTGCTCTCGCTCTGCCTGCGAGATAGGTTCCACGTTGCCCGTGGTCCCGTGGCGCAAGTTGGGCTTGATGTGGCTGCCTTGCAGGACTGTGGTGAGGTGTGCCGTGAGCCCGGCGAGCGGCGCCGAAAGGAAGGCAAGCTTGTGCAGATCGCGCTGTAGCTCGTCACGCGTGGGGCCATCCGGGAACGTCTTGCCGTCCTTTTCATTGAGCTTGTCGGAAGGCGTAGATGCAAAGAGCTGTTTGATTTTGGCTTCGAGCGAAAAGCTTGGCTGCGGCAGGATGAGCGCTCGGCCCTGGATGAGATGCCGGTCTCTTTTGACTTGTCCGCGTACTCGCCCGCGAGATCGGTGGACGCCGGGATGCCATATCGCAATTGGGAGACGGTACTCGTGCGGCTTCCACGGCTTTCGAGAGTCCACTTATCATACGGCACATGAAAGTACTCAACCTGCCATTCGAGAAATAGTGGAAACCACGCCTGTGTGTCGTTCCACCGATCCCGCCACGCTCCCTTGAGTTTGGCGCCCGCCAGATCATCATGGAACAGCGGAAGCTGTTGTACACCCGTCAGCGCAGGCTCTTGCGGCTGCGTGACTCGACTTAGGCTCGTAAACTCGGAAACGAGACGCTTAATGGTGGTACGCAACTTCTCAGGGAGCTTCGGCAGGAGTGTATCCGTAAATCCCTGCCACCTTGGTATGTCTGGGTCTTCGGCTGCCACGATTTGCGAGTCGATGCGGACTTGCAGAGTGTCGAGGTAGTCATGAGGCCATCCGGAACTAACGCCCCCGACCACCAAGGTTGGGTCACGCTGCTGGTAAAAGGCAGGCTTGGCGCCGGGCTGCATATGCTCGCCCTTGGATAACTGGGAAATCGTGGTCTGGCAGGCTTTGGCTCGCAAGTCAAGTGCATCAATTCGATTACCCAAGTCGTTGACGCGAGCCTTGACGATCCGGTCTTGCTTTTCGTCTGCTTTATTGTCGCCCGTAAGGTTCCGGTCGGTCACGTACCGCCACCACTCAGAAAACAGGTCCCACCGTAGGCGGGTCGTTGTGCGATGTATCGCATCCATAAGTTGCTGCTCCCTGTTTAGCGTCCGTAGATCACCCAGCAAGCCCGGGTCCGGTCGTGCCGCTCCCGACTCCTTGGTCGTCTTGCCTGAAATATTCCACGCCTGGCCACCGTCGGCTCGAACGTAATTCCAGTTGTAAAGCAAATCGCGCGCTTGTTGCTGCGTTTCGACACCATCGTCGCGCGCGAGAAGATGCGTTTCCAGCCCGAGGATAAGCTCCTCCAGGCGCCCGAGCTCTTTGGTGTCAATGTCTTGGTGAGCGCGCGCGTAGGCCAACAGGGCATCCATAGGCGTAGTGCCTACCGACAGCGGGAGGACGCTATTGATTTGTTTGCTTGAAATGTCTGCAGGCACGTGGCACGGTTTCGCGGCACTCTTCCAGCGCACATTATACATGGCCCCGTGGCACAGCGTGTGTGTCGACTGTATGGCCTGGAGCCAGCCTTCGAACAGAACGTTCGGCTGACGGCGCTTGTCCTCATCCAAATCCTCGTCCAGTTTGATGCGCAGCTTCAGATCATTGAGGCGTGCCTGCCTAGTCATGGTTTGCTTCTTTGGGTCGCCATAGAACATGTCCTCCCCTCGGCAGCATGCCATCCTATGACATAGTAGCTGGCGTCTGCTTGGGTAAGGAACTGACCCGGCTTGTACTCGAAATTATCAACGATGGAGAAGACGTTGGAGCAGTGAGGCTGGTAGTCGGCAAAGAGTTGGTTGGACGACGCGAGCAGGCTAAACTGCTTGATCCGCCTGATTTTGGTATCGTTCTTCGTTTCCTTCCACTGTGCCAGCTGCGTTTTGCGGCCAATAAAGACTTCGGCCTGCTTGCTGAGGTCGACATCCGCACCACCCTCGGCGCTGATGAAGGGTGAGACATCTACCTGGAGGTCAACCTCGGGCCCGAGCTGCTCGAGGTCCTGCAGGTAGTCGCTTTCGACGACCCAGGCATCAAACTCGGGAACGTGCGGCCTTGCAACCTCAGGCTGGATGGTCTTGGGGTCCGCGATGTGCCTGATGACAAGCCAACGATTAGGCACGCTTGGAAAGGCTGGAACACTTGGGTCGACTTCGCCCTTATCCTTGTCGCCGTTCTCCTCGAGGTGCTCGTAATCGTCGTCGCCGCCGCCTTCGCCTTTGCCTTCGCCCTCATGCGCTCCTCTGCCCACGTGGATACCCCGAGCTGAGCGGCTTTCAAAAGACCGCTGCACAGCCTCTTGTTGCTTTGCGGCCGCCACGCCGCTACGGTACAAACGGGGAGGGTCCAGTGCAAGTAGACGCCCTGGCGGCGGACTCTTGCTTCGTCGATGCCAAGGTCAGTGAAGCGCGAGTTGAAGTCAGCGGGCCAGGAGTCATGCAAATCTATAGGATCGAGGATGTCGCTCTGGATGTAGTCGGTGTCGAGCCGTAGAAAGGTGTAGTTGGGCTGCATGATGGGTGCCATTTTGGCGAACACCGGCTTGTCTTTCCCGGGGTCTCTCGGGCCCTCCATATTGAGAGGGCTGCAGCCAGAGTGGCCGCCATCCTCAGCATTAAAGACGGGCCTGTTGAAAACAAAGGCATCGAGTTTCAATGGGAGAAGGATCTTTTGGTCTTTGTTCGAAGCCATGATGCTGTCGCGAAGTCAAGCGGGGTATACGATATGGCAAGAACTCGCGGTAATCGTCGACATGGGCATAGGAAAGTATCCGACAACTTGTGATTTCTGCTGCAACTCGGCGGGCAAGTGGGATCAGATGAGATGTGTAGATGACTGCTCAGCAAGGCAGCTCTCCTCCTCGACCGCATCAGGGAATCAATTGATTGATCCATACAGCATAGATCCATGGATAGATCCATCCATGGATGCCATTGATGGGTGTAGCTCCTTCCGATAACACAATCCCCACGACAGTTGACAGTTTATTCACTAGCACAAGTCACCAAGCGACAACGTTGGTGGCAACCGGCAAGAGCGACGATGGCGGCAAGGCTCCTTCCGCATGACACTTGCACTACTTGGATATCACTTCCTGAATTGGTGGAGTTCGCATCAAGCAGGCGCGTCTGAATACTAGGGTCTGAAGAATATTGAAAGTGACTACAGGGGACCAACGCAGGGAGCAGGGGCTAGTGCAAGTTTGAAGAGTGGGCGGTGTCGAGGTACCGAGGTACACTAACAATAATAGATTTTGGAGCTCGGGGAAAGCGGAGGCGCCACTTTCCCAATGTAGTAATGGCCTCGCTCGGCCCGTCCCATCCAACGGGCGAGAATGTGTCCAATGGCAGCGCTGCAAGGGCCTAAAAGGGGAACGCCCTTCTCCAGACCCGCCGGACGCCCTCTCCTCCCACCGACATGTATGCGAGGGGTATCCTAAGGATGTCTGTTTGAGAGTTGATAGGACTGGAATGGATTCAATGTCACATCCATTGAGACGACATATCACTCTTTCTCCTAGCTTGTACACCGCGTGTGGACTAGCGGCAATAGCCACCGTGGGCCGCGGCTAGCTAAGGGTCTTTCAATAAATGCCCCGTCACGGAGGAGTGGTTTCCGAATCAGGGCATTCATCGTGGAATGCCCCAAGAAACTAGCAAGATATGTGGCGAGCTGAGAACCTGGAGGGCTCAGGGCCTCGAAGCGGGGAAGACCGAGCTGGGGTTGGGGTGGTTGGTTAGTCTCTCCTCTATCGCTCACTTGACCTCCCGTTGCTCATCCAAGCGAGAACGAGAGGAGGAGTGAGGGCAAAGGATGGAGAGGAGAGGAAAGGAGGGGAAGGAGGAAAAGGAGGGGAAGCGGGAGAAGCGGAGGGCATACCGGAGGGAAGACAGAGGAGGAGGCAGTGACGAGGGGGCCCGGCAGGTTACAAAAGCCGCGCGTTGGCCTTGCACTCTCCTCGTGCTTCCGTCTTCTGTCCATCGTCGAGATCAGGAACTATGGCAAACGAAAAAGAAACTACTAGCACCGTTATCCCTCCTGTTTTGATACCTGAGGAACGTACTGACACCGGCTCAGAGGACGACAAGGACAACAAAGCCTCTATCAACATGTCGCCTCTCGCCGTCATCCCCAACCCGGTCGGCGCGTCCAAGGACAAGATCGTGCTCATTTCATGCAGCAACCTCAAGACCTTGACGTTCCAGCACCGCACCCTGTCGGGTGACGTTGGACTCACCCTCTCAAGCCAGGATGGCGACAGCGCCGCGGCTACCGTCCTAGCCTATCCTTCGTCGCTCACGGCCATGGTGTTTGGCGATACACTTTGCGTCTTTGGCGTCACTGGCAATGAGGGCAACTACAAGATTTCCCTCGTGAGCCCGGCTTACCAGCCCGCCTCCCATCTCTCGCCCAAGACGACTTCCCTGGCGGGCTTCTCGAGAGGCAGCACACAGGGGTACCTGTATTATCAAGGGTAAGGGTCCTACATCCATCCTGCTTGCTCATTCTCCCGCCGGGCTTTTTCCCTAGCTCTTTTACAATGTTTTCCTCTGCACAGGCTACATATAGCAACAGAGCTAACAATGGGGTGGGTGACCCTCTACAAACTATAGCCTCAAGGACGACGCCGTGGCTATCAAGGAATGGGCTTTTACTTCGGCCGGGAAGATGCGTAACTCGGCCGTTGATGTGACTACCATAACCTCAATATTGCCGGGCACCCAGCCAGCCGCCGCCACCGACGAGAAGAGGAATCGCTGGCTAGCGTACCAGCAAGCTGATGGCAGAATTGGCGTGCATAACGGCCGGACGGGCCTGAGTAAGTTGTTCAGAACAAAGATCAGGCCCTTTTCCGCCACTTCAAAGACTTCACGGAGCTAACGATAGCCCTAATTCTTAGACTACGCCATCGACAGCAGCGTAAGCGTGATAAAGTCAAAGTGTAGCTTGGCTATCTGCGTTACCCCATACACAGGCCGGCCTAAGCCGTATATTTATGTCTACTTTGTTGACCTCCTCAATCGTGTACGCGTGGCAGTTAGCGCCATCGGCTCTGATGAAAACAACGCTCTTTCCTTCACGGTCGACGAACCCAAGCCGACGTTTGCCTCTCGCGAGGGCCCGACCGCTCACATCAAGGTCCACGACTGGTCCCAACTTGCGGCGGTGCCCTATGCTACGCGTGTGGACCCAGACGACGAGGACGCTACCAAGGTCAAGCCGTGCAATCTCCTGTTTGGAGTCACGCAGGACGGCGAGAGCGGCATCTCCCAGATCGAGTGCGACGAGTGGTCCAAGTGACAGCCCGTCGAAACTCCTCCCCGTCGAGCCACGGCGCTGAAGGGAAGAATGTGGTGGTAGTCGACGGTGGGTGGATACGGGGACTCGAAGGCCTAGAGATTGAGTTTCGGGGTACCATGGTCTTTCGGCCAAAATCAAAGCTCTAGTCTGGTGCAGGTATATCCATACTATTCAATGATCCGTTGGATATATCGGATTGGTCTAGCTAGATACGTTCTCTGCCTTGATTTTGATTAGCTACGAGAATCATCAACTTTTCTTAAAGTGCACGCATCAGTTCAAGTGACCATCTTAATTACATCGCCTTCGTCGCGTCCCTGGCCTATTTTCTTTCCATAATGTTGTCGTGCCTCCCCCGCGCTTATTCAGTAGGTCAAAGTAGTCACTCATCCCTTGTCGCTCCCGTGAAATCACCTGCCAGACGCCAGGTAACCTTGAGGTGAACACCTACCCCTTTGTGCTCAAACCTAGCCGTAACTAGTATTCTTCCACATTTCTATACACTGAGCTTGGTCTGTGTGATCCAGGATTAGTATTAGACCGGCACTGGTGCCGGGGTCGATGTGACAGGTCCCCCACGCCACCCCGAATGTGCATGAACAGGGGGCAGCGGGTGGCGAACCTGTGCTAGCTCTTACCCCATTGCTCCCAATTTGTCCATTTATCGGTCTCTTGAGGCAGCTGAAGCCCGCTTCGGCCTTCCAGCCCCCTTCCCATAAACGAACACGGGGTTCTCGCCTCATCTCGGGGTGTGCGGGTCGTCCCGCCAATTCCAGTCCGGAGCATCGGCCTTTCCTCGCCAAGGGGAAGCGAACCGACCATAGACAAGTAGACAATGCAATATTATTGGCGATTAGGCCATTTTCATAATAGTCTCAAGGATGATAATTATACAAAACAGTGCTAAGTGATCGTGACCTTTGGTAGCCGCTCGACTAACAGCCTTCCTAATACTTTGTGCCAGCCAACCCCGTCGGCGAAGTGGACGCTTCAGTCCATCTGAAGAAAATCTAAACGCTCCCGTCTGGCTCTTTCCCTTTTTCATTCAAGGCTCGTGGTTCTGCTGCACATCTTCTTCACTCTTGATTCTAGCATCCCGCCCTGGGTCCCTGAGAGCTCACAGTTCTTTGGTTCCGCCGCGTTGCATCCTTGATCTCCCTCAGCGGCTGGGCACAACAAGGGAGACCCGCGCATGAGAGAAACCCACACCCAAAGATGGATCCTGCGGCAAAGTACAGCGTGCACTCCTTTCAAATCAACATCGGCGTCGGTGATGGGGCCATCCACCTCGTGTGCACCCGTGCCGGAGGCGACAATGGCACCAAAACGGTTGTCCGGGCTGTCATGCTCGACGGCGGAGAAGGAGCAAAGGTGAGGGACCCGGCGGAGATGGCCGTGGAGGCCTTTGGAGACGACTCCGATGACCCCGACGACCCCGACGACCCCGACAAGCCCGACAAGCCCAACTTCCCCAAACGCCCCGGACGCATCGGAAAGCCAGGCAAGGAAAAGAAGAAAAGAAAGCCAAAAGGGGGAAAAAGGCGAAACGGGAGAAATGGATAAAGATGCTGGAGGATAACTACACGTTTAATCCGAACATTAGCAGCACAATCAAATACATCGAGGACAACTTCCAGTGTCAGGGTCCAGAACTGGACGGTGGTACCAATACGGATCGGCCCCGCCTCCGCTTCCACGCCTTCGTCGTCACTCACTGGGACTCGGATCACAGCGACGGCATCATGTATTTCTTGAAGAAGGATGTCGACGACCAGTATGACACGCGCAAGGACGGAACACCGCAAATCCAGCCAGGAGATATCCGTCTCAAGCGAGCAGTGTACGGCCAGAACAACGTACCAATGTCCTTCTTCTATGCCCCGAGCTGGAAAAAGTTCCAGGACCCCGAAACCACAGTAAAGTATTCCCTATGTTCCCTACGCGATGGAACCTCGCATTCTTAAGCGACGGCGACGAGGGCCAAGGCCCCGACCTAGCGTCCACGGCCCGGTTGTCCATTCGGTTCGGCGAACGGAAAGTGAACCACGTTTCCGCGCCCCTGCTCCTGATGCACACCTCCATCACAACTCTCCTAGGCCGCAACTTGTTCAGGCTTGACGCCTACGCGGCGCCAGGCATTGGACAGCCGGCCCTCGGAAGCCTGAAATCCATAGAGCAGCTGGTGGGGGCGAGCCCCCGCGTTTGCCCGACTACCCAACGCCGAGCAACGATAGTCAGGTGCCAGGCTTGTACTGCGTTGCAGTGAACCGAAGAGTGGTTGGCAATCCAGCGGAGACATACCTCTCGAGAAAGAATATGTCTAGTATCTGCTTGCTGGTTATATGGGCCAATGGCGATGCCACTGGGCCATACCGCGTCAGCCATTACCTCGCTGGGGATTCCCACGCGGACCTTGAATCGGGAATATGTGACTGGGTCGGCTTCACCAACGCTGACCAAAACCATATCGCGGTCCTGAAACTGAGCCACCATGGAGCTTGGAATACCTCATCTCCCCAAGATCTCATATCGCGTCTCAAACCACAGACCTTTGTGGTGTCTGCGCATGACAAGGCAAAGACCTGGCATCCCCGTAAGTTTTACTCTTTCCCCTGGGCTTATTATTGTATTGGGATGAATGCTAATCCGGTCTTGTTTCACCGCCTTCAACAGGCTGGGAGCTACTTCACCTCATAAATGGTTGGATAAACTATAGCAGATATGCGACTCCGCCCGCCCCGACTCGCCTCTTCATCACAAACTACCCATGTTACATCTGGGATAAACTCAACCCGCTCGAAGTCGACGGCTTGGGTGATTGTGACATGTCTTTGAGGCATGTAGAAGAGGTCTTCAAACAGATTCGAACCTGGCATACGGATCTCAAGGCAGCCCGTGCTCTCTCGGACCCTTTGGGCATGCTGGCCGCCTTACCAGAGCCTACCTTCACCAACGACATTTTGAAACCAGACTGCGACTGGGATGCCTCCGAGAAGCGGACCAGGATCATTGCTGAAGTTCGAGACAACGTTATTAGGCATATTTGCCCAAGCTTCGGGAGACTCACGAATGAGAATGTGAACATTGAGGCGGTGTGCTATGAAGTGCTAGGCTTCACCTCGATGCGAGAGCGAGTGCTGGTCAAGTACTCTGGAGAGCCCCAAGCCAGGTTGGAATTCACTCTACCGCCTCGCGTACAGGCCGTGTTGCGCCATCCCCATCGTGAAAACCATCATCAGACTAGTTCCCACCGGCGGACAAAGACGGTTAGTTCTATCGAGTCCTGGGGAATAATTTCGGAAGGGAGGGTGGTAGCGACTCCTCTGAGTCCCAGATGGGTGACGACAGTGCTGATAGTGATATCGATGCCGTGTCTCGGGAGTGGAGGAGGTTGAAACCTGCCCGCACCGCCGCGGTCCTCTCCCCGAGGCCGAGGGACCTTGGTGAGGACTCATACCTGCGCCTTATCCCAGAGGGTTCCGCTCTTCCACCCCTGCCGGCCGACATCGCACTACCTCGGAACAACCCCTCCACCGATTCGTCTCAGCCCTAGCGACCGCACACCTCCGGCTCCACAGAGACCCGGCTCCCGTGCCCGGCGCGAGCATCCCCTTTGCCGATGACGACGAATGGCAAATGTGGATGCGCAAATCCCTCCCTTCTGACGAAGCCCAGATGAGCTTCACACCCGCCTCATGGCCGCTGTCTGGGAGCCCTAGTGACACTACCGTGGCTGACTTTACCTGTCGGGCGCCAATCGGCGGCGGGAGGGTGCTGATTCTCGACACAAAAGCAGCGCCTGCAGTGCTGGGTGTAAGTCAAGCCGCCATCAATAGCATGTATTCCCGAGCTAGAGTCATGGTGTTTGGCGCTCGAATCGAGATGGTAGAGGGCGACTCAAGCGCTCATCGAAGAAGGCCAGGGCGTGCTAGCATCACTACCGCCAAAAGGTCCAAATGCCTCGTCTCCCGTGCCCCGAACAATGAGACCTGGAAACTTGTCGATCTCGCGAAATTCATAGAGCTCGGTGACAACCCCATCATCGCGGCCCTCGGTTCTCTAAACCTGGTTCCGGTAACGTCCATCCCTTCCCCTAGCGATCCTACCAAGATGGTTCCTTGCCGCAACGCGCTCTGGTTCGAAGCCGGAGCCGCCCACCTGAGCAACCTCCGTCTCGAGTTCCAGCTGTCGGAAGACTCGCCCCTCAAGACGTTTCAACAGTGGCTGGGTGGCGCCGAGGGCCTGCACGGCTTCTCCGTGGAAAGCGTGTCGGTAGTGGCTCGCAAGGAATGGCGCATGTACTACGGGCCCGCCAGCGACACCATCAAGGGGCAAGGCGAGATCTCTTTCCGGCTCGCGGTCAAGCTCGGGGGCTCGCCTTTTCAGCCTACCTGACCATCGAGCCTGGGGCGCGGCTCCTCAAGATCCGCCTGCAGCACGACAAGCCGGACGAAAACCTGCTCGTTTCGCTCTTCGACTGGATCACCGAGGCGTTCAATTTCAGCAGCGCGGACGACTTTGAGGGGAAGAAATGGATCGACATGGCCAGAGAGCGCAAGTTTCTCAGCTCGGTTCGCCCGCGCCTGTTCGAAATCTCCATCGCCTGCAATGAAAACGGTGTACCTACGAGTGTCGACGGGGTCCGTCTAGAGCTGCAGATTCAAGTCGATGTCGGCAAAACGTCTGAAAAGGCCGACCGGCCACTCGTATTCTTCCTCACGCTAGGCTGGGCACGACAGATGGGCGCGTTCCTGAGGGGCGGCTTTGGTGTCCGCCGCCAGAGCCCAAAGATTCCTTCTTGCGTGCTTTGCCGTCGTACCAGGCCGAAGCTGATCTTAGACCCATCCTCGATGGTGGAAAGTTGCCTCTTGAGAATGTGGACCTACAAGCCCTCGTCGGCTTACCTGGGGCCCTACCCAGGGGATCCCTACCACTGTCTCCCAGGCAGAACTAGAACTCACTACGCACGGCATGTCGTTTGCAGGGGCGCTCATATGCGGCGAGGATAGCGGCAGCCGCCCTCCGGGCAGCGTTCCTTCCATCAAAATTGACAGCTTCAAAGTCGAGGTCGGATGCCATTGGAAGTCATCACCAGCAGTGTGGATGTTTAAATTCGATATATGCATCTATCTATACTCGGGCGGGAAACAAACTCTCTCCGGCAAGGAGGAGAACAAAAATGAGGATCCAAAGAGGAGCTAGTGCCCGCGTCTCTTAGAGGGAGGATCGAATATAACGCTGGCCGTTGGGAGTTGTCTGCCGGAGTAGAAAACCTGACTGTAGGCCATCTCGCCAATTTCTTCGAAAGTGGCTCAAGAACAGGAGTCATGTCCCTGCTCGAGCACCTTAAGATCGAGTCTCTATTCCTCAGTTACGTGTACGAAAGTGGCGATGACGCGGGCGGCAAAGAGTTTGAGTTTAACGGTGTTCTCCTACTCGGCCCCTTGCGCCTGGGCCTATCCTTTACCCACAGCGACGGAGAGTGGGACTTTGAGGCAACCCTAGGAGTTGACGATGACGACCTTGGCCAGCAGGGAACCATTACTCTTGGCGATCTTCTCCAAGCACTCATGGGTGGAACCATCTCCGAGCTCCCCAAGGCCGTGAGCGAAATCCCAGTATCCAAGCCTGGAGGGAGCAGCGAGCTTCTCCGCCTCTCATGCTCCAAGACCGAGGGCCCCGCAGACGCAGAGGGCAAGCCCACCGAAATGATTATACTCGTGGCGTCGGTCTACATCTCATCCGTCAGCTTAACTTTTACCCAGTGGCGGGGAACTCACTGGCCGAGCAATTGCCCTTCGAAGCGTGTCATCAAGGTCGCCGTGAGCGATATCGGCCCCCTAGATGCGCCGCTTGTCGGCAAGATCGAGAACTTGCCGCTCCAGGAGGTTGCGTATATATGGGTAGCCGATGAGGCGACGGCCAATCTTCCCAAGCCCCCTTCAACGGCCGCGGACGAAACCCCCAAAAGGCCGGCATTACCAAGGCAGAGTTCGATATCTTGGCCGAGATGTCCGAAAACAATAAAGACAGGCTCTTCTTCAAGCCGGACAAAGCCGATGCGGACAAGATTCTCGACACGGATTTTGTGCTCCTCGCCGCGTCGCACTTCATGGTCATTGCAAAGAATTCCAAGGGCGAGGAGAGGGCCGTTCTCGACTACATCTTTGCACGACCCAAGCCGCGCTCGAAACCTAAGCCACCGGCAATCTCCGGTCCCGACAGCGAGGATGATTATTATAGACGCGATCCCAATGAGGATGTACTAGCGCCCGCTGGGGATGCGCAGAGTTCATCGGAAAAGGAGGTGTCCAAAGCGCCGTGGAAAGCCACCATTGGGCCCCTCAGCATCGAAAATATTGGTCTACAATTCGACCTCAAGACGCAACGGCTCGGGATAGTGCTTGATGCGACCTTCCTCATGGGCCCCATCGGACTAGCGCTTCTCGGCTTTGGACTCAGTGCGAAGCTCGGAGGCGAGTCCAAGGCCAAGCCCAAACCTCCAAACACAGTCGGGCAGAAAGGCCTCGGCGATAGCCTCGCTCTGTCGGAACTCGCTGTTTCCCTAGAGGGCATGATTGTCTCTTTCGATAGGCCACCGGTAACCGTGGCGGGCGGATTCATGCATTCTAATGTGGATAACGTCGACTGCTATGCGGGAGGCTTAATCATCGGGTTCAAGCCATACGCCATCGAAGCTATCGGCGTCTACGCCAAAGTGCCCAAGAACCCCCAAGCAGCTTAGCCCCCACCGGGTATACGAATTTGACAGCGTCGAAGATGAGATGCGGTATGAGCAGGAGCGGTGGGTTTTGGACGGCGAGGAGAACACTACGTTTACAATGTTCTTCGTCATGTTCAGAATCCAAGGACCTCTATTCTCGGTTGGATTCGCCGATATTGCTGGCTTGACAGGGGTGTTGGTATCAATACCGAGATGCGCCTGCCAACGGCAGAAACGGTCCTATCGTTCCCATTCGTCCGGCCCACCTCATCAGACAAGCCAGACGCTGAATCCTCGCCCATCAAATCTCTCATGGCTCTTTGAGGAAGCCAGAAGTCGGACAAGGCGGCGGGGCCGCCTGGTTCTCCGCCCGGGAAGGTTCCTTTTGGTTCGCAGCCGGGTTCAAAGCCACGGCGTTCCAGATGCTCTCGGTCGACGCGCTCGTCGTGGTCCAGCTGAACCCCGAGGTGCAGCTCGGCATCTACGGCGTCGCCGTCTGTGATCTTCCTAGCCTAGTATCCCCCTCAAGTTTGCGCATGTGGAGCTCGGTATCGCGTGCACCCTTGACGTTGGGGCTGGAACCTTTAAGCTTGAGGCACAACTGTCTCCGCGCAGCTTCATCTTGGACAGCAGCTGCCATCTCACCGGCGGCTTGGCCCTGTACGCGTGGTTCGCGCCCAGGGTGCCCTCTTCGGACCCGGAGATAAAAGATATGCAGGGAGACTGGGTGTTGACGATCGGCGGGTACCACCAGGCGTTTAACCGTCCGCGCCCGTATCCGAACCCCCACGGCTCGGTATCAATTGGTCGCTCAGCAGCGCGCTGCGCATCTCGGGCGAGGCGTACTTTGCCGTCACGCCGCGAGTTTGCATGGCGGGTGGCAAGTTGAACGCGGCACTGACGCTCGGTGCGCTCTCGGCCTGGTTCGATGCGTTCTTGGACATGCTGCTTAATTTCGATCCTTTCTACTTCCGCGCCGTGGGCGGCGTGAGCGTGGGCGTACGCTTCTCCATGGACCTCTGGCTCGTAACCATTCACATTGCCGTGGAGATTGGGGCGACGCTGACCGTTGCAGGCCCACCCATGGCGGGCATGGTGCACGTGGACTTTTGGGTGTTTGGATTCGATATCCAGTTCGGAGGCAAGATGGCAGAGAAGCCTGACAAGAAGACGTTGCTTCAGTTCAAAGAGTTGGTATTCAAGACGAAGTCGAGCTCCTCCAGCGCTCTACCTAACAATATTTTCATGTCACGATTGGAAGGAGGGGCTCTGCGAGAGCTTGATGATGACAATGAAGATGCCGGAGGGTGGGTGGCTCTCGAAAACGCTGGGGAAGACACAGTTAGTCGCAGAGCAGAAGAGGCTGAGAAAACGACGAAACCGTTCATATTCAATTGCGACTCCGGTCTTGTGCCACCGACAGAGATCAAGGGCCAAAAGAAACCACCACCATCCGCCGGCCGAGAGGCAAAGACCCGAACCGCCGAGCCCCGCGCCCCAGAAAAAGACAAGAAGAAGAAGAAGATATGGGTTGTGCAGCCAGGCACGTTTGCTTACTCCATCACTTTTGCTTTTGCGACAAGTAAAGGGACGCTGGAGGACAAGCGACCGGGTGCGGCGATGCCGAAGCAGCCTCTGCGCAAGTTCAAGCCCGAACACGACAGCATATTCGCGCTGCCCATGCGACTGGAGAAGACGATGACGGTCGACGCGACAGTCCGCATCACCCAGCAAAAGAAGTTGCGGTTCAGCTGCGGCGGATGAAGCCTGGCAGCAACACATTCCGGGTCCAAAATGAAGACTGGGAAGAGGGAGAGTGGAAAGTAGAGCCTATAGTAAAGGCAGTGCCATACTCGATTTGGGGGAAATGTAAGACCCTCTACTTTCGATCATTATCCGTATGAAGATTACTGGGTTCATGGATCCGTTGTTTGCTAACTAATTGGGGACTCGCAGATGATGAGAACCACGACCCGTCAGTTCAAGGGAACAACGTATCAGGGCTCCTTGGGGGCAAGAACTCACCCAGCGGAGACAGTGGCACAGTTCCCTTGGTCATGGGCCTCGCCATTTCTCCTCCCGCCCCTCGTTTGTCTGACGATAAAATCGTCAAGTTCAACCTCGTTCGCGACACCAAGGAGACTGTCAAGGAGGTGGCATTCCTGCCCCCAGACGACACATGAAGCTTGGGGACCCCAAAAGGAGGAGGCAAAGAGTCCTCATAGTGCCAGTCTTGGGGGTGGGAAGCCCGGGGACGAAGACGAGGAAGAAAAGAAACGGCAAATGGAAAGGTGGGAGAACGTCAAGAAGGTGTGGAAGATTGAGAAAAACAACCCGGTGGAAGTTGTGAATCGCTGGGCCGAACGCTTGGCGTTTGAAGACGCAGCCCTCAGCGGTAAACGCCCGGAAAAGCTATTAGATCGGTTTGAGCAAATGGTCCCAGCTTTGCCGATGGTCGCTGTTGGGTTCGCGGTGTGAGCGCTTCATCATTTTGGCAAAGGACTTATTGGGACGGATTCATCCATTCCACTGGATCCAGAGTGCGGTCGCGGTAATAGTTCTAATTCTGACTGCCAGGAAAACGGCAGTCTACCTTGAAGTGTACATATTGTGAATTATATATCCCGTCTGTTATTGCGATTTTTCCTGGACTCATGCCATCAAAGTGAACAGTGAGGTAATAGGAAAGTCCTGAGGGAAGTCGCGATCGGGCTCGGTACTGCCTTGTTGAAAGCACAACTCATCACCGATTAAAAAGGGGAGTCACAATCGACCCAGTGTACAAACATGTTGCTCTTCTCTGCGGCTCAACCTGTCGATAATCGCCGAGTCGATACAGAAACCTCGTTTCTGCCCTCCTATTATTAAAGTTATTTGGGCAACTACTGGGAAGAAACATCCATCAATGAAGCGAGGGTGTATGTTTCTGCTCAACATGCCTTTATCCAATCATCCCCGCACATCCACGTCTCCATTGGCATCACACCAAAACTCGGTTGTCGTCTTCGGCCCCTGGTTCCTGTGAGCCCGCCAATGATGCAACGCTGGTAGAATTAAGGTTATTTGGCAGTTTTCGTTTCAGCGAGACATGCCACCCGCTCTCAGCCACCAACTCGGGGTTCACACGGTTGCGCACCTGATCCATCCATACATCCATGGATACTTGGATCCATGTAACGGGTATGAATGGGCATGGCAACAACGTGGGCTCAAGCCTTACAAACCAGAATGAATCGATCCATGGGCACCATGTCGCTTGCATGTCGGTCCCCACTTCCGACCTGCGTGAGACACAGCATCATGGCATAACATGCGTGGCTGTAGCCACAAGGGTTTCTCGCGCAACTGCGTTCTTCGTGCGAATGCAGATCGAACAAGCACCACGGCAACAGACGGGAGGGGCGTTGTACTCATCAGGTTTTGGTGATCTGCAGCTAGATGGCAAAAATAGCCCGAAGCGGGACGTGATAATCACTCGCAGCCGAGAGTTCCTGAGCCTGGCGAGTCAAGTCGTCACGGGATGGGATGGATGCCCCTTGGACGGATGTTTTTGTGCGGGGAGCTTTTGGCCCTTGCCGTCCCTTCCTCCCAATAGAAAGAATCCGTCGCATGGCTACATGGAGTCCCTGTAGTCCCCAGCGTCGCCGCCTTGTTCTAGCCTCCGACCCCAATGTGAATTGCCGAAGGGTATTTGATCTCAAAGCAGCTAGCCTGTGCTGGCCCGTTGCCCTCCGGCGTGAGCGTGGGCGTGGACGTGGGCGTGACGTGAAGAGATGCTGATGGAGACACGGGACAGCTCGTATGGGCCGGTCTGCGCAGGCCACACCCAGTTCAATCCTTGGCCCGTCGACGCATCCAGTCCATTCCTCTCGCCACCAGTCCTCTATTAGTCAAAAATGAATAATCGCCAGAGCCGCCTCCCACGTCGGGCACATTCTTCACCCCACCTCACCTTGGCTCAGAGAGCCAGACACACCCTCTCCATCAACACGCACGCGATGGTCAGAACCGACGCCTGTCGATCATGTTCTTTTCGGATGGTATGTCATTGCAAGTCTACAAGATAAGCTCCAGGGGCGATCTCATTGCCCTTGCAGTCTCCCTCGCCGGGAAACACAGGGGCCCACCAGCATCTGCCCCCGGCAAGACTTCAGCCGGGAGATTCCTTTTCTTTGTTGATCCCCGCAGATGCCGCCCATCGAATGGGAAACGCAGGACACATCCATTCATGTATGGCACACCCTCAACGCGGCGCTGAGAGTCAAGCCGAGTCCGAATCCCTTCCACATCATCGTCCATCGTCAAGACGGGAGGCATCAAAGGGAAGGGGAGCACGCCAAATCCATTATTTCGATTGAAACCGCGAGACATTCATCATATTCGAGGTAAATTTTGAGCTTCATCGTCGCCAGTATATTGGAATGGCTATAATCAGAGTTCATGGAAGAGCATGAATAAGCTCGCTCGCTCCCTGACTGTCACGAGCCCAACTCTTACCTCGCCTCTTTTCTTACGCCGAAAACACACCACCGTCCATCCCCTTCCACAATGCCATCCCTACTTCCCTCCTCCTACGCCCATGGGTATTCCCAAATCTCCTGTCTCACGATTCGAATACCCCACCGTGTAGGTTTTCCGCCGGCCGGATGAGTCGGCCGTGTTCCACGAGTCCGAGGGGGAACAGGAGCAAGAGATCTACCCTTAATGGTGGTGGCTGGCCACGGATGGCAACCTTCATCATTCTCCGGTCGTCTAGGGTCGATCGCAAAACAGTCACTGTACCTAACCGACGTATATGTGATGCTCTTGTGCATGGATAACTCTTAAAATAGTGCTGGCGCAATATGGATAGATAGGACAAGGGGCCATCCATGTATCGGAACCCGGCTCTAGCTCCGCATTTGCTATAGATCTTGCACCGGGAATATTACTCGTGTGGCACCCATGAGGACCATGCGTTTCTTGCTCGCATCCTAGACAGGGGAAATCCATCCCTGGATAGAGAGAAGCTTAGACGTTAGTATAATAAGCCTCTTCTGTCCTCGGACACCTTTGCCCTTCTCTTCTCCTTCTCTAGCTGGCCTATCAAGCCTTGGTACTTTTCAACCCCACTTACATAGCGCGGTCACCATACAATACAATATCTACGGTCGAATAATATCTAATAACATCGTCCTGCTCAACATCTTGGGCCTTCTTTCCCGTGCAAAAATACAGCACCCTCCCTCTCTTACTCCCAACCCATACTCCTACAAACACAAGACTGCAACCATGGTCCGCCAACTACTCCTCGCCGGCCTCTCCCTGCTACAAGCCGCCGCCGTAGGCGCCCTCATCGTCCCCGCCGGTCTGCCCGAGGGCCTCTACACCATCCCCTTCGACTCCGACGGCACCGCCCTCTCGGCGCCGCTGCGCGTGGAAAGCCGAGGCACCCAGGGCAGGTTCGAGGCGCGCCAGTTCCAGAGGTGGGAGGCGAGGTGCGGCGTCCTCGGCCAGATCCAGATCAACGACTTCACCGTCGCCAAGGAGAACCTCCAGAGCGAGTGCGACCGAGGCGAGACGTACCAGTCCAACATGGCCGTCGTCTACAGCACGGGCAGGGCCATTGCCTACTTTTGCAACTACGATCGCCAGAATCGGTGCACGAGGGCCGAGTACGAGGAGGCCATGCTCGCGCTCGTGGGACAGTGCGGTATTGGGGCGGGAGGTGAGGTGTATCTTGCCGCGCAGGACAAAGGATACGGTGGGGATAACAAGGGAGAGAGCGTGGAGATTTGCTACTGAGTAGGGAATGAAGGTTTGAGAGAAGCAGGTGGCATCATCAGAATGGCAACAGAAGGCTCGACCTGGGAATGCTAGCTAAGGTAGCCAGGAGCAAGTTCTCGGTGGGTATGACCTCTCTATGGCACTATCCACGGAGACAAGACTCTTCGTCATTACAGCGTGCTGTCTGTTGAACTGAGGGATACGGAGGATCAGCCCATGTTATATAGGGACATTTTGCATATCTGAGTCCTTTTCTTTCTTATTAATACATCCGAATTTGCTTCATTTGCCGACGAAACCACCTTTGCGGTGCTCCAGCCATAACTGTCAAGACCCAATCTCCGTGAGGGTCAACCGCAAGGCTGATATTAGGTGCGGGAGTTCAAAAAGTTGGCGACATCCATGAATGGGTCAGCCTTTCTCGGAGCTCGTGAACATCTTCAATGACAGCGCAGCGTGGAGTAGCACGAGAATTCCGAGATATAGTCCGGTGTTGCACGGTTTGCTCGACAAAGTCGTCTCCCAATCCGCTTTCTTCTTGAACCGTAACTTGGTGAAAGTGCGCTAGGAGCTGGGATGCAAGCCATGCGTCGCCAAGAGGGTCAGTCCCGGAACGCCGCGCCACGGAAAGGCCGCCGCTGGAGATGCGAATGTGAGAAACCTGGTTCAGACAACGGAACGGGCAGTTTTCACTAAGCCCACGCCCTCTAACTCGAGGATATATGCAGGCTTCCAGTCTCTCGGCGGACTTGTCATCAGCTCTTACACGACTGCCGAGTGGCGCAAGCCCCTTGCAGTCAAGCTTGAATAGGTCTCTTGGTGCGGATCACCCCTTTCCCTCCTAAAGGATCCATTGTTAACATGCTAGGATGTAGCTTGCCAAATGACCCACTAGCTTAACAGTTCTGACTACTCTAGCGGACTAACAGAGGAGAGAATAATTCGGGAGGACATAACATTCGTGCAGCCAACGGAAGAGCGGCTACGTAGATGGAAACCCAGGAACCCGGAAACTCTCGAGGCAACGGGCGGGAAATTCCGGGCAACTTCAGCTTTGATCACGGTTTTAACTACTCCATAGTACACTATCACGGCAGTCAAGTAGGGATGATACGGGCCATCATGTATCGGGTAGCAGGAAGTAAGGCGTTGGGTGAGAATCGAGAATTGCGAGAAAAGATTGAGATTACGCCCCCTCATTCACACTTATATCGCGTCGGGTTTCAACCTCATCTAGGGCGATGAAGGGACATCGATCACGACACAAGAGTACACCATCAGCCGTTCCTAGTTCGATCTTGGGAGTCCCACCATCTTTCTGCTTGCCCCGATGAAGTACTATATGGACCTGTATCTATATTTATACACATTTATTCTTACCTTGATGTACCCACCCATCGGTGGGCGATTACTCGATTTATATGAGCTTCAGCTTGGGGCTGACGGACCCGGTGACCATGGCTGCATTAAAAGCTAAGAGAAGGGGAAGGGTATGGCCTGGCTTGGAGTAAAAATCAACTGCAGCTAATCCCACCAATGGAGAGATAGATGAATCCTTTGTTTTTACGTGTTCTCGCTGCTCTCTTTACTCGACAGCCCTCGCCGCATGCGTCTCCTCTACACGTTAAATCGGGAACGTAGTATTAGGAAGAGGAATGATGATCGCAAAGCACGGAGGTGGCACCCTGGGCCCAAGAGAAAAAGAACTTCTTAAATAGCTCAATTCGAAATAGAAATACATCAGAGGAATCAAGAGAAAAGGTGTAAAAGGAGGACCAGTGACTGTACGAGGGTGCGTTGGAGATATATATGTAAAGAAAACAAAAGATATATAAAGTTGAAATTGAGAAAGAGAAAGTATCAAACGATCAAGCTCCTTTGCAAAAGAAGAGAAAAGAAAAGAAAAATCCGTCTTGAAAATCTCCCTAAAAATGCTAGGGCGGCCCAACACTCTCCTCACGCACGGGACGCGGGGAGGAGGAGAGCGAAAGCGCAAAATAGTAATTAATAGACGAATGCACCAGCCGCTTGCCTGGCCCAGGATGAAGGCTCCCAGGACTATATTGAATCTCCTTGAGCGGGATGCCTTAAGACGAGCCCAATCGATCCATAGGCTTGGATAAAACCGGATCCGGCTATGTGAATCCGCTCCGCATTTAGCATCATGGACTAGGACTCCCGGGATCTCGTCTTTCCTCTGTTTAATTTCAATTGAGGACTGTCTACGAGTACATTGTATCTCACAGGAACGCAAACTTTCTTTCGAGACCCACGACTTCATCTCTTAACCGATAATTGGGGTGGAGGGATTCATACCAAAAACCAGAGTCGAGTCAAGCGTCGCCCATCGTCGTCGTCGTACGCCAGTCCAGCTCGGCCAAGGATATCCCCATCCCGTTCCCCGGTCACATCACCGCGCGGTTGGTCGCAAGCGGAGGCCGCGAAGCCCGGGAAATCATCACTGGCCCTGTCTTTATTCTTTATGTGGGTTTGATAGGGGCGGAACTGGTCAATCTATTTTCGAGAGGATCCATCATCATGATATATAGATTATAATAATAAAAACGCATCACGATACCCCCGTTGGCGCTGTCACCATAAAGCAGTCCAAGACCTGTAAGATGAAATAGATGGCTTTCCCCCGTTTCTTTCTCGAGCTTTAATTCACGGTGGCCTCTCTCCTTTTCTTATCACCATTGTTGATTTCGCGCGACAGACATACCCGTTCTAGTTCGCAGAGTGCTCAAAATCCTTGAACTCGTTCTTCGGTGCCCGGCTATCCATCCCGCCATCCGGTACCCTCGCGTACACCAAAGTAGCCCCCAAGCAGCCCCCAACTAGCCCAGGACAACTCACACTTCCCGCAATGGCTCGGTCCGCCCTTCTCGCTTCAGCGCTTCGCCTTCGGCGCCTCTGCGCAATTCGGTGTCCAGGTCCAAGATAAATGGGGTCAATGTAAGTTGAACCAACGACGAGGCGTTGAAGCCTAAGAAGAGAACCCTTCTTTCTCCTCTTCTTATATATAGCCCACGTCCACTTACAAAACTTGTCTTCGTAGGCAGCGGCGAAGGTTATGACGGCCCAGAAGTTTGCCCATCCACCTATTACTGCAAATTCGAAAAGTAAAGTTGACTCCTTTTCCTTCACAATAACCCCCTCATCCCCCTTCCTATCAGGTTCCACACACGCATACTAACAACCAGCTCTCAGTACCTGGTACTCGCAGTGTATCCCCGTCCCCGGAAGCCCCGACGACCTCGCCATCGCCCGAGGCTCCGAAGGCGCCGCCCAGACCACCAGCTTCCAGACTGTCGTCACCGTCACCATCATCGCCGAGCAGACCGTCGCCCCCACCGTCGTGACCACCTACATCACCTTCATCACCGCCGGCCTGACTCCCGACTCCGACCTCAACGCCACCCCGGACCCAGCGCCCACCGCGACCGCGCCACCCAGCACCATCACCCTCATCCCCGACGACCCCTGAACCCCAAGAACCGCCGTCGCGAGGTCCGCGCCCGACAGCACAAGCGTTCCCCGCCCCCGCCCCGCCGTGGCCGGAGACCCGACTCCCGGCCAGCTCCAGGACGGCCAGCTCTGGATCCGCGCCGTCACCGCCCCCACTTCCACGACTACCTCCAAACCGAGCCCCAGAACGAGCCCGGCACCGCCATCCTCGGCTCCAAAACCTCGGCCGGCCAGTACAGCATCGTCGACGGCCAGCTCATCAGCGGCGGCAGCGCCGATACCCTCTACCTCCAGGTCGAGAAGCCCGACGACCTCACCCAGCGCAAGCTCGCCACCTGGTTCAATACCACCAAGAATGAGTTTGGCGCCTTTGAATTCAGCGGCGACGCCGTCATCTGGAACGCCCCCGACGTGAGGCGCGAGAACGCCGCTGCTTGGCTCGCCTGCGAGGAAAGCGCGCTCTTTATCAATACCGGTGCTTATGCCTACAACACCCCTGCGGGTTGCAGCGACCATACGGTATATAATTCCCCTTTTAGTTTGCCTTTATCTTGGCGTTATCTTCTCCCCTTGAAACTGGGGCCGAGTAGGAGACAAGATGGTCGAATGCTAATTGCACCCTCCATCTCTAGATACACTACTACAATGGCGCTACTACCGACTAAGCGGGTGAAAACAAAGATAAATGGAAATGCCTATCACAGAACCTCCTTGTGCTCCATAGCCCACTTCCTTGATACCTTTTGACACGTCGAACGTCAAGGCTACGTCCGATCCCGGGCATACGTGCCGCCGGCATCCCTCTTTTCTCTCTCTTAGCCTACATCAAGTTCTTCCCTGTAAATATTGTTAACAAGCCACCTTCAGGCCCTCATATTAGCTGCCTTTCAAGACATAACACAAGCATGGAAAGTGGTTCTCCAGGCGACTAAATGCTCTTTCAAGGAGCCTACACACACCGACGACCGCTACACGTGTTCCGTCCTTGATAAACCGTGACATTCATATAAACCTATATATCATCTATGTTCAAACGCCACCAAAACCCTTCATTTCTTGACAATGCTCCATTCATGACGCAAACTCTTCGTTTGCATCCCATATCTCTGTTATATACACGGCATGTTACAATGACAAGCTCATTACCAATCGCGATACGAGACTGAGTGTCGTAGTGGACTTATCACAATCCTTTCTATACGCCTACGATTTACGCCTCAAGAGACAGTGGTTGGCCCATTTCCGTCGGAACTTGTCCGGCACGGCCGAAGAGTCTGGCACCCATAACATTCTGGCGAGAGGGTGCGTGCGGCTTGCGTCCAGGAACGGAAGGCACTGGACCACTTCCCAATTCTCCTTGTCCACCACGTAGTCGGGCTCGTTGGGCGGAAGCTCGCCCTCGTGAAGCGGGTACTGCGTGTCGACGAGGAAGTGGCAGGCTCGAGTATCGACGTATTTTCCGGGATCTTCTTCGTTTCGGTCATTGAGACCATTGGTGGGGAGCCACGTCCCGCTCCAGAAACCAAATCCAATCTTCGCCTCCGAAAACTCACCGGGCAACAGACCACGGAATTCAGAGCGGACGAACTTGGCGTGCATGTCGCGGGGAGGAAGTACGATGACGGGAACCGGTACCACTCTTTACCAAAGCACACGAGATCACCTTTCCCTCCAATCCCTTCCTCACCTCGCACTCCTGCACCCAAAGGCTCATAGAGCTTCATCGGTGCAGAATAGGCCGAGACGACACCGTAAATACGGGCAAGACCGAGGCCCGTGGCTAGCAGAAAAACGGCGCTGACGCCAAGGAGCCTGAGTTTGGCGGGGATCTTCGCCACTAACGACTTGGGATCCTGCGTACCGATCACGCTAAGGAGCACATGGACGGAAATGGCGGCATTCAGAGCGAGGAAGGGGTACGCGGGGTACATGAACCGCTCTTCTTTGTGAGGCTGCGAGGTGAAGATTCCCAGCCATAGGTAGAAGGGGTGACGAATATGGCCGTGCGGAGGCCAAACGCCGAGCCCACTTTGCGGTCGCTCAGCAGCCTTTGCAGAATGAACAGAGGTAACGCGAGGAGGGCTAGGATGAACCACAAGTTAAAATTCAGCGTCAGGTTTTTGAAGTAGAACGTCCAGGGCTCGGTGCCGTACAGATCTGGTCCGCCAGATTTGGAAAAAATGTTGTAATTCACAATATTCCAGGGGATAATCTCCATCTTTTTGTAAAAGAATGTGTTGATGAGGGTATCGGCCACCTGCGCATCAAAGTTAGTGAGCCATCCGCATCGGCCGGCGTCGGGGAACAAAGAATCCGAGGGTGCGGACGTACAACAAGCAGCAGACACGCAACTCCACCGCGGAAGAGACGGAACGCCGATTCAAATTTCCGTTGCCCATCGCCAACGGCTGCGATGACCACCTCCTCGAGGACAAATGGCGCAGCGAGGGCCATGGCAAAGGGCCAGCCTAGGATTGCGCCGACCCCAAACCAGGTTAGCCCAAGCGATGTCTTGATGCCGCCGCGCCAGTTCATAAAGGCCGCTGTGCCAACCATGGCGGCAATCATGGCGAAGCTCGAAGGTAGAAAGGCGGTGCTGGCGTGAAAGTTGCCGGGGCTAAGAATCAAGGCCACCACATAGAACAAGCCAACGCGCGGGTTTAATGTCAAGCTGATGGCCCTGAAAAGCAGGGTCTGGGCCAGAGCGCATGCGATGGCGAGGAAATATCGGACAAAATAGAATTCGGCGACCTAGTGATTGATGCTGTGAGCGAGCGTGCTTCTTTATACCTGCATACGGAGGCTGGTGGGAAGGAAACGAGGGAGAGTCGAGTGGAACCGCACCTTGGAGGTTCCTGGAAGGAGCCGTCGGACGTTGGCTACAATCGCGTGGAGCCCAACATAGAGCCAGCTGCGGATCGCAAACTCGGGAGAGTATTCCCAAGTTTGCAGACCATATCCGTGAGAGAGGTAATGGGCCGGTTCCCAATAGTTGAAGGTTTCATCGCAGTCTTGAATGGGGGCGAAACACGCCGCAACAAGATTGGCAGCAAGGAAACAATAAAATATCTTGATAGGCTCGATGCCGTAGGGGCTCACTTTCCTACAAACCCCCAATACCTTTCTGTTAGTTGATGAACGGGCCCAAAGAAGCCGGGCTCGATTTCGGTCCCGGGTGAGACAGGTGGGGAGGGTGTGGAGAATTACTTCTTGCGAGCGTGGCCTGCCGCCGGATGGACAAACGCCTCATTACTTTCGTGAGGCGGAGGAGCCATTGGAGATGAAATTTAACCTAAAGTTGAGGTTGGCATCAGCCGAATGATGGGGGTCGCACGGAAGGGTGTTGTCAGTGTTCCGAATTTGTTCCGCGTCTGACGATCTTGAGGAATCTGGCCATTGCTGACGAACTCAACACTTCACACGTTGGGTCGCCTCTAGAAAATTCGGCGACTGCCAAAAAGCAATTGAACGTCATTGATAAGAGCTTTATCTTATCGGTTCTGCCACGCTTTTGCCGCCACCCAAAAATTCTTATCGAGACCCCTGTCAGAACTTTTTTTTTTTTTTGGAAGGACTGTCCACCCCACCATGAGATCCACCCGCGCTCTCTCTCTCTCTTGCGCCGCCATTACCCTTGCCTCAAGTTTTTTTTCTTTCATCTTCCCAAACTATGCTTTGATGTTCTCTTGTATTCTTGTTCAAATTTACGAGATACGAATACTTTGATCGCAAACCCACTTTGAAGCGAAGGCCTGCTCTTCTCGCTGAGTTACCACAACCTTCCTTTGAAGAAGGCGGCAGCTCATTTTTCGGCTCTCAAATCTCAGACGTGACTCGGGTAGATTTGGAGCGCGCTCTTCGCTCTAAATTACGCCATGTCTTCGTTCGGTATCCCTGGGTTGGGATTCGCCAAGCCGAATGAAGTTCTTCCTCCAGTCGCCGATTCCTCTACAAACGACGCCCACTCCAGCGAAGCAGCGCCACCAGCACCGGTGCCAGAAGTTTCCAAGAACAACCAAACCGAAGGCAACGGAGAGATAGTTTCAGATACTAAGGAAGAAGAGGATATACAGATGGGAGAGACGAGCGAGCCTAACCAGCCTACCCAAAATCTACAAGGGGCTACATCTACAACTACATCTACAACTACATCTACAAGTCCGGGGCCGGCCGCTACGAATAATGGCGACGTACAAGCAGACGCAAACAAGCAGGGAGTTCAGGCCACCGGGGCTGACGGAGATGCAGCACCCAATGCCTCCGAAGACCCTATGAAAGTGGATGAGACTGCCCCTAGGGGCGCATCCCTTACGGATGATTTGGAGGCGGCCATCGGCGGCCTTGGCCCTTTCCCTGCCGCCGCGCCAGAGCAGCAGCAAGCGAGTGATATACCCCAAGAACAACAAGAGGCTGCGGGAGAGCATCCCGAATGGGAGGCCGACTCTTCCCCTACGAATCGTCCACAGAATCCGATAGCTCTGACTCTTCTTCGGAGGAAGACTCGGATGACGAACAATTCCAGGGACTCAGCATCGAGGAGACTGCTCGGCTTCTCATGGAAGCGGATGCTGGCTCTGATGACGAAGAAAGGGGAGATAGGAACCCTCGCTCTCAGGTTCGAACCAAGAACGAGTTGCCCGAAGCGATAATGCCAAAGCCAGACGTCACCATTACCCCCGAGATGAAGATTGAGGAGCTGGGAGCGATCGAACATATCGTGGATACCACACTGGTCATAAAAGCCTACACACCGGGCGAATACCAAGTAATCGATAGCGGCTCTGTCCTATGCACAGCCGAGCGCACTGTGATTGGCGCTCTCGCCGATGTTCTCGGCAAGGTCCAAGAGCCTCTATATACCGTGAGCTTCAACTCACCAGAGGAAATATCCGAGGCGGGGCTTCAAGTGGGCACCAAAGTCTTTTATTCGGTGAACCACGCCAACTACGTATTTACGCAGGCCATAAAGAACCTCAAGGGCTCAGATGCCAGTAATTTACACGATGAGGAGGTTGCGGAAGACGAGGCTGAGTTCTCCGATGACGAGAAGGAAGCCGAATATAAGCGGAGGCTCAAACAAAAGAGGCGGGAAAGGCAAGGCGGCGACTCACGCGGGCGAGGTGGTCAGCGAGGTCCGCATCCTCTGAGGAACGAGATGTCAAACGGCGGGCCATCCAGCGGTCTGAGTTACGACGACGGTGGCGAGGACGATGGGCCCTATAAGCCGTTGTCCAGGCCACCGGGTTACGGTGCTGGTGGGTTTGGAGGTGCTTCAGAGGAACCGCCCCCGGCGCTCACCGGCCTCAACGGGGCGGGCGAGGGGCATTCCCAAGGGGACGAGGCGGCCAATCGCGAGGACGTGGCTTCGGCAGAGGCCGAGGTGGATCTGGCAACGGCGCCGATGCGCCGCCGAGAGATGGATATTCGATGCCCCTCAGGGTCAACAGCCGTATTCTCAGCCTAACGTCCCCGGGGTGGAAACGGGATGGGATTTGGCCCGCAGGCGGGCACCTTCAACTTCCAGGCACCTTCTACGCAGCAGCCCGGCCACCCCGCGCCGGCGATGGGCGGTTTCCCGGCGCCCGCGTGGCCTCAAGCATTCCCGAATCCCCTTTCCCGGGCGCGCCATTCCCACCGGCCGGTTGGCCCGGCCCGCAACCTCCCCTTCTGGCACTGCGCCCCCTCAAAACGGTGCTCCCCTGCTCAACCCTGCGCTCCTCGCGCTATTATCGACGATGGCGGCCCAGAACCAGAATCGAGGTCAGCAGCAGCCCCCGATCAGCCAGCTTGGCGGGGCCCGCCTAGCTAGAACCGGATATCGTGATCGGGAAGGAGAAGAAAAGCAACGAAGGAGTAAGACAGACATGTGGGGCGCAAATTCCTTCAGCAGATTCATGAGAAATGCAGGGCCGAGTGCTCGCGCGGATGATGGAGATTCATATCAACCTTCTATATCTTAGGGCGTCCGTCTTCTTTTTCTTTTCTTTTCTTCCTTTTAACTCTACTATTGGACTGCATGTACGGCCTTTTCCTTCCTTTTCTCTTTCTATGTCTCATGGATGGGTGGAACAGGGTTAAATAAAACAACAGTGATGATACCGACAATCTGTAAATCTCGTCTCCAAAGATCTCGTCTTGATCGTCGCAATACACTCCAAAGACGAGAGCGTAACAAGTCTGTCCTCCATATTCTTTCCTCACCCACCCAGCCAGCCCTCCCGTGTCTCCAATCAAACACTGTGCCTTGCACCATGAATATAGGACCTGGGGTCAGGGTCAGGGTCAAGGGATGGAACACTGGAACAAGGAAAGCCGACACTCCACATGAGGCTGGAAGGTGGCTGGGTGACTTGAAGCCTGTTCAATGTCCGCTTTCACCCTCGGTATCATGAGATGAGGTCGGTTGTCTGTGGCTGACACATCTGGCTGCATCCCTGCTGAGTGCGGAAAAAGGTGATTCCCATGCAGGTGATATTACCGCAATTTCCCCACCTTCCTGTGTTCCTCCGGGAAAGGAAGCCAGTTCCCCCAAAAGATCACCGCGCAAACATGAGTCCCACGTCGCATTTCGTCCCATGGTGAGACGATGAAGCGGTCGAGGTGGGCCTGGTCTACAGAATCAAGGGATCAAAAGAAGCGGGGGATCTATCTATTCATGAATATATGCATCAAAGGAAACGGAGGAACTACGATAGCGGATACTTTGCACAAAACCCAGCTTTGTGATGACGTTTGCGCACTGGAATAACAAAGAAAGAGCGAAAAGAAAAAAGGGCCGCGCTCGCGACGAAGCGTCCTTGTAGACTGTGGCGCATCCAAGGCGGAATGTGGGTCGCGGTCGCTTTCTTCTTCGAAGCATTGGGTGAATGAAGGCTACATTTATGATTATAAGGAGCACTCTGGATCACGAAGTGCCAGAGAAACGATGAAACGAGGCGAGTGGATAAAAACGGCCGATGATGCTTGCCAAGCAAAGATCTCGCTAGACCAGAGGCAAGACGGGACGAGGTTCATTATTAGACTGACGAGCCACGCGGGAGGCCTCGGGGTTCGGAAGCTGCAAGGCGATTCTGGCGAGTAAAGAAACCGCCGACCTACTTCGTACACGAGACACTAGAAAAGGCGCCACTCTTACGTCGCGGTTCGGAAGAAACGCTCAGATCAACTTCCGTCGGGCCCGACGTGTTCTGCTTGGGTTTCGAGAACAAGGAGAGGTACGATGATCTCCGAGTATTTTCCCGGAAATGAATGAAGGGCAGAAGCATCTTGATGCCGGGGACGTAAACATCATACCGCGTATTTGACCTCGAATCATGCAGTTAATTTGGTGTTTGTCGAATCTCGATCAACCGCAGGAGACGCAGCAAGTGCCTGCAAGTTGAGATGGGACACTGACGGGCGGGAGAAAGGGGCCTCGCGGCAAATGCTGTCACTTAGCATCAGCACAATAATAAGATTCACATTCTCCCAGGATCGAGCTTCAGCCCTGGGCAATGCTCGAAGCCCACCAGGCCAGGCGAGGTGCCTCCTCGAATACCGAGAGTGAAGGCGACATCGTGGTCATTCTCCCGCGTCGTGCAGGGGTGAGGGCTTGTGGGGTGAGGGGGAAACATAGCCCTCCCAATTTCAGCTTCCAGGAATACGCAAAGAAAGCCATCATATGAGTGAATCGTGCCGCATATGCGGATCGCTCTAGGCAAGAAATTGTCGGCCAGGTCAGCATGGGGGATCTTGCTCGCCAAGCTCCAGTCGCGTGCCGGAAACCCTCTGGTTGTTCGTCGATTTTCTTTGCTGGGCGGCAGCTGCTCTTCATTTCGGAACAAAAGTAATAACATCAGACAAGCAGCCTCGGGTCCAGAACGAATTTAGGTTGTTTCAGAATTTTAAACGGCGAAATGAGGTGGGCCGCCTAGGCTGTTGGCGTCCTTGCAGGCTGGGTCCATGGATCACTCTTGTCACTCTCCAACCCCCTTGCTCAACAAAGTGGCAGTGACTGGTGGCGCTCAGAACAACATCACAGCTATCCAGCGGGTGGCCATGGGCCTTCCGACTCAGTGAGAACTGGTCCCAGCTCTCATAATCTCTATCCTTGAGGTGACCAGGAGTACCTCAGTGATGGTGCACTGATATGAAGTGATGCCCTTTTCCGGGCCTGTGACAACATCCCATCACCGCTCACCATTCTTGCCATTGAGGCGGTGGCGCCAAGCCAAGCCAGGCCAAGCCAGAACAACAGAAGATCGGAGTGTGTGATGACCCGCTTGTTCCCATCGGCGGCCTGTAAACCCTCTGGCCTTGTCTGGAAGGTAGAAAGGAAAGACTTTTTATTACTCTTTCTCTGAGGGGACTGCAGGAATAAATTGCGGATGGATCATTTCTAAAGATAGTACTAGGGTTATCCGGTCATGAGTTTTAGAGACAACGCTGGTCATGGCTCGTCATAGGGGTGAGGTAGTGGGCATTGCCACCATATTCATTCCACCTACTTCAAGACAGAGCATGTGCTGAGGGCCAGTATTCCAAAGTAATAGACCATTGAGACACCAAGACATGGGGTCAACAGATGGTTTTGATCCACGCCGTGATCCCAGCCCAGAAGGGTGATCTTACCTCCGCTGTGCCCCTTTGTCTCTCGTTGCTCGCCGATTCAAGGGATATGATGCTCATTCCGCTTTGGATGAACAAGAAAGAGGTTGGCTTTGCTCTGATCCCCGCTGCCCCGTTGGTGGCTAGCGTCACAGGGTTGGGCTCGAGCTGGAATCTCCTCCCTTCTTTGTGCCTGCGAAGTCTTGCGACAAAATGTGTTGTTGGATCCTCGAAACCACCCACCCAGCGATGCGTGCATATGTGTGTTGACAAGCGACATTCCCGCGTCGATCATCCCGCAGGCATTGCCCCATTGGCTAGCCCCATGCTCCTCTCGTGGATCGCTTGGCCATCACAGCCCAGTGCGACGCTGAAAACGGACGGTTCGTGTCGAAAAACTCCATACCCGACGATCGATGAGGTAGCCGGCTTGGCCAATGAGAAGCCTGTTGTCCCTGAGGAGCGCGAGTGAATAGGATGAAGAGGAGACACAAGGAAATTTACACTGTATACCGCCGATCCACTGCTTGACGCTGCTCTTTGAATTTCTTCTCGCGGGCTTGAAGAGGGCAAGCAAAGTATCTTTACCGTGCTTGAACTCTCTGGTTCCTGCGCTAGGGTCAGGGTAGTTGGCTCCTCCCCCTTTGAGCTGCTGCTTGGTGTCCCAAGAAAGTTCGTATTGACTTGTCGAGGAGGGATGCACCTGGCACGAGATATTTAGAAAAGCGAACTAAACACACTCGCCTCACGCTCCTCTTTACCCGCACCTTCTCGGAGGAAAAGCCCTCGCCTAGTGTAGTGGAGTGTACCGAGTACAGTGCCCCGTCCAGTGCTGGCTGTCAACACGCACACAAACCCGGTTTTGTTTGCCCCAACTCCAATTCGTGTGCCGTCTCCCGCTCTTGATTTCTTCCGTTCCTGCTTCGTGCCTGGACGCCTCTATCTACAATATTGCAAAGGAATGGATATATTGCGTTGCCGAGCGGGATTCAATTTGAAAAATGAACGACAATCCCTCGCACTGTTGTTGAAGTGATGATGGACGACTGGAGTTTGCAAAAGGGGCAGACCCAGGAACCAACCCCACGGCTAATATTTTAGAAGGTCTCAAATCTCAATTGATGATCCAAATCTCTGTGCCTGTGCAAGTCGGCGTTGGTAGGGTAGAAGCGAAGACCATGGCTTTTTAACCGCTGCTGTAATATTACCATTCCGCTGTTGCCTTTCTCTCCAGCTTACCTCTCGGGAAGTGGTTCTCTGAGTCCATACCGTTCGATTTCAACTAGAAATTGGTCTTGTCCCTGTGCTTGTTTCGGGAACACCCTTGTAGAGTGAGTGGTTCATCCCATCCTCTATTCTTGTTGTTCCTCATAATATTACTGTATTATTTTGGACGAAAGACATACATCAGTGAGCTCCAGCTGCTGGCGCAAGAAAAGGGGGTGGGGGTTGGCTTGACAGATGCTCTGGGGGAGATTCAAGACACATCGATGGCATCGCGTTCGTACTGTATGGGTCTCGCAGGCCATTTGAAGTCTGAACTTGGGCTTTGGGATCATTCTTAGACCCTCTCATGTATCTGATGTATCTTGACAAGATAGTTGAACGAAGCTGTACTTTGCATTGCCTCGCGAAATTGCACTAGACAGGGCTAAATTTCCCAAGCGTCAAGGTACCGAAGCACCTTGGGAACTGGGCGCAGGTACTGCCAATCCTAACCCTGGTCCCCAAAGTCGCCCCAGTAAATCACAGACCTCAAATCTTTTCCAGTGCAACCCACCTTCGGACCCTTGCAAGTGGTTCCCGTTCGTTCCATGGCCTCTGCTCCCTCCCATGCGCTTGTGTGTTGCTCCGCGCCTTGCCTCTGCACTGGCGCCGACTTCTATCTCTAGTCGGTGATCCATCCACTCCTTTCCCTCTTTCCTCTTCCCCCCTCACGCAGTCTCCATCTCTGGTTTCTGAACATCGTCTTTCTTGAATCTGTAACACAGCGGCTGCTCACACTCTTTTAGCACCGGTGTTGTTACGGTTCGTCCATTCTTTTTCATTTCTCTACCTCGCCCTATTTTGCACTTCTTCTCCAGAAGACGCGATTCTCCTTGGGACCTGGTGTACCACTGGCATTTGATTTTTGCTATTGTGGCGAGCAGGACCGGCCGAGTGCTTTCTCATCTTCAATCCGAGTCCTAGACGACCATTCCTTCGTTTCTTTCACACGATCCCGATCTCTTTTACAACCAACTCCGGAAATCACGCAGCCCTAGTACACATTCTTGTGTTTACACGCCGCCCAATCTGTTGCATTTGACCGACGACCTAGGCAAATCATAGTCAACAAGCACGTTCTCTCATTTAGCAGAGCCAGGAGAAGCCTCTACGCCTTAGACTAGCGCACATTACCCTTTTGGACATCGAAAGGAGGGTAAACAAGGCAACACATTTGTTCAACATGGATCACCTAAAGCATGTTCGACAGCGCCGTCGTCAGATGGAGGCGGGAAAGCTTGTTGCTCGCCAAAGGGGGAGAGCGAGACTACGAAAGGTAAGTCGGCCTCGACGTAGCCCCCGAATTTCGGCGGGCAAGCTCTACAAACTTCCTAGGAAAACCATGCATCTAACCTTGTCCGTAGCTCCTGTGACCGTTGTGCGAACCAAGTATCGAACCTTGAGTCCCACCTTTACCGGTGAGGTTGGTGGATATACGACGGTTAAGAAGGACTCTAAGGAAACGACAACTACGCCTCGCGCCGTGACCACTACTCCCAAGGCCAAGGAGACCCCCAAGCCTACCGAGGACCCCGACGACAGCGACCCAACCACACAGACCGAGCCAACCATTGCTACGGATCGAGGTCTCTCATCCTCGGCTGCTACCGGGACGCCACTCCCCATCTCCACTCAGTCGACATTGCCCGATTCTTCGAGTGGAGGGAGCGGTGCCGGCGCCAAGGCTGGCATCGCCATTGGTGTGATTGCTGGCATCTTGGTCATTGCTGGCCTCGTCTTCTTCCTCTTTAAGCGAAAGAAGAAGAACGCTGCACGACAAAGCCTTGAGGATGACGAGAAACTCCACGGCGCCTTCAACTCGGGCAACTATGCTCCCACAGCCGCGGCCGCGGCCGCGGTCAGTGCCGCTGCAGTAGCTTCGGGCCCCGCCACTGGCGGAAACTTGAACCAGGAGAAGCCCCTCGGCGGATTCGCCGCGGCCCCCGTCCCCTTTAACCGTGGCCAGCCTCAGCCTCAGCACCACCAGTCTCGATCTAATGGTAGCGGCTGGGAGCGACCCAGCACCAGCCAGAGCCAGCAGAACCCCAACAACCCCTTCGGCACCCACGCCGAACTTTCGGGTTCCCAACCCCCGAGCCCTCAAAGCGGCGCCCCTATCGCCGCGGCTGCGGCCGTTGCTGGCGGAGCTGCGGCTTACCAAGGGCTCAAACGCCAGGCATCTCGAAACCACGGCCCCGCCGCGCTCGATCTCACGATTACGCCCCCGCCCCTTCTCCAGGCTGTCCCTCCCTCGCCCGCCGGTACCGAGTATAGCGTTAGCTCGATCACTCCTGGCCAGCAGGTTCCCAACTCGTCTGGTGCCGCTGTTATCGCCGCAGCAGGCGGTCCTGCTGGATCCACTGTTCACCGTGTTCAACTCGACTTCAAGCCCACCATGGACGATGAATTGGACCTGAAGGCGGGCCAGCTTGTTCGACTGCTCCACGAATATGACGATGGATGGGTGAGTGGTCTTGTAGCTTTTCAGTTGAAAAAGCGTGTCTGGGGAAGAAGTATGCTAACCACTATTCTGTTTTATAGGCTCTTTGCATTCGACTGGATAGGTCACGCCAGGGCGTGGTTCCCCGGACTTGTCTCTCTACACGCCCGGTGAAGCCCCGCGCTCCTGGCGGCCCCAACGGACAGCAGCGTATGGGGCCTCCTGTCAACCCCCAGCCTCATCCTATGCATGCTCAGAAAGTTGGCCCGGCTCCTCTCCAAGTTCGACCTGAGTCGCCTGCTCGTTCCGGAACTCCTAGCGGCCCTAACTACTACCCCCAGCAACAGCAGCAGCAGCAGCAACAGCAGTCTTCGTCGCCCCGTTACCAGCCTATGCCACCCCCTCAGCGATCCGGCACCCCCAATAGCATGAATGGACGCTCCAGCCCCGCACTCCCGCGAACAATGAGCCCCGCTCCTGGCCCCCTTTCGGCCCCGATCCCCGCGCCCATGGCTACTCACGTCCCTGCCCCGATTACCGTCGCATCTATCCCGCCTGTGCTTACCCAGGGACCCGTTTCTGCATCGTCGCCTGTTGTAATGCCCGGACCTATGGCTCCGGCGGCACCCCTCGCGGCTGTTGTGGAGGTTCCTTCTCCCGCGGCCAGCCCTTCGCTGCCGCCTGTGCTCGCACCAATCCCTCTGTCCGCTCCTCTCGCAGGGCCAGAGGCTTCGGCTGAAGCACCTCAGCCTGTGACCTCGCCTAGTCCCTCTGTGGGTTCGACTGCCTCCCCTGCCTCCCCCGCGTCCCCTGCGTCGTACCGCTCCGGGCCTCCTACTTCAGGCTCGATCAGCCGCAAGCCCGTCCCCGGACAGGCCATGTAAGCAGCTTTTAGCGGAACTGGTCAAGAGCCAGAGCTCTCGCTATTTTAAAAGCAGCAGACCGGGTTTTATTTTTGGTACCGGACGGGTTTGACAAGACTTACATTACATGGGATTTACGGGCGTTTGGAGATGCGAGAGCACATATCAGTGACTTGATGGCGCAATGACGGGGCTTCTTTCTCTTTTCTTTTGTCTTGTTTTCTCTGAGGGGTTTTTCCCACTCGCCCCTTCTTCTTCAAACCCCCTTTTTTGTATTCTTGTCTTTCTTTCATCGCCTCTTTCCCGCGTCGTGGCAATTTTGTCGCAATTGAAGCACCGGCACGGGGCTAAACGTTGACTGTTACGTCGCGATGCACCTCGTGGCGTGGTTTCGAGAATGATGATGCATCTTTGTTCTTTCTTTATCCCGTCCGAACTTTTGTCCGAATGCGGAAGCAACTGCTCAGCCGGCTTAGCTGCTCGTCTACTAGGTCGGGTTGCGCATGTTTGTAATGTTTATTCATTAGTTGTCAATGAAGCGCGGCGTGATGAATCCTGATGCAGAGCGATTCGTGCGGCCGGATAAAACCTCAAAGGGGTGATGAGCTAGATAGAACAAAGAAGATGGCGTATCTTTTTTTCCCTTAATCTTTTTCTTCAAGTTCTCTTTCTCTTATCTCGAGTGGATGCTGTGGAATGTTGAGAGAGACTGTAGGTATTTTGGAATCTCGAAGTAGAATAAAATACATAAAATGATCCATGGATCCATGAAACCACGGAAGCGGGATGATAGCTATCAATCACATGCTAAACATGTTCTGACGCTGTGGGCAGCATCGAGCGCATAGCCCAAGTCATCACCAGGCATGTTGCTGGTGCCTTGTGATTTCGTTAGGCATAGTCTAAGTGTACGCCACGCCTTCCTCCGAATTTAGGCATGCCCATGGGCGTGGTGTAGGCGATAGAGCATCAATCATTTGAATTGATCTGGGCTTTACGTGGGCCGGCCCCGGTGCGCTGCGGCCTAGGTTGGAGCTTTTACGGATATCGTCAAAGGCTACGGATATAGACTTGAGGTGCGGGCTAAAAAAGATGACAGGTCATGGAGCGCGACGGCAAGTTACGACGTGACAAATTGGGAGAGGGGCAGTTGAGGATGGCAAATGGCAAGATGGAAAGGAAACAAGGGCGAAAGGAAAAAGCGTGGACGTTGCATCGATTGACGGAGTGGTGTATTGGGTTCCGGTCACAAGGCGGTAGGTGACAGGAGGCGGCTCGGACAGGCGGAAGGTGAGAGGAAGTCGGAGGCCAAGTCACGTCAACGGCTCACGAGCCTTGGAGTGTTGTCTGTTGGTTTTGGTCCACCTTTTTTGTCTCTTGTCCTTTTCGGATGGACGGGAAGGCGAGGGATGAGGGACTGCAGTTGTCCGCGCCAGTGGTTAGAAGCGGGACGAGAGCACTTGAGGGATGCCAGATACGCTGTGGTGAGGGTAGGTGAAGCTACGAGGTTGTGGAATCAGGGACCGCTATGCAAGGTGAGCCAACATGGGTCTCGACGACCGACTCGAGGCAACTATTTCTTAAGGTTGTTTCGTCCAAGACAAATCATAAGCTTCAATCTACATGTAGTACTCAAGTGCTGTTTGATTTCTGCTCTCACGACCCCCTCAAGCCCCTCAAGCTCCATCGGTGGCAAAGGACAGAAGGAGAATTCGTGGCGGGGAAGGGTCCTAGTGTAATACCCCCACTGTCCGAAAGAAGAAAATGGGCAGAATGTGGGGAAAGGGTGCGGGGATTTGGGAGCGATTTTTGGGTCCAAGGGGGAAAATTCCATTGGGGAAAAAGAAAAAAAAAGAAAAAGAAAACGGAGAAAGGAGCCCTCTCGACCGAGGCAGAGACCACAGAGGCAATGCGTGTGCGAAGGGACGTCCGAAGTCCCGACGGAATCCAAGAGGCCCCTTTTTGCTTTGAGCATATTGGTTTACCGCAGCCTTTATTACCACTCTTGATATTTTATTAGGATTCTTCTTGAGGAGAGGATGCTGGATATCTAGTGTAGGGCATAGAATTGTGTGGATCGAAAAATTAAAGAAAGAAACATAATAGAAAAGATCAGCTCTTCTAGCCCAAAACGACGGGTTCCCAGCCTACTTGCCGGGACTCGGCCAGCGCCAACTTTGCCGACAGGTTGGTGGAGGTCTCGGCTTCGGTCACAAGCCGAGATGCCTGGAAAGGCTGGCCCAGGTCGGAGAACGGACCTGGCTAGGGATTTGGCCACCTAAATTCAGTTCAAGATCTAGAAGAATGATCCATTTCGAGTCAAATGGCATATGTCTCCACTAGTTCCCCCAAAGAAAAGTTCAACGCAAGTCAAATAAAAGAATTAGTTCTGTCCTGGCACCTGCCACAACGTCGATTCCACCACATTTTGTCACCTCAGAGGGCGCCTCGAAGGCCTAATCATCATGATCTGGGAAACTTGTAGCCGGGAAAAGAAAGAATAGGATATTCTCAAGTAAATGCTTGGCCAAAACTTGGTCAATGGTTCTCGAGTGACAAGTGCCTCAAATGTCGTTACCGCAGGAAGCGCCAAGGGGAACCGCTCGAATTTCTCGAATTTCTTGGATTTCTTTTTCCTGCCCTTTTCTTTTTTCTTTCCCTTTTTTTCTGCCTCGGCACAAGCCTGTGACGTAAAGGCCGGCGAACCGTCGAGTTGCCGCCACCAATCCCCTCTCTCCTCCACCTCCACCACGCTCAAGCTCGCAGTCCCAAGAACCCCTAGACCTGTGTGCCCCATAATTTCCCCTTCCCACCCTTTGCCTTTTTGAAGTCGCGATTTCTCCATTGGTTTTTTTTTTTTTTTTTTGGTCCAACTTCTCCAATTTTGTGCTCTCGTCGTTCAACTTCTGCATCTTCGAGCATTGCCTGTCCGTCTTCTTTCTAGCGTTCAAAGGACAAGAACGGTGAAACAAGTTGCTGAACCGAAGAGCTTCTGAATCACGTGGGTCTTGCGACTGAGAGAGTTGGAACGGAAGCCGGTTGAAGCTCCTCTTCAGCGCCATCTCCTTCTCCACATCATCTCCCTCTCCAACGCCGTCAAACGCTTTAAACCACCTCTAGCCCCACCCCCGGCCAAAGCTCCCTTTTCCCTTTTTTCTCCTTCCTCCTCGCTCTCCTCCTCCCCTCTCCTCCTCTTCCTTCTCTACCTCCAGCGCCTCGCCACTGCCCCTCCCAAAGCAAACGCATTTCGTTCGCCCTTCCTGTCCGCCCGCCACCATGTCTTCCAGCCCCAAGGACTCCGGCGCGCCAGCGCTCTCCTCGGTTCCTACCCCGGCCACCCTCGATGCTAAGCCCGCCGCGCCCGAGGCCCCCAAGGCCGTCGCCGCCAAGTCCGAGGCCATGGCGCAAGTCCGCTCCTTTGTCGCCGGCGGTTTCGGAGGCATCTGCGCCGTCGTCGTCGGACACCCCTTTGACCTCGTCAAGGTCCGCCTCCAGACCGCCGAGCGCGGCGTCTACTCCTCCGCCATTGACGTCGTGAGGAAGAGCGTGGCCAAGGAGGGCTTGAGGAGGGGACTATACGCCGGTGTGAGCGCGCCGCTCGTTGGTGTAACCCCCATGTGTAAGTCAATCTTTTGAATCTTTTTGGGCTCCTATCCAAGCACTTTGGAAGTTGCGTGGCATGCGCTCTGCACCCCCGGCCCGCGCAAAAGCCATCAGCAGCCGGGAGAGAGAGAGAGAGAGAGAGAGAGGGGGATGAAAGCGACAAACGACGGGGAGAGAAAAAGAAAAAGAAGAGAATTGCTTGCTAACACCGACAACCGCAGTCGCCGTCTCCTTCTGGGGTTACGACCTCGGCAAGACCCTCGTCCGCAACTTCTCCCCCACCACGAACCCCAACACCCCCTCACCATTGGCCAAATCTCCGCCGCCGGCTTCTTCTCCGCCATCCCCATGACCCTCATCACCGCCCCCTTTGAACGCGTCAAGGTCATCCTCCAGGTCCAGGGCCAAAGACCCTCGCCCCCGGCGAGAAGCCCAAGTACTCGGGCGCCGTCGACGTCGTCCGCCAGCTCTACAAGGAGGGCGGCGCCCGCTCCGTCTTCCGCGGCAGCGTCGCCACCCTCGCCCGCGACGGGCCGGCTCCGCCGCCTACTTCGCCGCCTACGAGTACATCAAGCGCAAGCTCACCCCCAAGGACCCCGTCACCGGCGCCCCTACCGGCAACCTCTCCCTCATGGCCATCACCTGCGCCGGTGCCGCCGCCGGTGTCGCCATGTGGGTGCCCGTCTTCCCTATCGACACCGTCAAGTCCCGCCTCCAGACCGCCGAGGGCAACGTCACCCTCGGCGGCGTCATCCGCGAAGTCTACGGCAGGGGCGGCCTCAAGGCCTTCTTCCCCGGTTTCGGCCCCGCCCTCGCCAGGGCTGTCCCCGCCAACGCCGCTACCTTCCTCGGCGTCGAGCTCGCCCACCAGGCCATGAACAAGATGTTCAACTAAGCAATTTTGGGGTTGGGAAAGCACCAGCATACCTCTAGAGCCGTGAGGGTCATCACGCGTGGTTTCATGACTGGGGAGAATGGGGTAGGAAAAGATGGAAGGGAGGAAGAACTTAAAAATACAAGGGAGCAATAGGCTTTCCTGGGCCGAAGTGGGAGGTTGGATGTGAAGAAAGGCGCAAAGCATTTCATAAAGTCTCCGAGTTGGATCGGGATTCTTTTTTTTTTGTTTTTTTTTTTTAACCTTTGGGATCATGGCTATGGAATCTTACTGTTCTGGGTTTCTTTTCCTCTTATATCATATTCATCATTGAAAGATAGACTTGTTTTCTAGCATACGTCTTTTTTTTGGGCTCTATCATTTCCCCGTGTCACTTCTTTTTTTTTTTTTTTCTTTTCTCCACCTAGATTTAGCCAGTATATCAACATTTTCTCCCTTTTACATCATCATTCTTACCCGTCTCTCTCCTTTGTACATATCACCAGGGATGTCTTCTTCCATCAGCATTGATGTCTACGAGTCCGAGAAGATCTTTGTTTCCTCGCTATTCGCAAGTAGAAATAATTAGTAGACGAGAGGAGACGAGAGGAGACGAGAGAAGACGAGAGGAGAAAACAAAGAAAGACAATACATCCTGCAAAACGCTTCGTATTTTGTTGCTAGTGATTGTGAGTGGAACTGTCCATGTCCGGGGTATCTATTCTACTATGTAGGGGTTTTCGCTTCCTTATGCCCTCTCTTGCCTATTCGTCGCACTGATTGCTTTTGTGGCAACTCATCCCGTGAAGATCAAATCCTAATGCAGTGTATCACGTTGGAGCAACCAGAATGATACCGCATGTTAAGCTTCACGTCCTTTCGAAATCGAAGAGAGAGGTAAGTGCCTTTGTCCACCTCGTCGCTTCGCATTCTGACCCTCATCCATATAAAACCTTGGCTCGCAGCAAGCGCGGCATATCCCGAAAACAAAAGAAAGAGGGAAAAGGAAAATCAAGGAGGGAGGGGCAGAAACCTCTCAAGGATGGCTTGATACCCCTTCTCCGAAAGAGCTGGGAGTCAAACACATCGTGATATGGTCTCGCCTAGTATCATCGCTCGTTCATAGTCCAGCGTCGCCGAGGCTCTGCCCGAGGTGCTGACCAAAGTCCACCACCACCGCCACCACCTCCTGTTCCCGTTGCTGTTCCTGTAGTGCTAAACCCGAGTTGTGCAGCAAAGTAGTCGTCTGACGCCTCGGACGCTTGTCTAGAGGGCTTCTCTAGGGGTCTGGCCAAGAGGGGGTCGGGAAGCATCGGAGAAGGAGCTATATCGAGATTTAGTGGCGGAGCTGGAGTGGTAGCCATTGGCGTCCGACCGAGGTTTCTTGGGGTGCTCGTGCGACCATCAAACCGCTTGTTGTCAAAGTCGGGAAAATAGTCGTCTTCGTATTCATCGCGCACCGGGGACCAGAGACCCGTGGACGCTTTGCGAGAATGCGCCGAAGACGGAAATCCAAAGAGGCCGCCAGCGGGAGTGATTGGATCCGTCGCAAGATGAGAGGGTCCTTTGGATGTCCGCCTCGTGGGGCCGAAATTCACCGACGCGCTCATGGAGCTGCTACGACTCGCACTCCCGACGTGGTTAAAAGAATCTGCGTAGGTGAAGGGGCGGAGTATAGGCGATTCCGTCGAGGACATTGTGTTCACCCGGCCCCGGAACCCCCGCCCATGGACGCCGACCGCGCCGAGTGGCCAAGATTAGGGAAGCGGGGTAACGGGCCCCCTCAGATGCTCCGAACTCGCTGTCATCTTAAGGTCGTACGCTTCATGTACCGGAGGCGTGGTCCTGGGTGTTGTAGCCGGGCTTCTTGGAGCGTCTCTCCACTCCGCCTCTGCAGGCTGGTACCCGTCCGGTTTGCGCACCGCCATGGTGATTGACGCAACGCCGACGTCCATAAGCGCAGGCTGATGGGTAATTGCGCCGATCAACGCGTTGCAGCCAGCGCCGTGAGAAACAAGGATCACGACGGACTCTTCTTCCACATCATCCTCGCGTCCAAAGCCCTGTTTCTCTTTTGGCGCGCCGCCATTCTTTGTGCTAAACACGGAGCTTCCATTCGCGCTGCGCGCGCCGCCCCTGACTCACGTTGGGGAGCCGCATCGGAGGAGAAGCTCCACTTCAACTCGCCGGGGTTGTCGCAGCTAGCATACCAGTCCACTAGCTCTTGAAGGCCCTTTCGGAACCGCTTGTGCATGGCCGTCCACTCTTCCCCATACATCCCACCGTCCCCAAAGGCTAGAGGGGGCCCGGTGGAGTCCCAAGGATAGTCAACCGTAGAGCAGGCATCGCGGGCGTGGGCGACATATCCGTCCGGAATTTTGCAGTTATTAGTGATGGCATAGTGCGGAACGGGGGCGATGTATCCCACCGGAGGAGGTTGGGCATGAGGTTGCGCAGCGTCGGATAATGCGCTAGCGAGGCTGCCCATGGCGTTCAGGGGGACTTTGGCCGACCCGTCGCCAAAGAGGCATCATCCCCACCTTTCCACAGCTGATTCTTGCTCTTGGTTGTTACGGGTTTGGGTCGGAGGCCCGGATCTGAATATTTGGAGTAATCTTCTCTCTTGAGAAGATCGGCCTTGGCTGAGCTAAGCATGACGGATGTGGATGGGGGCGGGGTTATGGTCTCAAAATAAGCGGGCGAGAGCCATTCCCCGAGGAAGGCATCAAGGCGAAGCACGCTTCTCGGGAACAGGCGATGGTCGAATCTCGGATTGGCGTCCAGTGGGTTCACATTAGTGTCGACGGCAATAGGTGAGAGCACCGGCGAGGCGGTACCACGGCGGACGAGAGGCCGAGCGACGTTGTGTACAGATGCGACACTGTTCGACCGTGTTTGGCGAGGATAGGGCGCCGGAGTTCCCGGAGGCTCGCGAAGCCCAGCACTAATTCCGACCGCTGTCTGGATGCATCGGAGGAAGGGGAGCTGTGCACTGATACTCGGAATAAGCGTCGTCGAGGTTTCTGCTTGGAGCTCTGGGTTGACCCATCCTCTTCTGAAGCTGCTTGCCTCGTTGATTCGTAGTCGGCTTCCGCCTGTGTCAGGATGCTCGCGATCTTGCCGCCCACAGTCCGAGCTTGGAGCCAGCCACCGTATGTTAGGGGAGGATCGTAGGGCGTGGCCGAGCCAAGGACCCAGTCCTTGTCAACAACGTCGAGTCGATTTCCATGTCTGTGACGTGGGAGACGGTTTGCAGGTTAGCGGTGGGCCAAATGTTGCGACATATGCTACTCGAGCTTGTCTCGCCTTACCTTACGACAAATATGTAAGCGGGGTTTCCCCATGTTCTCTATCGTTGGCGCGGAAGAGGGAAGTGAAAGACGTTCTTTTGACCCGGGAGGGGGCAACTCTCACGAGGGAGAGGAGCCGGAATAATATACTGAGCTCCCGGTTGGGTTGGTAGGGGTAAGGGTCCTTTGGATGTGGACGGACCCCTGTCCGCTGTCCTCCCAATGCGTCTAGGGGTGGGGGATTGTCTAGGCCGCGTCTGTCGGGCGTTCAAAAATCGTGTCGCGCAGTTCAGAGAAAAGAAAAGTCGGCACGGGTTTCGGAGGCGGACCGGAGGGGGTCGAGCAATTGAGTTGTCGAGGGTGACGTCTCCCGGATCCCAAGCGGGATTGGGACCTTTGTAGGGGAGAGTCGCTGTGGACAAGACGGGCCCAGCTCTCGACAGGCTGGTCAGGCGGATTATGGAGCTTTGGCAGATCGTCGTGTGGAAAAGGGGACAAAAGATTGAAGAAAGAGCTGGGGCTAGAAATAATAGGGTGGACGATGATGCAGCTGCGAAATGAGGCTTGACAACGTCACCAAGAGATTGCCTGCTAACTACTTGGATCGAAATTGCATGAGAGACCCGCGATTAGGATTGGAGACAGTGCGACTGTGGCACTTGTCAAGGGATAAGGTCGGAGGGGCGCCAGGAGAAGATTTCGGATGTCAAAGGTCAGGTTCCGATGTCGAGGATTGAGACGGCCGGGCGGGGCGATGATCTGCGGTTCAAACCGATGGGGGATGTACAAACGAGGCAAGCAGAGGTCGCTGGATGGCCCGAGGGGAGGGGAGACTGAGGGGGATGTAATTATAGTAGACAAGGAAAATACAAAGTAAAATAGAAAGGGCAAGGACGGCTGTCCTAGCTCGAAGCTACTGTTCATGAGCTGTGAAGGAAAGCTTGACGGAATTTTTTTGGAAGCGAGGAAACTTTTTGCTTGACTCGACATGACTTGGCATCTCTCTCCAAAAGTGCTCCAAGCTTCACTAATCAAGTGAGTCAGAAGCGTTAGACGAGGCAAGCATAGCTTCCGTGAAGTCTTCTTCAGAACCCATATTCCCCCACTACCATCTTCTTGCCTTTTAGTCGAGACTCGTGCAGCGTCGCCTCGCGGTCCCACACCCCTGTCGAGTGGACAAAGTACGAGATGCCCAAACACACAAACTCGTACACATCCGCACACGCACGCGTAGGCAAAGCTCACCCGCGAGGAGAAGGCTCGATTCCAGAAAGAGACCAATCAGGAAACACTCAGTTTTGCCTGGGGAGGTTCAATGCTGTGCGGCCTCTTTGACACCACCACACGTGTACCGTCTCGGGTGACATGTGGGCAAAGGCCCAGGCGCAAAAGAAGATCCATCCCCCCTTACTCCAAAGGAGGGGAAATGCAATGCAGCAGCAGATGAAATCAATGTACAAACCACAGACCAGCCAAGTCAAAATAAGATATCAATTGGCACACGCACACGCACACGCACCGCACCAGTTGGGATCCAGGGGTGGAAAGTGGAATGTTTCTATTAGGCGATTTCATTAGTTGGAGATCCAGTCTCGCACCACCAAGAAGCGCTCCTTCCCGAGCCGCATGTTTTCGCCGTTGTAGATTGGCATGCTCGGTTCCATTGCTTCTCGCCCGTTGTTCCTTCTTGATATGTACTGTCGTGTAAGGCGGGAAAAAGAGAGAAGGGGCGGGGGACAAGGCACAAAAAGCGTGTCGAGCATGTGATTGAGAGGGGCTCGCGCTATTCTAGTCCACACCCACCAACTCTTCCACAGCCGGCGGTACCGGCGTGGGCTTCGCATGGGACGTGCACTAAGTTTGGCCTAGTTCATCCTGGCCTACAACGCCAAACTTTCTGGATGGGTCCATTGTCATTGATCAATGATGGACTGAGTCTGAATCAAGGCAAGCACCAACAATTGAGATCAGTCTCGATTGATCTCGTGGAGGCATCAGCTGCTTAGCAATGCAAGTCTAAAAGGAGTGTCCTACGAAACCTGCGCCTAGGCAAACAGGGGCGGTAGAAGCAGACTCGTCGGCTTTCCGGCTCGTAATAGCCCACATCATCCAGTCGACCCTAACCCTTGTCGTCATCTCGCCAACACGGCCTTATTTCCCTGCCCATCGTCCAGTTAAGCTATTCCATGCAATACGTGTGTCGCAAACGGCCGGGGCTCCCAACTCATCAGGCTAGGCAGCCGAATAATAAACGGCCAAGCCATAATACTACTATTCCTTATACTTGTAAGCCGATCACCGGAACTTCTGGGTTTCTTCCCATTTCCCTCGGACTGGATAACGCTGAACGGGATTCCAATTTCCGAAGGCGAGGTTGGTCGTTCGATCGGGTCGGGGGCCAAAGTGGCGGCAGGGAGGAAGACTGCAGCAAGATTGATAAATCACATACACGCACAACCAACAAAAGGGGATTCCCGTCTCATCCAATCTCCTGCTGTGTAATCCAGATCCCAAGGAATTTTAGCTGGTATGGCTTCCCCTCGGAGCTTTCATGGATGGCAAGCCACACACACGCCATTGAGATTTTGCCTTGGCCCGTCTCTTTTGGGATTGAGCCTCGCCCTGCGTGAGCTGGAATGGGCGCTCGCCAAGACCTCCTTCTCAAACACTGGCCGGACCAGCCAACACAGCCAATTCTGCTTAGTCACAGTTAACGCTCGAGCTGATAAATCAACGCTCCCAAAAGCCACATTGTGTAGATCACCTCCAGCATCTAGGCGGTTGGTACTTGCGTACTTGCCACCACCTGGCCAGCTCCTCCTTAAGCTCCGTTCACCAAATCTCGACCCCCAAAGAATCCCCACTAGAATTCCCATCTTCGACAACACTCTTTGAACTACTTCCTGCACTTGTGCAATCGGAAACCCCAGTGTCTTCGCCATGCAGATCTCGACGCTCGCGGCGCTGACCGCCCTCGCCATCCCAGGGGCGCTCGCGCAGCACACGAGCAACTGGGCCGTGCTCGTTGGCACCTCCCGCTTCTGGTTCAACTATCGCCATCTCTCCAATGTGTTATCCATATACCGGACTGTGAAGAGACTAGGGATCCCCGACTCTCAAATCATTCTCATGCTTCCCGACGATATGGCCTGCAACCCCAGAAACGCCTTCCCCGGAACCGTCTACAGCAACTCCGATCGAGCCGTAGACCTCTATGGAGACAACATCGAGGTTGACTATCGCGGCTATGAAGTCACCGTCGAGAATTTCATCCGCCTCTTGACCGACAGGGTGGGCGACGAGATGCCGAGGAGTAAACGGTTGTTAACCGACGATCGCAGCAACATCCTCGTCTACATGACCGGCCATGGTGGAAATGAATTCCTCAAGTTCCAGGATGCGGAGGAAATAGGCGCCTACGATCTTGCCGACGCGTTTGAGCAAATGTGGGAAAAAAGAGGTATGGCAATCACGGCATATTCTTTCCATAAACAATCTCCGACTCCCCTCCTTCCATGCAACGCCCCCAAATGCTAATTCGGCTCGCTCCCCTCTTTTAGGTATCACGAGATTCTCTTCATGATCGATACGTGCCAAGCCAACACCATGTATAGCAAGCTATACTCCCCAAACATCATCGCGACTGGGTCGTCCGAGTTAGACCAGTCCTCGTACTCTCACCATGCCGACAATGATGTTGGTGTCGCCGTTATCGACAGATTCACCTACTACAACCTTGAGTTCCTTGAAAACCAGGTCCGGGATATGAGCAGCAAGAAGACCATTGGCGATCTTTTTGATAGCTATGACATTAGCAAGATTCATTCTAACCCTGGCTTCCGATACGACCTCTTCCCCGGCGGTGCCAACACCGCTCGCAGTCGTCTCATCACGGACTTTTTCGCCAACGTCCAAAGTGTCGAGGTTCAAGATTCCGCGAATAGTACGCTAGACGAGGAACTTCTGTCTCTCAGCAGGACGATTGCTGAATTGCGCCGGAGAGCGGACGAGCAGGACGCCGCAGCTAACAACGTCACTGGCCCAGCAACGCAACCAGACACCGCAGCCAAGGGGCATGTGCGGAATCCACTGGCAAAGCCTCTAACAGACGAAAACTGGTGGGCCAAGAAGTTTTATGGCGCTACTGCCGTGGCGGGCTGCGCGCTTCTCTGGGGCCTGAGCTCGTACCTGGAGACCGCTACCTGAGCTTCTCGCTAGCTGTAGCCCCCGACTACCTACCTCCCAAGAAACAAAACAAATACAGCCATTATCCGAGGTTGGCACCTATTCGCCCCTCTCCGACCTCCCTTACCCGCCGACGTGCGCCTGTTGGAGGACGTCGCTTGCGCGTACCATGTGTCTCCAAACCCCGTACTAGCGATGCGCGGACCTCGCAAACCACAGAGGGATGCGATCCGACCCCACCACCCCAGGCCCATCACTATCTGCAGATGTGGGATATAAAACTGTATGATACAAAAAGAAGCTACGACAACCCCTGTACATTATTTGGATCTTTCTATTGTGGTGACATTATCATCTGTACCTGTATATATAATATACCCAATCTACCCCAATAAATATTAGTCCTTGACAAGAACTCGGTCTCTCGAACAATCGAGCATTCGTGATGAATCAAGTACTGGCGGCTGTGACCAGCTGCCCTAGCTCAACCCACACTTCTCACCCACCCAGAAGTCACCATGAATTTATGTCTGCGATGCCATGTCCATCGCTCTCACTTTGTTGTGCTAGAACTTGCGTGGATGTGACGATGGCAATCTCAAAAACTAGAGGCACAACGTTGTACTCCCGTGTGAAATAATGCCGCGGAAAAACAATGTGAGCCGAAACCGTCTCAACGCCCTTTCCGTGTCATCGCTAGCATCCTTCTAGGATGGGCGAGGCCTTCTGCTAACCTTTATTCCGGTGTAGGTCCCTCCTCTCATACCGCTCCGCGTAGGCTCGCGCTTATACGCCACCAAGTCGCTGGCCTGGTCCTGCGACGGCGAGATAGCCGTAGCGGGCGATGACTCGTTGCACATTTATCTCCCACACTTTCGAGATGAAGGCCCTCAGGGCGACGACGACTCCGGGTCCGAGGCCGGCGGGGAGCCCAGCGGCGAGATAGCGGAGGAAAAGCCCTGGTTCCTCAAGCTCTCCCCGATGGGAAAGCCGCAGTACTCCACCGTGCCTCTCCGACTGCTGATCCCGCAGGTGACGGACCCGCGGGCCAACGGGCGGCTCTTGGCACGAAAGGGCGCCTCGATCGCGTACAGCGAGGACGAGGACGAATTCATGGGCACCGGCGTCGGGTCCGTGACGGGCGTCGGCTCGGCCCTCAACCAAGTCGTGAGCGTGCAGTGGTCGCCCACGGGCGTCGGGCCCAACCTGCGGCCCGTCGTCACGGCCCTGCTGACCAAGGGCTACCTAGTCGCGTACGGCGAGGTCATGGACCGCCAGAGCGCCGTCATGGACGTCAAGGTCCGCGACTTTCGGTTCTGGAAGCTGCTCTGGGGTCTGGGGGCGACCATGCCCTTGGCCGACGCGTCGTCGCGCACCGGGTTCGCGGCGCGCGGGGACAAGATTACGGCGTTTGCGTGGAGCCAAGCTTTGGAGCCGGGGCGAGGCCTCTTGGCGTACAGGACGGACGTGGAGGAGCTTGTCCTCGTGGCGGTGCAGTATCTTGAGGTTGTGGTTGATGAGGGCACGAATTCGGATGGCGGGGCCGCGTGGAAGATTGATGAGCTGCTGAGGGTTGAGGTCAAGGGCCCCCACCAAGCTCTTAGTGTATGTTGTTCTTCTCTCCGTCCTCGCAACCGCCGTCTGCCTTCATATGAGATGCCCCCCTTCTCTCTCTTTCTAACGTGAGATGTTTAGCTTCATGATCCGGATTACACTCCGTCCGGGTCCGGATTCTCGTTGAAATGGAGCCCTTGGTTAGTATCAGAAGACGGATCTCGGACGTGCGTCATCTCGTACATTGGTCCAAATTATGTTGGGTTTCGACGGGTCATCTTGCCCCCTTCTTGGGAGCTCGGGGATCTCCCCAAACTTCAACTTAGCGAAAAGGATGTCCTCGGCATTTGCACGCACCTCTCCACCGATGCCTTTATTGAGTGGGAAGAGGTTGTAAGTCAAGCCCTTCTTCCTTTCTTCTTCTAACTCTCTAACGCCCTCCTCTCTTACAGGTCTGGAATGCCAAAGGTACCAAGATCTGCCGCGGCGTGATTGCCACGCCATTTACCCCCATTCCCTTCGAGGTTGACCTTGTGGGCAACGCTCCCGAGCTACCTCCACACCACCCTAGAGCCTGCGGTAGCCTGTACCCGGCGGATACCGGCGTTGACAGTTTCAACCCCATTTCATGTGCGTCTACCTATTTCTTCTTCCCCCAACCAGTGGGCTACACCCGTAGCGACTTCACCGAGCCCCCTTCCCCTCCCCTGTCGGAGTTGACTGACCGTGATACGCCGTCCAGCTCTCGTCGTCCACCCACCACCCCCATCTACCGACTTGGAGGCGATCCCCGTCCCCATCTACACCCTCACACGCCTCTCCGCCACTGCCTCAAACGACAACTGGATCGAGTACAACGGCCCATCCACCACTTTCACGCCCCCAACCTGGGCCACAGCCATCCACAAGCTCGTCAACGCCAGCCTCCCCGAGTCCACGTCGCAGTACCTAATCGACTCGGAATCCGACTCCGACTCCAGCATCTCCCTCGCCAGCGACTTCGAAGACGAGGAAAATCCAAGCTCCGCCCCTCGCGAGGACCAGCAGCAGCAGCAACAACAAACCAAGAACCCGGACGCCGGCCAAGTCACCGTCAAGCCTCAGCGCGCCCGCATCTGGGCCGTCGCCCACTCCCCGGGCGCCGCCACCACCGCCATCCTGTACTCCAAGCACAGCACGCTCATCCCCGACCGCGTCTGCCGCTCCCGCGTCATCTTCGACACGCCCCCTGCGCGGCTCCCGCCCTTCCACCCTCCCCGCCGCAACCGGACCCGGTCGACCCCCACCCTTTACGCGCGGCTCCCTCACCTCCGAGGCCAAGGTCTGGGAATGGATGTACTCGGGCGGCGACCCCGTCGCAGGCTTCTCATCCCACCCCGTTCCCAAGCTTGCGGCGGAGTTTTGGAGAGCCATCGACTCGGCGGAGTGCGCCCTGTGCGCGCGGCCCCTCGAACTCTCCGGCAGCGATTTCATCTGCTCCGCCGGACACATGTTTTGTAAGTGTTGGCGTTCCCCTTTTCTCCTTCTACGCCCAAAACCTGGTTTCTCGCTCGCTGACATTTCGAACATAGCCCGCTGCGTCACGTCCGGCCTCCCCATCCTTGCACCGGGGACGTTTCGACTCTGTGGCCTTTGTGGCCAGGCCAACATGACAACCCAGGAGCTCCTCCGTTTTGCAGCTCGGCACGGCCTTTCGCCCGATGTTGTCTCGGAAACATTGAAAGACGTTTGCAACGGCTGCGGGGGCAAGTATATCGTGTAAGGTGGATCGAAAGGCGCCAAATAGGTTTACTGGTGTGTGGATCAAATAGCGAAACCAGTGTATTGTACATGTTATGAAATTACAACCCTATCCTTTGGCTTGCGGAAACAAACAAAAACACTTTTGCTCACTCTCGTGCCATTGTGATCTGAAATGATGGTATCCTTGTTTTATTTTAAGACGGATATCTCCCGAAAATGAAGATTTTACAATGTACAAATATATATGTGCGCGGGAGGTGGTGTGGTTCCCAACGCTGTGATATCCATGATTAATGCTCGCTACCCCAACGTGCCTTCCCTCGGGGACACTGCCGTATAACCGCACCTATAGGTCCTGAGGGGTCTGGCACCATCGCCGGATGCTGTAAGATAGCCACTGACCGGGTTACTCCCACAAGTCCAACGGCGTTTAGAGCAACTTTTGGCCGTTGGGGTTTCGAGAGCCATTAATCCGACCAAATCCACACCAGCATGTAGAGTCACCTTCCCTCTCCACCTGAACCACAACGTCCAGGCCATTCCTGAGCAAAAACTCTCGTACCCTATCTCTCACCTCATCCATCGAGGACCCTCGCCCCGCCACGACGTGCACGATTCCGAGAAGCTTTCGGCCGCTAAGGCTGCCCACGGTCTCTAGCTCAGCCTTCTCCTTCTTGTCGTCGCCGCTCGCATCCCGGTCATCAAGCCAGAACTTGGGTACCGCGCACCCCACCACACCCCTCTGCTGGCTGATGCCGGCCAGGATGTTGCGCAGGTTGTATTCGACGTCGTCCGGCACGCTTAGAAGTAGCCTCTTGGCAGAGGAGATTACGAGGGGCCTCGCGGACAGGAAGATGAGCACAGAGATGAAGACGGAGGCGGTGGGGTCCCAGCCGCCCCAATTGGTGAAATGTGTCAGGATAGTAGAAACGATGACGGAGGCGCTTCCGAGAGTATCGGCAAGGATGTGGAGGTATATGCCGTGCATGTTCTCGTTATCGTGGGAATGGCCGTGTCCGTGTCCGTGTCCGTGATCGTGAGAGTGGGAGCAGCCTCCTTTGTTCTCGTTGGTATGGCTGTGGTCGTGTCCGTGATGATGATGGTGGCCAAAGGCCGTCATTCCAACGAGGTTTACAAGCAAGCCAAGAATGCTTACAATAAGCAACTCACCAAGCCGCTTCGGCCGGGAGCCGTCCCATATCCTCTCGACGGCCTCGAAGGTAATTTCGACGCTGAGGAGACTACATGATGAATTGCGCGTTAGAAAATCTGGACGGAAAAGGAAGGAAAGGAGGAGCGAGAAGAGCAAGAAAAGGACCGACTCACATTAGGAGGATTCCGTTGGCGAAGCCACTCAAGGTCTCCATCTTGCCCAGACCATAGGGAAACCGCCGGCTCCTAGGCCATTTGCTGGCGACTGCGGCGACGAGGCCGACGAGCAGAGCCACGCAGTCAAAGAACATGTGGACGGTATCGCTCAAAAGACCAAGCGAGTCGGTTACGTAACCGTAGAAGCCTTGCACAGCCATGAAGGAAACGTTGAGGCTGCAAGTCAAAGCTTAGTGAATGGTCCACGGAAAGGCATAAATGGAAGGAAGGAGTTCAGGGTAAGGTGTCACATACCACATGTAGTAGAAGATTCGCCGCGAATCCTTCTCTGCCAGGATGGCATGTATTAGAGGCCAAGATGCACATCGCTTTAGGAGGAAGCTGGTGAGGAATGACCTCTTGTCCGAGCCTCCATGGGCGTGCCCGTGGGCATGGTCGTGGGAGTGGTCATGAGAATGGTCATGGGAATGCGCGTGGGAAATAGAATGAGAATGGTCGTGAGAATGGTCATGCGAGTGGCTATGTGAGTGATCGTGATCATGATGCGAGTGTGTATGTGAATGAGAATGAGAATGGTCGTGATTGTGGTGCTGGTGATGGTGGTCGCTGCATCGCGTCTCCGTGTAGCGCGGAAGCTGATAAGGAATTGGCGTAGAGTTGGTCGCTGGTGTCATCAAGATTTTACCGCCACCGCCTTCCTCCTTCCAAGATGCTGCCACGTTTATGGGAGCGGGGAGGCATCCGCTCTTTAATGGTTTGGGCGCCGGGAACACTCTGAAGCCCGGAGCTGGAGTGGCTAGGGTATCCATTTCCTCCATTACCGAGAGGGCTCCCGTGCTTGTTGCCGTAGCCATTGGCTAGGGCAGTGTCGGAATTCAGATAAGACGATATCGAGCCCGAGTTCGTTCGACGGGACCTCGTAGAGGGGAGAGTGCGATATCGAGGTTCCGTTTCCATTGGCGTTCGCGGGGAATGGGAATGCGAGTGGCGAGGATCGTGAACATGTTGGAGCGGGGAGTCGGGAGAGAATAGGAAGACGCCATTGTCGCGGGTTGGAGGGCCTAAATCGACCCCTCCGAGAGATGTGTGCCCAAGGTGAGGTGGGCTCTTAGAGGCCGAAGATTTGCAACTCGGTCGATGCAGAGGATGATTTGAAGTGAGTTATGGTCTGCGTCGTCTGGGGGTCAAGACGTTCGCTGGTCGACGGTGACTCGGATGCGCTTTAACAGGGAAACGTGCAGATTCAACACGCAAGCGAATAGTCGAGGGTGCCACGATGATAGTCATGAAGTCATGGGATGACGGCGTGGGCAAGAAGCAGGTTGAGCTAGCGATGGGGCTTTGAGAAACAATGTCTCGGTGAAGGGGAATGCCAAGCTTGAAGATGGTCGAAGCGGACTTGGCCTCTGGCGAAAGCTTGGAGTGACGGGAGATGGCGAGACAGGTCTGTTGAACCGGGTCGACTTTTGACTCTCTGGCTCAGTGGAACGGGCGTAGCAGTATGAGTTCTCGAAGCAGTGATAACCAGGGAGGAAAACTGGGGTTGAGGAAGGTAAAGAACGAAGGTAGCGGAGGGGTGGTGGAGAGGGGGGATCAATGATTTGAATAATAGTATTCTCCCTTCTTATCAAGGTACGCAATGGAGGGAGAGTGCATAGATCAATTGATGGATTGAACTTTGGGCGACCAGATGGCAGCAAGGCTAAAGGGCTCGGCCAGGGATCGGAGAAAGCCGCAGCAGCGTGCGTCGTGGGCCGCGACGCAAACTTCACTCCACTTTCTACAGGCGGAGAGTTTATCGCGTAGCGTGGCGGACCGGAGGGATGGATTGACTGATGGTTTTTCGGATTGAGGGCAACAATGGTATCTACGGGGGATATCTTGACTCTCCAGTCCTCAAGTGCTCTCGGTTGGCTCCAGTCCTCCACTTGGACCGGGACTAGCGCGCACTGGGCGACGGTCCTTGGCCCAACAGGGGATAGGGGTAACATTGCGCTCGAGGGAAGGCGCGAGACATCACTGGCCAAGACCAATCTTTTCCATGCAACCCTCTCTGCAACCTTGAGCGGCGCTGGTGTCGTACCGCGAAATCGGCTCCGTAAAAATGGGTGATGTGGCGTGCACTTCAGGTGGATGATTATTGGGCACAGGTCTAGGAGCTCAGGAGCATTGATCTTTGAGGAATTCATATGCCGCATAAAGGCCAGGTTCCTGAGATCTCCGAAAGTACTTGTCATACATTGTACAGGGAGATAGCAAATCAATTGTCTCTCCACCACCAGCAGCCCACTTTCAAAGTCGCAGCCGTCGTGACTGCCGCACAATTTTACGAGAGAGCGATGCAGTCGTCAGGTCCTCCATTGATACAGTTGCGCCAGAGAGGCCTGGCCAAGAGAAGAAAGGGGAAATAGAGAGAGGAAAAAAGGTTGGGCGGCGTATGCAATAATAGTCCACATTTAATATTGGGATCCCATCATCGTGTGTCTTGGCGGTATATCGCTTGGCGGACATGTCGGTTGTTTGATCAATTGATATTAATAACCAGGAACAATTATCAAACCGCCCGCAGCCGCGTCATTGACGGTCGACGACGTGAGCAGTCAAGCCCATTGAAGAAGAAAAGAGAGCATGGAATACATGTAGAATGAGAGGGTTGGCGGGGCGTTTGCGTGCATATTGACCTGAGCTCCACACGTTGATGATGGTCTGGAGAAAATGGCCAACGACGGGCATGGGGGCATGGTTGTATGGTGTGTGGAGAGGGGACCAATTGACTGATCCCCAAAGCAATTGACCAAATTGAACATCCCCCTGGAGGGTTAGAGTTCCGTCAAATCGATCAAATGGATCCATCACTCCAGTTCTGTGAACCTTTCATGTTTTGCTCCAAGTGTCACGCTGGAAGACAACGGGCCGCGCCTTTCAAAAGGCCAAAAAATCATCGAGGAGCCGCGAGAGGTAGAAAGAAACAGAAACAGAAATCTAGCGTCAGTCTCCAACGTCCCGAGTTTCTAATCTCTAGTGTAGATGGATTACAAGATGGAAATGTCAAACGTGGAGCAATCAAGACGCAGACTTTTCAGCGATTCTTGATTGCTAGTACGTACGTCGGTTCCGTCATAAATCGACCGATTGTTCAGACCACAATTCTATTCGTCCAAGCCGCGAGTTCGGAGGCAAGAAAACCCTCGCACTGCGTTATCATGGACCCGTCGGGCCCTCCCGAGTTTGTCCTCGGGGCTAGAAAGGACAATTGATATCAACGACTCGGATCCCGTGGACCCCGTCGCAGCGCAGGCTGGCTCAGCTTGCTTTCAGTGCATGTTGTCTCGTCTCAAAGCTGTCGAGTGAATTTGGTGGGGCAGTTGTGGCGGTACGAAGTACCTGTGCTTGGGTGTCCCGCCTGGTGCCTTCCAAAAATGGCCCATGCAGCTGTCACATTCCTCTCTGACACCTGCCGTATCTGTCCCTCCAGATCAAGGAGGTGGACGGAAGGCCACCCAATCAGTTATCATCCACCGAGCGAATCTATTAAGCTGCAATTGCTGGGGCCATGAAACCCGAGCGGGCAAAAGAGCAGGTGTCCTTTGAAGCCTTGAAGAGAGAGAGGATGCCCAGACATTGAACTGAATCGTGGCCAGCTCGTCAACGAAATTCTTACCAGGCATATATATGCTCTCGGCTTGCTGATGGTGCAGCTCCTAATAGTGGCAAGCTTATGTTTTGCGACTTGCCGTGACGCCTGCTCTCTCAGCTCTCCAAATTGGTCAAGCTCGTTTTCCTTCTTCCTCCTCTGACACCGAGCCCCCATCTTGATAGCTTTCCACCAGCTACGCACGCAGGCTCGAAAGACTAGTCTTTCACCCACGCTAAAAAGCGGGAAATAGGGCCGAGGGGAAGCTTTGAGTTGCGCGACTGGGACAAGACTTGCTGCAATCGGCCGGCCTTCTTCACTTACCTTTGCGCACCCGTCCTGCCACCCTTTACCGTAGGCGCATCATGTCTAGCACGCTAGCTTTCGCCCTCACCTTCACCGCCGGCATCGTAGCCACTCTCATCCTCATCTCATTCTCCAAATACATCTTCAAGCTCATCCCTTCGCGGTACCGGCCCTCGTCGGACCCCAAGGATGACCATTACCAGATTCTCGTCCTTGGCGATATCGGGCGAAGCCCGCGGATGCAATACCACGCTCTGAGTGTCGTGAGAAGCGGCGCCCATGTCGATCTTGTAGGGTACAAAGGTTCGTCACTCGCGATATAAATTCCGTCTTTCTCCTCTTCCTCGTCTCCCTCCTCTTCCTCTCTTTTCTTATCCTGCTACTGCGCACCTGCTAAGCCATGCCTTCTTCTATGCAGAAACTGCTCGCCATCCCGGCCTCGTGGGCGTCCCGCAGGTTGGGCTCTACGCCCTGACCCTCAACCAGAGTGGCTTCGATGGCAAATGAGTCTGTTCATCGGCCTTCCTCTCAAGGCGCTGTGGCAGTCTTATGATCTATTTTACACCCTTGCCTACACCGCTCCTGCCGCCAAGTGGATCATCATCCAGGTACGTAGTGTACTTTGCTGCCCCTCGCCCAATGCTCATCCGCGGGCCGCGCCGCTTGCTGACTCGAACCTCTCCAGAACCCTCCCTCGATCCCGACCTTGCACACCGCCTACATCGTAGCTTGGTTACGCGGCAGCAAGGTCCTGGTCGACTGGCACAACTACGGCCACACCATCATGGCCGTGAATAGAAGCCGCCGTAACCCCTAGTCAAGATGTACAAGTTTTACGAGTGCTTCTTTGCCCGCCGCGTCCCGGATGTGAGCGTTACCGTCACCGAGGCCATGGCGCGCGACATGCGCCGGGCCCCCTTTGGGCTCAAAATGCCCATCCTCACCCTCCACGACCGCCCCGCGGCTACCTTCCAGCCCATGACCTCACGTGAAGAGCGCAAGAAATTTCTTTTAGGGCTCCGCGAGACCAAAGACCACGCCGAACGCATCATCACCGGGAAAACGCGCCTGGTGATCAGCAGCACGTCGTGGACTCCTGACGAGGACTTTGGCATCTTGCTCGAGGGCTTGGTCAAGTACGCTGCCGGCAACGCCTCCGACCCTCCCAAAAGGGAAAAGCGACGCCGCTTCTCGTAATCATCACTGGAAAGGGGCCTCAAAAGGCCGACTTTGAAAAGATGATGAGGGATCTCAAGGCCGGCGGCCACCTCCCCAACGTCGATATCTTGACTGCTTGGCTTTCCACCCGGGATTATGCCACCCTCCTGGCTGCTGCTGACTTGGGAGTCTGCCTCCACCGCTCCAGCTCCGGCGTCGACCTCCCCATGAAGATTGTTGATATGTTTGGTGCCGGCTTACCTGTCACCGCCTATTCGGCGTATGAGAGCTTCAGCGAGCTCGTTAAGGAAGGCGAGAACGGCTGCGGGTTTGAGACGCCTGACGACCTCTCTGTCATCCTGAGACGGCTGTTGTCGAGCAGCTCCACCGAACTCGAAAAGCTCCGCCAAGGAGCTGTAAGAGAGGGAAGTAGGAGATGGGATGACGAATGGGACCCCGTTATCGGGAGAACTCTCGGCTTAGTAGCTTGAACTGGTGGGTGTCGTCACTTTTAAAGCCGCATGTACTTGTAATGTAATGTTGAAACACTGCAAAGCCCACGGAATAGGCGAGTTTGATATTTTACTCAATAAAGGATGCTTTGCTAAGGAGATGATCCAGCTACAAGTAAGGCAAGATATGCTCATGCGCAGCGCTCGTGATTGTCGCTCGACCCTTCATCGCGCTCTCCAGAACCTTGAAATCGCTGAGCATGCTATGAATGTACAGGGTCCGGGAAAGGGACCCAAAAGTCCCAAAAAGCGCGAAACTCGCAACAGCGAAAAATAGAGTTAATAATAAAATAAAATGGAAGACTAGAAAGAGAAAGGGCAAGTATCATAGATGACGTCTTGCACCTCCCTTCTTGTCTCGATGTGATGGGTTGCCGGTGATGCACGCTTCGAAAGTGAAAGGAGGAATCCAAAGGATAAGGTGGGATGCAACAACTCTCCGACGTGAAGAGCCAGCATCCATCCAGAGTTCTCGTCTCGATAAGGAGGATGAGGAGGGGGTTCCGCGAATCCTTGTGGCTATGATCTAGTACCAACTCTTAGACCACTTGTGAACTTTCGACCGCTCAATCAGTCCTCGCCGAGACTCGCCCTGACACAGGCTCTACACCGCTTCCTGAAGTCCTTGTGCTGGCCTTCCCTCTCTTCCCTAAATAACCTAGCTGCCTCCACGTTGGCGGGCGACTCGTCGTTTGGAGAGTGGAAGAGGGATATGACGCTGAGCAGAATGGTTTCGGGCGTCTGGACAGGGCTCCACCGCTCCGAAGCCGACTCGTACCCGTACATGTCCTCGCCGGGTGGGTGCAGGATGGAGATGCAGAGCTTGCCGGTTTCGTAGATGTTGGGGTGGAAGGGAATGGGTTGTTGGAAGGTCATCGAGGGGGCATGAGAGGGTAATTTGAGGGGAAGTTGAGGTGGGCTCGAAAGTTGCCTCCTGTGGACGGGATGCAAGCATTAGCGGGAGGCCTAGTAGAGAGTGATAGACCGAGGTAGCCTCGGAGCTCTCAACCTGATAAGGGAGGAGAGCACAGGAAAGGGACTAGGCGCAAGACGCAAAACTTACCGCCGTAGTATTTGCAGTCATCGTTGATCATGAGCATCACCTCCCACTCAAAGATATTGTTGTCATTGACTAGGCCGCAAGAGATGCCGGGAATGTCCTTACTACGCTGCATCTCCTTCAGCTGTCGGCGAAGAAGAGACGCGGCGGCGGCGCTCGAGGAGGACGTCATTATCAGGAAATCGACCGGGACTATGTATCAGGGAGAAGGAGAAAAATAAAGGAGTCTCGTTTCCTTAAGTCGTGGCGTTAGGCGAGGGCTTTGGATCGCCGGGAGGGCTGGTTCGCTGTCCGAGCTGCTAAAGTAAGCTTGCGGGGGTACTCGAACCAAGGATGAGGTTGGAAGTCGTCGGGCGGAGGGGCAAGGGGTTCGCCGGGAACTTAGAAGCTCTCTGACTTTCCTAGGAAGCGTGAGGGGAAACTTGGTCGTGGAGATGTGTAGGTCCTTGAGGAGGTGAGTGGTGCTGGATTGTTGGGGGGGGCGTTTTGCTGCAGTCAAGGGCACGGTGTCGACGGAGCGCGGGGCACAGGCAAGTGGAGTGGCGGGGTTCTGGTTTTGCCTCGAAAGGGGAAGCGACTTCAAATGTTGCTTTCAATGCCGGCCCTGTATATTTTATTTTTTTGGAGGGGTGGGGAGAAAAGACTCTGGTCGCACAGCACTGAGGAGTCACAGGATGTTGGTGCCAGCTCGTTAAACCCCTGCTAGTCTACCCGGTGAGGCTTGTGGAGCGCGTTAATACTCTCGAGGTCAATGTGTCCAGACGGGACTGGAGACGATGGGTCGATGAATGTGATTGTAATGGATGGAAAGGCCCTTTCTGATAGAGAAAAGAAGAGAAAAGAAGAGAATTAGATTTCCGCCATGTTCCATTCCCCCGTACTTTCTTACCTGGCTTTCTTCTTGTCAAAGATGACATTGGGTGGGTGACGAGGGGGAACCGAGGAGGCCGAGAGGAAAGCCGGGAATCAGGTTGCTAGTTTGGTCTGGGCTCAGCAATCCTCAGTTTTGTTTTGTCCTTCGGGAAGAAAGCGAATGCAGATAGAAAAGGTAGAGGCAATTTTGGAGTTTGCTCGCTTTGCCCTCAGACAATTGGCAGCAACTAGTAGCATACGAAAAGGCCGCGGACAATCCTGGCGCCGGGGTCCAATGCCGACGATGCCAGAAGTCCTAGAGCAAATGACCAGTAGAGGAACCCTCTTTGTGCCTATTCATCTAGAAGGCGCATTAAGCAAATTACATGCAGCTGGAGGCTATTTCTTCGACGTTCCGAACCCCGTGAACCCCATCTGCGCCATCATATCGTCCTCGTCGTGCTCGCCTTCTATCCGCACATCCTCGCCATAGTCTAACTTCGCCTTGGCCTCTTCCTCCTTCTCCACCTTCTTCTTCTCCTCCTGCTCCTTTCTCCTCTTCCGCTTCTCTTCTTGCTCCTTTATCCTTTCCCTCTCCCGCAGCGCCAGCCTTTCTTCGAGTGACGTCCCCTTTTCCGACTCCATATCCTTTCGCTTTTGCACGTGCCATAATATCCTCTCCTCACCTCCTGCACGGTCGCGCGCTGGACCTTGCCCGTGTGGCCCGTCGCGATCAAGTGCTGCATCGTGTTCAAATGGTCGATGAACTGCTTATTGTCTTTAAACGTAAGGTCGCACGCCTCGCAGTAGAAGCCGGCTCCTCTGCCTCGCTTGCCCGTCGACGAGCCCGCGGGCACCAGCTGCACCTTTCCCACGCGGTCGCTGACATCGAGGGCAGCCTTGCGCGCGGATATGAGGGCCTCGTTGCCCGTCGGTTGCCGAACGTACTTCTTCCCTGCCAGTCGCGCCTCATAGCGGGCCTTGCCTTCTTCCCGCTCTTGAGCTTCCTTTTCCTTTGCACGCGCCGCGTACTCTTCCGGGTCGTACTTTTGCGAAAGTCAGTGTCGCCGGCCGGGGTGCCGTACGCACCACCGTCCTTTGAGGCCATGGCGGCAAAGAGCTTGCGCTGGGGAGCTGGTTGGGGCGATTTAGGTAAATTTGACAATCAAGCGGAACGTTCTCGTGGAGATGCTGAGCTCAAGAGATGATAAATCTCTGTAGCCTACGTAGGGTGAGATGCGCCGTGGAATACGTCGGGGGCTCTGGAGGCTTCGGGGGTTATCACAGTTCGGTTGGACTGACTGGGTGGTCGGTTGGTCGTGGGTTTTGTCGAGCTTTGCTTCAAAATCGATTGCGGTGAAGCTTTTGATTCCCACGACTTTTCACAAGCAAGCCAGAAAGACCACCCTGCCCTGGTGCTGTCGCGCCTCTGCTGCATCAAATTGATCAATCATTGGGGAGATAAACACCCTATGGGGTGTGTATAACGCATCCGCGGGGTACGTGGGGCAAAAATTGAAGCAAGACGCAAATCGTCGCTTGCCCAGCCAAAATTTCAAAGTTGCTTCCTTGCGCCAGACCCCGCCAACGAGTCGAGTCAACCTGTCCACCACTTGTCGCCAATACACAAATTTTTCCTAGTTCCCCACGGTACATTTTAAGTGTACGCAATCAGTCGCCATGCTGTATCTTGTGGGTTTAGGACTAGGCGACGAGACCGACATCACTCTCAAGGGTCTCGAGGTCGTGAAGAAGTCTACTAGGGTTTACCTCGAGGCTTATACCAGCATCCTTCTCGTGGACAAAGCCATCTTGGTACGCATCGCTTAAGCCACCGAATTCCAAGGAATGCCACTTTGCACGCCATTGGAACTAGATTGACTGACGCATGGAACATGGGCAGTAGGAATCTTATTATGGCCGCGAAGTCATCATTGCCGACCGAGAGATGGTCGAGTCGAGCAGCGACGAGATCCTCGAGGGCGCTGAAACCCTAGACATTGCGTTTCTCGTCGTCGGCGACCCTTTCGGGTAAAGAGAAATTTCCTTCCTTGATTTTTCAGATACTAGGCTTGGGCTAACCGAGCCCTCTACCCAGTGCCACGACCCATACCGATCTCGTCATTCGTGCGCGCGAAAAGTCGATCCCCGTCCGTAGCATCCCAAACGCCTCCATTCTCTCTGCCATCGGCGCTGCCGGGCTGCAGCTCTATCACTTTGGCCAAACCGTGTCCATGGTCTTCTTCACCGATAACTGGCGCCCGGCGTCCTTTTACGACCGGATACGCGAAAACCGATCCATTGGCCTGCACACCCTGATCCTCCTCGACATCAAGGTGAAGGAGCAAAGCTTGGAGAACATGGCGCGCGGGAGGAAAATCTACGAGCCGCCGAGGTACATGACCGTCGGGCAGTGCGCGCAGCAGATGTTGGAGATTGAAGAGGAGAAGAAGGAAGGCGTCTATGGGCCAGACAGCCTTGCCGTCGGAGCCGCGAGGGTGGGCGGGGACACGGAGAAATTCGTTGCCGGTACCCTGGAGGAGCTTTGCGACGCTGACGAGGCTCTTGGGGGTCCTCTTCATAGTGTCATCCTTCTCGGGACTGGGACTCACGAACTGGAACACGAGTATGTCCGGGAGTTTGCGCTTGACAAGGAGAAGTGGGATAGGATCTGGACCGAAAAGTATCAGACCAAGAAGTGAGGGTGGGAAACACAACTCCAAGTACGCCTAGATCCCAACATCCTGTCTGTGCTTATGGACATATTCCTCTTGCTCTAGCCATCCACATAAGATTTTGCATGTAGTGTTTGGTCTACTTGTGGTTTTCAAAATGTTTGGCATGTCTTCAATTTTTGGTTTGGTAGGTTATTCCTATTTAGGTTCATTTGCTTTCCTTGTCATAATCTCACATACACCGCACTAGCCGTATATTCCGTCCATAGATATCATTGTCTTCCGTTATTACTGCCCCAAGACACTTCCCACACACATTCTCTTCTTAGGCAATGGCACTGCCAGTTGCTCTCCAGTTATTGATCTCACCGTCCGTAATCTCGCACAACTTTGACACCTGAGCGGGCTGGCCCGTGACAGCACCGTGGACGACGTCTGCTGCTCTCGCCAGGAGATTCTTTCCCGATTGGGAGAACGTGGCGGTATTGATTCTCACGCGAATTAGGCCCAGACGGGGATCCGAAGCGGAGCCGTCGTGCTTGCCATCGCCGAGGTCGCCAAGCCAAGCCTTGAGGATAGGGTTATAGTAGCGCTCCACCACTGCGCGGTCGGTGATGATGGAGGCGGTTCCGGCGGCCGAGGCCCACTCTCCCGATGCGTTGACGAAGGAGACGTTGACGTGCGGGTCGGCGCTCAGCTCCTCGACCTTGTGCGAGGTTGTGTTTGTGTAAAAGAGTAAATCCGTGCTGTTGGTTTCCTGTGTCCGATTGTCTTATTAGCTAGCTGAAAAAGAGGCAAAAAGAGACTGAAGGCATCCACTGACCGTAGCAGCCAGCTCCATGCAGCGGGAGGCGAGAAGTCCAGTATTGGCATCTCGTGTCGTGAGCATGCCGTACTTGCACCGCTTGATGAAATGAATGAAGTTTTCCATCTTCTCCTTCACCGGTGCCTCGCTATGGTTGAGGGTCGTGTAAGGGTCGGCGGGTTGGTTGCCGATCATGTTGTTATTCGGGTTATGCGATAGTGTCGAAGTCATTTTGGAGGTTTGATAGGATGTGTCTTGAATGAGTTGATTCGATTCACGTCAAAAAGAGGAAGAAATAGATTACAGTTTTATTCTTTCATGCCAGACCAACGATACAATATTCGCCGTCTGCTTTGTTATATAGTCATTTTGTCGGTGATCGGCTCGTCGTTGGGCTGAGATCACGGTGAGCTTTGACGGGGCAATCATGACGTCAAAACGCCGCCTCACACAGTTCGGCCCCTATCAGAAGAATCAGAAGATCGATCCATTCTTCTTTACGTATGATGTATGACGCGTGTGAAAGGCTTATTTCCTCCTTGCATGTACGCGTAGCTTTCAGATTTTGATGTCAGAGGCTGGATGACTTTGATGCTTCCCGCCCGTGAGTAGACTCTGATGCTGGATGCATTTGGAATACATGTACCTCGGTACGGCCATCAACTCCAGTGTTTAAGGTGATAGTAGATGCGATTTCTCTCTGGACGGCTTCATTGGATCAATGGACATGTCGAATAGTAATGTTCAATCCCTCTGCAAATATCTACATGTACTACATGTATGCTCTAGGAGACGCATTGGCCTCGCAAACCGACGGGGTCCTTTTTAACCAAAAATCATAGCTTTCCTACACCCCTAAGCGCCTTCTCGCCATCCACAAGCACACACCAGCCCTCGTGTCCCCGGCCGCCGTCTCCGGCTACCACGGCCTTGAAAGCATTCTCCTCCTGGGCGGCGCGAAGCACCTCGTCGTCGAAGCTTCCAGGTTGGAGCCAGATGGCGGGAATGCCGAGGCTCTTGGCGTCGCGCAAGACCTGTAGAGTGGCGGCCGGGGGCGTGACAATGGACAAGGCCGTCTCGGTGGGCGAGGGAGAGCGGATATGTTTGGAAGAGCGGGGAAGGGCTCGTCCTGGCTGGCGAGAGTGATGGTGGCGGCTGTGGGGTTGATCGGGGTTACGGGGAGGTTGTGGTTGATATACCAGTCAAAGACTAGGCGAGGAAGGAGAAGAGAAAGGACTCCGTTAGTAAAGAAAAGAAAAGAAAACAAAGGGCACAACGAATAGTGGCCGCATGCGCGAAAGAAACGGCGGCCGGAGGGCTTCAACGCGGCGACTTACTGATGTTTCCATACTTCGCGGGGTTTGAACTGGCGCCCACAACGGCAAAGGCCGGGGAAGAAAAAAGGCCCTGGCGGCCGCCTCGGTCCCGACCATGATGGCAAGAAGCAGCTTGGAGTTTGTGAACTGGTTTTTCTTTCTTTCTTTTCTTTTTCACTTCTCTTTTTCTTCTCTGCTCCAGACTCGATCTTAAAGCGCAAGACAATGTCGAGTGGACGGAGGTCGGCGACGCGGGGTTCAGCCGAGATGCATTGGGAAAATCAAAGTGATGATGCAATGTGGCGGGGGAGGGGTGTGTCTGCAAGGGTCACCTAATAGCTGACTCTAGCTCTGTGGTTCCCGAGTCCGAGGCATGTTGTCGGGAGATTCGGTCACCACTTGACCGGAGAATTATTAGCCTGAGAGCGGCTGCGAGTGGTCAAGGCCAGGAAACCGAATGGTTTGGTGTTTTATGAGTACATATGCAGTCAATTGATGGCTCTTCCAGTTATTATGGAATGGTGACTCTATCAACATAAGAGCTGCGTGATGGCAGGTGTGCTGAAGGATCTACGGAGAAGCACGACCTTAAGGGTGGGACATCTAGTGCGTTGATCTGATAACCGGTCTACGTAACCATCCATAGTTGTGTATCTGGACTTGGATACCCTTCAAACTCCATCAAACTAACTCTGCGCATTGTATTTCGCCGAGTTCATAACGTTAGCTGTCGATGGCAAAAGACTAAGCTCTCCCAGCCGCAATGTCAATTTTTGGGTATGTTAGATCGCCCCTTCCTCACATAAACCCTCAGAAACTACATGTAGTTATAGCATCCTGCTAACGTTGAACTCATGGCGGCCTACGTAGACGCACCACCTATTCGGCCGCGAGCTATGCGGCTTTCCGGCCGTCATACCCACCAAGCCTATTTAATAAAGTCCTAGCTTACCACGCCCAGGGAAGCCGCGGGCCTTCTTCCCCTTCCGAGGCGGGGACTTTGCTCGATCTCGGCTGCGGCCATGGCCTCATCGCTCGAGCTCTAGCGTCGCATTTTCGCCGCGTGATCGGGGTTGACCCAAGCCGAGGCATGATCGAGCAGGCCCGGTCCATGACGATAGGCAAGGCCGACAATATAGAGTTCCGGCAGGGCAAGGCCGAAGAGCTTCAGTTCCTGGACGATGGGGAAATCGACATGGTCGTCGTCGGGCAAGCAGCGCACTGGTTCGACATGGACAAGCTATGGCCTGAGCTTGCCCGGGTGGTGAAGAAAGGGGGTTCGCTGGCCATATGGGGTTACAAAGATAACATTATAGTGGGACAGCCGGAAGCCACCAAGATCTACGACGAGTTTACGTATAGCGACGAGAAAGTAGGCCCCGGGTTCGAGAGTATGGGCCCTTACTGGGAGCAGCCTGGACGTCAGATCATCCGCGACTCACTGCAGGCCGTGAAGCCACCCTCGCACGAGTGGGTTGGCGAGGTGAGAGACGTTTACGAGCCCGATAGAGAGGCGTGCACAGTGGGGAAGGCAAGGAGGAGGCTGCCTGGCTACGACGGGAGATGCAGCTAGGAGAATTTGAAGGATATGTCCGGTCGTTTAGCGCGTACGTTGGCTGGAGAGACAACCACCCAGAGTCTAAACCCCGAACTGATGGAGGTAGTGGAGACATTGTGGATGTCATGTTTGACCAGATCCTGGAAGCGGTGCCGGAATGGAAGGCCATAGGACCGGACGGATGGCGCGAGGAGAAGATAGAAGCCATCTGGGGAACCGTTCTTATAATGGCAAGGAGGAAGTGATGATGGCTTGCACAAATTTTGATCATTGGCCCTTCTTCTGCAATACAGGTTCTTGTCCCTTTCCAGAGCCCCGACCTAATAGTGTGAATGTCTGATTGCATTTTTGAGGGATCTGGGCATGTCCTTGACAGGCTCACTTGAGGATGATATATAAGTTTTCTTATATATATATATATATATATAGATCGAGATCTATATATTGGTGCCCCCGAGATCAAACGATGCGAGCATGGCCAGTAAGCCAGCCCAGTCGGAAATTCAGCTTGAGGCCTGACAACTTTGGGCGGTCATTGCAATACATCGTAGATGAATATATGAAGTAAATGCCCTCAGGATCAATGACGACGTCGTTTACTATCAATTTTGGAGTTGCTTGGCTGGTGATGTTGGTCTGGGTGGTTACCATGGCTACGCAGGCGATGTCATGGATTGGCCCAATGGGCAATGAGGGTCCGGTCAACCAAATATTGCCCCACGCGAGCGACACGGCTTCTGCCCCTGAACCCCTCAACAGCAATTCGTGTCACCCTTATTGGGGCACACGTGCGTAATTGGACAGGTTTTTGCTGTGGAAATCAATCGCAGCCAGCTTGTTTATGGCTGAGTGACCTGGAAATGGACCTGGATTGGGTCCATGCTCAGACACCGATGAATCCAGTCCCCAATAATAGGCGACAGTAATCCTTGACCTCCTTCAGACACATTCGTTCTCTCCCCTCTTTTCCTTCTGGCATTCTCTCTGCATCCAACACTGCTCGTCGACGTTTGTCTTACTTCCTACGCACCTTTTTCAAAAACACGCATACCCTTTTGAAACCCGCATCCCGCTTGTCACGATGGTGAGTTGCCTCCCTTCTAGTTCGCCCCGTTGCACCACTAGCTGTATTTACAGTGGAGGCCGTTGCCCCGGAATGCCACCTTCGACGTAAACAATGAGCCCGAGTGGGCAAAGATGCCCGCTTTTCGCCGATTTTAGTGCCTCCTGCGCCTGAATCTGTCGCGGAGAGTGTGGCCATCTTTTTTCTTGGTTTTAACTCTGGTGGCTTCTGCAACTGTTTCCTGGCATCCCAAGTTTTGCTCTTCGCCTCCGTCATATCTCTCTAGTTTTGCTGTGGAATAGAAACTCTGTCTTGAGCGGAAGGAAAATCTCCAAGCCATCAATCTTGGAATTCTCACCTTTTGATGCTCTTTGGGCTCTTTTGACTGCATCGAACCCGGCAGCGATTTTCCTGTTCACGCAGAAACTCTTTCCAAAATTTCAACTTCACTCGAGCGGCTAGCTTTTTCGAGAACCATCATTACCATGTCTTCTAACCTGTTTGATTCCCAGGCCTCGACCAACTACAAGGAAGCTTTCGCCCTATTCGATAAGCGAGGCACTGGCCGTGTCCCCGTTGATAGCCTCGGCGACCTCCTCCGCGCTTGCGGTCAGAACCCTACCCTCTCCGAGATTCGCGATCTAGAGAAGAATGTTGGTGGCGAGTGTACGTGACATAGTTTCCTGCTCTCCCGTCGCGCAGCCTGTACTAACCACAGCCTGCCTTGCGGGTGGGAAATTAGTCGATTTCGAGACTTTCCAGCGCGTGCTTAACCGACCTGGCGGCTTCCGCGATCCTGGCGAGCCGGATGAGTACTGCAGAGGTTTCCAGGTCTTTGACAAAGATATGACGGGCTTTATTGGCGTGGGCCAGCTCAAATACATCCTCACCAACCTTGGCGAGAAGATGAGCGAGGAGGAGGTTGACGAGCTTCTCAAGGCCGTTGACACCAGCTCTGGCCAGGTCAACTATACCGGTATGTTTCGTTTCCTTGGCTACCTCTCCGCCGCCATCTACTCCCTGTTTTACATATCAGAAGAGACAACTAACGAGAATGTGCACGGTAGAACTTGTGCGGACGATCCTCGCCAACTAAGGGCCGAGGAATGAAAAGACGACTTGCCTCACGACGTGTACTTTTCTTCTAGGTTCTCTTTTCGTTCTCTCTGGTCTTGATACATTATTTTGGCACGAAAGGTTTGGGCTGCCGCGGTTGCGCGCTGTCGCCGGCGACACCGCGGGGCTCTTGAATGGGATATGATGGATTTTGATTTCCGAGCATGGGTTGTCCGGGACACTGGAATATTCGGCGTTTGCCTTTTGAGAGTCAATTCCTTCTTTAGGTCGATTCTATTGAACATGCATGCTTTTCCTTCTTCGACTCGTGATGATACGGTTGCTGATCCCACCCTCTTTACCGGTTTGGTCCTACTATCGTGACGCACATATGTGGGCGAATGCCCAACTTGGTGTTGCGGCCCTCCTGTCACAAAATGATGGAGCTGCTAAAAGTACGAATTGATCGAGGAGAAGTTGGCTAGTTCAGTGGCGAAACAATCGCGGATCCGCTCGGATCCGCTCAATCCCGATCCCTTTGGATTTGGGCGTGGAACCACCCCCCAGCTCGATCAACCAAAGCTGAGTTCGGAATCAGGACTAGTATTAGCTGGAAATATAGAGATCAATCCAATGTTCAGGCAGTGGCCTGGGCTCATCTATTCGATGTTCGGTGATGGCTCGCACCCCAGCGTGACAGATGGATTATTGACCTGGTCCCAACCAACGCTGGGGAGGCAGGCACCCCGCAGCTTCAGGCATGCTCAAGACAGCCACAATTTCTTCTCCCGTAGCTGTAGCAAAATATATCCATAACAGGAAGGCCTTGACACACCACAACGAATGGAGAGTTGTTGCGCCCTGACCCGGGATCTAATGCTCCACCGCCACTTCACAATGCTGTGCTGGTCTGATTCGACCCAATAGTTACTGTGAGTTGGGGAGGATGGATGAGGAAAATAGGCTAGGTTTAAGCTTAAGGAAGCCATCTTATTCGATGTAATCGGCGCTCGTTCTCGTCTAGTGTTAAGCACACCCATGTCGTGGTTTTTTCCCTGCTTGCAACCAACCCATCTCTGCATTGCGGCTAGTACTCTGTCGGTTCAATATCTCGAGTCAAGTTCTTGGCATGTCCGTTCCGGACTGCCCTTCCAACCTCGCTCTTTTTCTTCGCTGCTCTAGTTAGGACACGGTCGTCGAGCCATGGAAGAGAGTATGCGTGAAGTGTTGGGCCCTGCTTTAGTGTCAATTGGTGACTCTGAGGATTCTCCGACGTAGAGGGCAAAGGAGAGCGAGTGCTGCCGGTCTCTTTCGGTGGTGGTGGAGGGTGACACTTTCTTGAAGTATAAAACCAACTCGTCGCCTCGTGCTTCGTAGTGTCATCACGTAGGCCGTCTCTTCTCCCAGTTTAGAACTAAACGGCAAGACTTGTTATTATCCGAAACCAAGTCCTTTAGTGTATCTGGCCTCTCTGTTTTACACCCATTGAACCAATATCTCCACGTGTTGCACTCAAGAGTTGGTCTTGGCCGAGGCAATGCATCCTACTATTCTTTTTAAGAAGCTTCTCATCTTCGCGGCTATTCTTAGCGAGGTCAAGGCAGCTCCCAAGTTGTTCAGGTCCGCGATCTCGACACCCGAGGAGAGGGAAATGGCCTTATTCCACGACAAGCCAATACCTGCCGCAATGACTTGCTGTATGGCATCCTTCGAGCGCTGTCGGCCTCCAAGTTTTGCACGACTCATCTCCAGTTCACAACGCCAAAGACCGTTTATGTAACAGCCACCAGGACGATGCCCACAGTAACACAGCTCATCACGAATACCGTGACAACTACGACGGTGCAGACTGTTCAAGGGCCACCCACCGTAACAGTGTTGACCACCATCACCGTTGGAGAGCCAAGGATTGTCGACCAAGTAGTGCCAGTGTACGCAAGCTCCCACCAACTTCTGCCGACCTCAGCCCCATCCCCGTCTCTCCCTCTCCTTTCCCTCTCCCTTCCCTCTCCCATACTTTCGAATGATTTGTCTTGCCACCGAGGCATTCTTGAAACATACGCTTCGTTCTGTGAAGGTCTTAAGCTAACTCGCAGTCGCAAAGGACAACTACAATGTGGGCGACCGTGACGACGTCTCAAACAAGGTTTGTGCAGCTAATCTCATGGAGCCCTATATACCAATTACGCTCACACATACACTTCTTTATATAGCACCGTCACCACGACCAGAGGTACATTCTTTTCAAAGCGAGACAACATTGCTGCTAGTAAGTCAACTTCTCCCCTCGGGCTGCCTCCAAGGCCTTGATCCTGGATTAGTCTCGTTCTTATGGCTTACTGGGTTCTGCAGAGTTGAAAGGAATTGCAAAGGATGCCGTGTCACGAGCCTGTAGCTGCTTAGTTACCCAGGCCACTACCACCAAGGCCACGACAGTAACAACCATTCCTACAAGGTCAATCTATGTCGTGACCACGGTTACAGCATCCCAGACTGTGACGACGCCGGCTGCTGCACCGGCCGTCTCGACCGTCCAGGTTAATCCAGCAGACGTTACCGTGATCATTGTATCTCAAGTTATTCTTTCATCAACGTCAACCTCCACAGTTCAAGTTACCGTCACGACGGAGGAGACTGTGACCTACACATGAGCAGGAGGTTTGTGAGGGCTTGTTGAACCTGGCGGGCTAAGAGGAAGGCACCGTGCTACCGGTATTCATCCATGGATCCATCCATCCAGATCACTCGAGTACCCCACCCCTGGTCACCAATGTTGACCCTGTGAAGGAGATCAAAAGGGCTCTGCTCAGTGCTTTGTGATATATCGCGATCTTGTTGCCAACCGCCCACTGATAGATCTGTATCTGACTGGGTTCTGCGACACTGGATCCTGGCGACTTTGTTTGAACATCAACTGGTGCGTCGCTGTGCGTGAACCCTTCTATGTAGATGCGCATCACTGCATCCGTAAATATATAGACATGGGCAATACCTCGGTATTGATCAATCCATCAGATCCATTGAAAGAACTGCCTAAAGCGTGTTGCAAATGGTTACTCTGTGCTGTCTCGTGGGTCAATCAATAGGGAAGGTGGGACAAGGACCCACCCCGCTCGCTCGGCCGATGTCCCCGGGCGCGCCTACTGCTTCTTTCGTACTGTACCTGCCTCTTGGTACCACCCAATTTACTGTCTTCGTCACAGACATCCCTGTGAAGAATTCGTTGCGTCCAGCCGAATCCTCACTCATCACCAACATCCATACATTCAATTCTTGACATACCTCTTGGCTGCCTCGGTAGATTCACACCAGTCGTTCATTATTTTCTCCCGTCATTTCGCTCACAAAATCCTTCTTGACAGCTCTCAACTCAGCTGCAACCGCCTTAGCCCACATTATTATTGCGGGAGCTATTGATTACCTCATATTAGGTACATTTGTCCCTTGACTTTGCGCAACAGGGTGACCTGTCCCCAGCTTGCTCCAGCGCCGGCCGGCCCTCTCTCCTCCCCCATCGAATCATAATCCGGACTCTAGCTTTGCTCAGCTCTTTCTCCCCTCCCTCCCCTCTTCCCTTCCTTACCACTCACGCACCCCTCTTCCCCGCAATTGAAGCCTACCCTACCCTACCACCCCGCCTCTGCAGTCAGGCAGGTAGAAAAGGTACGAGTGTTTCGTCACCTCACCCAATCCCAAGCTCCCACTGGTTCCGCCTTGGCCGTCGTCAACCTGGCTCCCGCGGCCAAGTCTAGGTCTTTCCTCCTCCTCCCCTCTTCCTCTTCATCGCCATAACCGCCATCCTGGCTACCCCACGCGCCCTCCCCCGCCTTCAATCTTTCTATCAGCAGCTTCGGCTACGCCCCAGTACAGGTAACGCGCCTGCCCTTTTCACTTCTCCTGCTCTCGTACAAAGCCAGCATCCGCTGTACACCGGTGCCGCCATGGTGCCCGAAAAGTACCGAAAGCCCCCAGGCGCCGCCGCTGTTCACTGGCACCAAGGAGTCCATCGTCGCCGATGCAAAGAAGATATGCGACACCACTCGATCTCTCCTTGACAAGGTCGTGGCCGATCAGACTGCCGACAAGGGCACCTTCAACACCGTTCTCCTACCCCAGCTCGAGGATGAGAACCAAGCTGACCTGTCATCCCGCATCCTCGGCTTCTACCAATATGTTTCCGCGAGCGAAGACCTCCGCGGTGCGTCCACCGAGGCTGAGACGGTTCTCGACGAGTTCAACATCGAATGCAACATGCGCGAGGATGTTTTCAAGCTCGTCGAGGGAGTTTACAACCGCAGGAACGAGGCCACCGATCTAGACTCGGAGAGTCTGCACCTTTGGAGAAGGAGTACAAGGGCTATATCAAGAATGGCCTGGGCCTACCCGCTGGGGAGAAGCGTGATCGCTTCAAGGAGATCAAGAAGCGACTCAGCCAGATTTCCATCGAGTTTCAGAAGAACTTGAACGAGGAAAACGGCGGAATCTGGTTTACGACCGAGCAGCTTGAGGGCGTCCCCGAGGACGTGGTCAACACTCTAGAGAAGGGTACGGGCGAAAATGAGGGCAAGATCCGTCTTACCTTCAAGTACCCTGATATGTTCCCCACCCTAAAGTTTGCCGTGAAGCCGGAGACGAGGCGGGAAGTCTTCACTCAGAGCGAGAACAAGGTAATACCAAGGTGTTTCCCCTTTCACATACCTCACTGTCGAGGCTTGCTTTCTAACGGAGATTTCCTCGGCCCAGATCAACAAGAACGTCCCTCTTTTTAGGGAGACGATTGAGCTCCGAGATGAGGCGGCGCGCCTCTTAGGCTACCCCGACCATGCGACGCTCAGGATTGAGGATAAGATGTCCAAAGATCCCAAGACGGTCAATGATTTCCTCAACGATCTACGAACTCGCCTCTCCCCGGAGGAGAGAAGGAGATTGCTCACCTCCTAGAGCTCAAGAAGGCAGATACCGAGGCCCGTGGTATTCCCTTTGATGGAAAATACTACCTCTGGGATCACCGCTACTACGACCGCTTGATGATTGAGAAGGAGTATAGCATTGACGAGATTCAAATTGCAAACTATTTCCCCTTGCAATCTACGGTGAGGGGCATGCTCCATATTTTTGAGGAACTGCTCGGCTTCGTTTTCGTTGAGCTTGGCGCCGAGGAGAGGGCCCAGATCAGCCCTACCGGCAAGGCCGAAGACATTGTATGGCACGAGGATGTCATTCTCTTTAGCGTTTGGGACGATGCTGGAGAGGGTGACGGATTCGTAGGCTATCTGTACTTGGATCTTCACCCCCGACAGGGCAAGTACGGACATGCTGCCAATTTCAACATGCAACCTGGTTTCTTGAAGAAGGACGGCTCAAGATACTACCCTGCCACGGCGCTTGTGTGCAACTTCAGCAAACCCTCGGGTGCCAAGCCCTCTCTCCTCAAGCACGACGAAGTCGTGACTTTGTTCCACGAGCTTGGACACGGCATCCACGACCTTGCGGGCCGCACCAAGTTTGCTCGCTTCCATGGTACAAGCACGGTTCGGGATTTTGTCGAAGCCCCTCGCAGATGCTGGAGAACTGGTGCTGGACGCCGAGTGTGATCAAGTCCCTGTCTAACCACTGGGAGTCGGGCGAGAAGATCCCCGACGACCTCATCGAGAAGCTGATCTCTACTAAGCATGTGAATGGTGCTCTTTTCAACCTCCGCCAGCTCCATTTTGGCATCTTTGATATGACGGTGCATACGCCCAAGTCTCACGAAGACCTCAAGAATCTCAACATCCCCAAGCTGTACAATGAGCTTCGAGCGGATATCTGTGGTCTCAAGGGTCCAGAAGATTTTGGATCTGGCTTGTACGTTTTCAACCCACCCCGCCCCTTGAGCACTCCTTTTTTCTTCTCTCTTCTTTTGTTTTGTATGCGTACATACAGTGAACTAACATTATGCACGATTGTAGTGAATGGGGCAACGGTCAGGCTACCTTTGGCCATTTGATGGGAGGCTACGATGCTGGCTACTACGGATACCTTTCCTCAGCGGTATATTCCGCCGACATGTTCTATTCCGTTTTCGAAAAGGATCCCATGGCCGGTAAGGAGGGTAGGCGGTATCGTCATACTGTCCTTGAGAGGGGCGGTAGCCAGGATGAGATGAAGACTCTTGAGCAATTCCTCGGAAGGAAGCCAAGTCCGGAGGCTTTCTACAAGGAGCTTGGGATCCCTCAATAGATGGTGTGGGCGGTCGGGACGAGCAGAGGAGTGAGGGGAAGTCCAGAGTTTGACATAAGGAAAAGAAAAATAGTTCAAAGGCAGCAGAACCAAGAAGGCCGTACTCGGAAACAAGACAGGAGAGAAGGCGATGGGCATGGACGAGAGAGTAAGCTGGGGTGAAAAGGCCCTCCATTCACTTTACACTCTAGTATCAGCTAGTAATATCAAACAGCTATTCGGGCCTTGCTTCTGTTTTGATGTCACGCTATACAAGTTCTTTTCCTTTTTCTTGGAATCAAATGGGGTTCCATTCCATTAATGGCTTGGAATCGCCATTTCGAGTTCTCTGGAGCCGTATCGTGATTGATCATTACACGTAGTCACTTAGACGTCTCGGTGGCTGTGAGGCGCGGCAGTCGCGAGATGGTCAAGAAAATGAAATACCTTGGCAATTGTGGCTTCTGGGATTGGTAACGTTAGTGGGCATCGAGGACGCTATGTTGATTTCATTTTTGGGAGGCGGCGGCCTGGAGGGGCTTGAGGGGCTGAATTCGTGGACCCGAAGATAATCCGAATGTAAACAAACGCGGCGCGCTGGGCCAATTACGAAACAGAAAACGGTCAATTTGTGGTACCTCGAATAATAATAGCTCCCGGCACGTCCATTACTTGTATTATTATTCCAAGTACCACTTCAACGGAGCTACTCGTCTCTCCATGTTCCAAACCTGACTGAGAATCTTGGGGTCGACCTTGTTCTCTTTCTCTAACCCAGTATCTTCTGTCATTCTTTGTTTTTCTTCTTTTTCCCCTCGTCCGATTCTCCGGGAAGACGACCTCCACTCTTGCCTCCCGTCTCTCACCTAGTTGAAGGGGCGGATTCCATGATTTAAACCGACCGCGTAGCCCTGACGCGACTTACGACCAAGACGATTGTGCCATTAACGTATACATATCTTGCGAAATTTCTACCGAACGACCTGAACGACCGAGCCTCCACCAGGATTGCCCTGCTGCGGCTTCATACTATCCAAAATGGAGAACCTCGGTGACTTTTCCACGTTTGACGCTCGATTAGCGTCTTTCAAAGTTGTCCAAAGAAGAGGGCCTCAACCACCGGGTCTAGAGGCACAAAGACGATCAAGTGGCCTCATCCAAACATAGCCCCCGAGTCGGTGAGTTTTTACATCTCGACGCTTCAGCACCCCCGCATGGAGTTCTTCGGAGCCGTGGTTTGCTAACAAGCCTCGGCATGCGTGATAGCTCGCGAAAGCAGGATGGATATATCAGCCGCACCCCGAGCACCCCGACCAAGTCGTGTGCTTTCTCTGCCGCAAGGGCTTGGATGGGTGGGAGAAGGGTGATGACCCTCTGGTCGAGCACGTCAAACACGCGCCCAACTGCGGGTGGGCGATCCTCGCCGCGATAGAGGCCGAGTACCCCGACTATTTGGCCGAGGACCCCAAGAGCAAGAGGATGATTGACGCCAGGAAATCCACCTTTGTGGGAAGGTGGCCTCACGAAGCAAAGAAGGGCTGGAAATGCAAGACGAAACAGGTGAGTTGAAGCGCCGCGCCCACCCCGCAATTCGCGGGTTGTCCAGCATTCTTACACGAATAAAATACAGCTTGCCGAAGCCGGCTGGAAATATACACCAACCTCAGAGTCTGATGATATGGCGACGTGTGCGTACTGCCAATTGATGTTGGACGGGTGGGAGCCGAGCGATAAGCCACTGTGAGTAATGTCTTTTTCTTGCCCGATGAAATTCCGTGCGAACATGCTGGGCTAACTCGTGGACAGAGAGGAGCATTTCAACCGATCTCCCCAGTGTCTTTTCTTCAACTTTGTCGATACGAATCCCGCCCCGGCCAAGAAGTCCGTCCGCGGAAAGCCAGCCCGAGCGTCGAAAGCGTCGAAAGCGTCGAGAATATCTGTACAATCCACCGGCATGAGCACCTTTATTTCCGAGGGACCCTCGACGTTAGAAGCCCCAGCAGAGCATGAAGATAGCGTGATGACGACGGCCTCTAAACGTGGCCGCCCCAAGAAGGCGACGACCACTGCCAAGGCCGGGAGGAAGACGCGAACGAAAAAGGAGTTGGCGGAGGGCGAAGACACTGAAATCACAATCAGCGAGGACATGCCCCCGCCCCCAATACCAGCTGCGAAGGGGAGGAAAAGCCGAAAGCCTGCAAACGATATGGTGAATGACTCTATGATGGCGCTTGATGAGGACGAGCTAGCGGCCGCACCCAAACCGAAGAGGGGCAAGAAACGGACGAGCGATGCTGTTGAGGATTCGGTCTTGACTACGGCCGAGGCCCCGGCCCCTAAGAGGCGAACGATACGGGCCAAGGCGGCCGTCGTTGAGGTCCCCGTTGCCCAGCATGAGGATGACGTGAGCGACGTCGAGCCCCCAGCGGCGAAGAAGGCCGCTCCTCGGAAGAAGGGACGCGCTTCAGCCAAGTCGACGCGCAAGGCCTCGGGCACGTCTCTCCGCTCCACGGCCTCGACCGCATCCCTCCGTGCCGCAGCCGAAGCTGCCGCCGCTGCCGACGAGGAGGAAGTTCCCGACGATGCCGAAATTGAGCGGCAACTCGTGGCTGATCTTGAAAGGCCGTTATCCGATGACGAAGACATGGCCATGGATTCCGATTCGGAGAGGAGGCGCAATGCCGGACGCATGGTGACAAAACAAAAGGCCAAATCGAGTGCTAAGGACGAGCTCCACCTCGACGAGCAAGGGGATTATGCCATGTTTGATCCATCGCCCGTGATTCCGGATGAAGCCGAGGTGAATGCCGAGCTAGAGAGGATTGCGGCCGAGGTGCAGGCTGATGAGCCCGAGCCGGAAGCTACGCCGGAGAAGCTCGAAGTTCCGAAGAAGGGTCGAAAAGCGGGCACGCGAAAGGTTTCGAAGCAGACGAAGAAAACAAAGGCGGCGCCCGAACCTGAGCCCGAGCCCGAGCATGAGCCTGAGCTGGAGGAGGAGCCGGAACTGGAGCCCGAGGTTGAACCAACACCTGCCCGTGCCGAAGCGAAGCTGGACCCGGAACCTAGCCTTATTCATGCCGTAGAGCCCGAAGAGGAAGCGGCAGAAACCTCCATTTATGAGGATGCGGCCGAGCCTGCCGTTGCCGACCGCAGCACGATGAGCTCCGGCGCCGTGGCGAAAGGTAGACCTTCGGCGGAAGCTGTCAAGGAAGAGGAACCTGCGCCTGCTAAGAGGGGCCGGGGGCGTCCTCCAAAGAAGCGAGGTTCTCGCGGGCGGTCGTCGGCGGCTTCTGCGGCTCAGCGTGATTCGCTTGTCGCCAAGGCACCCGCGCCCACGCCCGCGCCCGCTCCGGAACCAGAAGAGGTCTTGGAGACGGTTGAGGCTCCCCTTGAAGAGGAGGAGGCTGCTGTGGAGCCCACGCCGTTCAAAATTGCCGAGACGGAGCCGCCTGAGGATGACGTTGACTCGGAGCCGGAACTTGTAGTCGTTCCTAGTGAGGAACAGGACTCTGTGTCTCCGGTGGCCCAACGACCCCTTCCCCGATCCCTTCGTCGGTTCCTAGGTTCTCTCACCACGCCCCTCCTTCCACGCCTGGTTCGTCCGCTGTCCCAGCAGCCCGTAACGGCGTCCTCTCCCCTCGCAATCGCCCCAGTCCTCGGATGCCGAGAATCAACCGCCCTCGTCCCGACCGGCCAAGATCAAGCGACCGGTCCTCGCGCCCGTCGTGGGGTTCAAGGCCAGCACGCCCAACCGTATCCTAAACTCGCCGACGAAACGCACGATGGTGTCGACTCTCCAGACGACGACGCCCTGGACCGCCGCAGATATCGACCTGGTGCTCGGATCGCCCGAGAAGAAGCGGACCGCGGCGGGGCCCGCGGCCGACGGCGATAAGGAGAACTCGGCCGCCAGGCTCCTGCGCAAGGGGGCTGAGCTGACGAGTCCCGAGAAGAAGATGACGGTGGAGCAGTGGATCTACCATAATGCCAGCCTGGCGGAGGAGGAGCTCAAGACGAAGTGCGAAAGCCTCGTCGGCAAGTTTGAGGGCGAGGGTATGCGGGCCATGAGGGCTCTGGAGGGCTTGATTGTCGAGTAGAGTAGCGGTAAAGGGCAGGCGGTGGGAGGGAAGAAGGAAACTCTGGCAAAGGGAAATTTATACGGCTACGGGCTTGGGAAGGGACTACGAGTCTGCATGAACGGGCGCATGTTTTTGTGGTTGGTCATCTTTTTGGGTTCGGGACATGGGGCGTTTTTTCTTGTTCATCTTGATTTGTTTTCCTTGTTCCTATCACGAATGACAGCATGAATATTGAACATATGGCTCAACCCTGTCTACCTCGCTGTGCCCTTTGTGTTTTGTCTTCTATTGAGAGCAAGAAAAAGAAGACCAGCTGCAGGCTTGAACCCTGCGGGCCTTGGTGAGATGATGGCAAAGGTAGGTCAAGGTTTTGCTCATGGGACTACTTGCAATGAACCAAGGTGAAGGGATACGGTGGACGAGTCAAGTTAATTGTGTTGAATAGGTTTGTTTTCAGCTTCCTATATGATTTGGTTGGGACGAGGCTAGACCGTCACAATCCTCAACTCTCTTGCATCTAGCTAACTTCCGCTGTCTCCCTCTGACTATTACCACCAAAAAAGACAAAGGAAAAGAATAAGGATACGAGGGATGGGGATGGGCGATCGATCCACTTCTCCGCGTACTCCAGAGCGTTTGCTCATCTCAGTCAGACTTGCTAGTTATGGTATCCTCGTCAAAATCGTTAACAAACAAAATAAAAAAGTGGCCTTTCTCAGGGCCATGTAGAGGAGACCGGTATCGCTTTCCATCGCTTGAAAAAAATCAAAAGAAAAGAACAGGGGGAGGGACTGAGTGGCCCAAAAAAGGGGTAGCGTGTGTAAGCCAGGTCTATGTTTAGTTCATGTGCGAAACAAAGGGAAGCAAACCCTCACGACAAAATAGAAAAGAAAAGATCAAGGCTGATTTGAGTGGGGCAAAAGAAAAAAAAATAAACAAGAATTGAAGTCTCTGCGTCCTTGCCTCTACCGGGGCATTCATTACGAAGCAGCTTCTTAATCGTCGTATTCGAAGAAGCTTGCGTTCCTCCTCAGCATGCTCAGGTCGACGAGGCCCATCACGCGGCCATCTAACCTCCGCACCCTCTCGCAGCAGAGAGACCAGGCGGAGATGGCGATGGCGACGACGAGGACCTGCGTGCAAGCGAGGGCGACGGCGTGCCTCGCCAGGGCACTGCGGCTGACCTCGACGGCAGAAGGTACGGTCTGGACGAGGATGCCAGCAAAGAGGGTGCGGAGGCAGCTCACGCCGGCAGACATGTCGGCGACGTTGCGCAGGCAGGTGTAGAGGTTGGACGAGGTGAACTGGGCAGAGTTGAAGATGAGAGGAGAGACGGTGGCGTCGAGGGTGCTGAAGCCAGCCGCGAGGAGAGCGAGGAGGAAAGCGAGCAAGGGGTAGTTGAAGCCCGAGGCCTGGGACAGGAGGTTCGGCGTCGTCACAAGGCCAAAGGAGAGGAGGCCGGACATGAAGAGCGCGGTTCCGGCGACGAGGGCCGCAAAGTGCTTGGGCTTGTTGAACTGGGCTTGGAAGGGGTCGTAGTAAGCAACGAGGGAGACGACAACTGTCATAATCATAAAGGGGCCGCCCATGAGGCTGCTGATGCTATCTTCGCGCAGAGCAAATGGCTCGGTTGTGAAGAGGAGGGAGACCGTCTCCGTGAGGACCCAGAGGGAGCCGTAGGGCAAAAAGGTGACGGCGCAGAGGAGGACGGTGGTGGGCGCCGCAAAGGCGCGCGGGGCCTGCAAAAGGGTGTGGGCCTCCATGGAGCCCTTGTAAGACGAGGCTGGGATGGTCTTGAGGTAGTCGAGAACATCTTGCCGGGTGATCTTCAAGGGGCCCCGGGGAATGAGGGGCTGGCGGAACTGGCTCTTGGCGGTACCGGGGGTCCGGAGGGAAATGCTCCAGCTGTGGTCAAAGGTCGACTCGGCGGTCCCAAAGACGACGAGGGGCACCGCGGCGATGAAGAAAGCGTTGATGATTTCGAACTGGAGGGTGAAGCGGCCGGCGTTGCGGGATGCGAGGCCACCAAAGAGCGGTGCACCCCAGGTGACCGCGACGGTGATGAGGTTGTAAATGGCGATTCTCAGACCGCGCTCATGCTCCTGCAGCGGGGGTTAGTTTCTCGCCACCAGCAGAAAAATGACGGAGCATTGCGCAGGCTATAGATAAGTGTGTACTTACGAAGAAGGTGTCGTAAATGGAACCCAGCACTAGGGTGTCGAAAGCACCCCAGCCAAGGCCCTGGAATACCCTCGCGGCCATGCACTGCCGGTAGCTGTCGAGAGTCCTCATGTTCCACATGGACCCGATGAAAACCAAGACCATGGACGCGAGGTAGACGGGGCGCTTTCCCCATACCTTGGCCGCTGTGAGACTAGCTAGCCCGCTAAAGGCAGATAGCACGAGCGGCACGGCTGTGAGAGCCATGACGGCGGAGTAGGACACCTCGTACCGCCGAGCCATGACGTTGTTGACGCTCATGAAGGCAGTTTTCATCGCCGATACCAGGGCGACAAAAAATACCAAAGAAGCAAAGTTGAGCTCCTTTTTCCATTGTGGCCAATTCTGTGAGAGAAAGCGGTGTTAGCGGCTGTGACTTCTGCAAAGGTGCAAAATGCTCTGGGCCAAGCGGTGCCCGGAATTCCCTCTTGCGCGCGGGTGTGTGTAAGTGATCCCAGCTGGGCTTACACTGAAAATGAAGCCAGTCATTTTCTGTGCTGTGGGACCTCCGATACTTCCACTAATACCCCTAACACAACTGGAATATTCCCAGTAGGCCAAGCCGACCAACCACCTCAATGCGCCAACCACACCCCTTGACCTGAAAATTCACCCGCAACGCGGTAACGCGATCTTCAGACACGCGATTCAACAAAAGACTTACCAATGGGTCCTCGGGATCATCACTCGGCTGCGGCGACAACTCAGTGCCCGCAAACCTTCCCCACGTCGCGTACTTTATCGTCTTCTGGGAGGTAGATACTGTGGTGGAGTAGGAAAGTCGTTTTGTCGACGCTGTGTTCGGCCTGTAACCCTCGTCCTTTGGCGGCGGCGGCGGCGGCGGCATCGATACACCGCGAAAGGTGAAGGACAGCGGCCTCAGCGTGGGGCGGCCCCGGCCGCCTCCAAATCTTTGTCCATTTTTTAATGCTTGTTGGCAAGGTCGTTGCTCACGGAGCAATGGTCTAAACAGGTGGTGAGATGGTTGTCCTTTGGGACCTAGTCTTCCTTCTTGTTCTTCTTCGTTTCCCTTGTCGTCGGGTATGTATATACGCGGTATATCCAAAGGCGTGAGCGAGCGTTGTTTGGTGAAAGTGATGAAGACTCGATTGTCTATCGGCGTGAGAGATGCAGGCGCAGCTGAAGCAAATCCTCGAGATCGCAATACCAGCAGCCGCGTTCTTCTGCTTATCCTCTGTAGGTGGAATGAGTGTCGGTAGATGGTGAAGGGAACTGTCAAGTTCGTCGAATGCGCTTTGACTCGAAAGCAAAGAAGAAGGGATGGAAGGAAGAAGAGGAGAGAAGAAAGGAAAGAGCTGGTTGGGAGGACAGGGGAGAGGCTGGTTCATAGGCACATGGCGAAGTGGAGGAGACGACATCAAGTGTGGGATGACATCGGAGCAGCTGAGAATGTACACTTGGGAGTGACAGGAGTTGATCGGACTCTCTGGTGGAGTGTAAAGGTACCCACACAGCGTCGACGAGATGCAGATGTGAGGCGGCGCATTGTGGATCTCTTTCTCGTGAGGAACACACGGACATGCACGTTGTCGAGCTCCGCCCATGCACGTCCGGGACTGGCAAAGTCACTTTTTTCTTCGCAACCTCTCGCGTCCCCCGAGTAGTGTATACTCCAAGTCAAGCCCCCGTCCCCGCGCAGTGACCGCCGTCGTCCGTCCTCGGCCCTTGTACCATCCCCTCGAGCCTCTGATCGCGTCCCCCACCCACCCACCAAAAGTAGCATGCCCTCTCTCACCTCCTCTGCTTATTGTCTAGGTCAGGCAGTCAGGGTAGAGCCAAGCCAACACTGGTATGATACGGAAGCCGCGTTGCATTTTCCTGGTTCGTACGAGGATCGCATGCCCATCGGCGCCATACGAGACCATGCCCAGGGAAAGGGCAAGAAGAAAAGAGGAAAATCAGGAACATGATCACATATGATCACACCGAAAGTCCCCCTTTCCAAGGTTTCGCCATGGGCAACGTCGATCCGGGCCGCCCTTTTCTCTTACAAAAGGCAGCTTGGAAAAAGCTGCGTCCCTCACCCTCTCCAAGCGAGCTCTCTCTCAATCTACCCTAGTGAAGCTGACAAGTTGCAGTGTCAGATTACCTGGATCGACTCCTCGCCTCTTTCATGCAAGCTCTTCAACCAGAAAATCTCGTGAAGTCGGAGCAGGGGTCGGGCCAATGGGGACGACGTGGTGCCTGATAGAGCACTAATTGATGTCGCTCTTGTCAAGAAGGCGGGAGTCGGTTCCATGGCTCGCTTACCACTTCGACGGTTGAGCTTTTTTCTTTTTCTCATACTAACCCTAAAGAAGGAAGGGAGCAGACAGGTACCGTACCACAGCTAGAAAGAAAAGCTCTGAAGTGGTGGTGCCCCGCCACTAATTCGGACTGCCGACTGCCAGTGGGAGGGTTGCATTCTTGGTTCCCGGAACGGCGTAGCCTCTCATGCCTCCCAAGAAAAGGGTGTGCTTTGACCCTGGATTTTGGTGCACTTTCCCAAGCGGCTGAAACCGACTTGACGCGGGGTGGTTGCGCATGTCAGGGGCACGGGCAACTTGGCCCTGGTTCGAACAAGAGGGAAGGGGCAAAAAAGAGAAGACAAAAAAGAAGTGGGCTTGGTGAGGGTGAGGGAAGCCGATCGATGCGGCTCGTCGTCTTCTTGCACCATTGTTGGCTGGATGAAGTGAGAAAGCGCAGATTACGTGTTTACCCGCGTAGAAACGATCGAGACATCAAGATAGCCTTGCCTTCAAAACCAGGAAATCGCTGAAACCTCGTCTTGGTGATCGAAGATGGATCACGGCTTGCGAGATCTTTCGAGCATTCAGTGTGAGCGTTTCGTTTCGGATTATCTCTTCGCCTCTTTTCTATTTTATGCCTTTTCTTATTCCTTTTGACCCCCATTCAGTCCTTTACCGGCGTGGGCGTCCATGTTCGGTTCGGCCTGGCAGATGTAGCCATCACATCGCCATGCCCCTCCCTCCCTCTCCCATCATAAATCGAGAATATAATATGCCGTAAGTAATAAGTAGTAAACGGCGGTGACATGAAGTGTAGAGTTAGGATACGAAGGGCTTGGCGGAAAACACCGACGAAGCCGGCATCAGATGAGTGGGTCGAAAGCCTCCTCAGTCACGGAAAGAAGGGGTCTAGGTTGGCCCTGTATCGTATCAGCGGGCACTTGTTCGATACCACTCTCTATTACTCTGCCTGCCTCGAGAGAGGAACGGGAACAAAGCACCCGTCATACCCTCCACACACACGACACAGCTGGTGGATACTGGACGCCATGTGCCATCCAAGCAGCTCAGACTCAAGTGTACAAGTCATAGCGTAGGACGGCGACTACGTCCACCAGTGTTTGGCCCCCAACTGCCACCCACGATGAAGGGCGGGGAAAGGGAGAGATACGGGTAGCAAGCGATCGATCTCCTTCCTATCACGCGGGCCACCGTGTAAACACTGATGTGCCCGAGAGCAATTTTGCCTGTAGATTGTTGTTCGTGATCTCCAGTTTTTGAAAGCAAAACTGAATCATTGCTTGTTTTGAGAATCACGATCCTCACAATCCTCACAATCCTCAGCCCGTGGTCGAACTCAATTTTCCTTTTTCCCCCGCTCCTCCGCAGGTAGCGCTGGCGGGGAGGCGAACAGAGGGTTGCCATTCTATTGAGACAGAGACAGAGAGAGAAAGGGCGCTGGGCCGGTTTGGTGGTGTCATTGATCCATTCACTGCCAACAGTCACTCACGCTCACACGCTCGCCTGGCGTGGCTGGCCAAAGTACTTTGCATGCTCGATGCCAGGCCGGGCCAGTGCGGCGGCGCGGAAGGCGCCAGTGCGCTTGGACTAACAGCGTCTTCAGCAAAGAGCATGCATACACCACGTCCTTTGTTCTCGAGACCATTTCGGGATCGAGGATTCCCGAACATGCATATCGCTTGCTTGACCGTCAGCATCGCATCCGCCCCTCCAGAAGAAAATATTCTCCGTGTTGCTAGTGCGAAGTGAAAGTTGCCCCTCGTCGTCGGGGTTGGACGAGATGTCTCTCTCTCCCTCAGTCTATCTCTGTCTCACCCTCTGCTTTCTTCGTGAACGATGAAGTCCCAAGAGAGAAAACAAGGCTTGTATGAGTTCCACAACGGTGGAGACAGATCCGGGTTCTTGACCCGTCTCCAATCGACCTAGGGTCCATGGAACCTCTCCCTTGTGGCCCGTTGCGAATGTGACCTGGGTACGTCGTGGACGTCTGATCGACAAAAATGGATACCAACACCCACACTTCAAACCCCAGCTATTGCTGAAAATGGCCCGTGCGGTTCCCTGGACTGACAGCTTCCTGGTTTCGGCTTGGCCTGAGAGAGGCGGGGACTGAATACTTTCAGAAGTGGATTGGCGTTGGTGATGACACCAAGAACAGAAGTGATTGTTGGGGCCATCTCGACTTCCCTTCTCTCTCCGTCTCGTTCCTTTTCGACGACTTGTACCGACGACGAGGAAAAAGAGAGAGGAGAGGGAGAGGAGAACAAACAGAAAATAAGCAGGCTATTCGCCATTCGAGATATGACTGAGTGCATTCGCCGCTTCTTCCAGTTTCTGTTGGCGAGGATCGGGCTTGGCTCTCAAGGCTCGTGCTCGTGCTTGTGCTCGTGCTGAAGTGCGGATAACCCCGCTGCTTGCAACGGTCCCAGGCCTCAATGGATCAATCAATTGATCAGAGGTGATGGATTGATCCATCAAGGATCCTAGATCAATTGTCACTTCACTTGTGCCTTGGCTTGTTGGCTTGGTGGCCTGGTACCCTGGTACGAGACAGGTCAAAGACCAGACACGGACTTGGCAGGTACCACTGACAGCCTTGTTCTTCCTTTTTGACCCCTCCACCCAACCCCCATCGCCCTTGCCTTATTGATCACTGCCTGCTTCCTCAAGGCAGGCACCACCGATCCCCTCTCTCCTCTCTCCCCTCCCTCGTCACCGTTAGAGTAGGACCTGACCTGCATTTGATGCAGGCACTTCTCACTGTACCTGCACCTACACGTTTCACGGCGTAGCACCATCTCTATCGTATAGATCACCATGCTTCATGATGTGCGATGGGAAGACTGAGCTTCACCAAAGAGGAGATGCTCCCCTCTCACTGTTTCGATTGCCCCGAGGATCGGTGACCGGCCTGGTCACATTCAATCCCACGTTCAACCCACGCTCAATGCACGCACAAGACTGGGTTCGGGCAGCTCGCCGCCGCTTGATGAGCTAAGCTCATCGATAGATCAAGAGATGCCATGCTGGAGCTCAACTCTCCGTCCTGCGTCTCAGCTTTACACACTATTGTACTTGCAAAGCTCCTCGACACTCCCGGGGAAATGGCGGTCGCTTGCCGGTTTTCTTACAATGCCATCCCATTGTACCTCAGCAGTACATGTATACAGGAAACCCACTCGCATGGAGTTTGCTTGCTGAGAGCAGCAAACTGGTATCCAAACATGCGCTCTACAATGTCATTACCAAGACGAGGGATATCGGGGACCCCCGGGCAAGGGAAGGCATTGCCGTGTCTCTCGCCAACCATCGGGGAAGTGAGCCCCGGCCCGGCGAGTCCACAGCCACAAAAACAGAAAAGCTGGGCTGGGCCAGGCTGTCCCGCAACCAGCAACCAACCACCGGCAAGCGATCTGCTAGTTTTCACATCCCCCTTTTCTTTCCTTTGAACCAACAGCTGCTGTCAGAATGGATCAAATGCTTGATTACGGATCCAAGACAAGGATGCCATTGAGCTGCGTTTTTTTCTTGTTCCTTCCTTCGACGCTTACCGAGGCTAGTGAGCCCTGTAAAAGAAAATGGACCACTGATCTATCCAATGGACAAATACGACGGATGAGATCCGTGAACACTATTGGTACCTGGTGCATGTTGCCTTGGGTTTTTCTCGAGTGCCTCCTGCTAGTGCTGATGGGAGTTCGTCGCCCCTGCAGAAGGCATTGCAGGCGGCGGGCGGTACATGTGGCCCAAGAGGATCAAAGGCTGCTCACCGTACACGACACTATTGATGATCCTCGACCGAGGGCTTGGGGGACCTGCGTCGAAAAGAGGATAATCCATGTGAGGATGTGAGGATGTGTGGGTGCGCATTGAATGAAATCATTGGAAGCTACCACCCTTGTCTTCCAAGTTTGGCCTCCTCGACTGAGCGGATTGTTCTTTTTTCCTTCCTTCTTCCAGGCCTGGTCTAGTCCCGCGCCACGCCTCATGAACAGCACAGGACATGGCTGGCCATGGCCAAGCAGCGCCCCTGGCCCTTCACGAACCCCACGCGCATCGGTGCCAACCTCGTAAAAACAGAGAGCTAGAAAAAGGCCTCACCGAGCACTACAAGAAACATAGCGTATTACATAGTGTAGGTGAGGGGAGGAAAAACAAAGAAGACCACGCAGTTGATCCACATTCCCGCCACATCAAGCCCACTCTCGCGAAGCATGGCAGGAAATAGGGGTCCCCGCCTGCAAGTCGCGCTCTCGTTTGCTCCCGTCGAGTGACTCGGGCAGGCCAGCGCGTCTTCACCGCCGACTCCGTCCAGCAAAGCAAGGAAATGGCTGACGCGAGGGGCTGATGGAAAGAGAACTTTGGATGGCGAGCTGAAGAGAGGACGACATCAACGTCGTGGGGACGCCCATCGAGTCTCGCTGATTTCACCAAGCGCCGACTCGAGCACACGGAATGGACATTCCGATGACCCAAGAGTTTGCATGAATACAGCCCTCGCTTCTCACGAGGACGAACACGCATGCATGATCAATCCGACGCATGAGCACAGAAATGCCTCGGCCAAAAGTATCTCTCTCTCCTTCTCTCTCTCTCACTCTCTCTCTCTTCGTCACAGGTTTCCAAATGTCACCATCTCATACGCGTTCCTCCGCAACGTGTCATGCGCTGTGGCCAAAGGTCCAGCTCGTCCTCGTACGAGCCACGTAAAGAGGTCGGATGGCATTGGCATTCGGTGAGGGCCCCGTTCCTTGTACCCCGGGGCACCCCCGTCTTTCCTTGTTCTTGCTTCTTCACAAATCCCCTTCCTCGGCGATTTACACAGTTAGTAGACAAGGATGCCGAGATAGGGAGCTTTGAGGTATGGAAAGAGGTGGGATGGGAGAAGAGGTACAACATGTCACACCCTCTTGAGGCGCGCTTGGCATTGATCGTCTCGCATTGAAAACCCAGGATCAGGGTCGAAGGAAAAGATGGACGAGGGCCTTCGCGACTTCACTACCTTTCAGGCAGGAAAGCCCGAAACCTTAAATCATGGGCGAATCGAATTTAAGTAGAGAAATCCAGGCCATTTTTGAGGACCGAGGCAAGGCAAAGCAAAGCAAGGTGAGAAGAAAAAAGCTGCACCTACGCTCCTCTCGCGAATATATCTTTTATCAGAGATGGTAGAAAACTGCCACGTCTGAGATGCGGCCCACTTTGCCTTGGAAACGGCGAGAAAAGAACAAGAGACCAAGGAGAGACAAGGGCAATGCGGAAAATACGGAGTGGGAATCAATGATCGATTGTGTCTCTTGTCAACATGGCGATCATCTACAGAACAATGCGCCAGCCTTTTTGTTCAAAGAGCGCCCTCCTACGGGGAAAAGCGATGGGGGTTGAACGAAGTCGGCCTCGCCGATGCCTCGGTCCCGTTCCATGTTTCTCGAGTTTACCAGGCCTGGTAAGTTTCTCGACGAAACGTGAAACAGCCTCTCCGCAGATCACCAGAACGGGAATCCTTCCCAGAGGTAAGTAAAGGGGCAAGCACCGCAAGAAAACGAAAAAAGGACTGGGTCGGAGAATTTAATCCTTCTCCGCAGGGCGGACTGGTGAAAAAAGGTGAACATAGAGAATTAAATTATTAGTCTACGTAATAAAAACGGGGACCAGCGCGTAGGGCGAAGGCTTCGATTCGATGGACGACCGATCGAATGCGAGGAGGAACAGCGCGGAACGGACAGCGAGGCCTAGGAAAAGGGACAAAGCCAAACAGAAACAAAATGTTAGCAAAGGCTATGATTGTAGTGATAGGTATGCCAGCCAGCTGAACTCCCTTTGCTGGGTCCCTCGAGGACCCGCCATCGTATACTGGAGAGAGCTTTGAAATGACGGGACTGACCAAGATAGGCGAGCTTATAGATTACCGTAGGCTTGTCGTCTGCCCCGACTAGCACAGGCATCTCTGCGGCCGGGGCCGGCGTGACGCGGAAGCGTAGCCCAAGGTCCTTTCGCGATCCTGTCCAGAGAACCGTGGCGTCCCCGAGTCGCCGCCGCTCTTCTCAGGTTCAGACGCCTTGGCGAGCCACTCTCGCGATACCCTGATGTGGCCCTCGTGGATGGTGATGTGACTAGGACAGAGGCCCTTGGGAGGATCACGCTTGACGATTGTCCGGGCCAGCAGGTAGATGTCGTCCTCGCCTTCGGGAAGGATCACTTCGGTAAACGGTACGTCGGCCGTAGATGTCGCTGGAGGAGACGGGTCAAGGTCTAGCAGACGGGGGCGAAACCACGAGTGCCACTTCCTAGGGTCGCCCCTAGGCGCATCGCTGCCGCCGCTACTGCCATCGCCGTCGCCGGCCAGGGCGGCAGCGGGGTCCCCGTGGTGCCGCTGTAGTCGGATCCAAAGGAAGGGGTGGTGAGGCGCGTGCTCTCGTGATAGCACTCGAGGATCATGTCCACGTCTGGAAGGGCCAAGGCCGAGCGCAGACGTACATAGAGGACGCTCGCCGTGCAGCTGTTGAAGCGGCGGCTGACGCGGAGGATGTCCAGCAGGTCGTGGGTCCCGAGCTGGGAGAGGATGATGGAGAGAACCTGACGGGCTTTGTCAGTTCACTGAGCGGTTTAGGAGAAGATGTGCGAGGACCAAAGGGAGGGGGAGGGTGGGTATGCGTGTAACCTCGTTGGGGAGATTCTCGATAGGCCCGGCACCATCCATTGCGCCAGGCGGCGGGTAGAGTTGTGGGAACTATCAGAGTTTTGGGCAGGACTCGCTCCGAGAGATTTTGATGGGGGCAAAGGTGGCGACTCTGCGAGCCACGATATATAAAAATGAAATAAAATCTAGATCGCGCGGGACTCCGTTATTCAAGACACGCCGAGCTAGACGGAACTGTGCCCAGGCGAGAGAGGCTTGAGTTATCGAAATCAAATGGGGGTATTCGTCTGATTGGCCTTGCACGATGAAGTCATTTGCTCGTTGATGCACGTCGTCAATCGCGCTCCGAGATGCAGAAGACTGGACTGCGTTACCCCTCCACCTCCACCCCATCGTTCAAAATCCAAGGAGGAGCCTGTAAGCTTGCTTGCTTCCCCGCCCCCGCAAATTAGCTCCCGGAGCCGCGCGATCGATGAATGCCTCCGAACCAACTTGTCGGTGCCCGGGAGCGTAATCGCACACCGAATTCCAACTCGGGCTGGAAGAAAACGAGAACTTCTTACATCTAGAGTATCCGAACATGCTAGTCTTGCACGCGGCGCCTGGAGAAGGAGCTGCCCTTGTGCAGTATACATTGAACCATATTCCCAATAATATCGGGGAATCGTAGATGTTAATAGTAGAAGTTTTTATTTCGTCTTTCAGCTATATACAATGCGGAGAGCTCCGCCGACACCCGTCCCTGGCCACCAGCCCGAAGCCAGTGTCGTTATAAAAAAGAGATACCAACTCCTAAACCAAGCCAGTCTACCGAGGTATATAGTATCGAGATGCACCGTCAAGGCGCATTCATCGCTTCCATCTCACAAACGCAGTTGCCTTCACGGACCGAACCTTACGCCACCACAGCAGGTCCGGGAATCTCATAGGTGCCAAGGTCCGAGCCGTAGATGTCAATCTTGATGCCGGGGTCGCTGGCCGAGTACGCGCCGGGGAAGCTCACACCCGCCGGGGTGGAGCCACCGCCTCCGGAGACTCTGAGTTGCTATATTGACAGATTGTTAGCTGGGAATTTGTGATCACTGGAACCCTCTCTTTTACTTACGTAGCAAGACATGTAGAACTGGGCACCTCCCTCCTGGCCAGCAGCATGAAGGGCAATAGCCTCAGCCCTGAGGAGGTAATCGCCGTCGGGAATATCGGAAGGCAGGTTCACCTCGAACTGGCCGCAGTTGTCGTTGAGGATGTCGGTGCCCCACTTCTGCGTCGAGGCGTCGTATCCAAACTCTCCAATCTTGAAGAACTGGGATGAGCCGTCGGCCGTCGCCGCGTCGTCCACCTTGCTGAGATAGACCATGACGGGGCCAAAGTGGTTGCCGCCGATGGCGGGGTGTCGCAGTCGCGAATGTTGTGCTCGTGCATTTCGACGGCGATCTTGTCACCGGCTGTTCATGGCTGTTAGCCATCATCTGCTCCTTGCTCGTGCCGGATTGGGGGAAAGGGAGGAGCGGGTGTGAGGGAGGGAGGAAAGGGAGTCATACCGATGGCTTCGCAGACATTGGCGGCCGCGCTCGGGTTAGCGTTGCAGCGGATGTCGTTGGAAGTGACGTCGGTCACGGGGCTGTTGCTGGCCTAGAGGAACTAGTGAGCATGGATAATGAGAGGTTCAAGGATAATGGGCGGCTCAAACACTCGGGGTCAAGTACATACAGGCATGCGGATACAGGACGACTCGTGGTCCTCGCCGTTGATCCAAAGCTGCTGGAAGGTGGCATGGCCGGCGACGGCGGTAGCCGAGGAGAGGGCAGCGAGGGCGAATCCAAAGGACCTCATCTTGATGGGATTCGGAAAGAGTAAGATGTTGTAGGGAGGGCGTGCTTGGAGGAGGAGATGTCTTCTTGATGATGGCGCGGAATGGAGTGATATATACGGTGCTTAGAATGCCTTGGATGGAATGCGCTGTTCTGCCGTCGTATATCCTCTTTGTCGAGATGGAGGAGCCAAGAATCAGAATCGGAGGGGAGGACTCCTCCTCTTCTTATAGAATCCCCTGGCCCGACAACTTTACGACATTCGTTGTCCTGACTTCGCATTACGGGACAAGAGAAACCCCCATATCCAGCATCTCGGACTCATCACAGCATTTCCACCACTATCTATCCATTCCTGCCCTCCCTTCAAGGAACAAGCGGCTAGGCAATCCTTGCATTTACAACCCTAATATCCCCATCATCTCAGAAGAGAAATGCTCAGCGCCACCAGACAGCAAACGGATATCACGGGGCCCCTCTCTCCCAATCTAGTGTTGCGGCAACTATACTCTGGCAAGTGGGTACTCCCATGCCCCCGTGAAAGCCCCCAGCGGCGACGGTTCACAGCTCCGAAATGACGACACGAAAGAGTACGCTTAAGTGGTAGTTAACGGTGCTTAAGAGGCGTAGCCAAGCAAAAAAGAACTTGCAAATGCCACGGCCGTCTCACCTATATCCAAGGACCACACAAGCTTGCATTTTCGGGCCCGTTTTATTATATTATCTCTATATTGGGGTTCCATCCACAGCCAAGCCCACCAGAAATCGGGTTTCGTGGCTCACGCGGAAAGAGGATTGGAAGGGATCGGCGTCGGGCGCGGTGGCGCACTCCGATGCTGTCCTTTTATGTGAACGAAACCACGAGCCACACCACGCCGCTCGCGGGTACGTAGCCTCTCTCTCTTCTTGAATGTTCTTTTTGGGCAAGAGGCTCCACCGCGCGTGCGCTTCGAATTGATTGAGGAACCCAGGCGCGGGAAAGGATAGAGGGGGCAATAAGGGACTTGATGGGGCGAGAGGCGCGCGAGATGCGAACGATCGGGAACAAGGTCTTCCCGAAATTGAGAGCACTTCGGGAGGGGGCAGCCGAATAAAGGCGAAAGAGTGAGCGGGATCTTGCCCGTTGGTGGGGGATGGGGAGCAGGAGTTACGAGGAACGGTTATTGTGGGATGACAAGCAAGACATTTCCGCTGCGATACAGAGACCCGTTCATTCACCGGATTGATGCGTACCTCGTCTGCTGACGAAAAAGAGACGTCAAGGCACGAGAGACGGGCAGAAAAATAAGAGGGAGGAAGAAGGAATTGGGCCCATGATCTGCACTCGGCACGTTGCATTGATCGCTGGATGGGAAAATCATGCCAGCGTCTCAAGTTAATCAAGTGGGAGATGCGGGCTCCAACCAAAAAATGATGGTCAGCGACAAACAAGCCAGGCCCAAGTGTCCCTCCCGACCCAAAAGAAGAAGAAAATTGGCAAGAAGGAATGTTCTGTCTAGTGCTCCACTTCCAAACCGGTCTTTCGAGAAGGCCAAGAGAGGGAGGAAGCCGTGGGTCTCCAAGGTGAGGTGATCTTCGCCCCCTAGTCGCGACTATTCTTGGGGATCGTGGAGGGTGACAATCGACACATCTTCTTCGGTCGTTCTTGGGAGTCGTGGGCCGAGGAATCCGCTTGGCGTGGGGCACTGCGATCAAATCTTGGCTGGCCTTCGTCGTCGAGACTTGTATGGCTTGGCCCTCGTCCTGGTCCATTACACAAATCCGACGGCGAGGGATTCTAAACCTCAATAACAATGGGCCGAGTCGAATGTGAAATCACTTTGACCATACGCATCTAGTTCTCTTATTTCGTCTAACGTAGAACAAGCACAAAGGGCTGTCGACTCTAGGAGTAAGTTCTGGCTATATACGCCCTGTGATACCCAGCGGATGCATGACAACGACCAATATCTCGGGTCGATCAAAGTCAGCTACATGTACAATGCCTTTGTTGCCCACCATACAAGGCCATCGAAATCGTAAGGAAGAAAAAGGGAAAATAAAGGAATGAAGATGAAGAGGGGAAAAAAATCAACATAACGACAGAATGCATGCTATAACCACTGCCAATAGTTGTGTCGGAGGTTTGCCTCTCACTCACGGCTGCGCTACCCAAACAATCTCGGGTCCCGCTAGCGCCTTTTCGGCCACCGCATCCGCCGTCAGCCCGTCCTCCCCGCACGCCACGGCCCACACGTGTCCATACAAGTGACCCGGCACCTCCGCGGACCCGTCCCTAATTTCCGTAAACGACAGGTCGCCGTAGGGGCCGAACCAAGCGACGTACTTGGCCCTGTGCTTCCCTGGAAATCGAGGTCGACCGCCATGACCCGGCCCCCGTTCGGCGAAGTCTCCGTAGCCCACACCTGCATGCCGGGGAGCACTTTGCCAAAGTTGGGCTGGTCATTGCCGGAGCAGAGCGAGACGTACCGGGCAGCGAGGAAGGAGTACGCCAACTTGGAAGGGAGAAGCGCCTCCCCGACCGTGGCAGCGGCTGGCTTGTTCTGCATCATGTTGATGAGCCCGGCCGCCCGGCTCTTGGCCCCGAGGGCCGACGCAAGGGCCGGGGCTAGCCAGGCGTCATCGCCTGCGGCGTCCGATGCGAGAAAGTCAATATAAAGACCGATCTCGACGAGGAGCAACGTGCGCAGCGTGGAGAGGAACGATTCGACAGTGCCGAGCGGCAGGCGGTACGCGCAGGGCTTCGGGATGTCGATCCCAAAGTGCCGCAGCGGCGTCGTCGCCACGGTGCGATGTATGTACGCCTGCGCGGCCGTCGACGACAGTGCCTCTAGGATCGTGGGTGGGAACACCCCTTCCCACTCGCCGCCATCAGTCAGGCGGGTGGTCCCGTAGAGGAGCGTCTCCAAGAGCATGTTGTCCGTGTACTGGAGGAGCTGGAGGAAGGACTCGGTCGCGTTGGACAGCGATCCGCCCCAGCTGTACGACTGGACCGGACCGCCTCCCGCGCGAAGCAAAAGGACTCGTCAATCTGACCGAGCTCGGGGAGGGTGGAGAGGAGAGTAGAGTTGAGGAGTCCCAGGTTTAGTACCGAACCGTAGAGGGAGTGGATGAGGGAGTTTTTCACCGTCAACTTGCCTCCTTGGGGGCGTAAAGAGGAATGGTGCTTGGAGGGCCCTGCGGGCCTTTTCGGCAAAGGAGTCGTGGGACTCTCCGCTCGACGGCCTTCTCGCAATGTCAGCAACAAAAGAGAGGCAGGGCTAGGTCAAAAGATTGGAAAGCGGGAGAATAGGTTCTTACGCGTTGATGCTTCCGACCATGCCATTCTGGCAGTGGGAATCTGTCGGTTGGGCATCGTAAAAGTATACTGGGTCCGTGTCATTCAGGACGATGGAAAAGCCCACATCGGCCGATGCGGACTCGATGGGTATGAAGCCACTCGAGAAACCTCCTGACAGGGGCTGGCAGGGGCGGTCATACGTGGTTTGCACCACCGAGTTATTCTGGGTCTGTTAGCACCTCATACTCCTCGTCGGCGCACATCCATTTCTTGCTCAACAGGTGCCTGCTCTTGCTCTGCAGGAAACACGGTCTTCACATATTGTGTGTTGCGGGCTGTGTGCTACGAAAGAGGATCTTCACGTACCTGTGGGTAGAAGCGGAATTGCACAATGGTCCCCGCGAGCTGGTCTTCCACGTGGCTGGGCGAGAAGCTCAGCTCGCTATCACGACCAACATCGATATTCAGGATACGTTGGCCGCCTCTGGGTGTGTTGCTGGCAGACGCTGTATTTTCCACACTGGACGCCGACGTCTTTAGGTCTGAAAGAGAAGCGTCACCAGAGGGCCTGTTCCGTACGTTAGCTTCATCCACGGGTTTATCGTGCGCAAGGTTTGTGGAGGGACGGGTGAGGTTCGTACGGATTGATGACTTGCACCATGCCCTGTCTGCAACTGTCTTGGTAGCCGCTATACAAGTAGATGGGCTCGGTTTCGTTGACCACTATCCTCCACGTCACTGGCGACTGCCCGTCTCGCGCGGGGACAGAACCGGAGTGGAACCCGGACGCTAGCGGACGACATGGGTCCTCAGCGGTTGTCTGCGTGACTGAGTGCTCCTATGGGCGAAAGAAAAGAAGAAGAAAAACACACGCACGCGTTAGTAACAGGTCCCCGTTCTAGGCACCCTGATGACCAAAAGAATTGACAAAAAAAGAAAAGAAAGAAAGAAGATCTTACTCCTGAAAAGAAGGTGTACGTTATCACATCGCCAGCCTTGGCTACTAGAGTTTCGGGATCGAAAGCGAGGCCATCTCGGGCCACTTGCACCGTGTGTTGGGCCGCGTTGATGCCGGAGGCTGCCGCGAGGAGCCAAAAGAAGCGAGTCCGTGGGCGCGCCATGGTGCTTGTTCACAGCTTCACTTCTCGGACATACTCTCTCGGGAATTCCTTCCTCTTTCTCTCTGCTTCTTTTCACCTCCTTGGGATTTAAAGGAAAGGACTAGCGAGGGGGAGGGAAATGGGGAAAAAGGGCCCTCTTCGAACGGAAAAGTTCAACAGCGAGAGGGACCGGCAACTAGATATCGGACAGGACATGGGTCGGGGGTGAGAGGGGAGCAGGTCGGACGGAGACTCGATAATCTTAGACCCACGACCGTTCGCAAGTCCGCGAGGCTTAGCGGAACATTGGAGGGTGGTAGGAAAAAGAAAGAAGGGTTGAGGAGAAAATAGAACAGGACGAGAAAAGAATGGGGAAAAAAGTAAGCTTCCTTCGTCGACAGAGAATCACTTGTTGGTGACACGTTGGGCTGCGGATACGGACGAGCTGCTTCTTTTGTTTCCCCTCGTAGTTCTTGCTCGAGGTTGATCTCGCCAGTATTGAGAAATCAAGGCAAAGGTCCCTCCACTAACATGGACGGCAGGATAGCGAGATGAGCAAAGGGACTGGCAAGCAAGCTTTGTACGTCGACGCGAGTCAATGACCCCACAGCTTGGCGGACGGAGGCAGGGCGAGGATGCAGAGGTCTTCTTCTGGCGAGATAAATCTTGTTGTCGTTGTTGATCTTGGCCTTCTGCTTCTTTTTTTCTTAGGGCAGGCTGGTCAGACACATGCATCCCTCTATCAAGTTTGTCTCGTGCTGTCCCCGCCCTTCCGAATGAGGCGAGCACAAGGTCAAGATCTCCCCTCCTTCTATCAATCAATCATGTACTATGGAGGGGCAGACCCTTCTCCTCTCCTCGTCGTCACCCACATCTGTTGTTATTGTCCCAAGTTCGAGGTTGATAATCTTCCGACAAATTTGCCTCCCATATGAGCCGTATGCCCCCGGGACAGGTGCTATTCGTGCGGTGGGTTGCCAGGTCACACACATCATCTCTTCCCTCCTTCCTTTTTGCTTCCATTCCACCCCATCTCAAGGCATACCTCTATACCTCTGGGCATGTGGGATATCGAATGCGATGCAGCGGCCCAAGAAGAGGAGCATGCGTTTCGAGGTCTGGGATTGAACAAATCGTGGCTCGTACAGAAACAGGCAATATTACCCCGGACGTGTCAACCTTGGCGGTGGGCGACCTTGACCTGGATGATGTGCAGCTCTGGATATTTACCGGCGTCTGTCAGATATTGATCCATGTGCCTACCTACTCTACACTTTACGGACCTTTTCTTGCACGCCCGAGCACAAGATCCTTGTTCTCTCGTCTCTTCTCCTTCTTTTTCTCTTTACCGATGGCCACTCACTGAGCATACTTCGTCCTTGGATTCTGGATGTATGCACTTCCTGGCCCCACCGCTCTCATCTGGCAGTATCGAGTATTGTATTGGTTTCCTTGTGTGTGAGATACTCAACGGATGACTAGAGTACTATACAACTTTCGAAGAAGAAAAAAAAAAGGTCCTTCTTTTGAAGATGCGAGGGCCCTTTTTGAGCCCTGAAAACTAGCGCCAATCTAGTGCAGGTAAATCTTGCGATGATCTGTTCACGCATGGCTGGAGTGTTCGGGAGATGGACCCGGTGCTGGTCACCCCTCACGCTACTTGTTGCTGCTCTCGACACCGTCCACCCTCGAAACTGCACATGCGGCAATTCGCCCTGTTGGCCCGACGAGACTCGTCTGCTGAGGTAGAAGAAGAGACGTACGTGTTGGGATGGACCCATCAAAACATGTCTGTCTGTGCTTCTCCCACTGATAAAGGGTGTCATTTCCGTCATACCATGCCGGCGTGAAACAGGAGGGGCGGCTCCGGTGTGGGTCGCCCAACCCCGAAACGGGACAGCTCCATGAGTTAGTCCAGTCCAATGGCTGAAAGATGTGAAGAGGGAAAAGGGAAGGAGACCAGAAAAAAAAAAGAAACGAGAAGACTGAAGCAAGAGTAAAACCACCAAGAAACGGAAGGGCAAAACGAAAACTACGAGAAAGAACGAAAAATGCGACCGACAATGTATCTTCTGAATCTGCGAACCTGGACTTGTTGGATATACAGGCTGTTGGTTGACCATGGTTTTGAATATTCTTATTTTTCTTCCCTTGTTTCCCGTTTATATTAAAGGACGGCACTATGACTAGTGGATGTAGACGGTAGTGGAACTGGAGGGAGGGTAATACAGACTCGACTTCAGCCACGACGACGCATACATGTAACCTCCACTCCCCCCACTTCCCACCTCCCTCCCCCGGCTCGCGGTTTGGGGGAAGGCCGGTACCACCAATGACAATTCCTCGATGAGCAATTGATACAAAGGGATTTCTGAGTGGCCCTCGAGACTGGCATGTACCTCTCGGATCTCCGCCGACAAGCACTTTATCCAGAGATAGATTGCTGTGCCTGCAGTCGGTCGTATCGTGCTCCATGGTGCGAGATCCGGGCATGCAAGCGGGAGGGGGTACCAGACAAAGTTCCAGGAAAGAAGCCCGAAAACAAAAGAAGAAAAAAGAGAGTCGCCGCGCGCGGAAGGGGACCAAAAATATCGAGTTGATGGACCAGGCTCCGGGCGAATTCCAGGAATAAAGACATCCAGGGATCAATGGCACCGAAGCCAACATTGAAAGAGGCAAAGAGGCAAAGAGGGGCAAGGGGAGACAGGCCCACACCCACGCCTAAGCCCAAGGCTACTGGCCTACGACTTCATACTATGCCCTACGCCTACGCCTACGCCTACGCCCTACGCCCACACCCACGTCCACGCCGCACCGGGGTAGCAAGGAAAGGAAGGAAACACCAACGCCGAATTAGGGCGGGAAAGGCGGACGGAGATTTGAGGAAGGCACAAGCGCAAGAGGGCTGAAAAATGCAATTGAGGGGAGATCCCCCATTAGGTAGTGGGTGACATGATCCTGGCTCAATGAATGCACGTCCTGAATGTCATCAAATCGCACCATGCACCGCGCGCGCGCACCACGCATACGTAGTCGACACTACAACACTACTACCCTCCACGCCCTACCGGGGGACCAACTAACACGGTCGTAAACGGAAAAAACAACGACGAGCAAAAAAGAAGGAAGAAAGAAAAAGAAATTTGGGCAAAGAGACGCCTCCCCGAGAGATTTGCCCCGGGGCGGGCGGGCGCGCGCTCGGTCTATTATTATCATCTCGTCTCGTCCCTGGAGCGGGCCAAGCCAAGCTGAGGAGGCGGCCACAGGTGTAATGAGCGTGACATCAATTGATATCCGGTCCCCCTCGGTCCATCCCATCCCATAATACTGTATATACTTCGTACATGCCATGCGTGCGACCTGAAATCGTACAAGATCGCCTGCACACGCGAGAGGGTTGACCCGGACTTTCGTTTCATCATGGCCGCGAAACACTGAGCAATCGTACTCGGGGAAAACTTGGAGGGCTCATCAACACACTCGCTCATTGATCCGCTTCTTCGAGTTCACCTTGCTTCATCGCAACATCTCTCTCGCTTCTTTTTCCTTCTTTTTCTCTTTTGTTTGCTCTTTCTTCCCCTACTTTCCTCCCCTATTGCCCCTTCAGCTCACACCATTTTATCTATCGTGTGCAGCTGGACGAAAACACCGGACTGATTCAAGTTATTGTCTTTTGTGAACATCCATACATTGAACGTGGAGAGTCTCTGACTTGGGCTGGAAACCCGCGAATACTACACCACACCGGACCGGTAGACGGAAAACGACACCCTTTGATTCCTGGCATCCCCCACCCTTCACCTCTAAGCAGCGCAATAAGGGCCATTTAAACCCAAATATCCAAACGATAACAGGACAGGGGACAAGGAACCGAGATCAACCGCTCTCGTCTTCACTACACCAAGAGGAAGCGAGAAAAAAAAAAGAAGAGAGGAGATCAAGGCGACAAGGGAAGAGAGAGAGTGTGTGCCTATGTGTTAGGGAGAGAGAGAGAAAAACCGCCAACATGGGTCTCACAACCTTTTACAAGCTGGTGCCATTCGTGCTATCCACCCTCATCGCCATTCTCCTCATCGTCGTGCTCGTCGCCGGCTCTTCACCGAGCACCCTTCCCAACCTATATCTTTTAAAGGTAAGTCATCCTCCATCATGTTTCCCGCCCCGTGCACTACACACCTCCCTACGAAAAGAGGCCTTTCCGCACCGCTCTCGGCCCCTCAGCAAACATCCTCCCCCTCTCTCCAATCCAAACAGTCCTGAAGATACGGCGGGCTTTCTTTTGGCTGACGACCCGTTTCACGTGCGCCTTTCCAGGTCAATACGACAAACCTCCACCTCCCCTCCAAGCTCTCCGAGTCCCGCTACCTCGCCGACCTCTCCAAGGTGACCGGCACCGACCTGACAGGCCAGACCTTTGACGCAGCCACCCTAGGCATCGCCGAGCTCTACACCATCCACATCTTTACCTGCTGCGCCCAGCCCGACCGGTGCACCGCCCCCGTCCTCGGCCCTTCCTTCGACCCCGTGCTCCACCTACGCCTCGGCATCGGCGCCGTCGACAGCCTCCCCGCCCCGCTCGAGGATGCCCTGAGCCTGTACAAGCGCGTGTCGCCCATGCTCGGCACCGTCTTCATCCTCGCCTTCGTCCTCGTCCTCTCCGCCCCGAGCATCACCCTCCTCAACCGCCGCGTCTTCATCGCCGGCTGGCTCGCCATGTCCCTCGCCGGCCTCAGCGCCGTCCTCCTGCTCATCGGCTGCATCGCCGGCCGCGTCACCGCCCAGCGCCTGGTCCAGAGCCTCAACGAGAGCTTTAGCGACGAACTCGGCATCACCGCCGAGGAGGGCGGTCTCCTCCTCCCCGCCTGGGCCGCCATCCCCGTCTGCTTCGCCAACACCCTCCTCATCTTCATCCGCTCCAAGAAGGAGTCCCCCTCGACTTCCTCGAAGAGAGGGAAAAGATGAGGGAGAAGGAGAGGGAGCGCGAGAGGGAGATGGAGAGGGAAAGGGACGACGCCCGGACGCGGCTCGTGGACAAGGAAAAGAAGACGAGAGAGTCCTCCGAGGAGCGCGGCGGGCCCGGGGACGACGACCGTTCCAACTCCGACGACGGCAACCACCACCAGTACCCCCGCCACAATCATCATCACCACGCCAGCGGCGGCCTCTTTGACCAAGGCTCCGACCCGCGGCACAGCTCCTTCACGGCCGAGGACAGCACTCAGATCGAGCATCCCGCTCCCGTCGTCAGCAGGAGGGCCAGAGGCAGCCTGAGCGAGAACAGGTGGGGGAGGGCGCGAGCTCGACCCCGAACCCGAACCCGGCCATCGCCGAGCCCCCTTACCGGACCAGGAGCGTGAGGTACCGCGACCCCGACGCTTGGTACGTCAACTATAGAGGGGTGCAGACGGGGAGATGAGACGCTCAGAGTCGATTCGCAATTAAGGGGGTCCCACCGTAAAAGTAAACAAGTCCCCCATGAGAAGAGAAGAAAACGAAAGGGGGTAAAAAGCAACCCCTTGATAAAATTGGAAGGCTTTTTTTTTTTCTTTTTCTTTCTTCTTCTTCATCCTATTCACCTTCTTCATCATGATAATTCTTTCTCCACTTTCCTTTCTTTCTTTTCTTTTTTTATGTCTTGCCTTGGATGAGGACATCACGGCCGTCTTGGTACCTGGAGTTATAGGCGAATTTCTTTTTGTTTCTTAGTTTCGTTACCCCTAACCCTAAAAGAGGGATAGGATTAGCCTAGCAGCTGAACAAGATATTTTCTCCATAAAAAACGGATTACTATCGTAAAAAAATGGTTCAATTGGAAATTACAATGCCGTGAAAAGAAAAAAAGAAAAGAAAAGCCCCTAAACTTGATTCTATATGTGCCGTGACGGCTAATCTTCGTCCCTCGTCCTTGGGCTCGGAGACGAGACAGGACTGCTGCGTGCTCTTTCCAACCATCCAACCATGCATGTGTATGCTATAACCGTCCTCCTGCGGACTCTCCGTCCCTATTGGAGACCCTGAATGAATTAAACCCCCAAAAGAGAAGAAAAGAGAAAGGAAAATTATTTGGGCGCGCGGCGCATCACTTCACTCCATCACTCAACCTCCTTCCACAGCGCCTCGAGCTGGGTGATGCGGTCCCTGAGCACGGGATCCAAGTTTGGCGAGGCAAGCACCCTCATCGTCATTTCGGCCGGGTCCTCGCTCACGGCCTCGACGATCTCGCCCCACGCGTGGAGGGTCCTGAGGCCCTCTTCCTGGCGGCGCCGAGCTTGCGGAAGACGGCGTCGCGGTGGCGCATGATGGAGTTGAAGTCGGAAAGGGCGAGGCGGGGGTCGGGGGCGCGGGAGGCCTGGGACCAAAAGAGGCGCACGCGGGGGCTGTAAAAGTCGCATTTGCGGGGCCCGGCCACGGCGGCGTCGCGGTACGTCATGAATATGGAGAGCGGGGATCGGAAGACGACGTCGCGCGCGCAGTCGGAGCACGCCGAGAACTCGCCCGTGCCGGTCCACCGGTGATCTTGCGAGGAAGGGCTGCCCCCGGACAAGGAGGTGACGTGGACAGGTAGGCGGCCGTGGAGAGGAAGACGGACGGCTCGCCCTTCTCGGCGGCTTCGGAAATCTTCTTGATATACTGATCGAGGCGGGGTTGGCGCTGTTGAGGGCACAGGTCGCGCCTGGTGGGGGCTGCCGGTCCCCTGGACTAGGTGCGCGTCCAAGATCTGGATGGGCCGCACAAGGGTGGCGACGCAGGCGGCACATAGGGCAAAATCCTGGATGCCCGGGAGGGTGTACCAGTGGGTGCCCGGATGGATCCCGGCTGGGGTGCAGGGCGGGGTGGTGAGAACGGCCTCGGCGGCGTGGGTGAAGATGTCGGTCTCCCCAAACTCCATCATGAGGCCAAAGTTGACGGGCAGGCGGGGTTGGCGCCGAATCCGCAGGCGAGGCGATCCCGCGGCGGGCGGCACTGCTCGAATATGGTTTCCTGATACTGGGTGCCGCCCGCGGCGTCGAGGTAGCACTCCTCGCAGATGATGAGCCCGCGCGCGCGCGTACTTGGGCCTGTACCACTTGCGCGAGGCGCCTGGGACCTCGGTGGGCCCCGCGCACGGGAGCACCTGGATCCGCCGGAGGGCAGCGGTGATGAACTCGTCGTAGTCGCCGGCCTCGCAGGCCATGCGCCGCGTAAAGGGGTTGCCGACGTCGCACAGGGCCATCTGGGTGGGGGCTGGCGCACGGTGGCCGGGGCGACGGAACGGGCAAAGGTGGACGGGGCCAGGTAGTCCTCGTAGCAGGCGTGGCAGGCATGGAGGCCGGCGGCTAGGCGGTGCCATTCGAAGTCATCGTCGGGGGCGACGGGACTGGAGAATTTGCACGACTTGACCAGCACGCGGTAGGCGATGTGGTCCTCGAGCTTCCGGAGGATGACGGGGTCCTTGCGCTTGATCCTGTACTGGGAAACCAGCGACTTGACCCTCGGGGTGTTGAAGTTGCAGTAACGGTCTGGGCCCGCCATGGTCTCTACGATGGGGTAGAAGTGGTCCTGGAGCCCCGCGGGGACGACGCGGCGCTCGAAGCAGTTGGAGCAGGCATAGAAGTCGGGCGTCTTTTCAAAGGCGTACCATGTCGTCGGGTAGGACACGGGGTAGGGGATCGGATCGCGTGAGGGGCAGTGTTGGAGGGGCGTCGAGGCAAATGTGGGCGAGGCAGATTGGTGCATTGCTCGGCGACGGGAGGTCTTCTCGAGACCCGCCCCGCCAACAAGTAGAGAAGATTCGGAGAGAAAAAAGGGCGTCGAGGGCCGAGAGGCCAAACGCGGCACGCGAGCAGAGAGAGGGAGAACGTGTGTGTGTTGGTGGAGGGGCAGGGAGGGGTAGAAGAGACCCCCGGGGACTCGACTCGAGGAGGGAAGAGTGGAAGATGGGGGAAGGGAGGAGTGAAGGAGAGTGAGTAAGCGAGTGAGATGTTTTATTTTTATGGAAGAAGAGAAGGAACGAAAGAAAGGAGAAAAAAAGACTGGTGAAAAATGTCAGCAGCAAGTGGTACTGGATCGTAACTGGTGACACTTTTTCTTGTGAAAAGGAGACCTTAGTATGTCCTCGACCCATAGATGGCCTGTCCCGTCAGGTTTCCTCATCTGTCCCCCCTTAACCTTCCATCCATCCATGGATCCATCGATCAATCAGCCTCATGACGAGGTCCACCTGTGCCGTCATACCAGCCAGGGCACGGCGTTGTGTATTGGACAGGCGGGCGCGGGCAGCGAGTAATCAAAAGGGTGCCCAACGCAACCCACGCATCGACGAACAGTCAAGAGAGACTGTCGGTGCTGCACAACGTACATTGAATGGGTTTGTCGCATCCATCGATCCATTCAATGTATTTCGCCAACGGCCACTGAGGGTCTCTGATTACCCCGGTGCCACCGCCATCGCCACTCTGGGACCTGACCAAGTTGCACATGCGTGTTTTTCCCTTTCTCCCCCCTCTTTCTCTCCCTGTCCCTCTTTCTCTCTTTCTGTTCCTCTTCTCCTCCCTCAGGACCCCCTCCAAAAAAAAAAACCACCCGGATGATTGGATGAGGATGGCCGGATTTCTAAGTGGAAAGACGTCGGCGGCAATCCCTTGAATGCTTCCCTCTCCCGGACGGCGGACTGCCAATGGCATTGGCCATTTGCGGAGTGGGAAACAACGCTAAGACTTGAATGGGTTTTTGCAGAGTGAGTACTTTGAGGGGAAGCTTGCAGAGGGGCACAAAGTGCCAAGCTAGTTTAGTGTCACAGAGGCGCCAGGCACCAAAAAATGATGGAACGAAACCGAGTGCGGCGGTATTACACTCACTCCCTCTAGTCTTTGCTACGAGTAACTGGGGGCATCGTTGTGAATCAGGCTGATTATAGTGGACGTCTCTTGGGACATCGAATAGAGAGACTTGAGTCTTCTTATCTATCAGGGCCCGACTTTACAACGGGCTCAGTGTTTTGATAGATTATACCGAGCTCATTATGCTAGCACGACTGCCCAGTGATTCGCAGGGGGCACACACGACATGGCACTGAGCTGGGGCGTGTGGTGTGCCATTGATAGTGTCGATGGATTCTTGGTGTGGGAGAATTGATTTGGACGAGCTGAAGCACTTCAATTGTTGGGTCGCCCCGATACAAGGCGACGGTTGATCCCTGCAACAGCCAGCTGCACAACGGTCCGTGCCGATCCGGTTGAACAAGGAGAAAAAGAGATCAAGAATATCACCACACCGATTCCCTTTGCGACGACTTGTGAAGCTCGAAACAGACGAGAGGCGCATCAGCACCATAGGGCTTCTGAGAAACATTGCGAGTTGAAAGTCTATTGGAGAAGGCTTCTCGAGTTACTCGCCGTCGTAGTTAACAACTTAGACTGCATTAGCATTGGCAATTCGTCATCTGTATACCTCGGTACTCGCCCAAAAATGGCCGCCACTACGACAACGCGCAACTGGCGCGACTATCTCTATCTCGCCTTCTTCTCCATCTCCTTCATCTCCATGTTCTGTAAGTCCTTTTTCACTCTTTTTTCTTTTGCTTCTTGTTCATTCTCCGTATGCGCCTCCTTCTCCTTGTCCAACCACGATCCTTGATTTATGCTGCACCTACTTACCTTGTTTCTCTCCGCCGCTCCCCCTCGCCGCAGTGGTGGACCTCGTCGAATTCGTCCCGCACTCTCTGGGTCCCCAAGTCGAGCCCCCTTCACTTCCTCCAGCTCATCCGTGACTTTTACACCGCCACCTACCACGACCTCTTTCTGTCTACCCCTGGGACCAGCAGCCTACCTTCTTCCGCCTCTTCACCACCCTCGAGCTCGTCTACCAGCTGCCCGCCGCCTTCTGGATCCTCCGCCGCTTCTCCCGCGACGGTCGCCGGCCCACGGCCACGGGCAAGACTGGTGGCACCACTCCGGCCCTGGAACTCATGTGTCTCGTGTACGGCGTCCAGTGCGCTCTCACCACGCTTACCTGCATCTACGACTGCTGGCACTGGGAGGGCGAGCTGTACACCTGGGACGTCAAGAAGCAACTCATCTTTAACCTCTACATGCCCTGGTTCATTATTCGTGAGTTCTTTTTCCAAATTTGTTTTTCTGGTGGCCATCTCCACCCACCCTTCTAACCCATGCTTCCCCCTTGTTTTTACAACTCTTGTCGTTCCCTCCCCTTCCTCGTCCTGTGGGCGTCGAGGTCCATACCGCATCTTCCGATGACCCGTGAGCAGTCATACAAAGAACAGACTAACACTGCTTTATCCATTTCCCTCCCTAATAGCCCTGGGTATGTCGCTGGACATGTACACAAGGCTCTTGGGTAGGCTCAATGGCCAGGATGGAGGACGATCAAAGGTGCAGTGAACCAATGGTGCGAGAGAGACTGGCAACTCGTCCTTTGGGCATCGCTGTCTTGTGCGACATGCAGACGACACGGTCACACGGTTGTTGTGTCGAGGTAATGTTTTGCTTGATCACAGACTACATGTAGCAGCAGCACGCCATTTGTACAAATTCTTTGGTTTTTCTTCTCATAATAGCCTCGTATAATAATGGACTTTTGGCCAAACGGCCCCCTTTGTAATACTCGAAAATAGCATGACATACAAGCTGGTTTTGCCCCCTTGATTTGTACAGATCCCGACTGATGATACACTGCACACGCCTGAAAGGCTGGCTGACCCCAAAAACATTTCCACTCTCTCTCTCTCTCTCTCTCTCTCTCTCTCTCTCTGCGTTCTTCTTGAGCCCAAAAAAGGCTCCTTCCGCCGCCCGGTCTCACCCTCATAACCGCGCTCATTCGTCTTCTCCCGCCCTTAGTCTATCCTCTTGGAGTAACCCCAGCCGTTACCAACGCCGGAGCTCGTGCCATGCCCGAGCGGCGTGGCGCCACCCAACGCCCTACCCCGTAGCCTATCGGGGAGGACCTTGCCGTAAAAGTAGACACCCGAGGCGACGGCGCCGGCGATGAAGGAGAACATGACGTAGAAGATGGTGCTCGCAAAGATGTGTCCGCCCATGCCCTGCCAATGGACGGTGCCGTCGGTGCGGGGCAGCTGCGGGTTGGGGAACCACCGGACGGAGAAGCGGAGCGGAAGCGGGTCGCCGATGACGATGCGGTGCGTGTCCGAGTTCTTGGCGTGGTTCAGCGGGCTGGTGCTGTAGGCCACCCCGCTGTCGAGCACGCCGGTATCGCGCGGCCGGATGCGCCGCGGCGACATGGTGTGCAGCAGCACGTTCATGTGCGTGCTGATGTGCATGTGGCTCAGCTGGAGCGTGCCCGCCAGCGCGAACACGATGGGCACGTACTCTTGCTCGTAGGGCTTATCGCCAATGACCTCCACGTGCGGCCGGGGGCGGGCCGGTAGCCGGCACGACAGCGGCGCGTCCGAGTGGATGTAGAACTCGAGGAGGTGGAAAAACGGGTCGTCGATGGCCGCGATTGTGCAGTTTTGCTCGCCTTCCACCCCGTACTGGAACTCGAGCGGCTTGCCGGTTTCCTCGCAGATGGGGAAGGACGACCATTGGATCTCCTGTTTCTCGTTTTCGACGTGCTCACCGGTTTCTCTGGTTTACGAATTGGAAACGTTAGCTGCCATGTCATGTCGCGTTTTATACGAGGGGCCTTGGAAGTGGGAGCCCAAGAAAAGAAAAAAAAAAGAGAATCGAGCAGAAAATCAGAAGAGTAGAAACAGGAATCAAAGGTTGCTTACGAGCTACGGTTCATGCACTCGACGTGCAGCGGCGTTCCATACCGAAACGACGGGAGACCGGCGGTTGCCTCTGCCGCGACGGACGCAGCGAAGCTGAGGGCCCAGAGGGCTGCGGGTAGGGTATAGGAGCGCATCGTCGGACGGAGGGTAGGACGGTACGAACGTCGTGTAATGAAGAGGGTTCGGATAGATGCTGACGATTCCGGAGCAGGGAATGGGGAGAGAAGCAAAGGCCAGAGAGAGAAGAAGACAGACTCTCGAAATTGTTCCCAAAAAAATGGCGTCTCTGCGCTATCCAAGATAAGGGGCAGCGTGGGCGGCTGTTATGGCGATGGGATGAAGAAACCGATGGCGTCGATTTTACTAGGTCGCTAGGAATTCATCGTGATGCGAGAGAAATTCGACTTCGACGTAGGGCAAGGCTACCGAAAAAAATTGGCCGGCGACGGTCGACAAGTTCCGAAGGGAGCTGCGTGGGTTCGGTGATGCAAGAGAATTGATGTGAGGTGTGCAATATGCCATCTGGACACTTGGCCGTGACGGACAAGGAGATGGACCGCCCAGTCAATAGTCGCCCCTCCACTGACCTAGCGCGACGCTCCCTTCGCATTGGGTCTTAAATGCCACTAATTAACACCAAGCTCAACACCCCTGAGCTTGCTTGATGCACAGCAAAAACTGCAGGGGAAAGATACTTGGACGTCCCGCTATAATTTGCCCACGAGTAAGGTTGCTGCATATGAGACAACTGCTCGTCAGCTGCCAACTGCCGGCCGTCCCTTTGAAGAACTTTGGGAACAAGACTGAGCTTGCTGCCCATGTAAGTCGAGCCTCGAGCAATCTTCACAAGCTCGATAAAGTGCGTGTGCGTAAGTATTGATACTGATTCACCATGCGATAAAGGGAGCAACCTAACATCATTGAATTTGAATGCTTCTAATAAACCTTGTCATACCCGCGGGGAATGATTCAGAGTAATTACACAACACAGCACTGTCCAAGTCCTACACATAGTATCCCCATCACAGCCCACTCCCTCTCTCTTGTTCAACTAGGGGAAAAATAAAATAAAAAGAAGACTATCTTCTTATGCAAACCTCAGACTACCTGTCCCCATCCTCTCCACCAAGCTGGAAACTTCCCTCTTCAACGTTTTGACGATCCTCCTGAGCTCTGGAAGATCCGCGCCTCCAAGGTTGTTACCCCCAGGAGCAGGCGGGAGCGCCCTCTCACACCTCTCAATCAAGTCCACGAGGCCCGGGCTCATCAGGCCCGTACCCTTGGCACTAGCTCCTCTTCTCCTAATCTCCTTGGCCCACGAATCAACAACGTAGGCAATCAGCTCCACGAGTCTGGTTCTTCGAGCGGTGCCGGTAAAACCGTAATCCTGAGTATCGAACACGTGCTCGAGGACTCGGATAATCATGTCGTGCGAAACACCAACAGCAAGGAATAGTTGGACGGGCCATGCCGGGTCCGCTCCAATCGTCGCGTCTTGACCGTTGACGCAGGCATACCTGCACACCTCGGGGAGGAGTGTGGGGATGGGGAAGATGACGCTGTCCAAGGACGTCCTATGCGCAATGTTCTGAATCTTGACCGACACAGACTCATAAGGCAGACGTCGCTCATCCCCGCGGCTTCTTGAGCCTCCTCGTGCTCGAGCTGGATCAAGTTGGTCCACGTCTCCGCGATGGTCGTAGGGTTCCTATAGTCCGCAGCATGATAGATGAGAAGGCAGAGGTCGTAGTAGCCAGCTTGGTCGGCGTAGTCGTTGAAAAGCTTTTGAGTTTGCGAGTTAGTCTACAGTGAATTTGAGGCTGGGTAAAGCTTGGGGGAGAAGGGAAGGTTAGAGGGGATGGCGCCACCAGGTTACACGGTCGCCGAGGCCATCGGAAATGCACTTACCTCTGTTAGGTTCTGGATCTTTCCGTCCAATTTGTCCTCAATCTCGATGAGCCGCTGAGGGTCAATTCGACTGTCCACCCGTAATCGTTCGAGCACATCGTCCTGAATGTGGGCAATCTCGAGGAGCTCGGAAATTTTGTGGTTGAGCACCTGTTGCTGTTGTCTGGCTACGCCGGGCGAAGACACGTTGGCGTTCGTCTTGGCTAAGCTCAGCAAGTTGATCCTCTCCTTGATATTGATGGGGAGGTCTGCCTGCGCGAGGTCGGACTGGACAACCGCGGCTTGGTAGTACTGGCCTTGGTGAGTGTAGAAGCGACACAACAGATTAGCGTGCGTCGCATCCTCCCTCGCTAGGCTTTCAAGGAACGTGACAACGTGCGGAGACTCGATGGCGAGGATACGGTCCATCCAGCCCTGGTCAATGTACCACTGATACAGGCCAAAGTGGAACAGTTCATCGTTCGACCCATTGACGACGTCGTACGCTTCGAGTCGTTTGGTCGCCGTCAATGTCGGTTTCCCGTCAATCATATCCGGTTCGTGGCCGACCTCGCGATCGAGCTGTTGGAGCACCTGGTGCACCAGGTCGTAGCAGAGTTTGCGTTCTTGGAACGCACCAGCGCGCTGATCGTTGGCTGGCCGGCCATCGTTGACCCATGCGAGCGCCGCATTGCCGCGATCCTTGCCGTGGGCAACCGTGAGACATAGTCGGATAGCTCCAGCATAGTAACGCATCTTGGTGTACTCTTCTACGGCAACGACGAGGTTGCCGTACGAGAGGTTGCTCGCTACTCGCTCGAAGAGGCTCAGACTTTCTTGCAGGAGGCCACGCGCCGTATTCGAACCAACGGGCTGCTCCGAGGCTCGCTTTAGCTGTTCTTGTGCTTTGAAAATGACTACATCATCAGGGCTGCAGAAGCTTCCGCAGCGCCTCCTGAGTGCATCCGCCACGGTCTCCACGTTAGATCCACTTTCGATATTCCTGTTGACAATGGCTTTGACTAGGACCTTGGCGAGGTCCTTCCCGGGTGCTGTGGAGAAGAGCCTCTCGTACGTGAGATCCTTGAGACCCTGGCGGGTTCCATCATCTAGTCTCGTATAGATGTCGCTGACGCGCTCGTCGAAGAGCATGAGAACGAAAGAGATGCCCTCCGAGATGCTCTCCATTAGCTTCTCCAGGGCGTGGAGCGCTTGGTGTTCAGCCTGGAGGGCAACCTCCTCCTTTTGCTCGCCACCCGCTGCAAATCCGATGGGCCGGAGAGACCTTGGATAAAGGACCGATTAGCATCCAAGAACCTTCTTAACCTCTCGAGATTATCTTGTACAGAGAGCAGTTTGCTCGTAGCGATGGTTGACTTCACAGCAACACCACCAGCCGGGGCCACCCCAACGGAGATGACCGGCGACCGCCAGAGCATTCGAATGAGTCGTCCAAGATAGAGGGCCAATGCGTCATGCCTGGAGGATAGCTTCACAGAGTCGGTAGTCAAGGGGCACCGTCTGTCTCGGCAATGGTGGGTTGGCCGCCGAAATCGACAAAGATGGCCCGCGCCCGTCCCTCAGTGGCTGAATCGTTGGCGCGCGTCCTCCGGGTCGCGCATCACCCCCATGGCCACATGCCACGGCAAGTGCAGACGCAATGGTCTCCACTCGTCCATAAAGGCCAATGAATTTCCGGGCGATACTATCTGCGCCCTCATCACCCGAAGAACCCCGAAGTGACGAGGCAAATATGTCAACTAGCCGTCTCCGGCGCACGACATGGACGCCAGAGTTGGTGAGGATCGCGAATTCACTGGGGGCATCGTCGAACTGCACGGCAAGCTCGTTACCGAACCCCTGTGGTTGTTTGGCGGCCGCAAACGGCTTTGTGACAAGGCCTACGGCTTCGACTCGGCTTCCGAGTTCGATCCAGTTGCCATGTTCGTAGTACCGAAGAGGCGAGCCTTGGGAGATGTTGCGGATTCGCGCGGTCTCGGGTGCGGACACAAAGAGGAGATCGGCGTTGGGGTGCGAATCTTTGCTGACAAAATCGAGGAAATAGCCAGGGGCATATCGAACTCCATTACGACTAGTCTTTAAAGACTCGGACTGCGTATCGGTGACCGCATCTCCACTGAGGATTAGGCCTGAGGAGGAAGCTGCGAGGGACGTTTCTCAGAGGGCGGGAATTTGATAAATTGCACCTGCATACTCTGCGGGACCGCGTTTGTCGTGGCACCAATCGTGTATGCGGCCGAGCTGGTCGCGCTCAAAAACAGTCGACAACCGGTATTCGTGAGCGCCATCAAGTGTAGTTTGGACGCCTCTCGAGAGGAAATGGGGCTGATGGAAACGAGATGCATGCGGTCATTTAGCAGAGGGGAGAAGTTGATCATGTGGCTGATCTCCCGCAGGCAGCTATTCTTTTCCTTGTCAATGACCTTGTTAAGCTTGTTCGGGGCCTCCATATGGTATGTACGGATCGTCGAACGCGAGGACAAAGTGTAGAGTAGGTTGCGGGAGTCATCGACAACTAGACTCGTCAGGTGTTCTGGCTCCTTCGCCGGCCAAAAGTTGTTTTGCAAGGAGATCACGGCGGTCCAACCCGGGTTAGTATGGTTAATCTTTCCACAACGGTTAGAGAACCATTTCTCCTCTTGCTGATAGTAAAGTTCGTACACGTCGGTATCGCTGCCGCCGCCGAAAAAGATGCGGCCGTTGGCGGAACCGGCGATGAGACTGACATCGGCGCCCCGGATTGGGAGAACCATTTTCGTCTGATAGAGCGAAACACTGCGCGTGCCCTTGGGAGTGGTCTCAGCGGCGACGCCGAGCAATATCAACTCTGATGTCGTGGCAACGACTAGAATATGAGTAATCGTATTGACAAAGATACCGGGCTTTGGGGTACCAAAGCAACGGAATGGATGCTATGCGGTTGGTCCTCAAACCCAATCAGCTCAGGGTCGGGTTGCGTGTAATCCCACAGGAACAAGCTGTTGTCGATAACGACCCAAGCGTGGTTGAGCTCCGCAAAAAGACCCATTAGTGTTTGCAGTTGGCCCGCGTTTATGTGGTCGAAGACTTGATTCGGGATCGGATACGTCTGGGCTTTCTGAAAGGGAGCTGCGGATGAATCGACGGGGAGAGGTCGTAATCGGAGGATGCACCGGCTGTTGGGCGGGATGGGTTAGCAAAGAATCGTGACGTAGGTTTGCAGTAAGGCAGCGCTAGCCCAGAGATCGGGTTTCTTACGTCGGAGATAGGAATCTAGATCTGGAAAGTTGCCGTCTGCCTGGAGCACCATGTTGATCGCTCTGGCCGCCTTTGCGACAGGCGAACTTTGGCTCACTTGGGGGAGCTTTGTGAGGGAGTCGGCTGATCGAGCAGCAGGCAACCCAGCGTTGTGATCTCCGGCCGTGGAACCAGCCGCCGCACCTCCCGCAGTGAGCTGCCCAGATGATGTGCTCGGCGGATTAGCATCAGAAAAGAGCCTACGCCTTACGGGGTCATTTCCCTGTGCTGTAGTTCGGGCCGCCGCCGGTGTGTTGATGAACGCGCCAGGGACTGGTCGCATGGGGTGGGTTGTGGAAACGACATGGCGACGAAATGATTGCGCGCCGCGCTTCTGGAGACGAAATGATGAAAAAGAAGAAGCACTCTCACTAGCGATTGTGGAGGCCGCAGGTATTCGAGACGAGAGGAGAATCCGCCGGCCAAGGAAGTCGATGGCACGTTAACCTCAGGAACGCCAATCGGGCGCCTGGGAGACCGACAGAGTCCAAAGCCAAAGGCGCCTGTTTAGGCCCAGCCGCGAGGATTGTGGGTTCGGAAGCGTGATGTTCGAGGTAAAGACCAACTATCGATGCTTTGGAATAATTTGCGTGGCGGATTGAAGAGGAACGAGGCAGCCTTGCCCTTCCTTGTGGATTTCGCGGTTGCGGATATCGAGAAGGAAGGCCGTGGAATTATTGGTGGTCCAAGTAAAACATTTTCGGAAAAACATCAAGGCTACTGGAGCAAGCTTGGGCCACCTCCAACCAGCCAACCTACAAGTAAGCACACGGAGAGGAAGAGCAACCATAGCCAAGGAAGCTTGGCCCGACGCGGAAGTTTCGCGACAGCTCGTGTCTGTTCGCGCACTGTGCGGCACCCTTTTGCTCGACAAAGGAAAAAAAGAAAGAAAAATTCGGTCCCTGACGTTCTCACGCAACAAGACGATTCATAAACCAGGTGTGATGCGGAGTGTTAGGAATACAATCATAAATACCATAATTCAGCTAATCCTACAAATCTAAGGCTAAATTTCATTTAGGAGTTTTAGACAAGCTCATCCTTCTTGGGAACCTTCCCCGCCGCCATAGAGCCGCGCAGCAAACGCGCCCCATTGGGCATTATCGCACCCTTCTTCGAGTTATGCTGAGCGCGGATTTTCGCCTTTAATTCTTCTTGGCCTCCCTCTCAGCCTTGCGCAGGGCGCGCTTCCTGATGTCCTGGTGCATCTTGAGGTTGATCGAGACGGTGATAGGATGCATGGGGCCCACAGTCTTCTCGACAATCCAGAGGAAAAGGGCATGGGACCACCATGGGGTGTACGTAGAGGGCGCGGTTTGGTAGCTGCCAGTTCCCACTTTTCCAAGAGCCGCCTTGACAAAGTTCCGCGGGTTCGGGATCATCAAGCTCGATCGTCTGATCTTAGACATGGCAGTTGTGATGAGATAGCTGAGGACTAGATGCACATCGACGCCTTGGGGCTTAAGCTCGGCAGCAAGAGAGGTGCTCCAATGCTGGAGGAAGGCCTTGCTACCGGAGTAGGTGGCCAAGTAGGGAGTCGGGGTCCAACCGGCGAAGGAACCCATGGTCAAGATGAGGCCCTTGCGACGACGAGCCATGATGGGCGCGACAACTTGGGTGGTCTTCAAGGTACCGAGACAGTTGATGGTGACGATGTCCTGCAGCTCCTTGGGCGATGTCTCCAAGAAGGACACGGGGATGGAATGGCTCTGGCCAACGTTGTTGATCAAAATTGCGACCTCGAGGTCGTCAATTTCCTTGGCAAGGGCAGCGTAATCTTCGGCGCGATCCTGGGCATAGTCCATTGCGACAACCTTGACTTGCAGACCCTTTGCCGAGTACTTTTCTTCGAGTTCGGCGGCAAGAGTCTCGAGCTTGGAGAGGGTACGGGAGACGAGAACGAGGTTGAACCCCTTGCTGGCGAGCTGGTGGGCAAACTCTTTACCGAGGCCATCGGAGGCTCCAGTAACTACGGCCCAGGTGCCTGGCTTGCCATATTTTCGAAGCTATCGAGAGCGAGAAAGTCAGCAATTCAAATCGTCCCGTAGTGCGCTAGAGAATGGCCCAGGACGGAAAAGTGTAGTGAAAAATTACACGAGGCCAAGATAGGGGCGGGCTGTCTTACGTTGGTGCCTCCAAGCATGAAAATGGCGACGAGGCCACGGAGGTAGCTGAAAAGGAAGCGAGCAAAGGACAGAGCTCCAACACCGATCAGCAGGAGCTGAAAGGGCGCCGGGATTGACGCAATAAGTTCGGCAGGCAACATGTTTGTGACAAAGGCAAAGAGACACCTAGGACATGAGATTTCTTGAAGATGTTCGTGTGGTAAGATTTCCACAAGTCTTGGTGGGCCAAGAGCATGAAATGTAGACAGTGAGCCGTGCACTGTTTTCCGAGCTCAACGCTCTTCAAGCAAGCGGGCACTGCCAGTAGTTACATGTGGCGGGCGGACAATCACGTGCGTTGAGCTTATGTTGGGACCAGACTCATGAGCCGCGGGTGGTAGTGAGGTCCGCTAACCAAGCACCGCTATCTAGTGCTTGTCAGTTGAGAGGCCTATCCACAATTGTACAGAAGAGCTGTAGTTCTGAGCAAAAGCAGCCTATCAATCAGCCTCGGTATTGGTTAAAAGTCCAGTGAACTCAATTGCTAAGCTCTCCTACACGCGTAAACCAATGCATATTGAAACTCTAAATTATCGTGCTGCCTTCTTCACATATAAAAAAAAATTGGGTAACCGTAGTAGATACCTTGGTAAATTCGTAACATATCGGGGAAGAAAGCTGATGTTCGTTGTCGTTTTGACCTGTCAGCACACTGTACGTGCGCGGCAAATGCCGATTCGCTGAAGCTCCCAAGCTCTTGAAGGCCTGCGTCGCGTGGTTGCCCCTTTCCAGTCGGCGTCGCCTTGCGGAAAATAAAATCTTCAACGATCCATAGCCTTGCCAGCGACTGCGAGTCGTACCAAAACCACAAGACAAGACACAACGAAAACTAGAGTGATCCCACAACCAAACGAACATGTCGTCAACGCTCTCCTCTTGGCTCCCGCAGTCTGATGGCTATCTGCCATACTATATGCTGATCGTACGTCTATCCCGCAGCCCCATGGGTCCACTGCCCAGCTAGACTTGCCACCAAGCCGTTCTCAAACCACTCGTGCCCAATGCGGAAGAGAGATTCACTAACACGTTACAGTTGTCACTCATCTCCATCGGCAACTCTGCACAGAACTTGATAACCCTCCACTACACGAGGCGGGTCTATAATGCTCGCTTCATCCCCAACCCGAAGCTCCCGCCGGCCACTCAGGGTTTCGATCCAGAGGACGCCGTCAACAAGCTCATTCTTGCTCCGAGCGGGAAGGGCTCGGACCAGGTTACTCCGCTGACCGCTCGCTGTTTCGGTACATGGACTTTCATTACCAGCATCGTGCGACTTTACGCCGCCTACAACCTACGGTTCGGCCCTGTCTACGACATCGCCATCTGGACCTACGTCGTTGCCCTGGGCCATTTTGCCAGCGAGCTTCTCATCTTCAAGAGCATGACGCTAGGGAAACCCCAGGTCTTCCCTCTCATCTTCGCGACGACGGCGTTGATCTGGATGCCATCGGTCCGTGACTTTTACGTGCAATTCTCGTGATTGTTGACACAAATTGGAGCCTGGCTACCCGACCAAGGTAATTGCAATGGCTAAATATGCAGGCAGAGATAATATGAACTAGCAGGGTATACTCAGCCCCGCCTCAGCCAGTGCACTAAAGGTGCAGTCGGCCTGGAAGCGGATAGACGGTTCCCCAATCATCAGCTCAGTCTCTATTTATAATTTTAATCTAAGTCATCACAAGGCTTTTCGATATAATTCTCCTCCGCACTCCCGAAGGCGTGCAGCGGCTTGTTCTGGCGTTATGTCTCTCTGTGGCTCTGCAAGCATTTCGTAGCCCACCTGGAACTTCTTCACGGTAGAGGACCGTAACAAGGGCGGATAGAAGTGCATGTGGAGGTAGCTGCTGTTAACCTCTTCAGCCGAGCCGTCCAAAGGCGCTTGATGGATCCCGGAGCCTATAGTAAACCCGGTTAATGAGGTCCGAGTGTGCATGCGCAAACGACTCAATGACTTACTGTAGGGGAAGCTGCACTGGAATAGGTTATCATAGCGTCGAGTAACTTCCTGGATAGCTTCAGCAAATTGAAGCCTTTCTTCTTCCGTAAAGTCAACAAGCGCGCGGACATGACGCTTCGGGATCACAAGGACCTCGAATGGCCATACCGCCCACCATGGCACGACAACCAAGATGCCCTCATTTTGCCATACGATGCGCTCTTTCTTCTCTAGCTCTACTTTGATGTAGTCTTGAAGAAGATGTCTTCCTTTGTTATCAGCTAGGTACTTGATCATCTGGCCGAGCTCGGCATGAGGCTCTTCGGGTAGCGAAGATGTTGCCCAGATCTGACAGTGGGGATGGGGGTTAGAGCAACCCATGGCCGCTCCCTTGTTCTCGAAAATCTGCATATAACGGAGCTGGGCACTTGGTGAGGGAATCTCAGAGTAGGGTGATGCTTGGAGAGCCTCAAGTGGGCCTGATTTCGATAACGGATTTTGAGAAGAGATATGTCGTGCATACGCTCGAGTCCAAGTTTCTACCACGGGCAGAATTTCTTGGGCAGTCATATCGGCGAGGGTCACATTGTGTTTGGCGGCAAAGGTAAGCACATAACACAACCCAGTAGTGGGTTGTACTCTCAGCAAGTTCGATGAGAGTTCTGTATAGTCAGCGCAGGCCAACACTCATAAGCTATCCTACCCCCGGGCTCCAGGGAAACATCTCACCATCTTCTTCCGCCTCCGGCCTAAACTCGGCTTGCCTTTCCTTTACGGCGCTATAATCGTTGACGAAAACAAAAGTCTCGCTATAGTCCGGGTTTCGCTCTCCTTGTGCCCTTGAATTTCCGGGGCACAGGTAACACTACGACAGCACGTTGGCAAAGTGATGGGGAGATCACCGGGCGGGGGCGAAGTTCACGTTACCTTTTCGTCATATTCCGGAAGGTCGATGACGGCCGGATCTTCTTGCTGACCCCTATACTGGAGTTAGCAATGCTCGACATTGACGCATCGCCCGTAGCGGCCAGGGACAATCCCTACTGCCATGGTCTCTTGGTACGATGCGGCGACACTAGCACCCATGAACCCCGAAGTAAGTTGTATCTCCTATGAGATATATCGTTCAGAACACTGTCACCCATGTTTAATCCCTGGGCCTATCCGACGAAAGATGAGAGGACTGCCGCCGGCACCTCACGGTGGTCAGAGTTGCGAGGAGAGCGAGAAGAAAGGCTCGAGAAGGCGAAATGGCTGATTATCCCTTGAAGTAATGACGAGATCTAAGATCGTGCTCAAAACAATAGAGGGGTTCTATCTAATCGCCTGTGCAACTACAAAACTCTTCCTGCTTTCCATGCCTGTTTGCTTTCACTGTTCAGACTCCCGCACCAATCAGGTTGTTGTGTTCAGGAGCTCCTCACAGAGCTTCTTTCAATCTTCCACTTACGTCATCAAAGAGGACCAAACTGATGGTGGGGCTACTTAGCTGACTGGTTGCTTATCATCGGCTAAATATCGCAACATTTCTGATCGGTAAATAGCCTCAGGTTGCTGGCAACCTCCAACTCGAGAAGCAGGAGAATGACCCTCGACAGCGCGACGACTCCTCATCAATTTGTTGTTCTCATAAGTGCATTTCCATCAAAATACGCGTCTATATCGATTCAAATACTACCAAACATTAATTCTTCCTGTCTGTTTCTCGTCCAACGCGCGGAAAGCACGACCACGGCCACGCTCCCCGGTGCATACCCCCGTCTTGCCTTGAGCTTCGTGTTTGGGGTGGATTTTTCCTCCCCAATTAATTACATCCCACCCTGGACGAAATGGGCGTTATCCGCAAAAACCGCCGTTCGGGGCGGCGAAGGAGGAGTCAAATATCATTGCGATGTCTGCTCCGCCGATATCACATCCACAGTATGCCTTCGCCTCCATAATGCACTACCCCCTTCCCCAGAGATGGACCCGCATTTTTGCCCACCACGTCCTACCCTAGTTTGCACCTTCTCCCAGCGCTTCTGTAGCTCCCAGACTTTCCCCATCATCCCTGACTTGTCCAACGTGTGGCCGCCCTCGTTTGCCTCGAGTTACTAACTCCACTTTCATTCACAAGGTCCGAATCCGATGCGCACACAGCGCGTGTAGCGACTATGACTTGTGTGTTCAATGCTTCGCGAGCGGCGCGTCCAGCGGAGCACACAAACCCGAATCACATCCGTATCGAGTAATCGAACAAAATTCTTTCCCAATATTCGATCGAGACTGGGGCGCAGACGAGGAGCTTCTTCTCCTAGAGGGCGCTGAAATCTATGGGCTAGGATCCTGGGCCGATATCGCGGACCACATTGGCGGGTTCCGGCACAAGGATGAGGTTCGGGATCACTATCTTGGTGTATTTGTCGACTCGTCTCATTTTCCTTTGCCGAAAAGATGCAGCCCACAGGATATGGAGCTTGCGAATGAGATCTCGCGAGAAGAATTTCAAGCGAAGAAGAAGAGGCGCATAGAGGAGCGCAAGGATGCCCAAAGAACGCACCGGCACTACAGCCCAAGACCAAACCTACGGCTAGTGTGCCGTCATGTCACGAGATCCAAGGCTATATGCCCGGTCGTCTGGAGTTCGAAACCGAGTACGCAAACGAGGCAGAAGAGGCGGTGCAACTCATGCAATTCGATCCTGGCGATGGCCTCAATCCCCGCACCGGCGAGCTTGAGCCCGAGATGGAACTGAAATTGACTGTAATGGAAGTATACAACTGCCGACTCACACAACGAGTCGACCGCAAGAAGGTCATTTTCGAGCACAACCTACTCGATTATCGCGAGAACATCAAACTGGAAAAGAAGCGGACTAAAGAAGAACGAGAGCTCGTTAACAAGACAAAATCTTTTGCCCGGATGATGAACCATGCCGATTACGAGGCCTTTTCCCAAGGGCTTATCGACGAGTTCAATCTGCGACAAGCTATCGCCCAACTGCAAGAATGGCGCAGTCTTCGGATCGGCGATCTTCGTAGTGGCGAAAAGTACGAGCAAGAAAAATCCCAGCGCATTCAGCGGGCGATACCCATGGGGTCGATGGACCGCGAGAGATTAGCGACATCCCAGCGCAAGGCCGCCGCCGCTGCCCCCGAGCCGCCGAGCGGGGCTGCACTTCTCGTCGCCCCAGAGCTGCCGATTCGTTCTGCCGCGTCTCCTAACGGCACTCTGGGAATTCCCAACGGAGAAGTCAAACAAGAAGCTACTACAAACGGAAACGGCAAGGTCAACGGGGTAACCACCAACGGAGGTAGCATTGTTGTCACCAATGGTCCCGGCCCTACGACACGGCAGCGAGCGAACCCGCAGCCCCTATCCGGAGTCACCCCGCTCCAATTGACTCAGGACAATGCCCCCGACCTTCACCTCTTGACTCCAGAAGAGGTCAAGCTTTGCGAGGTGGTGCGCTTGCAGCCCAAGCCTTATCTCATGATCAAGGAACAGATATTGAAGGAGGCCCTCAAAGGGAATGGAACACTAAAGAAGAAGCAAGCAAAGGAAATCTGCAGGCTTGACTCCCAGAAAGGCGGCCGAATTTTCGAGTTCTTCATCAACTCGGGCTGGGTTGGCAAGGCGTGATTGAGGTGGCAACCAGCTCGCGTTACAGCCTACACCTTATGGCACAATTTTATTTTCGTGCTTTGTATCTTCTACTCGGTGGTTTCAAATTTCGGCCCTATTAGCATAGCAAAGGTGTTTTTCCTTTTTGCCTTTCGTTTTCTTTTGGTTTCTATATCCTTTACAGTCTAGTGGTTGGGTTCCCGCTTGTGGCCTGCTTTTCTCGGGTGTTTGGCTTGCTGGTGCGGGCGTGGGCGTGGGCGTGGGCGTGGGCGTGGGCGTGGGCGTGGGCGTGGGCGTGGGCGTGGGCGTCGTTATCAGTGTCGGTGCGAAACAGAACTTAGGATTTACTTGGGATTGCTTCAGTCACGACGCGTTGATATCCCACGTAATTACAAATGACACATTGTATATTGCCTCATGTATTCAGAGGCCAGGAAGGCACAAACCGAATCCGTGACGCCCGAATTGGTTCTAGGCAGTTTCTTCAACAGGACCGTGGCGACATTAGTGCCGAGAAACATAGCAAGTTCGCACATGAAGAAACATGGATATCTGTTCTAGCTTCGAAGGTCGGAGACAAACGGGATATTCAGGGTAGGGAGAGGGCAAGACTGTCTCGCGTCACCCCAAGACAAGACGACTCCGAAGCCGAGCTAACATGTTTTGAAAGATTCGGTTACGAATCGCAGTCACCAACGGCTACATGTAGCCTTAGGCGTTGTGTATTGGGGTCGGCTTAAGGAACACCCTTCGTACGGAACAGCTCGGAAGCCTCTCCCGAGGGGACAGCGTATAGGTTCTCGGATGGCACAACGTAATTAGACAAATTATTCACGAATATTTAATTGCTATACGAGCGTCCGAAGAGCCTTAATTGCCATATTTATAAATATATATATATATATATACATTGTGTTCGATGCCAGGTGATGCCCAACTATAACAAGATGATGTTGTTCTTGCTGCCGTCCATCTAATATCGGTCTTCCCTTCGCTGATATCGAGAGATTCAACGAGAGTTATCGCTCCTGTTATCCACAACCCAACCCCACATTCGTACCTCTAAACAGTGCCATCAATCAGCCCGCACTTCACTCAAAAGCTTTCGGGCACACGCTTAGAGATTGTCTTGCTTCACGTCTACACGTCGCCTTGACTTCTTTCGCGTTATCCACTACAGAATTTCGATACGACTTCTTATGAAATCTACAGCCCTGCTTTTCGGATAAAACACCTCCAGGGCCACCCTCATTTTGCTTCATCTTTCCAGGGAATTCTGCCCGTACCCTCATCCGTGGCCCCCACCACTCACTCTTGCCGGCGGCCCAGAACAACCTGCACTTGAATACACTGCCTTTTCCCACCATTCCAAGATCAGGGCAGGCAATCCCCAAAGGCGTACACTATGGCCAGCATAGCAAATCTGCAGCGGATCACCGCCAAGGATCTCTCGGAGTTGATTCTGGCCGAGGCCGGCTCTCAGGACCCGAGCTACGCAATTGTAGATGTTCGAGATGATGGTATGCTTCCAAGATCCCGACTCCATGCTACAGCGGGGCAAGGGGAGCCCCAAGAAGGCCGAAATTCTCTAACCGTAGGGGTTGTTGCACCTTAGATCACATCGGAGGCCACATCAAGGGCTCTATAAATATTCCGTCGCGAACTTTGGAAGCCATGATCCCCACTCTTCTACGCAAGCTCGAGTCGAAGCAGACCGTCGTGTTTCACTGCGCGCTCTCTCAGCAGCGTGGCCCTTCGGCGGCTCTCCGATACCTCCGTGAAACCGAAGTGTCTAGACCGGGGGTCCCGCCATCGTCGTCTGAGACCGAGGTCGAGGCAGCAGCGGAAGGGGCGATCGAGAAGGCGAAGCAGGAGGGCCAGACGGTCTACGTCCTTGATCAGGGGTTCGTAGGCTGGCAGGAGCTCTATGGAGAAGACGATCGGTTGACTTCAGGATACCGAAAAGAGTTGTGGAAGAATGGGTACTGGGGTTGAGAAGGGTAGGTGGAAGAGGAATGAGAAGGGGTTAGAGGGAGGGCGGGGATGGAGGGGAGGGGGAAGGGCGATAGCCATGGCGGAGAATCAGGGTCACCTCTGGCTGGTGATCAAAAACAATAAGCCCCGGAATTCAGGGTGCGCCATGGTGAGATTCTGCGGAGGCGGTGAGTCCCTCTCTTGGCGGGTCGCCGACCCTCTGGCGACAACATCTCCATCTTCCGGCAGCGTCGCTGGTCTGATGGGGCCACGGCCTCCTCCCCTCCCCTCTCTGAATAGCCAAACCTTTGTCCACATCCGCTCTAAACACGTTGAGACTAAGATTCGGGAGGATATGCAGGGATGTAGGGAAGAAGCTTGCCGACGCTTGATTTTCTGTAGTCTTCGGTAATGGCATGGTACTAAAAGATACATCATTCAGCGACCCTTGCGACCCAGGTACGTGACCGGAAGTCGCGGATGCGCCGTTCCGACAAGACTAGCTGGCTCAGTGCTTTTCGATCGGCCACCGACTGGCGTTTACCGTACCGGTCGCCACTCGTTAGAACTACACTATCATTCTCCTTGTACGTATACAGCCTCAACAGGCCGTGGTCTAGACGTAAGACTGGGGTGGTGGCCCCTTCGTTATCGCAATCTTACCTGAGGTGCTGAATATGTCCAACGCACCTTGAAAATTATCTCCAACTCGTGAGCCCTGAAGGTTAGCAATCCATCCCATGTGCCTCAACGGCCTGACGGGGCAAAGACCGTCCCCACCCTCCCCTTCCTCCAAAGGCCACAAGAACCACCCCGGCCAACCCTCCTCCTGAACCTTGAAGAACGATATACTCTCAGCCACTGCCGTCTCTCGTACCCACAGTTGATTCCCGGGGCTCCGTATGGCCAGTCAGGTGGGCGCACTGCCCTGACTGAATGAGGGGCAGGTCATATTGTCGCACAAGCTTGATTTTTGACAAGAGGCTGGCGGGTGAAAACGATCTGTCACAAACAAGCGGGAAGATGGGTAAGAGACCCATCAGTCGTCTTCCCGATATTACATGGAGAGAGTGGGGAAGCAAGAGAGAGGTCGGGGAGAGTGATCAGTCCAACTCATATACTGGGAGGCAGCATGTCATTTTTTTCTTTTCTTGAGAAAGAAAAAGGGTTGTACACCCTCTCCTGGGCCCTTGAATTTTTCATAGAGATGAGGAAAACATGACCCTTCCGTATGGACGTGCATTCTCGCGATACGAAGTCCTCGTCGTACAGAGTTATCGTAGACTAAGAGCCAAAGCCCGGAAGAAGTGTATAAATCCAAACCCTGATTACCAGGATCCGTTGCTATCCGCAGTTCTCTCGTTATCCCTGACACCCACTGCACCCATAAGCTAAACAGATGGCGTTTGGGGTGTCAGTGAGCGATTAAGCTGTTTTGCGATGCAGCGATCGCAGCACGCATGGAGAGCACGATGGTGTATATGGCCCAGACTCAAAGCCTTCCTCATTGTCTGCGTCGAAGTGAACCGTTTACAGCCCGCGGATATGAGAAAGTAAATCCGTGTGACACCCTATTTCTTGCGTCTGCAAGCGTAACCCTTACCATCCGGGATTTCATCACACCTCGTCCTGCTCGTCATCTGTGTACTGGCGCCTCTATCACATTCACAATAGTGGGAGGGGATCCAAGCGTTCGATCTGTATCATCAAAGGGTAGGGATGGATTAGATCTCAGGGCGATCACCATATCCGTTCGAGGACCTGACTTTTAGTTGCCGTGGGGTAGCAGGCGAGCGTTAAGTTGACGCTAGCATTGCTGCTCTTAAGGGAAGTGGAAGAGATCCGTTCTTCAATGAAGACGCCCATTTAGAGCTATAGACTTCAGCCTCGAGGTTTACGGTTCACGAAATCTCAGAGGGGAACACGTTTAGCGTGGACTTGATTGCTGGAAAATACTAGTCCTCGTGCCGAGGCAGTTGGCTTGTTTGAGTTGCGTGTGCAATTCGTTCACCACCACAGTGTTCTCGCCGGTAATCGAATAACTAGCATCTTGACCAGGACTCGTACGTAGTCTGAGACAGTCAACATGAGTCGGGTCCGGTGGAATGATAAAACTCCCGACTTAACTCCCCAGCCACGAGGTTATGAAGAAAAAGAATGCGGGTTCCCATGTGCTGAGTGAACTCTTACCTCTGTGATTGCATGTCGTCAGCGCTACGTTGTAATGGGTACTGTGACACCGCCATTTCCCCTTTTCGCTTGATAGGTCTTGCTTTTCGTCTACTGTGGTAGATGTCTGCAGGTTCAGCTGCAGAAATACGAACGGTATGGAACACAGCGATTCAATGTTGACGCCAGTGTTGACAATCCTCCCACTTCTCCACTATTCGGAAATGGCATGGAGAGGAAGGCTGCATGCTCTCTCCGTGAAACACCCGCGTCTGCGGGTCAGGACGAGGTTGGCAGTCTTTCATTATTCGACCATCCGTCGTGGAGGGTGCTGTCGGTTCCAGCCACGTGGAAAGATAGAGCAGGCCCTGTCAGTTACATGGGTATCCATCTCCTTGACGAACGTGTTTAGACAATGATACCCCCGCACATTTCTTCTGGGCACTGCACTGAATGTCTTGACCGAATCCCGAGACGTTAGATGCACATTTGTGGTGAACGGGCCGAAGCATCCCATCCACATAAGCCCCAGACCTGCCCTCAATAGGCTAGGCAAACATGTTATTCCATGAGCTACTGCAAAGAATTCATCCACAGGCTACACTATCCTTCTGACACGTTCAAAATGAGCGGGACTGGGCGACTGGCGACTGGCGGTGGGGAGTGGTTGCAGGCGAAGATGAGCTTCTGATGCATGTGCGGTTCGGAAAGGCTGGGTGTAGCCACTACTATTGGCTCCTCAGTTTCTTGAACCTGGAAATAGTTAATACATAGGCCCTGCCCCGGGATTTCCCATGAGTGCAGGCGAACAAGCGGTGCCCAGAATATGCTGACCCACCAACCGTGAGGAGTGACTTGGCGGGCTTTCCATGATTCGAACCATAAGGGCCCAGCCATGCAGGTGCTGAGTAGCCCCTCCTCCACGATGCGAAAATCGACTGTCACGTCCTAGGTCCCTTGAATCTACACTTTCTGGGATCATCACAGGGACATTGAATTTGGCCCTATGGTTTCTCGGCAGAATTGCAAAGTTGATTGATTGTCCGTTGGCTTGGCCCGTCGTAAACCTCTCCTCTCTCTCCTCCACAGGGCTCGTAGGAGTCAGTCCTGGAGACGCGACTACAATTGACGTAGGTTCAACACGCTTGTCCTTAGGTAACCTAGTGTTTATTCCGCAATTGGTCCTTTGATAATTCTGCTTATAACTAGCTCTGCCCCAAGAACCTCACATTGACTTCGGAGCGGGGCCAGCGGATCCAACGAGCAGTTGGTACGAGGCCGCAACGACCACTCATTGCGGGAGGGAGGGATGGGACTTCTTGCCCGTTGGTTGATCGGATTCAGAGCCGGGGACTACGGCGGACAACACTTAAACGTTCGTTGATTCACTGAGAACCAAACAGCTTACTGCATACTAGCCGTTAAGTTTTGGTCCCGGATATCGGAATGCTCAGCGTGCTCCTCTAGGTTAAATGAGACATGTTAAACCGAAAATAGACTTGCCAACATGCACCATGCAGCAACAATGTCGAGAAGCTTGTTGAACGAAATCGCGCGAAGGGCTTTGTAAAAAGGGGTGGTGGGGTAGGCCCGAGTGCCGAAATAACCTGTTGGATGGTTTGGCCCTAGAAGCCGTGCTTTTGAACGGGATCTCGTCGAGACATTCTAGCGTAACCCAAGGCTGTAACAAACCACTAAGACTGAGAACCCTACTTCGTGGCTACTTTGGGGCTTTATTGGTTAGCGCTAGAAGCCTAGGTGCTTTCTTTCCCCTTGCTTCTGAGCAGTGAGATAAATTGATGATTAGCAGCCGTCAAGTGTCCGCCCTTGGTAAAGGGGAGAGCTGTGACAGTAAATCGGCGATGATCGCAATTTCCATTCGATTTACGTGCCATTCCGTATCTCCTCTTTGCGACAGACAGTGATAGTGTCAATTGATGGTATTGGTGGGCGTTAGCTTTAACTTGTGTTGTAGCATTGATGGGAGAGTGTGCGGTCCGCCTTTCGGTGGAAGTGACAGCTCGACCGGGCCCGGAACGTCACAGAGGGCCCGTGTTCGGATTCCGGGAGCGGAGGTCAGCGATTCCAGCAACTCCGCTAGACCTCAATTGGAACTTGGCGCTTCCACCTCTTTTCTCTCTTCCTCCAAGATCAATCTATCTTGAGATTGGGGCAAGAAGTGGGGTGCCCCGCCCGTCAGAAATGTTTTGTTCTTTTTCTTGTTTTTCTTGTTTCCCTCATGTTACTTTTTCAAAAATTTCTTCATGCAATGTACTGTCGTGCCTTCTCCTTGCTACCCACATTTAAAGAGCCAATTGTTAGGGCCGGAAGGCGCGACAGTGTACCTCGAGGTTGTAGCCTCAGTGCGTTTGGTTACATCTCTGATGTCTGGACAGGAGGCACCATGATGGAAGTCGCAAACAACAGACCATGGGCCACGCCTCGCTGTTTCATGGCTTGGATGCATTGTACTTTTTCTCTTACACGCTGCATCTGCCACAAGCTAGTAGTTGGGGCAGACCCTCTATCTTCTCTCGTTCTCTCGCCCAAACCCAGCCGCCGTCACCCTTTCTTTCGTTGGTTTCTGCGGAAGATTGGGTCTATTGCTGGCGGCTGGAAAGCTGGATGGAATCGCTTCTTGACTTGGCCAAGCCAACTATGCGCGGTGCGATTAAGACCTGCGATTTGTGACTCGTTGGTGGTGTGCGCCTTCCTCAGAAGAAGAGACAGGGTAATCTCCCACAAAGCTCTGCGAGGAAGGAACCGAGAAGGCTTATTTTGCAGGATTGATCATTGGAAGGTGCTACATCTGGACGTAACTGAAGCCCATCAACATCGCTCTACCGAGGTAAGAGGATCGAGGTTAATAAACGGGTGACGCACCGGAAATACGAAAATAGCTGCGGGCACAAAGTACGGCACCCTCGACTATCCAACCTTGCAATACTCCAGACCCGTCAATCTGGGTCCAATCTGTTCAGACGATGAGCTGTATGACCCAAAGCCCGCCTCGGCGCCTCAATGCTACAGCCCTCCCCCATTGAGGATTCCTTATCCACTTGCTTATGTTCCACAGGCTACCATGAGTATACAACTTAACCTTCAGCGACTGCCGCGAGTAGACCCGGACACACCGCTTCTATGTTAGCCACCGCCTAGCCTACAACCAAGCTGGCGTAAATTTCCCATGCCACCTCTGCTGCGAAAGGAAATGGCTACAACGGGTGCATAGAGGATGAAGAGAAATTTCCCGAGTCGTAGAACCACCGATTCGAAAAGCTCAAAACTCACTTGGGGATCTCGGGATCTGCCTTGTTATTCCTTTTTCGTCCTCTGTCCAGATTCTCCGAACGCTCGTATCCCTCGCGAAGTCCATCCAAGCCAATGCTTGACTACCCATTCGCCCCTTCCTCATCGATTCCCCAGCCTTTCTTTGGCCAAAGGGCCGAGGCGTTATCAAAAGAGGAGGGCGAAGGAGAGGGGGGAAAAGACAATCTCGCAGGTACCAGCTGGCCTTCCACGTTGGCGCCAGACACTTCTGCTTTAGCTTAGACCCCTTTCTGTTTCCTTGCCTTTTTCTCGGCCTATGTTTCCCGACACTTGGATGGGAGGTAACTACTGGATTGGACGCCATACCCCCAAGACATAGCCTTTGCCAAGGATATCCTAATCAGGAGGCGGCGGCAAGGACGTGGACCAAGAGGTGACCTCTCTCTCCAACTTCCCATAGGAGAATGTGGCGTTTATTGCGAGAATTCTCATTGAACTCTTGCATAGACTTGCAGTGGTCGCATCTCAAACCTGTCTGTTGAATGGGTCGCCCCTCATGACTTCCTTTCTTCAAACACACGCCCACTCAGTCGGGTTCCTCAGACCGCTGACGACATCACGCACGGGGTGTGTGCCCGCCGTCCGTTCCTAGTCGATCTATGCCCCCTTCCTCCCGCCAATTTTGGGAGGAAATACGATTCCTCATATCTACGATAACACGTCGTGAGACGCAGACAATCTATCAGTAGAGGTGAGCGGCCCGTTGCTTAACACGAACGTGAACGCGTTCTAAAGCACTTGGTGATACCGATGTGTAGATGATTGATCAAGGAGCCGTGTGTACCAAGAAGCGCCAGGTCCGGACAATCCATGCCCCTCTTGTGCATACTTCAGGGTACTTCGTCGGCTTCTTGCCTTGGACAGCCGCGATCATATGCATAGGGCGTCCCCACGGACATATTTGGTGGACCCTGTCTATGGATTTGTGTACTTCTTTTCTGCTTGCGTGCCATTAAGACTCCTTTATTGTTTAGCCTCCATCGTACAAGAAATAGATGACCGCGAAATCTTTGATATTTCCATCATCAGAGAATTGACAATCTAGCTCGCGCGACCTCGGTTGTTGGGAAATGGAGAAAGGGCGGCTCTGACGTGTCTAGGCTTTCGCCGCCTCTCGCTGCACAGGATATCGTTCCCCTTTCACACCTACGCCCACGGCCCGAATTAACGCAGGCTTGGGCGTGTATGCAAGTGTAAGTGCTTTGCCTGCGGGCGAAGTTTTGGCCGGTCTCTAGAGATACGGTGAAAGCCGCTGTCAACGCCATTGCGCGGCCGGGAAGGGAAAGGGAAAAGGGGGAGTGTGGGAGTGTAAGGGGGTGAACAGAAGCCGTCGGTTTTGAGGTGCAGATGAACCGGGTCGAGCCTTCTGCGCGTTTTGTTCCTGCACCTTTCGAGACTTTATCGCCACAGAGAGTTCCCTTCTCGCCCCTTCTTAACCCACTAATCATGAGAATCCCTTAGTTCCGGCCTGTCGCCCCAAGCTCACTCGTAAACGAGGGCCGCTTCTTCGGCCATGATCATCGTCACCAGGGAGATCCACAAGCCTGCCCACCATATTTACGACTCCCGGATACTTATATCGTGGGTGCCCCTTCACTTATCCGAGTAGATCTTTGCCTCTTCCAATTCAAAGAGCCAGCTTCTATATACTAACATAATATAGAGCATGGCCCAACGTTTATATCCTTTTACAACCTTATTTTCATTCTTAACCCCAAATCACTTGATAAACTGAGTTGCGCCCCCTTTAGCCATATTTCTGAAGAGCATCAGTTTCTTACCATCACTCTCTGGAATATTGGTGTTGGCCTGAGAAAGCCCTAGGTGGTATCCGTCTTGCCTACACCTCTTGCACCACGGCACCCTCAAAATGGCAACTGAGTTCAATACTGGTTTGGCAACGCCTCAGAGAAGCCCACAACATACACCCGAGTTTGGCTTTAGACCCTATGATCCATATGCCATAGCAGTTTGTGGTATTGGCCTACGACTTCCTGGGGGAATAAAGGACACCCATGACTTTTGGGAGCTGCTGGTCAACGGACGAGATGCTCGCGGTCCCATCCCATCAACGAGATATAACATTAGCGGGTTCGATGATTCGTTGGGAGGTAAAGGTGGTATCAAGGCGCGGTATGGATATTTCCTCGATGAGGACATATCTGGGTTAGACACATCCTTCTTTTCAATGACACGAAAGGAGGTCGAGAGCTGCGATCCCCAGCAGCGCCGTCTGCTCGAAGTGGTAAAGGAATGTCTCGACGATGCTGGAGAGATTCACTACAGAGGCCGCGCCGTCGGTTGCTACGTGGGCACATTTGGCGATGACTGGCTCTTGATCAACTCGAAAGAAAACCAGCATCAGGACGGTTACGGCTATCTTTCCACGGCCAACGGGGACATGATGCTTGCAAATCGAGTGTCCTATGAATACGACTTTAGGGGACCGAGGTAGGTCATCATGTATAGATCAAACCCATCTGCCGCTAACTTATACTTGTCGTTTCTTTTAGTTCGGTTGTTAAGACGGGGTGTTCTGCGTCGCTTGTTGGGCTCCACGAGGCGTGTCGAGCCATTCAAAACGGCGACGCAACCTCGGCAGTTGTGGCAGGTACCAGTATAATTCTAACCCCCACTATATCTGCATCATTCACATCAGAGGGCATCCTGTCTCCAGATGGCTCTTGCAAGACGTTCGATGCCAAGGCAGATGGATTCGCGAGGGCTGAAGCTGTATCCGCTATATACATAAAACCCCTCGAGGCAGCGCTTCGTGAGGGCAATCCAATCCGGGCGGTGATTAAGGGGACGGGGACAAACTGTGATGGGAGAAGTGGCGGATTACTGAGACCGAATGCAGACGCTCAAGAAGCCTTGATGCGCAAAGTCTATTGTGATAATGGGCTGGACCCGGGCGAGACCGCGTTCGTCGAGGTAAGCATGAATCTGGAGGCTTGGCATACTGCACCCTGCGTCTTGAACTCTGGCTGAGGCGTTACTAACTTTTCAAACCCCTGATATAGTGTCACGGCACAGGTACAGCCACAGGAGATCCCATCGAGGCAAACGCGGTTGGAAATGTTTTTGGTGGAGCTGGCGGAGTATATATCGGCTCTGTCAAACCCAACGTCGGCCACGCTGAAGGAGCTTCGGGCTTGAACAGCTTCATAAAGTCAGTTCTATCACTCGAACACAGGATAATACCTCCGAATATCAAGTTTGAAAGCCCAAACCCAAAGAGTGAGTTTAGAATTTCCAACGAAATAACGAGCGTAGCCTGGAGCTAACAATCCACTTCGTCTCCGTCACTAGTCCTTTTCAAGGAGAAGAACCTCTCCGTTCCGACCCAGCCAACGAGTTTCCCCCTGATAAGTTACCTCGCATCAGTATCAACTCTTTTGGAATAGGCGGCACGAATGCGCACGTAAGAACCCCCAACATGCCTACGGGTTGATGGTCATTTGGCTGATACCACATCTTAGGTTGTCCTGGATGCGTTTGAGCCGCCCGAGGCCATTCAGTCAAACTCTCGTCCTACACGGCCTGACCTTTTTCTCCTCTCCGCAAACACAAAACCATCTCTCGAGATGGCGATAGCTCGCTATGACGAGTTTCTTCGAAGCGAGAGCCGATCAAAGGGGCCCGACGTCGCATACACGTTGGCGCTCCGCCGGGAAAGACTTCCCCATCGAGCCTTTTCGCTAGTCCAGGACGGAAATATCATCGGATCCTGGGAACCGGCAACGGTTGCCGCAGCAAAGGCTGCTCCCGTATACATGGTTTTCACCGGACAGGGTGCACACTGGGCGGGGATGGCCAAGGAGATGGTTCTGGGCGATGATCTTTTCAGGAAGGATATCGTCCTAATGGATAGCATCTTGAGTGGACTCACGTATCCCCCATCGTGGTCAATGATGGGTAAGAGAAGTTGCCTGTCCTTTGTACACCGTGAGCAAAGCTAATGATCCTGGTAGAAGAGATTATGCGGGTAGAAAACCAATCACGAGCTCACCTTCCAGAAATCTCCCAGCCTCTATGCACTGCGATACAGATTGCACTTTTCAACCGTCTTGCTCACATTGGTGTACGGCCGGAGTGCGTGGCCGGCCACTCTAGTGGGGAGATAGCAGCGGCCTATGCCTCAGGTGTGCTATCGATGGAAGCGGCCATGGTGATTTCGTACTACCGAGGCTACGTAGCAGCGGGCCTTGCGGAGACAGGCTGTATGATTGCGGTTGGACTCCCCGCTCATGAGATCGAGCCCTTGCTCCCCACCCGCGTCGTTGTGGCGTGTGAAAATAGCCCCAAGAGCACGACCATCTCGGGAGAAAGAGAGCCTGTATTGAGGGCGCTGGAAATAATTAGGCACCGATGGCCTGATGCCCTGACAAAAGAACTAGGCATTAATATTGCCTACCACTCCCGTAAGTCTTTTCTTCTCCCACCCTTTCGTTGATCCGTTGGTGCTGTGAGGTTTTGCTAAAGGTAATTGGAGTACAGACTACATGAATGCCGTTGGGGATGACTATATAAGCCTCATACAGGAAGACCTCTCAAAACTCTGCGCCTGGCCGGCAAAGTCCACGACACCCTTCTACTCAAGCGTGACAGGGCAACAGGTCGAGCCCTATCATGATTTCGGTCCAAATTATTGGCGAGAGAACCTCGTCTCTCCCGTAAGATTCTCAACTGCCATCTCCACACTTCTCGATGTAAGCGGGGCTGGTATATTCCTAGAAATCGGGCCTCATAGCGCTCTGCTGGGCCCTCTGAAGCAAATTGCGGCAGCGAAGTCGCTATCTTGCTCCTATATCGGCACTCAGTCCAAAGGAAAAGATTGCTTTGTGCGCTTCATGGTCTCAATTGGCCGACTGTTCCAAGAATCTGTCAACGTGGACTTAACTTCCTTTTACCCACGTCCGGTGGTGTTATCGGGCCTTCCGACGTATCCATGGGACCATAGTCAGAGTCTCTGGTATGAAAGCAGAGTGTCCAAGGACTGGCGATTTCGGCAATACCCCCATCATCCTTTGCTTGGTGTTCGCATTCCGGAAACATCTTGCCTTCATCCTCAATGGCGGAACATACTTCGCGTGGAGGACATTCCTGGCTCTCGGACCACAAGGTCGAACAAGACGTCGTGTTCCCGATGGCTGGATATGTTTGCATCGCAGGTGAAGCGGCGCGCCAGATGATGGGAGCTAACGCAGGATACAGTGTACGACACGTCGTCGCCAAGGCGGCGCTGGTCTTGTCTGAAACGACTGGGAATGAGATAATAACAGCTCTGAAGAGGCACAAACTGACGGATGCGTGTGAGTCTGAATGGGTTGATTTCAGTGTGACATCATACACAGGTTCAAGTTGGATCGTCCACTGCGAAGGCCAAGTCAGAGTTATCTCTTCGATATCTGGACACCCTTGCGTCTACCCGAGCCACCCACGCCAGGTCACTCCAAGCCATTTCTACCATTGCCTATCCGAGGCTGGTATTAATCTAGGACCTTCATTTAATAGGCTCCAGGATGTGTCTTCCGCGGTTACCGAGTGTCAAGCCACAGCTAATATCACACCCATCAGCGCCGATCAAAGCATGGCTTACGCCCTCCACCCAGCCGTAATCGATGCTTGTTTTCAGCTTGTCATTATGGCCTCGGTACGGGGCATAGGTCGCCTGCTCTCTAAGACCTGCCTCCCTACGCGCCTTGAGCGTGTTGATATCCTTCCCAGCAGTGAAGTACTGCGAGCATCAGCCCTGGTGTCTCAAGGCAACGAGTCTACCACTGTGGAGTGCATGGCCGATGACCGACTCGTTCTGAAACTTAGAGGACTCCATCTAAGCAGCCTCGGTGACGATCTCGGGGTTGAAAATGCCGATATCCACGCCGCCGCAAGACTAGAATGGGTGCCTCATCTCGACTTTATTGATCCGGGACCGCTGTTAAAGCCAGCAAATTTCAGTCAAGGAGAGGTTGAACTGATTGAGGAGATGACATTTTTATGTATGCTCGACACTCTGGAAAAAGTGGAAGACCTCGTGCCCGCGCACACACACTTTTACAAATATCGGGAGTGGCTACGGCGTGAGGTCTCGGAGGCGGCGAGTGGTGGTAATAAGCTGGTGCCTCATGCGCCGTGGCTGTTTGAATGCATCCTAGCGAGCGCTCTCAAAGGTACAAGACGCATTTTCTAGGCTTATGCGCATGGAGAAAAAGGCCTTACCCAGGGGCTAAAGCGCATCTTTGACAGCTGCGCTCAAGTCTTCACGGGAGAACTCGAGGCCATCGACGTTCTCACGGAAGGCGGCGTACTAACCGATTTATACAATGTGGTGAGCTTCGAATTCAGCGGCTTCGTTCGCCTAATGTCCAACACCAGGCCAAAGCTTCGTGTGCTTGAGGTTGGTGCCGGAACTGGAGGAACGACAGAACTTATCCTTCGCGATCTGGTCAAGGGCGGCCTACCTCAGTACTCGGCTTATACCTTTACCGACATATCCGCCGGATTCTTGTCTCGGGCCAGAGAACGCTTCGAGTATGCCCCAAACATGGACTACCAGATTCTAGACATCTCAAAGGACCCGGTCGGTCAAGGGTTTGATACCTCTTCCTATGATCTCATCATCGCCGCAAATGTTGTACATGCGACCCCATCTTTGCATGAGAGCCTTTTGAACCTTAACAAGCTTTTAAAACCGGATGGCACACTTCTCCTCACCGAGCTCTGTAGCGAGCTACGCGTCCCAGGGTACATCTTTGGAACATTTTCCGGCTGGTGGCTAGGAGGTGACGACGGTCGTGAATGGGTTCCCTACGTACCCGTCCCGCGATGGGACGAAGAGCTCAAGATGGCTGGGTACGTGGGCGCTGAAACAGTCGTATATGACCAGGCAGCCCCTTATACCTGTTGCACTGCGATTATCTCACGCAAGCTGTCACCCAAGCCGGATTCTCTCAGAGAAGTGACAGTTCTTTCACACGACCCCGAGTCAGGAGCGGCACTTGTGATCAAGCAGGCCCTGGATAGAGAGGGAATATCTGTCAGACACGCTTCGATCGAACACGACTTTCTGCCGGACCAAGACATGGTATGCTGTTTTGATCTCGAAACAAACTACTTCAAGGACGTGTCGGAAGCAGAGTTCCACAATTTTCAGGCATTCGTTCGGAAGCTCAAGTCCACCCGGCTACTTTGGCTAACCAAGCCCGCGCAAGTCGAATGTAAAGACCCATGGGCTGCTTCGTCTCTTGGAGTGGCCCGAACCCTACGCTCCGAGCTTGAAGTACCCTTGTACACTCTGGAGATTGATCCCGAGGAGGCGAACTTTCCCAACATGGTATTACAGGTGCTCGAGAAAATACGACGGGATGCAGGCGATGATACTTTAGACCCTGACAAGGAGTTTGCCGTTTATAATGGAAACCTATGTGTCGGGAGATACCAGCCTTTCTCCGTGCTTGATGAGACGACTCAAGTAAGCTCCGAGAGAGTTGATAGTATCGTTGGCCTCGGACTTGGCAACCGAGGTTCACTCGAAACACTGCAATGGGAATTGCGGGAGCCTCACCATATAATCCCAGATGACTCGGTGGAGGTTGATTGTCGGGCGGTTGGCCTTAATTTCCGAGATGTTCTCATAGCAATGGGAATCATGTCGAAGAACTCGCCAAGCTCGGATCTTGGAATGGAATTTTCGGGCATCATTCGACGGATTGGTTCGAATGTCCAAGGCTTACGGATTGGTGACAGAATTTTCGGGCTTTCTCCGGAAGGCTCGTTCAAATCTCGGGCGGTTGTATCGAGTGGGTTGGTGAGAAGGATCCCTGACACGCTTAGCTTTGAAGACGCTGCTGGCATACCGGTGGCATTCACGACAGCCTTGCACAGCCTTTGAACCTCGGCCGCTTGGAACGGGGACAAACGGTTCTCATCCATTCGGCGTGCGGTGGCGTCGGAATGGCGGCGATACAAGTTGCCAAACTGGCTGGTGCCGAGATCTTTGCGACGGTAGGTGGCGACCATAAAGTCGAGTATCTGATGCGCAAGTTTGGTATCCCCCAAAGCCATATTTTCAAGTCTAGAGACGATTCATTTTACGATGGGGTAATGCGAGAAACAAAGGGCCGCGGGGTGGACGTCGTACTCAACTCCCTCTCCGGGGATCTCTTGCACGCGTCCTGGCGGTGCGTCGCGCCGTTTGGCATCTTGGTGGAGATTGGCAAGCGAGACCACATGGAAAATGGAAAGCTGGACCTGGGGCCCTTCTTGGCCAACCGGACATATTCTTGTTTCGACGGGAAGGAGTTTTCACTGCAGCGGCCCGAAGTCATGGGAAGGTGAGTTGATCCAACATCGGGCTCCCCGATTCAAAAAGGCCTTGGGAGAGAACCCGACATACTAATCTTGCACAACTTAGGCTGCTCGAAAAGTACTTGGGATTGTACGAGCTTGGTATCTTGGGCGCAATGCCAGAAGTTCGAAATTTTGATGTCAAGGAGGTGGAGCAGGCGTTCAGGTGGCACCAGGACGGCCAGCATATTGGCAAAGCGGTGGTAAGTATACCGCAGCAATTCGATCTCGAACACCTCCGGGCCGCTCCGTCATCATCACAAACTCTGAAGTTGGATCCAGAGGGCAGCTACCTGCTCACGGGCGGGCTCGGGGGCCTTGGGAGGACAACAGCCCGCTGGCTCGTAGAGAGAGGTGCCCGCTCGTTGACATTTTTATCGAGAGGGGCACAAAGCGAAAACAACACTCATTTTATCCGAGAACTCGGTGCGATGGGATGTCGGGTAACTGCAGTCTCGGGGTCTGTAGAAAGACTCGAAGATGTCCAAGAAGCTCTTACGCGGTCGCATGCGCCGGTCAAGGGGGTATTCCATATGGCAATGGTTCTCGAGGTAAGAGCGCGTGTACTAACAGCATATCCCCGTATTCTTAGGAACATAGTGTTAACTTTGAGGCTTCTCTTTCTTCAGGATGCGCCATTCGTGGACATGACTTGGGCACAATGGAATGCGGCAACTCGGCCCAAGATTGACGGCGCTTGGAACTTGCATACCGCGCTCATTGACCAAAAGCTCGACTTTTTCTTTCTTGCAAGCTCTGTTGTGACTACCACTCATAGCCCAGGACAAGGAAACTACTGCGCAGCCAATACGTATCTGGAGGCATTGTGCCAATACCGGCAAGGTCTCGGCCTGCCAGCGTCTGTCTTGGGTATATGCCCAATTCGCGGGGCCGGCTTTGTCGCAAGCAGCGCCAGAGCGCAGCGCAATATGAAGGCACAGGGTCTCTACAGCTTAAACGAGCAAGCGTATCTCGACTTTGTCGAGCACTCGCTGTTATCCAACACGTGCCGTGCTGTCATCGCGCCAGAGTCCTCTTCTCAGTCGTTTTCTTCGTGGAAGAACGAATCCCACGTGGTGATGGGGCTCCGCTCGGAGCTCGATCTGCAGGACCCCAACAACAAGACAAACTGGCGGAGGGATAGGCGGATGGGGAGCTATCATAATGTGCGCAATAATACTGTAAAGGAGCTGTCGTTGGATGCAAATGAGCTCAAAATGTTTCTAGACAGGGCTGCGCAGGAAGGAGAGGCACTTTTGCTGTCTCAAGAAGGTGCCCACTTCCTGGCAGCGGAGATTGGGCGCAAGGTGTACAACATCATGTTGCGGCCGGAAGGCGAGACGGCAAACGTGTCGGCGAGCCCGGCCGAGCTAGGGGTGGATTCACTGATGGCCACGGAGCTCAGGAGATGGTTTCGGCAGGCGTTTGGACTCAAGATCAGTGTGCTGCAGATTCTCAGCGCGGAGTCGCTCGAACAGCTGGGGCGGACGGTGGGGGCGGGCTCGCTGAGAGTGCGGCGGAGAAAAAGTGAGTAGAGGTGAGGGCTCTAGAGAAGGACGAAGAGGAAAACATGGGGTGATTGTGTGAGCGCGGTGTAAGATCGAGGAACGACTTGATGATTTCACTTCGCACGCACGGGAAGCATTCCTTTGTCTCTGGACGCATTTCATAGCCTTTCTCTTTTTTTCTCTTTTTTTTTTTTTTTTTTTCTTTTCTTCGTTTTTCTTTAGTTTGCTATACCGAGGTATATGACCGCAATTTACACACACTACCATCGGGACTTTTGATAATTATTCACTGCTCTGCCTACTGATGATGCCCGGGAGGAGGGAGCAGGAATATAGACGAAGGACTTCCATCTCGTATGTTGAACTCACAGTGCGATTGTCTACAGGGTGATGTCACCTGCACAGTCCAACGACGCTAACCGAAAATATAGGGTTTGTTGATATCCATGTTGATATCCATCAATGGATGGATTCATGGATCCATGGATCCAATGGGTTCACGGCGATTAGATCATTTGGACAGACTACTTCGGAGGTTGTTGGCGCCCTTACGCCCCTCTTGCCCCTCTTGCCCCTGTCGCCATCAATGACTCTTGTGTGATCTGTGCAAGCCGTGATCGATCAAGTGGTTTCTGTGGATTCCGTGTGAGCGAATCAGAGGGAGTGCCCTGAACGCTGGTTGCCTTTGCCGTGGTTCCTAGTGGTTCCAGTTTTCCAGGGTTTCAAAGGTTGGGCACAGCCAGCAACGAAAGTGATCAATGATGCCCCGCCCCCACTAGTCCCGGGGCATGTGCACATAATTGATCCACGGTCGCAAAGGATTGAGTTGAGGGTCGCAGATATGGATCACTGATGCAATGTTTTTGCCAGGTCTAGCCCAACCAGCTTGCCAACCTACCGGCACTAGCGCAAGGAAAGGACGCCAGCATTTGTTTGTTTTCCCCTTGCTTCTCTTCAACGGCGCCCAAGGAAGGCTTCACCGTCTTTCCCTCCTGCCGTTTGTTCGTCCAGTCAACCCGAACACGTCTTGGTCCGGACTCTGCTGAGCACTCGCTTCTTTCCTCGTTGAGTCACGCCGTTCGAATTGCTCTTCTCTTAAATCCACGCGTTCCCTCTTGCTTCTCAGCTCAGGTGCCCCGCCGAATCATTTCATTTCATTTTTTTCTTTTTCTTTTTCTTTTCATTAGTTCTAAGAGAGTCGTCGAAATGGCGGGAGATCATGCTCGAGAAGTGCCCAAAGTCAGCGATGCAGTGAAGAGTGCGCATGTCCCCCGTCAGAGCCGTTAACCCCAGGCTCCTTTATGCGACCGCCGCGTTGGGACTGCGCTAATCACGTACCTTGCGATATAGACCTTGGCTTCGCGGCTACGGCCAAGATCGATGGAGATTGGAGCGTTGAGAGAGTGCTCGACCAAGTTTCAGACGGGCCATCACTCGCCACCGGATCAACGTCCCCGTTGCCCTTCTTCCACCTTCTCGAAAGACTCAAGACGACGCAGAGAGAGGGATGGAGGCGGTTTGGGATCTCGAGGTGCGTGAATGGAAACCAGAGGGGCGCCAGAGACTGAAAAATCCAAGTCACGGTGCCACCACGTTGGACCTGGTCCCCGTGGGGTTCTACTAGGGCTAGCGGGGACACTACGGGCAAGAAATGCTAACCATGCGTTTTATTCTCAGCTGCGAGTCGATTTCCGACCACATGTATCGCATGTCGATCCTCACTTTTATGACACCTCCCGCACTCGCCGCCCGCATCGATGTCAACAGGTGCATCAAGATGTGCTTGATTCACGACATGGCAGAGTCCCTAGTAGGCGACATCACCCCGGTCGACGGTGTGGCCAAGCCAGAGAAGAATCGGCGCGAGGCGGCTACGATGGACTTTATTAGCTCCGGTCTGCTCGGAAACGTGTACGGCGGAGTTCCCGGCCGCGAACTGCGCGAGATCTGGCAAGAGTACGAAGACTCGCAGACGCCAGAGAGCCTGTACGTCCACGACATCGACAAGATGGAGCTTTTGCTTCAAATGTACGAATATGAAAAGAGGGGCAATCACGAAATCGACCTCGGGGAATTCGCCTACGTTGCGACTAGAATTACCCTCCCCGAGGTCAAGGAATGGGCCGATGAGCTGCTCAAAGAGCGAGAAGCCTTTTGGAGCGAGCGGGAACACGTGCAAGGAAACAAAGGCGTGGATGGTGGTGTTGAAGATGACGTGAGGCAGCAGCAAAACGAGTATTACGAGAATGAGTGAAAGGAAGGGAAAGGCGCTTTCATACCTTAGAGTAGATGCGGATGTGGATGCGGGCGACCGCTGCAGGGCTTCTCCCATCCATTTACGACGACTTTTTATCATTAACAGCGGCACTATTAAAAACCTTTGGGTCTTAGAGTTTGTCGGTTTTGTGTGGCCCACGATCCCAGTCTTGACTATGACTGCATTCATCAGCGCTCTTTTTGTTGTCGAGTCACTAATGGCGGGCGAACCTCATCTCGCGGGGAAAAGAAAAGGAGAAAGAAATGGCATTTGATCCGGATATCGACAGCCCTGGTCATTGTTTTCGGTGCGTTGGAAGAAAAGGATATGATAAGAGGCTTGGTATTATCAAACGTCTTGTCTTCTTCCATAACATCAAAACAACATTCCGCGCCAAAGACGCGTTGGATCGCGGGCATTGTGAGCAGCTTTATTCTGCAACATTTTAGATGGGCACATGCCGTCAAAGTCGGCAAAATAGCCTGTTCTTTGAGGAATTGATGACGGGCTTGATAAATTCCATGCGCAAGGTACATCGTACCTGGACTGCTCGGACTTGCCCCAGACTGTTGCGCCACGTGAGGCGGGGACACTCGGAGCAAGACGATGGGGTCCAGGTATTTGTGACAACGTTGAATTTGTTGGAGTCAATATTGATTTAGGAGCACTTGACTTGTTGTTGAGGTTGGCCTGGCAGTCGTTCGTGTGGCATGTGGTGACTTCCTTCCTTCGGAAAGTACCTTGTACCTGGGTAGAGGCTTCAAAATGCAGAACGTGCAGGTGACCCCGGGGTCGTGATACTTGCAAGGTACATGCACTTCACAAGAGCCGAGCAGGGAAGAAGAAGGAATAGAAGAAAAAACACCCGACAAGAGAGGCAACAATGAGAGTGTCTCCTCACCTCGCCGAGTTGCAGTAGCGCGACCACCGCCCTGCACGTCTAGGCCCTTGTCCACCGCACCTTTTTTCGCCCAAAGGAAATCAAAGGTCACCTGGCCCAAAACGCACCTGGGGAAGGCTGTCGGACAAGGCCAGCGACAAAAGACTAGTGTAGAGGGGAACTTCTTTCACCCTCTCTCGCTTTGCAAAACCCACCGGGCAGCGAGGTCTTTATTCGTCTCGTTCGTTGTGTGGAATCGCGAGGGATTCTGAACAGGATATATAATCCGGTCCGCGAGTACGTCATTCGAGGAGCTGCGTCAAGCACGGAACGCAGAGGAGACAAGGCGAAAAAAACTTCGTCATTGGACAACGCATCGATCCGCGCAGCTTATCAGATCTGAGCTTCGCAGGCTTGTTTTCGGGTTCGTTTTTATCATACTCTCCGACCTCCAGGAATTAACGAATAGGGTTCCTCGTTCTACTCGCCAACGAGGGCTCCGCGAGCCTCGACTTATCAACCCTCGCGAGTTGACCGACTTCGAAACTTTTTTCGACCTTTCGTCCCCCGCCTCTAGCCGATCCGAGACACCGAGACGATTCGAAACCATGACTTACTCAACCCAATTCCATATCCCTGGAAGTTTCGTCGATCACCCGGTAGCCGTCTCGGGCGCCTACCCGGATGTTTTCCGACCACCCACATCTCCGTCAGCGTCGAGCTCCGCCTTCCTGGCCAAATCTGCGACAGTCGGGCTGACGGGTGCCGACTCGCTAGTAGCAAATCATGCGGCGAAGAGAAAGCGCGGACCCGAGCGCGACACGAGAGAAAACACGCCGGCGAGGGACTGGAACGGCGCGACGTCGACATGGGATGGCGATGCCAGCAGGAGATATATGCTAGCGGGCCAGCTCGATACCCCGGGTAGCGGACGCCCCTCGGCCGTTGTGGAAGCCGGCGGCATTAATGTAGGCAGGGGCGGTGTAGACGAGGGCGCGGCGATGGAAGAGAGCGTATACTCGGACGTGGGATATCGGCGCGCCCTCGCCCCCGACTACGACACAATGATGGACTCGCCCAGCGGCCTCTTTGGCCCCATCGCCATGCCACAACCTCCGACACCCTCCTCTGCCGGCTGGAGCCGGTTCGCGCTAGGAGCGATCGGCGGAGTCGTAGGGAAGGTCTGGGAATTCTGCAAGGCGGGCGCGTTCAAGGGGTTTATAGCGGGAGGCGGAAAGGGGTATGTGGTGGAGGGGGCACACATCACCGAGCTACCCCCGACATCGGGCTAGAACCCGCCGAGCCGGTTATGGACGGTAGCCATCTAGTGCCTGGCGGCTTCCCCGGCCACGAATACGGCTCCCTTACCCCAGCGTTCCAGCCTTTGCCACCACACCCGACTCAACACCATCGCGGCCGGCCGCGAAGCGCAGACAAGTCCGCGAAGTGAGAAACGAGGATGATCTTGGACGCAACTGGGTCATTGTTGGTGATCCGACGGGCGAGCGTCGGCGGCGGACCACAACAGGGGGCGTATGGGAATGGGACTGCCGGCGGTGCCCGTTCCTCCCACTCCCGGCGTTCCTCTCGCAACATGTCTCCTTCGGTAACTACCGGACGGAGAATCAACGTCCCGGTCCCCCGCCTCAGCACCGCAACCACCACTCCTGCCTTTTCCCGGCGACATTCGCACCGCGTCTCGCACGTGGGCTCTCCCTCGTACTCCAACAGGGAGCCAGCCAGCTACGCGAGTCCTCGCCCGGCATCGCGGCTATCTCCCTCAGCTCCACCACCACCATCCTCATCATCCTATATGCCTCTTTCCCCTTCGAGGATCCCCGTGCCCTCGGCAAGGCTATCTTCATCCCAACCAGGCCAGGGCCATCGACGGACGAATAGCTCAGCCTCGGCCGCTTCGCCCCGGCAAGCGTCGTTCCGAACAGAACCGTCAGCAAGAGCCAAGAGCCAGATGAACGGTGCGATAGCCGGTGCGCCGATGCCGAGGCTCGACCCGGACGCGATCGAGTCGAGTCCACGCCTGGATCCGAGGCAAAGGAACTCGCGACGAGGAAACTACGAGAGGAGAGGGACGCGGACTTTAGGATAGCGGCGTTCAATGCGCGGTTACGAGACATGATTAGGGAAGGGAAAGAGGCCCTCGGGACGAAAGTAGAAGTGGAGATTGAAGGGGACGATGGCGGATGGTTAGACGAAGACTAATGCTGGGTGAGGGGATGCACCATTTTTTGGGAGATGAGATTAAGCGATGCGGCTTGAGAGGAAGGGAAGAGAAGGGGGAAAAAAGATTGCAAATGGCCAGTCTTGCCTTGATTCATTTTCTTGGGATCTATACCTTTACGAACTTTAAATATGGGGTTTATAATCTATGATATCTTTATGCCTTTTACTTTACTGAGGCTGGAATCGCAAACGAGATGAACTTCGAGATCTAGAACACCGGAGGAAAGACCTATCACCATCTATACCGATACCTACTGTCCTGCCTTTTTTCTTTTTCTTTAAAAAGACCCGGAAACCCAGGGATTGAAAATTTGAGAAAATGCTCCAACACAAGGACGACGCAATCACTAGAAAGAACGCCCGGCAAGGACGTAGCGTTTCACTCTGCAGTTGTGATGGCCGCGGCGCAGCACATCCCGAGATGAATAAAACAAGGAAAACGCGAGTCCTCTCATACATGTACGCAGCGTAGCGTAATTGCGATCGATTAGCATGCCTTGGATATCTAAGAAATGTAAAGTTGTCGCCAGGTGACGATTCCGCACACCCCCTGTTGAGTGTTCGGTGTCACTATAGAGGTTTCTCCCTGAGTTAGGTATAGGAAGATAGCGGTGTCATCTCCTTATTACCTTGCTTCGAGCTGCACATGCGATTTAAATTTAGTCGACCGTCCTGCCTGGACCATCCCGTCGGGGCCGTTGGGTACGCGGGGCCGGGGCGCGAGCGGGCGCGGGGAAGGCGTCTCCACTCGGCAAGGTGGGGTTTCACGCCGATCCCAAGGAGCGTTGGTCCGGCGAGGGAGAGACACACGGTCACGGCAGCATTGAGCAGGGTTGGACGATCTTATTGACAGGTCGCAACGCACGCGCGTCTGTTTAATATTGATGGTTTCTAAATGGAGACCATGTGCATCGTGGCGAGGTGATACCCTTGGATCGCAGGGATGGAAAATATGTGCCCCGGAAAGAAAAGCCACCAAGCAGGAGACAAGCCACAGCCCTGAAGGGGGAAAGGGAGCCCATCCAGATGATTTTGTTCGCCTTTTCTCGACGATACTGTATTCACGGACAATCAGGATCGACGTTGCTTCACACACTGCCCTTGTTCCTTTCATTGAGGCCTTAGTCACTTGACATGTCCTACATCTGCTGGGCTGGAATGTCGTAAGCTGCATGGCAGTTGTAGGTCTCCCCACATTCGATTTAGAAGAATGATAGGGTAAGTAGGGGCCCGGCAAGAATCTTGCCTCAAGGCTGGGGAAGAGTGACCGCTTCCTACTGTGAAGGAGAAGCGATGCACTTGAGGGATCAACTTCCACCCACCTCATCACAGCTCCCACAATGCACGGCCACTCACACCTTCATGCGCCCACACGGATGAAACTAGATAATGGGGGAGGAAACCCCGGGCGACAGAGAAGTCAACTGAGCAGACAGGCGAGGAAAGAACGGAATAGAGAAAAAGCGATACAAGGCCTACGCGTAGACTATGACAGCGAGTTGGCTGAGAGAGCAAGTGGGTAGGGGGCCTAGTCCCGAAGGCGAGCCTTGGGTGCCCACCATCTAGAAACCGTTCATTGACCATCGGCTCCGGGAAATCTGCTCACCATCAGCTCACCATCTCGTGTCTACTCAAAGGAGCGCGACGTTGAAAGTGTAGGCGGAGAGAGGGGAGGTATGGCATTCACCCAGCCACCGAGAGGTGATGGATTCGCGCTGATTGGTACCAGCGCAAAGATGGTGTGCATCAAGTCAGTCAGCGCCGCAGGCACGGCGAGGTCCAGTGGGCAGGATGCGAATAAGGTGCGGCTGGCCAGAAGCTCCCAAGCGATTTCAATTTCCTTTTCTCTTCACGTGTTGTTCCTACTCGTACATCCTAGCTCCCTTCGTCAAGCCACCAAGGCCAGCCAGTGGCGATAGGTTCATCCATGGATCCAATCTGGTTCCATCCTGATATGAAGGGGTTGGTGCCACAAAAACGATTGCGGTGAAGAAGACGGACAACAAGTCCCTGCACCCACCACTTACACGGAAGAGAAGCAGCGCACCCACTGACCAAAAAATGGGTGGCGCTAGGTTGGTATGTGACTTGTTGAGTAAAGAGAGGGGAGAGGGGCAAACGGGGAAGCAGGAGCTGGGGTAAACAGAAAGAAAGAAAAAATTCAACTGGTGGAACTTTGCATTGCAGGCAAGATTGAAGAAATAAATTAATTGCTCAGGAGACCAGCAAGCTTGGCCTGATTGAGAGATGAGGGATGGGGAGGCAGTTAATATATTCTTTGCGGCGATATTCATTTGGATAAATTGCAAGGACCATGCTGAGGGTTGCATGGGACCACAGAACTCGCGGGGACCGCGCCCGTCTTCTTCAAGCGTATGCCGGAGCGAATGAACGAGTAGGATAGGATGAAGAGATGACCACCATTCGCCGTGAATAAGCCTATTGCATGAATTTTCGACTCGTCCCTGATTTCCGTTCTTTTCATCCTTCGTCGACCTCTTTTCCGGTTCTTGGGTGAGACTGGAGGTTCTTCAGCCCCCAAGCGGTTCTTCATGCTTCTTCGCCAGGGTGCGCTGTCATCTGGACTTCTGTCACACAACATTACCTGAGGACTATCATTCTCCATGCTCATCCACCTGATGGATATCTACCAAAAGTGGATACTGCGGCGTCGAGAAGACTCAGCGACGAACAGGTGGTGGAAGCGCGGGAAGCTATCACGGCACTCAACGATGAAGTCGTGCGGGGTGTGGCCCCATCACTTTCTTTTGCCTTGTTTTTTTTTTTCTTCTCTTTGATCATATAGGGTTTCCCCTTTCTATAGTAACTTTGCTCGTCGAGCCACCCATCATCATAGTAATACACCCCAGAGTTTGACCAATTTGACCTTTGAAGTAAAGGAAATTGTAGGGTGCGGTAACAGGCTCCCTCCCTTCTTTGACACCGTGCTTTCCTCGGAAGCTGCGGAAAGCGAGATGAAAAGAATGATTCCCCAAGGGGCTTTGACTGGCCCAATTTAGCTTGTCAAGTAACTAGTCTTTGGGGACGGAGCCGGACCAAGATTGACGAACCCTCTCGTCTTATTTTTAGCAGGTAGCTTACCACCTAAAAGAAGAAAGACCGGGAAACTTGGATCCCATGTTATAAGCAGCATTTTGAATCTGGGGAGCCACTCGGCCCAATCTATGGTAAGGTTGGATCCTGTGGAAGACGGAGTCAACCGATAAAGTGTAGTTCAATGGCTCCTCAATCCCTGAAGGAATCGATCGAGACCCTCGGCTGGGCCTGTCGATCTTTGAGGTCTCCCCTTGTGCCTTGAATTCAAGACCGTGTAGCGCAGCCCACTCCACGGCGGTGTGGTGTGCTGAGGTGCCTGGCACATCTTGTGACAGAACTTTGCTGCTTGGCCTTCCCTCGCCCATCCTACATGGTATGCGGGGGCCGGTCTTGGGTGGGCGGAGGCCGCCCCGCCGGTTGCTGGTTGGAGAAACCTCCTTCATCTCGTGTACTACTCAGGAACGAACGGCGAATGCGCAACCCCACAACTTCTTCCCTCTTCCGATTTTCAACGGTGCGCGGGGCCTGGTCCTCGCTAGTTAGGACTCGGCTGGTCCGCCTGCCAATATTTCGGCAATGATTGAGCCATACCTACCGTGCAGACCGCATGGTTGGCAACGGCAGGGATTCGTGGCTCGCCAAAAGAGCAAGAGGCGGAGAGAGGTGCAACCTTCGGCGAATGGCAACGGTGGGTGGCCAACGGCGAACGGCGAATGGCGAGTGGTGATGGCGGACCACTTTTGTGCTCTTGCTTCATTTCCCTACGGGGTGGGAAGAAGAGGGAAAGGCTCGGTCTATGTCTCTGCTTGTCCAGCCTTTCTCTTTTCTTCTTTTTCACCAAAGGGGTGGCGATGACTGGGAGCTACCTGCAGGAAGGCAAGATATTGCAGGCTGAAAACCCGGGTTCGCTTACTATGCCACCATTGCGCTTTATCGATTCAAGTCGCTCGTCGCGTGGGTGCGGACGTGCAGGTGGTGTGCAAGTGTGTGGGGTTGGGGGCTTCAGGACCGTCGGCTTCGAAGTGCGTCATGGTGGCTCGCGGATTGGGACGTCTTCTGTTGACCCCATCCCGGCTTATTATTGCAGGTATTGCTCGTGCAGCTGGAGCTTGCAGAAGATGGTTCGCTTCCACGGCGAAAGGTGACACGACAACGCCGAGCCTTTCCGTTAGTCTGCTGTCTTGCAAATTGGGAGTCGGCTTTCACCCTTGCTCTTCCGAACTTTTGGTCCCCGCTCGCGTACGTTCCTGTTCCCGCCCGTCATTTTTCAACCTAGACCATATTCCTTATCCCTGCGCCCGGAATTCTTCACTGCGATGGGCCCCTTGCTTGCCCGGGAGTGCCGACTTGAAGGCGGGCTAGGTCAGACTTCTGGCCAGTATCACGACCGTGAGCCAGAAAGGGGGTGGAGTTAGGGACATTCGCCCCCGGGATGCTGGCCATTTCGCGAAATCAACAAATGCGCCGTCGAGGACGCGTTGAAAATGGAAACCCGGGATTCACTAGCGCCGGTGTCCCAATCTTGCGTGACCATGGGTTCGCTGACGGACAAGAATAGCTCATGAGTTGAGGTAGATGCTGAGCCTCGCGAGCTTGTAAATAATAGCATTGGGAGAAAGAGAAAGTTCAGATTTGATTAGAGCCGCTCAAGGCCCTTGGTGGCCTGGTCGGCTACGAAGCGCCTTGGTCCATGGGCCCTTGAGAACGGGGTCATTGAAGAGCCCTGGCTACTTGCGCCTAGTACCGAACTTTTCTTGGTGTATATGGGCTGTCAGAATGCTGTTGGATTGGCGAACGGTTGGCAACGATGTGCTCTCGTTGCGGGGGCTTTTACGCCAACCTATCATCTCCAGTATTGAATCACTGCACCGTGCCTGCATCTCTCTCCTAGCCATTCCCGCTCCTGTGTTTTACTTCTCATACCTTGTCTTTCCCCATACGTGTAGTTCTCAACAGACTCACAACTACAGAATTGAATTGTTGGAAAGCGAAATAGGGCCATTTTGAGGCAGAAAACAGAAGGGAAGAAAAAAGCCGTTGCCTTCGTTGACCCGATATGCGTGTACTCGGCGTCCTTGGCGTGAGGGAGCGTTCGTTCCATTCAAATGGGTGTACTCTGGCCTAATACGTCACCACCCAATCAACCCAAAAGAAGTTAGTTTCAGTATCTAAATATAACACGAGAGCACTCAAAAGTCATTTACATCAAATGTAGCTTCTGCCGAAAATCACCATGGTTACTTCCCAATTTGAGTGGTGGCCGATGCGGGCTTTTTTCTTCCTTTTCTTTTTCCTTTTCTTTTTTCCATTTTTTCCTTTTGGGGAAGCCTCTCTTCCGTTTCTTTTTCTCTTTCTTTTTTTTCTCTCTTCTCGTGACTTGTGATGGTTCGTCGGGTGGTTAAGCTGGAATTGTGAACTTGGATCCATCCGTGTAAGTGCTCAGGTCCAAGGTCACTGCAAAGTTCTGCCCGTTTTATCCGCGCCTTATGACACGCCCACCCTTTTCGCCCTGTCCGTGGTGACTTCCCCCTCGTCCTATCTTGCCGAGGAAGAAAACTTAGACGTGAACCGGGTGTTTTGGAGGGATTCTCCTTCCCTTTCTCTTTCTTCAAGTCGGTTGATCTCGCCTGCCTCATGCGTTGTTCCCGACATTCTTCAACACCCGCTGCATGTTATGGGGAGGCTATGGCCTCCAACATATCGGGCCACCTCTTGTCATAATTGGGGACAAAAATGCGTTGATTGATCCATTACAATGGATGTCGAACTTGCACAGTCCATTTTACCACACGCCTCCTATCTACACCAATTCCCACTAATACGGGACATGAAGAATGCTAAAGTATTCCGAATAAACCCCCAGTCGATATTGGAGTTTTCAACTCCCATGCCGTCGATTCATCTTACAATTATCATTGATCAAATGTATTCTTAGAATCGCCCTACTGACCACAATTGCCACCGGTATTGCCAGAGGCCGTCCGGCCGGGCCCCTCCAGATTGCTGCCCACCTCCCTTGTCCTAGCATTCTAATCGTTGGGTAAGCCGGGCGGCACAACCGCGTAGTAGTCTCTGTGAAGGTCTGAATGAGTGGGGAGATCAACCACACTGGATGGGTTCATCTAAAAGGGACAGGGAGGGCGAGGAATGGCATGGCGTAGAAAAGCTGGCTGGCAAATACTGACCGTAATACCGCGCCGCTCCTATTCTTGAACCAGCCCAGTCTTCTGACCCAGGGATGTGGAGATTCCCGGCCGGTTCAATCCAACGGCACACGCTGTCCCCCTTCTTTGCTCCAGAGCCCAGGGCAATTTGGGTTGAGAAAGCTCCCCGTCAAATCTCGGTGGTTCACTGTGAAGCTAATTATCAATTACGAGGACACCTCTAAGGGCCAAGTATCTCCCTTCCCTGAAAGGGATGGGATGGCTGAATCAACCTATGATGTGTGGTCTTCTTGGGTCAACCCATCTCGCTTTTGCCCCCATTCTCACTCCCTTTTTTCTCTTCTCTCTTTTTCTCCCGCCTTTACATCTGGATCCTTTTGCTCTCTCTCATCTCTAGTGCCACCCTACTCCAAAAAGAGGTACCGCATTCAATGTGATCGAAGGCTTGGGCCCAAGACTTACCAAGGCCGCAATAACTCTTCATTCCCGTTACCACCCCACCACGTCAACCAAACTACCCACCCCGAACCGGCCCACACACACACACACACTCACACACACACACACACTCACACACACACACACACACACTTTCTTCGACTCCCCTCAATCCATGCCAACTCTCCCGGATTTTTGCATTCTCTGGCTCACTCTCAAAATAAAAGGGAGAGACAGCAAAAGGTAAATTTGGATCCGTCCATACAGACGATTTCAGCCCCGGTCAGACTAGACACCCCGACACACCACACCCTGACCTTGCCTGGCCATTCTGCATTCTGGTCCTCTGCGAGCAGCCGTGCCCGTCTAGATCCGGGTCCAAGTCCCTGGCCAGTCCCTATCGCCCTTTCTCTCCCCACACCCTCTCCAGTCGCATCAGCGATATATATCCGCGTCCCCAACCACAACCCTTTTCATCTGCCATCTCCCTCTTCTCCTGGTCCATGCAACCCTTTTCCAAGAACCTCGAAACATCATCTGCTCACCAGTACTACCCTCCCTACCTTGCGATACATTCCACAGTGTAGTTGTGTTGTGCCTTCCAAGCCCGAAGCTATCCACCCACTTCCTCCACCTAGCTCGACCCTGCCCAAGTCCAATTATACGCCTGAATTGCAGGAAGAGGAATTGACCAACCGATTCACCTTTGGCCAAAAAACGGGTCTACACATTCGCTCCTTCCCTTGATACAACGCGGCGCATCCACAGTCACACCTCGCCTTGTCATTACCTTTGGTCCCGGACATCCAACGGCACTTGTTTCCTTTCCTGGACGACACGACTCCACACAAGGTCGAGAGAAATTACATCTCCTTTTCTCAACTTCTCCTATAAGAAGGCACGACCCTCTCGATCTTTCCATTTCTACACCAAGCAAACATATCGACCTTGTCCACTCCATCAAACAACATCAAAAGACTTTTTCTTCTAAGTTCACCAAAGCGAAAGAGTTCTACCGTCACTCGTCAGCCTCACGCATATCCCTCAAGTGTCCACCACTCATCTCTTCATCTCTATTCACTCACACATAACCGAACTATCCACCATGCAGGTAAGCATCAGTCCATTCTAAAATGGTCACCCCTACATGGCCCACGCCGATGTCATTGTACGCCCATAGCTAACATGACCTTACCTAACTAGCTCCAAACTTGGACCATTGTGGCTACTCTGCTCGGCTCGGTGGCCGCCGTTCCGCTCGCAGCAGTCTCTGGCCGCGCCGTCGATGCTGATGTTGTTCCCAAGGGTTACGCCGTTGAGTGCAGATCCGAAGCCGGTACTAAGCTCTGCAAAGACAGCGACGAGGCCAAGGAGTTCCTCCAATGTCGGGGAAACGGAGAAGTCTTTGGTGTTGAAGGCTCCCGGTTCGAGTACTGCGCCCGGGACTGCACATGCGTAACCCTCAATGGAGCCTGCGGAAACCGAACCACCTGCTAAGATGTTTTCCCCAACTTGTTGACGCCAGAAGAGGAACAAAAGGAACTTTTTCATACACCCCAGGCGCGGGGTCAAAAGGAGCCTGCATTCAACGCACGAGGTGGAGCCGAAGAGGAAACCCCAAAGTCATAGGGTGTTGACACGTCATTGGTAGAGGCATGGGATAGCATGGTTTCGGACATGGAGTTAAAGGAGGTCGTTTAGGTGACAGTCCCTCGAGGCTCACCGCATATCATCATTGTTGTTACCATTCATCATCCGTGGTAGGGCGAAGCAAGCGAGCTTATGCCACGGCACTTTTCTTTCTTCTCTTCTTCTTGTTCCTTTTCCTCATGTTGGAGATTGGAACCCATCTTTAGGGATTGCATTTACGTTGCGCTGAGAAGCATCGGTCGCTGTATGAGTACGAACTGACGCGGAACACTTTCGTGTTGCATGATGAGCAATATACAAACCATCTGCAGTTAGACCTACCGTGCTATGTGATAATATGCTTTCCGTATGTCACTATCTTGCACCCAACGACTCTCCCCTCTAGCCAAAGTTCAACAGTAGCTTCTGCCGTGATACGAAGGGTTCTTGTTTGACTTGGTACACTGACGGCTCTGATACTAACCCTTTCTCGTGCTGGGAAGCATCCATGTTGCCCGCCTGTCTCCTACTCGCACGACCTCTTTGTCACCACGAGCGAGGAGGGCTGGCATGGTACTCGTGGGTTCCCCTAAACTATCGAAAGCAAGGCAATGTCACTACCCGCGCCGAACGGCCGGCAGTGGATGTGGCGTTTTCTACGTCTGGGGGCACATGGCGTTTGTTTGACGTGACAGGGTGCGTTGACACTCCCTCATCTAGGTGACCAACTAGAGGTGGACTTTAGAAGCGGCTGGCGCTTGTTTAGATTCTTCAGTGCGCCCAGTCCACGGTCCGGATGGGCTTTGAGTGGAAAGAAGGGGCATTGATGAGTATGGCGATCTCGAACTGCTGCGGTGTGAGGGGAGATGGCTGGCCGATTGGAGGTACAGCAGCTTCCTCAACATTTCTACAGCCGGTGCTCTCTCTTCTGCCTTTTCCCGCCTCTTTATCCCAAGGGAGGCTCTGGAAAGAGTGTGAATAGGCACACTCTTCGGGTCTCTTCACTCCGCAGGCGGTGTGGTCTCGAGTCACGATTCCCCATCCACTCCACAGGGTTGTTTATTGTAGCATTTCGGGGTACTAAGTTAACATGTCCTACAATAAGTTTTACGAGGCCACATGTTATGAGGAAACCATATCAGGGAATTCTGGAAACCTCTCCGCCCTCTTTTTGCCGTGATAACTGGCGTTCTCATCGCGGCGCTGTCAGGTGTTTAGGCCCATGGGACATGGGCACTGGCGTGAGATTGGACCCAGAGGCACGGCGCAGCGCACGCCCCACAACTCAATTCAGCCTTCAGCCCCTCAGGGCGCATATTTGCCGCGAGAGTGACAAGGGGGAAAAGAAAAGAAAAAAAAAAAAGAAAATGAGGATAAGAAGGGGCGACTCTCTTGCTGCCAAGGGTCCCAAAATGCTGCTTGCTCACACCCGCAAGCCTCAGCCCTCATTTCCCGAATTGGGAGAGTGAATAATACCGGAATATCTTCAATTTCCACCTTGGTCTGAAGATCGCTGCTTCTTCTTGCCACATTGAGGCGCTATTGCCGATTTCCCCTCCGTGGATGTCGGAACATTGCTGGCCACCGGCGCTGCGGCGGCGGGCGTTCCGCGGTTCTCGAGTATTGGTTCTTATTGCTTGTATTATCCTCGGTAGGTTGCCCAATGTATGCCGTCTCCAGGCAATAATTGATCTCCAAGTATTATTATTCTTCGAAGAGCTGGGAGAGATGCAGAAAGCATTGAGAAGTCTGGCCCCCTCCTAGGTCCCACTTTCAGAATTTAAGACTCGCAGCCTCCGCCCTATTAGATCCCCGTCAAAATCAATAGTCGCTGCACGTTAAATCTGGTGGCTCACGGTTCTTGTTGTTTGGCTGCTGGCCTTTTGGTGGCGAGACGAGTCCAGCCGCACCGCGCGAGCCACTCAGAGTCGCTTGCCAAGAGGCGCTATTCCCCAAATCGATGCGGTAGTCAACGACCATCGCCAGAGATAATGCTAAGACAATATTATGTGCCACTTTGAAGTGTTTCACGAGACAGCCCGGCCATCTGAGGTTCATGATTGAGATGTAGTACTTTCTTTCTTTCCTCTCACCTTGGCCACCCCCCTCTCCCCCTCTGACTTCTCAGGGTTAAGCTTGTTTAAGATGTGGGTACAGGGAACAGACAGCATAGACGAAACGAACGTCTAAGTGCGGAATTGGAAGGAGGCGAAGGGCAGTTGGCCTCGTCCGTGGGTGATTTCGACTGCCCGAGGTGCGCCAGGACCCTGGTTGGTGGCGCCGCCCTCACAGGAGAATATGGAGAGGAGTGCCCGCAGTGCGTGCGCCGCCTTCGTTTGAGGCTTGTTTTTCTTTTCTGTTTTCTAGTTGATGAGTAGAGTCCTTCTTCCTCTCTTCCTCTTTCCTTCTCCTGCCAGTCCAGTTTTTCCAATAGAGAACGTACGCTCTTACACGGGGGCATCTACCAGGTGTCTTCCAATTCGTCCTCGGCATAACTTGAGATTGGCTTGAACATCGTCACTTTTCGTGAGCACTGTATAGGGCCGTCGTGATTCTTTTCTTGTCACGGTTAGCCCATTCATTGCCCTCTCTGTCTTTTTCCTCTTTCCTCTTTCCTCTTTCCTCTTGTCGGATGGTCGCTGCAGATGGCATACCATCAGGCATCGCAACATGAGGTCCCCTCGATGATGGGACCCGCCCCTTCTCACCTAATTTCTCCTTATCCTCAGAATGGCAATGGGGAAACAAGCGACTATGAGCAGCAAAAGGGCTCCAGCGACTTTCGCAAGAGCCAGGTCTTGCCCGTAGACGCACCCACACAACCTTTGCCGAACCACAGACCCATCACTCTCAAGTGGCCCTTCCTTTGCGTGCTGATCGCCGTTATCATGGGCTACATGGCCATGACCGAGTATGCACTACAAACGCTGCCTGCTGAGACTGGGAGAGGGGAGATTGGCGCGTTTAGTGACCTCCCGGCGGGCCAGAGAAAGACCATCGAGGCTCAGGGCATCCCTTCGACCATCACCAGCTCGGTTAGCAGTACGGTAAGCATGGGTCTTGGGAGCTAGAAATCGAGGCCAAGGAATTCGGATGGTGATAGACGCGCTAACCAAGAGGGCTTATCTGAACCAAATCTAGATTGTTACTGTCACATCGGTCTCCAATCCTCAGAAGCGAGTTCCGCAAGAGAGCCCGACCCCGACACCGCCGCCGGCCGAGATTGGTATTCCAACTGAACCACCTGTAGAGCAGGATCCTAATGAGGGAACCCCCGATCCGGATCCCGGTAATGGCGGCGGGGGCGGAGGCGGGGGCGGTGGTGACCTGGTTGTCACAGCCTCTGTCCTCCCGACGATTTCCTCGACCGAGAGACGGTTATCCCCGTTATCGAGACTCCTGTCGAGATTCCCACCGTAATCGATGGCGAGAGTACGACCATAACTTCGACATCAACCATGCTGAATGTCGTCACAACTGTACCCAACTTCGTTACGGCTGACGTGACAACTTTGACGGATTCGAATGGCGTTCCAACCGCGACCTTCACGAGCACTCCGCCTCCCGTATCGACGCCGACGGTGATTACTACCACCAACGCTCGCGGCGAGACCACCGTGATATCCACGAGCGCCCTAGTATCCGCATCCACCTCAGTTCTCACCGACTCTAACGGGGTTGCAACGGCAACCCAAACCTTTACCCGTCTCAGCCGACTGGTAGCGTGCTAGTCATCCGCACCAAGAAGGAGGACTACTTCGTGGGACACTTCCTCCCGACGATTTTGGCCATTTTGTTGGCTATCCCCATACGGATGATTGATTTGAACGTGCAGATGTACTATCCCTTCCATGAGTTGACCCGCGCAGACGGCACCCCGCCGCGCAGTCGGTCTTGTTGCGCATGGGCGGCATCTTTGGCGTACAGACGGCGATCCGGTCTTTGAAGCAGATGAAGTTCCTGCCGTTCCTCTCCAGTCTGCTTCTCTGGTGCTCCACAATTCTCATCCCTTTGTCGACGGAGGCTGTCGCCCTCAAGCTCTACGCCGTCCGAGACACGTGCAACATCAACCGAGGTAGAGGTTGCATGGTGGTTCTGGCGGTATACACGATTCCGGCGCGCGCGACAATGGCGCTTCTCGCCTTCATGATTGTTCTCCTCTGCTTCATCATAATCTCGCTAAGGAGATGGACTTCTGGTGTCGCGCACAACCCCTGGAGCATCGCTGGCATGGCTGCGCTATCGACCAATCCGCACACGAGAGCGGCGGTCGCAGCCCTGCCTACCCGGGCCAAGAACCTCAAGTACAGTCGCATGCTTGAGCACCTTGAGCATAAGAATTTCAGGCTCGGGTACTTTTCCAACGCGCGCGGAGAGGTGGAATACGGTGTCATGGTGCATAGCGAGAGCGCACCGCTTAAACCATTGAGCCCCAATCCTGGAGAGACGTGGGAGTTTGACGAGTCCGCCAAGGGCCGGAAAGGCCATCGTGTCCGAAATAAGCTTCCTTTCATCATGCTGTCCGTTGTCGGTAGGGTCGTCTTCGCATTGGTTCTGACCGGTGTTCTCATCCTCGTTGTCTACTACCGGTGGTTCACCTCGGGCGATGCTGCCTTTAATGTCTTCATGTCAAAGACGAACTTTGGAGTCCGCTTCCTGTTCACATGCTTCGGTGTCGCAATCAACTTTTGCTGGTCATCGTTATTTGAAGGTAGGTCTTCATCAGCTAGTTCAGATGCGCTCACGCCATCATTTTTCTTCCCTTTTCCCGTCTCAAGTCCCTATACTAACGCGAGATCCAATCTAGGCATGGCAATCATGGGCCCGTATCAGCGGATGGCAGTCTCGGCACAGCCCGCTGACCGCTCGATTCTCTTGTCACCACCTACGAATTCCTTCACGGGCCTCTGGTCAGCGATTAAGCGCCGTCACTTTTACTTGATCGTCGCTGCATTCGCTGCCAGTATTGCAGAGTTCCTCCCGTTGCTGTTGAACAATGTGCCCTACCGAGTGACCCAGACGCTACGAACGAGCATAGTCTGCACATACACATCCATTGCGGTACTGGCGCTTATGTTGGTGCTCGTCATTGCGTCTTTCTTCATGAAGTGGCCGGAAATGCCAGTCGACCCAACGACAGTCGCAGGCGCCATGTATTATGTGTGTGATTCGAAGATGGTGTGGAGCTTTGCCGAGCTTTCCACCGTTGGAAAGGCGGAGCGGAACGGCAGGGTAGGTAGGCTGGGTGCGCTGTATGAATATGGCCCTACGTCGGGCCTTTCTGGTCAGCGAAGAATGGGCGTTGATATGGCGGATGGGAACCGGGTAGCTTAGAGGTGTTGTGCCGCACAAGAGTTGTCATTGTTACTGAGGTCGAGCTTTCTGCATTAGCGGGCGCATGTATTATGCTTGTTTCAAGCGGCTCAGGTTTGAGCTGCATCTGGTTGATAATTGGTAGACATTTATGGTTTTGAATATACCGCCTTCAAGGTCACATCTTGTCCTTGAGAAAATAAGAATCAAAGTTAAATAGTAAACAAGGGTCTTGTGTTCTAGGTGAATCGATCTTCATCGAGGTTGACTCAGTTTACTGATCTATGTCCCTCGTCCTTGTCTCAGCTTAGTGCTGTCAGTGTGGCAAGTGTGGTTTGACTTCACCGACAGCTCCTTCTGGGTTTTCCTAGCTCCAGGGACTTTCAATGATTTGATATCATTGGTAGTGCTGTTAACATTGATCAGTTGTTTTTAGCGCTTGCTCACTGCACTGGCACTGCAATAACTTGAACGGATCATTGATGTGTTGGTCCCCGTGCACGTGACTAACCAACGGGCCGGCACTGAACGGTCCTGAACGTACGTGGGGAGTTGGCACCTCGACTGAGGCACGCACGCATTTGGGCAACAGATTGAGCCGGGCAAACGCAGATTTGCTCTTTCAACGTAAATTCAAGGATTTTACAGAATAAGATGTTATGATGGCTTCAGCAACATCTGCCTCTGGCGTGGGCCGTGGCAGACCTGGCCGCCTGCCTGCAAACTTGGCAAGGAATGGCGCCGCTTCTTCACATGCCTCTCGTGGACTTGTCCTCCCATCTGCGTCTTCGTCTTTGGCCCCCGGATCGTCTAGCCTGGGAGGCCATGCTCTCCCGTCACCCGTCTTGGGAAATGTAGCGCCCGTGTCCAATATAGAACTTTTTTGGCCAACCTGCGTATCCTAGATCTGGACCTTTTGCCAGATTGGCCTGGCATCACCTCTCACACCTTTACCGCAACTTTAGCCTCGCAGGGACAAAAGAAGCGCATTCAGTCAGTCGAATGGGCTCTCTACTATTTGTTTTGTCTCTGGGATCCTGAAGAAGCCCAAAACGTACGCGTCCCTTGTGTAGCTCCTCAGCCTGTGTGATTCCCGCGTTCGACTAACGACTCACGCGTCTAGAAACTTGACCAATATTTCCCTCCTGTCGATCAGGTACAGTCATTGAATCTGCGAGCTGCTTTACTGCGGAGTCTCGAGCAGGTGAAAAAGAATGGCTTCCTTGGCAGGGACACAGTCATACGCAAGACTATGCTGGACGAGTGCAAAGGTGACAGGTTAGCTGATGTCCTAGCCACGTTTTCCTTTGCAGTCGTGAGGAAAGTCACTTCAGACCAGTCAGAGGAGAGCGGCGAACACCCGTCCATTGCCGAGAGGTTGGCACTTGAGAATCGTGGCTACGCTGGGGAAAGGTCTGAGCTGGCCTTGCTGAAGCTCGCGCACCAAGTGTCGCTGAGCCACGCTCTACGGAAGAAGAATGAGTCCCGCGCCATGCTTGATGACTTTTCTGAGCTTTTGGACGTCAAGGAGCGGGGTATCTTCCGAAAGAAAGAGCTTGTCAAGAGCGTTGACGCCCATGACGATGCGCACGACGTCTCCGAGTCGGACAAACTTGAAGTTGGACGGCTTGTTCAAAACAACTGGGCGGGGAACGAACGATGGATCGAGTCTTTGCTATATGGAGATGCAAATGCCCGTCGTGATGGGCTTCTTAGTGCGCCATTTGACAAGGTGTGGAGGCGGGTTCAGGCTGGACGTTTGTCCGAACTCGACGATCGAGGATCAGGCCTCGTCGAAGAGTTGGAGAGTCGCGTCAGGTTCCAAAGAGAGAGACTACAGAAATGGAAAGGCCTACGATCTACACTAGGCGACAGTGCCGCCAAGGGCACACAGTCCCTGGATCCGATGCCAAGCTCTAAAAACGGTCTTGGTCTGCAGCTCAATGCCCATCAAAATCTCCATCTCGGCCGCCTTAGCCCTGAGAAACGTCCGAAGCAGCTTGAGGTGGATAAACTAAGCTTCGAATATTCGCAGCTGATAGATTCTCTTAAAAGGAACTTCGTTCTGCCGGGAAGCCCGCAAAACAGCCTCTTAGGGCCCTGCCTCCCCAACCGGTGGCTGCCACCAACCGCGGGCGCTTTAGCGGCGAAACCAGCGAAACCAGCGAAACCCGAGCCGGCCCCGGCTTGGACTGGGAGGAAGAGGAGCTCGGGGCAACGGAATTGTCCACAGTAGCTGCTCCGGTTGTCACGAGACTGCCTCAGCGGAAGCCCAGCCATCGCGCCAAACCTAGTCGAAAGTTGGTCAGCGAAGACCTACCGCTTGCTGAGGTAGAAAACAGACCGCGTGACTTACGCAGGCCACCCTTTGAGTCGTCGCGGCCTCACACAGAACGAATGATGCCCAAGGCCAATCCAACTGCGGTGCGACGAGAGGAGGAGGTTGCGCTGCCGGTACCTGAGATGCCCGACTTCGGCCCTGCCTTGGAAACTACCTTGAAAAAGGACCATCATCAGGCAGGGGATTTGATGGTGAGCGAGATCAACAATACACAACGCCCCGGACGGGAGCCATCTGCCCCAGCCTCACTATACCCGCAAGGGCAAACACAAATGAAAGAGCAAGAAACACCGCCATCGCCTACGCAGCTTGCAGCAGATGCTATCCTCGCCTCCATGGACAATTCTTCGCCGTCTCCGGTGAAGCAGGCACGGCCCAGGCATACCCTTTCCTGGCAGAACGCACCAGGTTATCGATGGCCAGGATGTCTCGCTCCAATGATCTTTCTGATGATGAAGAAGACCTCGAACAAACCTTGTCTCTTCACCGCCCGAAGCCGACGGTAACGCCAGAGACCATCCCAGAGCAAGGGAATGATGACAATGATGACCTTGTAGCCCGAACAAGGAAAAGTATGGCAGGCTTCGAAGCTGCTCGCCAAAAGCTCAGCTCGAGCGACGCCGGTCACAGAAGAAGTCACGCGCACTCCAGCGGCGCGAGGGAAGCTATTTTCCCAAACTAGCCGAGGTGGATGACCAGGATGATACTCTAGTTTTGACCTCGGAGTTGATGGAAGGGGAGCAAAACTATGACGATGTCTTCATGAGCCGGCCCAAGATTAAGACTAGCCCAGTTCCTTCGCCACTTCCTTCGCCAACAAAGGAATGGTAGAAAGGGAGGCGGAATAGCCGCCAACGACTCATTACCCTCCATGCCTTGAATTCAGGTCTCGATCAGAGCCTAGGTAGGAGGACCTCAAAACAATTGATCAATCACACAAGACAAGACACGCGTTGTTCATGACCATATTCTATTGTTACAAACTTTATCCGTACAGTCTTCTAGCACACAACAGGGTGGGGAGCTAGTCACCCCAGCCAATTCTCAAGTGAATCAAGATTGCGGTCCCCGTTGGGGGCTCAATAGATTACCATCCCTGCCTGACCAGCTCCTGTACTCTAACAACAGTGGCATGGAAGCCCTTCTTGAATCTCGCCCGCCACCTGGTGCGGTGCAGCCGCTTTCTCTTCAGACCTGGCCTTTCGTGGAATCGTTGCTGGTTGGCAATCGTGGCGAGACGGTTCTGCGTACAGCGTTGGTTCAGCATGGCGAAAGCCCTCGCTGGGTTGATGGGCCCGCTGACGTGAACAGTTCGGCCAGTGGATGGGACGGCGCGGATAGGCACACGGATGGGTTTCGCATGGTAGTCGGAACTCGCTAGGGCCGAGGTCATGTCGTTTCCGATAAGCTGGGCAATGGAGAATTTAGTCGCATCGTAGGGAGCGGAGGCGCGCGTCGACGCCTTCCCACCCTCGGCAGAGTCCTTGGACTTGGACTTGGGCTTCGGGGAAGATTGGGGAGCTTGTTATCCGGTTGTCGGAAGGCTGGCGAGGTTGTCGAGAAAGAGGCCCCGGCTGCGACGCGGAGGACAAGCGGTTGGAAGGCCGGCGAAATTGTCGCTTGGGTCCTGGCAAGCGAGAGCAAACGTCCCGCGAGTAAAGGGGCCATGATTAATCTATAAGGGAAGGCATAGTTTAGCGAAGTTAGAAGATGTATGGAGATCCTGGGATCTCCTGGCCTAATAGAATGCGTGCTTACCAGCTATCGGACACCAGTCGACAACGCCGTTCTGAATTGTCCCTTGTCTTCTCGTGAGATGCTGTTCGCGCATGAGGAAAATTGTCAACTTTTCGGCAAGTTTGAGCTTGGTTGGTTAGGTAATCAGCCTTGGGAGCTTTCTTGACTGGCTTGGCTGGTTTTCTTTGCTCGAGGTGGGGCCGTGTGCTGGATAAGAATATCCGAGATTCAGCCACGGTTCGCGAAATCGTGCAAGGTTATTATTTTTGGAAGGCTACTCGATGCTGCATGCTAACACTGCTCGTTAGAGCCTTGTGTTGATCTCTCCTTGACTTTTTCGCCTCTCCACCCACGATTTAGAGTCGCATCATTCATTGATCTCAAGATAATGTCTTATAATCCATACGGGCGTAAGAAACCAGACTTCTCCCACCCAATTTCGCAGAGCTATAGGACTAACAGTTGCAGCTCCTCCTGGCTATGGCCCACCACCCTCCTACGGCGGTTTCCCAGGCGCGGGGCCTCCTGCCGGAATGGTGCCGCCTCCCGGACTAGGTATGCCATAAATCTATCTTCTTCTAATCTCCCCTCGCGATAGAACTTCATACTAATGTCGCTGTCTTATTTCGTAGGACCTCCCCCAGGCATGTCTTCCGCTCCAGGCATGGCACCGCCTGGCATGCATCAACCTAGCGCGACGCAAGCTAATCGTCCAAGTGGTCTACCTGCCAACTTCCAAGCCCCCGAACCTTCCCAACATAAACTTCAACGCCAAGGTAATCCGCCTCGGAACGTCGACCCCGAAACCGAATACGCCTACTGGGTCTGGGAGGAGGGGTGATGATGGGCCTGGGAGCGCAGTGGGTCCCCGAGCTGGGCTCGGTTCTGAACGCAGCGGGGACCACGGGCGATCATCGATGAGGGAATCGACGCAGTCTTTTATCCCCTTCTCGCATGAAGAGAGGCTACGGACCATTTTCGTACACAAGATTCCAGGCAACCTGGCGGGCGACATTGAAAAGGTCTTGAACGCTGTTGGAAAGGTTCGTCGGTGGGATTCGGCGGCGTCCGTGCTGCTAGAGAGCACGGGAACCAAATTTGGCTTCGCTCTGTATGACGATGCCGAGTCATTCGCAAATGCCGTGGAACTCCTAAAAGATATCGAAGTACCTGCAAAGCCCCAACCGCCAAGGGAGCCTGAGGACGAACCCAAGGACGACTTCGAGGGTATCGACAAAGCTAGGCTTCAAATTTCCGTCGACGAGAATTCCGTCAAGTACGTTGAGTCCTACAGGGAAAGCCGCGCAGGGAATGCGGATGCCACATCAAGAACCGAATCTGCAAAGGCCGAGCTCCAAAGGGTCATCAAAGACTTGTTCTACCCGCCTCCAGCTAAGAAGATTGATAGAGACGGTGATACCTCCATGCAAGACTCTAACAGAGAAAATGTCGAGGTCGTCAACATCCCCCTCACTCAAGAAGACGAGCTTGCAGATATTCCCGCTGAGATGCGCGAGATTGTGGCTGGCGAGATTGCTGCCTTCCGAGAGCGGAGCAATAAGAGAGATCTGGAACGTATGAAGAAGGAAGAGGAAATGGAAGAGATGGAGCGCACGCGGTCGAATCGTGTGCGCTCGCCCCGGCCGTCTTCGCCAGGGGGCACAAACAACATCCCTCTCGGACCTCGGGGTCTCCAGAACGTGCCTTCAGGACCAAAGGGTCAGAATGGCTATAGCCGAGGAGTCACCTTTGTTAATGGAGAGGGCTCGTATGAAGGGGATGACACTGATGCCAGCGACGAAGAAATTCAAAGGCGACAATCCTCCAAGCAAAAGAGGGAAGACGATCAGGTGTACTCGGAGGCGGAGCGAAAATGGGTCAATCGAGAGAAGTCGCGTGCGGCCGCCCTCAGTCGTGAAAAGGACCGTGAGAAGCAAGAGGCCGAATCCCTAGAGAGAAGGCGGCAGGAGCAGCTTGAACGAGAAAAGGCGTGGGACGACGAAAGGAGATGGCGCGAAAGGGCCACCTCTACTATCGAGATCACGCAGCGTGGGCGCGCAAGCGAACGGGCGACAGGGCAGACGAGCAAGCAAGGGACCAGGCTGATCGTCGCGCAGAAGATGACGAGACGCGTAGAGAGACGGCCGAGTTGGAGAGGACACGCGGCTTGGCCGACTCGTTCCTTGATCGACAGGCCAAGGAGATGGAGCAGCGCGAAGCAGCCTCCGCGCCCCAGCCCTTCAAACTGTCGCTCGGTGCGGCAGCACAGAGAGCCCAGGCACAGCGAGCAGTACCTCAGAGGCGTACCATTGCCGAAGTGGAAGGTCTGCTGGACGACGAGGAGCAAGATCAAACCACCAAGAGACAACTTATCCCTATCCAGTTCGAGCCCTCTACCACAAGCAGTATGACGGAGGAGGAACTGTCCAAGGCTATGCGCGCTCTCGCCCAGGAAATTCCCTCCGAAAAGGAAGGATTATGGGCTTGGGATGTCCAGTGGGACCATTTGGACGACGCCATCATGCGAGAAAAGCTACGTCCGTTTGTTGAGAAGAAGATTGTGGAGTACTTGGGTGTACAGGAAGAGGTCATTGTCGAAGTTATCGAAGAGCACCTCCGGAACCACGGCAAACCCGACGACTTGGTGGAGGAGCTTGCAGGGGTATGTTTCGATTCAGCCCATTCTATCTTGATCGGTGAAATCCAAATTTACTAACTATTATCAAATTGCGTAGGCACTGGACGACGAAGCCGAGGACCTCGTCAAAAGCTTTGGAGGATGGTCATCTTCTTCACCGAGAGCGAGAAGCGAGGTCTTCCCGCATAAACACTCTTTGGACATCTGGGTCCGAACCACGACGAGGAGATGGATGCGCTTCTAAGAGGGTGATGCCACCGGCAAGGGCCTCACGCACGTGGTAACCTCGTTTTGGCAGCGACGTATGCTCGCCGCAAAGAAAAACAAAACACTCTGTACTTTACAACCCGCTCACGCTGCGAGCCTTGATTCACGCCATGGTAAACTGTAATAAAATGGAAAAAAGTGATGATTGAAGACCTAGTCCGCTGCATTAGAAGCGAGGGCCTGATGTGTGTGTATATATCCATGTCGACCCTTGAGCTGGAAATCAACCCTCGTTCGACCTAAACGCAACTCGTTTTCTTTTTCGGCTTCGCATCCTTGACGCCCTCGTATATCCGTGTCACTGCTTTTGAAAACAAGAATACGCAGACGCCCATCCTGCACTTTCGATATACTGAGTCCATCATTATTATCGTACGTATCAACAAGCCCCTCATAACAAAGAAGACGAAAAAAAAAAAAAGAATATGAATCCGACAAGGCAGGCTCCAACATGTGCTGCTCTACAGGAGGAAGGAATGGGTTCGCTAAGAGCTGAGAGGAAAAAGAGTGAGGGTGGACAGAGACTATTCAGTGGGTATATATATAAGAAGAAGAAATAAGAGAAGAGGGGTGGGAAGTGGGACATGTTTTGGAAAAGATTAAAAGCCCTTGATGGCTCTCATCTTTGCCATGGACCGAGTGTGCAGTTGCCTATTCAAGTCTTCCCTAAACGCATAGCTCACGAGGGTAAAGACCATGACGAAGCCGATGCTGCCACAGACGCTCCAGAAGTAGGACTCGTCCTTTTTGGTATCCACTATACCCTGCAAATTCATGCCAAAGTAGGAAGTGAAGAAGGAGAGGGGCAGGAAGATGATGGTGACGCCGGTGAAGAGGAGGACGGCCTTGTTCTGGCTGTCAGCGACAATGGCCATTTCGTTTTGTTCAATGGAGCGCAGCTGGAAAAGTTCGGTGAGGGCGGTCTCGAAGTAGTGGACGAGGAACTTGCTTTCGGAGTGCTGCTCCCTGACCATGTCGATGGCCCACTGGATGCGTTCGTGCATGGTCTCGACCTCGTCGTCGTCCTGGTTAGGCAGCACGCCCTCGGTGGCGTACTCGGCTTCGAAGCGTTCGGCGTCAATGACCATGCCCTCGAGCAGTTTGAGTTTCTGCTCGGCGAGATCCTCGATGGCACGAAGCTCTTCGAGACAGTTGAGGTACTTTCGGACGAGTCGTGGAGATTCGCCACGTTCCCAGGGGCGTTTTTGACGTTGTTTCTGGAAGGAGAAGGGTTAGATTATCTTGGCCCGGGGCCTGTAGAAAAACAGGGATTCGAGATCAAGAACACAAGGCAGGTCACGAAATGGAAAGGGGGGCTGTTGGGTTGATGGAGACTGTGGAAAGAGTGGCGCAAGATTCTTACCAGTTCCCGCGCTATATCTTGGTAGGCGGTCAGAAGCGATATCGAGTTCCTTCCCTGACGAATGTTGTGGGAACCGTGGCGGCTTCAGTCATGAGGTAGACGATGAGCCACTCGACGGTGGGATAGTGCCATCTCGAAGTGCCAGAGGCGATGAAGTTTTCGGCGACATGGGCCAGGATGGAGATTTCAGAGTCGTGCATGAACTGATCGGGCTGGTCGAGCCATTCCCGGAAAGGCTTGCCGAGGTAGTCGACACCAGTACTATTAGAGAAGGTCAAGAGGTAGCCTGCAAGCCAAGAAGAAGAAAGATTGTTAGTCAAGCTAGGTTTCACCTCCAACATTGCCGGGGCCTGGGAGAGGGGGAGTCATCTTGCCACATACCATCAGACCGGTGAAAGGCACGAAGTTGGCACGTCATGAGCAAAGCGTTGAGGAACTGATCGTGGTCCGACAAGGCCTGTTTGTCATTATCGGTGGGCAGGGGACCTTTGACATTGGTGTTGCTTGGCTGGCCCAGGAACCTCTCGGACAAGAGGTTGGGAAAATCGGCGCGGACAATATCCCAAAAGTCGATGAGCTTGCCGACGTGCTTAGCCCTCCACTTGACGTCGTTTTGCTGGCGGCGGGTGAGGCCCTGGAGCGGGTCGTCGCCGACGCCGTTGGCGAGCACGTCGAGGTTGGAGAGGAAGCGAAAGGCGTCCATCTTTTCGACGAAGCGGGTGTGGTTGACAAAGGTGAGCATGGTGAGCTCGGGGTAGTTCCAGGCCGGGTCCAGGGAGCCGCGCAAAAGGGTTTGCCGATTTGGCCGCTGCCGGTGTAGCGGAACATGTCTTCGATGGTGGACTGGAGGACGCCTTTGCCGAGGGGACGTGGCTGGATATGTGGGTTAGCGACGGACATGGATGACATGCAGTGACGAAGACATAGTAATTAAATGAAGCGAGAAGAAAGAAAGAAGAGAAGGGGTGCCAGATGAGAACATACATCCAACGCACGTCGACATCGTCCGGCTTCGACTCGAAAACTAGGGTCCGTGTTAATCTCAGGGCCAGCTAAAGATTGCAGGTTTGGTCCTGCCAGTTCCCGCAGGCGGCTTACACTTTTCGATGTTGCCGAGCTTGGACGTATACCGACTTCCACCCTCTCGCTTGAAGTCGCAGATGTGGATCGATACACTGGCGGGCTGGGGAAACCAGAAATTGCACGCGTCCCTCGCATCGCAATCCTCGGGCTCATAGTGCATACGAAGCTTTTCCGAGTGCGTTGTGACCCTCCAAAAGTGCGAGATGCGCGAGCGCTTCCCGGGTCCGCTGCCCTTTCCATGGCCTCGATCGCCGTCTTCCTCTTCCGCTCCCATTCCGCACGGCGTTCCTTTTCCTCGGGGCTGGTGTGGCGAGGGACGCTGCCGGAGAAGTGCAGGAGAATGTGGCGCGTGCTGCGGGTGTTGTTAGAGCGGCGGCGCGCTTCGTTCACGGGTTGTTCGGCGAGGGCGGTGGCCTCCTCAGATGGCAGAGGGCGGGTGTATCTTGGCCGGGTGAGAACGTCCGGGCCCGGCCGCCGGGGCGCACTCGCGGTCCCTGGGGTTAGGTGGGTCGGAGCAACGGGGTCCGCAACGACGGTATTGTCGCTACTAATACTGGTTTCCGGAGGGACTTCGTTGTCGTCGGTGTCCGCCATTGTTTTCAAATCTCTCAAGGCGAAGCCCAGAATCTCACACGAGGATTAGATATCGACAGACGCCCACAGCTCCGGGTAGCACGTAGTGGGCCCCTGTCGCAAAAAGGGCCAGCAGCTGGAAGGCCTGGGGAAGCTGGAAATGGGCACTTGGGACAAGCACAGGCACAGGCGCGGGTGTCAAGGCTCAATCCTCGGAAGGATTTCCCTGGGGGCAAGGGAGGGAAGTAGGGGAGGTGAAAGAAGGGGAGGAAGAAGAATATTAAAATAGCAATGCGAAGAAAAGGGATCAAGCAGCCGTGGGTTTGCAGCTGGGAGGAGATTATTTCAAGATGCAGGACGGGACGGCGGCAACCACCCCCTGATCGTGGCAGGGCAAATGCGCAGGATTGTACAGATGGCAAGGGTGGCGCGAGACGCCAGGGCCAGGGTGCATGGGTTGGGTCCGCCACCAGTCCCTACAGAGAGATGAGGGGGACCAGGCTCTGGGAGTCTCATGCAGCTGATGATGGATTGGTCCACAAAAGGGTTCAGGATAATTCCCTTTTTCGTTCCCCATGCCTGCTCATCTGCATGGAGAGCTCGCCTTGTGAACAGAAGAAGGCCATTCCCGCGCCGCCGCGGGAAACTGTCAAAGGTCCGCCTCTCTTCCGCTCTCAACGGCTGGGGAAGATCATCGATCATCCAGGCGGCGTGGGGAAGTCATTGTTGCGCATTGGAAGGATTGAGGCAAATTCTTCAAGTGTGCCCGATGCCTATTCTCCAGCCCGCCTCGCCTCGCCTTGAGAAAGTTGGGAAAACTGGAAAAACGATGTCTTCTCGATCATAGGGCCAGGCTGTTTTGTCGTCGGCGCTGTGCGGGGCCAGGGATCATTGATGCGACTGCAGGATCCAAATGATTTATTGGAGGGGAGAGTGGAGTGGAGGTTGCGCTCTGAGCAGCCGATCTGGGCCTTTTTCCCTTTTGATAATGTTGAATAGCAAGAGTCAAGAGACAAAGCTGTCGCGGAAAGCGGCAGAGGGGAAACCCGCAATCGGAGGGAAGGAGCCGACTGCCTTGTACCTGGACAAGGCGGGCGACCTTGGACGCTGACGACTGCTCGCCCCGGATTCACGTTTCTTGAAATTCATTGACTCGACATTCTTGAGACGGGGTGGCTTGAGCCAGCAGAGGGCCAATGGCGCCACTGATTGCCTCGGAACGAGCACAAAGTTGCATGTGGTGTGGTGCGGTTGCGCGTGCGACAGGGGTTACATGAAGGAAGACCATCGGAAGAGGCCATTGAATCCTTCGACCAGCTCTACTCAACGGCTGAAAGTTTCGGGGGAAACAAAAAAGAAGTCGCCCGCCATCCACATCCACCTCCCTTTGTGCTTTGGGACGGATACCTGCACGAAAAGGTGGGCAAGGGAGGGGGACAATCTGATATCCGATACCATCCACCACGCGGCCCGCGGTCGCTTCTGAATGATCAGAAAACGAAGAACGGAACAAGATACCTCTGCGATGAAGCGAGACACTGTCCATCAATTTCTTATTCGCTGCGCAAGAAAAGAACAAAGTAGCGTCGCATCGAATGGGGGCAGGGCTGGTCACCCGCGTCGACAAAGGACATGAACGGAATTCGACTGCATCGAGATGTGGGTTTTCTCCAATGCCTCGAGTGGAATCCATCCATGATACCAAAAAGTGAATAGTGCCTCCCCTTGCCGTCGTCTGTCGCCCGGTCTAGCTGGCGCCTCTTCCTGCGATAGTCTCCACACCTTCATTCTTCGTGGGCCTCAAAACCCCCGTGCGTGTGGCTCGAAGAGACAAGGCACTTGCCCCATAACAGCACACGATGATCGGCCTTGATCTCCAAGCAACTCGTGGCAAAAGCAATGGGCGACGCTCGGGGATAAATGCCCTGCCACCTTAGCGGGGAAATGGAAGGCCTGGCCCAGATCGAACAAAGATTGACCCCTTCGGCTTTCCTCGTGGTTTCACGGAGACGAACGACCCAAGGCACGGCCCGCTTGGCTTAAAGGAGATGTCACTGTAATAACGCACATCGCCCATCCAATTGATAGCGGGTGTACGCGAAATACTGCTCATCTCGCACACACACGGCGGAGGAGTTGACTGAACTAGTGAACTAGTGCGACTATGCTCCAATGGATTGGTTGTGTAGCTCTGTCAACTGTCTGTCGAGCTATCAACGAACGATACCTACAAGGTGTTATGAAGACTTCTATTTTCTGTTTCCTTCTTCAATATTACGCGCATCTCCCAGGATAATTCCCCATGTCGGGCCAGCCCTATGAACGAACATATGCGAACGTTAATGTGAGGCCATGAGCATAAGACGGAGGATTATCTCTCCTTCTTGCCTGCCCGGTATACATCTGCCCCTTGTCGCCTAATTTCAAGTTCTTAAGCAGCCCCCAAGCCCCCAAGCCCCCAACCAGTTTCTTGCGACTTAGGAATACCAAACGACTCATCATCAACGGGCCTCTTCATTGCCGAAGGGGTTGACTTTTGACTTTCCTACAATCGATGGCCAACAAGTGAACTGGTTACGTGTTTTTACACGCCACGCCAACTAGAGGAGCCGTGAGCACCGAGGCATGGGCATCGAGGGAAAGCAAAGTTTTGGATGGAAACAGGGAGAGTCAGCCCGGCAGAGATTTGACGGACGGACCTGCACTCACGGCTGGGGAGATCCAACCCTATAGGGCTGGACCACACTCGGTCGGGGCATGTCTGTCCCACGCGTCCAGGTGGTGAATTGGCCCTGCGCGACCCTCGATCCTCCTGCACGAATTCAACTGTTACATTGATCTGATCCAGAGATTCACGACCCGCCCCTTTTTTGCGTCAAACAGCGAAGCCTGCTCCCGGCTTCGGCAGGGTCCCTAGCCGGGCCTCTTCAACAGAACACACGGGGCTGTGTTCGGCGATGCGGGGACAGGGGTTTGAACAAACGCGAAAGAAGGAAGAAAGAAAAGAAAAGAATTTGACTCAAGCCAAGAGAAGCACTCAAGTTGCTCAAATTTTCGTCCAATCGATGTTTCGTCCAATCGATGCGCCCACCAGCATCACAGATATCTTCATGTCTGGGAGAGGATGGAGGAAAGTCCAAGTAAAATTGGAAGGATCTTTTTATATACAAAAGGATGAAGTAAAACGTTGGTGTCTCCACCGGCAACTCGTCACCTGAGGCAATACACCTCTTCTTCTCCTTGGCTATCCACTCCCTCGCCAGACGAGCCATGGCCGCCCCCGCCTGCGCCTGTCCCCTACGCAGCGCAACCCGACACTTCGACAAGGCGATCCGGGCAGGTTACGGGGTTGTAGACAATGTCCCAGCCATTGAGTTCACCCCTAGCCCAGTTATATCGCCAGTAGCAGCCTGCTTGCAGGTTGTCTGGGAGATTCGCACAATTCTCGCGAGACGTAACACCGCCGTAATCAGCGCCCCTATCACCCGTGCATGTTAGCTAACTGTGTCTTCTTTCATGCCACACGCACCCATAGTGATGAAATGAATGAGAGGACGTGCAGAGATGTGGGAGTGGATCAGTTACTCACCAAGCGTTGGCATACTGGGCGCCATACTGCAGCTGGCATCCAGTGTTATACGGTCCCACACCGCCACCGGGGGTAAGGATAATCAGGTCGTTCAGCTTGACATCCGACTCCCCGTGGGAGTGTCGGCGATGTTGATGATTTGCACCGTCATCTTCTTTCCCGCCGCCGCCCCACTTCGCCACTCTACGTCGTAGCATCGACAGCAGTTGGGGTTATCCGAGGACGAAGACCCCCGACCTGCAGCGCGAAACCGATAGACTGGTCCTCGGAAATGGGAATGGGCTGGTAAGAATCGCAGAGGAAGCCTGCACCACCAGCGCAACTCGACTGCGCGAGGATACCCTGCTGCAGAGGGAGGAATTGGTTCTGTGCGTTGCATACGCTCGCGACACCTCTTCAGAGACGAGTTAGAACGACAAGTCTACGTCCACACGTACGCGCCTGCATTTCTGGGTTCTACCCAAGGCGGGCGGGCGGGGATGGACAGAGACGGGGATGAACCTACCGGTTCGTGAGAATGTCGGGTCGGAAATTGACAGTGTTCGCGCAGACGGGCTTGCAGCTAACATCAACGCAAGGGTCGTTAGTCCATTACGAACCCGCCACGTTCAGGGGCTAGCGCCACACGAAGACTTACCAGTCCCACGAAGTGAAGGTCTTGGCCGCTGTTTGGGCCGAGGCTAAGCCCATAAAGAGGGACGAGAGCACAGCGTAGGTAAGCATCGTTGTAATCTTGGCTTCCGCTTCGGATATCACGCTCTAGTGTTTGTCTTTGGGGAGAACAGGGACAGGAAAGGAGGAGGGGAAGAAATCGCCGAGAGGAGGGACGTGGGCTGTATTTATGGAAGACATGGCGCTTCGTACTCCGGCCGGAGCATGGTAGCCGTTGGGAGGGTCCTCTCCTCTTCATACCTCCATCCCTCCATCCTTCTCCTGACCCGGTGTTAGGCGTACCTGAATCCGGCTCACCAACCCGTCGATGCAAAGCCAGACGGGCTGTCATGTCAAGTCCGAGAGCGCGGGCGACGGTTTGCGTGGTTCAATCTTGCACGCAGGTTGATTGCATGTGCACTCGTTTTCCCGCTCTACCTCCCGTCACCTCTTGGAATAGACCAGTTGCATCCTATCGACGGACGTATCGATACTTAGCTACCACTTGTCCTCCTCCCGTGGATACTAATCTGCGGCCCAGCCGTTCATATACGGCCACATGTGGCAAAATATCACTTTCCCCGGCGTCGAGCAAGAGCGAGATGGATGTGGTCCAAGTACCAAGAGCACAGAAATGGGCCAGATAGGTACGCCTTGCGGGCACAAAGGCACAAAGTGAGTGGGTGGTCAGGATCCCGACGACCCGATCGCTCATCTACCCAGCCTGCGCTATCTCCAACGAGCTCGTCTCAAAACGGCGGGACCCACTCGATGACCTGGAATAGGACATGCTCGCTTCCGAGGGTCATTCTCCCGGGACCTGCAAGGGACGGGTGCCAAGGGCCTCCGATACTTTCTGCAAGACGGAAGCGTCGAGTCAGCCTGAGGGGATACAATCCTGGTGTGTTGGTTGACTCCTCGAGGTTGCGAACACGAGGGAAACGGCAAAGAAAAAATGAGCTCATAGTCGGCTGGCTGGGATGTGCGAGGCGCCGACGAGACTTTGTCTGCCGGGCCTAACTAGCGAAAGACTACATCCTGCGATAGGCCAGTCGACGAGCTTTATTGCCCATTCCTGTTTTCCGCTCCCTTTCTTGTCCATCCATCACGTTTTACGCATGGCGTTCTCTGGTTGACCAGCCCACCTGCAGGTTCAAAGCTTGTCGTGCGGGCGGGAGAGCCGGGTAAGTGAGTTCATTACTATCGTTCCGCTCCATTTTGATATGCCAGATTTTTCTTATCAACGAGGGAGCGCCCTGGACTCTCTCGACCCAGCTGATTTACCTGAGCACGGTCTCTGGCCACATCCCGAGCTCGGGGAGGGTGTTCGTCCCAAATTCCCGGGTAATTAGTCCGCTCCGCGGGTTTGGGCCTGGACGGTGCTCGCCAGGTCCACACATCCACACAAGGGGTTCGTTCCGCTCCTCAGCATCTTTACAGGCCCAGAGGTGGATTTGGGTCACTCACGGCTTCTTGGCGTAGGTTAAGGTGCTTGAACCGTTTTTTAAAATCCTTTCTTCAATGATATATCCGTCGTTGCATGCTCTTAGAGGGCTGAAGGTCTAAATCGGACAAGTGCTTCAAGGCAATTCACAAAGGGCTATCTATTTCTTATCATAGTCTACGCCCATCGACTCCTGCCTGCGAGAGATTGAGTTGAGCGAACCGAGGACTGTCGGGGAATATAACACTTCCGAGTTGGAAAAACCATGCGTCACGGAATCTGCGGTGTGATTCCGGGAGCGAAGACGAACCCCTCCCCTTTTTTTTCAGAGTCGGCCAGCAGCCACTTGTATGGGTCTCTTCGCGCTACGCGTCGGGTAAATGCATACGGCATGATATGAGTATATTCGTCGATCTATGCAAGCCGCTTAGAATATAGATATTCCATCTCCACCAGAAGTCAACTTCTATTTGTAAAGTTAGTTGTCGATGCTGACTCTAGCAAAAAGAGCGAGGCTTGGTTCTCCCCGCTCTCTTCGTCTTTAAAAACGAGGTGCCTGAGGTGATGCTTCTCCCAAATTTTAGATCAGTGTACCATCTTTGATATCACCATTACTTTCTATACTTTAAGACTCAGGTCTTCAAAACACAGTAGCTCTCTTACATAGGACTCTTAGCCCATCTCTAGTTTCAGCCTCTCAAGAACCTCTACTAAAGAAGAGTCAGTATATATAAGAGAAGAAGAGGGTAGAAAGCGATGTATGCATATGGGAAGAAAAGAGTAAAAGCAAAAAAAAAAGTATGTGGATGGGGTGGGTTGGTTTTAAAGGCTATATATATATAGGACCTTTCGGTATATATATCCTGTGGCCAAGGATATATAATATGGCGCTTTTAAAAGGAGGCACCGCTGCTCAATGGCGTTTCGAACTCCCCCAGAGTTCGAAGCTAGCGCCCCGGAAACTGCATTAACTCGCCATGAAGTTTTTAATCCGTTCGAGCGCTCCATACAGGTGACCACTTGGCCACCCTAGGTCGCAGTGTGGGTGCTTGAGCTGCTCGGATGGAAGCTATCGGTTTGTTATGATATATAAGGCAAACTCTTGCGGATTCGCGGGGCTGGTATGGAAAGGAAGGCGCAGTGGTGGAACAGAGCATCGTTCTTTCCTAGTCAGGTCGGTCTAGGTTGCGTAGAAACGAGTTCCGCCGGCAAGTGTGAACGGGAAGGAGCGAGGAAAGGAGGGGAGGGAGGCGGAAGTAAACAAATAAACACCACGGCGAAAAAGGCAGGCGCAAGGAGGCTAGGGCAAGGGCGATAGCACCTTAGAAATAGAGAGACTCGAAAGGCAGCAACGGGCTCGCGACCCGGCGCTCCGTGGAACGGGATGGATATTGCTTCCCGTGCGAGACGAACACCAAAGCGAGCTCGATATTACCCAGAGCCAGGTCCCCAATTCCGCGGCCCAGCCGCACCATCTACCTACTCGCTTAACCAGCAATATCGAGATCATGTTTGCATTTAGAAGAGACGAGGGGTATTGGGGTCTTTCTCTCTCGCTCTTGCACGGGGATTGCCCACGCGTTCGTGAAGCTAGTATGAGTGCGACAAGCGTTCTTGTTGGTGATATGGTTGGATGTTGATTGCTAACATACCCGGATTGCGTCTGAGCCACAGTTCAGGACGGCCGGAATCGATAGCCCAAAACCGACCGCAAGAGGGTGAGACTAAGAATCAAGGAAACTATAGAATCTATCAAGAAAGAAAAGAGCTGAATGGCGGGCTAAAACCAATCAATTTGCCACAGTACATCGAAGTATGCTATTTATGGTTGGGGCAATCTATGCAAATGTGTGCAACGATGAGGCGTCCCAAGTTGAGTCGTTGGTGCCGCGCGCGAAACATATTTCAAAGTACCAGAGACACTTGAGTATCACTCGTTACCCCTCCCGGAGCTGAGGCCATCGTTGAGCCATTCGCATGCTGATTAGATTGGAGTGATACTATGGAAAGGACTCACTCTCAAAGATGCTGTGCTGGTCCTGCCCAACATCTATCAAGGTTCCTGCCAGCGCCGGCGCCGATTTATGTTTATAGAGTCACGGAGGTGGTCTAGCCTACTGTTGATTAATCTTGGGAAGTAAACTCGATCTCTAAGTAAACTCGATCTCTATTCTTTGGAAACAATGGACGACTAGACTCTGGACTTGCGAGAAACGCTGGGTTCCTCACCATTCGACGGTCGTAGGAGAACCCTCGCCCATCCCGTTGATCGAAACGCTTGCTGATTGCGAGCTGGAACTGATGCGTGGTGTTGCCTCCGGGGATCATTCTCCATTTCCCTCGAGTCCCCTCCAGTTATCCTGCGCCGTAGATCGACGGATGGGCCGACTGAGATCGTCCGGATTGCCGAGCCCACCTGTGGAGGAGGTGTAAGCAAACTCATATCATCCTTCCCACAAACACTGGCATCCCTGGCTGTATCGAACTACGAGTACATCAAAAGATGGTGACAGGCCTCCATGACCTCCGGCCTAGATACGTAGCCGTCTATTCTCGGCGTACTCCGTTTGGCCTATGCCAACTTGATTTCTTGGGAGAGGTCGGCTGGGTCTTTTACAAGGCATCGTCAGATACTTGAATATTCAAGGAGCAAAAACACTTTCTATCAGGAGGAGTGGCAACCTAGCAAGGCCATGACAACGCTTCAAAACACCAAAGCTGGAAAATCAACAGGCCGTTGGAGCCGGGACGGATCTCATTTATGTCTCTACGCGTTGCTAGTATTGGCTCCCAGAGGTACGACAAGTCTTGCACGAATGGCTTGCTCCTCATTGGCTCACGAATAGTGTCAGTGAAAACCGGGGTTGAAGGCAAGATGCTGAAGCGGGTGCGAGCATGTTCTCTGATATGTCTGCTGGTGTTTCGGGAAAAAGCGTGACGTCGATGTGTTAGATGGAACTGTGAGTGATGTTGAAAGAACCGGTCTTTTCATGTGCCACTCGTCTCTGAGACCCAACCAACCTAACCTCCCAGCGGCTGGTGGGTCGTGGCGGCCCTGCCGGCCCAACTACGAGGATTGCATGTACATGTGTAGCGGGGACTCGGCACACTTGGGATACGAAAGGGTCGGCGTAGATCGAGCATGCTAGGCTGGGATGTATCATCAGTTGGAGAGGAGCAGAATGATGGTGCCCTCGCACAAAATACGAGAAATAGTTGATCTTCTGAACAAGGCAGGACAAGATATTTCTGGGGTTCGAACACGGCCGACAAAAGAGTGATACGGGCCTGGGGCATGGCGAGGCCGGATTTGGCTAGGCTCTATTGTTATGACACCAAAGTACGAACATCCGTATCCGCACCTTTCGTGTAGGGCTGAAGATGGGGGAGCCCTGCGTGAAGCCCTTGTTGTCTCTAGCATCACCACCGGTGCCAAGTAGAAAGCATGGCGACTACCCTTTGACTTCTGAATGGGAGGGAGGTATGTTGACGCGGTGGAGGGCTGTGTCTGGCGCACGCGCTCCACTAATTGATGGATCTCGACGAAGGCTGTGGTGGAATGCCATGTCATTCCTAAGCATCTATTCAATTGCCAACATGGCGCGCTTGGATTTGAGCGACGAAGGGCAGGGCTGATTAAAAGCTGACATTTTCCATGCTGTTTGCCCTCCAGATGCACCGCCTCCTGGGCCAGCCTTCGGACCAGCCGAACTCAATGTTCATTCCTCGCTTTCTCGCTTGTCGAGAACAGTGCAGGAACCTATATCCATACTGCTCTGACGCATCCTTGGACCCTTTCCCCTCTGCACTCTTGCCCTCGGACATGAGAAGAGGTCCAAAGGAAAGGTAACCCTCACAGTGCACGGGGAATCTTCGTGTACGGTACATATTTGATGATCTCTTGTTCATATTATGTTTGGTCTTTGTTGAAGTCCCCGGCTGTCACTGTAGATACTTGATAATCATCGAGGTACCGTAGGAGCATAATTCCAGGAGCGCCTTCTGGAGGAGGCACTGGCGCGGCTGTCTCTCAGCATCAGTCGTCTCATGTGTTGAGCCAGTCGGGCGTCCGAGAGCTCGATACCCCGCGGTTAGAAGGGCACCAAAGCCTGGATCAATTTCATCATCAGTTAGGCCCCGTCCTTGTGGATACTTGCGAGCGTCACTGTTTAACGCGTGCAGCCTAGGTACTGCCCCGCCCCACCCCTCAAATCCCAGTCTCCTTCCAACGACCAGGATCTTCGCCTCCTCATCCATTATTCCCCTGAGTTTATTAGAAAGCTGGACGTTATCTGCCCCCTTTTCTCGGGTTTCCTTCGAGAGAACTGAGAGAATCCGTTTTTTATCGCGCGTGGAATTCGCAGCCAACGTCCCTCTTTTTTTCTGGTCCTCAAGGATCAAAAGTAATCATTCACTTTTCCCACTCTTCCTCCTTGCTTCCGCCTGTCTCCTGCCCCCTTCCCCCTTTCCCGAGGCAGGCTATTTTCTCCCCTCCGACCCTTTCGGCAACCCTCTTACCGCGTCTCGAACCTAGCCTTTGGTCATTTCAACGCCTGGTCGAGTACCCCCTTGATCCCTGTTCCACACCTGCGGGGCATCATCTTCCCTCGCCACGACAACACCTCCTCTCCCTGTGATTACATTCAATCCGATCACCAAGCGAAAGGGAAGACGTAGTTTCAAGCTCAAGCTGTGCTTGCTCTGGATCCAATACTTGAATTGCATCGAACGTTTTGTTACACAAGAAGGCTCCCGCTCGTGGAAGACCTCGCTTACTTCGACACAACCGAGCGTAGCCCTACACTATTACCTCCCTTCGCATTCCCCATCACCACTACCGCCGCCACCGCTGCCTCGGTTGCCGTGACCATCGCCATTTGAACAAGGCTTGACTGAGAAGCCAAATCCGTTAAACTTCCCAAGTGCAGATCACCTCTATCGAGAAATCATGTCTTGGAAAATCACCAAGAGTACTTCCAATCCCTCCCCTGCCCGTCCCCTCTTTTTTTCTATCTTTTTCCCTCTCGGGTGGACACCCTCACCTCACCCTAGACGGTTCTGTAACGCTCCAAGCTGGTCATTCCGGTCGGGGCGAGCTTTCGCTGACCAAACTCTAGAATTGAAGGAAACCCACCTGGGCCCCCTTACGAGCACCTTCTCTCGATCTCCATCGACCTCAACCATCACCGACAAGGACGAAAAGAACCAGCCTAGCATTGCGGGAACTGTTACTCCGACGAACGAAGGCGCCATCCGTGAGTCCAGTCCGACGAGAAGCGTCTGCTACTACCCCCTCGTGCATGATGGGAGCTCTAACCATGTCTATCTTGTGTACACTAGCATCCGAAGCCATGTCACAGGCCCCAGTTGTCAAGCCCCGAAGCCGGGCATTCTCATCGTGACTCTACACGAAGGCCAGGCTTTCTCTCTGCCAGAGCAACACCGCAACGTCTTTGCGTCTCAGCATACACAGAACTCACTCTCCAGTGGCAGCGCCCTGAGCATAGCTGGTTCAGTCCGACCCACGTCGGCCTCACAACACGTCTCCGGCTCTTACATCAATGGCAGCAATCGCCCCCAGACCTCGGGTGGCGGCTTTACCAACATTCCCACAAATCACGGCCGTATCTCGGGCAAGTATATGCCTTACGCACTTCTCGATTTCGATAAAGTCCAAGTCTTTGTTAATTCCGTTGACGGTAACCCCGAGAACCCGCTATGGGCTGGTCCAAACACCCAATACAAGTTTGATGTCTCTCGCGTCACTGAACTCGCTGTTCATCTTTACATGCGCAACCCCTTGCCCCGCCAGGGTCGGGTCGTAGCCAGGATATCTTCCTCGGCGTCGTACGCATCAACCCCGGTTCGAGGAACGTGCCAACTTTGCCGACGACCAAAAGTCAAGCAAGAAGGACAAGGAGAAGGCTGCCGCGGCCGAAAAGGCGCTTGGGCATAGCGGCGTCGAGTGGGTTGATGTCCAATATGGTACAGGAAAGCTCAAGATCGGCGTTGAGTATGTCGAGATCCGAGCCGGCAAGCTGAAAATTGACGATTTCGAACTTCTCAAGGTCGTTGGCAAGGGAAGCTTCGGCAAGGTCATGCAGGTGCGCAAGAAGGATACCCACCGAATCTATGCCTTGAAGACTATCCGAAAGGCCCACATTATCTCTCGCTCGGAAGTCGCGCACACGCTCGCGGAGCGTTCCGTCCTCGCTCAGATCAACAATCCTTTCATTGTTCCTCTCAAGTTCTCGTTCCAGTCTCCTGAGAAGCTCTATTTTGTCCTCGCGTTTGTCAATGGTGGGGAGCTCTTCCACCATCTCCAGAAAGAGCGACGATTCGACGTCAACCGCGCACGTTTCTATACTGCAGAGCTCCTCTGTGCCCTAGAGTGTCTTCACGGCTTCAATGTTATCTACCGAGATCTGAAGCCGGAGAATATCCTTCTCGATTACCAAGGTCACATTGCCCTTTGCGACTTTGGCCTTTGCAAACTCGACATGAAGGACGAGGACCGGACCAACACTTTCTGCGGAACGCCCGAATATCTAGCCCCCGAACTTCTCTTGGGAACCGGATACAACAAGACAGTCGACTGGTGGACCTTGGGCGTGCTCTTGTACGAGATGTTGATGGGCCTTCCCCATTCTATGACGAGAACACCAACGAGATGTACCGCAAGATTCTCTCAGAGCCTTTGCATTTCCCCACCGACATCCCGGCCGCAGCCAAAGATCTCTTGACTAAGCTCTTGAACCGCAACCCCGACGAGCGTCTAGGAGCTAATGGCTCTGCCGAAATCAAAGCCCATCCTTTCTTCCACGCCATTGACTGGAGGAAGCTTCTCCAGCGCAAGTATGAGCCCGCATTCAAACCGAACGTGGTAAGTAACGTTAATCTCCTTTCCCCCATTCCATGCACTCCATTTTTCTTGACGGGCTGGGTGCTAATCGGAAACTCGTGAAGGTCGACGCCCTTGACACCGCCAACTTCGACCCCGAGTTCACGTCCGAGTCTCCCAAGGACTCGTATGTTGAGGGCCCCCTGCTTTCTCAAACAATGCAAAACCAGTTTGCCGGTTTTAGCTACAACCGGCCAATCGCCGGTCTTGGAGATGCTGGCGGTAGTGTTAAGGATCCCTCATTCGTTGGCAGCCTCCACGATCGCCGTTGAGCAGCGGCCTAGGCGTAGTACACCGAGTATTCTCTACATACAAATTCATCTACGTGCCCTTGGATCAAGGGCATGCTCATGAGGGGCGTATCGCCCGTAGAGGCGCCGTAGACTTTCACCGTTACGGGAGTCTTGGGTGTCTAGGGGAGGGGTGGGCCGAAAGGCTCGATGGATGCCAGACATACATTCTGGCTGTGATGCATTTTCGAGGGGTTCTGATTTTCGAGAATGGGACAACGTAGTTGGCATGATACGGCGCGTGTGGGCCGTTTACTTTTTTGTTTGCTATTTCAATTCTCGCCTTCGCTTTTAGGCCGTGGCCGCGGGCCGTCTGCATTTGGGTTTTCCCAGTTTATACCTCATGGTTCCAAAAGCGGAGTTGGCAGGACATAACGGGTCTATGTACAAGAGTTATGCACATTTCTTTACCTATTCGTCTTGAACGATTTCTGCCGAATTCTATCCAGCCCAGCCGTGGTACGCACGGGGTTTGTGATTATTAGAATTGCATCCATTTTGAGTTGTCATATCCCCCGGCGGTAGACGTTCGCCTGGCATTGCAGCCGCGTCCCAGGGAGACGGATCCTTGAGGCTTTTCCCCCTTTGAAGGAGCACTAGCAATATCGTTGACTCGGAGTACCGACGTGGGCTCTTCCGAACTCAACGGGGAGTGCGTGCGGTGTGATTTAGCCGCGACTCCACTGAAGCTTTTCTGTCGCATTCGACTAATAAAGAGTTACGACGATCTCCTCCCCATCTTCCCGATTCAAAACTAAGCTTGGGGCTAATAGGCCACGAACGAGACAGCGGGAACGGAGAAACACAAGGCAAGATTAGGGATTCGTAGGGAATTGAAGCGCAGGCGCACCACCGCGGAGAGGAGGAATGGCAAAAGGAGACGGCGAAAAGTGGGTGGGGGAGTGGGGGAAGCTCCTCGAACTCGAGAAGAAAAACCTGACGAAGGCAAGTTCACTCGTACGTAGGCCATTGCCATCTTTTACCTATCCTCGAGAGCCGTTTGGATGGCGACGCAAAGGCACAAGCACAAGACGGATTGAGGGTAGGACCAAAATCTCGTCAGTATTGATGCCCAAGTCCGAGACATCCACCCCTTTTGTCTCTTCTTGTTCTGATGCGTCAATCAGGTACGAATATGTGGTGCGTGCCAGTTCAACTCCTGCGGGTGCTGTGGTCTACTGTGAAGATTTTTCGCTTCTTTTCCTGCCTTTCTACTTTAGGCTTTGCGTGCGCGCGTCGATTGGAGAGGAACGATTGATTAATTTCGACCTCGTGGTACCTGGTAATACGGGTACTTCGTACTTTGGGGGGTTGTGTCACGATTTGATGTTGGTGACTGGTGTAGGTGCGGGGCAAGAAAATCCACGCAGCGAAGGTGGGATGGCAAGAGTGAGTGAACGAGGAACTGGGCGTGTCAGATCATGAACTCTGTCCCATCCATTGTTGCAACAATGCGTCTGTTCGGGAAGCTCTCAGAGCCAGCAGCAACCATTTCTCATTGAGGGTTTGAGCGATCGAGATGTCATAAATATCCTTGCTTCCAGAAATCGGGAGACTGCACGAGACCAAGGGTGAAACGCTGCTGGTTGAAGTCCAAAGGGCAATTGGGAGTCTCCTCGTCAAGGGAATTTACCCCGCCATAGCTCCGCCTTTTGAGGCGTCGAGCTTGCCCCTCGTCTAAAGCTGTCGCGAAGGCCGAAGTCCGGCGGCCCCCTGGCTAGGTCCGGGTGCTTGCTGCCCCTCCTTTTTAACCCCTCCAACAACTTTCGTTCATGTCAATCCATGGTTTGTGTGTGTGTGTTTTGGGCGAGTTCCCCCTCCCTCCTCCCATCCATCACCAGTCGCCACCCTGCTGGCTGGCCCAGTCCAGTCCACCCTGCCTGAACCCATGGCCCCTCGGATCTTCAGATCTCCTCGCCCATACCTTGCGTGTGTCAAGCAGCCTGAGCCCATTGGCTAGTTCCCTCACTCTGACGACGCCAAATAACCGGTTCGTCAAGATGTTGGTAGTGAAAACGAATGCAAAAAGAAAAAGAAAAAACCCCAGGGCAACGGGGGACCAGCATTTTAGCTTCCCCACGAGCCTAATGTATTAGCTACCGATGACCGGACAGCAAAATTGCGCGGCGGTGCGGTGTTCGGGACCTCAACTCGTACTTGGGTAATTTTGGATCAATTGATAGCTCCTTCCCTCGATCTTGCTGGACAAGCCCAGCCTGCAGACTAAAAAGATGGAACCATTGATGGTAGTGCCTTCCCTTGTGACAAGCGTACCATACATCACGCGTCTCGACAGCTTCCACTTACCCCCGCCGGAGGTCATTGATTTGCTCGCAGATTTCAAATCCCATTTCTGCTCCTTGCCCCCTCCTCGAAACACACACTACTCAACTGACCCTGCACTAAGCCAAGTCCCGGTCCCAGACTCACAGTAGATACAGACTAGGCCCAAGCTCTGCCACTAAGCTAAGTCTCAACAAAGTTGTACACAGGAACTCTGTTAGTTGTTTGGAGCTGCTTGCGCCAATATTTCCTCGGCACTCCGATTATTGGCCCTGTCTCTCCTCCTTATTCTCCGAAGTGGACAAGAAGAAGTGAAGGAACGTGAAAAGCCTGTCCCTACTTGTACCACCCCCTCCCGTTCCCGAATATAAACCTGCCGAGCCCCTCCGCTTCGGCTTCTCCATCCTCCACGACCCTGACTCCTTTGCCAAACCCATCCCTTCCTCTACTTCATCCATCCATCCACCCTCCCATAAAACACTCGAAAATGGCTCCCGCCAACACTCACCCCGCCTGGGCGGAGCTCCAGAACCACCGCGACACCGTCGGCAAGACCTTTGTCCTCAAGGAGGCCTTTGCTTCCGATTCGGACCGCTTCAGCAAGTTCAGCCGCACCTTTAACAACGGTGCTGGTGCCGAGATTCTCTTTGACTTCTCCAAGAACTTCCTCACCGATGAGACCCTCGATCTCCTCGTGAAGCTCGCCGAGCAGGCCGGCCTCGAGAAGAAGCGCGAGGCCATGTTTACTGGCGAGAAGATCAACTTCACTGAGCAGAGGGCTGTCTACCACGCCGCTCTCCGAAACGTCGGCGACTGGGACATGAAGGTCGACGGTGTCGACGTCATGAACGCCCCGGTGGTGTCAACGAGGTCCTCGAGCACATGAAGGAGTTCTCCGAGCAGGTCCGTAGCGGATCCTGGACCGGTTACACCGGCAAGAAGCTCACCACCATCGTCAACGTTGGTATTGGTGGATCTGATCTGTAAGTCGGCTCTTTGCCCCCGACCTTTGTTAATGATGATTATTCGTGTCCTCGTAAACGCATAGGATGGATGAACCCTAGCCAACTAACGCGGTATCCGTCATATATAGCGGCCCGGTCATGGTCACCGAAGCTCTCAAGCACTACAGCGACAGGGACATGACCCTCCACTTCGTTTCCAACATTGACGGAACCCACATGGCCGAGGCCCTCGCCGCCTCCGACCCCGAGACCACTCTCTTCCTCATTGCCTCCAAGACTTTCACCACTGCCGAGACCTGCACCAACGCCAACACCGCCAAGTCCTGGTTCATCGAGAAGACTGGCGGCAAGGGCGAGATCGCCAAGCACTTCGTTGCTCTCTCCACCAACGAGTCCGAGGTCACCAAGTTCGGAATCGATGCCAAGAACATGTTTGGCTTCGAGAGCTGGGTCGGCGGCCGCTACTCCGTCTGGAGCGCCATTGGCCTCAGCGTTGCCATCTACGTCGGCTATGATAACTTCCGCAAGTTCCTTGCCGGCGCTCACGAGATGGACAAGCATTTCCGCACCGCCCCTCTGAAGGAGAACATCCCCGTTCTCGGTGGCCTCCTCAGCGTCTGGTACTCTGACTTCTTCCAGGCCCAGACTCACCTTGTCGCTCCGTACGTATCCTATTTGATCCCTGACTGAGAGTTGATAGAAGCTAACAGACTTCACTTTTGCAGCTTCGACCAGTACCTCCACCGATTCCCCGCCTACCTCCAGCAGCTCTCCATGGAGTCCAACGGCAAGTCCATCACCTCGGACGGTACCCCGCCAAGTATACCACTGGTAAGTTTTCATCAGTTTTCCTTTCTGCCATATCTGTGAACTTCTCTTCCTCTGACACTAAGACTTTTGCAAGGCCCCATCCTCTTCGGCGAACCCTGCACCAACGCCCAGCACTCCTTCTTCCAGCTTGTCCACCAGGGCACCAAGCTTATCCCCACCGACTTCATCCTCGCCGCCAAGAGCCACAACCCCATCAGCGATAACCTCCACCAGAAGATGCTCGCCTCCAACTACCTTGCCCAGGCCGAGGCTCTGATGGTCGGCAAGACCGCCGATGAGGTCCGCGCCGAGGAGCCCCGCTGACCTCGTTCCCCACAAGGTTTTCCTCGGAAACAGGCCCACCACCAGCATCTTGGTTGGCGGCGCTATCGGACCTGCGGAGCTCGGTGCTTTGATCGTCTACTACGAGCACCTCACCTTCACCGAGGGCGCCATCTGGGACATCAACTCCTTTGATCAGTGGGGTGTCGAGCTTGGCAAGGTTCTTGCCAAGAAGATTCTCCAGTAAGTTTACGCGACACGACACCTCTCTTAGCAAAGCTTTTTTTCTTTTTCTTTTTCTTTCTTTATTTGCAACCGAATTCATCATTAACAAATTTCGTTTTACAGGGAACTTGATGAGCCTGGCAACGGCTCCGGCCACGATGCCTCGACTGGTAGCCTGATTGGCGCCTTCAAGAAGTACTCCCAGCTTTAATTTATCGCAACGGCGGTTAGGCTCGACGATGAGGGAAGCATAAAAGCGAGGGCACGACGTGACGAATGTCTCCTCTGAGAAGAGGAGATACACATAAAAACATGACAATCACTCAAAAAGGAACGAGGAGGAAACAAAGGCATCCGGGTTCATTGTATCTTAATAGTGGATTATCAACAGTGAACAATGAAGAAAAAAATTATACC